CGTAATAGTCCTCCAGCTGGGAGCTCTGTTTTTGGCGCTTGCGTTGTTTTGTGGCAGTGAGGAGCATGGGGTCAACCCACACCTCCTTCCTAATTAGGCAATTCTATCACCATATTACGGCTCAAAAGTTACTACGGACGGTTGCTTTTACGGCGAAATTTCTATACGGTACGGACCGCCCAAAAACACCGTCGAGCCGTACCGTAGTCTCCGTATTACCGACTGTTGGAAGCGCTGATCCATGGTATCAGCAGATCGGACTCGGGACTGAGACTGGGGCATCCTGACCCAATCCCTGAGTTCCGTGATGTCGTACCCTCGCCTCGTCAAGCACAGAGAGTCGTGTGGCTCTGAACCTCGTTTGCCGCAGAAGAGGCACGGATTGGTGGTGATTATATGCGGGTTCATAATGACTATTTCAAAACTTCTCAGAGTGAAATCGTTTCGGTTGAACGGAGGCTTAGAGGATTGGGGTTGATGCAAGGCGTCGAGTAGCCGTAGTAAGACAAGTAGTTGAGAGTATAAGTGTATGAGCGAGAAATAGTAGATATTTGCGGTCTTATGACCATAATTTGTGGCTGCGGTCTTCACGTTTCCCTTGATGATCTTGAATGCAAGGTTGGAAGTTGACATTGACGTGAGCCGTTGGCCATTGCGGAGTCTCTGGCATGTTGGCAATCCGTATTGGAGACAAACGGCAAGCTGAAGCAGTATGCTGAATACGACTACTGAGTGCACTGCCACAACCAGGGCGGACGTGAATGTAAGCTGGGGTCTTCTTAAGATGTGTGAACACCGAGCGGTTGCGTTGCCGAGAGGTCAAGGTTGTGGGGTATAGAGAAGTTGCGTTCCGAGAATTATTTTGGGTGACCACGTCCCACCATCGGCAAGTACACATGAGCAATGTTAATTGCGATGCAACTTTTGTACATTGCAACTATTCCATTTTCGTGACGTGAGCCGTGAAGCTATTCTGCGCCGCTGCTGAGCATTGTTCCCAAGCTAGACAAGGGCCATACATACGATTCTGCCGAAGCCGCCTCTTACATCTACGTTCCTCATCTCGAGTGGCGCCTTGCATCCAAGCTCTTAGGGTATCTCATATTCCACACTTCCTCTCTCCCGTCTATCCCGTCCTCTGATACTTCTCCTCGTGACCATTCACGCCATTGGTCGCACTCTCTTCCTCATCACCCTCCCTCGGCCTCACAGTGCCCGCTCCAGGTCCCAACTCCTCGCCGCCAATAACCATACCCCCCTTGAAATTGCCATCCTCATCCACAAATTCGTCCATGTTGTCCGCAGTAATCCAGCCCGTCGCGCCAGGCTCACTCAGATCCGGTGCAGCCTCCTCACCATCTTCCGGATCAGGATGCAGATCCGCGCATGTGTTCATGGCAGCGAAGATCTCTTGGACGGGCGAGGTCTGCGAGGTGTCGGCATGGTGGCTATGCGGGAGGAGGATGATTTCGAGGACGTCGATGTCTTCGTCTGCATTTACGGTCTCGGCGTCGTTGAGGGAGAGGTTCATGAGGAGGGCTTCAACACCGTTCTTCTTTGTGATGCCGTGGAGCGCAATCGAGGGGTAGGGGATCGAAACGCCGGTGGGATTTGGTGCTTTTTGGAAGAGGATGAGGTTTCTAGGCGAGCGAGTTAGCGATTCTGTATAGACATGACGAAACGGGGAAGCGTACTCTGAGTTTACCCACGCCTCGACGTCCCTCACGAGCACATCATCCTCACTCGCGCCTTCGGGCTCGGAGCTGAACTTGGCGAATGCATCGTCTGACTGGAGTTTGGCCTTTGAAGCGGAGATGTTGAGACCTGTTTGGTGGACGTAAAGGACGGGCTTTGCGCCGAAGAAGGTCGAGGGCGTCTGCTGTTGGTGCTCTTGTAGTGGGGTGAAGTCGTCTGATTTGGGTGCCGTGGTGAGGAGTCTGAGGGACGACATGGTAGGCGATATAGTCTGTGTATGGTGGAATCAATTTACTGCTTCGAAGGCGAGTTTCAAATGTGCCACCTAACGATTGCGTATGAATAAAGAAGAAGACAGCACGTCGCGACAGGCAGACTTTCAAAAAGTCGCCCGAAGATCCGCCGAACGTCATTGCTCCGGGGCGGGGCATCCGCCTCCACTTTCATCCTCACACTCTCACGCAACACGACATCGCGGAATCGCTTCGTCGTCATCCACTCCTTGCAATCATGCCTTGAACCGAACACCCAGCAGGCCTGCATCTTGACCACAATGCCGTCCTTTCCCACAACCCCCATCGCCAAACTCACCGGCCACACGGGCCCCGTCCACGCCGTCGCCTACTCCTCCTCTCCACATTCGTACATCCTCACCGGCGCCGCGGACCGCACAATCCGCTTGTATAACCCCTCGAAAGCACCTCCGTCCTCTGTCGCGCCCACCTCCTCCGCCGCATACCCGCCGGGCCTAGTCACAAAGTACAACGCGCACGGCTACGAAGTCCTCTCCATCGACGTCAACGCCGCAAACGACCGCTTCGTGAGCACCGGCGGTGACAAGACCGTCTTCCTCTGGGATGTGCAGACTGCGCAGACGGTGCGGCGCTTCACAGGCCACGCTGGGCGCGTGAACCGCGGCGTCTTCGGCGGCGAAGGCGATAGTGTCATCGTCTCCGCGAGCTTCGACGGGACAGTGCGCATCTGGGATGTCCGGAGCAACTCATACAAGCCCATCATGACGTTCAGCGATGCCAAGGACAGCGTAACGGATGTGCTTGCCTTCGATGGCGAGATTGTATCTGGCTCAGTGGACGGGCGGGTGCGTAGCTACGACTTGCGCACCGGGTACTGCGAGGTCGATGTCATTGGGTATCCGGTGACGAGCTTGACGCTGTCGAAGAAGGGGACGGAGGTCTTGGTTAGCTCGCTGGATTCGACGGTGAGGCTGATGGATCGGGCGAATGGGCAGTTGTTGAAGGCGTATCGCGATGAGGCGTTTCTGAATACGGATCTGAGGGTGCGCAGCACGTTAGGCTTGAATGATAGTGTGGTCTTGAGTGGGAGCGATGACGGGATGGTATTTGCGTGGGACTTGCTCGGGGGGACTGCGTTGCACAAGTTTCGTCATTCGGAGTTGCGGGAAGTGAGGGGCACCGCAGAGAAGAAAGAGAAGGGTAAGAAAGACATTGTCTCTGCTGTGGCTTTCTGTCCTAGTAGGAGAGAATGGGCTAGTGCGGGCGGAGATGGCAACGTCGTTGTGTGGGGAACAGACAGCTGAGAGTTAAGACATGCATGACGGATGTAAGAGTAGCCTTTTGTTCTAAGATACCCCCTGAACCATTCAAATCTGTTCATAAATTCTATCGGACTTTTGACCTCGACGCCACAGTAATGCTTGGTATCCCATGACATCCTAAACCCACAATGCCCATTCATGATCTCGGAACATCCGTCTCCATGCCCTAATTTCTCTTCTTAGAATTGACATTCCTTCCCGCGCCTACCGTTGGCCTGCTATCAGTCTTGCTCCTGTTTCCCGTCAAGATATCCGGCAAATAATCCTGATCCATTGGGTCCTTCGCCTGGGTCCTCTTCCGCTCTGCCTGCGTCTTTTGATACTCCTTCTGGTCCTCACTGAGCACCAATTCCCTGCCCCACCCACCCTTCCCGCCGCCCTGACCCCTCATCTTCCCGTTGCTCGTCCCTCCCACCGGCTTCGGGATGCTGTACTTGTCCCCACGCTTATTGTACCGGTACTTCGTGCTGAGATGGATTTGGAATTCGCCCTTCGTGTTGGTGCTGCACGACACGCGCTGGAGTGTGGGCTGGCCGCAGCGCGGGCAGAACTGCTTCTCCATTTCCCGCGTGGTCAGAAAGCACGCGTGGCAGCGTAGGATGGTGCTGCGGGCGTTACGGATGCGTTGCATCGAGGGGGAGAGGAGCGACAGATTCATCTGCAGGAGGACGTTCTGCATGGCGAAGTCGGTCGTCATGGTTGCTACGGCGAGCTGAGGCTCCGAGGCGTCAAGAGGTGTGTCGGAGGTATCTTGCTGCTGGTGCTTGGATAGGGTCTCTGGAGTAATCCACTCGCTGCCATCTGATTCTTCGTCGTCATCTGTGGTAGGTGGAGTGGGTTGCTGGGCTGTTGTGGGCAGGACTTCATTTGTTAGAGCCTCGCGTTCAGCGGCTCGACGAGCGAGGCGAGCTTTTGCTGGATGGACCTTTTTCTTAGCAATCTCCTGCCAAGGCTCGTCTGTCTCTTGCTTTGGTGCTTCTGGTGCTGTCTCTGGCTCTTCTGTTGCTCTTCCGGATTCTTGAGTCGATTGCTCAGGTTGCTTGGTCACCTGCTCGGGCCCTTCTGTCGCTTCCTCGGGCTCGTCTGCCGCTTGCCCAGGCTCCCGAGTTGCTGAAACTTGCTCTGCGTTATTCATGGCTACAACCTCCTCCTCGAGGTCTGTTGGGCTATTCTCGATGTCCGTTTGGGCAGGCTGCTCTTCCGGACCCTGAGACTGTTTAAGAGCCTGCTTCTCGGAGTATAGGCGAGCACGGCGGGCCTTTTTGCTGTTAACCTTCTTCTGCTTTGCCTTGGCGTCACTAGGCTCCGGAGTATCTGGTAGAGGACCCGTTGCGCCACCCTGCTTTGCGAGAACATCTTCCTGGTTGACAAAAGTTACCTCGTCGGAGGGTCCCTCTGATATTGCAGCAGGTTCAGGTGGAATTCCTGCGACGGGCTGCCCGGGCCCGACCACGAGTTCTCCTTTCGTTTTCTGCTTACGCTTCAATTCCGCCTTCCTCTCACGCGCTGCTGCGTATTCCGCCTCTTTCTTTTCGTCTTCAGCTCGCTTCTCAGCAGCTTCCTCGTCGGCCTTCTTTTGCTCTTCCTCTGTTAGCTTCACCGGTCCTTTGGGCACACTCCTCAATCCAAATGACCCGCCATGCTTCTCGCAGTACACCTCATAAGCCAACGCCAGTATACCTAAATCCTGCTTGCTCAAGACCGGGAAATCGCCGGTCTTCTTTGCGAACTCTGAAACGGCATCAAAACTAGCTGGCGAGGGCGTCTTGACGTTCAGAAAAGGCAGTAGTGTGGTTTCTACCCTTGACCTGGTGACAGGGTCGCGGATTTCCGCAATGATGGCCGGCGTTGTGTACAATACTTCTGCTGTGTTTATAATGGTCGATATCGAGACGGTATTGTGGATCAGCGGGCCCGTGTCGATAATTATCGAGTGGACAGGTTTGACGCTATTTTGAGTCGCCATGGTGGGGTGATTCCGGATTTTCGCTACTTCGTCGCTGCAGTGTGCAGAGTAACGCGAAGCGATGGTTGTGTCTGGTATTTGCTCTTCGCAAGGTGCCTTGTGCGTTGAACTGATTTTTGGAACGGGCGTCGACGATGGAGGTTGTGCGCACCACTTTTCAGGCAGATTTTGTGACAGAGGTGCGTTTTGTGGGGAACGGTGTGATTGGGGAAGGTACGATGCTAGCTGATGACTAAGTACCACCAGCAAGGGGAGGCGCAATCTGATCGTTCTTGCGCTTTAGTTCCCGCTGCTCAAATCTGACCTCTCAAGCACTGACCTCGAACGGTCCTGCAGACTTGCAGCATCGCTCACCATCTTTCCCGTCAATTTGTCCCACTCCCTCGCTCCATGGCGTACATGGAATACCTCACCATGCGAACCCAGAACCCACTCAGACAAGCTTATCACCTTCCGTCAATAGTGACTGCGCCTCTTGGGGCCGGCTAACGCTGTACACTAATCCCTGCTTTTGCGAGACCGACCTTGCGGTTCCCAATTACTCACCCTCCGTCGAAGATATCGAAGCCAAAAGGAATACACTCTCGAGAACTCAAGCCTACCTGAATCTCAACGGCTCTGAAATAGCAATCGGTAGAATGAGCGCGGGCATCTTCTGGCAGCCTCGATGGACGAGTGTTCAATAGCAAGTCGCATGAGAAATACCAGATTTGACTGCAGGATGCGGACCCCCACCAAAAGCGGGATGCGGGTTGCGGGTTTCTCTTTTTAGGGGAGCTACGATCGTGACGAAGAGTTCAGCTGGCCAATTCCACTTCAATGTCAAGATCGATTCACCGTGCTTCTGGTCCATTGAATCCGTGGGCAACGCACGGAAAGAAACCTGATCAGTCGACGCTTGGCACAGGTCCCGTCATCACGATCACGCCTGGCCATAATGGACAGAGGTCGTCGGTGTCCTGCACTAGGCTACCAAGGGTATCCTTTTGCTCTCACAGATTCGTTTGTAGGATTGTTGGCCAGCAAGCGTGCTCTGGCGCCGATGGAACAAAGGCATCCGCCATGTCTCTGGAGTATACGATCCATGCTCTTCAATATGTGACAACATGTGCAACAGTGATTGCATCATTGGCCTAACATTTCCAAGTCACATCTTTGTCCGACGGCCTATAATTGACGATTCTATGCCTCTGCAAGGGTATATCGGTATCGTTCCAGCTTCGTGCAGGCTTCCATTCCCAGGTTTTGTATTGAATCCCACCCTCGGCCCTCGGCCCTCACCGTGCAAGCGACCACTGCCTGCGAGAACCGTTGTTTTGGACCTTTCTGTTGGCTCTTCCTACGTCAGTGCCAATCAGCTGCATTTCTGGATGAAAGCTTGTGGCTTCAGCACCTGGGTCGACGAACGCGTGTTCGGTGCCTAAACTGTTGTAGTGGGACATCGTCATTCGGTGACCGACTGTGGTTATGTGGGTGGCGAATATACGACTCGTTCAGGCAAGAATAAGTCGAGACCATCATCTATGATCGTTGTTCGACGAGGGAGCAGGGTCGCTGCGGCGGTCTCCTGAACCCTGTGAAGCGTTGCGGGGCCGAAGGCAGGCTTATCGTTCCTCTGCAGATCTGTCTGTACAAAGCTCAGCAACACCTACATCTGCTTTCTCGACGGGAATTACAGTTGGCTCGTATTGTAGCGGCACGAGACCCTCGTTCTACGCTTCCCCCTCGCATCGAATCCCAAACTAATGACACTTAGTAATGCTGTACGCATGACCCTACGTTGGTCAATCTACTAGTAATTTGTTTCGGCAGGTTGCGTGCTGACCGGTGAGCTCAATCGCGCAAAGCTCAGCACTTTGCTACATGAGTGCAGGTAAGGCGGGGAGCATTCTCTACGTCCGGCCAACCGAATCTAGACTTCTAGGAAGATGCTTCGCGCTATTGGCCATCGGTCGGCGAGTCCGAGGCAGTCGGCGCCAACTCTGGAAGAAAGGACGTATCTGCATCGAGCCGAACGAAGGTCATTGAAGACAGTCCGCTGCACATGCAGCCTCATTCGCTCTGTGGAACTGAAGCGGCTCAAAATGCGACCCCAGGGTGGGTGGAAGAAGGCAACGAGGCAAACGTGCAGAAGTAGCAGCGGCAAAGGCTGTCCATAAGCCCTGGAAATACGCCGCACGTCCAGGGCAGGTCAGCCGATCCCTGGCCGCGGAATCCTACTTATTACTGGCCACTCCCGCAGTTCTGTAAGATAAAAGGTGAGTAGAACACACTCAGAAAACATACTGACGGGAAGGAGCTTACTCGTTCTGTTCTCCGAGTAGATCGGCCGATGTCCGGGATCGTTTCACACCACCCAATCCTCGCTCGCTGCCATTGCCGCCCGACTAGGTCTGCCGGTATTCCAGTTCGCCCGGCCACTTATTTATAGTTGGTGCTGGCAAGCAGAGCCGCATAACGCATCTCTTCCGCCTTCATCGATGTGCATGCGCCGCAGCTACGTCCATGTCGCCCAACCCGCCACCATGCGATTACGGCCGCTGCTAATAGATGGTCGCCAACCGAGCATTTGAGATGCAGTGCGAGCCCTACTGTTGTATGTCAACCACGGTCTTCCTCGGTTCAACACCTGAAACATCCGCATAGGCAAAGCGAACAGAGTAATTTTCGCGATGGATGCAACAAGGAACCGGTCCAGAGACCAAGGAGTCTTTCCGTTCTTCCATACCGTTCGGCATGCGTTAGGCTGCAACCAACTATTCGCCAACGGCAACATCGAGTAGGCGCTCCGTTAGCACAAGGTCCCACCCGAATGCACCTTGCGGAGGCGCTATCGACCTGCTGCTGGTTGGTCCACGCAAGCAGTGGTTGCATGCAGCCAAATCATTGTCGCTGGGGATGAGCGGTCGGTTTACCGCATTCATTTCGTGAGGCAGCTGACACGGCTACAGCTGCGGAGAGCTTTGGCTCATCTACGGCGCGGCACCACAAAGCTACAGTTGGAAGCCTTACACAACAGTGATTTCGGGCACTCTAGACAACATGCCTGGCGACGAGAACTGCTCGCTACCACACAGATGAACGCAAACAATGTGGTCAGCACCTACACGATACCGACCTCGAGCAAGACGCCAACACGACACGGCAGTACTCGTTCCCGCAGCGGGGTAATGGAAGTGTCGCCGGGATGTTGCTCCACTCCTGCAGCCGAAAAGGAATATCGCCGCACCCTCACCCACCCGCGCGTCAGACCTTATCTGCGGCTTGCTCTAGCCTCAATCACACCACGGCTACGCGGGGTCGTCTGATCAAGTCTATGGGATACTTCCCTGCCCGCAACCGATGCAGCAGAGCCGCATCTTCGGCGGTAAAGGATAAAGGACTGGTGAAAGTGGGCAAAGATGACCACCACAGCAAGCGAAGTGCGCTTTGGGAAAGCCTGCCGCTAAGACCTTGTGCCGAGACACGCTGCAGGGAGTCTCGAACGTCATTGACTATGTCGGTTAGTATGTCTTTGATCGCTTGCGACCGATCGAGCTGACTTCTCCCTTTCAAGCCAAACTTCATCTTTCGAATCGACGAGATACGCGAGAGCTTACAAACGGCCGCGTCGTATGATAGATATGGAATCTGGAATCCTTCGACCGATAGTGGCGGTAACGAACGCATGAACGGTCACGGCGCAACTGGCATGTGGTGGTATTGCAATGGTCAAAACATACAACGCTTGAATGTCAATGCGCCGCCTCATGGATCATCACACTTCCAGACTTTCTCTGTCTTTTACTGCGATGGATTCGGTTTCTGGGTTTTACGAGGAGATGCGACTAGTCCACCTGCTGCAGAAGCGTGGCATCCTCTTTCGTTTGATTGGGATGAGCATGATTACTCTGCCTACCTAACCAACGCGGGTTACCAACGCACACTGAGAGTACAACGGAATGACCAAATGTGGCCTCGGATGCTCCTACCAACCACTAACCAAGTTCCACCTGTAACCACGAGTCAGAGATACGGTGGTCTGAAGGGTGACCTTGCTATTTTCTTGGCTCTGATTGCTCTGTCCATGGATCGACCGTATGTGCCGCACGTGCTGCCGCAAATGTTTGCTCGAGAGGCTTGGACAATACATCAACATCCCCATGGGCGTGAGTCGTAACACGCCCTTGCGTCCTGACTTCCGTCCACTGACATAATCAGGTTTGAATCAAAGAGGTGTAGTCGTATACGTTTACACTGTCCCAGCATCATGGGACCCGACAGGCAAGTCTACGGCAAAGGAGCTCAAAAACTACCAAGATGGCGTGCATGGAAAATACTACTATTAAGATACTGCAGCCGTCGGCGTTGAAGGACATCGGCCCCTGCCAAGACCTGCGGGACGAACCGTTTGCGTACCGTATCCGCGAACAGGTGTTCGTTGCCTGTTTGCCTTACCGACTTGAACCGCAGTTCCTCGTTTCGACCCCCGCACGACCATTCTATGCCGGCAGCCGGTACGGTATCCGGTTGGAGCATGAACCACGAATTTGTATAACACCGAATTACGTTTTATCCGACCGCGACGATACGTCTTCTTGCTCAAGAGTTCACCGGACTGACTTCTGTCTTTGCGGTTTTCATGGCTCTCTTGTCTCGTCCTCCCGCCAGCCTATATACGTTACCCATCAACTACTCCGCTCATTATCAGAGAGCATCGTCCGCTCAATCCCTGCATTTGGTGTAACTTCTCCGCTGAATACGTATCTCATTGACCATCGACCTGTCACCTAATTTGATACCATCTCATTCCTGACGACCTTACGAATACCAATATGTGGATCTTGATTGGAATGGTGGACGTTGGTGTCTTGACTTAGGAAGAGATTACCTGCCAGGATAATAGCTTTACTTCTATAATACCCAGCAATACATTGGTTATGATATTCAATTGTTCTAGTTTCAGAAAGCGCAGTCGATGCTTGCAGGCCTAACGCGAGCTTCTACCAGGTCTCGGTTCCTCGACAAGCTTACGCGTACGCTGACTACGAAAATCTGGAGTCGCTTAGGGGCATGGGTACCCTACTGAAGCATCAGATGCTCGTGAATGATTCGAAGTCACCTTCTGCATCGTACCGCAGCTCACAAAAGCCAAAAGTCTAGGCTGCCTGAACCAGGTAGTTACATGTAGTGAGCAGCGCGTGCCAGTCCTAGTGCCAGTGCCAGATGGATGTCTGTTCGTGGGTTAAGGTATCGAGTATAGTCATCGTATTCTCATAACCAAGGTCTGCTCTCTTTTATTATTCCATAGACCTCTTCAGATGGCATAAATACAGGAAGCAACGCAAGGTTCTGTCGAACCCGCATGATGAGATTTACCCCATGACGCCGCCCAATGCTAGTCTATCCAGCGACATCTCGAAAACACACACTGTACAACATATAGTACAAATATCGTGGCCGTCCACCTATCCATCCGTCGATCAACCCCTCACTCCCCCTGGTCGACCGCTCCTTCAACGGGCGTTGTCGTGACATCCTTTGCCCTTTCTACGCAATCGGCCGACTCCGCTCGTCTTCGGGCATTCTCTGCGCGCTGGTTAGCCTTGACACCCTCCCCCCTCATCCTCCACAGATACTCGAGCCTCCCCTCCCCGTCCGCCCGCTCACTCACCATATAAGCATCGATCGCCGCGCTGAACACGGCAAACCCCGCACACCCCACCGCCGCCGCCTGCGGCCCTGCGTTCCGCGCCAGCACACCCCCCGTCAAACACCCGCCCGCAACACCGTTCCATAGATCGTTCTTCGCGCGGAGCCCTTCGATCGCGCACTCGGTCCCGCTGAAAATGGCACCCACTTTGGCGAAGTTTTTTCCAGAAGAGAGGGAGCTGCGATACATGTCGCGGAGACCGTGTTTGAGCTGTTGGCGTAGGGGCAGGTCGGTGAGGGGGACGCTGCCGGCGGGCGTTTGGACCATTTGGCCGGCAAACGAGGGATGTGTGACGGTTGTGGAGGCGGTGGATGTCGCGGTTGAGGAGACGGCTGATGCGGCGGCAGGCGTCGGTGCGGGCGTGGGTTTTGCGCCTGCGGCGGCGGTCGAGGTTGCGTTTGTTGCTGCTGCTGCGGCGGCGACTGGGGCGGGGGCGTTGGGGACTGCGAGGGGCTGTGACATGGGCGTGTCGTAGCGCATCTGCGGTGGGCTTTAGTATGATGCTCTGCTCTGCTCTGCCCTGCCCTGCCCTGCGCTTCGTCCGGGTCAAAACTCAGAGGGACAGAATACTCACCGACGACATGAACAGTCCGAACATCGCACCCAGGCCTCCACCCATAACACCCGCCATCACCGTCTTCCCCACACAGCTCTCCATCGATGCTTGCATCTGCACTCGCATTAGTATCCTGCCTTTCGAGATCCTGCGCCTCGCGCCTTCTAACGTGGACCCGTACCATCTTCACCATCTGCGCCTCCTGCTCCGACATCCCCGCGTTGGGGTTCATTCCCGGTGGTGTGAAAGACATGGTGTATGTGCGGAATGGGCCGGTTGGTGGGGGTGTTGCACGCGACGGGAAAAGTTGCGATGCGATGCGACGAGAATGGAACTTTTGCGGAGAAGGCGCGGAGGACGGGAGGTGCCGGATTGGGCTTGGCGCCTTCGGACCCGTTAGGACTGCGCGAAGTGCGGTAGGACTCGGCACGGTCAACGGGCCCTGGTTTGACTGGAGCAGTGATGCTGATGCAAAGTCGTAAGTTCTCGATGCTGACAGAGCAGCATCAGTTGGTCGGACGGTCGCGAAGTCACAAGTTCCCGATGCTTCCAGATTGTTATGGAAGTTAGTTTTACAGTCGCTGTTGCCTCGATCCTTGACCGCTCGTTTGGTAGTATCTTCACATTGCGCAAGAGGTTGAATTGCACAGCTCATAATGTATACGATTCCTATTAACATCATGAATACCATTAGACAGCATTAACGCCGCATCCCGCTACCAATTCCCATATAAACAACGAAGCTCCGGCTCTAACTTTTGCTAGACAATTGTCTCGCTTGCACCAATCCGCCTTCTTAAATCTCTTTGAGTAAATGATTAGAAATAGACAAAAGACATTTCGTCTAGACGTTGCGTCTAATGGCGTTAATCGTAAGGTATATAGCTTGCCGTAGCTCATCAATAGATCGTTACGCAAAATCTGAAGGAGACACTGATCGGCCGATGTAATCACCGCTGGCGTGGTTGAAGTCCCTCGACTCCGGAGGAGGCGTGAGGTTCTTCTCCCATTCCTTCATCAAGTGTGAAGCTGTGCGCTTCAATTGCGAAGGTGACAGCTTGCTGAGCTCGGGCCAAGGGATAGAGTTGCGCTTGGAGTCGCGGCGGGAAGACTCTTCGACAGAGCTGGACGCTGTGTGAGTGGAGGCTTTGGAGTCGTGGCGTTGCGAGTGGTACCTAGTGCTTGTCCTTGAGCTGACCTGTCCAGACGCAGGCGAGGAAGGCCCTTCCGACTCATCCGAGCTGTTGCTGTCGCCTGATATCTTGGCGGCGTGAACGTGGTTGTCGCTTGGTGTTTCCCAGTTATCCCAGCTATCGAAGTCGTCGGCCTGGCTTGCGGTTTGCTTTTGGGGGGTGCGCGTTTGCTTGAGAGCGTGAGTTTTCTTGTGCGTCGGCGAGGCCTTGGGCTCAGACAGACCATGCTCCTTCCAGAACTCATCTCCGATATCCACCTTGGATGGGGCCGACTTCTTTGAGCTGCTTGCTCGGTTCAACGTAGGCCGGTTCTCGGACGCTTTGCGTGTACCCTTGGTGGCAGCATCCCTAACGGTTCCGGGAGCTGAACCCTCTGCGGCATTGATGGCGTCATCGCCGACCGTGGCTTGCCGAATGTCCTCGATGAAGGTGAAGAATCCGTCTTTGAAATCATTGGCCATCTGCTTGCCGGTGCGGAGGAGGGCTTCGCGCTGTATGTTGGAGAGACCGCCGAGATCATAGCGTTCGCCATTGACAGTGTTGGCTATTTGGTTGGCGATGTCGGGCGAGGCTGATTGACGAGTAGGTATGGCTGGGCGTTGGAGGCTGGCGGTGCTGGTGGAGGTGGCGGGAGTAGGTGGGTCATCGTGCCGCAGATCGAGCGGCTGGGGAAACGACGGCGTATAATTCTTATCAGGCGACAACAGCGACAAGGTGCGCAGGTGTCTGGAGCCGCTGAAGACTTTGCCGCCGCGCTGGGTTGCTTTGGCGCTCAACAGCGCCTTGCGACGTTCCATCTCCTTCTGCATCCACGAGGAAGAGCCGTCTTCGTCGTCTTGGTCCAAGCCATGATTGGCAAGCGAGGTGTTCAGCGGCTGCAGCTTGGTGACCTTGCGCAGGTCGTTCCGCACCTTGACGGCTTCCTGTGTTGCGTAGTGCTTCTTGAGCGTCTTGAGGTCCTGCTCGGCCTTGGTAAGCTCTTCCTTGAGCTCGAGGACGAAGCGCTCCTGGGCGGCGATGATGTTGAGGATGTTTGTTTCGGCAGACGTGGAGTCCGGCGAAGGGACTGGCGAGGGCGCGGCAATCCAGGATTGCGGCCGTGAGCGCGGTGAGGGAATGGCTGGAGAACTGCTGCCGGCAGCAGCTGGCTGGATGGGGAACTGCAGGGAGAGGCGCTTTCCCTGGCGAACAATGTCGGCGTGCGACATGGAGCGAGCGTGAGAATGCATGTCGGGGGTGGGCGACGGGTGAGAGAGCGTGCTGGAGGTCGACGCAGCGCCGGATGTTTGTTGGGAGGCTGCGACGGTGGAGCTGGGCGCGGCCCCTGAGGCCCGTTCTTTGTCGTCCGGGGTGCTCGACCGTTTCCGAGATGAGGCGGGCTTGTGCTGTGCGCGGTCCATGACGTCTGCTCCTCCTAGGTAGAAGATGTTGTGGGCGCCAATACCATGACCTTTGGCGAGGCGGCAGGTCAAGTGTGCGAGGCGGAGGCGCGAGGAGAGGCGGTGGAGGATGACGCTGTAGCGGTGGCTGGACTCGCTGAGCTCAAAATGCAGGGCCAAGATGGCAGCAGGCAGGCCAATCAGACGGAGGAGGAATCCACTCTTCAACCACGAATACAACCACGCTTTCAGCAACGCAGGGCTTGCTGAGTTTCCCATGCCAGAACCATGGGCGCGCGCATGCTTCGAGGAGGAGGGGGATATGCGTCACACGGCCGAGGTCGACGGGGACTTTTGTGTCTGCCCACGTTCACACGAGTGCACGACCGCCAAACAAACCGACGCCAATTTGCATTCCCTGCAGGTCCACATTAGCTCGCAGCTGACCTCGCGGTGCCTGCGCAAGTGCCACGGCGGTGTAGCTGCGCCTGTCCAGCACCCGCCTGCGGTGCTGCCGTTATGCTTTGCACCGAGGGAGTCGCCATCGGCCTCGACGCCAGCCATCCATCTCCAGGCCCGGTCCGTCTGCCTGCGCAACCCGCGCGTGTAGACGCCGGGCACGAATCAGCAGTGGGGGTCACGCAGCTGACAGCCGCGCCAGACCTGGGGAGCCGGGCCTGTGAAGGGCCCCTGCCGAGCCTTGTAGGCTAATGTAGCCGTATTGGGCAGTGCGCGAGAGAGACGCGTCGTTGTGTACACTCGCTCGCATCCGGATTCCAGGAACCCGCCGACGGCATGGATTCGGGGTCCAACCCGTGGTGGAGGCGCGCGAAGCTGGCCAGCAGCACCGTCTGCCCACTTTCTCAAGCTTCTGCAAGGCTGTCGCGGGAGTGTTGCAAGGAGCTTCCAGGCACATCATTGGCCAGAGCGCGTCTTGTCCGATGTTTACCGCCGCTGCTTCACCGAGGCCAGCCCATCACCCGGATGACGCACCAATTGTCGGGGCGACTGGAGATCGAGATAGCCGCGCTCGCACTCCATGTTGCGGAGCGCGGAACGGCACTGCGCTGGCTTATGCAGGGCTGCCGGTGACTGGATGCAGCAGCTGCAGCTCTCTCTTGGTAGCCGCATGCCATCCCGTGTAGTAGGCGCGCCCAACACAGAGGACTGAAGTCACAGACTGCTGCATCCCATCGTCCTGCGGCTGCTGATCACGCACGCCTCTCGTCGCTTCGTGCGGGCTCGCCGACTCGACTCGCAGACAGACGTCAAAGCGGGCGGCGTGTGCGTTTGTTGATGGCCCCGCGTGTTGCCCTGGAGACCGCGCAGCCGGCCCTGCCCAACCCCAGCTCATGTCCATAACCGTTCCCAGCGTCGCACCAGACGGCCATCCTCACCACAGTCCTATTCCTATCTACCAGCACTGTTCCACGGCGACCGCCGTCCCGCTCCGACCTGGAAGCCATCGTCGCTTGAATCCCCCTGAGCGACCGCGTTATCCGCAACCATCTCCGTCAGCCGCCCGCAATGGCAGAGGGCTACCAGGTCTTGGAGGAATTGGGCAGTGCGTGCAGCAGAAAACAATCGAGCTGCAGTGCGTTGCTGACAGCGCATAGGCGGAAGCTTCGGAAAGGTGTACAAGGCCATTGAGAAGGCCACGGGCGAGACAGTTGCCATCAAGCTGGTACGGTTGCCCATCCCTGGCCACCGTATGCCCCCCACGCTCACGCATTCCACCAGATCGACCTCGAAGAGAGCACCGATGAGCTCGCCGACATCCAAGCCGAGATTAACCTGCTGGGCACCTGCAAGAGTCCCTACGTCACCGAGTACAAGACGAGCTTCGTACGAGGCGTAAAGCTATGGATCGTCATGGAATTCCTGGGCGGAGGCTCTGCATTGGATCTGGTATGCGAATCAGACGAGAAGTGTACGAGACGGATACTAATGGATCCAGATGGCTCCCGGACCGTTCGGCGAAGCCCACATCGCCATCGTGTGCCGCGAACTCCTGCTCGGGCTCGTCTATCTGCACGGCACCGGCAAGATTCACCGAGACATCAAGGCTGCCAACGTCTTGCTCACAGACATGGGCAAGGTCAAATTGGCAGACTTCGGCGTTGCTGCGCAGTTGACCAATCTGAAGTCACAGCGTATGACATTCGTCGGGACACCATATTGGATGGCACCAGAGGTGATACAAGAAGAAGGCTATGACTTCAAGGCGGATATCTGGTCGCTGGGTATCACTGCCATTGAGCTAGCCATGGGACAACCGCCACACTCTGGCTCACACCCCATGAAGATATTGTTCACCATCCCGAAGAACCCCGCGCCGCGACTCGAGGGCAATCAGTGGACAAAGGAGTTCAAGGACTTCGTGTCAAAGTGCCTAGTCAAAGATCCCGATCTCCGAGCCAGCGCAAAGGAGCTACTCGAGCACAAGTTCATCCGGAAGGCCGGCAACATCCAAGCCATGCGAGAGTTGATCGAGCGCAAGCAGATGTACCACGCTAAGCAGGAGACTACCAAGCACGTAAAGTACTACGAAGAGACCATGTGAGTTGTTCCCCATGTAGCCTCTGGGTTTCATTCCTAACGTTTCAGGGTCGATCTCTCCCCGAAGGATGAGGAAGATGAGTGGAACTTTACGGTCCAACACCCCAAGACCGTCAGGATCAGTGCTACGCCCCACACGGCGAGGCGTCGCAAGCCAACGCGTATGCCTTCTGGCGAGATGAACGCATGTGCTGCTACAATGCAGCGTATGGACCTGAACGCAGCACCATTAGGCAACATCACAGACTCACCGCTACCTGAACGTCGTCGGCCGTCGTCTCGCATGTCGTCTACGGGTACAGCATTCCGCGTGCCTTCGGGGCAAACGCCAACAACTCGACGCATTGCAAATGTTCCTAAACAGCCTTTGGGCGTCGACCTTAGTTTCGGCAACTCGCCGTCCACGGTCAGACACTTCAAACGTGTCTCATCAGGCGAGAGGCGGGCAGCACTTGCATCCAACCCGATCGACACTGCAAACTCCTTCCATCCCAACCCGCATGCGAAAACCTTCCGCCCTTCGCCACCCAATTCGGCGCACCCCTTGGACATCCACGACGAGAACACGCCTCCGCCTACAGACTACCAACCTGTAGCCATCACCAAGGATGCTCTCTACGGCCGACGCGCCTACGGCAAGGCTCTCGACTCTGTCTTCGAGGAAGCCCATGCAGATTCCGCATCGCCTCAGCAGCGCGAAGCCATCAGTCGAGTGCACCAGGCGTGGGCTCATCTTGACCAGGTCGACCCTGAAGGAGAGTTCTTGCTTTTGAAGGCCATGGTCGACCGATTGCAAGGAGATTCAAAGCTCGCTTCTGCGCTCGGAATCGCTATGTCGCCTGCACCAACCCCCGGAACCAAGCAGCACAACACGAAGTCCAGCGAATCCAGCTTGGCTGGGACGACAGTTCACGGCAACGGAACGACTCGCATCCGCGCCAATACGTCGTCCACAGTGTTCACCAAACCATCGCCCGTCACCGACTACGCCTCTCCCATACAGGCTCAAACTCCGTTTCTGTCTCCCGTAGGCACGCCCACAAGCACGAGCTCCGGCTCCCCAGTGAAGGGCCCAAAACTCGTTCTCGCGCAGAACAACCCGCATCTCAAGTCTCACCGTCGCCGACAGAGCGCATTTGTGGGCGGCGAGAAGCTGTTTGGGCTTGATGGCGATGAGCTGAGCGAGAAAAAGCTGCCAGGCCATGTGGAGCCGGGCATGGAGCAGCAGGGCTTGCTCGCTGATATTCTCTACGGGCAGTGGATGCAAGGCCTGAAGAGTCGATGGCCGCTGGCGTAATTGGACACCGCCCGATGGCCCTTGTGCAGGTGGGTGGTATGGGTGTAGTCGTCGCACCACACCACGCTGGACGGCAAAAGTTAAGCTCTCCATTCTTGCATATACTTCTCCCTGCGTCTCGCTCTTGAGTCGAGTTGCATCGTAGATTTTTTTGTGCTTCTTGTTCTTTAGTTTCACGTCTCTCCTTGGGTACAGCTGCATACGCATGATTTACGAACTGACGAGCTTGGCATGGGTATGATGAGCTTGTTTTGGTAAATTTGTGGGATGCTGGTTGCTTGTAATTGCTCGCATTGTATACAACAGGGCGTTCGTCGGCATTTTTGGTGTTTGTTTGAAAGGGTACGATAGGTAGGTAGGAATAGGAGAATTGCGAGGAGAGTAAGATTGTACATAGCTAGCCATGTGAGGATGCCGGGAAAGGTGTAATTTGATAATGGGTCTGTTGTCACGTCATACTCCCTCTAGCCATACCCGTGACGTGGAAACCGCTGGCGCGGACAAGCATCTCAACATCTGGCCGCCCTAAGCCGACTTCGTCTCGACAACAAACATCACCTTCCTACTCACATAGTATCACATAAATTTCTAGACATACCACACACTGCCCGTTCGTACGGTCACTCCACCGCGATATCCGTCACTATGCGGGAAACGCACAGCACGCTCAGTCGCGACCGAGCCCTCCGGACAGGCAAACCGTGGGCCATGCAACGCAGTCAGAACACGTTTGCATTTGGATACAGCGAACAATAGGGTTCACAATGAAAAATGTATATGAAGAGGGCTCCGTTGGTGCTGTGAAGAGCGCCCAGTGAGACAACGTAGCGCTATTGAAGCCGGAGTTGAAGGTCGGTTTGAATGTAGAGTACGATGGCGGGTACAAACACCTCCGGGTATTGCTGATTGTGTGGCAGCCATCATCTACACAGAGATCCTAGTCCGCGATTACACGAGACTGTCTAGCCACTCGATTCTATAGCCATACTCAGCGTGCTACAAAGCCATCATTGTCCCTGATTACTTTCTCGACTCTAAATCTCAACGCACACCTTTACGACATTGAAGATCTCTCCTTCGCTACACACCAATTCGTGATAATGGAAGTTGGTCCGCGAATCTTTGCTCTGCGCCCTGGAGACCGCCATATCACTAACCTACTTGGCGAGATCGAAGCCCAAGCATGCTGTTTCTCCACTGGAAGGACGCTCTTCTTCGCATATCCGATACCTCTTGACGTTCTCGACTTGCTGAGCCCTGATGAGCTCCGCCAGCTCCACCAGCATCTTCAAGGCATTTTCCACCTGTTTGATGAAGATAAAGTCCGCCATTGGTGGCAGGTTCTTCATCAAATTTTACTTTGTCTACGCGCTTTGGGTTGTAGATTACCGGAAGTGCTTCCGCTGCAACTCATGAAACTCCTTAACATTGTGCTTACCCACCCAAGCAGAAAATCTCCGCAATCCGTTGAATCAATGCAGGCATGCAAGGCCCGCCGCCGCCGGAGGCCCATATGGAGCATATCGTACAGAATCCGGCAATGGATCTCTTCTTCCTCCCAGATGGCCGCAGTCTTGTCCTTCGTGACAAAAGGCAGACGGTTTGTGAAGCCATGGAGGCGCAAAACTTCACCGGCTGATGGATCAAATGGATCGACTGTATCACCAAAGGCATTCCGCTTCTTGTCGACAAGAATAGGGGTGATAGGTGCATAGATTCGAGCCTCAGGACATCCCTGGCATGGTATGTTTGGGAACATTGCGGTACGAGCTACGGGGGTGGCGGATTCGTGCTGCTTAATGAAAATGCGGATTCTGACAGTAATTCAAATGACTCAAGACTGGGGGACCTACTATATCCGCCTGAGACGTCGGAGAAAAGGAACGATTCTCATTTCAAGCATCGGCGTGGAGGAGTCACAGTACCACCGGCAAAACCATCCACGATGTAAAAGCAGCCCGAGAAGCCCGTTGGGCTCAAAAAGCAAGAGTCATTGCATGCTGCTACTAAGAAGCCTAAAGAAAACCTACACGGTAACGATGCCAACCCAACACACTTTCCATCACGAGTCAGTTGCACGCAGACCAATCAAGCATTCGAGGAACTCGAGCATGACACCCACCCAGCGCGGCAAAAAGACGGCAGCCAAGATGATCCTAAGCAAAAACTCGGTGCTAAAAATGGAAAGCGGGCAGTGGCCTTCTTCGATGATGAGCGGCCTTATTTCGTAAGACTTCCGCACAACAAAGTCGAACGTTTTCCGAGCGCGACCACCATTACTCCCGCGTATATAGAAGCTCTGGAAAAAGAGTCGGGTTCCGTATATCACGGAGAATGCTGTAATCACTCCACATGCCATCTCCCTGATCATATGGTTGGATGGAGCCAATACTCGGGTGACTACTTAGTCTGTCCCCGTAGATTCGATCCGGAATTGCATAAGGTCTTGAATCCACGATCGATCAACAGGCTCACTCTTGGAGCCTACAAGCACTTTCAAGAGGCCCATAGAAACGAAGAGTCCGTGCTACTTTACCATCTCCCCACGATTAGAATGTCATCAGTAAACATGGTGGAGATGCCTGTCTCATTGGTCAACTTCGTTGAGACCTTGACAGCTTTCGAGGTTCAGCAGATCTTGATTGGTAAACTCGGCATTGACCGGACTGGCAGTCAAGGTTGGTTTCTTCGCCCAAGGAATGTCTTCATTCCGAAGTACGCTCTATGGACGGACACGTACGTGGCCGCCCCTCGTCGAGTGTCGGGATGCGATGCATTCGAAAAGTCCCCATCGGAAGATACTGGAGAGTTCCTGGGCCGGCTCACGGATTCCGCATACTATGCCTTCTTATGTAGCGAAGTGACTGCCGCGCGTAGTCCTGAGGGATGGTACTTGGCTCTTGTACCGTCCACCGAGCGCCACATATACGGGCTCACACCAGCAATGGACATAGACAGTAAGAGTTTTCGAGGTGTTGCGTATGGCGGCACGTCCGACCTCTCAGTCATAGGCAAGAGCAAGGATGCCGTGCTGGAGGGTGAAAGAGCTGGTAAGTCGGTTCTGTAGCAATTACGTCCCCAATCTGCTCCTATCGAGATTATTTTGGGATGCCAACAAGATGATTTACCCATGTAGTCACGAGCTTTATCGACGCGTACGTTCCATATCTTTGGCCCGAAGAGAATTTCCTACATCGTCCGGCCTTAGAGACCTCAATTCAAATGGATACTACCTTTTCCTTAGATAATAGCGAATTGCAGGCAGTAGACCCTCCGTTCTTTAGAATGGAGTCCAAGAAGCATACTCCACTCAAAGCCTTTATCTCTCATATCGGCCACCGCAATAAAGGTGGTGAGATTTCTCGGGTTCGTTGGTTAGCGAGTTTCGACAATACTGCACCCAATGGAAGAAGTCTGGGAGAAATACCTCGGGTGCGGATGTCAGGTCATTCCAAATTCGCTCCGACAGGACCCAGCACCGCGTACTCAAGGACTATGGATCAGAAGAGAATTGATGAAGAGGTACGAAAAGCCCTTCCGTCTTTGCAAAAGAATCAAATGAGTCAGGTGCATTGTTGTGTTGACTGTGTTGACTGTAGGTGGCCCACCACGAAATTTGGTTCGTCCCGCACAACCAAGAATCCGCAACCTACCGTTGCACGTCACCCAATGGTCATGCGTCGCTCAACGGTGCATCCCATAGGCTTCTCACCGCCTCGCTCGAAGGCGCCCAAGGTCAAGCTGCTCAAGCATTCCCAACCTTTATCCACGTCGCCTCACGACATGCATCGATCTGACATAGTGTGGAATCCGAACAATAGGAGACATGCAGATTCGTCGACGTCGCTGTACCAGGGAGTCGAAGGTGAAGACTGGTTCCATGTTGACTAACAGTGATTGGACTATCTTATCATTGTGCGAGTTTTGGGAATTGTAGTGGAGACAGTTTGTTGGGGCATGTTCTTCACAAGTGGCTGGTTTCTGGGGCAAACTTTGAGCACACGCTGGCTCACTGTCCTGCGAATGACCTTTCTATGAGTTTCTGTTCTCTTTATACGCAAGGCTATGACTTTGAGAATGGCGCAGCAAGATCTCGGGCGCTCATCGACACTGCAGCTCATGGTCATCCATTTTCTGGTCATCTGTTCACATCCAATTTCCTTGTGTAAACTCTAGAATTGTCTGAGCCGTTAAGGGTCTGTATGCACATATAAGCCCACGCTTCCAGCTTCTATGCGCAGTCAATGCGTGTGGACATCGACATAAGCGCTTTCACTCCATCCCTTCTACGTGTATTATGCGATCACAACTTCACAAGGAGAGATCATGAACACACAGAGAGTATCCAAGTCCATCGCGAACTCTCATCACCCGCACATACCAAATCGCAAGCTCAGTCTCTCTTAGCATATCGGAGTGCTCCACGAACGCAATATCAAGCTAATATACATGCGCACCCACGCCCTAGCCCAGATCATTTACATTCCATAGTGTTCTTCGCCTCACTCATGCGCTACCACAATCTCCAGCGCGGCCCAAAGTTCCCTCCTAACCTCGACGTCCTGCCCTTCCGCACATACCAGACTCTAACGCCATAGTACTAGTCCAGATCCACGCCTCCTACGAGGAAATTGAGAGCGTCGTGGCGAGTGAGGTGGGCGCGGAGTTGCCGTTCGGATACTAGTACATCATTCATCCGCTGCAAGAGACACAGCTAAGGGTGCTGAGTACCGAGGTGCTGGAGAAGCTGAGAGATTGGATTGAGGAGAATGGGATGCGTATGAATGCGCATATTCAGGTTGATCCGTTTAGAGAGAGAAGAGGGGAGACGCTAGGAGTTGTGCGAAGGGAGGTGGGGTGGATGAGGAGGGGTGGGCAGTTGTGAGGCTAGGTAGGGAGTTCCTGGAGTACACAAATAGAGCAGAAGCACAAGAAGGTGCGGTGTCGGTGGGTGGATAGCGAGCAGGCTGGCGAGGAATAGGGTATATCAGGCTCTGACACTCCGTTGAACGTCGCCCAGCATGTACCGTAGAAGGCCCAGTTTTCTGGACGAATGAAGAGCTGTCACAATCGAAGAGTCCACATCGAAGAATTGTATCGAAAGGCGCGGATTCGGCTCTGATCTCAACATGTATGGGGAATCATGCTAAGCGAGGCGCGACAGTATGTGTGATCTGTGAGCGCCGGGACGGGCGTCTCTGGGAATAAATACCTGCCCATTTCTCTCCTTCTTGCAGAACCATCCATCACAGCTACCCCACACAATTCTACTGCCAGCAACGCCAGCTTTCCAGCACATCGACTCATCTCAGCTCGCAGCAATCTCCAATACAGTTGACACACATTCAGAAGGTTAGTGACTACCTCTGGCATCCATTATTGATGCCGTTCTGACCCTCCTTGAAGACACCCTTCTCATATCATCACAATGTTTTTCTTCCAGAACAGCATCGACTCCCTCTTCGAGGAGAATGTACCCTCTCCTCTCTACCTCCTCCCAGCGGAAATACGCAACATGATCTGCCACGAGGTCATCTTCGATGGCACCAAGACCCTCACCATCTCGCTCAGCGAGACCGGCAAAATCATCTTGCCTCCGCTCATGGCCGTCTCCAAGCAAATCCACAGCGAAACATACGGCTACATTGTGGCAGCCCTCCGAGATCCTGCCACAATTTTCGAAGCCAAAGTGCGCAACTACGACGCCAAACCCCTCCTCGCTACCATCAAGCGCATCTCTCAACAAACGGGGATTGCGCAGAGCGAGTTAGTGGCACGCACACAAGTCGGCTTCGTTGGGACCGTCGATATGGGTAACCTACTGGTGTGGATCCAGGGTACCATTGCCAACGCCACCGCCCATCCCATCTTTCCCTTCGAGAAGATGGACCTCCCGTCCTTCTCCGGCGAATCCGTCTTCGAGGGCAGGCTCTCTCTGAAGTCCCACCTCATCTCCTACAAGGAGTTTGAGCAGCGCAGAGAGCTCTGCGCGTGGACTGCTTCGGCCCGCGAATTCCTCACGACCCTCGAAGAAGCAAATCTAGGTGTCCTAGGCAGGCCGAAAGGCGAGGACTGGCGGATTGAGAGCAACGCCGCGATCCAAGCGGCTGTCTTCAATACTTTCGCTGAGTGGCACGACATCTTCCTTCAGAAGAAGACGATCCAGGCGAGAGTTCTTGGTCAAAGAGAGAGGAAGCGTGTCGAAGACGAACACGTCTATGTGGCTTCGGCGATGTGGCAGTTTGGTGAAAGTCTGCGGACGGTGGCACAGCGCTGGACGCAATGAGAAATCTCTTCGTTCTCACCTGTGCTCTCCACGACATTTCGGCTTCGACAAGTCAAATTGGCACTCCTTCGCTGAACGGTGGTGGCTGAAACCGTTGAGCGATGCTCCGGGCCTGAAGTCGTATCCTGAGGCAAGGAGGTAAGTCCAGCGACATGGCCACTCTCCGAAAGTTACTTTGAGTCACAGCCCGACCTATTATCACCAGAGGTCCTGCCACAACCTCTTGCCACGAGCTACAAGCCCGGCACACACACGCCACAAGTGCATTCCCGACTCATTACAGAAACCCTGACACAATCTCTTGTCGCGAACTACAAAGTGCGGCATAACACTCATCAAGTCGACTCACGACCTATCATCAGAGGTCCTGCCACAGCCTCAGAGGTCCGCGACATCACCACACCAAAGCAATTTCGTCTTCGCCGTACGGTGGTGACTGAAGCTCGTTGAGCATGCTCCGAGTCTGAAGTCGTATCCTGAGGCAAGGCGTTGAGTTGCTCTTCACGACAATCATCTTGTCAACAACCCCTCAATGCTATCATCTCCTCGACACAAGCTGGGGTTCTTTTAGTCAGGGACGACTCCCTGTCACGCAGGTTCGGTGGATGGGTTCGGTGGATGGGTTCGGTAGATTGATGAATCAAACCGGTGGAAGAGTGGTGGGCAGGCTTGAAGATGAGGGAGAGAGCTAGTGGTCATGGGCCACGGCCTGGAGGTGGACTAAGCAGCTCGACAGCAAATGTCATACATATCGCCATGTCTATCTTCTTACTATGTGATGAATTGAATTCTTCTTAGCACGTGAATCCTCTCACAGTAGACTCGGCGCATGAACCAAGAGCATGCCGTGGAAGCTCTCTTCGCATTGACATCGGGCGACCCTGCGGTCTTGAATTCAACTGCACTTGTCGTCTACACTTCCATGGCTCAGCTGGACCAGATTTCGTTGGGTGATGGGCAATGTTGCACTGCAGCATGTCGAATGCACCTGGGCATCCGGGACAACATGTGATCTCCGGAGGTGAGCATCTCTATGATGATATGCGCCGGAGGACCGCTCCGAGACCTTCGCGAAGAGTGTGTCCGCTGCATCTGCTCACACAGAGAGCGCTCTGTGGACTAATGTAAAGTGATGCGCGTGCCTGCGCAAACACTCACTCAGCAATTTTTGGCTCAGGGGGAATCAAGCGGAAGGACCGCTTGTAAAGTCACGTGACAATGTGGAAGAGGAAGGCGCGCGGCCAGCGTGTTGGATACGCAGCAGCTGTGATTGGACCATTGCACCCACGCACCGACTTTCTCATTTTCAATGCAACATTTCGCAACCGTGTCCCGCCCTGTGACGTGCGACAACGACTGGCACATGTTGATGCTGTATCGAACCGGGTAGCGACCTCAAAGAAAGGGTTGCATTGCGACGCAGGTTCGACTAACGGCCGTATGTATCCCCACGACAACCGTGTCTCCGACCCGCGGCATTACGACAACTCGGGGACCCGCGTACATAGTATCCATCCAGCTGTGGTGATGAATCGGCCTCCTTCGTTTACCCTCCGTTCGATTGGCATTCCGCACGGCTGATCAAACTCTGCGAAGTGGACCACGGCGGTGCATCAGACAATGTCAGCACGGCCAGCGCATCTGTGCAACTGGAGCGTACCGCCCTCGCGCAAGACGAAACTGCCGCTCCCACGACTTCCACGCCGTCGCACTGATGGGCGGCGCCCTGATCTTCTATGCCCGTCAGATCGTTAACCTCAAACACGCTCCGCCCGCACATGTCACTACAGGCCCAGAATTCGACGCAATCCTAGCGCGGGGTTCGACAGCGAGCGCATTGGGCGATGCTGCAGGCCCTAGGGGTGTGCCGCGGATGTTAATTTGGAGGCGTTTGAACGAGCCAAGCAGCAGCGATCCCCAATCGAGGAATCCCTGTTTTCGCTCCCCGATGCCCAATCCGGCTATGCAAGCGACGTCAAGATTCCGCAACCTTTCCGCATTCCGCTAGAGGGACAGCCGGCTGGATTCTTTTGACCCTGAACGGCGAATCGGTGGCGCCATAATGCGCGGGCTGCTGAGCTGAAAGGCGTGAACCGTTCGGTGCCATGTCATGCCACCATACACTCTGATGATCTGTTTGAACTTCTTGACGTGCACATGGGTTGTGTGGTTGGAGGTTCGAAAGCTGGGAGTGATCAGCCCGGAAACTTGGCGAAAGAAGCAAACGACGCCATATTGCGACAAGCGACGAGCTATTTGTAGAAGATGGGGAGCACCAGCAGGGGTCCGAGAGGCGTGGTGGCAACGTGCGCACGGCTGCAAGCATCGCTCCGGTCGCTGCTCGCGGGTCGCCAGCCAACGCTATTACCGCATATAATAAAGGGGCACGGCCAGCCTTACAGAACTCGGCTGTGCAGAAGTGCTGCCTAAATCAGGACATGCCCCTGCTCAGCCTTTGTCCGACCACTTAATTCTTGTTTCCCTAGTCTGCAATTCCGTTGATCTCCCACTCTCGTGGTCGCCCGAGAGGAGCCAACGACTGCCACTCATTCCCACACATCGCCCACCATGTTGCTACGGCAAGTGCACTTCACGGCCATCACCGTGGTCTGCATCCCAATCATCTTCGCCGTCTTTGTCTTTGTATCGTATTTCCACGATGGTACACTCAATGTGCTCCCGTCGCATCTGTCCTTAAGGCCCAACCACGACGACTTGAAGCCACCCGCGCAGAACGCTGCCACACACTCAACATCAGCACCACAAGTAGCAGCGACTGGAAAATCTCACTCCAACATTGAGAACGAAGAAGCGCCGCCGGTTATCAACACGCCTGCTGTCGACCAAAAGGTGTTCCCAGAAAATGAATGGCTTCCGGCACGACCGATCGATCCGTCTTGCGCCCACCTTCCTGATCTTTCAAAGGTCCTCCTCATCATCAAGACGGGTGCTAGCGAGACCTTCGACCGCCTGCCTACTCAGTTCATGACCATGACCCGCTGCTTACCCGATTTCCTCATCTTCTCCGACATGGAAGAGTCCATTATGGGTTACCGTGTCTACGACATCCTTAGCGATACGCTTGACGAAGTCAAGCACGACAACGGCGACTTCAACCTGTGGCGACGCCAGCAAGAATGTCTTGTCGACCAAAAGAGCTGCCAGAAATGGAGCAACGTTGGCGGCGAGGCGTGGAACCTGGACAAGTACAAGAACGTGCGCCAGTCAGACGTGTCCTACACCATGCGCCCGAACTACGACTGGTACATCCACATCGACGCCGACACATACATCCACTGGCCGAACATGATCGAGATGCTGAAGCCGTTCGATCCTCTGAAGGACCACTTCTTTGGCAGCTTCGAGCCTTCGCAGTACGGTGACTTCAACCACGGCGGCAGCGGCTACATTCTGTCGCAATCGGCCATGAAGAAATTCCATGCCAACTCGAGCGTGGAGCATTTTGATCATGCGGCAAGAAGCATTTGCTGCGGCGACATGCTGATGACAATTGCTGTAAAGGAGAACATTGGTCTCAAAAACACAAACATGGTAAGCGAGAATGACAGTCGCATCCCAAGTTCGTGAAACTAATTTGCAACGCAGTTCCCTACCATAAACGGCCGCAAACCCTTCACGCTCCCCTTCGGTCCTCGCCAATGGTGCCAGCCCATCGCTACGCTACACAAGCTTAACAGCGAAGAGGTCGCCTCGATCTGGCAATACGAGCAAAAACGTTTCGCGAACGCCACCGACGGCAAGCCCACCCCGCTCCTCATCAAGGACCTCTACTACGAATACTTCGCGCCACGACTCGTGGAGAAGCTCGAGGACTGGGACAACATGTATGACGACTACCTCAACAACGTTTGGTACTACATCGACAAGGACGATAAGTCCAAGGACTGGGACAACTTCCACGACCAGAAGTACATCTGGCACATGCGCAAGCCCGAGGACTTCAAGCACGACGAGGAGAAGAATGCATACAAGTCGTTCGACAACTGCAAGAAGGCGTGCGACGTCGTCGACGACTGCCTGCAGTTCCGCTGGCAGGATGACGCGTGCGTCATGTCCAAAAACTTCCGCCTGGGCAACCCGATGGAGAAGAAAGAGAACAAGAAGGAGCGGTGGATGAGCGGGTGGGCCGTCCAGAAGATCGAGAAGTGGATCGCCGACCAGGGCGAGTGCAAGGTGCAGTTTCCTGGCGCGTAAGCCATATGCTACGGACGACGATACCATACCGTACCATACCATTGTGTTGCACTTTTCGGCGAGCGATGATTGTCCTGCGAGTGGGATGGGACTGCGCGAGATGGCATCTAGGAGGAGCGTCTGCGCTTTGGATTGTATCTTTACTAATTACCTACCCGGCTAGGTGTACATTAGCCATTCATGGAGCGTTCTTGTTTGTATAGGGTCGGTTTTGCACGGTATAGATGGTGTTGTCTGTGTGGAGATTTACGAGAATCATTGGAACAAAAACAAACAAAAAGTCACATCCACCTACGCTCCCTGGTCAACTACTGACAGTGGTCAACCTTTGTTTGCACCGCAAAATCACCCGTCTTCTACGCGTTGTGCAACGAGCACACACCGCGGTGAACGAGCATGGACCAGACGTCCACTTAACCTCACTCCCAAGCTTCCACTAACGCGCCTCCACACGCCATGGTCATCGCAGAACACCCGCTTGGCGATCACCCGCGCGAGCGTGTGCATAGGCTCCCGCAAGGGGTACGCGCGTCGGTTGGTGAGGGGTGAACTGGTACGCGCGTCGGGACCCACGGGGAGATGTTGGAGCTCGAACGACCCACGAAGCACGAGCAAGCAGCGCGCAGAAGTCTGCCCGTCTCTCAAAATGTGCGTCGAGCACGGGCACCCAGGGTCATAAGCATATCTTGTGGTGGTCGCGGCTGTGAAAAATGTGGGCGATCCGTGGACCATAGGCGTTGATGTCGACTGGGGCGATGTCGCTGTTTGATCGCGAGAGCGGGAACCCGCGAGGAGCTGGGGTTGGCTGCTTAGATCTATTCCGCATCAGTGCTTCATCGGATGGACGGATCACTAAGGTCTTCCAGCGGTGCGGTTCGCCAAGAAGGGGATGCCGAGTTTCCGTGAGTCCATGATTAATGCAGTGAAATGTGCCAGTGACGGGCAACTATGATCAATGTAGCAGAGAGTATCCGACATGGGATCTGGATGAGATAGTGGCAGATTGCGCATGTGAGATATTCGGGATGTGGCCTTGCGGTGTCCGTAGAGCGCTGAGGCATGTCTCGGGTGGTGCTCATCATTCCGGTTGGGGGTCATCTATGCTCAACGCAAGAAAGTTGTGGTACCTTCGCAAATTCTGTCATCGCAAGCTTCTATGCTGTAACGAAGGCCATGCATGGAGTGCGACCTTACACATGCTCCATGTACTGGATCATTGAAAGACAGCGAGGCAGTAGGCGATGACATACCCTTTGCAGGCCGTCTGGCTCACGAAGTGAGACAAGACTGGAGTGAGCATTCGAGCATCTGATCCATTGCTAACCGTGAATGCGTGTACTGGCGTCAGGGTCTGTAATGATGCGGCGGACGAGACTACGTACGGCAACGGATGATGCACGAATAACACTTTGGGAGCATCGCCTGCCAACGCTTTTAGATAAGCTAGATGAGTCGTATGCGCAAAAATTCTTAGCCAGTCCCTGCGAAACCATGGATGAAGAGGCCTCTAAAGCAGCCTAATGATGGCACAGTCAGTCTTCACCTCACGGGCAATGTCATCGCCAGGAAAGGCTGAGGTGGTACTTCTGATAACGACGTTAAGTAATGACCCCTAAGGACTACTCGATTCATGCTCAAGCCACACAGAGTATAGCAACCCCCCACCCACCAAGAAAGAAGAAGATTCGTTAACCCGTGAGACCACGCGCCTGGGCTCCAAGCGAAGAGTATCAGGTTAGTGATGCACATAAACTATAACCAGAATCCAACACTCCAAACACGCTGACCGACCACAATACAAAGACATTACCATGATGGACAGACGGACACCGCCAAATGCTCAATCCGAGTCCGTCCCATCGTTAGCCCAAAACGCAGTTTGCTCCATGAATGCAACCTTAGCAAGTCCGCGCCGCCGTTTGACTTCCTCCTTCTCCATTTTGTCCACTCAGAATTGATCTCAAGCTCGCTCGTTCGCCCTTTGCTGCTTGGTGCCGGTGGTTTTCTCTTTGTCCACCTTTTCTCGTAGTGGGATTTTGCGTGCCTGTACGACCAGGGCTACAGTGACCTTTGGAAGGAAGGGGAGCACAAGCAGAAGAACCGAGGACCTATCCATTCCTCAGGTTCGCGATTCGGTCCCTGCCGTTCGGCAGCGGACTCGCTGCTCTGCTTCCAGGGCGCGGTGTGCGGGCGCCGGCGCCGACACTAGCGGCACGCGTGCCTCCACCAACGCCTCGCGTCATCTTGAAGCGATCCAGTTCTGTCGCCTGCGTCTTGTTCTTTTCAGCCTGGACGCGGAGCTGTTTCTTGAGGTTGTCACGATCGGCGGTTACAAGGGCGAGGGCCTGATCGTGTTGACGCTTCTGCTGCTCGTTGAACTTTGGGAGGAGGAGGGCCTTTGCTTTCGCGGCACGTTCAAGCTTTGCGTTGGCCTTCGAGAGTTCATCGGCCCTTTGGGTTGCGGCCTCTGCCGCGTCTTGCGCCTTACGTCGCTGGTCGTTCACGTATTCCAGGGTGGTTTCGGTGGATTTCTTGGATGTGATGGCGTCCTCTTTCGCCTTCCTCTCTTTAGCCAGATCGTCCTTCAAACGCTCGATTTCGCCACTCTGCTTGGCGATTGTTCGAACTTTGGCGTCTTCGGAGAGGAGATTGACGTCCCGTAACTCCTCGACGTTCTTCATCTGCTCAACGCTATCTAGGGTCCTGGTATTGAGTTGCTCGCGGAGTTTATCTTCTCGTTCCTTGCCCATGTCACGCTGATTTTCGGCACGCTCCGCTCTAGTCTCTATCGCTTTGTACTTGCGGCTCATTTCTTCGTACTGCCATTGACGGTTGATATAACTTTGAGTGACTTCACGCAAGCGTTTGTTCTCTTGTTTGTACCACTCCAGCTGCTGCTCAATGGAGAGTGAGGTTGCAGGTTCGGAGTCACTGATATGACTGGTACTCGCTTGTGGCTGTGGTTGAGGTGTGAATCGCATCCTCTTCGCAGGATCTTCCCGGTCATTGTTCTGAATTAGAGGCCGTTTATTGGCTGCGTGTGAACCAGGCAAAGAAACTGTCGTGCCAAGTGCGTCCTGGGACTGCTGGGATAGCTGAGATTGGTACTCGATGTCATTTTTGATAGTCCCAAGAGTGGGAAGTGGCCACTCAGACAGCGCTGACTCATCCTGATCAGGAAGGATAAATTTGACGATATCGTCTGCCTTCGTCTTTACATCCATATCGTCTACCTTCGTCTTGATATGCGGCGCTGGCGGACTACTATCGGCGACGCAGCCCACGCTGCCCTGGGTTACGAACTGTGATAAGGTTGTTATGATTGTGACCAACCTCCGCTTTGGATCGAGCTTCGGAGACAGATACCGATCAATGTGGCCGACTGTTCTAGGTATTACCATCTGGAGGAGCGGGACACCAGAGCGGTCAGGTTTGAGGGCCCATGGCTTCTTGCGGATTGTCGTGACATTTGGTTTGCCATCGAGGCACACAATTAGATGAGCCTCACGTAGAACACGGGAATCAGTGCTTGCGAGTATTGTGACCTTCAACCGCTTGCTCTCTTTGTTAGGCTCGTTCAGTGCACTAAACGACTGTCCAGTACTTGGAGATTGGAAGGTGAATTTGATGCCTCGCATGAACGATTCCACTAGACCAAACAGCCGGGTATTGTTCTGGTCATCAATCAACACGATGACGTGCAGATCTCGTGCTTCCAACCTCGATAAGAGTTCGCCAAGAAACCTGAACTTAATGGAGTTGAGTTTACTCCAAGCGGCGAAGTGGTCGTCTTGTACCTGTTGGACATCATGCGGCTGCGGTGTCGAGTTCGCAATCCGCACAAGATCAATGTGCGTTTCAAGGGAACGCAGCTCGTTCAGTCTTTCATCGATCTTGATTTGAATGTCTTGACGGTCATGAGCATAAGACATATAAAGACCATCAAGTCCTGCGCTGCTTCTCCGATAAGCGTCCGCTTGCCGGCCTTGAAAGGGAAGTGGGACGATGTATTCATTATCCTGCAATTCAACGTCATCAATCAAGAGACTCTCATCCTCTTCATTATCGCTGTATGAAGCCTCGCCCATATCGACATCTTCTGGGACAGATGAGGACGCAACCTCAAGCTCGGCTGTGGTTTCTTCCTGGTTCTGAGCCACTGGCGGCACATGCGCGGGGATCGAAGTAGCCACAGCTCTCAAGGGGGTCGGTTCTTGGGGGACAGGGAGACGATCAGGAATTGTGGATGGTGACCGTGTGCCAGTCTCAGGCGCTGTCAGTCGATCGAGATCGCGTATCTTTTCCACGGCTTCTGATTGCGCTCGTGAACCTGATTCCCGCGATTTACTCTCCCGCGTCTCGAATTTACGGGTTTCGTGCCTCCGGGATGCCTTGTCATCTTGATCGGGTGTAGTGTGTAATTTGGCGCGTGAAGCTTGGAACCTGGCCTTAAATGACTGTGGTGTCGACGTCGGCTCAGGCCCTGGACCGGTACCTACACCACTGCTGCCAATAGGAGACTCATTTGCGAGTGGGTCTCCCGGAGCTGAAGAAAGTCCCGGAGTCGCCGGTGGGACATCCCTCCGGGGTGAGGCAGAGTGTTCATTAGTGTTCATGACGGTGTTGAGGAATGAATCGGTAAGCCTTTCCGGCCGTCTGGGCACGTTGCCGCTTGAGTGCGAAGTTCCTAATGACTGTTTCGGTGGCTGAGGGACTGGTGATGAGTCCTCGCAGGACTGACTTGGAGACTCTTGAGAAGAGTCGTGGCGCGAAAGACGATCGACAGTGTCACTATACCGCTCAGGGATTGTTTCGCCAGCCCTTGTATCTTGTTGCTGAATTTCCAACACAGGATCGTAAGGGAGAGACTGTCCCTGTTGCCTCTGAGCTGGAGGTTGTGAAGGACGCGCGAGATGCGAATGATCGCCGTTAGCGCGAGTAGCCTTGGCAATGTCTTGGCGTTCACTGGGAGTTTGGCAGTTGTTGATGGCTTGGGCTATCAGAGCAACGGTATCGCGGAACGTGCTTCGGCTGGCTGGGTGGAGCTCCGGAAAAGAGTCGGTCCGTGGGAAGGACAATGACTGGTGAGCGTGAACCTCTTTCGAAGAGTCTTCTAATTGCCCTTCTGAACGCGTTCGGACCTGGTTCGCCCCCAACTCCCTGGACTGTGACTGTCCTTCCTGTGCCTGAGGGTGCGATGAAGTGTAGATACTTGAGTCAAGGAGTGTAGTCTGCTCGTCGCTTTCGGGTTGATACTGTTGCCGGCCACACTGTTGCGAGGGTGTTTGCACCGTCTGGGTTGTGGATGGAATCTCGCGGGGCAGCGAGTATTCCAATGGGCTTTGAGGCGCTTGCTGGAGCCCACTTGGTCTTGAAGCCTGCGAGCCCTGAAGGGAGATCTCTTCTATGGAGCTTCGATGAACACTCTGCGACCGTTTTTGTGTCAAAGGCTCGATTTCTTGTGCGATGCTTTGTGGCACGTCCTGTAGTGCTACGTCGATAGATTCTACGGCCTGCTCGAGCACCTGGATAGACCCTTCACGTTCCTGGACCGACGGAGTACTTTGGTGCAAGGTCCGTAAATGTTCCTCCAGGTCAGACCAAGCTTGCGAGGTCGACTCTTTTGCGAGGCCCTGGGATACGTCTACAGGTCCTTCCTGAGGTTGCTGGGTCCTGTGGCCCGACGATTTTTCGACAGTAGATAGAGTGCGCCCAGTCTCGAAAGTATCGGGTATCTCTCGAATGCTGGCTTCGTGTAATTGGGCGTCCGATACGTGTTCAAGAACGGTCTCCTCAACAATTCTTTGCGCCGCAGGTGACGATTCAATTTCGGGTTCTGTTTCGGGTATCGAGAATGAGAGCGAAACAGGCGAAGCTACCGGCGAGGTATCGATAGTTGTAGACTAAGCTTTGGTTAGCGAACAAGAAACGCATGATGTGAAACGCTCTACCCGTACCTCGTGCCTGAATTGACCGTTGTTGTTCGACTGGCTCGATGCGGATTGAGATAGGGTTTGAGTTGCAGAACGAAAGCTAGCCGACGGGTCGTCAATCTCGTCTTCCGGCTCTGATTCTGAATCAGGAACCTCGCCCGTAACCCTGAAGCTTGAGGAGGAGCTTGACTGTGATGAAATGAAGCTTCGAAATTGTGTGCGCGCTGGCGAACCTTGCGTCGATTCAACTTGGGAGAAATATTTGTAGTGCTGGAGGCTCGAGGGATTATGCAGCGTTGGTTCGACGTGTGGTGAAGGCGCGCGGGCAGCGAGAGTGGGATGCGCGGAGCTTCGACTGTTGCGCTTGGACCTACGTAGCTCTTGCTGGCTGGGATCGGAAGGCGCACGAGTTGACAGTACCGAAGGTGAAGTTGTGGAATTCGAGCTTGCGACTGCGCGCCGCGATGTAGGCTTGGGCTTCTTGGATGGCTTCGCCGTGGGATCTTTCGGCGGTCGGCCGCGCTTTCGGGTTCCGCTTGTGGTTGCTGGTTTCTGTGCAATCTTTCCCTCCTTCTCCTTCAACTGTGCAGCCGTGTCTGTACCTGTACCAGACTCTCGTTCGGTAATGATAGCTCTGCTCTTTGCGCGCAGCGGCTTGTCACTCTGATTGTTATCACTCGTTCTCTTGCGCTTCTTAGAGGCCATCACGCGATTGAAGCGCGAAAGATGTGGCTACGGCTGTATGGACTGTCCATGATTAGAGTAGTCATCAAACAGGTGGTGTTGAACATGGAGGGTCAAGGAAGACGACGCGACGCGCGGGACACTTACGTCGTGGCCAATCACAGGCCAAGTACTTCCGAATCGCTAGGCGTGGTAATGGTGCACTTCGATAGTGGTAACAAGAAGGCACCCAAAACGAAAGCAGCAGCGAGAAAGTAGGGTGTGATATTGATCGTACTGATTATGTTTGATGGCTGCTTTCCAAAAGCTGACAGTTGAAGAACAGAAGATGGTTGCGAATTTTGCCTTCGGAGGCGGGGGAGTAGAGAAGGTAGGTGTCTCACCTGTGGACGACCAAAGTCATTAGAACAATAGAACATGATCGTATTATTGTTTCCTCAGGAGTGAGTGAGAGTGGACGGTGACCGACTGAAAGCAAATCATGTACCACAAACGAGAGTGAATGGCACTTAGATCACACGAAAGTCAGTCACTGACGTGTCGGCAGTTCGCATCTTGGTACTTTTCATATATTTGTTTCAACCTTAGGAGCGGCCTTTTAGGTAATCATCCTTCCCTCTACTACATGATCCGCAATATTCCAGGAAACATCTGCCAAGTCATCAATATCTGCCCTGACCACGCGCTTGACCCTGAAATCCGCCGCGGAATCCACCTCTTTGTCCACCTTGGAAGCCTCCTCGTGGGTTCCCCTGCGTCTGCCCTGCATATCCGCCGCGATTGGCGTGATATGGTGGAGTGTTGAGTCCAAACTGATACGCGTTGTTCTGGAAGTCTCCGGCATTCGGAGGTGCACCATGAAATGGACCCTGAAAGTTTGGCGGAGGTGGAGGCGGTGGTGGGCCACCTGCACCATGAAAGTGCTGAGGCGGTGGCGGCGGTGGCGGAAAGCCTTGCATCGGATATCCGGGAAATTGTCCAGGAGGCGGTGGCGGTGGGGGTGGTGGCACAAACCCAGCAGCATGATGTGGTGGCGGCGGCGGCGGAGGAGGAGGAAACACCTGTTGAGGCATAGACATGTTAGGATACGCATTTGGCGCGTTGGAGCCGCGAGGCTGTGCAGCTGGTGCAGACCTGTTAGGCATAGGGTCGGGAAAGCCGCTCTGGTTGTCATTCCAACGCGATTGCCTGTCATGCGGACGCTTGCGATTATGGTTGTCTTGCGAAGGCCGTCCTCTATCTTCGAACCGGCTGGGACGGCCATTCGACTTCCTGCCATCGTCTCGGGAAGAAGGCTGGCGGCGGCCACTGGACTGTGGTCGATCGTCATGATCGTGTTTATCGCGTGAGCTAGAGCCCGAACGCGAGCGTGTGCGGGACCGGGAACGGGAGCGCGACTCGGAGCTGTAAGAAAATCGACGCCGCGGCGATCGCAAATCGGGTCCGTAACCATGCACATCAGATCTCCAACGGCTCTCACGGAGCTCCCGCGCAGATTTCTCTGAGTATTCCTCTCTGAGCTCCGTGACCCTGTCAGGAATGCCATTGGCTTGCATCTGCTGGCAGAACTGGGTCGACCATCCGTAGCCGTTGCAGACGGTTACTACTTCGCCCGTCTCCTTATTCTGCTTTACTAGTTGACCCATGGAATCGAGCCATAACTTGTACTTCTTCGTCTCGCCGGTCGGATTGTCTGCTGTCGGTACGTAGTGCAGGTCGATGTTTTCGAAGTAATTGTCGAGCAGCTTGCGCGTGCGTTCTGAAGGTTGTTTTTGGTCGAATCGAGTCGCGTTGATCGCATTCGTGGGTATCGGACGATCCGGATTCTTTAAGAGAGGCTCGACCATATGAGATGCAGATAGCTCGTGCCATGGGACGCTCCGGTCACCAAACCAGTCAGGCAGCGCATGTGTCCTCTTCAACTGGGGTGTAGCACCCTGCGCTACCGCGACTCCTTCGTCTACTCGCTCGCGAATAGACTCGAAGTCCCCAGCACTGATGCAGGCAGTGGCGGCCAAAGAGTTGAAGACGGCTTTCAACTTATGTCCAGCCAGCGAGTTCTTTCCGGGCACAGCGAGTGCCGCAAGCTCTGCGAGCTTCTCAATGTATGGTATTAGATGGACGGCAATAGCTCCCGATGTTGCGCCATTGTTGCGGTGGAACTTGTCCGCGTGCAAGACATCACTGATGACGAGGAGCACAGCGAGGCGACAGCGGGCGGCCTTGGCCGATTTGGCGGGCTGTTCAACGACAATAGACTTGGAGACGGCCACCAAGTATTCACCCAGCAGTGCAATGCGGGGTCTTGAAGAAGCTATGTGTTCGGCTATCCACTTCTTGCAAGTCTACGTTCGCGATTAGTCTGCTCCAGACTGGGTAGCTCGATGCCGTTTTGATAGATACCTGGACGTTGTCCGTCGTGTTCCGCTGGAGAACCGCGTCGATATGGTTGCAGAAGCTTGTGCTGGACTCGAGGGAGACGGGAGAGAGCTGCCACGAGCTGTCTTCGCGCTTGAGAGCTTGCTTGAACTTGAGCTGCGCTATTCGCAGGCCCGTCTCGGCGCGCTTGAGCTCGTCGCTATTCGCCATTGCGCCTGCTGCCATCAGCGGGGCCCCGAGTGTAGTTGAGAGCGCGGCGGAGTTGGGAAAGGTGTGGAGCAGGTCTGTCGCGTTGCTGCATTTCCAGTTCACGCGGCACTGCCGCCGTGGCTGTCGATCCGTGCTTCCACGCTACTCCGCTTTATCGATAGCGCGCCGCCATCACCTTGCCCCACGCCGGCGTCAAAGCTCCGTAACCATGTCCACCAACGAAGCCATCCAGGATGAGATTATTTCCATAAACTCCATATTCGAGGAGGACACGCTGGTCGGCCTGGATGACGACTCGACGCTCTTCAGTCTACGACTCCCCTCGCTACGAGACATCACATTAAGGCTCGAGTTTCCGCAGGACTATCCGGATACACCTCCCTCGATCCTAGGCACGGAAAGCGTTGGCCAAGATGTTCCTAAGGGCATGGGAAACAAGGTTGTCCATATGGCACGGGATGTGCTGGCGCGGGTCTACGACCCCGGTGAGGCCTGCATCTACGACCTTCTTGAGGAGGTACGCGACGCCATCGAAAAGGCAGAAGAGGATGGAAGCATTCAGCGAGACAGGCAAGACGAACCCGAGCCCCCGCCAGAAGCACCACAGGATCTTACCCAAGACCTAGGGCCTGAACCGCCCTGGATTATCGCCCCTCAGATCACAGAGAAGAAGTCTGTTTTCCTCGCCCGCGTGGCGCCAGTGTCCTCGCCCGACCAGGCAAAGCAGTATGTTGCGCATCTATTGGCAACCGACAAGAAGGCCGCAAAAGCTACCCACAACATGACCGCCTGGCGGATAAAAGGACCAAACGAAACCAGCTACCAGGACTGTGACGATGATGGTGAGACAGCCGCTGGTGGGAGGATGCTGCACCTCATGCAGTTGATGGACGTGTGGAACGTCATGGTAGTCGTGACCAGATGGTATGGCGGAATCCAGTTGGGACCGGATCGATTTCGCATCATCAATACAGCGTCCCGCGAGGCGTTGGTGCTAGGCGGGTTCGCCAGAGACACCAAAGAAGAGAACAAGAAGAAGGGCAAGAAGTAGAGCATCAATTACATTACGATTGCATGGTGGCACTGTTGTATACCACGTACAAAGGCATGGCTCTACATTGCACATCACCCTCAAGGTCTGATAACCTCGACAAATTCACCTCATCTATCCATGACTCTCCCAGAATCCAGCTGCGCCCTCGAGGTCATCAACGTTAATGAAATCAGCTCCCTCATTATACAATGTCCTCCAAACCGCATTCCTCGTCCCAATGGGGAAACCTGGCTGATTCCAGTATCGCGCCTTGATCCCCTTGTCATGGGCCACCTTCAGCTGCTCACGCAGAGTCTCCAGCTGCGTATCATTGAAGCTCTCCGTGCGGACTTCCCCAAAACTTGCCTCAAAATTCGTACTAGCAATCGGAGAGTCATTCGCCGTGATGTTCGAGAATGCGCCACCCAACTGGGCCAACGGTGCGTCGTAGAAAGCATCGCGCGGGACGGCAGACTGCACAAGCCAGATCGGCGTGTTGCCGGTTCCAATCACAGTGATGGGTTTGGAAGTAAATCCCGTTCCGTTATAAGTGGAGAGATAGCCTGCTTTTCGCAGGGGTTCGAGCGCAGATAGAACCGCCGGCCAGGTCTCCGGACCGGAAGTCTTAAGATCGATGAAGAAATACAGAGTCTGCGCACTTGAGGTGTCGTAGACGCCATTGAATGTCTTTTCGGTGGAGAACTCTGTCACGGGATTTTGGCGATGCAAGGTGTCAAGGATCGGATTGATGTAGAGGGACTCCAGCGTTCGCTCCTTGCTGAGAGCCTGGCGTTCATGGCCGACATAAAGGGTGCCGTTGATCAGCCAGACGTCTGCTTCGGTTGAGATTGCGCCGTATGATAGACCAGAGTAGAAAGGTACATCCCTCCAGTAATCGTTATGGCTGTGGAACGGTTTCTGGAGGAGTAAGTTGACGCCATTACTTCTCAAAATCGGCAGAACATACCGGCAGGATTCCCCGTGTGAAGTCAGTAGGGTAAGTGTACTTGTTGGTCTGTTCAGTATTCTTAAGGATGTTTTGGAGCGTGCTCGATGATGCAAGCGCAAGCCCTGCAAAGGGAAGAGCGAAGGCGGAGCGCATCGTGACAAGATAGGAACACTGAACTATTTCGTACCAAGAACAGCAACCTCGATTTGGTGCTTAGGTGCAGCTTTATATTTCCCAAGAGATCATAACGGCGTCCAGCAACCGGGCACGGCACGAGGGTGGAGAAGGTCAACGCAGGCGCCGCAAACATCCTAGCCAATCATCAGTGCCCGTGCACCATCGACACGAGGCTCCGCGAAGCTTGAGTGCGCCCGAAATCACCTTGCATACATACTACTACTACCAATTCGTCATCTAGGCTACGGCCGATATTTGACGTTGAGAGACTGCACGAGGTCTCCTCCCCGGCGCCCCTTTGATCCCTTGCTCGATATTCACGCAAACGTCGCACAGTCAAAGTGGAGTCAGTCACGTGCGCATACCAGTACATGCAGATTCACTTTTCATGCCTGCACCACTTTTGCACCATCAACGTGCGCGATGTCGCGACTAAGCACGTCCGTGGCTCGCCCCAAAGCGCTCTGGGCCAACAAATGTCGACCGCGTATGTACGTACAGTTCAGCCGATAGCCTCCCCGGGGAAAGAAAAAGCCATGCGCGACCACTGCCTCTTTGAGGTTGATCACCCTTAGCCATTGTGGCGGCGCGCGGCGTGTCAATATTTGCGATACAGATATCCAAAGCAGCGACAGATAGACGCGCGGTACGACTCGGGCATCGTTATTGTCTATGTCTGGTGTCGTTCTGCCTCCCTGCATATCACTCAGTGCTGCTTTTGGGAAGGCGTATTGCAATAATTACTCTTCTCTTCGCTGGTTCTGCATTTCGAGGTCGTTCTTGTGTTCTGACCCACCACGCATTATAGCAACACGTGACGAGAGTACATGGTAGAGCCTTTCCAGCTTATTTGACAATTGGCAGTAGCTACAATAATCATTGGCGCTTTTGCAATCGAGCTCCCTAATCTTCTCCATGTCCATGCTCGTAGGGAAAAGCTACGTCTGCAGAATCACATAATACGCCGCTCTCATCCACAGGGCGTCCTTAGCCCTCGACTTTGATGGCATCGTCGTGAACATGACCCCAAGGATGATCGGTTCGCATGCAAAGACAGCACGCATACTTTCTCGGTTGTGAAGCCTTTGAAAGAGCTAGACGTAAAGTTCAAAAGAATGGAGGGTTTGGAGAACATGCACTGGACACGGCAGGCCTAGTCAACATGGAGCCCGATGAATCGATTGCGCATACTTTGTTTGTCGCACGACAAACCTACGATGCGGACGCATCTTTCTGGGACGGTTGTTCACTTTCATAGTTACCAAGGTCTATATCAATGCGCGGGCCTTGCGACATCCCCATCGCGCTTTTGGATCGTAACATCCCGTTCAATGATAACAGTTGCAAGAGGCTTCTTTTGTTTGTCAAGACTTCGTTCTGGTGCAGACGCGGCGTTGAAAGGCTAATAGCAAACCGGTCGGTCGACCTGAAACGTGCAATGTAGGGAAACAACCTCACATTGCGAGTCGCTCATTGCAGCAACATCATAGGTGGCGCGATATCTTGCCACGTTGACCACAGTCATTCTCAACCTCTCACGAAATGGCAACTTCAGAACCCCAATTCCACTATTGGCGAACCCTGCTCTGGAGTCAGTGGTGCTTCACGCCGCCCTACCCGGAAACGCAATGGACTGGCAAGATTGTAATCGTCACAGGTGCGAACATTGGACTCGGACGAGAAGCAGCACGCCACTTCGCACGCCTCGGCGCTGAAAAAGTCATTATCGCAGCGCGGAACCTGGACGCCGCGCAAAAGGCGAAAGCATCCATCGAAACCTCCACCAAGTGCGGGCCGAGTGTGATAGAATGCTGGCCTCTGGACCTATGTTCCTACGACTCCGTGAAAGCCTTCGCGACACGCTGTAACACTTTACCCCGACTGGACTGCCTCCTCGAGAACGCAGGGGTGTCGAAATACCGCTTCTACAAGACCGACGGCGCGCTAGACGAGCTCCAAATAACAACGAACGTCGTCTCAACCTTCCTACTCGCGTTCCTCCTCCTTCCAAAACTCAAAAAAACAGCGCTCACTTACGACACGCAGCCACACCTCACAATCGTGACCTCGGAGCTGCATCACCAGACTACCATCCCGGAACGCAAAGCACTCCGCCAGGGCGTACACAGCTCGCTGCTCGACGCGCTCAACGACCCCCGCACGTCCAGCCGCTCAGGTCGCTATCCGACTTCCAAACTTCTCCAAGTGCTCTTGCTGCGAGAGCTATCCTCCACACTGGGCCAGGACTACCCCGTGGTGCTTAATTGCGTGAACCCAGGATTCTGCCACTCGGCGTTGACAAGAGATTTCGCGCCTATAGCATATATTGGGAAGATCGCAATGCGAGCGAGGAGCACCGAGGTGGGAAGTAGGACGCTGGTGCATGCGGCGAGCGCGGGGAGGGAAAGCTTCGGCGAGTATCTGAGCAATTGTCAGGTTGCGCTTGTGAGCAACTTTGTGAGGACGAGTGAGGGAAAGGACGTGCAGGAGATGGTATGGAGAGAGGTGCTGGGGAGGTTAGAGGAAATTGAACTAGGGATCAGTAAGAATTTGCGGTGATGGCAGCGATTGTGTGCATGTACGAGAGCATAAGATGTCTAATGAATGATTGTTTGCACCAGTCAAGTTCCTTTAGTTTAGGATGAAACCAATGTGAACCTTTTATTGCTCTGGGTATAGAGAAGATATGTACCCCTGGCACCGGAAGAAAGTAGTGTAGGGCTTGTGTGCAACCCAGTGCACTCAAGCGTCAATGGGACTGTTGGCACCACCTAGTAAGCGGTCTCGCCGATGTAGTTACCAGGCGCCTTGTAACGGGCAACAACGTAAGTAGAACCATCGCTTCCCTTGGCGGCACCCATTCCAACCTTGGTGGTGTCCTTCCAGACACATTGAGCTGGTACCACGGTCAGTATATATAACGCCAAGTCAAGAAGCAGAAAGTAAGCTTACTGTAATGACCGAAGCTCTGGTAGTTGGTGGAGCTAATAGCCTGGCCACTGTACAGGCTCTTCTCCGAAAGGAAGCTTTTCACGGCGTTGGCGAGAGGAGTGCCACTGGAAGACTGCATGTACAGGTTTTCGCCCTGGTCAGAGACGCCAGAGTGCTGGAAGGTTCCGGACGATGCTAGGGTCTGAGCATAGGCCAAAGCATCCGCAGCCAAAGAGGTGTCCCAGCTCAGGTCGGCAGTGCCCACCTCAGCACGAGCATCGTTGTGTGCGTCGAGAGCGGCCTGCTCGTCGGAGGTCAGGCTGCCAGAGGAGCTTGTGCCAGTGCTGGCTGCGGCGGTGGAAGTCTTAGAAACGGCATCTGCGACGGCAGATGTCGGGGTCACGGTAGCTACGACAGTGGTAGCAACGTGACTCACTGAAGCAGCGGCAGTCTTGGTTGGAACAGCAGATACTGCCACAGATGAGCTGTGGCTAGGACGGGGCCATCCCTGGTAGCCTTTGCCGCTCCAGTCGAAGTCAGGCAAACGCCAGGCTGAGGCAGTGGATGCAAGAAGCGACGCGGCAATAACAGAGTAACGCATTGTAGCGGTGGGGGATTGCTTTGCTGAGATACGGTGGTGTGAGTGGTGCGCGAAAACTCGAGTCTACTCGAGAAGTGCTGATAAAATGAATGTAAGGGTGAAAAGAGTGACAAGGAAAGAAAGAATGAGCGTTGCGACTTGAGTCGATGAAGAACAGAAGTAGCAGAGGACTAAATCATCTTATATTCACAGGCCGAAATTCAGAGTGCCCCCATGGCTTTCTCTTTTCGCCATACCTGCCGCTCCTTTGATTGCGTATGGATCCCGTGCAATTTTCTGCAGGTTTGGCGTAATCTTCCTCCAGTAGCCACATAAAGCATGGCGCCGACGTTTCACGTCCAAGATCTCGACCCGGTGCTCCACGAGTGTGTGGGGATGGTAAACTCGTACCGAAGCTGTCGTGGCAGTTGACATGTCATCTAGTACCGGGCGTGGAGTTGTCGGCTGCCTGACAGCTCGGATGTACCACCACAGAGGTGGACAAAGCTGCCACTCAAGAAGGTTTGTTTCACACCCCGCAATGTAATTACGACGCCTCACGCTATAGGTACGTAAGCGCAATCTTGGCTTAGACTGCAGTGAATGTCATCGCAACTGGAGCCCGCTGCCTATGCCAATCTCTGCTGTTCGTATCGGGACTATAGCTTTCAGCCCTTCGTCGCATGACTTCTTCTTTAATGTATGATGCATCGTTCTCAGACATCGCTTTGTGTGCAGACTTTGGGTGGGAGGTGTCGTAGCTAGCTTCCGAAGCTCGGACGAAAACCATGGCGCCACCGTTACTCTAGACCATTGTGGGTCCAGCCGTACGTTTCACGTTTGATGAACCGGAGATGTGGAAACGACAACAAGTTCGATTCCTGCCGTCTATTAACGGCCCGACCCCACTGCAACGATCTTGCAAATCCCGAACATCAGGAGTGACTAACCACTAGCATTAACTCCGTCGTTCACGGCTCGACACACTCCCATCCCTCCTCATCCAGCCCCTCCTGATTGCCAGTGTATCTGTTCACTTTCGGGTACTTGCAGTGCCTCCGAGTGAACTCGATTCCTAGGGCGACTGTATCGTTGATGAACTTTGTACCCCTGATGAACTCAGGTGCATCGCCCTCCTCTACCCACTGGACGATCCGTCTGAGCATGCTGTCTTCCGGCGTATCAACAGTAACCTGCCCTCCCAGTTGTCCCATAAAGTTCGCTCCAGGGCCACCATAGCAGTGTCCGACGCCGCTTGCCCGAAAATAACGGTAGAAGTCGTCGAGGTCTGCGACACTGGCATTCAACGTAGAGCGCACTATGTTGTAGTATAGGTCTGACGTTCTGCTCACGAGAAGTTGATCGGCCAATCCGTGCCAGTGGAGGACCTTACCTCCGCGATCGCGGAAAGCGGAGATGTTGCCGTCAAATGTATTCAACCGATTGCCGGAACTGTCTTTCTGGGAAGCGTGAAGGACGTCTTCGAGCGTGAAAGTCGTTGGGTTCCATGAAAGATCTTCATACACAACGTAACGGAAAACTTCTGGAATCCAAGTAAGGACAAGCGGGCTGTACTCGTAAGTTATCAATTCTCGCTCGTAACCGTGACCATGGCCTGGGTGTATGAAAGTTCCATTGTAGGTTATGGGACCAAACAGCTTCGTAGCAGCATCGACCTGATCAGGCGTAAGACAGGTACTGTTGTTGGGCGTTGAAGAGCAGACGAGCGGTGTCCAGTTAAACACGCAAGCAGTAGGATCTTCCAAGATGCCATCTCGCGCGCCGTCTAGCCCATCACATTGGTTGAATACTTCCTGTCGCACAGCCTCCCACTGAGCCAGAGTAACACTGCTCGTGTTAAAACCCAGGGTCTGGAGAGCATAGCCGAAAAAGCCCACATGTGCCCAAAGATCTATGGCGGGCGCACCGGCAATAACGCCGTCGAACAGCTCTGGATTTTCCTGCACTGCTTTCCAGCCCTGTCGACCACCCATTGAACATCCGATATAATAACTCTTGCCGCAAACATCGCCATAGAATTGTTCAGTTATGGATTTCCCGACTACTGCGCCTATGTAAACAGCGCGCCAAGCAAAGTCCTCGTAGACTTCAGGCTGACGGAAGAATGCTCCGCCGGACGTTCCATTATGTCCATTGTTGGTGCCGAAAGATGCGAAGCCGTATGATGCTCCATAGGCAAGCTCAGGGTACTGGATGCCTGGAAGCGAATCGCGTCAGCGCGTCTTCGAGCGCACAAGAGCACTGAACAAGCAAACAAAGGAAGCATGTTGGTTTATGTACTGTGAAAGCGGCTGATCCAGATCGGGTAATGAAAGTCCTTCACTTACAGCCTGCCAGCCCTCCGTTTCCTGTAGTCAAGATTCGACCCTCCCAATTCTCTGGAAGCCAGACCTCCATATAAACCTCACTGCTTGGCGACGTTTCGACCCTTAAATTCAACCTACATAATCCGACTGGGACGGGTGTTGTCATATTTCCGTTCAATCCAATGCAAGTTGTATTGAGGCCTTCGGCAACGAGATCGATGGTGGCATTGGGCGGTAGGTATTTTGCGATATTGAGTTCGAATTTGTAGTCCAGCTTGATGATTTCCGCTAGATTTTCGCATTTATCTTGAAAATTGGTTATAGGACTAGAAAATGCCGATCCAGCAAATATTCCAACCCAAAGAAATCCATATCGAAGCCGCATGTTGGAAGAGACAAACGCAGCAGCACCGGAGTGGCGACCTAGCTACGCAGAACACCGCATGTTTTGTATGAAAATTTCTTGCCAATAGTTGCACAGGACGGATTGGATGATTCTACAAAATGAGAAGTCCCGACGCAAATCGGGTCAATGATTTGGTCCGAGCAGCTCGTGGGCCACTGCTGGCTTCAGCCGTGCATACCTAGCAAGTCAGGAGCGCGTGTCTCATTGGCCAGGGAAATGTTTCGAGCTCGCCTAAAAAGAGCAAGAGGAAATCCTGTGGTGCATCCTTCCTGCCATTCATCAGCACTGCGGAACACCGCTGACGAAATGCGGTGGAGCAGTTATCGGTGAGCAGCATATGCTGCTGCCTTCATTCCCTCCTAACCAACTTACCGCTGCAAAACCTTGGCCATACTAAGAATAAGGAATGAGGGTATAGACACATATTGCCGGGTGTTCATCCCTAAGTCCGTGAGGCTTTGGGTTTTGGTCCGGGGGCAACAAACGGCGCTAGTCCCAACATATAATCAGGTATCATAGGTGCTTGGAGCCTTAGGCAGAGACGCTAATTGATTTCGAAAGGCCATAGACTGAGATGAATTCGATTTTTGCGACCGCAGATTGTGCTTGTGATTCTACGCATCGTTTGTGGAACCATTAAGGTGAGTGGACGGTTCTACGACCTTGACACTTACACCACTATGTAAGTTAGGTACATGTCTTATCCTTAGCTTTAGCATTGTTTCGCGTTTCAATCAGGTACTGCCTCCAACTGCGCCTAAGTCTTCAGTCTTCATGACACCTAGAAATAGGCTTCAGCAGCTTCGCTGCATCCTCCATGAATGTTTCTTGGTAGCCTGCTTGAGTGATCTTATAAGGCGTGTTGCCAGCCTCTTTTTTTTTTTTTTTTTTTTTTGAGGATCCGCGCCGCGAGACAGCAGATAAAGCAAAAAATACATGACCTGCCACTAGTTGAATCCCTTGACGCATTCGTAAAGTGCAGTGTCCTAAGTAGGCTCCCTGATATCGTAATCGTAAACAATACCTGGTCCATCCACATCCGCATAGGCGTCTTCTCCAGTTCTGCTCACAGAATTGATGTCGAGTCCAATCTTTTCTACAAGTAGGAGCACGACGTCCATATTTGGGAGTTGCCTCTTGACGGCTACAATCAATAATGGGTCCGCCGAAGTGGAAGCGCCGCTGGTCTCTGATTGCAGGTGATGTCTATACTTCGAATCAACCAGAATTTGTAGTAACTTTGCGAATCCTTACTTAGAGAGCAATCTTGCAACATCGCAAACGTCCGATTCCGAGAGTGGTGGGGAAAATCCATTGTGCTGCAAGCTACGTTCAAACACATCGTACTCTCTCCTTCGCAATAGCACATCAACGAGAGTTAAGTCCACTTGATCACGGATTGGATTGCGCCTTGTTCCTGGTCGTTTCTGCAGGTCGAGTCAGCTGCACTGAATGCACTGAGTGACATCAGGACTGGTGCTTGCAGACAATCGTGGATTCGCTTTTGAGTTTGCTCGTAACTTAGGTAGACAAGATCTAATGTAGTCCAACCCGAAATTTTCGTACTTTTTGATGCATTTCATACTGTGATCTCCGGCCATTTATACTCCTGCACCCTGATCTAACAGAGCCTATCTAATGACAACGAGGAATTCCTCGAGATGGGCCGTGTGCTGAACTGAACATATGCGAAATGGGTCTTCGGGCCATGGTCCTCCGGGCAGTTGGTCCAGCGCGTGCTGCGGTTTTCGACTAGGACGAACCCAAGGCCGATCATCGTCTTGCCTTCGAATACCGCCAAGCGCATCAGCCCCCCGTTCAGGTTGCAGGTTAGTACGATTATACCCATACCAGTCCGGCGGCTCAATAGTCGGATTCGGCCTACGTACCAATGCGGATACGTGTGGTGGAACAGGGCATAAGTTCGGCGACGATGACGACTGCTGGAACACAGGCTACGAGTTCGCTGCTCCATTCCCGAGAAACGACAGCGCTCGTGATGTCACCAACCTAAAGACGCTTGCGCAAAAGGGTCTGAGCAACAGTGTCGGTCTTCCACAGCAAATCGCCAACGCCGTAAGTGAGATGCAGGCAGACACCTGCATGGGCCACGGCTTTGGCCTGATCGATGCTGTGGGTCCGCCGATCACGATGATTGTTCAGGGGGAGGAGAGTACGTCCTTAGTGGTGCAGACGGCCGAGAAGATTGAGGAAGAACAGCGCAAAGCCATCATCCTCGCATTCGTTAGCGCCATCCTCGTCTTCATTCCTATAGTAGGAGAAATCCTCAGTACCGTTGCTGAGACTGCGGATATTGCCGGAACTATTGCGGTGCTGGCGGCTGCAGGCCACGCCGCTTTCGACGTCTACACCATCGTTGATGATCCTAAGAACGCTTCCTTAGCCATTTTCAATCTGATTATGGCGCCTCTGGCTCTAGCAGATGTTGCTGTTGTTGCAGAGGCAGCGCAGATTAGGCGCAAATCAGGCGAGGGATGAGTACTGCAAACATAGCGAAGCTGGGCGATCACGTAGCTCAATGGATGACCGAGCTCAAGGCAGTGACAGGTTCCTGTAAAGCGTAGCATTGACGTACGTGTATTAAAAATGAGAAATGAGGAGCGCTAGCGTGACCAAGTGCCTATGTCCGTGAATTCAGGGGTAGCGAGATTCACGTGACTAGGATCCACACATGAGCAAAAATTTGTTACCTCGCCACAAAACAAAAACATACAACAGCGGGGATTCGCTGCTGGTCACCCACGCAACTACTGATCCGCCGGTACACTGCTTATATATGGCTGAGCGGACGGGAAGCCTAGTTTTCAGTGTCCTATGGTCGTATGTGAAAGAAGTGGTTTCGTACTGCATACATATCGAATGCAGCTTTAGCCTGCTCCACACTGTGGACATGCCATCGTGGGAGCATGCTTCATCGAAGGAAAATCCGCACTTACATAGACAAGAGAAATTGGAGCGCTTCCATGCTGAGCTCGCGCGCTTCCGAGTGTGATAGACTCAAAGATGTCGTCAACATCTTGAGGAATCCAGGGTTTTGATGATTATCGCACCGCTCCAGTCAACTTTCTTGTCGGCTGTTCTCTAGCGATAGGCCCTTATCCGCAGTTCGTATAGATTGTAGGGCCTGACTTGTAGCCGTGAGGGAGGGCAAGGAACGGGGAACACGTATAGAGCAGAACCAATGTATCATAACAGCTGTGAAGAGACTTTCTGGCTGATGGACCTAGTATAGGTATAAGTAGTGTGTCGCACGCGGCCATAAAGATCTGTGCCAGTTTTGGATATCAATAGCCATTGTATCATCCCCCGAGGCACTCTACTGCAGCCGCGTTGTTCCGTTCTGATACGGGACATGCCATGTACGGAGGCCGTAGAGACCGGACGATGAAGATGCGATATCCGTAGGTGCGGATGTTGGGCTAGAAATGAGGGATTTAGTAACGCAAAACCTGCGCAACCACCTATACGACATGGTGAACTAGTTTGGTTATATCTGCAGAAGCTGATGCGAAAGACACTCCTTCCTTCTGGAAAGTTGGGGCTGCAAGCCAAGCAGTAGCCTGTTCCAGGACCTTGCGATGCTTTTAAGGATCACATGCCCGCTGTACAGCCCTGAAGATTTGGATGTGAGAATTAAACAACAATTAACGAATTGCGCGGTCAGATCTCATCTAGAGGTACGTAGGTATGCAAGTTTCTATAAATTGCACAAAATAGCTGCAAAAATGGTGAACGGACATAGGAGGCTCATTGACCGGTCAATGAAATACTGTTCCCAGATTCAACATGGATTATCAAACTTACTGGAGCATCTATATGTCAAATGTTCTCGGCTTCGTTTCTTATTCATTACTCCGAATTTACTACTTCTGAGTACAGGTAGTGAATTGATAAATTTCCGTAGTTCGACGAAATCACCGAGTAGTCCTTTTTACTTCTTAAATCTTTCACTAGGATAGTCATCGCTCAAAATTGTCACCGCCAAGTCACGATTCTTCACCGTATTGCATATAATCACATGAATCACAGCGTTGCGATTTCAAACATTGCAATTCGAAAGTCATCAAATATGCCCGGCGTCATCAAGATAGTGGTCTCAACAGGCGCGACTTCGGGTCTGGTAAGCGTGAGAATAATGCCGAACGCACGAGGCGCTTCTCTGACTGTGAGTAAGGTAAGTTGTTTATGCAATTAAAAAGCTCCTAGAACAGAGCCAATCATACCGCTTCATGCTCGGAGCCCGTAACTTTAAGCGTGAAGAGAAACACTTCAGCAACTTGTCTTACGACCTGCAGAAGCACAGCTTGACTTTCCTCCCACTCCAGCTCAGCGATCTTCGCACCGTGAAGACCTTTGCAAAGCAGACCCTTGAGAAGCTCGGGTCGTCCGATATTGATTTGCTGTTTCTAAATGCCGGCATCAACAAGCCAGCGGACGAGCCAGTGTAAACGGATCAAAGTGGTGCGAGTCGTACATTGTCAACTCTCTGTCTCAGCATTTCTTAACGCATTTGCTTCGCGAGCGTGTCACAGCGCTTGTAGTTGTCATTTCCCCTGGGGCCTCACGAGGCGTGTCCGACTCATGTGGGTTCATCTTCCCACTTTGATACCACGACAAGAGGAACTATGCTGATTGCTGATCAAGCTCGTGTCGAGCTGCTGGAAAAGGAACTGACGACCAATTCTGGCACGTATTTCTAACGAGCTTACGAGGATGGTAAAATTACCCAATTGCTTACAGCGCAGTGGCGGCGACGTAAGCTCTAAGGCCAGGCGCGAGTCGTTGCTGTCTCACCTGGAATGGTTCTGGGTACAACTTTAACCCGAACCGTCATGGAGAGGATGGAAAATATCACTCCCAGAGTCTATAATGAAGGGGACCAGGACTGTACAAGAAGGTAAGCTAAATTTGGAATGCAATCTGACTGTGCTGATTAGGCGCCCAATCAATCCTGGCAGCATGGACGAGGCAGGGTCTCCCAAAAGATCAGAGGCAGATCTTCTTGACGATCTGGGGAGAGTGGTGGTCAACGGACGTTCTAGAGACTTCGTTAGACGCTGCGCTGCAAGACGAAGGTCTCCTTCTTAGCGCAAATTGAACAAGAGGAGGTTGTAGAGTAATTCCCAGATCTGTCCATTAGGTATCGCATCAATTTCTCTTCTATATCCAGGCCGAATGACACCCATCTCTTCTGTATCTCAATACATTCCTCTGATCTTCCCTATATCCTCCAACTCCCCTGCCTGAGTAAACGTCTCGTACGCTCTTGCCGCTCTCTCAGACCCAATAGCAAGCGTGACCTGCTCCATAAACTTCTTCTTCAACTCCGCATCCGTCAACGGGTTCTCCATGCTCCCCTTCGCATGCTCGACGTGCTTTTCCAGCTCCGTGCCATCCTCGTATCGCAGCGTCACATACGCCGCATCCGTGGGGACGCCCTCATCGGTGGTAACATTGACCTTTTTCCGCAAGTCTACGACCGTCGCATTCTTCACGACGTCGTCAGTGAACTGCGAGGGAGTGGCTTCGCCGTACAAAAGGCCGATAGCTGTAGCGTGGTAGATGCTGAATTTGCCCTCGAGGCCGGTCTGGGGGGATGTTTTGCCGGTCAGGACGAGGACCTCGGGATTGACGCGGAGTTCAATGCTCTTGACGTTTTCGATTGAGTTGTTGTTATCATGGGTTTGGTTTGAGAGTTGTATGGCTCCGTCGATGGCTGGGTGCATTACAATGCCGCATGGGTAGGGTTTGAAGGTGTTCTTCTTGATTTCCCACTCTTTGCCCAGTTGATCAAAGTATGCCGTGGCATTATCCCTTGTGCTGACGACGTGTAGCCAGCCATATTTCGCTTCTAGAGCATCCGAGGCGCTGGTGTACCCGTTCTTTGCAAGAAGTGCGGCTAGCATACCACTTTGCGCTGCGCGACCGATGTGAAAGGATTTAGTGTCTGACCCAAAGAAGGCCTGCATGCCAATCACTTGTGTCGAGGCGATGCCTATGGCTTGGGCCGTGTGGTTTGTGTCGAGGGAGAGAAGCTTGGAGACTGCGACGGCTGCACCGATAGCGCCCGTCGTGGAAGTGATGTGCCAACCTACATCGTAATGTTGGGGCCAGACACTGAGACCGAGCTTGCACTCTGTTTCTACACCAGCGATGAAGGCAGTCATGAAGTCCTGGCCTGTCACAGGGCCATAGGCTTCTGCAATGGCGAGGAGGGCTGAGGCTACTGGTCCCGCGGGATGAATTATCGTTTCCAGGTGAGTATCGTCATAGTCGTCGACATGGCTGGCAATCCCGTTGACCAAGGCTGCCAGCTGGGCGTCCGCAAACCCATGTGTTATCGAGCCATTTGCGCCCAGTATTGATGAGGTTGCGGGGCCAGAAAAAGGACCGAGGGTGGTATTCAATGCGATTTGAGGTGCCGGCTGGGAAGCAAAACCACCGATTGCACAACCCGCCCAATTATAGAAAGACTTGTTCGCTGCGAGAAGGACGTCCGTGGTGAGATTGGCATACTGAAGGTTAGTAGCCCAGGAAGCAAGTTGTAGCGTAGCCATCGCGATGTAGTACTCAAAAAGAGATGTAGTTATCGTCTTAGCATGTCCAGAACCGGCTGGATGGGAGTCTCGAATCTCGAAACTCACTAATAAAGTGCTTGTGCAACGCGAGAAGCTTGTAAGGTGACTGACACCTTATAACTCTTGATCTGATTGTACAATATTGTACAAAGTTCCAAGCTGGTAGTAGGTATGACGCACCTTTCGCAGAAGATCCTCTTAACTTGTATTTCCACCAGTCAGAATGAGCCGCTAATGTTGAGTATTCTGGAGTCGCTGGCCCGTTTGAATGCTGATGATGATATTGTCTAGTAAGTGCTGATTTTGGACCAAGATCGGCATGAAATGCGGGGGACAGCGGAAGGTAGTTTGCGGGCGCGGAGTTGTGCGCGCAACACCCAGGTCAGAACCGCAACTTCAAAATGTATAATCGCGGCCGAACCTTAGCTTGTTGATTATTTTTTTCAATGGTGAAACCCGAAGAAAGACATCGAACATGATGCCGGTGGTTTGCGCCATGCCTAGATTTTGTTGGGACGTGTCTAACAATTGAATGAGGGGCGTTATGATGTTCGAGAAATCAAAAACCTTGTGTATAGGCATACTTGCTGTCGTCGATTTGACAAAACAATCCGGGAAGCGACGGAGCACACCTAACGGATCGTCCGGGGGCTTATCTATTTACACGATCCATTCCATAGGGCGTACGAGTGGATCAGATGTCCGTGTCCACACCCAGTGGACATTCGGTTCAGCCTGGGGATCTGGATCAACCTGGTCTTCTTGGCTGCCTCGATTGCTTCTGTTGCAATCGCTCCATTTTGACTCTGAGCTGAGAACTCATCTTGCGATGTTGTCAGGTTCCAGCCAGAGTTCTTCTAAGGTAGCAATATTCTCAAATGCGAGTCTTGCGACGTTTTCCGCGCCCACAACCGGAGCAGAGTTGTATAATAGTTCGTTCTGTGGCCCGCAAAAAATGAACTGTTCGAAAAGCTGACAGGATACTGCCAGCACCTTGACATGCTTGAAATTCTCTCCGACCCGACGGGACCAATTTTTGAAGCAATGTGTATACTTCGCAGTCAAACGCAAGACTTGCGTGTTCGGGAACTCGAGGCTGAGCGAGATCAAGCGAAATACGCGGCAAAGCAGAACAATGCCACTAACTTCAAGTTGTGTAACATGGGGCGCAACTAAGCATGGTTGACCGCTGCTGAATGCGCTGCCGTAGGCGAGCTCTCCAGGCGTCCTGCTGATGGCAAGATTCCGGACATTGGGGCAGTAGTGCAGGAGGTGTATGAATCGCTCGCTGACATGGAGAGTTTTGATTGTTTTATGCCGTAATAAGATATCCCCACTGGACGCGTTGATAGCACCTTTTAATGAATATGTAGTATCGATGCAGAGAGTTAGACATTGCAACCTGCTGAGACTGCCGATGAATTCGACCAAGTTATCAAATCGGGGAAGCAAATTAATGGTAGACAGCGTGACTATCTGCGCACGGAAGCTGAATCTTTGGATTCCATCGCAGACACCAGGAATCGCCGAGAGGTCTGCAGTGGCCTTGGTAGCTGAAGAAAGGAAAAATCCAGACAGTCTGAAGTTCGCGGCGCCGGGCAATTATCTAGAGTGATACGCGCTAGGAGTACTGGACGAATCAGTTGCCTCAAGCGTCGGTTTGCCGCAGATAGGTATTTCAGTGGTGTGGAAATCCTGATCGGTGAAGCCAGTCCCGGAGGCGGAGAGGCTAGTACATCGATGATCAATAGGATGATTTCGTTCCTGAGGCCGAGGAAGTGGCTTCTGGTTGCCATGCTGGCGGCCAGTGTTGCGTACTCTCGAATGAGCTTGACGCTGGCGATATTCGTCGGTACCTAAGTGACGCGTCGATTACAGGTGAGATAGATTCCGATGTGTGTTAATGGTGTAAATGGTGTTCCTTGAAGAATTTGCAGGCTCCATCTGTGAGTGCTCGAACCGAGACTTTTTCCATGGTTGTGTTGCCCAACAGAGCTCCTGCGGGTTCGACACATGGCGGCGCGTGTCGAGGCAACCTACAAACCGTGCGGTCTCTTTCCGTTACAACACTCGTAGGTACAGCGTCTCATACCACAAAACGTGCATCACGTTCCTGCAATACCTCTCCAGAATTGGCAGTGAACACAATGCCAAGTCTACCTGACTGCGGAACGTTCGGGTGTGGCTGCAAGCATGGGCCTCTCAACTAAAGCCGGTAGCCGTGTGGCGGTGACGAGGACATACGCCACATCCCTGCATCCTCCAATCATTGCTACGACAAACCTCCGACAACAGTACCATGACGCAAAATTGGAGAAAACATAAGCATCGACAAGGGACACTCATCAAAACTTGGCGCTCACGAGACAGATGAGGGTTGGTATAAAGGCAGGCGCGACCATGGGTGAGGCGCGTACGCCTGCCTGAGGTAACAGAGCATCTGCATTCCGCGACACAGGAAACGACGACGTATCGAACCACGACCCAGCAAACACTCTTCTCCTGACACTGCACTCCACGAACTTAGTCTTCACATCGCTAGCTAGTCTTCGCGTATTTCGTTCGCAACCGTTCCTCAAACGCACGCATTCTTCACTGGCATACAATCTCGCGCACTTCGCTCGTGACAAACATCGTTACCGAACGCGTCCCCTTCGTGACTACACTTGAGCACCATAACCCGTTGCCAAAATGGGCGCCATCAAGCTAGTTCTCTTGATTCTTGCCACAATCTTCTGTACGCCGTTCTTTTCTTCTTACTATTTCACCACATCTAACACCCTACAGTTCCTCCCATCGGCGTCTTCGCAGTCGCAGGCTGCGGCGCTGACTTCTTCATTAACATCTGTCTCACAATCCTTGGGTAAGCCTGCGTTCCCTTAGCCCACTCAACTACCCGCCATATTGACGTTATGTAGCTACATCCCCGGCCACATCCATGCCTTCTACCTGATCTACGTCTTCTACGAGCGCAAGGACGAAGTTAAGAACGGGGTGTACAACCCGCGTCCCGCGTCAGGAATATTCAGCGAGCGTGTACTGCGCGGCGGGAGGCATGTGCCGGCAGCGGTGCAAGTGCAGCAGCCTGTTGCACAACCGAACTCTGTTCCGCAGCCTCAGCCGGGCCAGGTGCTGCCGGCGCAGGCGTATGGGACTGTTTAGGGATACGATTGTATTCGGACCGCGAGGACCAGATGTCACAACGCGGTGATTGTCAAGTTCAAGGCGTGGGGACTTGCTTACAGCTGTTGACTTTTCGCCCGAGCCTTCTGGCGAGGATCTGTATGGGCTGGCTAAGAAGCGTGGTCCAGTGAGTTGGTCTGGAACAGGGATTATCCATTAGTACGAGATGCACGTACCGGCGCGTATTAACTGAATTGTTAAACTTTACTGTCTCTATGCACGCGGCGTGTCTGTGGTTTTGCGCGTTTGAGAGACTTGCGAGTATTAGGGACCGTGAGAAAAAGAATGCGGTGTCGGTCCTGTGAAGACGAAGGAAGTCAAAGGGATGAGCGCGGAATGAAGGCGGGTATTGCAGGAGAAGTCGTCTAGCATATCGAGGACAGCAGACAGGTAGTGGCTCTTGATGACAATGATATCGGACAGAATCTTGAGCATTCCCATGGTGGTAGTTTCAGTCGTCCGCGAGATCAGGGCGCGCCATCCTTGCCAAATAGATCTTGTATACATCTTGTAAAGGTACATATAGTACAATCCCACGCATGCCCTTTGTCCGTCCCATCTATACGTACACCTCTCGCAAGTATTGCAGTTACCATCGAATCGCCCTCTACTTCTTCTTCCCCTTCTTCCCCTTGACACTGCCCTTCCTCTTGCCGCCGCCAGCCATCGCAGCCGCCGCCGCCGCACCCTTCTTCTTGCTACCATCCGTGCTTCCCAACGCAGCCTTCTGCCTGAGGTACACCCTTACGACATTCTCCACGCTGCCCCTATCATGCTTCTCCTTGCGCATATACGTCAAGCGCGCCCTCCTCGTCTTCCTCTGTGCCCTCTGCACAACCTCGATGCCCTCGACCAATGGCGAGTACACCTTGTACCACATCTCGATGCCGACGCGGGTCAGCTGGCCGCGCAGCAGGATGGCGGTGTCGACGCCGCGCCGCCGGATATTGATGCACACACCGGCGAAGGGCTCGCCGGTGCGCTGGCGCACGAGAAGGATGTCGCCGACGCGGGCGCACTCGGGATTTGCGCGGTCGAAGAGGCGGGTACGGGCGCCGGTGGGGTCGTGCACGGCGAGCTGCGAGGAGGTGACTGCGGCGACGGGGTCGTGGCAAGCCTTGCGTATGGCGCGCGGTTTCTGGGGCTGCGATGCGAGCTTGCCTGTTACGTGTTGTTAGCTTCGTGATATTTTATACCAAGCCCAATGGAACGGGAGGCGGCAGGGCAGAGGCAATGGTTGCCAAACCGAGGCGGACGTACTGCTGCTCGAAGTCCTCATCTTGTTCCGGAACCACGACACCTTCCTGGCCTCTCGCTCGGCCTCGACCTGCTTGTATCTCTTCATCGTGCCCATCTGTTGCCGAATCTTTCTGTTGGGCGCGGAGCCGCCGCCCTGCTGGTAGAGGTGCGGATACAAACTCCTGTGCATCGCATCAACGAGTTTCGAGCCCTTGACGGATTTCGCGGCGATCGCGGGAGGCTTCGCGACCAGCAGTACGGCCTGCGAGACGCCCGCCTTTGCGGACGCAATTGCCGTGGCCATTGTGTAAGAGTGGGGATGCGGAGGCGCGTTGAATGCTGGAGGCTTGAGATGCTGGATGTTCCGAAAATCATCTAAACGGATGACTAAGCCAACGACCACGCAAGTGCGCCCCGATGATGGTGGTGTTGCTCGAATTCGACACCTCGAATACAACTACAATGGCATTCATGCTGAGACGATGAATTCATTTCCCGTGACCAGAGAAGTCGTACATCAACCACTGATTTTGACGGCTCAGCCTGTGAATTCAAGTTTTCACAACATAAGACAGTATCATGTGCCCACCACACGCACAGAGAATTGTGAACTCTATACTGATTTTGAAGTTTTTATTGTACCTGAAGGTTTTCAAGAACATACAGTAGAGGACGCCGCCTCGGCTGCGTGAAACATAGAGTAAGACCGTTGATCATATACCCATAACTTTTTCAATGCCGTCACCGGAATCGCCGGCCCATGCAATTGTCTCCTGCCCAAACGCCATGCTTGGACGCAGAACCGGGCTCAATAAGGAAAATTATAGCCGGATCGATTTTCGGGTCATGCCATGCGCCCCTGCTTTTTCGCTAGAATTGCTGAAACAAGAGGAAGGTTGAACAAAGAACCGCCCATGTGGGAAGATAAGACGTGCATATGCCTTGCCGTTTGTGCCGAGAGGTAATCAGAGAGGAGAGTGCCAGAATAGTCGAAAGGAAGAAAACTTGGTGAGATGCTGCTAGAGCCGCGACTGGTTGAGCTGCTCAATTAAACCCACAACGCCATTAAAATGCGGAAAGACCTCGCCCTGGCAACACGAGCCACGTTAGCAGTTGACTTGAAAATCGAGATCAACTTCGCGGCGAGGTGTGTCTACCTCCTCCATCCAGGTCAGGCCATTCGCGGCCTCTTCCACCGGAAACACTTCTTGCGCATACTCTTCCATGCCGCGATTGCCTTCCCAGAGCTCGAGCGCGACGCCGGGACAGTCCTTTTCAAGATCAGGGCCGAAGTAGGGAGCTGCGCTTTCTGCCAGCGTCGACTCCAGTGCCGAGAGATGCTCACGGTATCCGACGGGAGTAGGGCAATGGATCACAATAGGCCCCCGCTTGTACTGGACGGGTCGTCTCAGACCGCGGCTGAAGGCCCTGCAGACTTCCTTCGGGGTCAAGACTTCAAAGGCTAGCGGGATGCTAAAATCAATGTTAGCGTGCATTCACGTAATGCAGCAGCTGGCTTGCAGGGGAATCTGCGTGAATCTGCGAGATGAGTCGGGGAATCGGGAGAACGTCAACGATGGTGGAGCGAGGCGGGCCCAGCCACCACATGATGCTGCAGCGTCTTGGCGATTGTCTGGTGAGCTTGTGTACTGCCGGAATAGGCAATGCGCAGACAAACCGCACTTCAGTCGTTGACAGCACTGGGCGAGGGCTGGACCGCACCATGTGGGGAGCGGCATGCAATGGGGCGAAAACTTACCGTTTACCATTCCACTTTCGTGGTCCTTCCTTGAACAGCTGGTAGATGGCGGGGCCAATGTCGTGCTCCGAGTCAAGCCACGGAAGCTTCTGGTCGGGGTGGAAAGGTGCTCGCCATACGAAACTGCCGTCGTTCTGGTGCTCCATGCGGAAAAGAGGAAAGTCGAGACCGGTGAAGTTGTTGTGGTAGATGCCGCAGTAGACAAAAGTTGCCGGCAGTCCAATTTGGCGGATGTACTGCTCGACAGTGAACTTTGGTGCCCACAGGGGGAGCGCTCTCCAGTTCTTGCCAAACACAGAATGGTCGGGCATGCCTGTGATGTTTGATTAGGTTTGGGCGAGAAGGATCAGCATAGGTGCGGGTACGTACTGCTGTAGATGTAGTGCTGGATGCCGGCCTTTTTGGCGGCATCGGCAAGCGCTCTGCCGATGGCAACCTCGTCTCCCCAATGCGTCGTGTTGATGAAGGCACACTGCGCGCTCTTGAACAAATCGTCGAGGAACTTGCGGTCTTCGAGGCGGCCGACGTAGACGGTGACATTGGGCAACTGGGAAATCTCTTCTGCGACGAGGCCGTTGAGCTCTTTCATTTGCGCCCGTACCTGCCATCCCAGGGCCGAGGCCACGCGAATGAAGCTCGCCGACTGGCGGCCATTGCTGTTGATGGTGACCACCGTCCGCTGCATGCGTGGCTCCAGAAGCATTGGTAGGAGAAAGAAGGAAGGAAATGATTCGGGCCGCGAGCAGGACTAGAGGTGATTCTCGGGCGGTCGCATCCAAGACTGGGGAGAGCTGCAGCGAGGGCGCGGCGAGGACTTGATATAGCAGCAAACAGCAGACCCGTGTCTCTGGGACGGCGGCGGCGGCAGACGCTTAGTGGTGGGCAGGGCACAGTGATAGATTGATGGTGTAGCCTGGGGTGACTCTGCTGGAGATGCCGCAATCGGGCGCGGCCAACAGGGTCTCGCACGTGCCCGGGTCGCACAAAGAACGCGATATTGCAAGAAGGGAAAGCCTGGACGGTAGCCGGGAGCCGCAGGCGAGCGTCTCCTGCGCAGGTGATGTGTATGGGCGGGTGTGCAGGGGCGCTAGAGGGTTGAGCATCCAGAGGCCGGTTCGGGCGCTGCAACTTATAGAAGACACCGGGATGCGCTCACCACAGCGACGGCAGGCCGGCGGAGATGCAGGAGAAAGCAGGCCCGCCGGCCATGCTCTGCCTGGCACTTGCTGTAACACGATTCTCTCGTCGTGGCGGCACCAGACGGTGCAGTGGAAAATTAGGTAATAGCACGCGGCCGTGACGAATCGCAGCGCGGCGTGTGCAAAACGTGGTTAGCAGCCAGCCTGAGCACCTAACGAGCAGAGGCCCGCCAGCGTACTCACTACTCAAGACCAGAATGCAATTTGCGCATACCGACAAATGCGCCATGCCTGCTGCGGGGACCCAACGCCGAGCGGCCCTCGCAGCGCTGCCGCGCTACGGCTGCGTCGCCGCCGCCGTGGGCCTGTGAGCGAGGCCCACGGGCGCAGGCAGACCTAGCGGCACCCAGCGCTGGTCTCCGCCGCGCGCGCATTCCCAGTGCAGTCAAACAGAGGGCATCCGCTGCTGGCGGGGCTGCAAGGACCTGTGCGGGGAACACAACAGCATCCTGCTAGACCGAACGGTGAGCTGCCTAGGGCGCTGTGGGCCGCGCTGGAGCACCTGAGCACGAGGAGAGCGCACCACACGCGTGCGTCATGCTTGGCTATCAGATATCTGTTAGTAAAATGAAACAACTCTATGACTAGCGACCGATGCCTCCTCGCGCACCCTGGCCCGCGACCGTGATCCCCTCGCCCGCCTGCTACACACAGCATGCCTGAGCCCGAGAGCCCTCTCACGTAGACGAGCCCTCCAGCTGCTCAACTCCACTCGAGAGGCCCAACGTGTTTCCCCGCAGCCAGAGGCCCACCGATCTCGGGCCAAGCCGAACTGATGGCCAGATAGCAGCAGATCCCATTAAGCCTTCGGTTGCAGTCGCCCGCCTACGACCCAGCTAGCAGGACCAGGAACGTGTCGCCGCCGGACGCCCTTCCCGGACCCTTTGGACAAGACGTGCGTCTGCCACGGCCATGTTGTTGGCCCGGCGCTCACCAAGGACAACGACGTCGTCAGGATCATCCTGCAGCCTAGTAGCCGCACTTATGACCACAATTACCCGTCGTTCCAGCGAATTCATCTCCTACGTCCTCTCAGCCAATCACTGCCTCCCAGATGCTGGTGTTGCCGTCGCCCTCCGCCATTTGCAGCCGCGCTTGCGGCACCTCGTCTGTGTGCAAATGCGACCCAGCTCTTTTGAGTACCTCCACATGATCTTTCAACCCCGCAGCCGCTGCAAGATAGAGCGGAGTATGCCCACTGCGGTTCCGTAGATGGACCGAGGCGCCTTGCTCGAGAAAGTCGCGCAGGATTTCCACGTTAGGCCCTGTGGCTGCAAGGTGCTATAGCTCGTCAGCGCTGCATGCATAGACGCAATCTTGCATAATCCGGTCAAAACATAATCCACACCGTGCTGATGCTGCCAAAGATAAGAAGCACCTTTGTACCACCTCTGTTTTGTACCGTGAATTGGGCCGGCTGTCATCATCCGCTAAGAGATGACGCGTGTTTGCGAGCTGCACCTCCAGGCTGCACATCCCAAGAGACCTCCTGGTAGTACCAGTATAGTACCACACCATCGGAATCTTGGGTGTTGATCCCCCGTATCGTGCAGGACCTAGCACGTAGAGATAGACGCATCGGACCTGTCCCAGTGCCCCGATAACGGCACTTTCGGCGAAGATGCCATGGTTTCAGTCATCCTCGATGCAAGGTTCGTACCACGAGGGACGTAGATAACGACCATTGCCCTGGAGAGACGACTGCCAAATCGGGACCCCTTCTTAGATAACGGCGAAACCTTGACTTACCACGGGCGTGTTGAGATTATAGTCGGCATCGTTCAGCAGCCAACGAGGCTCGCCGCGAATGATGTCCCTCGTATCTTGGAAATTGCCTTTCTGGATTGCATATCCAAGCGCAGCCAGGCTGGACAGCTCTGGGGTAAGTGTTCCGCTCGTTTTGGGATGCTCAAAGTGCGTACGTGTCGTTTCTGTCAGCTCGCCCCGAATGGAGACGGACATCTTCTTCGCAACTTCCTCGGCCGTCGCGCCTGGCAGTGCCAGCAGGTATGCCAGTTTGGTGAGGGCGGCTTCGGACGTCATGTCCATGCCAAAGACTACGCCCACTCGGCCCAAGAAGGTCGCGGGTGCGTAGAGCGGGCTCACGCTACCGCTTAAACACTGCGTTACGTTGACAATGACGATGCCTCTCTTTACTGCGTCGGCCAGGGCACGTGTCATTGGGCTGTCCGGCCCACCTGGAGTGTTGCCTGCTCCAAATGTCTCCAGAACTAGGCCCTTCAAGCCGTCCAGGTGTAGCACTGCATCGACCATTTCAGGCTTCATGCCCGGGAAAATACGGAGGCAAGCTACGTGTGTCGTGTCGAGCGACGTCTGGATGGAGAACGGAGACATGCTCGTGGATCGATGCACATTGCCCCAGGAAACGTTAGTTCTAAGAGAGGTGATGGTGGCCAAAGGCGGGAGATTAGGACTTCCGAAGGCGTTGAAGTCGTCTGCTGATATCTTGGTTGAGCGGTTCCCTCGAAAGAGCTTGAAATTGAAGAACAGGCAGACCTCTGGTATCATAAAATGGCCCGCTACAATCAGGGCGCCCAACAAGTTATCTTCAGCATCGGTCTGCAGCTGCATCATTGGTGCCTGTGAGCCCGTGAGAATGACGGGTTTGCCTAAGTTGTGCATCATAAAACTCAAGGCTGAGCTGGTGTAGGCCAGAGAGTCAGTGCCGTGCAGGATCACAAATCCGTCAAACAACTGGTAGTTCCGGTAGATCGTCTTTGCGATCTGGTCCCAGCCTTCCGCGTTGATGGAGCTACTGTCCAGTAATGTATCGAACTCGAGTACAGAGTATCTTACTCGACGTTCATAAGCACTGGTAGGTGTCCTCAAACTCTGAACAGCCCTCCGCGTGCCGCTGTCGTCAGTCACGATCTCCAGCGGCTCCGGGTAAGAACCATCGTTGAAGACTGGCCGAGGCGCAAGCCCAGTTTTCAGAAACCCTCTCGCAGGCACCAGGCCGTCTGCTGATTTGCGCATACATATCGTTCCACCTGTCACTCTTTAGCGAAGCTCCACTATGGGAAGGAGATTCAAACCCGTAATGACAATGAGCACACGCGACTCCGGCAGCTGGAGCTCGGGGTATGCGTCGTCCATTTTCCCCAGGAAGATGCATGCACTATGCCTGCTTCTGAGCTTGCGACAATGCCGTGGTGGTGCGCAAGAACAAGACGCGTCGGCGAGCGAAGTTTCTTTAGGTTGTCCGGGTGGTCGCGCTTGGATCTTCCGTCACTATGCCACAAAGAACGCCCAATATCAAATATCTCTTTCTGAATATCACGACACGCAGAACAGTCTTCTACGATACCTATGCATGCCCAACTCCACGTTTTGGCGTAAAATTCCATTTAGCGCGCTTTTCCCTACCCCGTCCATTGCCGCATTGCAAACATCGGCCCGGTCCACACGATTCGCGCAACGCGAACCTTGGAAGGGCCCCAACCCAAGCTCCACTTTTACGGAGTTCTGATTACCCCTTCAAAACTCAACTCTGCAGAATGTATTACCCCTTCAAAACTGAAAATTTGCAGCCGCATTATGCGCCTGTGGGGGTTGGAAGTGCGCGATCGTAAGATGAAGGGTAGCGTCGGCTTTGAAAACTTGCCTAGCAACAGGGGTGTGAAGTTTTTCTTGCAGTGAGGTTAGTAGGTGGTGCGCACGTGTGGGATTGGTTCGGTGGAAGCTTCAGTGTGAGTTGTACTGTATATTCAATGCCTGAATTGATGGACATGATCGATCGGGTATATTGCTATACACACCATGTAGAAGACAAGCGAGTCTAGCGACTATCGAAATAACTCCTGCAATGCAAGGCAATGTCATCGCGGCCAGAAAACTGAAAATGCATATTCGCGCCCCTTCAGGGATACAGAATATACCAAAAAGCACCTTGTGTACGACCTTAGCTCTCCGGAATGCCTGTCAGTACGAGCTCCCAACATTGTATCCCGTCACTGGTGCGTCAAACCCCGTCGAGTACACTCTCTTAGGTGATGAGCTATCATCATGCCAAGGCGTACTTTTATGATTGTTGTCGTCGCAGTGTTGCACCTTATTTTTTCATGCCCGCCTTTCTCGCCTCGTTGGCGCGTTCTTCCTCCAGCTTGCCAATCTGCTCCTGGTTCTCCGCAATCCATGAAGAAATCTCCGGCAGTGCATCGTTCGAAACGTGTTCGGACCACTTCAGCTTCGTGCTTGTCGAAATCGGCTGCTCGGTGACGTATGGATGACCATCCTTGAAAGCCACCCACCTCTTGAGGCCTTTCAAGATTGTTCCCCGAGCCGCATTGTCAGATGAGATCGAATTATTGATCTGCAACCAGATCGCCTCTTCCACGCCTTGCGTTTTGTGCTCTGAGATGATCGCGTTATACTCTTTGTGCCTGCCGAACATGAGCAAGGCGTCTTGAAGAACCTCTTGCCGAGACGGGGCAGCCTTCTTCGTATCAGATTCATCATCCTCTGTGTGTGAAGACGTCTTTGTGCCGTTTCCACAAGACGGCATGTATTTGTACACAAAACGACGGAACATAGCGCGCTTGTTGATACGGGATCGATCGTTTGAGTTTTCTTCGCAGTCTTGGTAGACTTTCCAGTGGAAGTAACGTCCGTTGGTAGCCCAGTCGAACAACTCAGTCTCGCTGTCGAAGCCCTGGTAGTACTTGGCCTTGTCGTAGCCGTAGAAGTCCATCGCCTGATCCGGGTCTCGTGTAAGGAACACCATACTCTTCTTCCGATTGTACGGCTCTACCTCCTCAACACGAATGTGCATACCTTTGTCATTACACGTGATGCCGAGCGAGCGATGAACGACTCCAATTATCTGCAAGAGATCTGAATCGCTCTTCATGAAAGTCGTCCACTCAAACAACTCCTCGCCATCTTTTGTATCGTTGCCTGGCGAAAGCTCGACGTCCACCTGCACGTAAGCGTCTGGAATTGTAGGGTGCTTGATTCCGAAATGATGAGGGGAGACATAAAGCTCAGCGCCCAACACGTCCTTCACCGTGGCCCAAATATCCTTGTTGTTTATCGGGTCGCGTATGCCCTCGACGAGGAGGTCAATGTCACCGAAGTCGCTCTTTCCGGGGGCGTCTCGAGGTATTGTAACATGGCGGAAGAGTGTTTCCAGCTTCAGCTTAACGTCGCTAGCTACCTGATTGTAGGTGTCTGGTAACATCCGAGGGACATTGATCGGCGTGTCCGAGACGATATGCGCGAAAGCCTGGCCTCCCATACTCAATGATGTTTGGGGAGTTCTGCTAGGTGAGTGTGGTGTTTCGCGTCAACAAGGCAAGATCTTTGTACTGCCCAGGATACTTCTAGGGTCCAAATCGACGACTAGGTGTCGTGGAACGTATCTTGAGGTGGTTGCGGCGGTACAGGCACCAAGGTGGTACCAAGGTTTCAAATGAGTCACCTGGGATCCGACTCATCAACGAGGTTGAAGACAAAGCGCCTTTGATGAATGTGAACAAGACTGCTGCCGAGACTGTTGGCTTTGATGAGCGGAACTCTGCATTTCAGGTATATTCTAAGGTCAGTGATGCCATCCCGAGGTTGCACAGGTGTGCACCTTCCTAGACAGCCCCTACAAATCCAGGCGTGATCCAGCTATTGCATCAGGAGGTGAAGAGATACCGCAACGGCAGACTGATTAGCTCTCAAGGACCATCAACCATCGATGCTACGTTGTACTTTCATAGACAACTCAAATCAGCATTATGGGGTCGAATCTCGTAACTCCGTGATTAGTGGGGTATCGCCGTGCGACCGCGCTAAAGAGCTTGGGCCCACATAAAAGTCTGAGTTGGGGGACTCGAGCTCTCAACAGCAGAAATTGCGCCTCCGAACATACTCAACACGATAAGCATTATCTACACACAATTACTCTTAAGCGGGTGAGTTGGTCGCGAAACTAAGGCTATCGCGTTGTCCCATGTTCTAATATGCCTTACCTAATAGATAGTTCTATAAACCAACAAATTGCACAGTGCAACCGCACAATGGCCGAGAACGTTAACGAGGAAGAGGTGCAGGCGCGCTTCGAGGAGCTTAGCGTCCTCGAGGCGGAATTTGAAGATGTCGAACTCGAACTTAGTATGCTGTATATCGCGACTTCTATTAGCTCCCTTGCTGACCGTCACAGTCCGTAAGTCGAATGCGCTGAACGCACCGCTCTGGAAGAAACGCGCAGAGGTGATCGCCAAAATCCCGCACTTCTGGACTCTTGTCTTTGAGCAGGCACCCCCAGAACTCGATTCCTTTATACTGCCTTCGGACGCACAGATCTTTGCCGAATGCTTCGAATCTTTGGAGGTCACCCGCTTCGAGATCGACGACCCGAAAGGCTCCCCGCGCAGCATTTCAATCAAGTTTGGCTTTGGGGACAACGAATATTTTGAGGACAAAGTGTTGGAGAAGAAGTTCTGGTTCCGCAAGTCGCGTGACTGGGAAGGCCTCGTATCTGAGCCGGTCAAGATCAACTGGAAGAAGGAACAAGACACGACATTCGGCCTGACAGATGCGGCCATTGAGCTTGCTGAGGCAAGGAAGAAGGCGGACAGTAAGGCGAAGGAGACCGAGCTGCCCGAGTACAAAAAGCTGGCCTCATTGATTGAGGAGAGCACCGAGGCCTCACCAAGCTTTTTCGCGTGGTTCGCCTTCGTATCCGACTACCGGTGGGTCAGCGCGGAAGAAAGCGAGCAGGCCGAGAAGGAGGATGCCGAAAGATTGGAGAAGTTGAAGCGCGGAGAGAAGGTTGAAGAGCCTGAAGATGATGACGACGATACAATCGACTACCAGGAAACTGAAGTCTTCCCACAGGGTGGTGAGATCGCAACCCTCATTGCAGAGGACCTGTGGCCGTCCGCCATCAAGTACTACAGTATGTGATCCCTCTAGCTGTTCGGTTTATTAATTCCTTACTCACGATGATCAGAGCAATCACACGAACAGGATGGAGAAGACTTCTCCGACATCGATGTCGAAGACATGGACGAAGACGAAGACGAAGACGAGTCCGGCGACGAGATTGACATTCGCGGTCTGGTAGGCAAAGGCCGCGCTGGCTCGCCTCCGACCAAGAAGCAGCGCAAGGCTTGAGATAGGCAATACCCTAGCTATAGACGATGATATGAACACATGCTATACGACTGAAGCTCATCCCGCATGATCCGAGGGATGCGCAGATAAATGAACTCTTGGATATGGTCAGCCCACTATAGCAGCTCCGCAGCGATGATTATGCGCACGAGTTTCAATATCTAACAATGTCTCGAGCGAGCTCACTTCCTAAAGAGCGGGCTGCTCACGGAAAAGAAATATTCATGGAAACAATTATGGGCTAAGGAAGGCATATGGCCAACTGAAACAATGCCTCAGGAACCTACCTCCATTCTTGTCTAACAGTAACCGCTTCCTTTTTTTATTTTCCAAGTTACGCTTTCTGTCAATACACTTCGCTTTCTCATACCCCGGATGTTGGTCCGTCAACGCAAACCCAAGATTCTAGTCGAAGTACCCCACTGTCACCGAAGCCTTCCAGAACTACCGTTCCACCAATCATATCCGTTTGTACAACCCGCTAACCCCATCAGGCACGGACTCAACTGCCGTTTCCTCCGTGTATCCATGTCTACATCCTCATCTTCGACATTTTGTACCCCTCGACATGACGTGAGCTTCTTGGGTCGCCCAGTGTGGAATAGCGATCAACCTTGGTCACCTCAGCGTACCTATGATAACCCCGGTTCAATCAACGTTGCGCATTTCCGAGCCGCGATCGGTGCTTCGCAGCATCAGAGGAGGGGTTCGTGCCGCTTGATGCACGCCGAGATGGTCACGTCCAGGTTTCTACAATGCATGCACACGATGGAGGCTCAGCAACGGCATTCGCATTGGTGGCTGGAGCTATAGCTTTGAAGCTACCCTGAGCTCATAAGTACATCGTCTTCCGTACCTGCTGTCTTCCACCACGCGATTGTACTTTCGCTGCCAGCAGCACAGGCTCAGCTATGGCACCCAATCTTGCTCTTCTTCCTTTGGTCTGTTATCTATTTGCTCTGGTCTCTGCCCAATCTGTCAATGGCTCGACTCCCACCTTCACTCTACCTTCGGGATACCGCACCGCAAGTTTCAACGCTTCCGCACAGCCAACTGCATTCAACCGTACCGATTTCTCTGAAAATGCCCTAAATGAGCTGTGGAATTTAGTCGGCCCTGTTGCGACAGGGCCCGTTACTACTACAGTGGAAGCAACTCCAGAGCCTACAGCATACGCACAACCTGATGCCAACCATTTCCATGGCCTCGTTGGGTCGAATCATCCGGAGCTCAACGATGTAAAGCTGCCGAAAGGCTTCAAGTGGGGTGTCAGTAGCAGTTCATACCAGATTGAGGGTGCGGCGAAAGATGAAGGCAAAGGGCCAAGTATCTGGGATGTGAGTGTTTTTGCAATCCGACGTTTCAGTGTCCACTGCCAAGTGTCAATAGCACTGGTCTGTACGTCTGAAGTAGGTGCTGACTTTGGACTTCAGCTGCTCGCCCACAGGGTGCCAAACCGAGTATTGGATAATTCAACAGGAGACGTGGTCGCCAGTCATTACTGGCTATACAAACAGGATTTGGCGAGACTGAAGGGCCTGGGAATGCCTGGTATGCTTTGAGAACCCCAGTGGTCTATCCTGCGGAGTCTTTAGCTAACAGTTGCATAGCATTCAGTCCAAGTTTCTCGTGGCCACGGTTCTTTCCGTTTGGACACGGGCCCGTCAACGAAGATGCAGTAAAGCATTATGACGATGTCATTTCCGAATTCATCGCCACTGGTATACGTCCTGCAGTGACGCTCTTCCACTGGGATACCCCACTTGCTCTCTTCGTCGAATACGGCGGCTGGACAGATCGCCGCATTGTCGACCATTTCTTCAACTACGCAAAGTTCGTCATCTCTCGTTATGATGCATATGTGGACGAGTGGTTCACAATCAACGAGCCGCAATACTGCAACTGGCAATACTCTTACTACCCAGCCGGAGAATACTATCCTGCGCCCAATGGAGTTACTGGCGGCGACAAAGCTCGTTTCCTCTGTGGACATTACACGCTCCTCGCTCACGCAAAGGTTGCTAAGTGGTACCACGATGAGTTTAAAGGCCGTGGACGCATCACTTTCAAAAACTCGGGCAACTACTACGAGGCGAACAGCACCAGCGCTGCAGATGAAGAATCGCGCCAGCGTAACTTCGACTTCTCGATTGGGTGGTTTGGTGGGCCATGGACGGATGGCGATTACCCCAAGACGCTGAAGGATACGCTGGGAGACCTGCTCCCTGAATTCACGCAAGATGAGAAAGACATGATCAAAGGCTCCTGCGACTTCTTCGCCATCGACGCTTACTCCTCCTTCATGGCCTACGGAATCGACGGTGGCGTCGAAGCCTGTGCGTCCAACCGCTCCCACCCCGGCTTCCCAGAATGCGCGGGCTCGACTTCGATGTCTCCGATTGGTTTCCCGATTGGTCCAGCTGCAGATCCCACAATGAGCTGGCTGTACTCGGCACCATCGGGCATTCGCAAATATCTCAAGCATATCACTACTAAGCTTTTTCCCTCAATCCCTGACATCGCCGTTACAGAATTTGGATTCAGCGAGCCTTTTGAAGGACAATGGACTAGTCTTGCACCGGCGCTTTGGGATCTGAGGAGAGCGGATTACTTCCAGCACTACTTGGATCAAATCCTGTTGAGCATACACGAGGACAAGGTCCGTGGTCTTCCGTTCATTCTCCTAGGTCAAATTATGCTAAAGAAACCCAGGTCAACGTGACAGGCGCATGGGGGTGGGCTATCTTCGACAACTTCGAGTGGGCCCAGGGCAGCCAGGTGAGGTTTGGGCTGCAGTATGTCAACTACACGAGCCTAGAGAGAACGCCCAAGGCGTCGATGTTCCAATTCTTGAATTGGTTTAAGTAAGTGCTGCCCCGAGTAGGTTTCGCACATGTGACATATCAAAGTTCACAGACGCGGCATCTCGGAAACGAATAAGGCTGACTGATATAGGCAACATGAGGCAGACGCGGGCAACAATGCTACGATGAAGTTCTAGGGTCTCGTGGGTAGGGCGTCGCGAGTACAAAAGCTAATGTCTACACGTGAATCGTTAATTACATATCATTATTCCGAGGCTACATGAAGGCTCTCAATCCTAGGCCATGTACAGGGTGTCATAAACACCTAAATATGCTGCAAACGTCTTTCTCTTCGTGGAGAATAACTTCACAGCAGCCAGAAGCCCGCGATGGTGACGAGGATGGTGACGAGGATGCCGACCATGCCTTCCAGGAACTCCAATCCAGGAGGCGTCAAAGCGCCCAAGAAAATGTCGACGGTAGCCATCGCTTTGCTAACCTACGACCCTGGATTACAGTGACATTTGGTGCCATCCAAAACCCTCGGTCTCTAGGTATGAATAGGTCAAGCACCCACTCAATGTGGTACATAATATCATGCCACTACTCAGCCAAAGCAGAGCGTCCTCTCCACTAGCCGCTTCCAAAACCTTTGTTCATGATGCCACGCACGTGCTATATCGAACAGCACACTGACAAACCCCCGGCAGAAGAGCCACGCACGCCTGCAAGTACTCGTCCAGTCCAGAGCGGTTCTAGCCGCAAGCCGCCTCCATCTGTCAACATGGCGTTGATTGGAGTGGGCGAACGAGGGCTTCGGCGTGTTTCAAGTGACACGTGAAGGGTAGGTTTGATTGGCTCGCGCGGCCATGACGCACTGGGTCTTCGCAATGCGACGGCCTACCTGGCCAGGCATCTCACAACGGAGGGTTAGCATCTGGCAATGGCACAGCGGCGGCTTGGGCGGGGCAGGGTGTGGGTTAGTGCGCTTCTTATCGCGGCGATTGCGAGGAAGCTCCCGCGTGACAAGGGTGGATGGCGTAGCCGCGGATGTCTTGTACCTCGAGCAGCGCGCACCTGAGCAGCTTGCCTGATATACTTGGTTGCATGTAGCTGGCAACGGCGGCTTGTACCTCCGGTCGTCTCCCCTGGTATTGAACGTGTGGTCTGGTACGTGACGCGATGGCTTGGACGACCGGATCAAGATTAATGGTAGCGTAGTCGACCAGGATCTCGCCGCCGCTTGTGCCTGTCCAACCTCGAGCTGTCCGACACCAACGCCCATAGCTACAGCTTGCACCATTCACCGCCCGCGTCCCCCCGAGCACACCCCTCCTCCCGGCACATACGTACATCGTTCGCGGAGGATAGACAGGCTGCCCGGCCTACGATTCAGGCACCCGCTTGGCCGACTGCTCGCCTCACCACGTCGCCGGTGCCATCGTCAAGTGCTCACCTCTGCTCCCCCAGAGCTTGCCCGCCACCGCCCGCTACTGCCAGACGCCGTCCCGCGGCTCCCCCCGACCAGCGTGCCTTCCCGGTGCTGAGCATCCTATGAGTCCTCCTCCCGCTCGACAGCGCGCCATCTGAGGGCTCGGCCGCCTCGCTCGACGTGTACTCGCATCACTGCGGGTAACCTGCCCCAGCGTTCGTCCTGGCCGACGAAACCGCCCCAAACGTCCCTTCCCCAAACGCCTCCGACCGCCCAGCCATCCCGCACTCCCCAGCTCCTCCTTCCCCAGAACTCTCTGCCCACGACCCCTCCACCGACCACGACGCGGTAGCCGCCCCCGCAGCCCCCTCCACACACCCGCTTGCACCCAAGCGCAGACGCAGCTCCCAAGACAGCGACGACCTCTCCGATCCCACCCAGCGAGGCCGGTCCTCACGCCCCATCAAGAAACGCAGGCGCAGAGCAGACGGGACCATGCGCCTTGACAGCGATGCTTCAAGACGGTCCCACTCTCCTACACAGAGCTACACCAACGGCTCCACGCGCTCGCCAGGGCCCAGGTCGACCCTGGGCAAGATCGCGAATGGAGACTCCCACAGGCCCGAGAGCAACGGCTCCTATACCAACGGCAGCTCGGTAGCCAGCGCGAAGGCCCTGTCGTCGTCCTTCTTCGGCCACGACAGGGAGGAGGTCACGCGGATACTCATACAAAGCTTGTCAGATCTCGGGTACAGCGACGCTGCCGGCGCCTTGGTCAAAGAGAGCGGATATACCCTCGAAGGCCCGACGGTAGCGGCGTTCCGCAACGCTGTGCTGAACGGGGACTGGGCCGAGGCCGAAGAGCTTTTGTTTGGTACCAACTCGTATGATAATGGAGGAGGCATACATCTCGATGGCGCGGCAGGCTATGGTAAGACTTGGGCCAAGTCGAGGTCGATAGCCCAGTCGCACCGCGCCGAAGGGCTGCCGCTCGCCGAAGGGGCAAACCGGGATGAGATGTTGTTTTGGCTGAAGCAGCAAAAGTACCTGGAGCTGCTCGAACGGAGAGACCTGGGCAAGGCACTCATGGTGCTGCGCCAAGAGTTGACACCGCTGCACCAAGACGTTGGCCGGCTGCATACCCTGTCCAGGCAAGTTTATCTCACTGCTTCTGCCACCTGCAATTGCTGACCGAGCACAGCCTCATGATGTGCCCATCTGCGGATGATCTAAAATCACAGGCCCTTTGGGACGGAGCCGACGGTGAATCACGCACGCTTCTACTCTCCGAACTCTCTAGTAAGCCGTGCCATCCCCACTCACCCTGACACCGCCGTTGACCTCAACAGAATCAATATCACCCAGTGTCATGATCCCAGAACACCGATTAGTGGGTCTCCTGGACGAAGTCAAGGACGGCTGGATATCCAACTGTCTCTATCACAATACCGCCGATTCTCCATCACTGTACATCGACCACAACTGTGATCGCGACGACTTTCCAATGAAGCCTGTACTCGAACTCAAAGGCCACCACGACGAAGTGTGGTACCTCAAATACTCACACGACGGCACTAAGCTGGCATCAACAAGCAAAGACAAGACCATTGTTATTTACGACACTACGACGTACAAGATCCTACACCAACTGGATGAACATGACTCTGGTGTAACACATTTGGCATGGAGTCCTGACGATACGAAGATCATAACATGTTGCTCCGCGCAGGAGAATTCCGCTCGGATATGGGATGTCAAGACAGGCGCGTGCCTAAGACTGATTAGCGATTTTACCTATCCTTGCACAACTGCTGCCTGGGCGCCGTCTGGAACGCACGTCGTCATTGGCTCACAAGACACAAAATATGGATGTTGCATTTGGAACCTCGATGGACACCTTGTACATGCTTTCGCCCCCCACCACAACGACAGCGTTAGGGTCAACGATCTTGCCATCTCAGCCGACGGCTCAAGGCTGGTGGTTCTCCTTGAGAATAAGATCCAAGTCTACGACTTTAGGTCGCGAGAGAAACTGTGCGAGTGGCATTTCGACGATGTCAAATTAACGAGCGTTACGATAAGCTCGGATTCCAGACACATGCTCGTCTCGATGAACAAGAACAAGATTAGGCTCATAGAGATCGACACAGGGCGGGAAGTGCAAGGTTTCGAAGGCCAAATCCAGGAGAACTTCATCATCAGGAGTAGTTTTGGTGGCGCTGACGAGAATTTCGTGGTCAGTGGCAGCGAAGGTATGTTCTAAACTTCCACGACGTAGAAGTAGGAAGCTAACGGTGTCGTAGACGGCAGGGTGTACATCTGGAGGAATAACGTAAACGGGCTGCTGGTCGAGGCGCTGGACGCGCATGAGGGCTGCGTGAATGCTGTTGCGTGGCACCCCTCGGATCCAAGGTGCTTCGCGAGCGCAGGAGATGATGGAAGAGTGCGCGTCTGGAGACCGCGGTGATGCGCGACGGAGGAATGTGAAACTATCGCGGGCAGCATGCATCTTCGGCGTCGGAGGCATCATATGGGGAGGCGTGTACGTTTGCGATTTGACTCATGCATGGGTACGGAGCTTTAGCCTGCCATCCTCTCCCTCTCTGGGGCCTCAGATTATATCATACCACATTGTTCTGGGTTGCTAAGGTTATGCTGGCGCAGCGGGTGTTTGTGCGTTTGGAGGGCTGCATGGTTGGTCTATTATTTGAGATACTGGGGAGATGTGGAGGCTGGTGAGGTTCGGCACGGGTTTGATATGATGGGGTATTTGTATGTACGCAGAGTGGCGTGTTGCCTTGACATAGGACGTGCAGCGCGAATATATCGAGCAAGCAATCGAGTCTCAACTCAGTCGTGGCCATAGGACTGTCCCAAAACGCCAAGTGACTGACCATCTTGTAGGATTTGATCAGTCTGACGCTTAAGGCTGAACCAATGCAGTAATTGGTATAGAGGGAAAGCGCCGAGTGTTTTGGCTACAGCAATATCTAGTAGAACAAAATGGTGCTTACACAGTAATAGTTTTAGAGGAAACATTGAAGGAGAGACACCTACGCAACGTTTTCTCTACTGAATGCGGTTCCGGCGCTTTTCTGATATGCCAACCACTGCGGTGCATGCGTACGGCTACATCCGCGCCAACCAGCTCTTCCCGGGCCTAATCTCAAACCGTAAATGGTAGGGGTGACATACACAAGCTCTGCGGTAGGCCATAGAGCGCATCTCGTATTGTCCCGATACTGTGCATTCCTTCTACTTCGAGATGTGGTCGAGTCGTACGGCGTCGTTACCGACATAGAGCTGCAAGCATGCACAGAAACGATGTGCAGCTCGAGTGAGCAGCGGCCTCCATACGTGCTAGTTGATAAATAACAATAAGCATCTACAAGCTAACCCCTTCGCTCGCATGCCATCTCGAAACAGTTCAGTTGATCTTCCGCGGTTATCATATTTGAGGCGTTCAAGTCGCAGTGCTTTATGGTTGTGAGCGAGACCTTCCTGGGAAGTGGCAGCGGCCCCAACGCCACTGTTCCCCGCAGCCCCGCATGTTCCCTCCAGATTTCTTGCCATGCCTTGCGGACACTCTTCCCAACATTTTCCCGAGTGCTTTCGGTCATACTGAATAGACATCTAACTCTGCGCAGGTAAATCTTTGCATAGGCGATCCTGCGTTGCACGGCACGCGTTCGAATGGGACTTCGGTGCCTTCCGAATCGAGCCTGGTATACGCAACGATGTCATCCCCAAGGATGACCATCTCCATCTTGGACTAACGCAGGCCCACTGTAACCCATCTATAATAGCTTCATCATTCCTTCAGTTGCGCACTCGTACTCTGTATGCCAGCATGTCTCCTCTCACTCCGCTTTTCATTGGTGCTATTCTTGCAGCTCGAGCAGCAGCGACGTCTAAACAAACCTTCGACTATGTGATCGTCGGCGCAGGTCCAGCCGGTCTCGTACTTGCGAACCGGCTATCCGCAGACCCCAGCGTCACGGTCGCGGTAATCGAAGCCGGAGCCGACGAACGATACAATCCTCTCGTGACGGACGTCGAAGGCCTCTTCCTAGGGATTGGATCAGCGCTTGATTGGGGATATCCCAGCGCGCCGCAGAGGCATGCGCTGAACAGAAGCCTCGCGTACTCGGGGGGAAAGGGTCTTGGAGGGACTACATTGATCAACGGAATGACATACTTGCGCGCCGAGAAAGAGCAAATCGATCAGTGGGAGGCATTTGGCAATGGTGGGTGGAACTGGGAGAGTTTGTACGAGTACTACGTCTCACAAGAGCACTTTCAGCCCCCAAGATTGGAGAATGCGGAGAGTGGGGCTACGTTCGACGAAGCGTTTCATGGGTACGACGGGGAACTTGCGGTGGGCTGGAATAAGTTTTTTGTCAAGCAAGGGTTCTTTGAGATTCTTAAGAATACGAGCGAAACCATTGGGATTGGCTGGAATGAAGATGCCAATGGCGGGAGAATGGGTGGTTTCTCGACTTGGCCTTTCATGCAGAACTCCACGACGAACACACGCGAAGACGCGGCAAATGCGTTCTACTACCCCATTGCAGAGCAGCGCGCGAACTTGAAGGTCTTTCTCAACACTACAGCGACCCGGATTATTTGGAAAGAGAAGTCTGGATCCAACGATGCCGTCGCAGAAGCAGTCGAAGTCCTCGCTTCGAGTAATGTTACGAATTGCCTACATGCCGCGCAGGAAGTCATCCTCTCCGCTGGCTCTCTCCGGTCGCCCGCGCTCTTGGAACTCTCTGGTGTTGGAAATCCCGCTATACTCCAAACCCTAGGCATCGAACCAGTCATTGACCTTCCTGCGGTCGGCGCCAATCTACAAGACCAGCCTAACAGTGCGATATCGTATACTTCCGCTACGAACTGGACCGGCTACCCGAGCTTCGTCACCTACCTTACTGCTTCCGATCTCTTTGGCGAAGAATTGGATGACATAGTATCAGAACTACGAGCAAACATCAGTGACCTCGCACGCAAGATCGTCGCACATTTGCCACCAAACGAGAGCACAGTCGAAAGAGAAGAGAAGCTGATCGAAATGCAGCTCGATTTGACTTGGTCGTACAATAGCACTGTGCCTCTCGTAGAAGCTGTCTGGTTCCCCTACGGAAACGCAATCAGCGTCGCGTTTTGGTCACTCCTTCCCTTCTCCCGTGGCTCCGTCCACGTCACTTCCACATCGCCAACACGCACCCCTGCAATCGACCCGAACTTCCTTCATCTGCCAATCGACACCCTCGTCCAAACGGCCGGTGCCTTGAAGCTTCGTGAATACTTCGCCACAGAACCACTTTCTAAGCATGTCATCGCTGAAGTTGCGCCGGGCCCGGACGCTGTTCCTGTCGGCGCCGGCTTGAGAGATCCTGCGTGGTACAAGTGGATTGCTGGAGCGTTCGGGTCCAATTCACATCCCGTGAGCACGGCTGCTATGAGGAGTAGGGAGTTGGGTGGTGTTGTCGATGGTGAGGGAAGGGTGTATGGGGCGGAGAATGTGAGGGTTGTAGATGCGAGTGTATTCCCCACGCAGATTAGCGGGCATCTGAGTGCTTCTATCTATGCTCTCGCTGGGAAGATTGCCGAGGGTATGACACGGGGGAAGCGTCGAGAGGTTTAGGTCTTTAATCTTAACCGTACAGGTCCCACGGGTTGAGATCACGTAAAGACGTATCTTTCTGGTTATCTTTACAGCACCTCTGCGAAACTACATATGAAAAGGAAGTCAAATAATTGAGTGCATTCAGGCTGCGTCGGGGAGTCCCGGTGCATCGAACGGTCTTACCCCACTCTTTCTGAAGAGCTTGCTATATTGGGAAAGCGTACTCCACCCTCCACGTTATCTTCACTCCTCTTCGCACCCTCAACAGCTTGCAATAACTATCAACACTTAATCAGTCGAACCATGGCTACAGCTACAGTCCAGCCCATTACAACTGGCTCTGTTACGAAGTACGAAGCCCGCTCAACCGCCCATGGCTACCTGCAATCTCGTCTTGCAGCCAAAGACACGATAAGCGACGCTGACTTCACCATACCCGTAATTGACCTAACGCCATCATTTTCTGAGTCTCTGGAGGACCGCAAATCGGTAGCGGCCCAGATCCGCGAGGCTTGCACCACTTCAGGGTTCTTTTACGTTACGCACCACGGTATTCCTTCCAGCACTCTACAGTCTATTTTACAACAAGCGGAACGCTTTTTCAATCTACCTCTGGCTTCTAAACAAGATTTGCATATCAAAACGAGCAAGTATGGATATGGCTGGGAGCCTAGTGAATACACATCGCTTGCCGGCGACTTGGAGTCTAAAGAAGGTTTTAACTTTGGGTACGAGGAAGGATTGGACAAGAGTGGGGGTGATGGGAAATACAGAAATCTGGACGGAAGTGATGAGAAAGCCAATCTGTGGCCTAAGAAAGAAGAATTGCCGGGCTTCTATGAGCATGTTGGCGAATACTATGATGCCGTGAGTCCGTCCTTGTAAGTTGACTGCGCTGTCAGCTAACAAGTGCTAGGTCCTAAAACTTTCCCGCCACATGTTCAGGCTCTTTGCTCTTTCGCTAGACCTGCCAGAAGATCATTTTGATGCTATGGTCACGCATCCGGGAGGCATCGCGCGTCTCCTCTACTACCCTCCTCCTAAGAATCCACAGCCCACTGTCTCCGAACCAATTCAGGAGAAAGACTACATTGGTCTGGGTGCCCATTCTGACTATGAGTGCTTCACGCTCTTGCTTTCTTCGACCACACCCGGTCTCGAGATCCTCAAGCCATCTGGTCACTGGCACATCGCAACCCATATCCCTGACGCTTTCATCATCAACGTCGCAGACTTCATGATGCGATGGACCAACGACGTGTACAAATCCACTATTCATCGCGTTGTCAATAGGAGCAATCAGGTCCGATACAGCGTGCCGTTCTTCTTCTCCGTCAATTACGAGGAAGTCATCGAGACGCTGCCGACATGCTTGAAAGAGGGAGAGAAGCCCCGATATCCTCCCATCGGAGCGGGGGAGTATATTCTTGAGCGACTCAATGCCACAACCAAAGATGGCGCGGGGTTTTATGGAAACGCAGAGGTATTCGAGAAAGAGAGTGCGTCATAAACCCGGGATGCGTGTAGATCATGTATGCGCTAGTATTTGTCGCCATTTTGGATATAAGCACAATTGATAGACGAGCTAAAATGTCTTGCGCAGCCAGAGGACATTAGAGTAACTCCGGGACACCAGAGGTTTTCAAGTCATGTGACCTATGCTACCAAGAATCGGCCCAGTAAAAATGTCATCTGACTGTAAACCCTCGCGGACCGCAAAGGGAGACTGCATGTACTTCGTAGGGTAGGTAATCCTTGCAGAAACGGAAAACTTCTCATATTGGTCGGTCAGCGCCAACATGAGGATTGCTCAGACGTAAGGCGTATTTCCTCTCGTGCGTATGTTTGGGCCCCCCATCGCAGAACAAGATGCGCCCCCAAAAAACAGCCAATGCGATGAATTTCGCCTGCCTGCGCCTCGCCGGGCGTAAACATGACCAGCAGTCATTGGACGTGCAGGATCTCGCATATGTGCGACTGGGTGTACTCTGACAATCTGTGCCAGATGCAGCGCCCGGAACCATGGGCCTTAAAACTCCAAGGTCCGCCCGTGCGGATCCCATGACAAAGGTCAACGTCTTTGCATCTTGCCTTCTCTGTTGCGTGTAGCCAAAATGTCTAACCTGCCAGAGGTGGCATTGCCAACAACGGGTCTTGAGGTCGATCATTCAGCGTCTGCACCACCAGCAGGTGTCAACTACGTAGCTCCACATTACTATGGAGAGCAACAACAACGACTGCCCTCGAAGGGCGAATACGCTCCGGTCGGAAGCGAGGATCGAAGTGTGCCGAAAGACTCAGCAACAGTTTGTGGTGTACGAAGATCTACATTCTGGCTTACAGTCATACTGGCTATAGTGGTCGTAGCTGCAGCAGTGGGGGGAGGTGTCGGTGGTTCTATGGCGGTATCGAATGCAAGGTAAGTTACCATTCTTCCCGTGTGAGCGCATAATGAATTACCTTGCACTACCACGAGTTCACTCCTGGTCGTACCAAATCACTGACCGATCGCAGATCCGACGCACAATCCGGTAGCTCAGGGTCAGCTAGAGAAACAGTCACCGTCACCGCTACTGTCTGCTCCACCTCCGCCCCCGAACCCACATCCACATCCGTCTCCGAGGACGACCCGCCATACGTTCCCAAGGAGGCGTGGAGGGTGAACAGTATAAATGGGTCATGCCCCACCCCTGTTATGCAGAACACCCACGTCGACAATAGACCCGACGACAAATACAACTGCAGGGAGGGCAGGGACTTCGGCGGCTTCGACATCATGTGGTTTACATCGTACACACTGCAGGCGTGCATCGATGCATGCAGCAATTACAATGTAGCGAACAAGACCCAAACGCCGTGTAAGGGTGTGGCTCTGGCGCTGGACCTGCGGCAACAGTATTACGTCAATGGTGGCGCAAACTGCTGGTTGAAGTCGGAAGCGAATGAGGCCGGTTCCAGTGAAAAGAAGACTAATACATTCGCGTGGTTAGAAAATCAATAAGTGCGGAGAAAAACCGCGGCGAGGTTGTTTTCGTCACTTTGTTGATACCCGTTGATCTACTTTTGTCGTGCCGCTAAGCCTGTTCTAAGAGTAATTGAGGTCGAGATGTACATACTTTGCATGAGGGGCGCATTGAGCAAACAGATATGATGCCATACACTCAGCTTGTCTCAACTTCCTATTACGCTATGTTAGGCAAGATTTGTAGATCTTTTGTTATTGAGTAATCCACAAGCAGCTCACTGGTCGCAGGCTTGCGATCATAGAGATGGCGCAGGGAGCGCTTGGAGGTTTCGAAAGGACGAAGACGTCTTCAATGTCTATAGGATTTGTTTGAACATCTCCGGTTTCGATTAGTGTTCACCTCCCTTCGCTCTCGTCAAGTTATAGCGCATCCCGCATCCCAATAATAATAGCAACGACATTGGCTCATGTCCAAGCAAAACCCTCCCCTGTCTATGCTACCTAGCACGTGCAAGGGACCTAGGAGGCCAATCCACAACTCTGGTTGCCGCCTAATATTGGCTACGCACGGCCCCCAAAGGATGTAACTACGCCGCTTTCACTTTCAGACTTTATCATAGACACAGCGGAACTCAATGCCGCAAGATCACGGATACCATCTCAGGCAACGAACCATCTCTGGCTTCCCTTAGCAACGAGCTCTTATTTGTTAATTGCTGAATGGCTTACTAATCCGAAGTCGACATCGCTGAAGAATTTCTCTCTTGTCAATCAGCGCCTCAGATAGCACGCCTCTTCTTTTCAGATAATTGTACTAGTAAAACCTCCGAATTTTGGCAGTCGATCCTTGAGGTGACAACCGAGCGTCCGAGTATGGAACCAAATGCGCGACGGCATCCACTTCCTTTCCGCCCAGGCCAACATGCACAGCAACTTAAGGAAATTGCAATTGGAGATTCCGATGTAGCTTAATTTAGAGGAACAGGCCCGAAGGCGAAATTGTGGGTTTTCTTCAAGGTCTCACCAATCTCGAGCACCTACGCGCTCGCGTCCCTCACGATTTAGCCCGATTTGAAGTCCAGCACGTTGCATATACCGCTCGGAACCGCAATATTTTGCGTCATGTCCCAATGTCGATTACATTCAAAGTTCTGCCCTCCAAGGCTTCTCCGTGCACGACTGACTTACAAGCTGCAACCTTCCCTCATTCGCTTCCCTCATGATGAACGGGCACTCGCACCCTGCAACAACCATGACAGCGTCTCCAATCTCTGCGATATCGACCTTTATGCCTGTGCGCCCACTATTCGTGATGAAATATCGTCTTGAGTGGAAGTTGCTGGCCAAAGTCCGGCCATGCGAGTCGAAGACACCGCTCAGCACGAAGCCAGCAGCGTCCACAGTTTCTTGCCACGTAAGAAGAAATGCCTTTGACTTCTCATCTCTGTCCGCGATAGCGTGTAGTGCTAATTGTACTTCTTCCCATGCTTCGTCGTCTTCCTCACAGTCCAAGAGGCAGGTTGCCAGCTCTCTGATAACGTAGGCTCGAAATAGTGCTTTTAGAATTTCAGTGGGGTCTTCTCTGGAATCAGTCTCTAATAGCTCATCCGAAGAGTTCTAATTAACTAGTTTCAACCGTCTGACATACGTTGGAGACAGTCCGGCTTGTGAAGGTACGGTCGCTAGGTCATTCTTTCGAAACGGCTTCTTGTTGCGACATATGGCAGAGGCGAGTTCCCCGTCTACATGTGGCTTCACGTAACAAGGGCCAAATCAATCAACAAGATGAGATGTCGCTTTGCAAATCCGAGTGAAGGAAGCGATTAATGTTGCGGGCATGGAAGTTGCAAGGCAGAGGCCTTGCTGCGGAAGTCAGCAGCCACCGTGGGACTAGGTCATGTTTGGCTTAGCGCCCCATACAGTTCCAATGAACAGGAAGCCTTTCTTAGATACATCGCAGATGTAGTCTTCTCTATCTTGCGTATCTTCTAAAGACTTTCATTCGGGTAATATACTCCAGAAAATTTCGCCAGCCGTTTCCACGGAACTTCTGTCCACTGGTCTCGATCGATCGAATAGTGTCGACTTTACTGCTGTAAGAGAAGCTAAATTTGCGTGAGGACTAATAGATCATCTTTCATGCGTGCTTCGGGCGATTTCAGCTAGCTCAAGATAGACTAGTGCAAATCGGCGGCTGAAAAATTGGGCCGGCCTAAACTCCACCTTCTGCAAATTCGTGCTCTAGCGGATACTCGTGGTACTAACGCGTCTGGTAAATCAGCGTTATGGGCCAGGATGAAGTTTGCAACTGAGCGAATCTACTGGTCTACCTCAGATATACTGCCCTCACCTGGATAGACATACTGGACCTATCGCACCCATATCAAGCCAGGCATGATGAGTTCGGGAGACATTCCTCACCAGCATGCAAGGCCGCGACGACGTGGCCCAGGCTTATAATCGATTTACATGACGTGCTTTGACGGCGCCGAAAATAATTTCTCGGTTGACCGGGGATTGCAGAACCAATCGTGACCGATATCGCACAGGAACCTTTACTATGTATCCATAGCCTACAAATGTAACTTTTTGCTACTACCATCTCTGCATCGTCGACCACACTCCTTTCAATCATGCTCGACCGACATCAAGATATCGAGAGCTCGCCTTACCTCGACCGGCATGACTCCGGCGATAACAAACCCATCCTGGAGCCACAGCTGAATGTTGGCGGCCATGGAGCTACGCAGCGCCGCCTCAAGAATTATCATGTCACAATGATTGGGTTCTGCTCTGGTATTGGAACAGGTCTTTTCATCGGAACTGGCGCTGCATATGCGAATGCCGGACCAGCAGGCTTGTTGCTCGCATATATCATCGTAGGAAGTGTACTGTGGTGCGTTATGCAAAGTATTGCTGAGCTAGCTACTGTGGTTGGTATATCTGAGCCTTCTTCATACCTTCTTGCTCACTGTCAGATAGATCCCAACTGCTGGTTCGTTCCCGCATTTTGCGAGCCGCTTTATTGACCCTGCTGTTGGTTTCTCCTTGGCCATAAGCTATGGATATTGTTACACAATATCGATCGCTGCCGAGTGCTCCGCTTCTGCGATTCTCGTAGGGTACTGGACTGACATGTCGCCGGCTATCGTCATCAGCATCAGTCTCGCTCTCATTCTTGCGATCAACCTGATGAACGTGCGCTGGTTTGGCGAGTCTGAAGTCGCCGCTGGTGCGATCAAGGTCGCATGCTTTCTTGGACTCGTCATTGTTTCTATCGTCATCACGGCTGGAGGTGCACCGAATGGCGAGACGACTGGCTTCCGTTACTGGCACAATCCGGGCGCATGGGTTGACTACAATGGCATTACCGGTCCAACTGGTCACTTCCTGGGGTTCCTGGCAGCGTTTGTGAACGCCTCATTCTCCTTCATTGGCGTCGAGGTGGTGGTCATCACGGCTGCTGAGAGCGTAAATCCGCACACTGCCATCCCACTGTCCGCCAAACGGGTCACATACCGAATTGCCCTTTTTTACATTCTTGGGGCGCTTCTCATCGGTCTTATCGTCGACCCAAGAAACCCCGGTCTTGTGTCAGATGCTGGAAATGCCAACTCTTCGCCCTGGGTCATTGCCATCAAGCAAGCAGGCATCGTGGCACTTCCTTCAATAGTCAACGCCTGCATCCTCGTATCCGCATGGTCAGCTGGTAACTCCTACTGTTGGGTCGGATCCCGCATGATCGTCGCCATGACCACAGATCGCCAGCTCCCGCAGATCTTCGGGCGAACCTGGAAAAACGGCGTGCCTTACGTTGCAGTCATCGCTTCGTGGCTTTTCGGGCCCCTCGCGTATCTCAGTTTGGGCACTGGTGGCGCGGCACAAGCATTCACTTGGCTAGTGAGTCTCAGCACGGTTGCAGGGTTGATTGCCTGGGCGACGCTGTGCTTTTGCTACATCCGCTTCCATGCTGCGATGAAAGCTCAAGGACTGAGCAGAGATAGCCTACCATGGAAAAGCCCATTTCAGCCTTTCAGCGCGTGGTATGGGTTTATTGGATCGACTATCATAACTTTCATCACTGGGTTTCCTGTCTTCTTGAAGGGCAACTGGAACACTGGTGATTTCATTGCTTCGTACATTGGCATACCAATTTTCATTGTACCAATCATCATTTGGAAGCTGGTACACAAGACTAAAGTAAGTTGATTTCCACTGGAAAGAAAACCCAGCTAATTTCGCGTAGTTTGCTCGTAGCAAAACCATTGATCTTTGGTCTGGACGTCTTCATAGAGCGTAGAGCGTCGCATTTGTAGATTGTTAGGGGACATTTCAATTCAAATTTGATTGTCAATGTGGGTTGTTCTCATTTCATGTTCGATTGAAATGGACGTGAAACCATTATGACAAAATGCCGCGTATACCCTGTAATTTTGACTTGTAACCTGCCAGCAATACTAGGACAAAAGTCTGAGCACCATCAGCCTAGGCATTGCCCATCTTGGGGTAGCACACTGTACTTGGATCTTTTTCCTGCCACTATGTGTTAATCGTTCGAACGCAACGCTATAAAAATAAGTCTACAGTATACAGCAAATCACTACGAAAACATTGATACATAGGAGAAATTTGACTGGATGTGAGGAAATTGATTGGTCTAGCTGAGCTGCTTGAAGGCAGAGTTTGGCGAGTATGCGAAGGAAACGAAGTATTCAAGCACAAGATATATTCTCCTAAATATATAGAGCGAGACTCCGCTTACCCTCAGAATTAGGAAGTATGCTCGGAACTCTGGAGATGATTGTCCTGAAAGAAGTATTGAGGATTCTAACGCACCAGTTATGCAGCACGAGTACTGCAGGTACGACGAGAGGGACAGGACCAGATACCAAGATAGCGATACCAGAGCTCTTCTACATCAAATGCTGAGCCTGACTCGGGAATGGCGCATTCCAAGCAACCAGGTGGAGACCGCCATAAGACAGACCGGCGAGGGTGACACCTGAACAGAAAACACCGTTGGTTTGACGAGTAGATTGTCATGACTTTCGGAACACCTCCCCAAGGTCATATTTGCTGATGATAGTATCGTTTATACCGAACCTACGGGCAGATTACTGACAAGCTTCTTCCGACTCATTCGTGGTCTCTCTGATCCTATCGGCTCAAGCACATCAGCCCGATTACGAAGACATGACAGAATATTTTATTCTGGCTCCAACTACCAAACACAACGGTCAAACCCAATGTTTGCCAACTCACGAGTGTGTGGGCCAGCTAGCCCCGAGGGTAGCCCCCTAGAGGAGCGGCGCGTTGAGCGTTGGGCGGTAGTCTAGCGACGCGATGCCTGGTGACAACTCAACACGATTGCGAACCACAACCAGCATTTTGCATCCCATTGATTTTCTGCATGCCTTTTCTACTATATATACTATTTCAACATGCGTACTATTATCTATAAGCCATATCTCTATTATATTAGTTATATGGCCTATTGGGTATACTTACCTGTGCAATCTATATTTACTTTGCCACATACATACTATGCCATTTAATATGTATTTTGCTCCAGCTGGGCAGAGATGAGTTCGAGCCTTGATGGGATTGTTTTTCATTTATTTTAGTATTTGTCGCAGCAGGTACTTCCCCCTCAGAGCTCAGAGCTCAGAGCTCAGAGTTTGGGAGCTAGGTTTCGCCGCTCCAATTCATGTACAAGAGCCCGTCTTCTATCGGTCGGGCAAGGGCGAGGAAACTCTTACAGACGACTTCATAATCATAGATGGGTATTTAATTAACGCGATTTGGGTGGGAAAATCGGGGTCTTTGTGACATATCGATGTACCGTGTCTGCGCAGTCGTACGGCGTTTCTGGAGACCAAGCTTCTCCGTCGTCGCCGTAACTCCTTTGGATCCAGTCGTGGCTGCGGCTCTGGCCGTTGCTGCTGTATTCGAGCGTTGGACATGTGACGGTCCGCCCTTTGACATGTTGCGCTTTGGATGTGAAGTTTGAGCGGCGGATTCATGGAACCGCGTTGACGAAGTGCGCGCCGGCGTGGGTTTGGTAGGAGATATGGCATTCTTCGTGTGAGGCGACACCGAAACTATAGACGACGGACCAAATTTCGTGTGTATTTAATCAGCAGGCTACTAGCAGTGCGAACGGAAGGTGCGCATCGGGCGGTGGGCGCTTAGCATCCACCACCCAGACGCCACTTCCACGTCCGCGAACCTCTCCTCACGAAACCACCACCGCCTCAGCACGCGCCTTCGCGCATAGCCGCTGTTATGACACTCACGTCAACAAGCAACATAACACCAAGATAAACACAAGTGTCAACAAACAACCACATGAGATTGAAGCAATTGACTCGCTAAGCAGCAACGGCACAAGTATGAAAGTAAGCCGACAAGAACACCAGGTATCGCTGAGAGCCAAAGCAAAACGCCATGATGTACAACCAGTCCAGACCAAAGACGCAGTGAGCAGAAACCCAGAGGCACCGCAGCATATCCCATGACAAGTAACGCCTATCCGTCCATCCATCGCTGTCGTCCATCGTGAGAGAAACATTAGGTAAGGTAAAGCCGAGCCAAACAAGTGAAGTCTAGGCATCTCAAGGCGCCTCGTCCGCCAGGGGCTGAGATTCTGAAGTTACAGCCAAAGTAGCCTCAAGAATGTCTTCCTGCGCGACAGGAACTACATTCTCGTCCGCGTAGACGACAACACTCTCTTCTTCCTTCGCTGCCTCGATAGGCGCTTCCTCAGGAACCGGCTGAGGCTCCTCCTCGGTCGCGCAACTGAACTCAAATTCCTTGCTCAATCCACTCGGCCTCTCGATGCCCTTGTCAACAACAACATAGCTGTCTTTGTCGCAGCCCTCCCCATAGAACTCGCTCGCAGGTAGATCTCCCAACGGCTTGCGATCCTCGTCCATGGCATCCTGCTTGACCTCCCTGAGCCTGGGCATCTTCACGCCGGCTGCTTCTACTCCCGCAGACTCCAAGGATACGGAAGATGCACCGCGAGATTGAGCTTGGGAGAGAGTAAAGTCCGGCGGCGGGATGTTCTCCTTGCCGCGCTCGAGCTCCTCATTGCGCGCTTTGGTCGCAGCGTCATCGTCGGAGGAAATGTCGAGGACAGAGGCGGAGTGCTCCATCAGGTTGGCAGCTTCCTGCTCTGGGGTGTCCTCGTGGATCTCGAAGAACCACGATGTGGGCATCGAGTCCTCGACATGGCTTGCTAGCTCCAAAGGAGCGGAGACAGGGACGGCAGCTGGGGTGGGTGTGGCGACGGGCTTGGGCGTGTAGTTGGGAATGGTTCCGCTAAGAGCTGCGTCGATGGAGAAAGGGAGTGCGGGGCTGCTGTGGGCGGAGAACGAGGGTGGATCGACGCGGCGGAAGGGCGAGCTGGAAGCGCGGCGCTTGGAGAGGGCGCCGATGCGCTTGTGCTTTGGGGAGCCGCGGCTGTGACTGATGGGCGTGGATGTGGTGGTGTTTGGTGAGGAGAGGGCCTTGCGCACAGATGGGATGGAAGGCGAGGCGGTGAGAGGTTCTCTGGTCCTCAGCGGCGAGGGCACTAGCGCGAACTTTGAGGGCTTGGAGAATCCGTCGGAGGTCTTTGACTTCTTGGTGGGCGAGTTGAAAATTGAAGGGTCGGCGTTCTCAGAGTCGTCGTCCTCGAAGATGGCAGGGCCGCGGCTGCGCTTCCCTGTCGAGGCGGTGGGGCTTGGCTTGAGTGGAGACGCGAACTTGGAGTTGGAAGCAGGCGTGAGAGCTGGAGATCACGCGTTTAGCGATGGGGTCGTCGACGGCGGAGGTCGACTGCTTACCATTCTGCCTGTTCTTTGCGCTCTGGAGGGCCTGGAGGCGCGGGGCGCCTAGCTCAGCGAAGGGCTGGCGCGTAAAGAGGGCCATTGTGGAGAAGTGATGATGTCGTGAGGTAGAGTTACTCGGGAACGAAGGTGATGGGCGACTCTGTCCAGTACCTCTGCCGGACACGTGTGCGCTGTGTCGAGTTGGGTTGGAAGACGCGCGATCGCGGGGCCTGACGTGCAAGTGAAGAAGCGCGGTGGACCAGTCAGTCGTCGGAGCAACGCCTCAGCTTCCTCTCTTCCTGGACGACAAATCAAACGTCAAGCTCAATTCACTTCCAAAGAACGACAACCAAAAAGCTTCGAAGCAGCAACGCAACAAGCCGGACACACGAGGGGAGAGAGAAGAAGAAGCTGGGGAGCAGCGCGGGCGGAGGAGTATAGATTGTCTCTACGCGTAGCACTAGCGCGTTCTCTCCGGACAGGCTAGGGGGCGGCCGTCTTCGCGTCCACCTCCCCACTTCCAAGGCACACGCCCTGGCAAGCTAATCAATGCGTCTGGAATCATTGGATGTGCGCGCGCGCCACAGAACACGATCGCACCACGAACGTAGAACTGCGAACCCGTTTGCACACGCGCATGCTGGTCGCTCGCTTCTCGACGTGCAGGGCGCAAAGGCTGGTGTTCCACAGTCTGCTCGTCAGCTGCGTGGACCGACGACATGGTGCCCTTTGGCTGGCTGAGGTTCATGGAGGGCTGGGTGCCTGCAGTGGTCGAGTACGAGTGGGGTTTCATCGCGCGTTCGCATGCGCGATGCCGCTGAACTACCGCGTCGAGGCAGTATGCCCCAGAGGTTGCGCGCTATGCACGTAATGGACGTGATTCTGTGGTTGCTTCCACGCTCGTCAAACGTGATTCTCTTGGTCCGGTCTCGTGTTGGACAAGCTGCTGAAAATAGCTGCCGGGCGGTAGCTGTAAGTATACCATAGGGAGGAGCCACGAGGAGCCTCTCATCATCGTCGCTTTCTGCATACCGTCTTCTTATTCAGGATTGTCCATGATACTTCTTCGCTCTTCACCACACGTCTCTCCACGACCCCTCAATTGCATCTTTCCGCCACTCAGCCTCTCGATACTTGACACCTCTCACCTCCGAGTTTAGCCAAGTATCATTTTCCTCAGCATACCCGCTTTGGTCTTTCCAATCACTTTCAACACGGCTGCCCGCCGCGCTGCCGTCCCACTTCGCGCCTTCTGCGACACTCCCAGGCGTCTCCACGTCCCCGCCCCATCCAGTCTTCCCGCTCCACCTAGCACTGCCAGCCACGCTCGCCTCTACGCCAGCCTGACTTCCTCCGTCTTCAGCATTATGACCATGTCCACGGCTATCTTTCACACTCCAGGCAGAGTTCCATTCTTGGGCACCATCCTCCGATTCTGGTGCGTCCTCCACAGTGGGTGCTCTATAGGTCGAGTGGCTCCTCACAGAGCGAGTGTCCTCGTCATGCTCTGCTACAAGTTCCCCATCACTGCCGCGGTCATCCGATCTAATTAGCGAAGGTCCACGCGAATTAGAACCATTGGACCCAGCAGTAGAATGATCGGATATCTCCTCGACCTGTCGTCTCCATGAGTATGGCGTGACGACCGAGGTTCGCGACCCTGCTGATTTGTGAGAGCGGACCGACGGCGCTCGACGGCTGTTACCTGTCTGTTTTCCCCTGGACCCGGACACTCTGGATGTAGCTGACTTGCTTGGAGAGTGTACGGAGCGTACAGTATTGTTGTCGTCACCCTGGATCCAAGCTGACACTGAGGCGATCGGTGACTTGGTAGGAGAACGTGATGTTCTGTATGAGACTCGCGTCTCGAACTCGTCTACATCCCGCTTCCAGCTATCATTCGATCGAGCCCTAAAAGCTTCACAAGACTTGGTAGGAGAGCGCAATGCACGACCCGAAACGCGTGGTTCGAATCCGTCGACATTTCGCTTCCAGCTACCATCCGAACGATTGCTAGAAGTCTCACGCGACCTTCGTCGTCTCGGTGTGGTGCGGGCTGATTGCCGGTCCACATCCCCAGTCCAAGTGTCTTTGGAGCTGCCTCGAGATTGGTTGTGAGAGGATTCTCGCCTTCGTGGACTAAGAATCAAATCGTAGTCCATATATCCTCTCCGTGTGTCAACTGAGCCGGCTTTAGAGCGGCCACCCGACGCTACTCGCAGCGATGAGCTTCGCTTGGATCTCTTATCGTCAGGCATCCAGAAGCGCATTGCACTTCGGGAGCCTTGCGGTGCAGCGCCTGACGTAGTCGAGGGGGTGGCATTTGAGTATCTGCCTGAAGATGTCGACGATGGGCGTCGGACGGCTGCAGCTTCTTGGTCCCAACATGCCTGCTCAACCCACGAATCGTCGGACCTGGTTACTGAAGTGATTTTCGAGAGGGTCGTGGGAGACTTCGATGACCTGATTGACAATACAGGTTTGATCGGTGAAAGCTGTGGAACAGGCCATGCGCCGGGTGGATACTTTGAAAGTGATGGCGGTTTTGCGGATAGCATCGTATGACGATGCGTTGTAGAGAATGGCTCACTTCGTACCCCAGTCATGAAGAACTTCGTAGGCGACACAATATCTGTTACACTTTCTTCGGGAGTATGGGCTTCTGGTATAGGTGCGAGAAGTCTCGAGGATGGCTGGCGACATCTGTGACGCCTGTGTTCGTCCTTTCTCTGCTGGTCACCAGACGCTGCTTGCGCTCTTGCCTTTTCTTCCTCTTCTCGTTCTCTCCGCTCCCTGGCTTCGACCGCTGCTCGAACCTTGACTTCCTTGTCACTCTCTTTTTCTCTCCTCGCAGCGTCCTTTGCTTTCCTCTTCCCGATCCTCTCTTCATACTCCCTTTCCCTTGCCCCCATCTCTTCCCTCTCCCCAGGTCTCCCTGAGTCATAATCCGCCTCCTTGTCAACAACGACCACTCGCCCATCGCTCCCCTCAATAACAAACGTACCCCACGTCAAGGGCTTTGGTATTCTAACTCTGCCGTCGTTCTCAACTGCTCCAACTCTATGCTCTTTCCTTCTCTTCTTCTCTTCTCTTCTATGAGCTTCGCCTGCATCCTTGACTTCAACCCTGGCTATGCTTCGCATCCTCGCAAGACTCCTCCACATATCCCCCGCAAGCGCCTTCTCCTTCTCGATCGTCCACTCGGCGTCATACTTGCTCGTGCGCCATTTGCCCTTGCTGTAGAACGCGCGATCAACAATGCCGCAGCCTGGAACAATTGGCACACTGGGGTAGACCATGTCTGCGCCGTCGTCTATGAAGCTTCCGGTGTAGATAGTCTCGGAGGCTGCCGAAGTAGGTGAGACTACGGGCGGGGCAACAGAGGCTTGGGCACCTTCGAGCCAGCTGTTGACGTCGCGATGTTCGGCGCGGGGCATCCGCCGGGAGAGATTGAGGCCATCGTCTACGAACGAAGGCGGTGTGATGGACGTCACGGTGTCGGAAGGTGTGAGATTCGGGCGTCGCATTGTGGCCGTTGTGGAAGGGGCAACGGGGAGCGCACTTGACGAACTGGGATTTTATAGCCGTTGGCTACTTTGGTCGATGTCTGTAGCAAAAAGCCGCGTTGAAGAAGCGAATGTGCTGGGGTCGGATAGCATAGAAGTCTGATGACAGTTCTCGGGCGCGGAGAGTTGGTAACGCGCGCGCGGCCAAGTTAGAAGTTGCGAAGGCAAGGCGTGAGCTGAGAAAATCGTTGGGATCAATGCGATTTTGGAGCCGTTGTGGAAGACAGGCTGAAACTATTGCCGCAGCAACCACAGCGGGCATTCGTCGACTTACTAGTAGAGAGTGAGCAAGTGAAAGTGAATGGAATTGATATTGGCAAAGATCAGATGGTGGCACAACATCGCGAAAGACAATTCGTTAAACATCAATGACATGGGTATCCGATACGTCTTACCACCTATAGCTTCGCCTTCTCCCTCCTCTTCTCCGCCTCCCAGGCCAATTGCACCCCCCTCATCTTGTACCAGCTCACCCCCGCCGCAAGCGCCGCCAGCGGCGGACAAGCCCACAGCAAGAAGCTCCACCACGCGGGACTCTTTTCCCTAATCTCACTCATCACCCTCCGAACCTCCTTCTCGAGCTCTTCCTTGCCTCCGTCATTCCACACCACCACTCCCCGTCCCTCTCCCCTCCTCAAGCACCGCTCTACCTTCTCCCTGATGTCGCCCTGACTGCTGACCCTATTCCTCGCATCTTCCTCCGTAAGATGTGCATCCCTCGCGCGCAGCCGCTGAATCTGAATCTTCGGATCCGACACCCCTACCACCAGTATAGTCCCGCAGTACCTCTCCCACCCGCTCTCAAACAACAGCGGTACGTCGAGTACGACCGCCCAGTTTCCCCTCAAGTGAGCCCACACCATCTGCTTGTACATTTCCTTCCGGACCGCGGGGTGCACGATGCTGTTGAGCTTCTTGCGGTCGCGCTCGCGGTCCTCGCCCGCGCCGAACACGCGGCGGCCCAGCGCGGGGCGGTTGAGCGGCTTGCCGGGCGCATCGAGAAGGAGATCGGGCGTCGTGGGGAGAAAGTAGTCCACGATGGCGTTGTAGCCGGGCGTGCCGGGCTCGACGACCTGGCGGGCGATGAGGTCGGCGTCGATGATAGGGAGAGAGTAGGGTGGTTCGCGGAGGAGGGATGAGACGGTGGATTTTCCGGTTGCGATTGAGCCGGTGAGACCGAGGAGAAGCATTTTGAAGATGTACCTTGGCGATATGCTTCGAAGTCTGCTGCTCAAGGTGTTGTTATGTTGCGGTTACGCGCGCGTTCGGTGTTTACATGGCGTGGGGAGAGGTGGTGATGTTGCGGGGCGGAAACGAAGCTCCATTGCCTCGGAACTTCGAGCTAGGGCCACGATCGCGGGGAATTTGCTGTCTTCTAGATATCGAATAGTGACACTCTGCGACCTTCGGATCAGGTATTTAGAATGCAGTTCCAGTTTGTCACATTTTTGTCTTTGCACACAGCAAATTACCATGGCTCAGCCGAAAAGAATCCGTGAATCAGAGCAGTGTCCGAGTATTCGTATATATACCTGAATCGCAGCCCAATGCTCCTGGAAGCTGTAGGACTGTTCAGCATGAAGCCTACGAGCAGCGCCAAAACGCCTCGTCCAACATGCTCAACCACAATCATGCCCTAGACCAATAGAAACCCTTATGGCATCGAACACATATCCCATAACGCCACTAATGCCACCTCAAATCCGACCGGAGAAGCCTCCAGCTGAATGCTATGACAGCGTGTGATCGCTTGCCGCGTCCCCATTCGGCTCCATCTTGACGTCCTCATCGCCACCCGCGAGTACCTTCACATGCGGCCTACTTCCGTCCGGGGCCCCTGTTCCAGGCGTGCACGCCACAACCTGGCCATTCTCATCCACGAATTCGAAGTTGTAGCGTGATAGCAAGTGAGGAATCGCCGAGAGCTGGGGGCCGTAGCGCGCCGTGTTGTCGTATAGCTCAAAAAGGGGGACCGCGAGAAGCTTCATGTTCTTCGGGACGCTGAGGACCTCTGTTGACTTGTCAGACTATCGCAGGGGTGAAAGAAGACAAGATCTAGGGCAACGTACTACTCCGCGGCAGCTGGATGAAGTACAACTTCTTGCACTCCTTTGGCCGCGTAACATGCGCCGGGATGAAGGGGTACATGAAGGTCTCGAAATTGGGACGCCACCACTGCGCGAGCGTGTCGCCGATCTGCCACTCGTCGTTGACGCCCTCGCCTGTGAACTGCGTGCCGACGGGCGCAAGGCGCTCGTTCAGCCTAGCCTTGAAGCCTTCGATCTCTTCAACGTCGTGCGTTAGGTAGTCACCGGGCCTGCAGATATCAGTACGCGCATGAATAAATTCAGGCTGTCGACATACAGCTTGAAGAAAGCGTTCGCGATCTGCAGCATGAGGATGTGCGGGTGGTTGTGCTCGTGGCAGACCAGCACGCCTTCGCACGTCCTCCGCATGCCATTCGCCTGGTAGTATTCCTCCAAGCGCTTCAAACGCGCAAGCACTGATGGGTCCTCCTCCGGCTGGGCATCCTTGGTGCCAAAGGTATAATTGCTGAGGGGGTACAGGCGGATAGTCTTCGGCTGGTTCCCATTAAAGTCTTTGGGGAGGATCGGGCTACGGCAGATTAGCACATGTAACTAGAACGCAGAGCAAGCTTCGCACGGGTAAGAGCTTTGGGAAGCCTCCTTGGTGATTGTAGACATGTTGAGCGTGTGTTGGAGATTCAAGCTCGCTGGCGCACTCGACCGCCTTACGAAGTCGCGACGGGTTACAGGGATGTTTGGTCGGCATGCGCGGACCAAGTTCGTGTTGATTGGTCGTCTCACGTGCGGCTGATCCCCCGGGCGGGCGCGACATGGAACTGTGAATCTGATGCCGTGTACTCTACGCATACATCATCTACAGGTGTGTATGTTCTTCCAGATTTAGTGTACAGTAGCAGACATAAGTCTACAGTCGGCCTACGTAACGCCTACACTGCGACCCAGAAGGTAGTTATCTACATCACTCCAACACGCGCAGCACGTAAAGACCCCATCAAGATCATGTTCGTAAGAGTATTCATTCCATGTACGCTGATCATTCCAAGTACCAGCACATTACTCCGCTTCATAGCTATGCCTCTATGTCCCGCCCTCGGCCTGCAATACGCCGACTTTGGTATATGGACGAAGCTGGCAATGGCCAGCTGAATGAGAATCACAAGTGCCAATCGCTATCCGTCAAATCGAACTGCCAGACGACCAACAATCACCTCCACTAGGTTCGCTTGTTGCGTCCGGAGCCAGATGACCTATAGAAATCAGTAACTGCAGCGGCTATGATGTTGCGGTCAACTTACATGCTGATTCTTCGCGCAACCGTTGCAAGTCCAGCATCGTTCTCAGCCTCCTTGCTCGCCTTCTCGAGAGCCTGCTCTCGGCTCGCTTCCTGAGATTTTCGTACCTCTTCGTGGCTTGGGGGCAATCGCTCGTTCTGGAGATCAACCTTTCGGGCGTCTTCGAAGCTATGGATAGCCTGCTTGATGCCTTCGGCTCCGAGCATAAGGGTACCTGCAGGAAGACGACCACCCGACGCTGTCTTCAACTCAGTGACACGCTCAGACTCTTCGCGCAATACTTGGAATACGCGAGAGAGCCTGCCAATTGCCAAGATCTTGTTCTTGATCGCCCGGCGTTTGAATTCGGTAGATTCCGGATCCATGTTCTGGGTAAGGGGGGGTGACGAGGGACCAGACGCCAGAGAGCTAGGCGTCTCCTCCTCCAATTCCTCTTTGGAGCAGGTGTTGAGGATCGCGATGAGCATGTCCGTGACTGCGCCAATTAGCTATGCTCATTTCTCACCTCTGGTTGGGCAACTTACTCTTCTCTCCAACGAAAGGAAGCGACCAAGTGAACACATCCATGAAATTCGGCAGCCAGTACGGGTGCGGCGTGCAGTCTAATGTGGTCAACGCTGTGTTGTTACAACCAAACAAAGTAGACTTACTGAATTGTCGAATGTTCATAACATTGTTCTCATACTTCAAGACTGCAGCCTTGTTGTTGTACACATCCAGGTAGTTTGGTGCGCTGAAGATTGTCATGACACTGGGGAACCCAGTAGTTCTCGTCTTCCTGTACATGCGGTAGCCTGCATCTTGCGCTTCGTGAGCGCGAATGATGGAGAGTAAGTTATTCTTCTCCAGGAAGGCGCATGCAGCGGGGTATGAAAAGAAGTAGGAGCAGCCTCGGACGTGGTTATGGACGAAGAAATCGTTAGTCTTCTCCTGCCCAAACTCTTCGAGTGGATCGGCCCACAGGATGTCGCACATCAGGCCATGAGTTGGGGGCTCGCGGAATCGGTCAATCTGTGGCAGGTCAACCGTGGCCCCAGGATCAGCAGGTAAGAATGCAGCGTACGCTCTTCAGATCGTCTAGTGTGTGGAGCTCTGGGCTCAGCCCACCGTGTATGCACAAGAACTGCTTATTCATGACCGCCGCAAGCGGTAACGCGCAGAATGACTCCATGCAAGCTTCATACACAGCTTCGGAGTACTTGTGCTTGCACTCCAGCTTGAAGGTGAAGTAATCGGTCAAATGACGGCACTCGTGGTTTCCTCGGAGCAACCAAAGCGTGTTCGGATACCAGATCTTCAACGACCAGAGGTACAGAACACACTGAAACTGTCAGTGTCTGCCATGGAATCTCGCTAGCGGGAAGCTGACCTCTATACTGAAGTATCCGCGATCGACGTAGTCGCCCAAGAACAGGTAACGTGTTTCGGCGGGATCGCCGCCCACTTCGAAGAGCTTCATGAGGTCGTAGTACTGCCCGTGTACATCACCGCACACGGTTATGGGCGCGTCCATTTCCAGCAGGTTGGGTTCCGACTTCAGCACCTCGGTACCTTTTCGTATGATCCATAGCGCCTGCTCTTCGGTCAAGCGACCCTCGCGGTAGAAGTGTTGCTTCAGAAACTGGAGATTTGGCTTCGTAGGGTCTTGTGGCGAGAGAAACTGATCTTGCGTGGGCGGATGGAAGGCGGGTGCCTGAACGTCTGTTGCCGCCTGGTCAGCCCTAAAAACCCTACAGGTTTTGAGTCCGTCGTGAGCAGCATTGGCTGCTCACTCAACCTAGGGACTTTCTGGCGACTTACCTTTGCAGACTCGCTCGAGGGTGCTCACTTGGGACCCGTCTTCCATGGTGTGCAGGGTAAAGTCAATCTCAGGGAGCGGCTTCTTGTCCTTGACGGCGCGGATGGCATTGTCAAGGTACTTGGCCTGGTCCACGTCGCCTTGCTGATTGTTCTCCATGGTGGGCAAATGTGGCTCTCAAATGGGGTTGAGGCGTCGAGAAAGACGGTGGAGGAGGCGACGAGGGGCGGGTGGGGAGGGAGCTCAGACCCTTGGGTGGCGGCGAACGAATATGGGGCCGAGGCTCCTCTGCGCTTGGAAATGGGGCAAAACAATAGGCGGTGGCATACAGGAGCAGTCAGTACAAACGGGATATATGCGGTCGCTGTCGTTGTCGTCGTCGCGTGCTCGTCGTTGCGCTGGCTGGCAGCTGTAGGGCTGAGAAAAGCGTCAAGCTGGAGGGGATCACTACCTAAAGCTTGGCGGGCACGCCAATGAGGAAGCTGCAACAACCATGGCCCGTAAGCAACGACGACGAGTACATGGACAATGGAGATGCCGAGGGTCTCATTGTAAGCCTCTCTGCAATCTCTATCATGATCGAAAGCTGTGTTGTCTGAATGCATTTATCAAGACACTACGCCCGTTCTCAGACCCATTAGCCAACCGGCCTGCTCGTATTCCAGCCTGGCAGGTGCGACCTGACGTTCCACCGTCGCACAACAATCTTGAACGATTCAGTCCAGGCTCCACTGCATGAGAGAGCATACAAGTCCACTCTGGGTGCGACCCGACGTCCAGATGATGCCGAGCTTACGCAGGCCAGCTGTGCCGCATTTTGCATTCGGTTAGCCCGAGGAGTACGTGTACGTGGGAAACGGAGGCGAGTGCTGCTTGGAGTAGAATCAACGACACTGTGCAGCGGATAATTGCACCATGTGTTTCACATTCAGGTCGCTGCAATGCCGGCTCGCAATCACATCACAATGAGCTAAGTCAGGCCAAGTATCGCAAGAGGGAATGCATTCGATGCGAAGCGAAGCTATGGACTTCAAACGAAGTACGATACAGAAGTATGCTCAAGAAAGCGAGCGTTGCGATGTCCACCACAAGACCTCATAACCAGGGCATGCTGGGACTCTGACCCAAACATGAACGAAAATAAACATCAAAAAGGTACTCTAGAAAGAAGAATGTGAAAAGAAGTGAACCGGCCGCCTGTCGAATATTTACAGAATTCGATCCCATGCAGCCAACCCGTGACCAACTCCAAGAAATGCGTTCGTGAGAGGCGTGACGCCAGGACTTTACAACACGCTGCCACGCTTGTGGAGGGCTGCATGACGGTTGTGGAGAGTACCGCGGGGGAAGCGGATGCTGCGGCGAGAGAGTTGGCCGTTGGAGCAGCTCGTACCCTCGGCGAGCTTCTGGGCCACAGCGTAGCCGAAGTTGCAGAGGCCGAAAGAATCGGTGCCAATGCAGACAACAGCACCGTCAGTGGTGCACGGCGTACCAGCTCCGGCTGAAGCGTTGCCAGAGCCAGAGCCGGTGCCAGTCTCAGAGCCAGAATTAGGAGCAGACGGGGCAGACGGCTGAGCGGCGGCGGGCTGGGAAGCGATGGGGGTAGCGGCAGGCTGAGAGGCCTGGTACGAAGCGGCAGGCTGGGAAGCAACAGGCGCTTGGGTAACAGCAGGAGCGCTGGAAGCAGGGGCAGTGCCAGCAGCAGACGATGCACCCGGAGCAAAGACACCTCCGCTGTTGGTGGGAGCAGCAGTGGCTTGAGCAGGGCTGCCGAGCTTGCCAGCACCAGCGCCCAGGATAGTCACAGCAGCGCACCCGGCGCCAGAGATGGCAGTGCCCGGAGTGGCACCGGCACCGGTGGCGACGCTGTCACCAGGGTTCGGGTAGACGAAGTCCTGGCCGGAAGCAACCTCACACTCGGTAGGGGGGAGGTTGGCGACAAACATGTCAGGCAGTTGGCCAAGGACGGAAGAGACATCGGCAGAAGCAGTGTCACGCTTGGAGCTGCCACTTGTAACTTCGAGAGGAGCACAGTTCATGTAGAATTCGCGGTTGCCGAGCTTGTTCAACCAGGTCCAAGCAAAAGTATATTGGCCGGCGGGTAGACCCTCAGGTATCTTGACGGGAATCTTGGGGTTGTTCAGGTCGTCCTTGTTGCCAGACATGTTGGTCTCACCGTCGCCTCCCTGGCAGCCATTGATCTGACTGTGGAGGACCTTCCACTGAGAATCCTTGGTAGGCTTAGTGTCTGTGGTGATGGAGAACTGGCATGAGCCTCCACCGTGTGTCGCACCACCCTTAAGCTGAACTTCCAACGAGCCACCAGCCGCGACAGTGTTCATCGAAGTGATAGCGTATGTACCACCGGGTTGCTTGCACGGGAAGTCCGCAGGTTCCAGGGGAGCCTGCTGAGTGGCAGAGTCCTCCCAGTCGAAGGGAACGGGAGTGTTCAGGACCATGTGCGCTGAGGCACTCGCGGCAAGCGCAATGAGAGCAGATGTCTGGAAAAACATGATTGCTGAAAGATTGTGATGATTCTTTTGCTGAGAAATCGCTAGACCTGCTGAGCGATGTGACGACTGTCGAAGGATGGGGTCTATGGTGTATTGTTAGCAGTCGTCCATGGGGTTCATAACAGTAGTACGGGCCATGATCTCGCAGATCTATGCGGAACCGAAAGCTCTCTGAGACAGCGCACTAGTACGAGAAGATACTCCTCAGAGACAACACTTTGGCGAGAAATGTAAACACACACAAACTTCGCAGCACTTACCAAAGATATGCTAGTGCAGCTAGAGGAGGTCGGGGATAGACAAGTCGATACTCTTCAAGACAAGATCGAAGTTCAGCAAAAGATGATGGTACTCAGAGAGTGGATGCTCTGCCGCAGGCTGGAGCTAGAAAGAAGAATGTACAAAGATGGAAGAAGGAACGAAACGAGCTTGTGGTGCTGCGATGCGGAAGACAGAGCTACAGCCGTTCAAGGGACCTTTATAATCTCCTCTTACTCTCGGTGGCGGTCTGGGGGATCGGGCACAGCGTACTGTGCAGGGGTGTTTCGACCCGCATGGCAATGCCACGGCGGATCGCAGTGAATGATCAGGGTTCATAGGCCGGTAGCACGCCTTTCATGCAACCATGTCGAGGAGGAAAGCGGGCCAGGGGCTCGAGTCGGTTTAGCCATCTGAAGGCTTGTGCGAATGGACTGCGGGCGAAAGAGCGAACATCAGGCTCGGCAGGGGAACTCTCGGTATGATTGGCTTCTGTTGATGGAGATTCACAATTGTTTCTGAAACATCCTTCGTAAAACTACGCAGGGGAAGTTTGACGTGGGGCGGGCTAAAAGAGTCAGGCATGGCAGGGTTGGTTGGTCGCCTTCCCGCCTCGGGCCTCCGCCGAGATACCAATCGATAAGATGCCTCGCGGACACTGTGAAGCTTGGTTAGCGAGATCTAACCTCATCTGACCTCGCATGAAACACGACTCACCTAACGCACGCTGTTTGCTATTCCCATTCGCCTGCACCGGGCCCCTCTGCACACGGTCGCCCATTACGCAAACTAGCCACCAAGACCAGTGGCTTCCTTGCGCGACCCTGTGCGCACGACGGCCCTCAGCGACTGTTTGCCGCCGCGCTCTGGAGCGTCGCGCCCGCCCGCGCCATCACATCTAAGGCCAGCATCCGGAAAACCTTGTGTCGCAGGTTGATTGCAGGCCGGGCGGATGGCGTCGTCCAGATGGCGGGAGATCATGGTCAACCCCGGCTTCTTGCCCATCCCCAGATCCAGTAAGGTGACTGTGCACATATTTTCCGCGTAAGCACACTGTATTCTATATGCCGGCTCGTGGCTGGATCAGCCCGATCGTATATTTCGAGTCCTTGCTTTGCCCACGATGCACAAAAAGACAAGCTGAATGTGCAGCTGTAAAGCGGAAATTGGCCCACAACGAAGGTTCCACCGGCGGTTCCGCGTATGAGGGACGAGAGAAGGTTTTCCGGGATTAGGCGAGTTCCCAGCGGCTGCGTCGTCGTGGCACAGTCAAGCTTAATGCTGATCCTAGCGAGCCGTAAAGATCACCTCCCGCGAGGATACCACATGCCTTCTTGAGAACTCGATTGGTGAGCATTGGCGCTCGTCAAGCTTGCGGTTTCAATTGACGATGAGCACCAAATCATTGCAGTTCGCCAGCGAGGTCGTCAGCGAGGCCCAGCGTGATCGTGAACATAGTCTGAGGACATTCCAAGTGCGCAGGCCCACGAATTTCTGTCGACTCTCCATGTGAGTCCTCGTACGGACCAGGTTCGCAATGGCACAGTCCACGCGTCCCGTGGTTACATTGGGATTCAATTCCTGCTGAACTTCCACCCTATAGTGCCTTTGCAGCTGAGGCTGCTCTGCCGTTCATGCCCAGGCTTGACATTTCTTGGAGGCAGTGTGCGAAACGAAATACATTTCCGGTGCTCAGTGGAGTCGCAAGGTCCGCGATGCGAAGTACTCGTTCTTCTGTTCGCGGAGTCCGTGAAACAACTTCAAGCGGGGCGGGGCGCAAGGCTGCTGATATGTCATGCCCACGCTGCTGGAGATTTGAAAAGATTATCCCGTACAAAGATAGACTGTCAAAGGGCGCAGTAGGCGATGATGACGAGTATAACCTTGGTGGTTTTTGTTGCATTATGGTGACAATCCACCCGGACTTGGATGCCAATACCTGACGATCGTATGCAATCCGAGCTAACCACACTGGTGACTCATGGAAGTGCATATTCTTTTCAGGGCGGTAACTTTGGGCGATAATCAATAATCGGGCGCGCCGGATTTCAATGAAGCGGAGAGGGCGAAAACGTTCTCGCATAACTTGTGGCGCCGATCTTGTGGCTGTGCTGACCTGCGCCTTCAGCTCACCCAGGGTCACTGGCCATGTAGTGACGTACGCCTTCGCCACATATATCGTACCTTTTGCTTACTCAGGTTGAAATAATCCTCTTCCACGGTCGTATTAAGGGTGCTTTCTCAATTCCAACGTGGACCCGACCATCCATTCCGATATAGCTACCGTATCCGTATCGATAGTCCAGCTGCTTCAAAGACTCGAGACGACCCCTTCTTTTCAGTTGAGAGAACCCTCGCATTTCTTGAACAGCTGTGCTTCCGGCAAACAAGGGGATAACAGAAGCGACACTAGTCGGTAGGCGGGCGAGATATTTTCCTGGTCGTCGGAAGTACACCCAGCAAGCAACGACTGCATAGATGCAGAGAATACCTTCAGCGATAGCGAACAATGGTGTTGATAAGAACAACCGCTCGTCCTTTGTGATTTTCAGTCCAGTCAAGGAAGATGAGTTCCCGCTTGTTCGCGCAACGAGTAAATGATCTTTGTTTGCTCCAAGCCATGCGGCGAACAAGCTTGCGTACACCCTGCCTAGCGGCTCTTCGACGTCCGTCAAGGTAGGAACCTGCTGATTTGGATCAAGCAATCTATTGCTGTTGCTTTCAAGTTGAAGGAAATGGTTCATGAAGTCAGTCGCATAACTTTCGTTGTGCCAGAAAGTCTGAGCGGACATGAAAAGGTATTTGTTGGACTGCGCGATGAGGTTGATGGGATCGGTTTCAAAGATACCTTGGGAAGTCGCTGCATTGAAGTTGTCTTCCAAGAATGTGTGCTCGGCTGGTTTTAGTAAGTGTCCGGCATTGTCTACTCGAATCGTAGCACGTCCTCGTACGAGTCGTGGTCTACATTCCAGGAAGAAAGAATTCTGCGAGTTCAATGTCGTCTTTTTGGATGTTTGACATGTCCCATTAGGAGTGCGGAGCCAGCCCATGAATATAGATGGCCAGCATATCTCTTTTTCAGCTTGCGTGGCATTTTCATTGGCGGTGTCCAGTGACAAGACTAGTTCTAGTGCTGAGGGCCCTTGTTGGCATATCGTGTCGCCAATAAAGTCTGTTGGACCCGGACTTGCTTGGACGTGATAATCACTGACACAAGTGGATCGTGAACCATCCTTTCCAGTAAGAGTGCTGTTGAAGATGGATCCTGGCTCACCAGTCCGCGAAAACAAATCCTTGGAGCGTGGGTCGAAAATTGTGCAGTCCAGTTCTGCTCCAAATGCGGTCGTTTCAGCCTCGTACTCGCTATCTTCTGTGCCATTGGCATGCATAGGCGAGACGAATGGAAGGTAGAAGAATCTTTTGTCGGTCCATGCAAGGAGAGAAGTGTTTCGAGTATAATTCGATTCAAGAGCCAGGAACTGATCACGTCCGTTTCCACCATGGTATGCACCAGACGCAAAATCAGACCCGGACATCTCCAGTCCCTTCGGGCCGATACTTCCGTCAATTGATACAAACTTGAGGTCGAAAGGTGGATCAAGATGAAGCTCTGTTTGTATATCGACAACCTGATGGTTGAAAAGACCCGCGAAAGCGACGGCGAGCAGATTCGCCAAAAGAGCCATGGAACAAACAGCTCCTAAAGTCAGATGCCGAGCGCGCAACGCTTTCCAGACGACCAGTTGTGGCGGCAACGAAGCATAGTCGATATCTATTGAGTCTTTAGCCTTTGCATTGCAGTCCTGTAACTCTTCGATGGGTTGCAGCAAACATAGCAGCCGGTTCATCAGGACCCAAATGGGCTCAATGAGTGTAGCGATTGCAGTCGGAATGTAGTTCTCCAATAAATTTTGAACGAAGTTGTTCTGCGAAGGAAGCGCAACGCCTGCAACAAGTCTATAAGCATGCCTTTCAATGATTTCCAATGTCCAGCGCTTACCGTTGAGTCTTGCTTTGATGAAAAGAAGCGCTAGTCCGATGGCTAATCCGAGGAAGAAACCAAAAAGCAAGATCAACATCCACCAGCTGAATTCTTTGGGTCTGACTGGCTTCTGCACTGATTTTAATGATCTTGAGTGTTTGTATGTAAGAGAGCGGATAAGCGGAGATTTGGCTGATGCGGAGGTTGAGGCCAATTCCACAATGCTGCGGTACCATCAGTGCTGTAGAACAGGCTATTTCTGGTTGCGTACCTTGTCTTATGCCCACGCTCAACAAGCTTGTATGTTCTTTCAGCAACAATCTCCTCAATTTCCTCGTTGGTGCAGCAGTCAAGCCCCTCAAAGTCTGCAAGCAAACTGTAGTTGTTGGCTACTAGCCCCATTAGACTTGCAATAGTACCCGGATCCTGGCATAACACAGTTTGTGTAGAAATGCTTTGATAGTAGAGTATTGCGGCAAGAACGGTAAGTATCCCAAGAAAACCGACCACGATATAAGCGAATACCGGTTCGAGTACAACTGCTGATGTATTGGACACGAGCTCGCCCAAGGTCGTCTTATGACTCGAATACTCTCTGCCTTCAAGAACATCAACCATGGCGCGTAAAAAGAGAAGTCGATAGGCTTTTTCGTATGATGAAGCCAATACTCTCCAGTCGAGATAGCTCTCTAACTCTGTTTGTTGTCCAACAATAATAGCAAGATTTAGCATGGGTTGAGGACTGCTTTCCCAGCTCACATTCATATCAGTTATCTTCTCCATGTAGTTAGGAATCGTGTTGTCCGGAAGCCCATCCCCATGGAGGTATGCACCCGTCCAGCCGCCGTTCAGTAATTGCTCCATCCAGGTTGAATTGAAAATGCTGTTGTCGACTTGGTGCTTCGGGCCAATTGTTTCAACCTTCGTAGGGCGTTTCGTGGCGCTCTCCACAGTTGCGTTGACTTCTTGCGAATAGTATTCTGGCGTGCAAAATATTGCAGTGATGTTGTTCGGAGGATCAGAAGCGCTCTTCTTGTTCTGAGTGAATGCTGCGAAGAAAGTGTGGTTCTGATCTTGTGGACAGTCGCTGCTGAGGTAGAAATCAGCCATTCCGGGATTAAAGTATCCGGCGTATTGGCCTTGAAATTTTTTGACATTGCTCAAGATCTGCGGGACGGCGTGCATAGTCGTATTTCCGTCAAGAGGTGATCCGAAGGCACAGCCTTTTGAGTTGTTGTATCGTGATACACCAATCTTGGTAGCCACCTCGCATCGAAGATCCAGTCCATAGAGTACCGTCGGTGCGGTCCAGAATGTAGCATCGCCTGGCCCATCTTGCTCGATGGAAGAAGGTTTGAAGGGAGCTAGGGTATAATTAAGGGTCATGTATTCGGGTAGAGATTCATTGAGCACTACGATTCCATACGTTGACTGCGCGAACCGAGTAGCAAGATATTGTGGCTGTTCACTAGCAGGTACGAGGCTCGCTGAGACGTCGAACTTAGCCGAAAACGTGCGCGTGACGTGCTCAGTCGAGAAGATGCCTGACTGGGTAGGAACCAAGCCCCAGGTAACAAGTACCAGGGCAAGTGAAGCCCAAAAGACGTTCCAATGTCTGTAAAACCACGATTGGTCAGCGAGGTGTCTAGATTTGGAATTGGAACAGTAGGCGATCTCAATGTCGTTCAACAGCTTACCTGTTTTTCAACGCTCGCACAGGTACTAGAGGGACGAAACCAAATGGGTAGGCCAGAAGAAGGCTATCCTTCCCCAGTGCACCTTCCTGGTTACTCAGACGATGCCACGGCTCCAGTCGCTTGACCTCGAGATCTATCCAAGCCCAGAAAATACTGAAAACAACAGCTAGGATCGTGGGGAAGTATTGGTATAGGAACGTCCGCGAAAGAGGAAGAGCGTTAATATCCTGCGCGAAGATGATGCCATGTTCTCGTTGTGATCTTCTGAGCAACAGGACAAGAGTGAGTATGAGCAGGAGTGGCGTGATGATGGCAATGATAAGAGTCGCAGGATGCAGCGCCGGCGACTTCCATCTCTGAGGCTCGTTACTCTTCGTTCTCTGGATCTGGAAAATGTTCTTGAATGTGGAGGTGGCGTGCAGCGACGAGTTGGGAAAGCTCGAGCGGGCGGGTGCTCCTTGATTATCCATCGCGACTGGCGTACCTGAAAGCGCCAGATGAACCAACACAACGCAGCCGTGAGATGGAAATCAATAGAACCAACAGAAAACAAGAACAGATCCAAGCACACTCACATTTGCTTCGCAGCGCGACTTCGCATCAACTTCGCCGGGCGGTTCCCGTCGTACATAAACGGTGGTCGTGGCCCCCATGTCATTGGAAAATAACCGCCCGGGTGGGCACTTACTGTGCCGCAGCGCGACCTCTCACACGTCCATTTGTCGCGACGGCGCTCGCATAGCGGGCCGCTGCAGGTACAAGGTACGCGAAACACAATCCATATTGCGCGAGCTAAATAAGCCTCAAATCTGTGTCGTCCTTTCCAGATCTGGTTCGGGTAGCACACGATCGTCAACGGGTGACTCTGCTGATCGTTGGTTCTTGGGACGGTGGCACCGCACCGGTTTCCAACGATGCCCTTGGTGCTCGACGCGAGTGCGAGGCTGAGATACTAGTATGGGACCTTCGGCCCTCATATTGTGATTAGGGCGAGATGGGATACCTATAAGCTCGTGGTTCCTAAGCAGGATTGGTCCTAATTAGTGTCTTCACGCACCCCGCGCTTCCGCGTCTTCGCGTCTCTTTCATATCTATCTGCCGCTTGAGACTGTTCTCTTCGGAGGCGGGACGACACATAGACCTCTTCTAGCATAGCGCATACCTGCCCGGAATCCTCGACTATTTCCTGGGACCCAAGACAACAGAAGGTTTGGGCTAGAACATATCATCTCCGTGTTCTCATCCCTTGACTGAATTTCCAAACTCAGTGAGACGGCGTGAGGCAGAGTTGACCACAGGTCGAGTTGGAATGGAACGCAGCCATCTCCTTCAGCGTACCACCAACCTCGTGTGCGCCCGCCTCTAGGGACGATTCAAGTCTTCTGTCTGAAGTCGCGCTCGTCTTCAATTACACGTGATTTTCTGAAGGCGACTGTCACATACACGGGTACGGCTGGAAGCTGTTCATGGCGTGTGTTCAGCTGGGAGCGCCACTGCGCGCGAGGAGTGTACAAGTCATTGGTCCAGATCCTATCGGACACTGGCCGCTGCACAACATGCATTGGAACCCCGCTCCATCCCTCAGCCTTTGCACCTGCGGTACCCACAGCCATAAGGCACGCAGCTCCTCTGCGCCCCGTCGGCCTTCGTTGTCGCATGCTGTTCCTCCGCCGATATCTGCTTTGCAATGGAGCCGCTCACCATCTTGGGGCTGGCATGCAACATTGTCCAGCTGGTGGACTTCACTGCGAAAGTCTTGAGCGGTGCAGCCGAAATCCGCCACTCCACGAGTGGGCTCGATACAGGAAGTGATGAGCTTCTCTACATAGGAAAATCCCTGTCAAGCATGTGCGATAAGATACCGGATTTACTCTCTGATCCACTGCGAAAGATGGAGCTTTTCGCCGAAGCCTTCGAAATCGCAGCCGCAGCAAAAGAGCTCGCACAGAAGCTGGTCAAAGTTATCGAGGGTTTGAAGTGCGATACCAAGTTAGGAAAGCAATTGGGGAGCTTCCTCCAGGTCTTGAAGACATTGTGGAAGAAGACCGAGATCGAAGATATGCGGGTACGACTCGGCGATCTGAGAAATCAGCTACAGGGAATTCTTGTACTACATCTGAGGTATGAGCATTAATCAGGTTACGCGCAGTGTACAAAGTCCCGACTAACACAAAGCTTAAGTTCTACTCAGAATAGAATGGCCAACCAATTGGATAAGTTGAGCAGCGACTTGGGTACATGGGGCTCGAATCGTGCAAAGTCTCTGATAGAGAGCACACGTAACCTTAGTTTAGAAAGCGACCAACCGGAGAAACTTACAGTCCTAGAGAACGAGTTGAAGGCCATTCGTACTGGCATGGATAACCTGAGTAGAGACGACGCGTTCCTGAACAGCTTGTACTTTAATACGATGTCACAGCGATACGACACCATTATAGAAGCACATGAGGAGACGTACGATTGGATCTTCGCGCCGGAAGCTTACCCGGAAAGAGATGCCCGTTCACAAATCGAGTTCCGGCAATGGCTTGAGAATGGAACAGATGTTTATTGGATTTCAGGAAAACCGGGCTCTGGAAAATCGACCCTGATGAAGTTTCTTGCTACATGCAAACACACTCGAAGGTATCTCAGACGATGGGCTGGGAATTCCCATCTCATCTCCGCCGCATTCTACTTCTGGATAGCTGGGGGTGACATGCAACGATCTCAACTCGGACTGTTACGACAGCTCCTCTTTGAGACCTTGAACGCACGTCCAAGTCTCATCGGGGTTCTTCACTCGCAGGCGCAAGCCCGATTGATGAAAACCTTTACTTCATCTAAATGGCGGGTAGAATCCGACACTTTGATTCCCTCTCATTGGACACTGGAGTCTTTGATCCAGGCGCTCACTGACCTCGGGCGGGAAACATCTGATCAAAAGATCTGCTATTTCATCGATGGGCTAGACGAATATGATAAAGACCACTTGGACCTGATCGCTACGATCGAAACACTGTGCAAGATACCAAATGTCAAAGTCTGTGTTTCGAGTAGACGCTGGCCGGCTTTTGAGAACGCTTATGGATCAAAACCTGGATGTAAGCTTTACTTGGAAGACCTCACCTATCATGACATTTTCCGTTTCGCCCGAGATAAACTGGCGAGCGTACCCCAATTCGATGATGCCGAAGACGACTTGGATGTGGACCAGCTCGCCGAAGAGATCGCTGTCAGATCAGAGGGCGTCTTCCTGTGGGTTTTCTTGGTGATACGTTCCTTGCGTGATGGAATTACTAACGGAGATGACGCGGGAATGCTCCAGAAACGACTTGATCAACTACCTACCGATCTGGAACCATTCTTCGAGAGGATCTTGCGTTCTGTTGATACGATGTATCATGAAAACATGAAGATCATCTTTCAAGTCGCTTTACAAGCATCGGCACCTTTACCTGTGCTCGTTTACTGGCTTCTAGACGAGGAGAAGAAGTGGACTGCTCGGGCTCTACAACCAAAACAGGACGAGAACCAGACCAAGCTGGAAAGATTTCAGCACACGATGACGCAAAGACTACTTGGTCGATACAAAGGTCTGCTGGAGCCAAGCCGACGAAACCGCGACCCGACTCGGTCGGTCCATTTCCTTCATCGCACAGTTCGAGACTATCTGCAAACAAGAAGCGCACGAGAAACGCTTCATATGACGAATCTCAGCGTGAATTTGGCAGCTTTCAAAGCCACCAGTGCGTATGCAAAGCTCTTTTACGTCAGAGAAGGTTGTCCCAGGGACGTGATTCGAAGCATGGTCGTTTTCGGCCGAAGGGCCGAGCTCTCCGGCGAAATGACTGACGTACGCGAGGCTCGTGGATTCAGTACGCTCCTATTTGCAAGTCAGAAGTGCAAAGTCTCTCATTTCATCGCACCAATGATAGAGTTCGGATTCACTACGGGTTTGCAGCATCTGTATGACCAAGCCACTACTTCGATTGCGGCTGATATTTACACCTATGAAGAACCACCGTCAGAATTCGTACTAGACACGGAGAGCATGGTCAGGGCTTTGGAAGCGCAGACACAGTCGTCCCGAGAGTTGATCGGAGAGAATCGCGCAACAGATGCCTTGGGCTGGCTTTTGAGAACGTACAAAGATCAGCGCAATATGTTGTTCTTCAACCATGTTGCAGGTATGGTAGGTCTGGGTGCAGGCCTGTACGAGACGTGGCCAGTGACCAAAAATCAATGGCAGGTCTCTCTCAAGGCTTTACTTGAGAACGGGATTGACATCAACGAAGTGTTCAAGCATCCCGAAGTACAGGCTTATAGTGTTTTCCCATGGATCGGCATGACCGGACAGATTCGATGCCAGTTCTCTAGAACCTTTGGCCAGCTGTCACGGTCCAATTTTGACGTTTTTTATCAGTCACAGCGAATGCCTATGGTGGAGGATTGTCTTAACGGCATTTTCAGGGCATACCAATGCTGCTTGGCTCACGGACTAGACCCAAATCGAATACTGGTGGAGCTTTCTGTATGGGAGATGTGGATCTGGCAGTTCATGGATATGCTCGGAACGCGTCTGGATAGCACCGTCATCAGAGATTTTTGCCGGAAGATGACAGCTCTTTTCCTTCAACATGGGGCAAACCCTTTCGCCAGAGTGCGCTTTCAACATCGATCGGAATCAACCGAAAGAATAATCTCAGTCCGTCACTGTCTGCAGCCACTTGTCGAGGCACAGGGCCAAGATGATTTATTGAAAGTCCTGCAAAATGCCAGAAATGATTGGCGAAGCAAGACGTTACCTTCGGACCCCTCGAGCTTCACGTCGCATGTCAAAAGGAGAAACTCAGAGGAGGCTAAGGCATTGCCAGCGAAGGCTACCAAGTCCAGTGTGGGGTAGATAACACTGGACGATATCGAGCTAGACAGCCAACCATGGAACGAGCTGTGGGCAATATGTACATAGCATTACTACTTTGAGATACATCGGACAAGCGAGTATCTCCCGAAGTAGATGACGACTCGGACGCTGCGGAACGCTTGAAGCCGTATGGCATTCGACTACGCTTCATCGCCAAATGGAGCTGAAAGGGGTGTAGCTGTGCCTTCGAATTGTTCGAGGCGTCGTTGCGCTCCGAGACCGCCGCGCATGTCGACTTGGTCTGGCTATGTTCTTTTGGCGTTTCCATGAGCATACTTACCACGACGTGGAGTCAAACGTAATGCTTCGCATGCTTTCGTGAGCCAGCGAAAAACGCGGAACAGGGAAGCATTAGTATGCAAAAACAAGAATCGTTCAATACCCAACAGCTTGAATTGGAACGTCCGTTGCACACGTCTAATACATTGTTGTACCCAAGATTGACTGCCCCCCGCAGATGCTGCTAACGAAACGCACCGACTTCTTTGCGCCTGCCACACGTCAGAAAAAGTTGTATCCAACACTTGTAATCAGACTTACCACCAAAACTGAAAATTGACAGTCCCAACGTTTATTCCCAAGTCTTTCAAAGCCCCCGTATCAAGATGGCAATCATACGGCCGCTTGACCCCATCTCCCGGTTCGTCCTCCGGCACAAAAGGCTCCATGCCGTCAAGTGGCAAGCCCATAATCTCCGCAAAGACCTTGACAATCTCCCACTTCGTCATTCGATCCTCGGAGCTGAATTGCAGCACACTCGGCAACTCGCGGTCTTTGTTGGCAGGATCCAAGTACAGCGTAGCGAGATCGCGGCACACGCGACCCACGTCAGAAGTATTGGTCGGATACCGCAGCGCCCAGTCGTCGACCTTGATCTTCGGCTGGCCAGACTGGATCTTTTGCGATTCCCAGAGCTGCGACATGAGGACGTTGACGGCGGAGTCTTTGGGGTCGTTGGCGCTGCCATATAGCACTGGGACACGTAGCACGACGACCTTGTTCTTCGCGTTTTTGCTTTCGACTACGCTCAGCACGGCTTTCTCGCCGTCGAGTTTGGTTTGACCGTAGACGTTTGGTGGGTCAGTTGCGGAGGTGGGATAGTACGGTGCTTCGCCTTTGCGGCCCGAGAAGACGTAGTCTGTGGAGATGTAGATAAGAAAAATACCACGGGAGATGGCGGCCGAGGCTAGAGCTGCGCTGGAGTCTACGTTGAGTGCTTGGGCAGCTGAGGGGTTGGCGGAGCACGAGTCTGGGAAGCGGTTTGCGGCACCTGGTCGATGTGAGCGGGTCAGCTCATGCTGTGTAATAGGCCAGCATACAGTGCACCACAACTTGAGGCCTGGTTTTTCATGAGCAATTTATGGCTTCTAGTGTTGCGAAAATATCATACTTGATTTCGTCCAGGACTCTTTCGATGTCGTTCGCGTCAAGTATGTCTAATTTGATGATCTCTGGTGGACTGGCCCGAGTGAGACCTGTGCCGATAGCTTTCCAGCCATCTACATTGAAGACATTTTGCACTTGCGATCCCAGCAGTCCACTTGCTGTATGAGAATTAACATGGCGTCTGCGGTGAAGACGAATGCGAAGCTGCAGGCTTACCTCCTGTGATCAACACAGTCTTCGTCATTTTCGAAGAATATGTAGCCCTCAAGAACCACAGCAGTAGGATCTGCGTCAACACCTCATGACTTCACTCACAAAGAGTTGGTGTCGTGCAGCGCGGGGCGCACCCGTGAATTAATATGACGGTTCGGCAGCCAATCAACGCCATGCGGTCGGCACATCCCTGCCACCTCCGACGTCAACACATCAAGCTCGCGAACTTCTTCCTGCGCGCATGTCCCGATCCAATGCCTCCATGGGTGGCCTCTGTGCCGCGAGCGATTGCATGTTCAAGGGCGAAAGCAATTGACCGAGTCGCAGCATCCTTCCGCTGCCGCCGAGCCGTCCATCCACTGCGCACCCGCTGCGCATCCACGCACGTCTCGCCGACCGCAATAAACTACCGTCCGAACGTACCGCCGCGGAACCAGGAGCTATACAGTGCGCTTTCGGGGCTGAACGGCGCGGCAGAGCAGTATGTCAACCTGAGTAGGCTGCAGTTGGCGCTCCGAGGGCTGGCGGTCGACAATGCAGTGACGAGGGTTGCGGTGCTAGGGCTGAACAGCCAGGTCGGCGCACAGCGGCTAGCCAGGCTGCTGGTCGCGGATCCATTGGCTGAGAACGCTGACTGGGAGCGGGAGCTGGAGAAGAGCCCCGAGGAAGGTGCTGTGCTGCTACGGTACGAAGAGTTGTCCCTTCCGAGGACCGCATGGCGCATGGAACTGACGTCTGCAGTTTCGGAGACGAAAACGATGCGCACGCGCCGAGTCCTTTGTACAAGATCCTCTCCGTACCTTCGCGGGTTCTGGGCAAACACAATCTCGAGATCCTCGTATCGACATTGAATGCCAATGCTCCCAGCTCCGCCGCTGCAGCCGCAACAGAAAGCTCCAAGGACGCTGTGTTGGTGCCAAAGCTGCAGGTCTCTTCTGCGAGGGGGACGCCGGTGCCATACCCGGTACATAAATCGCTCGTGCTAGGAGAAGGTCTGGACAGTGCCATCACGTTCGGCCAGTTTGCGTCCGATTCCATTCGAAAAGCAGGGAACATGGTCAAAGTAGCCATCGAACTCCCTGCGCCATCGACCGCATCGGGAGCAGCAGAAGATTCCGCGTCCACTGTGTCGATCAACACCGCGACCGGCACCCAGGGACTGGACGCCATCCGCGCCTCCGTGGCCAACTCCATGGACTATGAACGAAAATGGTTCGCCAGCGGCCTCCCGGCCCTTTCACGGTGGCTTGTCTCCGATCTCCAACCCGCCGACACAATCAAGCCCGTCCAGAAGGCCCTCATATCCTCCCTCCTCGACGATGTAGAGGCTACCATTACCAAAGAAGATGCACATCAGCTACAACTTCTCGCTTCCACTACCACGCCGGAACAGCTCAACGCCGAAATGATCAAGGCTCTGGAGGAGTGGGCGGAGAAATCACATCGCGAATTGAGGGATAGCCTTGACGAGGCGTTCGCAGGAAAGAACTGGCGTAAGCTCGGGTGGTGGAAGCTTTTCTGGAGAGTCGACGACGTGAGCATGATCACAGAGGAGATCATCGCTCGGCGATGGCTCGTTAGTGCGGAGAAGGACGCCGTCTACCTCGCCGGTAGGATGAAGCAGGCCGGCTTTCCGGACGAGGTGCGGCCTCTGCCCGGGTACAGCGATGCAGACACATACTTCAAGGCCCCGGCAGATGCTTCAGGTCACGATGTGTCAATAACTGAGATCCAAGAGACGGCCCTCTCCACTGCGGTCAATCTCCCTACTCCGTGGCCTGCCCTGCTCTCATCGACCCGTGCGACGCTTCTTGCTACAACGCTACCACCTCTGCAGGCACTCGCCCAACGTCTCATTCTAACCACACTCTCTACTACATCTCTTTCCGCAGCGTTATCAGCACTCCTATACGTTTCCGTATCCACGGTGAGCCTGTTCGAAGCGAGTTCATTGGCGGCACTCGGCCTGACGTTCTCGCTAAGGCGTATGCAAAAGGTGTGGGAGGACGCGAGAGAAGCGTGGAACGTCGAAGTACGGGAAGAGGGAAGGCAGGCACTCAAGAAGACAGAGGGATTCGTGAGGACTATCATCAATGGTGGCGGACCCGGTGCAGTTGTCGAAGACGAGGGAGTAGAAGAAAGAACAAGGGCCAGAGAGGCGGTTACGAAGGTCAGGGAGGCTCTGCTGAAGCTGAGCAAGGAGTAGTGTGTTTGTATTTGTATGAAAGTGTGAGAATAGATATGACAAAAGGAATTGTTTCCTCAAGATTTACCGCTCGAGAGAATGCTCTTCGTACGACGAGATACGCAGGATGACCGGCAATGTATACCATCATGCAACCACGCAGCTCATGATGCAAGAAGTGATAATCGAATCCGTGACGCATCGTTCTATCACATCGACTATCGATCAAGACGGCGCCAGACCCTCAACCCGACACATCAAAGTCCACATCAAACACGACCATACCCTGAAGTCGACCGAATCATACCATCTTGTTCTTGAATTCCTCACCATCCAACCACTGCCGAATGTTCTCTACTGTTTCCTTATACATCCCAGTCAAGGTCTGTTCTTCAACGTAACCCATATGCGGGCTGATCAAGACGTGGCTCGTCCCATCCTGTCCCCACTGCGAATTTCGCCATTGACTATCCTTCGGAAGTGGCTCTGTGTCAAACACATCAGCAGCAAAGCCTCGAATTTGGCCCTTTTTGAGCGCGTCCAGTAGTGCCTGTTCGGCGACGAGTGGACCACGGCTGGTGTTGACCAACATGGCACTCTTCTTCATCCAAGAGAGCTCCTGTGCGCCAACGCTGCCACGAGACCGGTCACTTAAGACAAGATGCACGCTGAGCACATCGGCTTCGCGAAATAGCTCCTCCTTACTGCTCGCCACCCGGACGCTTCCCGCCTGCAGACCCACAGATGCGACGCCCTCATCCGCCTTCTCCTGCGTCAAGTTTGGACTCCACGCAACAGCCTTCATTCCGAACCCTAACACCGCCGTCCTCGCACACTGCAGCCCGAGCCGTCCCAGCCCCAAGCACGCCAGCGTCTTCCCCGCCAGCCCCAGCGATACACTCGCCTGCCACCTGCTCGGCTCATTCTTAACCAGCGCATCATGCTCCGCAATCCCCTTCGCCAGTCCCAGAATCAGCGCCCAGGTCTGCTCGTTGGTGGTATCGAAGTTCGGCACTTTGTGCGCGCCTCGGGTCCCGACTACGACGATGCCACGCTCCTTGCACGTCTCGGTGTCGATGCCGAGATTTCGCATGCCTGTCGTCAGAAGGACTTTGAGGTTGGGAAGTCTTTCTAGTAGGGCTTTGCGGAAGGGGGTTCGCTCTCGCATGGTGGAGATAATGGGGAAGGGAGAGAGACGCTCGACCAGGGCATCGAGGTCAGCGGGCACGGCGGGATTCAAAGTGTCCGGAAAGTAGGAGATGTCGAGGCGGTCTGAGAATTGGGATATGAATTGAGGTGCGAAGTTGGCGTAGTCGTCTAGGACTGCTATCTTTGGTCGAGACATGTTGGATGATGGTGTTTTCTCTTCGTGTTGTGATCGAATTTGAGTCGATAAACTCGATAGAGTGGGAATATTGGTAGTAGTGATTCCAATATGCTCATGCAATGGCATAAGCCTGCGGGAATAATTCGTAGTCTGGTCCTATCGTTCCGTGATCGGAGAGGGGTCAAGATGGCGGCATCCTCGCTTACAAATATAGATGCTATCCTTCGAAAGCTACTCATCTGAGGCATCCTATATTTTCTAAATTCTACATAACGTCCAGAGTGACGTGGGAGCAAGCGTAACACAGTGTGTTGAGTCAGCACGGGGTGCCTAGACACCTCATGAGTCCTCACATGGGCATATAGCTAGCGCGCTACTCAACTGGGGGGTTTCGGATATCTCTAAACGACGCGACATCGCAGCTCCACTCAACTTGCCATCAAAATAGCATCTGAGTTGACTCAATACTGGCGTTCCAAGCAGTATCACCACATGTTGGCTGATGACAGGATTACTCACTAGCAAATGCTGGATTCGGCTTTCTACCTCGGCTCGCGGCTAGCACTTCCTTCCCCACACCAACCCCAGAGTCCAACGGCCCTCGGACGACATGCATCCTTCACGGGCGTTCTTTGTATATCTGACACCGTCTGAAGCTCCTTCACTTCTCTCCGCGGACTGATTGACATCCACACCTTTTTTTCTGCTCATTCACCCACCATGCCTTTCAACACGGAGCTGACACGGGCACTTGGCATCAAAGGCACGTACATGTGACAGCGCGCAGACATGACCCCCCACTGACCAGATCAACAGTGCCCGTAGTTCAGGGTGGAATGCAATGGGTGGGTTACGCTGAGCTCGCCAGTGCAGTCAGCAATGCGGGCGGTCTTGGAATAGTACGTACAACCTTCGCAGAGCCACGTACAGCAACCAGCTAACTCGCTGCGCAGTTGACCGCGCTCACGCAACCCACGCCTGAAGACCTCCGAAAGGAAATCCGTCGCTGCCGCACCATGACGAAGAACCCCTTCGGCGTTAACCTGACCCTCCTCCCCGCGCTCGTTCCTCCGGATTACGCTGCCTACGCGCAGGTCATCATCGACGAAGGCATCAAGATCGTGGAGACGGCAGGGAACAGCCCTGGCCCGGTCATTAAGCAGCTGAAGGCCGCGAACTGCATTATCCTACACAAATGCACAACAATCCGACACGCGCAGTCTGCTGTGAAGATGGGCGTGGACTTCCTCTCCATCGACGGCTTCGAGTGCGCCGGACACGTGGGCGAGACGGACATCACAAACTTCATTCTCCTGAGTAGAGCGCGCCAGTCGCTCGGGGGCGTGCCGTTCATTGCTTCTGGTGGCTTTGCAGATGGTCAGGGACTGGCTGCTGCGCTAGCGCTGGGCGCGTGTGGTATCAACATGGGCACCCGCTTCATGTGTACCGTGGAGGCGCCTATTCATCAGAAAATCAAGCAAGCCATTGTTGATGCTCAGGAAACCGATACGGAGCTCGTGCTCAGGAGGTGGAGGAACACAACGCGTCTGTTTGGAAACAACGTTGCGAAGCAGGCCGTCAAGGTTGAGAAGGAGAGCACGACCGGCAAATTCGAAGAAGTGGCCGAGTATGTTAGCGGGAAGCGTGGGCGCCAGGTTTTCTTGAATGGCGATAAAGACTTCGGTGTAAGTAGACCCTTGATTGTGGTCGGTTCGCGGGCATAGCCACGTGCTAACTTATCCTAGGTGTGGACTGCGGGCCAGGTCATCGGCCTCATCCACGATGTCCCGACGTGCGATGCACTATTGAAGCGGATCGAGCGCGAGGCAGTCGAGACTCTAGCTTCTAAGCAAGATCTCTTTGTGCAAGACGGCGATCAATCTGTTGGTCCCTCAGCTACTGTTGGGAAGAACACGAATAACCCTGGTGCTGAAGTGTGGGGCGTTGGCAAGAGTAAGCTATAGATATGTATAAGTATATTTGTTCAAAGCATGGCGACATTGTTATAGAGTACCGAAGTCCTGATCAGGGTGCCCGTCCCTAACCAAGTCTGCACGATGGTGGCTGGTAGGTCTATAGTTTGGCTTCACGCAGACCCATCTTCTCGCTACCACATTTCTGTGCCCTTCTGCGCCTTTTCAACCACCCCATCCGCCCACCCAATCAATCCAGAAGTTCTATATCACGCACTCTTACAAACCTCCCTCGTCTCTTATTTCATTCCACACCTTCGACACCCTGAGGCCATTGTATTCCACGCTTGTATTATCCCTTGAATTCCACCACGCTACACGATACTCTCACCAAGCTACTGACACTGCAATATCGTCGCCACCATGCCTACCCGACCGAAACTACGCTACGTCGTCCTTTCCTTCTTCCTCGGCGGCTTTGTCTTCACAGGGCTCGAGTGCCTCATCAACCTCGCTTTGCCATGCGGCCATTATCGGTTGTTCGCAAGGAGTGCCCGGCGCCTGACGGCAACTTCGAGCGTCGCGGACTGGACAGTGATTCTCTGAATATCCCGGTTCAAGGAGGATTGAAAGAATTACTGGGTTAAGAGGAACCAGATTGATACTTGCCGGAGCGATTAGTCCTGGGCTCGCTGCAGACTGCAGATTCGAACGGAGCATCAAGAGCACTGCCACCGTCATGGCGGGCGGGCGGGCGGAATAGGATGGGTTACTTGAGTTGGTCATTCTGTACCAAACGCGCATATCTTAGCTTGGATTCTTATTCATTTCGTCCCCGTGTCGTTCATAGGCTCATAGATGGATGGCGTAGTCCGAATCATAAGTTCATACGGAACCTGATTTCCTTTCCTCCATCATGACTGAACGCCGTCACCGCATCCCATCACAGCACGTCTACAACCCCATCAACGCAACGCCCCCGAGACCCACCATTGCAGCCACCGCCCAGGGCAGCTCCACAGCACCAGCAGCCTTGCCCTCAAATTCTACCATCGAAAGTTAGCACAGCGTCTCACACACACACCACTGGACTTAACTTACGAGGACTTGTACCATTTCCCCTGCCGCCTCCACCACCCGTCTGTCTCGCGCCGCCCGCACCCCTCGTCCCAGTCGCAGCCGCAGCGCCGCTTGCCCGCCCATCCACCATGAAGAAATTCCCCGCCACCGGCTCTCCGAGCCCATTCTGCTTCGCGAAGCCCGCAATGTCAAATCCAATGCGCGCCTGCGTGTTCGAAAAGTCGCTCGCGCTCGCCTTGAGCGTCGACGGCTGCTTGAAGAGCAGCTGTGTGTATCTGTGCGCGATGGTGTCAGACGCCGGGGGGCTGGGTCCGATGTAAGTGGCGGGTCCCTTTTCGCTGGAGGCGAGCAGCACGTTGCCGCCAGCGATGGATTGCTTGGTTGCTTTGAAGCCCGTGTTCATGGCGTGCAGGAGGACGCGGCGAGAGCTGTTGCCTGAGGCGGCAGGGACGTCCAGGTCGAGCATGACGAAGACATAGGTCTCATTTGAAGAGACAGCAGATGAGGGGAGGGCGAGTTGGGGCTGGGATGCAGTTGCTTTTCAGGATGTTAGGTTTGTGTTGGTAGATGAAGGGGGGAATATGAACAGTACATACCGGCTTTGCTGAGGAGTTCCCCTGGCGTGCTGACTTTCGTGCTGTTGAAGATGACATCCAGCTGGGCCTTTGCTGCGGGCGTGAAGCCCTTTGGTGTCTGCGCCTGCGCGATACCAACGGCCGCAGCGACGACAAGTCCTTTTGAGAAATGCATGATTCGAATCTTTAATCTTCCTCTAACAAAGTACTAAAAATTTATTAAAAGAGAATAATCTTCCTCACAGAGGGAACAGAAACGAAGTGTAGGGGACGGCAGTGCTTCCTCGCAGAGGATGGCGAGTCCATGAGGCTCTCACCGCAGGCTTATAAGGCTGCAGAGTGCATACGCGTCGATCAAAGCATGTCTGCTTCGGCCGCCGCGTTCAGTGTTGCATTGCCAAATTCTCCGGCAACGCGAGGGTGGGGACCTTGTCGTGTGATGGGTGTGAAACATGAAGTGCAAGAGCCGCAACACCGAACAGCGTGAGCGTCGACGTCAACGGCGGAGCTAAGATGCGTGACGATTTGGCATAATGCTTCTTGTTCAAGCGTTCCCAATTGTCGGCTTGAGGCGACAACGCATATTTGGCAGTCGCAGTTCCGCTACTCTGTTATAGCTGAGGAGCGCGGCAGTTCGAACGGTGACGTCGTAGTGAGCGGCAGCCGAGGTGAGATGTGTGCATGAAACGTTTCTATTTGTGATGATCTTGTGGATCTGGCCAATGTAAGTCTCATGATGTTCCAGTGCGTTTTTAGAGCAGTTGCATGCGACATCTCTTGACGGTTGCACAAGACATCCTATCGCTTGTGTGCAGAAGTGGATCTACTCCAGCCGAGGTCAAACGGACAGTAAGGAATGTGTGTGTGTGTGTGTGAAGAAAAGAGGATAGCAGCTAGAAAAGGACTCGTTGAGCATCAGGTTGCGACAACATGTACAAAGAAGCGGAAAAGCTCCGCTTCGGGCTTGATCGCGTAATGGCAACTAAAGGAAATAGCTCGACGAATGGCCCGCATTCACAGCGAGAAGTTACTGACGTTATCAACAGTGATGTTTGTATACAGACCTGTCAATTGGACGAGTGATCAGGTGTCAAAAAGGCCCATGCTGCCGCTGAGTGAGCGTCCCTCTTCTGGGAAGATGAGTCACTCACCAACTAGCAAGGTCTCCCGGTTCAAGCATGTGATGATAATTTGTTTTGATGAATGAACTGTTGGGTCTTGATCGCCCTCTGGTGTTCCCTGACGCCGCCGGAGGTCCCGCCTATCCCACTAGTTGTCGAATCTCCCGGTCCTTTCAGTTGCTCTTCCTGGGCTGCTCCTGGCCAGCCATCAAGCGATGGCCTTCCTTTCCCTTCTCTACATCTAGCTTCTCCTTCTTCGCGCTTTTGGCGCCAATCGCAGGGAAATCGAAAAGCTCGCTCTTCCCACCTTGCAACCCCTTCCACATGCCATAGTCGTTCCAGTTCTCCCACAACAGCGCGCCGACCCAAGGCTGCACGTTCCAGCCTAGCTCCAGCCTCGCATCCGTCCTGTTCTGCAGCTTCCCTGATATATCGGTGATCTGGTACTTTGGGCGCTGGTTGTCGAGCTTGATGATGCCGGCGGGCATGTGCGATTTCGCTTGAGAGTTCTTGGAATTCTTAGGCTTCTTGGTGCCCTTAGGGGTCGGGTGGATGTAGTGGTTCTGGTGCCAGGGAGCGGCGGCGCCTGGGAGAATGGCGTCCCAGATGATGGCTTCGGAGTCGGGCTCACCAGCTTTAGTAGAGGGATAGACGGCTTTTAGGTACAGGAAAACCTGCTTGGTGTTCCAGTTGAAGAGAGTGGACAGATCTGCGCGCCAGGGTGGTTAGCCATCTGCAATCACCTTGTACGCGCGAATGAATGGATGGATTGAGGTGAACAGTGACTCACCAGTGTCCAAGTCGAATTTTATATGCGCGTACTCCTCCTTCTTGTAGCTGTAGTAGTGCGGTCTCCCTCGTACCACCTGTACATTCCGCAACCCCACCGTGGCCTTGGGTACTTGTGGATGGATGAAGGTTGACAGCGCGATGACGGCCGCGACGGAGAAGGCTACCGTGGTGAAGAAGCCAAAGGCATTTTGTATGCGCACCAGTGTTGAATGCATGGTGGGCCGTTGGGTGTGGTGTATGACCGGGGAGGGGAGGTAGTGGAGCGAGTCGAGTCGCCTAGAATGCGGCGAGCGCGCGGAGGTGAAGTTGCTACGTATGGCCGAGCTTGGGCCAGCCCTAACGTACCGGCTCGCACTAATTCTACCTTAAACTTAGGGGCCGCTCACTCTACACCCGTCTTTCACGCAGACGTCAACACCGGAGGTAACTATCGAGAATCTAATTGGTGCCTCGCTGTAGAGCCGGGTATACATGTTGACCAGAGAGCTTGTGCATAACAGCAAGGGCATTGGATAATTCGCGAGACGAGCGGCCAGATTCACCTGGAATTGACTCGTGGCTGTGTCCATCTTGTGAGCTATTCTAAACACATAGGTCAGCAATTGTGCTCGCCAGACTGTACTAAACATCACTGAGATCGGTATACGAGAAATGGGCCGTACAGGTAGATCGTCTTAGCTTATACATCTACAACTAGCATCCAAATCGACCCATCCCACATCTACTGTGACATTCTGATCATGTATCACAGAACATCGATTGAAATAGAATAGATCGGCATCCCCCATAATGTTAATCCTTACTGTTGCGGCGGCGGTGCAGCCTGTCCACCTCCCCTCGGCCCACCACGACCGCGGGCACCTCCACGACCGCGACCACGTCCACGGCCCCTGCCTCCATTCTCCAAGCTAGCGGGTGGCGGGACACTGCTGTAGTTCTGCGGCCGGAAGTTAGGGTTGTTCTGCACAACGCCTGCAGTAGGGTCGCTCATGTCGGTCGCAACAAAGCCGCCGCGGTTCGCCTTGCCACCGCGTCCACGTGGAGCGCCGTTGCTATTGCCACGGGTATTGGGGTTGAAGTTCTGGTTGGCAACGCTATTGGAGTTGACGTTTTGGGTAGCAACGCCGTTGGCCGGCCCTCCACGAGGTGCCGAACCGCCGCGTCCACCACGATGACGGATGGGTAGCTCTTGTAGCTGACCCTGCTGAGCGGGTGGAGGTGTGCCATTTTGCATGTGCGCGTTGCCTCGTGGTGCCGGGCCTCCGCCGCGTCCCCGGGGCGCAAAGCCGCCGCCTCGAGCCCCGTTAGTCTGTCCACCACCGAAAGCGCCTCGGTATGAACCTTGGAGAGGAGGCGGGGCGTTCGCAGGAACAAGCTGGGGGCCTCCTGGAGCACCAATCACGGTATAGGGTTGGGCAGGTTGCTGAGGCCGCTTAGCAGCTGCCGCCGAGGAATATGACACGACTTGCTTGTCGGTCAGGTTGAGTACAGTGGTCGCCGGGACGGTAGATCCTCGGAAAGGTGAACAGCGCTCGCCGAGCGAAGTTCCGCTCATGAAGGTCGCGTCGAAGACGACATCCAGCAACAACGCGCGAGCAGTGCGTGTCTTGCCAATGACGGTGCCGTACGATCCAATGGGGACCCTTCCTGAGTCCTGGACGTAGACAACACGATCGCCTATAGTGAACATCTGGTTGCTGAGGCGCTGTTCCGCGTCCGAAGGTTTGAGAATGGCGCTACGTGGGACCTTTCCGATCTTTTTGGGTTCCACATCCTGCGTCAGAGCAAGATTGGCGTCGGCGGCTTGTTCGATCATCTTCACGGTATCGGAATCCAGCTGCTCAGCATCCAGCGGAACCTTCTCGAAGCTTTTAGTCTGCAGCTCCTTCAGCCACGCGCCTATCTCCTTGACCTTTTGCTTCGCGACCTCAGGTGGAAAGAAATCGGTGTCTTCCCAGCCATCGCCTGTGGGGTTTTTGATGATGGCGGCGATAAAGTCTGGAAACTTGATCATGTATTGTGCCAGAAGGTCAATCGCCCTCTGACTGTACTCCCAGCCGTTGGCTGACTTTCTCGAGTAGCCTAGAACCTTCATCTTCTTGGCCTCGAATTTGAGATTGAGTCCAAGGTTGAGCTTCATCCCGCTTGAGTTGACGAAGAAAGAGGCTGTCAATTTAGACAGTGCCAGTGGTGGCATGTGAAGCTGTCGAGCAACAACGTATGAAGGGAAATAAGGTATCATCTTCTCGGCTTGTCGAGAGACCTCGCGTCCAAACTCTGGCTCAGGCTTCTTGAGCTTGGCCACCATGATAGTGGTCTTGTTATCCGCATGCCCGACGACCTGCAACGGACGTCCGTAAGCATAGTCGCCCAAATAAAAGGCTCTTGATCCTTCCGGGAATTCTTCTTCGAGTGGTAACGCCTCTTTTTCCAAGAAGCGCTGATCTGGACTGATGACCTCGTCGACGACTGTCTGAGTGGCGTATTCAACCTGCAGACCCTGGATCGGACCATACTCTTTGACAGTGTGTCCCTCGTCGGTCTTTCTAAGACCTTTGAGCATCTCCACATGTACAAGCGAGTCGACTTCACCAGTGACCATACCAAGGCGCTTGCTGTAGGTATTTTGGATGCGGTCAGCCATTTTCTTCCAATCCCGTATCTGATCCGGACCGTGTGGGATAGCGACAGGTACTGCCGGTCCAGTCTCGGGCAGGACATAGTCGAACAATTCGTCGGAAACCTTGAAGACCTTGGCCTCTTGCAGGAACGGATACCCAACATGAACCGCCTTGCCGAGCTTCTGCTGAGCATTTGCAATGCCCGTGCGCGCCTCTGTGTCTAGCAAAGTGACAATCATACTCTCGTTTCGGCTGTCCTGCTGGAAGACGTTTACACCAGCGAATTCAAGTTTTCCATGGAAAGGCAATTCTTTCAAACTGGGAAACCCAGCCAATGAATGAGCTCCAATCTTCACACCGTCCATCAGCCCCACATAAACTTCCAGGCCTTCCATGGTTGGAAGCTCGAAGATGTTCTCGACACAGCGACAGTGAGGTAGATCTGGGAAAATGCCAGGCAACGATGAGGGATAGACGTAGTCTAAATCCTTTGCATATGTGAACTTCATAGACACGCCAAAAGAATTGCGGGATTTTTCGTCCTCGGAGAGTTGGTCTTCTTTGGTAGCCATCGCAGATAGTAGTCTGTCTTCCTGGATGAATGGAATTTTTACGACGGCCTCCCATTCCATCTTCTTTCCGTTCATATCGAGCTCGAAGTCTCGTGGGTAAAAGTCGATGATCGGCGAGTCTTGGTTGGTCATCAAGGGATGGTAGGCATTCGGTACGATGCTCTTGCTGCGATCGGGCAAAACGCCCATGAGCTGTTGGAATGGCTTGAAGGGCTGCCCAAGCTTAAAGTCGATGTTCGCTTTGAGGCCCTTCTTGACGTCTGAGATCATGGGCGAGTAGTGGTATCCGTAGTACCAAGGCCACGAGGCTACTCCTTGGTAGTAATAATACAGAACCCATTGCAGACCTTGAACATAGTTCTCGGTTAGCTTCCTCAGCTCTTCCTCGTTGTCTCGGCCCCAGTCAAACTTGGACTTATAGTACTCGTCTTTCCAAGCCAGAAACTTCTCCTCGTACTTCTTCTCCATCGCGGCTTGGGCATCGTCGGCTGAGATGTCAACGACCTTGGCATCCTCATATTTGAGGATGACCCGAGCAATGGCCTTCTTGGCTTCATCGTCATCTTCCTCCTCGTCATCCTCGACGTCTTCCACGAGCTTGGGCGGAAAAGCTAGCTGGATATGGCGGTTTCCCTCGTCGTCTTGTACGGTCTTCCAGTTTATGTGAAGGCTATCTGCCAGCTCCTGCACGAATTTGCGATCCTCGGCTTTGAGGCTGACCGGAAGATCGTAGGGCGTCTGCATCTTGGTGTCCAGATAGATCCCAATCCAACTCTTGATCTTGGACAGCAGCTTCTTCTGCTCGGTAGTCAACACCAGCTGTCCGCGCCTCTTCGTCCTCTCCATTACGTCTTCTTTCGCAAGTTGCTTTCCCTTGAACCATGCAGCGTCCGCGTTTTCGGATTCAAAGTGGCGATTCTCCACGTGCGATAGTTCGTCGAGAAGGAGGGCCAGCCTCTCCATGTTGATAACGCCGCCCTCGTTGATGTAACCCTTAGCCTTGGGCAGCACCGTTTTGTAAACGTTGAACATGAGCGCGAGAGCACCCTCGTTAATATGCAAATGAGGCAAATTAGGAAGGAAATCGTTTCCGACAAAGAAAGCCATCAAAATGAAATCGTCAATAACACGTTCCATATCGAAATCGAAGCCAAGAGCGCCGGGCTCTTCTAGCTCTTGAAATTCAAGTTCTAGGTATTCGCGCACGATGCAGAGATGCATTAGATAAAAGTTTTGGTGCTCCAGCTCCTTGGACTTCTTCTGGTTTTGGCGACCAAAAGTAACCTCCTCACGGAGCAGACAGAAATGGGGGTCGTGGCTGAGCAGACCCAACATGATGAGATCGGCATCGAGGCCGTACAAGCAGTGACGGCGGTTGGGGTCGTAACCGGGCTGGGCCTTGGCCTGGCGGATATACTCCATGACCTTGTGCTCGCCTTCTCCAGGGACCTCGTGGCCTGACAAGACGATTTCCACGCCCTGCCAATCCAGGTCCTCGGAGACCTTCTTGTTGATGAAATACTTCAGTTGCTGCGTCAGCTTGGCCATGAACTCGGTGCCAGGCGTGATGCAGTTGCTATCGAAGGGTGCTTCCTTGGGCATCTCAACGCCTTCCTGGATGGCCTTTTCACGGGCCTTCTCAGCGTCGAGAGCGGTTCGGAAGCGCCGCGCGCGCTGCTGGTTCATCTTGGCGCGCGGGGCGACACCATCGATGGCCATGAAGAAGAGCTGCTTGGGCTTAATCTTGCCAAACAAGTGCTCGATGTAGTTGAAGATGGCGATGAACATCTTTTCCTCGGTCATACGGGCCGTCGGGCCGTCGGAGTCATTGTGGGTGCAGTTGTGAATGATACCGTTCATGTCGAGCTATGGCGGCGACGTCAGTGGGAGACGTGCAGGCGCTGCGCTGCATGCACTTACGTAGAGACAGTCGAACTCCGGGATGCGGTTCTCCGCGATGAGTTGGGAAATCGCGGGGTAGCGCTCCGACATCCATCTGAAGAACTTTGGGACGCCCATGGCTGCTGTGTGTTTCTGGGGATAGACGACTGAATGTGGTGGCGGTGGAGTCGCAGGGCGATTCGCGGTTGCGCAATTTGAAAAGGCGCACGGGAAGAGGGGGCGAAGCGCGCAAACAGCGCTTGCTTCTGAACGACAGGAACGTTAGGGGATAGGTTCACGACGCTGGGGTCTTCAAAGAGTCAGAAGAGAGGCAGCGGGCGTCAGGCATATGTACCAGAACGCCAAGCGCTGGCTAGTGGCGGCGGGCAATCGCCGCTAGCCGAACCACGGCGCGCGGGACGCGTTGAGCTCTTCTCCACTTTGCAACTCGCACGCCTTTCGTGCAGCTTTCCTCCTGCGCCAGTCACAGATCCCAACAGATCACCACGTCACATGATGGACGACAACATGAGCGGTACGTGGGGCACGTTTGGCATCCACGCACGCCTGCTGACGACGGTGCAGACGCGCCCGACGCGCAGGGCCCCGACGATGAGCAGATCCAGCAGCAGAAGCAGATCAACGAGGAGTACAAGATGTGGAAGAAGAACAGCGTGTTCCTCTACGACATGCTCTACAGTCGCGCCCTCGAGTGGCCGACGCTGACGGCGCAATGGCTGCCAGACAAGCGCCCAGTGGAGGGCACCAACATGAGCACCCACCGCGTCATCCTCGGCACGCACACGTCTGGACAGGCCCAGAACTACCTCCAGATTGCCCACATCGAGGTCCCCGACATGCCGACGCCAGACGCCAACAACTTTGACGAGAAGACTGGCGAGGTCGGCGGCTACGGCGACGCAAAGAAGCCCTTTGACTTCAAGGTCGTCCAGAAGATCAACCACCCTGGCGAGGTCAACAAGGCACGCTACCAGCCCCAGAACCCCGAGATCATTGCCTCGCTGTGCGTCGATGGCAGAGTCCTTGTGTTCGACCGCACCAAGCACCCCATGGATCCAAAGAGCGACGGCAGCATCAAGTTCGAGGCAGAGCTTGTCGGGCACGAGAACGAGGGCTTCGGGCTTTCTTGGAGCCCTTTGAAGGAAGGACATCTCGTTACCGGAAGTGAAGACATGACTGTCAGGACCTGGGATATCAAGAGCGGCTTCTCCAAGGGAAACACATCCATTGCTCCTCTGACCACGTACACGACGCATACCTCCATCGTCAACGACGTGCAATACCACCCCATCCACGGCTTCCTTATCGGTAGCGTATCCGACGACCGCACGTGGAAGGTTACCGATACTCGAGTGGAGTCGCACAAGGTCGCTCTGTATAGTAAAGAAAACGCGCACGCAGACGCACTTAACAGCATCGCTTTCCATCCCGAATACGAGAGTATTTTCGCGACCGGTTCCGCGGATAGTACTATAGGCCTATGGGACCTACGCAATTTCGATAAAAAACTGCACAGCCTTCAGCACCATTCCAAGGACATCATCGAGCTGCAGTGGCATCCACAAGACCCCGCCATATTGGCCAGCTCGAGCTACGACCGTCGTATTTGCATGTGGGATGTCACAAGAGTGGGCGAGGAACAGACGCCAGACGAGGCCGAGGACGGCCCACCGGAGCTGTACGTTCTCTGTCTACCCTTCGTGAAGGACCAGCTAACATCACATAGCCTTTTCATGCACGGCGGGTTCACAGACCGCATCTCCAGCTTCGATTGGAACAAGAACGATCCCTGGCTGATGCTCGGTGCTGCGGACGACAACCAGATGCAGATCTTCCGCCCGAGCCGCAAGCTCGTTGAGCCTATCCCGAAGACTACTAATCACGGAGAGGTCTCGGATTGATTCTGTCAATCTGTTAACCCTTTGTTGATGATGATTTAGATCAAAGAAGCTAAAGCAGCGCCCGAGTCCGAGTCCGAGTCCGAGTCTGAGACGTTGTCCTTGTCCCCGCCAGAATCGACCTGAATATGTCTACTCTTCTCTGTGGATGAAGCCGGGCCGAGTAGCCTGAGGTGCCCATGATGGGCTAACAGTGGCACGCGGATTCCTGAAATGCGTCTTCTAGCTCACGGTGTTGGTTTGGAAAAGTATACCCTTTGCATTTACGTATAGTACCCTGAGTCACCCTAAGATAGACAATACAGTGGTCGATTGTGTCCAAAAGAGATCTCTGCATTCACATGTCCTGCCGCGCTGTTCAATGGAGATAGTAAAGTGCCTATAAGTTCTGCGGAATGCAGGTTCATCGAGTCCGGGCGTGACAGAGATTTCTGACTCTCTCTTCAAATGTTTACCGCTGTCTGTAATTGACGGAACTGCGTGCACCGTGAATGCGACGCCACAGCCCGGTTGTGCAGCCGACGTTATAAAGCAACCAACCCCATCCTTCATTTCTCTACAACTAAACAACCTATTCAAATCTCAAGCTTCTACTATTCCGAGGAAAATCTCACGGCAGCATCCAGTAATACCTCATCAGCGAAGAAACCATCCTTCCCCATGCCGAAGTATGTCCGCCCATACTTCGACCACCGTGAATGGGTCCGCGATGGCATTACGTTGGGTGATTTCGAGTCCGTCTGCAACTTCAAGCATCCCATTGACCGGTATGACCTCCGGCAAGTTGGCCCGCACCTCGTGCAGATGGCTAGCCAGCTCGTTGAGTGCGCCAGCCTCGTATGTCCAGCACCAATGTGCGAGGCCGGGCGTGGGCCAAAATTCCGTCGTCGCGTGATGGAAACTATTAGGCGCATCCACGAGATAGCCGACGACATAGATATAGTGGTACCAGTGCGAATCGTGACAGGAATGGTGGGTATTATCGGTGCAGGGAATTCGTCGTCCAGGACTGTAGTACGGACTGTGCTCCCTCAAGAATTAAGTCGAAGGGTTGTCGAGGAGCGCATTTACCAGCCGGCCCCGATCCATGAGACAGAGACGAAGACGTGGGTGCATAGGGCGCATGGAAGCAAGTATTTGGCGAGAGTGGAAACGAAGACTTATGACAGGAGTCAGCCTGAGGTTGAAGAGGTGTCGAGGGATGAGAATCGAGGGCACAAGCGGGGTAAGAAGAAGAAGAGCCAAAGGAGGATGATCAAGGAGCGGGGTGAGAGTAGCGATGAGGAGAAGGGGAAGAGGCGGAGGAGTCGCGATAGGGGACATGATAGGCATAGGAGCAAGAGCAGGGACCGTGAGCGCGGCCGGCGCAGCGGCAAGGATACGTACAAGGATAGGGACGATGATAGGCGCAGGAGCAGGAGTAGGAGCAGAGATAGAGAACATGAGAGGCACATGAGTAGGGACAGGCGCAGAATTAAAGACAGGAGTAGCAGTAGAGACAGGCACAAGGAGCAAAATAGGCGCAAAAGCAACGATTGCAGTAGGCACGAATGTAGCAAGGACAAGGACGAATACCGCAAGAAGCACGAGAGGCGGCCCAGGAGCCGCGAGAGAAGCAGGCGCAGAGACGACCGTGACAAGCACAAGTACGACGAGTCTGAGCGTGAGTATGATTCTTCGCCTTCCAGACGCAGCTCGTCAAGCTCATCAAGCGCGTCGCGATCGAATTCACGGCGAATGGGTGCGACCATGGGCTGTGTTCTTTGGCCAGAAGCCAGGTTCCAATGTTATGTGTACGGTGATTTCGAATCTGAACGTACGTAACCAACACTGAGCGAGTGCAATTACCATAGACTTTTGCCATTACCTGTTGCGCTACTACTGTGGAATGAGAGGTTATTTACGTCTCCTGCAAAGCCATCGCAAGCATCACTGTCTTGCAGTACCTAGATACACTATCACTGGGGGTAAAGTCAAAGTCCAAAAAAGGTCTCTCCAAAGCCCATATCGTGGAATGAGGTGGTTTCAAGCGTCGCAAAGCGTGCAACAGAGGTCAAGGTTACAATACTACTTACCCCTCCCATACATGTATCGAAAAATGGTAGTAGTGCTTTGAATGGAAGCGTAGAAGCCAACCTGAAATAATTCTACATTCAGTAACATGCGTGTGCCCTTACTGTACCTGGGCCAACCAAGATAAGAATCCCTGGTGGGGTAATATGCGAAGCTAGCGACCCGGAGGCAGCCCGAAAACCCTGCATGTGGCCACATCACGAACCACAGTTCATTCTTATCATAATTCGAAGACCTCTTTTTGATTTTCTCAGTGCAGCACTGTATATGTTTTTACTTTTTGAGTGGTATATATATTTCAAAATTTACAATTATGTCATCAAAATACCAAACAAGGCGTAAGTTCACCTGAATTTTCAATTCCAGGCCCCTACTAACATTCTTCAGGTTGTGACGGAGTGGTTAACGTGATTGACTCGAACCAATCGGGCTTGGCGCGATTTGCGATATCAATTTCCTTCGGGAGCGCAGGTTCGAATCCTGCCGACGTCGGTTTTTTTAACTGATTGGTGCCCTCGATTTTTTTCAATACCCTAAGCACTTATACTAGACCGAAGTCTGTTTACAATCAGCACTTTACACCTTTAATTAAAGGCAGAAAGCCCTCTGCTTCATGGGACATATTTACTTCATTATGCTTGGCCTTCTGCGGGCCCAGAAAATCATCTTTGATGGCTGGCTGGGTGCGGGCAATGCTACAAGGAGCTTCTTGGCGAGTATCTGACACTACGTTAGCTTGCTTTGTGTTCTTAGTCGTGGTGGGTACAAGAGCCTTTGATAATCATTGATCCAGTTCGTAGTGTCACCTGCCATTCGACCAACTGTCCTGAAAGCGCCATATCAACCTCTTCAAAGTTCAGATTCATAGGTTCTTTCATATTCTCGCAGTGTGCATAGTATCTCGTCACAGTGATGGAGAAGTGTTGCTGTCCGTCCTGCTCACTGGAGACCAGGAAGTGATATCGATTGCTTGTTTCTCTGATGTTCCACATCAAGCCTGGCCGGTAATCAAGCTGTTCTGCAAACAAGTCGCTCAAGTGGCCATCCTTGCGAAAATCCGATATATATCACTAGCACTGAAAGAACGACGATCTAGCTACTTGAATACACCCTGCGCTTACTCTGGCCTACTTACTTGTCTAGATCTCTCGATTGAATGATTCCTCAATGGCAGGAGGGATCGATTTCGAGCAGTACCACGAATTAATTGAAAAGCATTGCCGCGGCTACCGCCATCGCACTGCCAGAAACATTGCGCATGTGCCGGACCAAGATGTATACCAACTATGCCTCCTCAATGGACACATGGCCATTGATTAAGCGCGTTGTCCTCCAGCAAGAAATCTTGCATGCCGCAGCCACGGCTCTTGTCTAGACGGGGGAACCATGGTCGGTCAAAGCGCATCATAATTCGGCTAAGATGCACGAAATGTCGATTCGCAGGCAAAGAAAGCTGAACAAGGAGGCTAGTAATGGGGCCGACAAGCAAAAGAATCAAGTTGATGAACAAGTGGAGCAGACTGTGGACAAGATACAATCAAGGTGGCCGATTGCAACTTTGTCTCGCACTACGCCTTGACCGTACTGTCCCGTGGTGAGACATCGCTGGGTTCATCTCCAGCAAGACTTTTGCATGCTCATTGAAAGATAAGGGAGAGCAGTGCTGTATCTCACCTACAAGGTCTAGCCGATGTGGATGGTCATTCATTATACCTGTTTGCCACTGAATGATCTGTATGTCAGCCACGAGCCATAGACCGCTGGACTGCGCGAAGCCCAGCGAGAGGAAGAGAGAAAGCAGAAGCATTGTGAGAACAGCAAATGCTCGGTAAGCCAGTTTCGATGTTCTTGCTTGTCACTAAATATGTGTATGCTTAATCTTGATATGACAGGTGCAATGATTCTGCGGAGGCTTTCCTGGGGTCGTCGTCCTCTCCGTGTATGGGATTCCGTTGTATTGAATTCAGTTGAGGTTGTACCACGAATGGGTTGGTGGGCAAGCTGATGGACTAATTGCAGGATGACCTTTGGTTTGTACAATTGATCAGGCGATTGATTCAGGGCAAACACGTAAGTCTTGAATCGGGGAGAATGGCCTAAAATTATCGCTGATAGGCACAAGTTCTCATAACAAGTCATGCTGTATTCTGCAAAGAGATTAGAGTGTTTACCCCTTATTCTGAGTAGTGTTTGTCCGCACGAGGCGTATTTAGATCTTTGTAGACTAATCTAATTTTTTTTATCAACGCTATGCCTCTGCATGCTCTCTAGAAACAAATTTAGAATGTCTGTGTCAATGCAGGAACGTCAACACCATTTTGGCATTCGCACGTCGCTTTCCTTGAACGATATGTTCTTGCACTCGACATGAGGCTTTGCGTTCTGCCATTGGAACAAACAAGATCGATTCTATAAGATATGCTATACTTAGCTTCCAACGCTTCGTCGACGTATTAGGCCTCTCTCTCTGTGACCCGAACGAAGAATTCGTGTTGCATCCAAATATTGAAGTTCTTACTTGACCAGGGCTTCTCAGCGTTAACAACATCAAAGTCAAAGTGGCGTAGAAGCTGTGGACAGATTAGCCGATGCATGTGCAAACTAGAAAAAGCGGTTATTGAACATACCTCAAAGTACACCTTGTCCATCTCAAGGAAAGCCACGTTCCTTCCCATGCAGCTCCAACGTCCGTAGCCAAAGACAAGATCGACGGTCTTCTCCATCTCGCGTCGGGTGTCCGCATCGGCTTCAAGCCAGCGCTCGGGGCGGAAGGTGTCGCTATCTGGTCCGAAGATGGGGTGACGAGTCAAGGCGTAGACATTATGGCCGATGCGAGTACCAGCTGGGAAGTAGATGCCCTCGTATGTGTCTCCGCCTGCGGGCACTTCCTTGGCAACCTGTCCGAGAAAGGGAGGTGTTATTCCTGAGGTAGGGTACAAAGTTAGTGTGAGTCAAGATAGGGTGGATGGGTACCTTAGGCATGTCTCAGGTATACAAGCGACAAAGAAGTCTCTCTTCTGTGACGTACAGCATGCACCTGGTACACAGTGGGTACATACTGAGGCCTTCCTTGACTACAGCCTGGAGGTAAGGTAGCTCCTTGGACTCTTTCTGTTGAATCGGGTTGGATACCCGGCCTTCTGCGACGGCTGCAGTCACCTCAGCTCTGAGCTTGGTGAGGACGCGAGGGGATGTAAGCAGACGGAGAAGTGTGCTACGTAGTGCTGAAGCTGTGGTGTCGGATCCGGCAATAATCTGTAGCAGAAGCTCGGCTTCGATTTGCTTCTGGGGGATACCGTTGCGCACAAAGGCACCGATCATGTCGTGTCGCTCTTTGGCGTCCACTTCGAAACGTTCACCAACTGCAGCCTTTGCCTCGGACATCAAACGTCCGAACCCTTTCGGGTCTTCAGGGTTGGGTGCAATCTTGAAGATGAGGCCACTGCGGTACAGGAACTTATGAATCGGTGCCACGCCGATGATAGGCGCAGCCGTGGACACGAATTGTTCAGCAAGCTTAATGTAGTCGTAGATGTCTTCATCTCTGGCGAGGTAGCCAAAGGCTCCGCCGTAGGCCAGGCTTGTGATGACATCAAGAGTGAAGTACTGTGCTTGGAGGGCAAGATCCATGGGCTTCAGTGATCCGCCCTCAGATATGTACTTGGTCTTGATGAGGTTCACCCATGACGCGATTTGATCGTCGACATCTTTCTCGAGCTGCGGGTTCTCCCTACCAGCGTACGCGCCAGCCATCTTGGCTCGTCGTTTATCATGGGTATCAACGTCTAGCTCTGAAAGAATGTTGTCGAGGTGAGGATCCACGCGCATCCCAAGATACCAGTCGGATCGCTTGTATGGAGAACGCGCAGCACTCATGCGCCGAATGAGCTCCGGATCACTGGTGGTAAGTTCATTCGGACCGATGCGCACAATGGAGCCTGCATTGACGCTCTGTCAGTCGAACCATTACTACATCGGTACGAACCGAGGCCTACCGAATTTTGCATCCACAGCTCTGTACCGCAAGTGCTGCGTGCCGCTTGCCTGGGTCCTCATCATGAACAGGTACGAGAATTTGCCAAGGAACGGCCCCGGGATATGACGCAGAGGGAGCCATGTTTGAATCGCAGTGTAAACATAGTAGGCGGCTAATAGTAGGGGAACAAAAGGTAGCAGAAACTTGAAGGTCGCCGTGAGAAGACCGTCACCCGCCATGACGATTGTCGCTTGAAGGGGAAGGATCACGAAAGTTCACTGAGAAACGGAAATGCAGATTGTAAATGTGGATTATTGTCTCTTATCGGACATCTGCGCTTTCCATTTTCAGGCATACCCTGATGCGGGTTTTCCTCCTACTCGCCGTTTAGAATTTGCGGACCCTCCAGGCGACGTACGCTCCTGGCAAGTACGAGTGTCTAGCGTGACTGGCGTGACTGGGGTTGATCAGACACTTTTGAGGTCGTTTACGATGGCAAAAAACCCCTGATGCGCAAGACCTGCACTTTCTGGGAGGGCCACAGCATTCAGGCGATCGCTTTGGGTTCTCCTTATACGTAATTTGCCTCTCTAATCGGGCATATGAAAAAACCCTCCCCTCTCGTGCATTGTCAACAGGGCAAACCTGGGAGATGCCCCACGCTGGAAACATGGAAGATTTCGAAACTATACCGCATTGCTGTTGCCCATCGAGAAGGGTTGACAGGTTGTACGACGTTGTCTACAAGCAAATGCTGATATAGACGCAACACATCGTCGTGGAGAGAGAAGATTTGATGACATGCTGTGGCTTGAACGGCTCGGCAAGCGGTCGGCATGTGGAAAATGTGGAAAATAGGCGGCCAATCGTAGCAATCGCCGTTGCAGGCTGTACCCGCCCGCCAGCGGCTGTCAGTCTACTCGCTTAACGTTCGAGTCGCGTAGCTCCGCCCATCTTAGCGTTATAAGGCAAGCGTCCTGGGGTGAGGACAAGTCCACTTCACCAAGGCCACCAACCTCGAACGTGATTAGTTTGGCAGGTCCGGGCCGGGTAGCGTGGCCGGGCAACTGGGCCTGTCGTAGAAACTGGGTGCCCTGCCAAAAGTAATGCACAGAGGAAAAAGAGCGGAGCCCTCCCGTTCGCTAGGGGTTCAAGTTTCAACGTGCTCAAATGAAGCCGTTCGCCCCAGTCCCCGCTGTGATGTGGGAGAATCTTACATCTCATCCGTTCATATCATTCATTTTGCATACCCCTCCAGTAGCTGTGTTTCCCGGAAGCAGCGCTTTTTGTCGACATGGCGTCCACAGCCCCGAAGGACGAGACGTACGAAGCGTTCCGATCAAGATTCGATGGAGCCATCATCACCACCTACGTGGTTGCGATGTTGGTTGTTCCGCTGAAGATCTGGTGTCGAAAGAGAGCCGGCGGGTGGTCCATCATGGGCGCTGATGAGATCTTCACCCTGTGTGGTGCGGCTTTTGTAACTGGTACCTTTGCTGTCATCTACTCAGGTACGCCCACATTCCAATTAACAATTCAAAGGCGAAGTTGCTGACCAAATGCACTAGCTGTGCGACCACTGCTTGGGAAGAAGATTGCCGACGTTATGCAGTCGCCAGAAGACATGGCAAAGCTACCAGCGTTTGCGCTCTACCTTTGGGTTGCGAACTTGCTATACACTATAAGCGTCATGTTCATGAAGCTTTCCATAGTAGCCCTTTATTGGCGACTCTTTGGCCTGACGAGGAAGGGTCGCATTCCACTCCTGCTCGTCGGCGGAGTCATCGTCGCCTGGGGTATCACAGTCGTGAGTTTAGTGTTCGATACGCGAAAACTTTGTTGCTGACTCGACACCATTAGTTCTTGATAGTCATCTTCAACTGCGATCCAATTGCGGGAAGTTGGGACCTGACCCTCGCCACCACTGCCAAATGTGTGGACAAGAAGTCATTCTATGTCGGTGGAAGCGTCCCGAACGTTATTACCGATCTCGTCCTCGTCATAATGCCACTCCCATACGTCTGGAGGCTGCACGCTTCCGTTGCACAGCGAATAGTGTTGGGAGGCATCTTTGCGCTCGGAATGTTTGTCTCAATTGTCTCCATGATACGACTGTCCGTACTCTTGGACACTGCGGGCGGCGTGTTCGATGTTACCTACACCTTCAAAGATGTCTACATGTGGAGCTTGGTCGAGATCAACGTTGGTCTGACATGCGCATGCTTGCCCAGTTTGCGGCCCCTTGTCAAAGTCATCGGACTAAGGCGGTTGTTCTCTAGTGGACGCTCCCGACCGTCGGGTGCGGCAACACCTGAGCCTTCACAGGGATTGAGTGGGAATGTGAGCGGCCTGAACTCGCGGAGGAAGCCCAAGGGCATGTTCTCGCAGCTGGAAGACGATGACGAGTTTGAGATGATCCCGGAAGACAAGATGAAGGGAGGCGCATGGAGTGGAGGGTCCACATCGCGCGTGAGCCATGATACCGACAGAACGTCGAATGGCTCTACCGATTCGCGAAAGCAAGCAGCTATCGGTGCAATCGTGGTCCAGCGGGACTTTGAGGTGTCCTCAAGTCGACCATGATACGAAAACAGTGAGACTTGATACACAAAAAGAGAAATAAAAGGGAAAGGATTGGCGGAATTCTGTTCGATTCAACATGTATACTCACATCTTCGCTTCAAATTCGCACAGCCTTTGATAGGATACAATCTACAAACATGTAATCAGGCTCATATTTTCACCACATCCCCAGTTCCAATTAGTCACGATTCACTGCTGCCCGAATTGGGTAATATGTCGTTCCTTCGGCTGTCACATGCTGGCATGAATCCCGAACGTCTCTATTTCCCCAACTGCATTAGTCTCCAGCTCCCGTGTGCAAATAGGGTCGCTTCGCTTGCTTGTACCCGTCCACCCTGGCTCCCGTTGTCCCAGACATTTCGTCATGCCTCGGCCGACTTCCCTCCCCTGCACCACAGTCCAGCCCCTGTCCTTGCCGGTTGGCTCCTTCTCGTAGCCGTCGCAGCGAGCACAATGCCAGTGCCTGCAACCAATGCAGCGGGATTCTACGTGGAGGGCGTTTTCACCGTTCTCATCTTGGGACCAGTACGCAGGGTTGCACTGGGTGCATTCGTGACATTTCCACGACGCTTGCTCTAGTCTCTCGGTTGGATTCTTCCTAAACTTTGCCATCCCCGTTAGGTCGATTTCCTAATGTGGTGTGATCATCATGAGCATTACGAATACGTCTAGCGAGAAGCAGTTCGAAAAGCTTAAATTGCAAGGTACTGCGGGAGACAATTTAAATGTGACAATACTAAAAATATATCAACGGGGCCTGCTGTGATATTGGAAGCAATCAAAGGAACGTGGCCGTGATGGTGACAAGCTGCAAACACTGCAAAAATCATGAGGCTACAAACGGATAGCCATAGGCAATCAATGACGGGGTTTAGATGGATGATATATGCATAAGATAAATTTCCCCTTACTTAGGGTTTGAGCTTCGTACCTTGAATGGCAAGAAAAGTCTTTCAGCTACTGAAATTCAAGCAAGCTGATACCCGCCTGACCGTACAGAGAGCAAATAATGATAACGACTGATCGACTACGACACGTGGGGTGCCTATAAATCGAATGAACCAAATTTCCGTGAAGGGCCATGGGTCTGTTGTTTGTGCGCGTTTGCAGCACTCTGACCCATACACAGATCAATGCCACGAGTACGTACGCTTCCCTTCATCAGCACCTCTCATGCGAGATTCTGACCCTGGCTAACCAAGGCGAAGAGTGATCGTACGCCGCTTGCAAGTAATAGTCGAGCCAAGATTCTCCTTTCACTGGTGAAGGTCAGCTCGATTCACGTCAAAGTACATCCGTTTCATCTGGGCCCATTACGTGAATACCGCCTCCTTGGATTCGACGCGTGTCAATGCTATATGTCGCAGGGAAACTAAGGTTTTGAAGCGAAATGATGATGAATAAACGATAGGCAATGGCTGAATGTTTAATCATGAGGTCGACCGCTCGTGTTGTTGGGCCTCAGTAATTGACAGAACATCCCAGTTAGGGTCAGAACCTTCGTGGCGGGCGTCGGTTTATCCTCTCTCTGCGCTCCAGAAGCGATTTCTCAGAAGGTTATGCAGACTAGACGAGAAAACGAATGTGGTGAATCTTGCTATATCAGCGTAATTACTGTTGATGCGATTGGTGCTTGGCGTGTACGTCACATTGTAATAAAGATCTTAGAAGGATCGATCTGAGAAGGATCAGGAACGATCTTGGAAGGATCAATGTAAGAAGGATCGATGTTGAAAGGATTCAAAAGGATCAAGCGAAGAACCATTAATCTCGAAAGGTTCCATCTTGAAAACACCAGTCCACGTGTGCAAACCATGCTATGAGCGAGACGCATGTGCAGATTCCAAATTTTAGTCCAACTGTACACAAATCCGCAACGAAAGGTCGCGTGAATGTTCCAAAGTATCATCGATTGCATAGGTACAGACATCCAATAGCCACCCGTACTACCCACATCCCACCACCGAGCCTAGAGCTATCCTTCACGCCTCTAACACCAGAATCACCGCGCAATTCACCAAGCCACCTCGCCAGCAGACTCCCTCTCCTCTAACAAATCAGCTTGACCACACACCAAACCCTACATTCCAGGTCCACTCACCCCTCCCCTCCCCCTTCCTCTTTCCCTCACCATTCCCCAAACCTTGTTGTTGACCCTCTACCCTACCTCCACCGCACACGTGCATGCATCCCTGCGCCTGGCTCACGGCCGAGGGTTTCTCCCCAGCTTGTTTCCGCTGTGCTGTTAGGTCAACGCTGGATCCCTTCGGGGTGCCGATGTCGGCGGTGGTGGCCTGGAGGCCCATGTCAGAGTTCATGGAGGAGGTCGTGGTGGTGCTGGAGAGGCTGGCTGTGGAGCGACGGCGCGGCTGCGAAGTGGAGATGATGTAGTGGGCGAGGGGTGACATGTTTGCTTGTGCGACTGGTGCTGGCCGCGAAGCTGCTGGACGTGGAGATGAATGATGAATCGAGGTGTGTTGGTGAGAAGGTGTTTGTCTGCGCGTTGAATGCGCGACGTGACGTGACGTGATGTAGTGTTTGTGTAGAGAAGCAGCTGTGCTGTAGAGATGCTGGAGCTTGCGTTTGGTGAAGGCGAACGGCGGGCATTGGGGGCCCAGGATTTATACATGGTGTGGGACAGGCGTGGGGGCGTGGAGGGGATTTTGTCACGTCCACTTTTCTGTTTGTGTCTATAGATTAGGCTATGCTATCGCGAGGCACATAACACCTACTGCGTAGGCCGATGCAACTTGATAGGGAACGACGCGAAACGGCGTATACCCGCACCGACCAATAACCACTCGATCGGTGAACTGACCCTTCGAAATCACCTCGACGTATCCACTTCACTGCATCGAATCATCTCGATCATGGAGAACTCGCCGCCGGACGTTCGTAACATGTCTTGGAAATACGCCTAGGGGTGCCCATGAACGGTTTAGTCAAGCCATGGCCGCGAAGAGACGTGTATCAGAATTCAGTCACGCAATCAATTCAGCGGTATGCGGTCTAGTCCACACGTCGATGCTGCAGTGTCGTCCACATGGGCGAGGAACATCGCGGCGGAAGTCGCCTGGAAGCAACTTGATAGCCTTGGCGACATGACTTACCATTTGAAGTGACCGGTCACTGCACGTGTATCAGCGCTCGTACTGTCGTAGCACCTTCCTGAGCAAATGCTTACTGCCTATCTTCCCCGCCAACGCGTGAGATCCTATGTTGGACAGATCCACATAGGTAGGGCTTAGCTTTGGGTGAGGCGTTCTGTACGACGTCACAAGACGTCGCTACTAGAAATTGGGCGCACAACCTTGGTGTCGACGGGCCGCTGGCTGCAGAAACTGGCTCGGATGCCACTGGGATGGTCGGCATCAGTATCGAATGCATCTCGAGTCTGCATGTGCGGCTGATGATGTCGGAGCTGAGAGCCCGGTGATAGTTCGTGCAGCTAACTTTGATGCCGTGTAAGCTTAGCCGATGGATCAGAAAGAAAGATCAAGCGGAGTAGGGAGCGGTTGGCTAGAGCGACATAGAACCGATCGAAGATTACTCTTGCTTGCACGACATCAACGCACGGTCATCGTTGTCAGGGGTACGATACCATGGGTACACGGGCGGAGTGCAGGCTGATGCTGCATTGAACCTTATCATGCCACTTTTCGCTTGAAAGCAACTGCTGTTTGTGTCGATCAAGTCGCGCGTGTCACGACATGATGCTCGCCGGGTGATGCATCTTGTTCCCCGGTGGCCAAGGATATTGCAGCAGTATGTAAGTGCGACCAGTGACGGAAACATGAAGTAGTCTATGCGGCTGCGGTAGATTTGCTCGAATGGTCTTCAGCTGCATGAGTGCACGTGAACGCTCTTTATCACCGTTTGTGCGCCCCAACGCCATCGCCATGCATGATGCACTATACATACATTTACAAACGACAAGCCTCCCCATCTCCCGATGCATCGTCTCGGCCCGAAGCTCACCTGCTTCGCTTCATTCATGAGCAGACAAAACCAACGTTGTCACTCCGTGATTGTACGCTGGCGCTGCGAGACGTGCACTTCTACACTCATTGGACTACCCTCACGTTGTCGGTTCGCTGGCCTTCTCTGGGACGGTCTCTGGTTCCTCTTTCTTCGTTTCCTCAGCCTTATTGGCTTCATGCTCAGTCGGCGCGACGACTTTCCCTTCAACAAGCTGAATGAGGTACGTGCCGGTATTACCGGCACCATCGATCTGTCCAAGTTTCGCATCGAAGAGTTTCGCGTCACGGAGGATTCTATCAGGCATAAGTTATATTGTCTCGTCTTGAAGGGGACCGCAAACCTTTGTTTTCCAAGGTCCGTTTTGACCGCGGCGTCCTTGAAAACCTTGCCGAGTTGGTCGCGATAACTCTCGAACACAGGTGCCATGATCATCCTGACTTGGATCTCGTGCAAATACTTGTTGATCACCTTATGCAGTGTGACCGTCTCTTTAGTAAGCGTCTCCATGTTCGGGCTGACCTCTTTCTTCGTCTCTGCTTCGGCGTCCCACTCGATCTTTCTAAGATTACGCACGTGCACAGTTGCACGATTACTCATGATGTCAATGAGTTTCTCGTGTATGGACTGTTGTTGGTCATGTAGTAGACGCTTCACATTGTCAAACTCGGCCAAGGCGGTCTTGTTTGCTGTTGCGTGGCGACGGGCGCATTCACGGAGATATGGCAGGAGCGCTATGATAAATGACAGGGTTTGTGAGGCAATAGCGAGGTGTTTGGTGTTGATGTTTTTGAGCCCAGCACTATGCATCGCCCCAGCGCCCAGGATGAGCTGACAAAGTCGAGAATTGAACAGCTTGATGTAATCGCAAAGGACCGCGGATATTTCGGAGGTCATATTGGGCATGGCAGTGAGGAGAGTTTCGAAGCGTTCAATACCGCGGATGACGACAGCAGAAGAGTTCGATACGATGTACTTTTCTTCGTCGACATACGCCGGTGCTGGCGACTTCTTTTCTTTCTCTGTTAGAGCACCGTTGGTGTGAGCAGTTCCGTTCGTGGGGCTGTCATCTCCAACCTCGCCAAGTATGGAACCTGCTTCTTTCCATTCAGTGGGGTCGGATTCCATGCCTTTCAGAATTCGTGCCAACACCTCTTTGTCGCGTTCATCGAAGTCTTTTGGTTCCCATCGATCGGAGTCCATAGCTTTCGCCAGTGCCTGCTTCTCATTGTCCCCAAACTTGGACACGAAGTCGGTGATGTGGTTGTTTACCACGCCTTTCAGAGCTGCACCAGACCGGCCAGATACAGCTTCGCATTCATCGGCGAATAATCGACAAAGGTTGAAGTAGCGGAGGAACCGGTTCAATGGTAGGTTGCTTGTGACCTCAGCTCGGACCTTCAATAATTTAGTGACTTGTGTCTGAGCAGCATCTACAGCTTGTCCAAGCAGACTAGACATGTCTAGTGCTTGCATCAACTCCTCTTGTAGTCCGGTCATATCCATGGGATTCGGGACAGCTCCCATTGCGCCGTCAATACTGCTCATGTACGGACTTCGCGGAGGTGAACGAAGACCTCCACTGGATGCTGGTGGCGTACTGACGCCACTCGTAACATCAAGAAGCACTTTAACTTGCACACTCAATCGTCGCAAAGCTTCGCCGATGTCGGTGAAGATACCAGTGAAGAATTCTTCTGCATCGGCTGGATCCATAGCGCGTAGATTCCGCGCGAGAATCGAATTCTTGTCCTGCTGACTGTAACCCCGACCACCGCGCGTGGAGACTGAGGTCATGGACTCGGCATCATCATCAGTAGAACTGGGCAGATATTGTCGAATCACCAACTTCATTTCGCGCACGATAGCGTCTCGGAAGGTCGCACTGGCTTGGTTGGTAAAATTGGAACCACTCAGACCAACAAGATCTGCACGTAAATCTGAGCGGAACTGGTTGCTTGTGGTAAGATATGCGGGCAATGATGACTTCAACCGCTGATGATCCCCACGGCCACGTTGCGATGTTGCTGCCCATCTTTGCAGGGTATCGCGACTGGGCGTGCGCTTCACGTGCTCACGTAGATCGTTACGAAGGGTGTCCACGAAACGCTGTTCGAACCCCTTGCCGATGCGGAATCGTAGTTGATTTATGCCCTCGGACACTCCATCAAGAGCTCGTAAGGTACGAAGATCGACGATACTAGGAGGACACGGTGGTTGCATCCAAGAAGTAGCGGAGGTATCAGTTGTGTCGAGGGTACCGCAAATCAACCTTTCGATGGTTTCCAAGCGAGTCATGGCTGATTCGAGTGCCCCCTTGTCGACGGTCTCATCGCATACAGACAGGCCAGTGATTACAGCTTGCAGCTGGTCGGTGGCGTGGGTAAGCTTCCTGAGATTCTCTCGCCGGCGCTTCATGTCTACAATCTTTAGACCGCCTATGGCCATCTGATCGTCCAGCCGCTTCAGATCGCTCCGAACAGTTTTGATCCTCTCCACAGACTCAGAGGCCTCCGACTGGAGCTCTCTCAGCGAACCCAGAGCCGCAAAGAATGAGGTTGAGGCCGTGGATATTGACGATATAAGGTGCACTTCCACCGTATCCATGTACCACGACAGCTTCTCCTGCAATATCGCATTGGTGGCAAGCGCCTTGCGGCCGGGCGGTTGAGGTGCTTCAAACGAACCATTGGCATCGTTGAGGTCGTCTCCGCTCTTGGTCCGCACCGGCCTGACGACTTCAGACCTTTCGCTGACGACATCGAAGGTGCGAGGGTTTTCCAGGCGGAAGTTTTCGTCGAAATAGACATTGGGAATGGTGGACAGTGGCGTGATGGTGGGCAGCGCGCGTTTCGAGCCACTGGTGCGGCGTTTCGGTTTCGGCGACGAGGAGGGCGAGAAGGCGGAAGAGGAGAGCTTTGGGGTGGCGGCCGGGGAGCCTGCGCGCATGCCACGCTCGACGGCATCGGAGAGGTCGTCCTTCTTGACCGAGTCCTTTCGTAGTATCGCTGCCGCATCATCCGCCTCGGCTTTTGCGCGCTGGAAGGCTTCGTACAGATTGCCAATCTGCGACAGGTAGGGGTTGAAAGCGGACGCTTCGACGTGGGGTATGTTTGCTAGGGTCACGGGCGGTATGTCCTTGGTCGACGGTGGACGATGGCTGCCGGACATTGCGGTCTGGGCGGTATGCGGCAGCATGCCGGTGCGCACGATGGGGGGTTGGAGCAGCGTGGATATGGCTGTGCACGTCAGCACGACCACGACCACGATGCTTCAAGGTGGTTCGCAAGAATGGTTCGCAAGACGACACGGGGGACCTACCATTGTTGTTCTGCTGCTCCCTCAGCGGTCCCATGCTTCCTTTGAATGCCGTATCCAGCGCTCCTCCCACCGAGTGTATCGAGCTCGACGTGGACCCGCGACGTGGCTGATAGCGGGCGCCGCCGGTCGAGTTGGGGCGGTGGGTCCATTCTGGCGGCGCGGGGAAGGGGAACTGGGCCTGGGAGATGTTGGGCGACAGGAACTCGAAGCTCTCCTGCGAGGACCGCCGCGGCGAGGACGACATGTTCGGGGCGCAAGTCTGGGGCGCGCGGGTGGCCGAGGCATAGGGAGGGCACAAAGCGGATTGCGGAGGATCAATCGCTACGACATGCCGAGCCGGGCCAGCAGAAGCTGCAGTGCGTATAGTGCAGGAATGCGGACAGCAGCAGATGCAGAAAGCGCAACGTCGCGGAGCGCTGAGCGTGTACGGCCAGCGTTGGAGGGCCTGGCATGGGTCCGATGTGGCCGCAGCGCAGCGCAGCGCAGCTTTGCAGGGTTCACGGCGTGGCTCCCGCGTACGGGGTAGCGCACGGCGAGAGCCTCTCGGCAGCACACTCTCGTGCGTGGAGACACGTGAGGAGTCGGAGAATAGCTACATAGAGATCCTGGGACAACGCTTGCTCTGGAGCGTACATGGATTGCTGCTTCACTCGCGCAGCTAGCTATACCTCCATCGTGGCCCAAGTCCAGTCCCGGCCACTGGTGCAGACGCCCATACGCTAGGCCAAAGCCAGGTGCAATATTGCCTACGCGTCGTTTTCTCACGAGCGCGTGTTTGGCGCGTCGCCCCGACCCCTCCATCCACTTCCCTCCCCCAACACCAGCACACGCAGCGCGCACGCAATGGCCGACAGACAGACGCCCTACACAATCAGCGTCTTCCCCAGCGAGGGCGACGGCGACCACGGCGATGCTGCCCCCAGCCGCATGCAGCAGCGCCTGGTCGACTTCATCATGGACTTCCACCTCGACAACGTCTTCGTTTACAGGTACGTGCACGACGCGGAAAGCGCTGCTGGCCATTGCTTACACCGGCCCAAGAGACCAGATCCGCGAAAATGTGCTCATCAAGCAGTACTACTGCGACGTCGACGTTGCACACCTCATCTCGTTCGACGAGGAGCTGGCCCACAAGCTCACCCAGGACCCTGCCGAGATCATCCCTCTGTTCGAGGCCGCTCTCAAGTCATGCACACAGCGCATCGTCTACCCCTCGCAACGGACCATCAAGCTGCCCGAGCATCAGCTGCTGCTCCACTCGTCCGCCTCGGAGCTCTCCATCCGTGACCTGACCGCCACATCCGTTTCGCGCCTCGTGCGCATACCGGGCATCATCATCGGCGCCTCCACCCTCTCTTCCAAATCCACAACCCTCGCCATCCGCTGCCGGAATTGTCAACACGAAGAGACCCTACCCGTGTCTGGCGGTTTCTCGGGCGTCTCGCTCCCCCGCACATGCAGCCGCCAGCGCGGAGAAAACGACGATAAATGCCCTCTCGACCCATACTATGTCATGCACGAGCGCTGCCAGTTTGTCGACCAGCAGGTCCTCAAAATGCAGGAAGCCCCTGACCAAGTACCAGTCGGTGAGCTGCCGCGTCACATCATGATCTCAGCCGACCGATATCTGGCCAACCGCGTTGTCCCCGGTACAAGGTGCACCGTCATGGGCATCTACTCCATCTACCAACAGAAAGGCTCCAAGAGGTCACAGAACGCCGCCGTAGCCATTCGGAATCCGTATATCCGCGCCGTGGGCATACATGCCGATGTCGACCACACCGCCAAGGGTAACCTGACCTTCACTGAGGAGGAAGAGCAGGAGTTCTTAGAGTTGAGCCGAAGACGAGACATTTACGAAGTATTCGCCAGCTGCATCGCGCCGTCCATCTACGGAAACAAGGACATCAAGAAGGCTATTGCGTGCCTGCTGATGGGAGGCTCCAAAAAGATTCTACCAGATGGCATGAAGCTCCGTGGCGATATCAATGTTCTGCTGCTCGGTGACCCTGGTACAGCCAAGTCCCAACTGTTGAAGTTCGTGGAAAGGGCTTCGCCCATCGCCGTCTATACCTCCGGAAAAGGTTCGTCAGCAGCTGGTCTGACTGCCTCAGTTCAACGGGACCATAACACGCGAGAATTCTACCTGGAAGGGGGCGCTATGGTCCTCGCTGACGGGGGTGTTGTGTGTATTGATGAGTTCGATAAGATGCGTGACGAAGACCGTGTCGCGATCCACGAGGCCATGGAACAGCAAACCATCTCTATCGCAAAAGCAGGTATCACCACGATTCTCAACTCGCGAACGTCCGTTCTTGCCGCCGCCAATCCTATCTTCGGACGCTACGATGACATGAAAACACCAGGCGAAAATATCGACTTCCAAACCACAATCTTGTCACGTTTCGACATGATCTTCATTGTCCGGGACGAGCACGACCGCGCTCGCGACGAGCGGATAGCGAAGCACGTCATGGGTCTCGCCATGGGAGGCCGCGGAACAGAAGAGGTAGTGGAGTCGGAGATTCCCATCGAAAAGATGAAGCGCTACATCTCGTACTGTCGCCAAAAATGTGCCCCAAGACTATCGCCCGAGGCCGCCGAGAAGCTGAGTTCCCACTTCGTCAGCATCAGGCGACAGGTTCATGCCTCTGAAATGAACGCCAACCAACGCTCTTCTATTCCCATCACCGTGCGTCAGTTGGAAGCCATCATCCGTATAACAGAATCTTTGGCCAAGCTCTCGCTGTCCCCTGTTGCCGATGAGTCCCATGTTGACGAGGCAATCCGTCTGTTCTTGGCTTCCACCATGGATGCCGTGAACCAAGGAGAGGGCCAAGCATCCAAAGAGCTCATGGACGAGGTGAACAAAGTTGAGGAAGAATTGCGACGGCGCATGCCAATTGGGTGGCAGGTCAATCTCTCAACATTGAAGCGCGAGATGTGCGATGGGAAGGGCTACTCGGAGCAAGCCTTGGGCCGTGCACTGCATGTGATGGCCGCAAGGGAGACGATACAATGGAGGCATGGCCAGAGTGCTGTATACCGATCTAATATCTAGCCGGTAAAGGTGACACTCGGATGGCGTTAGGGTATGGGAAGGATCGTTCTGGATACGAGACTATGATTGTGGAGGCAGATGTGATTTAGGTCGAGCAAAGATACCTCCACGCATGCTTTATGTTCAATGACCTGGCGTTACTAGCCGCTGCTCGACATGTAGCTCTTCTTGTCTACATGCAAATACACTTTACTGCGCTACAAACTATGATTATTTAGCCCCACCCTTGCGTCTATCCTACGCCACGGAGTGCCTCTTTCGCAGGCCTGGCTTGATACATGATCGCTCCACACGAACTTGCTAATTCTGCGCGTAGTACCTGAGCGCAGCGATCACAAGGTGCTCGCGTCGCTGCAAACAGCGTGCTTTCGCTATATGTCGCATTGTTAATCCACTATGTTTTGCACCAACATTATCCAGACACAAGACGCTGAGTATCGACCCCCTTAGATTGTATTCCTTCCCTCATGTGTTTTCACTCAACCTAAGCAGGTTAACCACACCTGTGAGCCCGGAATACTACAGCGTAAAGCTCCACCCATATTCTTCCTCTGAAACAACCTCTTCCACACAAAAAGAACGCAGTGACTCAACCTTTCTGCAGGACCCAACAAGAATTGGACAACACGATCTCGAAGCGATGCGCACGTGGTCAGGCGGCCCGTGAGCCTGATACGATCTTGAAGGTACCTGAAGTCCCTCGCGATGGTGGCTACAGCATCGGTCTCCTAGGAGGCGATACCGAGCCATTTCCCGACTTCTCCTTGAGTCCGGCTTTCGCACGCGATCTCTGTCTACATGAGACCTCAGCGATCGAGAAATCTTGGTATAAGTTCGCTCAGAGCCAGGTCGGCATCAAGGACACTACGCGCTGCCTCGATGATGCCGTACATGCTCGTACACAAGCCTGGCTTAACCAAGTCACCGCCGACCAACCGTTCGGCGAAGTCCTCTTCTTCGATGTGACTAGCACCATCGACGACGAAGGACTGCAGTCTCTTAGCTTCTTCAGCGACGCCACGCTGGCTACCGAGAAGCTCGTCGTTGCCTCCGTCGTTTTCTGCCTCTCGAACGGGGAGTTTCTCTATGATCGTGAAGCAATTCAAGAATTCCTCAATCACGACAAAAAAGGGGTTATGTATTGGGGTCCGGAATTCAAGTCTCTGCCGCGGGCGGCGAGCTTGCTGGATCCGTTCACGTCGTTGCCCTCTTACACATCTACAGAGAATGGACAGGAGAGTTGCTTCTCCTTCGAGTACGAGATCGAGGATGCCTCTCAGGCTGTTTTAGAGGCGCCGGGAGACTACGACGATGATGAGGATGAGGATGAGGATGAAGATGATGACACCAAGTCTGAGGCGTCGTTCATCTGCGTCACTGCTGCCGCACACGACAAGGCTCTGGCGGAGGAGAAGACTCGCCCACGTGCCAAGCAGTCTGATGTGCTGCCCTTCCATCGATGCTGCTCCTTGACTCCTTTGAAGTATGTCAACAAAAACAAGAGCCCTCGCCCACCAATCTGGATTCCTAGCTCTCCTCTGCATACTATTCCCATCCGCATCGCGCGCGGTCTGAAGTCAGTCCAGCGCCCCGCCATTCTCAAGGACAACACCACCACTCTTTGCGCCATGCGTGCTAACATGCGCGACGCCCCCGTCATCTGGCCGACCTACCCCAAGAAGTTTGGCGACATCCAGCACCTCCCAGCACCTCGCATGCCTGCACGACCGCCACGCCCTGGCCCCTGCATGCTGCAACCCGTACATCCAGAAGTGAAGGCCCAGTGGGAGACCGCTAAGCCGCTCTCTCTCACGTTCATCTCAAAACGCCCGGATTCAATGCCCGCGCGGCACTTTCCACTCGAGCGCACGCCTGTATCCCTCAACTCTCTCGATTTGCTTCGTCTTCATAATACCACTGGCTCGTCAACAATCCACTCGATGGAGGCGGACCTCGTATCCGCGCCCTTGCGCATCGATTCCAAGGGTATCTGGCCTCGTCCGGGCGCCCACACCATCCGGTCTGTCGATCCAAACATTCGGGCGCAGTGGAAGGCTCTGGCTAAGCCTGAGCTTGACGGCGGGCTTGGAGAGCGCAAGACGCGCACGCCGCTGGTGCTGAAGCCGTTCAAGTTCTTGCGCAAGATGCTGCACGCTGCTACACGGGAACGTGGATGGGGTTTTTGAGCCCTTCGATCTCGGCTACTCGCGCTTCGAGATTGGGGCACCTTGGTTTAGAGGTTTGCGGGTGTTGATGAGTGTCGGGTTTCACTTCACTCGCGACACTGAGCGCAAATCAGAGTCCATGTCTCGGTAAGAGACATGGTGGCTAGAGACACAAGTGTTTAGCGGGCCTGGTGCTTGCTCTATGAGAGAGTTTCCCGGTGTTCTATGGGGCTTGTTTACTGGAGTTTGTTTACAAGAGCTGCCGGCATTCGAGCGGTCAGAAAATGTCCTAGATGTGATTTCGATCCAGCATTTATCGAGCGTTCTTTGATATACTGTAAACTGCTCACTATTCAAATGAGCATAGCGCTTGTACAAATGATTTCCTATAATACTTGTCCAGTGTCATATATTCAATTTTAGTTCTGATTGTACCCTTACTCAATCGTACCAGTGAAGCCTCCGACTGACATCGGCAAGTCTCTTATGCCACCTGCACCATGTTACCAGAGCATCGCCGAAGATCCATTGCGCATGAAGTAATGGGAGATAGTACCTAAGATCGGGCGGTACCGATGGTCGGCTACGCTACCTCTCTCGGGCTAGCCTAGCCGACGAACACACCCGCAGCCATGAGCTTGCCTACCCGATCCCCCAGATTCAGAACCCCAGAAATCGTACGCAAACATGTCTACCAAGTCTGCAGTCATATCCGTCATCGGTTCTCTCAATGTCGACCTCGTCACGCGTACGCCCCGCGTGCCCGTTGCGGGCGAGACCCTGACAACCGAGTCCTTCAACACAGGATTTGGTGGAAAGGGCGCAAACCAGGCCGTCGCCTGTGCACGGCTCTCGCGAACGCAGAAGCAGGCATCGAGCGGCGAAGCGTCTGATGTCGAAGTGCGGATGGTGGGCGCTGTTGGAGACGATGAATTTCACGAGGGTTTCTTGAAGAGTTTGCAGGCGGATGGGTTGGGTACGAAGGGCGTCAAGATCTTGAAGGGAAAGAAGACCGGCGTTGCGGTCATTATCGTCGAGACGGGGACGGGGGAGAATCGTATCATGTTCTGTCCGGGGGCGAACTATGATGTTCAGGTGGAGGACTTGGTCGACGATGATGCTGCAGTGGTTTTGTTCCAGTTAGAACTGCCGTTGCAAGTCGTAAGTCAAGAAATGTGCTTACAGAATGAGGTGTTCCACGCTGACAGTGAGTAGGTCCTACACAACATGAAGGTGGCACGTGAGAAGGGTGCGGAAACCATCATCAACCCTGCACCGGCTATTCCTCTTCCAGACGAGGCATACAGTGGACTTAGCCATCTAATCGTAAACGAGACGGAGGCTTCTATACTATCTGGCATTGACAATCCTACGTCATGGGACGAAGTCGCGTCAGTCTTTGTCCAAAAAGGAGTGAAAAATGTGATCATCACTCTTGGGGGAGAGGTATGTGTGACTCTATTGTATTGTTGCATCGCTAATATTCCATAGGGTGTCTACTATAGAACCGCCAAGCAACATGCCCAGTCACAGCTTGGCAAGATTGTACCAGCCAGAAAAGTACAAGTCGTTGATACAACGGCAGCTGGCGACACCTTCGTAGGGGCATACTCAGTTGCTGTCGCGAGATGGAAGTCTTCCTCTGAGGCAACCGAATTCGACCTCGACTCCGCCATAAGGCATGCTAATCTGGCTGCTTCATTGACGGTGCAGAAAGCTGGTGCGCAGTCTTCTATTCCTTGGGTTGACCAGGTACCGTCCTCATAGTCAACTTGCAATCAGAAGAACGAAGAGATGGGTTGGAAATTAACTAAGAACACTATAACAATAGAACATATCTATCTCCACCTCAAAACACCTGGTAGATAGGGATGCAGCGATGTACCTATTGACATCGGTCGTTGCGGTCACAAGCAGACTAGCGTTACCGGTACCCCAGATCAACCCACGGAAATCGATTTCCTCGGTCCTCCCCAAACATCCCCGCAAACATACCATCCATCCCCGTTGTCGTCGTTCAAAAAAGCTTGAGTATATAAGCCGGACCCACCGCTCCTGCGGCCAAGCAGAACATGGTGCTGGTAATTGGCTCTCATCGGAGATCGACGCAACGATGACTCGAAGAGACGCAGAGAATGGATGAAGGTAGGCTTTTAGGGAAATGGAGTCCTTCTACTCGGGCACGGCAGAGGCACACCTGGTGTTATCCGCGGTCTTTTCTGGCAGTTGATCTTCGCTATATTACAAGCGTCTCGAGGCATTCGGTATAATAATTTCCATACTGCAACCCCGATTCGATCATGTCGCACCAAACTACCACAGGAGGTCAGACAGCGTCAGAAAAAACCGAGTTCAATGAATTCGAAGCCTTCGATGAAGAGACTGGCGTCACCAAGCAGGAAGTTAATCGCCACATTAACGAAACTACGCTCTCCGATACCCAAAAAAAACGCGAAGCAAAGGTCCTCCGCAAAGTAGACTGGCGCCTGATTCCCATCCTTGGCTTGCTATACTCCGTCGCTGGTCTTGATCGTGTCAACCTGTCCAATGCACGCGTTGCTGGTATGAACAAGGACCTACGTTTCGACATCGGCAATCGTTATTCAATTGCGCTTTTGGTCTTCTTCATCACCTACTTCCTGTTCGAACTGCCCACAACCTTATTGCTTCGACCTCTCAAACCGAGGTATCTTTTGAATGGACTCGCAGTGTGCTGGGGTTCCGTCATGCTTGGCATGGGATTCATCAATGACTGGCGATACATCGTCGTTTGCAGGATGTTGATTGGCGTTTTCGAGGCTGGATACCTCCCATGTTGTATGTTCTTGCTCGCCACTTGGTACCAGAGATTCGAAGTACAGTCAAGAATAAGTTGGTGAGTCTTGCTACGGCACTCTGGGCATGCTTTTTCCATACTGAGTTCGACCGTTAGGTGGTATCTCATCAACCTCTTTGTTAGCGCCTTTGGAAATATCCTCGCCTTCGCCATAGTTAAACTGGATGGAGTCCATGGCATAGCAGGCTGGAGATGGATCTTCATAGTCGAGGGAGCAGCAACCCTGGGAATAGCTTTGATTGGCTTCTTCCTCGTCATCGATTTCCCGGACCGGATGCTCGCCACAAACAAGCTGCAAGGCTTCACGCAGGACGAACTCCAGATAATACTGGATCGCATTGACCGAGATCGAGGAGACTCTCAGCCCGACAAACTCACCTGGGAGAAGTTTACAAGACACGTCGTCAACTGGGAGTTATGGGTCTACGGGTTCATGTTCCTCACATGCTCTGCCCCTATCTATGCATTCGCTTATTTTATCCAAATCATCCTCGGCACGATTGTAGATAGCACAGCGGTAGTGTTCCTGCTATGCGCGCCCCCATACCTCTTTAGCATTATCTGGACCGTGCTCTGCGCCTGGTTGGCCGACCGCTCTCATCTGCGAATGCCCTGGATGGTCGGGAACGCGGTCATAACGCTCACCGGTCTCCTGATCACCGCATACTCGACCAACCCGGGCGCTCGTTACTTTGGCGTCTTCCTTGGTGTAAGTGGCTGCAACGCCAACCTGCCCACCATCATCGCACTGCAGAGCAATAACGTCCGCTCGGACTCGCGACGCAGTGTGGCAAATGGCGTGCAGTTGCTGTTTGCAGCGATTGGTGGCATTTACGCTTCCACAACGTTCATGCAGAAAGAGTACCCAACGTACAGGACGGGTGTCTGGTGTGCCGTAGCAACTCAATTCCTGCTCATTATACTGTGCGCAGGAATGTTCCTGCACTTCCGGAAAGAAAACAAGGCTGCGGATGAATACGGGGAAGTCATTCAGGAGGACGAAGGCTTCAGATATACGTTCTGATCGGGTGTGCTCATAGCACTACGTCAAGGTCTTGGTACTGCGCTGCTTGTCCTGGGAAAAGAGAGTCATCAATACTTTCGAGGTAGACAAGAGGCATAGCATGTACGGTCGGAATGCGTGGTTCATCATCCCATCAGATCCAACAACGATGCAGCTCTCAAACCTTCGATAATCGTGAGACTTTCCGTACTGGTCAAGCAGTAGAGAAACCGGAGACTTTCGGAAGAAAAATTAGAGTACTTTTGGGTTCGCTTAGTAACTAGAAGGTATCATTCGTACACATCATGGGTTATGCTTAGTTTGAAGCAGTGTGACGATCATAGGGTACCATGGGTTAACCACATTAGTAGCTCGCTATGTAATCGCTGCTTTCTTGATCTTAGCAGTTGCCTTGTAGACCACTGCATTTTCTCTTTCAACCAAGCACTTACCCTAAAATAGTAGTAGGTAGTAATACACTTTATAACCTCCTACTTACTTAGAACGATTACTTTCCTCTCTCACTAAGCACTAGTCCTCAAATAGTAGTAGGTATTATCATAATGTTCTATAATCTCTTACTTAGAACGATCACTCCTCCGCTCCGACCATCTGCCTCTTACGTCTCAAGTGCTTCAGACGTCTCAGGAATCGTTTCGCCAAAACCGTTATTTCGTTTCTTCCATCATGTCCCCTAAGCTCATATTCGGCACTGGCGGCCTCGGCATGGCACCGGGCTCTTTTCGAGATTCCACCTCTGTGCGCCCGCTCATGTCCACTCTGAAAGAGCTTGGAATAACGCATCTCGACACCGCGGCTCGTTACCCGCCAACAAGCCCAGGGTTGGCGGAGAAGTTGGTGGGGGAGGCAGCTGATGGGTTTGTGGTCGACACGAAAGTTCTTACGGAGACGCACGCGGATGGTAGTGGAGATTTAAAAAAGGAAAAGATAGAGAATAGCGTTAGTGAGAGCATGAATAGGCTGAGAAGAGAAAGCGTACGTCGTTGATTTTGATAAGTGGCAGTTTCGACGTCTAACTTAGATTCTGCAAACATTCCACATTTAACCTACTAATGAACATCAACTGCAGGTCAACATACTATATTCGCATCGTGCAGATCCAGCTACACCACTCAAGGAGCAGGTCCAGAACTTTAACGAGCAAATAAGACAGGGACATTGCAAACATGTAAGCCAATCAATCTACCTTGATACAGATGCATTGAGTTACTGACTTAGCCTTCAGTGGGGCGTGTGCAACACTGCACCCAGTGTACTCGAGGAAATGCTCATAATCTGCAACGAAAACGGATGGGAGAAGCCGCGCTATTATCAAGGAAGCTACAGTCTCATCACAAGGGGTATGGAAACGAAACTTCTGCCCATACTACGCTCTGCGGGCATGCACTTCAACGGCTATCAGTACGTTCCATACTCTCTCACCTGGAAGAGGGAATCAAATAGCTGATAGCATCGGAAGACCTCTCGCCGCCGGCTTTCTGACTGGTAAATTCGTGAACAATGATTACGCCGGGACGCGCTTCGATGCAGCTTCACCTGTCGGAAACGTAATGCAAAAGATGTTCTCCGGCGACCAATTGATGATGGCTATGAAGAAGTTTGACGCTGCCGTTCAGCAAAGAGGGTTGACTTCTCCAGAGGTAGCCATACGTTGGCTGATGCATCATTCCGTGCTCAACGACGAGGACGGGATAATTCTGGGTGCTAGCCGGATCGAACAGGTTCACGAGACTGCTGCGTTGACTAAGAAGGGGCCCTTGGAAAAAGATGTTCTGGCTTTGGTGGAGGAGTTTTGGCAAGATGTGAAGAGTTTGAGGGAAGAAATTCTTTAGTGAAGCACACACCAAGCGCTCACAAAGGGTAGATTGGAATTGGTAAGGCGATGTTTTTATTCTTCAGAGTACCGTCTTAGTAGACCAGATAAGGACTGGGTTATGGAAATGATTCGCCCAAACATTGTGCCGATGCGCTTGATTTTTCTCTCTCTATATTCCTGATATTGAGGGAATCAATCTTGTGTTTATTCAGGATCGTATTCAGGTAAAGAACTTGCCATGGCGTTGATGCTACCTAGTTGGTAAGATTCGTCCGGGCCGGGTTTAGGGTCGATGGAGTTAGGTCTCGGAAAGCGCGCGGAGGACCAGAACCGGTGGAGCATACAAGACACGCACGAGAGCATGCGAGCGACTGACCAAGTCTTATTCTAGCTTAGCTGTGATTGAAGGTACTTCTTTAAAAACCCATCAGCTTCGTTCTGCGATAACGTCACCCACTAAACCTTCATATCCGCGGTAGATCGACCAGCAATCTGCATCTCTATCCATTTCGTACCCTCACGGTTTCCGTCTGCTCGTTCATCAGGAGCGTTTCAGACTTACGCAGTCAAAAGTCCGAGTCCTCTCAGCTTGTATATTGCCTACACTGGGGAAAATTGAAAATTTGTACGTTTAGACGGCGCACTGAGAGAATTGTCTGAGTGCGCAAGTATCACACCAAGACGCACCAAGACGCACCAAGATGAAGGTGCTCATAACAGGCGCTACTGGCACGATCGGCTCCGCAATCCTAAGACATTGCCTTCAAGAGCCATCCATAACCTCGATCGTCGCGCTCTCCCGCCGAGCCCTTCCCCAAGACATCTCTTCCCCAAAACTCAGCACAATCCTCGTTTCTGACTTCGCAAACTACGACGCCGCACTCCTCTCGAAGATAGCCTCCGCGGACGCAGCGATATGGGCAATGGGTACCACAGACGCGAATCACGAAGTCAATGTCATCTATCCGCACACGTTCTTCACGACATTCCTAGATGCGCGCAAGAACTCTGAACACCGATCTAAGCGCTTTCGCTACATTCGTATCAACGGTGCGTTCACAGTAAGCGACCAGGACCGTTCCTTGTGGTTTTTCTCCGAGCCCAGGAAATTGCATGGGATGTCTGAAGCTAGGACTCTGGAGCTGGGCAAGCAGTACCGCGATGTGTGCCAGACTTTTGTGGTGAAGCCAGGAGGAGTAGCAACATCAGGGGCGGGGGTTATGGAGTGTGCTGGGAAATTGTTTGGGGACGGAGCGGTGATAGGTGCTGAGACACTGGGAGCTTTCGTGGCGGATCTCGTCGTTCATGGGGAGGAGGAAGAAGGTGCAATCTTCAATAAGAGGATGGTGGAGAAAGGGTCGGCGCTGCTAAAGGGGAACAAGTGAAGCAGGATCAGACTGAATTCTGTAGGAGTGGTTTGTCAGCACGGGGCCCATATCAAACTATTTTCCATCAACTATTCAAAACTTCTTTCGAGGCCCGTGTTGTAGGTGTGTTTTACTGCGCACCATAAGTGGAATCATGGGTGCAAGTGCCATAGACCGAAGGTCGAGAACCGTTGAGTACCGCCTTGGCTACGCTAAGTCCCATCGCCGAACCATCGCCGACGGGCGTTGGAGAATCAGACCACTTCGTCACCAAGCACCACAAAAACATTGCGCCAAACGGCTCTTGTCTCTTCCTTCACTGAGTGCTAATTCAAACGCAGTACACATCCACAATGAACACAGTAAGCTTCAATTCCCCGCAAGAATATCGGTTGTAAATACTTATGCGCGACAGGTCAAATCAGTATAGTACGTCACCTAGAGCTCAGCGCCGTACAGAAAGCACCCCTACATCCGCCCCCGGGGCTCCCGCTACTCCAACAAACGATTGAAAGGATACGCGCATATGCTAACACACCTCTCAGCTATGGCTGGGGCACCTTGATCCTTGCGGGCGGCGGCGCGTACTACTTCGCAAAGCGTTCCATCAACGAAGACCGTGCCCGCAAAGCCGACATCGAGGCCCAGAAGCGGCTCGCGCAGTACCAGCTTGAGCAAGCATACAGCCAGCAGTCCGCACCCGCACCTAAGCCGACGCCAAAAAGCATGCCCGCGTACGCCGGAAAGCCATACACAGGACCAGCGCGAGGGAAGCGCGGAGAGAAGGGCGAGGATAAGGACTGGCAAGCGGGACACGATGACGCGGGCAACCCGAGCCAGGAGGCGAATGCCGATCCCGCGCCGACAAGGCATGCGCCCGAGGATGAGGGGCAGAAGATGAGGGAGAAGAGCAAGTATGAGGCTAGTGATGTGTACCGCAGTCGGAGGGGCGATCGGTTCTCATAGAGGGCGGTGCATGGATTGTCGGGAAATAGCGTAAATACGCAGGATTTGTTCAAATGGGGATACAAAAGAGACTGCCGTACACGTTTGAAGCGAGCAGTGGAAATCTGGAGGGTTGTGGAGGATTGTACATTGTTGTACCATATTACGAGCTCGGCTGCCGTGGACAGTTCGCGTGGCGAGACTGATGGAAGAATCCCACTCTATTTGCCTTCATGAATTCCTGATTCGAAGCCAAGCCGCCTTCTAGCGACTGACGACGGCCGAATACACAAGCACCACATGTACTGAAACCATGAACTCCAACGCAGTATATTCGGGTATAGTGTGACACCTGACCATTACGTATGCAATGCTCGTCTGAAAATCGTTCCCAATCCCGCTACCAGCTCAGCTGAACAAGCTGCTTCTGGGGCTGTCCCTGCGCTTGTCGTACAGCCACTTGTTATTCAACCCCACACTCGCCTTTCCTGTGCTCGGCGTTGGCGTGCTTGGTGTTGCACTGGAGCTACTTTCTCCAAAAAAGCTGCTGCCGGGTGTTGATCCTCCGAAGCTCATCCTCTTTGTCGCCGATCCACCATTGACTGCTTTCTGGAAGAGCGGGCTTCCTGTGCTAGGAGAGAATGGCGAGTTTGAAGTCGACATCCCAAGGCTTGCGCGCGGGCTGCCAGACAGCGGCGACTGCGAACCCTGAGCGCCGAAGCTACTCCGAGGGGTCGACTTCTGGTAGCGCGGAGGCGTCACGTAGTTTGGCGAGGAGGCGTACCCGGAAGCTGGGGATCGCGGGGAAATGCCCGGTTTCAAGCCCATGGCAAGCCGTTGTGAGGGTGTGAGAGGGATGTCGGCGATGTCGTCGGGAAAGTAGCGGCGCGCTAGGGGCATAAAGGCACGAACGAGGTTGGCGAGGAAGATGAGACGAAACAGAAAGAGTGTCCACTCATCGCCGTTGTAGGGGAGCTGGTGTAGAAGGCCCAAGACGGGTTTACTGTGGGTTGAATCAGCATCCCGCGTAGCTATGCATTTACTGGGATAACTTACGAGAGCGTCCGCAGCAGGGTTATTTGCGAGATGACAGCCGGGGCGACAAAGGTACCGACCAGAAGCGAGCCGTTTGTGACAATCATCTTCACATTGCGCTCGTCAAAGGTGGTGGCATATTGGCGGCGGGCAATCTCGTCGAACTGGGGATGCTTCCACCGGCCGGGTGTAGACTCTTCTTCCGTCAGGACAGATGGTGTCGCAGGCGCAGAGCTGGGAGTTCGCGGAGTCATTGGAGCAGCGCCCTGTGTAGTTCGGGCGAGCTGGCTCATGGCGGACGGTTGCTGGGCAGTCGTGGTGTTGTTTACTATGTCAATGACGGCCGAAGCGCCGCAGTAGAGGGCCGCTGGGGACGAGAAGTTGTGTAGCTAAGCCTGGGTTGTTAGTAGTTAGTTGCTGGGAGCGCGTGGGGGAGCTGGGCTCTACATGGGCATGTCGAAGGCGGGTTGTGGAGAAAGCGTGCTACGGAGGGACGGTTTGTTTTCACAAAGTCGGCCTTGGCAATTCTGGCGGCCGCGACAGAGCAACGGAGAGGTCCGGGCGTCATACCCTGGCACCAACAACCCCACTGCGGCCCTGCGGCGGTGCGGGCCACCCGTCAGCGGATGCAGGCCAGCCTCTCTTCTTCACACTTGCTCCTCCAATATTCTGCGCACTATGGCGGGAATTGTCGAGCAGCTTGACGGCGTCATTGCCGGGCTTCTTGCTGGCTACAATGCCTACACCACTCTTCTCGTTGTCACGCTTCTTGGATTCGTGGGTTGGGTCATCTACGACACCCAGGATTCGGACACCCACCCACTGTTGCTTGCAAGACAGGCGCAGGCTTCCTACGTGAGGCAGCCGGGCGAGTCTGCCGTCTACAGATCGCCGGAGCACCCTCATGGATGTGAGACAAAGCTTGGTCATAGCTATTCCTTACCCCGCCGCTGACACCAAACAGACCCTCTTCGCACCGGCCTTGGAGTCAAGCCTCCGGGAGCTCCCATGTACACGGCCGGCCGCGATGGCGATCTACGAGACATCTGGCGACGCGTCACCGGCGAGATTCCGCTCGAAAAGGGCGCCACGTCAAGCGGCACCGCCAACATTGTGACCGTATTTGGCAAGGAAGGCGTGACCGAACACGCTATCGCCGACATCACCAAGGAGATCACGATAATCGGAAAACATTTCAGGGACCATGGCGCGAAAAGGGTCGCCATCTATCTGCCCAACAGCCTCGAATTTCTCGTTACCCTGTTTGCCGGCGCTTTTTACGATTTTGTGCCCATCCTAATTCCGTACAATCAACCCCACCAGACGCTGATCGAACTCTTGAACCAGACAAATGCGGACTCCCTCGTTGCTGAGGCCGGTTCTGTTCCGCTCGCCGATGTTGGTAAGAGTGTTTCGAGCCTGCGGCAAGTCATTTGGACAGTAGAGAAGACAAGCAGGCACATGGACTGGAACGAGGTACCCGAAGGCATTGGCGGCAAGATAGACGTGTCTGTCTGGCATCAGCTTGTTCAAGACCAGAAAGTCGCATTCCCGGAGCTGCCCAAAGACGCAGGCAAAGATGCAACAAAAGCTCCTAATGTCGTTTTCTTGTGGCAGGAGCGCGTGGGTAAAGCAGCGGAGATTGTCGAGTTCACCCAGCAAAACCTTGCCGCAGGAACTGGCGCTCTTCTTTCTGCGCTGCCCGGTCCCCAGCGTCTCAACGCCTCGGATTCTTTCCTCCCAGCAGACACCTTCACCAACTCATACACGCTATGCCTCACTTTGGCTGCCCTTTACTCCCATGCTACCGTTATCATCAATTCGGTAGCTGGACCAGGGGTTGACTTGACTCTTGCCACCCGCTCCATTGCTCCCACGATTGCGGTAGTGTCTGCCGAGACTGCAGCCAAGCTTCACAACACTACCACTACCTCGATCACAGGCGGTCTCAAAAAGATTGCGCACTACCTAGAAACACGAAGCCTTACTGCTGGGCGCTTGCCTACCGACACTTTCTTGTCACGACTCAATGCACCCACACGCGCCAGCGTTGGCGCGACCCCCGGCAAGCTACGTCTTCTCTTCATCTCAGAGAGAGCTGGCTTAAACACCCCACCGCTCTCTTCGGAGGATCTTTCAGACCTCCGCATCTACACAAAAGCACGCGTGGTGTATGCTTTGACAGCAGCCAAGGTCGCAGGAGCAGTTGCCCAGACAAACATTTACGATTATAGGAGAGCAGTCACGCCGTCGAACAAGCACAGCCACTTCGGCGTACCATTAAGCAGCTTAGAGCTGAAATTGAAAGACACGCCATCCCACAAGAACACCGATGAAAAGTTCGTTGGAGATATTGTGGTGTCGGGTGCATCTGTCGCTGGTGGGGAGACAGCTCTAGGTGTGAATGGTAAGTGACGACGCCCTGGAGAGCTCGATACACTTCGCTAATGCTTTTCAGGCACGATCAGGGAAGACCATACCATTGCATATGTATAGACACTATAGCACCAATGATTCCCACTGTCAGTGAGCAACAAAAGATATCCGTTGTGGGCCCTGAAAACCCAACTTGCAGAGCTGTGTCTGTACACCGAGCGTGACGAATTTGATAACAAGCTGGTTGACACCGGTCCTTTGCCATGGTAATATCTTGGGGGGACCGCTTAAAAGCGCGCACTCTTTCAATGTTGCAAATGGCCAATAGCTCGAGCTCACGAGGGCAAACGCCACAAAGCATGTCAGCAGCCCTATCGTCAGCTACGATGCAAACTACGGAGGACATGAAATTGCTGTCAACGAGCTCGCATGAGGGGTCTGTCGCGCCACCTCGGTGAGCTCCACTGATGTCAAGGAGTGGTAGACCAACGGTCAATGAGATTTGGTAGTAGGAACGCGTAGTCACGCTTGGCATTATTGCTTGATAGGTTCAAGATCGAAGCGCATCTCGGCACCCTTATATCGATTCAGCAACATGATGCAGTCTTTCGTTCGTTCCTGTCACGAGGCGCGGATGGTTGTCTCCACCAACTTCTTTAGCACATCCTTCACTTCAATGAAAGCTTGACGCAATCTAGTGAGCGCTAATTCTGCTTCCAACGGCAAATGTTGCTCTTATGGGTACGTTCTAGGTTTCCGCGTGGCTTCCGCATGACGTGTGTCGTCTTCCGGACTTCTGGTACTCTATCCGTGCTTTCTCCCCGCACTATTCTCCGACGCAAGCAGCCTGCACACCATCCACTTTTTCTATCAAGAAGCCCACTACTGTGTGAAACAAAGCCAATCTCGGATCTCAGCGCGCCGTTCCCATGCACGCATTGCGCCACCAGAGCCATTCATGGGCCTAGCAACTAAGCTCGTGACCTGAATCCTCAACCTCCACAATGCTTACTTGATAGACCCTGATGGGCTTATTGTGCTAACAGACGAGCAGCTCCAGTGACGACGCGTCACCTCGAGCAGCTGAGCGTTCCAAACAATTAATGGATTGTCGGTCAAGCCGAGGCAAAGACAGAGCCCACAGTCCTACGGGACCCCTCCGGGCGAGAGTCGATGACGGACGTCGGCACCGTTAATGGTGTGAAAGGCCGCGTGTTTCGAGCTTGTATAACAATGGTTGTCTTGAGGGCCAATCCTATCCTTACTCTATACAATCAAACGTACTTAAAGAACTTTACTCTCGTATCGCCATCAACCGCTCAGCAACCCTTCTTCTGGGCGAACCCTCAAAATATTCCAAGGCTTTTACATAAACCCTTCAAAATGAGAAAATCTTTGATCAGCCTCGCCGTCGCGGCAGGCGCAACCGCACAGTCGCAATTCACCAACATCCCCTCGGACTTCGCGTCTCTTATCCCGAGCAGCGCACTATCGATCATTCCCAGCGGTGTTCTGCCAACTGACGTCGCCTCAGCCACTGATGCGATCAATGATGCTTCCGATAGTAGCAGTGCCGCATCAGCAACTGCTAGTGACAGTGGAACCACAGCTGCCGGCTCCCAAACAACAGCTGCACCCTTCATTCCACCGCCGTTCTCTACAAACCCTGGAGAATGGTCTTCTATTTATCAATCAATCCAATCTGCTGGTTTCTCCTGGCCGTCATCCGCTTACGGCCCGGGTCAAGGTCCATGGGTCGGTTATGGTGGCGGCCATCCTAACGGCGGTCGCTGGGGTGGCGCCAATGGTCATGGCCCTTGGGGATCAAACAATTGGGGTCCTTCCGCATGGCAATCCAACAGCGCATGGCACGATGGCCCGTGGACTCGGTGGTGGGGTGGAAGCGCTTGCCCTGAAAGCGACTGGCCTGGCTGGACGGAGGGTCCTTGGAGCACTGATGCTCCGTGGACGGGCTGGGCTGGTTGCAGTGCCAGCACCACGGCGACAAGCGTTGTCACCACAACCGTCAGCGGCGTCCAGACCACAGCCACGCAATACGGTGTCAAGGTAGTTCAGGCCACGGGCACGGGAGGCAGCTCAGCAGGCGCGACGGACAGTTTGGGAAGCCAGGGCGCTGCTCCTATGAAGACGATGGCTCCGGCATTGGCTGCACTTGGTGGCGCTGTCGCAATTTTCTTGTAGACTCTGCGGTAGTCGAGCTATAACAACAAGCAAGAGCGGCATGGTGGTGCATCTGGTATTGATCGGGAATGAATGAGCTGCTTTGGTTTGACCTACACGGGTGTACGTTCCTTTCAGATACCCTTCACGGAATCAAGGCGTCCGGGTTGTGGAATTTGCATCACGCAGATACGGTCGCTACCAGTGAGTGAATGCCAATTATCACTCTACGTTGGTGTGCAACACACCTGTATTGTTCTGCTGAATTTGACAGCAAACATCAGAAGTTGACTTTTCATATGATACTCACTTGTCCACTCAATTGCCCATGATCAATTGAACGCGGTTCTTGTTACCGTCTCTACATGGACTATGGATCATTGGCGCAATTTTCTTCCTGACAGCCCATGGAAGTCAACCGCTGTCTCTTGTACTTAAACCTTCTTTTCTCCATATCCAACATGTGATAACCTGCCTCAAGAGAGAGTCCCTGCCCTTTGACTCGCATATGCTTGCGTAGTACTCTTCTCAGCGTCTTGCCAATATTCTGGGTGCGATGAACCTCGATGTTGAAAATGGTGAGTTTATACAGTGGAACCGTGTCAATCGAACACAGGCGCACGTGTGGTGGAGAATCGGTGGATTACCTCACGCTAGCCCGTTTCCAATTAGCGTCAGGTGTCGGCTTGGCAAGTGCGGCGAACATGCACATTACATTGACAACATGGCCGCAGCGACAAACGCGACATAACATTACGACCGCCAACCTCGTCCTGCGCATGATGATCCGATAGAGTCGCCGAACTTGCACCACATTTGTGATCTTTCCTATCCTGCACAATGGCGTCGGCGGTGTTCTTCCTCGACCTGAAGGGCAAGGTGAGCTCGTGGGGCACCCCATGTGTAGCTGTGGCCTAACACAGCAATAGACCCTTCTGGCGCGCAACTACAGAGGAGACATTCCCATGTCCGCCGTCGAGAAGTTCCCTGTACTGCTCAGCGAGGCCGAAGAAGAGAGCTCCGCCGTCCCGCCGTGCTTCTCCAACGAAGGCATCAACGTATGCACCCCGACCATAGCACAGCACGCACGCACCGCTCTTTCGCTACCTTACTCCGGGCATGGCTGACTTGGAGTCTCGCGCACAGTATCTATACATCAGGCACAACAATCTCTACCTCCTCGCCCTCACGAAACGAAACAGCAATGCCGCCGAGATCCTCCTATTCTTGCACAAGGTCGTCGAGGTTTTCACCGAGTACTTCAAGGAGCTGGAGGAGGAGAGTATACGGGACAACTTTGTCGTCATCTACGAACTTCTCGACGAGATGATGGACTTTGGGTACCCGCAGACAACGGAAACCAAGATATTACAGGAGTGCGCAGCCCCCGCCATACTTTGCTGGCTGGAAATGGACACTGATACTTTGCGTGCAGGTACATCACGCAAGAGTCGCACAAGCTTGACGTTCAAGCACGACCGCCAATCGCTGTCACCAATGCTGTCAGCTGGCGAAGCGAAGGCATCCGTTACCGCAAGAACGAAGTCTTCCTTGACGTCGTTGAGTCGCTCAACCTCCTCGTATCCGCAAACGGCAACGTGCTACGCTCCGAGATTCTGGGTGCGGTCAAGATGAAGTGCTACCTATCCGGTATGCCTGAGCTACGATTAGGGCTCAACGACAAAGCGATGTTCGAAACCACAGGGAGGGCAACGAGAGGGAAGGCTGTAGAAATGGAAGACGTCAAGTTCCACCAGTGCGTCCGATTATCACGATTCGAGAACGACCGGACAATCAGTTTCATTCCGCCCGATGGCGAGTTTGAGTTGATGAGCTACCGATTGAACACACAGGTCAAGCCTCTGATCTGGGTAGAGTGCATAGTGGAAAGCCACTCCGGCAGCAGAATAGAGTACATGTTGAAGGTAGGACATATTGCAACGTTATACACGAGCTCATGCTGACTATGCGTGCAGGCAAAAGCACAGTTCAAGCGACGCAGCACAGCCAACAATGTCCAAATCAGTATCCCCGTTCCGGAAGACGCCGACACCCCGCGCTTCCGCACCAACATCGGTACCGTTCACTACGCTCCCGAAACCTCTTCGATCGTTTGGAAGATTAAGCAATTTGGTGGCGGGAAAGAATTCCTCATGCGTGCAGAACTTGGACTGCCATCTGTCAGAGGTGACGATGAGAAGGGAGGTGGCATGATGGGTGGCTTTGGAGGAAGCATGGGCGGTGTAGGTGGTGGCAAGGGCAAGAGGCCGATCAGTGTCAAGTTTGAGATTCCGTACTTCACTACGAGTGGAATACAGGTTCGGTATCTGAAGATCATCGAACCGAAGGTATGCCATCCCCATACTCATACGGGCATCCGTCGGACGATACAAAGTAATTTGACTGACTGCTACTTAGCTGCAATACCCGTCGCTTCCATGGGTGCGATACATTACACAGTCAGGCGACATCGCTGTGCGGTTGCCTGATGTAAATTAATAGGGGCTCGGGTTGAGGGTATAGATACCAACGATGGGATGAAGCATACTATGTTTGACGTTACGTTCACGCACGTGCCACCTCCTTCAGCAACTCTCTAGAGATTTCCTTCGCGGCCCTTGTTTATCTCTTGATGCACACACTTTCTCCACAGGCGGGGAGCGCGGCAAGATGCCATGCCAATTGTGCGATGTCCTCAATGTGTCCCTTTCCCATTATATCATGTACCGTCCCCCCAAACAGGTTGTGATAGTGATGTTTATCATCAACCGATGATCCCGTACCTTTCTAGAAGGGTCAAGACACCCGAGAGGTCTAGTGACGATGACGGTCACCACCTAATTTTCGATGATAGAGACCAAGTTCGTGACCCCCTAGGATGACCCGCTGGACCTGGAGTATATATACTCCTGCTCTCTAAGACTCGTTCTTCCCAATTCAACCTCTCGACGTTGGGGCTTCTCAAAATTCGGGGCGTTTGGAGTTATGCGAGCTGTCACCAAATGAGGTTTACTCGATTCCATAGATTTAAGGTCGGCTGGAGGTCTGAAATTTTATACCATCGAGTTGCATGCCTACGAAAGTCATGAGAAGTGTTGGTATCAGAATTCAAAGTGTACCGACTCATGGGTTGGGCCCCGGCTGCGGAAGTCTTGAGATCCCTTTGGAGAAGGCTGCCGCTCTTGCTAGGGTCCGCAAATCTCGTACAAGATACTTTCCAAATCCAGTGCCTTGAATCACGGTGTCCTCGCGGAAGGAATGCAAAAGGTCGACGGACCAATTACGCTTGGATGCCTCGTTAAAAATCCAACAAGTCATCGATGTATGTCTGCGACGTCCTCAGCTGTCCCAGGAGTCCATGCGACGCAAGTCTCCAACACCCGTATGGCTGCTCATGTATTCAAATCAGAAGACTTCATCTACATGTTTTGCATCTTTTTCGGCTTGCTAAAACTGCCGCTATCAACATGTACATGTCTCGTCGCCGGCCGTTTGTTGGCGATGTGCATATCACTTGCTCGAGGCATATAGACTGTCCTTGTCTGTAAAATGCTCACTGCCGGTCCTCCAAGTCCGGGCGCTCAAACGCCTAAAGTTCTCGTCGCTAACAATGCCTGTCGGGACCTTGCCGATGGAGCTGGCATTATGTGCTTCTGTGCCTGTTGTGTCTCAAAAGGAAATGGCTATGATCTCGTGTGTCGGTCTCCCCGTCTACCTCCAACCTAGCAGGTGCGTCGAACACAGTCTGTGGACCCCCTCTCTTTGTCAACTTCCTTCTCGAGCTCAAGCAAGCTTCGGGCACCTACTTGGTTGGAAGTAGCTAACCAGAAGCAGGATGGCAGGAACTAGCAAAATCAGCTGGACATCTTCACCATGTGTTATGTCGAGCAGTGGCATCTGAAAGATTGTCCTCGATTGTTACATGGACCCGAAAATATTCCCAGGCTTGGTTATATGGTCATGGAAAACAACGCACCCTCCTTCGCGGTCTCTTATGAAGCTTCAAGCGTCACCCCCCAGGGGGAGCTAGAACCATATTGCGCTAAGACTAAAGCTCAAGGATAATCACCCTGAGTATTTGCTGGGCCTAGGACAACACACGATTCTCCGCCTTCTACGATGGGTCTGCGTATTGTTCGCGGCGGCGTAACCCGCCGAACCTTCGGACATATTTATGTTGACGGAAGGAGACTCCGCAGGCACCTGGCAGGTGCAACCGACTAGCCTAACTCTATATAGGCAGGTTTTCCCGCCTGAGCAATACAACACACTCAACTTCATACCTTTTATCAGGTTATGAGCCCGGCGCTCCACTGCCTGCCCTACTGAGCGTTGCTTTACGCTCTACACCCACAGCTGCAAGCATCGCCACGCTTACCGCCACTGGCGATTCCACTGCACCGCTGCCCTTAGCTACCCGTCACTGCCTGCTGCCACCACCGCTGCAGTCAACAGTCGACGGCTGCTCTCAGCTGCCTCATCCACCACTGGCTCTGGGATCTCCGCTTTCAGCCGCTGTGACAGTCGCTCAAAAGCACTTTCGACAGCATCTGTCACCGCTGGCGATTACCCTGCTGACGAGTCACTTGTCAACGTCGTTGACGGCTCCCCATCACCATGTCGACATTCTCGTTCAAGCTTGACCCTGCGTCGCTGCCGAAGCTCAATGCACGCGGCGACAACTTCCCAGAGTACCGCTCCGCCTGGACCGTCGCCTTCCGGTACGCTGGCCTATGGCCGATCATCTCCAAGAAGAAGTCGCGACCCGCTGCCCTCGCAGCAAACACGGAAGCGGCTGCTCTGGCTGCTCGATCAGAGGCAATCGACGCATGGGACGCCGACGACACCAAAGCTCTCGTTATGATCCTCTCCTCTGTTCACAACGACCTGACACAGCAGGTCGCTGACTGTGAGACATCGCCCGCCGCCTGGGACTACCTGACCAGCCGCTTTGATCGCGACACTGGCCAATCGTCCATTATGTTGTTCCGCAGCCTCACCAACCTGCGGTATCGCGATGGCGACGACCTGCGCCTCCACCTTGACGAGTTTCACCAGCGATGGACGCGGATATCCAAGCGTTCAGCGTCGTCGACACAGCCCGTGGCTATCGCCATGAGGGCCATGTTCAACGACGATAACGTCAAAGGCTCTTTCTTCCTGGCGACGTTGCCCGACACCATGGACAACGTCATCGACAACCTGGCCACCCGCCAGCTCACTGCCTTCCAGGACATAGAGCCCAAGATCCTGGATATCAGCGAAAAACACTCACTGGACACCACTGATTCGTCGAGTGCCTACGCTGCCCGCCAGACAGCTACGCGACAACAAAACGCGCGGTCTAGCCAGAGGCCCTTTCCTGCCGCCAATGAATGTACTTGGTGCCGAAAACACAACCTAACGTTCATCGGCCACGTCTACACTAACTGCAACGAGCTTCGCAAACACAAGGAGCAGCAGAAGAAGACGCCATCCAAAGGCAAGGACGCTACTAGCAAACGTGACAAGCGACAGAAAGGTAACTCCGCCGAAGTCGTCGACAATGAGGCAGACGACGATGACGACGACGACGACGACTCCACCACGGAAGTCAACGGATTCGCTGCCAACGTCGTTGACCTCACCACTCCACCGTCGACGCCAACGGCTTCCCCACCACGAATCAACGCCAATGGGAAACGCGCCCATGAACCAGTAAGTGCATACGCCTCTACACTCCGTCAGCCAAGCGCAGGTGCAGAGACCGATCCAACCGCTTCTTGGCTATTTGATATAGGCGCTTCACGCCATATGTCTGGTTTTATCAATGACTTCACTACGCTCTCACCAGGGCGTGGGACAATCACGATAGCCGGCGGCATCAAGTTACCCATTGAAGGCGTAGGGATGGTTAGACTGCGCTGCCGACTACCTGACGGCTTGACAAACATCGCCGAACTGACCAACGCCCTCTACTCTAGTGAACTTCACCATACACGCCTGTTCTCGTGGGCATACATCCGAAATCGATACGAGCTCGCCGGCTTGAAGAATGACGTGTACCTCACACGACAAGGTAAAACTACTTTGTGGGCGCGTCACGTCAACGGTACCATACAGATCCAGACTGAGGACTCGCCGCCGCCATCGAGTCACTCGAAATCGACACTGGCGATTCCTGTAGGCCTTGCCGGTCTGCCAAACTGTTAAACCCCAATACACCCGGCCGAGAGGCGCGATTTATCAACGACCTTGATCTCGACGATGGAGGTCGCCCACTTCAGCTCCTTTGAGGAGTTCCATCACGCCATTGGACACCGTCTGATCGATAATCCAGAACGCCACTACCGTGACGGTCACCTCATCCCAGCGATGCCTAATGGCTTTGAGTGTAAAACCTGCATATTGTCCAAGTCAAAGCATCGCCGTCCCACACATGACGTAGCGACGCGTCCACGACCGACGAAACCATTAGAGGTTATACACTCAGACCTCTCAGGCAAATTCTTATGCAAGAGCCTGAGTGGCTCACGGTACTATATCTCCTTCGTTGACGATTGTACCCGCTTCGCCTGGGTTAAGTTCCTTAAGAAGAAAGCGGACGCCGCCCAAGCTATTATCGACTTTGTTGAATTCGCTGCTAGGCAGTTCGACGCCACGATACGCCATTTTAAATCAGACAATGGTGGTGAGTACTTGGCTGGCGAACTCCAAAAGTACTTTTCACGTAAGGGCATTGAACACCATACCGTACCGCCCTACGCTCACGAGCTCAATGGCGTTACTGAGCGATTCAATCAAACTGTAACGCAAATGGCTTGCTCTATGATTGACAGTGACACCATGCTGTTCCTCTGGCCTGAAGCAATCGCGTTGGCGACGTTTATTGCCAACATTACACCCCACGCGTCAGATAAGTTACACCGGACGCCTCATGAACGCCTATTCGATCGCAAGCCAGCGATCAAACACATACGCCCATTCGGCATTAAGGCGTATCTTCACATACCAAAGGAGGCTCGCGCTCCTGACTCCAAGCTGCTCTATCGCGTAGAACAGGGCGTCTTCGTTAGCTACGGCCACGACACTAAGGTCGCCCGCGTTTACGTACCTGAGCGGCACGTAATTGTTGAATCGCGTGACGTTTAGTTTCAATCCTTCTCCCACTGGAAGGCTCCTTCACACTTTTCGCCCACTATGGATGATGACAGCGACCTTCTAAACCACGCAGTCCGACCTGTAGTCTCAACCAAGCGACTCGATATTCGCCACCCCAAGCCTGGTCCGGCGAATATGGAGGACCTATAAACGCCTTTTAAGATACCGCCTTCATTAGTGCGAAGGACAGCGTTGAACATGCCGCCGCCCGTGACTAGGTCTTCGCCATCTGGCCCATCGCGAGGCGGCTCACGACGACGAGGAACCACACGTAGTGGCTCTGCCGCGCCAGGATCTCCGCATTTATCGGTGCCAGGATCTTCACGTTCAACGCCTGCCTCTAACACTTCAACAACGACGCGCTCTGGCCAAATAGTTGTGCCGTCACTCAAAGCCCGTGAATCACAAAACGCGCGTTTTGCTGACGCCACAGAATCGCCAATGGTGATCCCACCTAATGAGATCCTCGTATACGCCGCTACTACTACTGGCGAAGACATCCCTCGCACGTACGCCGAAGCCATGAGCGACACAAACGCTCTACTATGGCGCCCGCCCATCGCCCACGAGATCCGCGCTCACGAGACGAACAGAACGTACGATATCGTAAACATAGAAGATCTGCCTCTGAGCATAAGGCTTGTTGGCACATGATGGGTTTTTGACGCAAAGAAGAATGAACAAGGTAATATTATTAAACGTAAGGCACGCCTCGTCGCCTAAGGCTTTTTACAGCGACCTGGCGTCGACTATAACGATACCTACTCCCCAGTTATGCGCTACGACAGCCTGCGACTCATTGTTTGGCTATCACTCTACATGAACTAGATACTTCGGTAAATGGACTTTGACGCAGCGTACCTAAATAGTATGCTTAAACACATTATATACGCTCGTTGCCCGCCAGGCGTTGGCAACCCTAGCGTCCAAGCGCTGAGACTTCGAAAAGCCCTTTACAGACTCAAGCAATCAGGCCGTGAATGGTACGACGTACTCCGTGAATGGCTTCGACAACTAGGCTTTATCGTAGTGTCGTTCGATCCATGCGTATTCATTAACAAGGACCTTGTTATCGGCATCTACGTCAACGACGTCCTCATGGCTGGGGAACCTGAGGCAGTCACTACCTTCATAACCGCTGCTGGTCAGCGATTCCGCATGAAGGACCTCGGCCGTCCCAAGCTGTTGCTTGGGCTGGAGTTCGATTATGACGACGACGTCGACGGCAATAGACACCGTTGAATCTACCTTCATCAGCGAACCTACATCAATGCTGTCCTGCGTCGCTATAACATGGATAAGTGTAACGCTCACAAGACGCCACTTGACCCAAACCACTTTCCGCCTCGCTCCGACGAGCCTATCAATGAGGAACGTCAACGCCGTCATCAATCAATCATTGGATTAATCAATTTCCTCGCCATAGTCTCTCGCCCAGACTTGTCATACACGGTCAGCATGCTGGGGTCATACAATGCAAACCCATCTAATCAACACGTGACACTCGCTGCCCAGGTGTTGCGTTACTTGCGAGGCAGCGTTGACTTCAGGATCGTAATTAATCAGGATGCGCGATCTGAAGTCGCCATGTACACAGACGCCTCATTTGGCTCAGATCCCGATAACGCGAAATCGTTCTCTGGCTATCTCATGAAGCTCAACGGCTCCACCGTTGCTTGGTCGTCGAAACGTCAAAGCTGTGTGGCAAAGTCGACCATGGAGGCTGAGTATATGGCTGCGTCCTACGCCGCCGCTCATCTTGCTTGGGCGCGACAGGCCCTAATTGAATTGCTTGACAACGTTGATCACTGGCAATTCAAGCTCCTGGTCGACAATCAAGCCGCCATGTCGCTCATCCAAGACTCCAAGATCAGCGCTCGTTCAAAGCATATCGCCGTCCACTACCATTTTGTACGGGAACGATATTACAACAACGAGTTCGTGATCGAACACGTCGCCTCTAAAGACAATCTTGCCGACCTTTGCACTAAGGCTTTGCCCTTGCCTCTGCTCACGGATCTGAAGTCCCGAATCGCCAATGGCGATTGATCACAGCGAGTGACTCGCTTGCTTGATCACCTGTTTGATCACTCCGCCTGGACACTGTCTAAACCGCGCGGTTTGCTCGATCACCCTGAAAGGACTTTTCTACGGCAACCCGCCGATCAGCGGTCATACTAAGAATATTTCTACATGCACGAGAAGGACTAAGGACCATGATAACCTGTCACAATGGGCGAGTATTGGTATGCTATGCTTATAGCTCATCTATGCTAGTCACTGTAGGCACCTCCAGGTGGGAGGACTGTTGACGGAAGGAGACTCCGCAGGCACCTGGCAGGTGCAACCGACTAGCCTAACTCTATATAGGCAGGTTTTCCCGCCTGAGCAATACAACACACTCAACTTCATACCTTTTATCAATTTACTGGTCTCGAGCACATGGTCCCCGAACACGAAGGCTGCCTTCTCTGCGCGCTCTATACTGTTTCCATAGCAAAACTACAGTGTCAGCATTAATGGCTGTGTCCGTCTCCAGAAGCTTGCTGGGCTCGTGGGTGGACCTTGTGTCTTTGGTTCTGAGACCGGTTTGTGCTCTCTTCAACCCCATTCCCATGTTTGATATGGCATTTAAAGGCATACCTTTCACGATCATGTGTTTTTCTTAAGATCCATTCGCTTTGTGGCGATTTGTTGTTTGTGGCCCCTGCGTTTCGGCATCCGGCTGAGTAAATACCGAACTTTCCGGTCGTCTGTACATGGAGTTGGCGTGACCCAGTGTCTGGATGCGCATGTGCCACGACCTGCGTGATGTACTCTTAAGCAGCGGCTTGCCCGGTCGTGATACGATGAGACATGACTCAAGATGAATGTCATGCGTATCTTGCACACACACACACACACACACACACACACATGAACGCTACCGTATAATGGGTTTTGCCGTACCTAGTAGCACATGATGCCTCACCGGAAGCTAGATCCATGATCCCTTGGTCGCCTGAAGCGACATCGATGGCCAAAAGGATATGGAGCGGGGGGCGGCTTCCCTCGCAGAAAAGTCGCGCTAAGCAAGGTACAAGCCGCGCAGATACTTGAGTTACTGCAGAGAAAGTTGAACAGGCGGAACTGGGACGGGTGCCGTTAGGATCCACCTACCAAGGTACTATTGTTGGACTTCGGACCTACTCCGCCTGTACCACCTGTCCCACTCTGGATGCCATGGCCGTCGAAAAAACAGCTGATTCCAAAGAAGGCCCACGATGCGTCAGTAGGCAACAAAGGCGGTGAGGTCAAGACTCATGGTAGCAGTCGGTGATAAACCGGGATGTTCGTGGGGTAGCACAGGGAGGATCTGGGGAAGACTTAAGAATGCAACGTTAATTTCCTAGCTATGCCACCCCCACTAAGGACGATACACGGAAGGCCTGGCCTGATCTGCGTAACCCGATGTCGATGACCCTGTACAATGATACATAGTGACCAAAATCTACAAGAGAAGATGATGATGCGTCTGGAACCAAAAGACTCTATCGCTGAGTTCGCCAAGGAAAAGTTCCCATCGCGAATATACCGTAGAAGAAGAAAGTCCACCAGATCTGACATCGGCGAATGAAGAACATTAAGCAGTGAGCTCTTCTGGCCGAATAGATACCCTGGAATGCCGGCTACTGTCAGGCTCGACGGGAATAGTGTCACTCAGATGTGAAGGTGCAGGCCTTTCCGTGAATTAGTCGTCGACGAAACTAGGGTGGTACAGGGACCTACCGAGCCCATGGAAACCATGTCAGGATCTGAAGGACGGCTCCAGCCAGAAGGACTTGGAGGTGGTTGAGGTGGTGGAGAGGGCGGTTCGTCTCTTGACTTCTCGCGAAGAACAACAAGGTCGTGGAAGTCGAGGGAAGCCATCTCGTCAATCGAGACTTGACGAACATCAGAGTCGACATCGACCGGGTAGCTCAAAAGTGCTTTCAAGATAGCCATAATGCTTCTGTTATCTCGTAGGCAAATACGTTTGTGGGTGTGAAAGGTCTGAGAAGAGGTAGTGCGGTTGAAGCGGCGCCGAGTGGAAGGGGAAGTGATTGTGTGAAGATATGATCGCCAATGCTAGTGCTCGACATTAAATAGTCTGTGAACGCGAGTCCGCAGTAACATAGGCAGGGGGTCCCGCCTTGCTGGCAAACGAGACGGGCCCTTTGAAAGATGACAATCAAGGTCACAACGGCTCGGGCGGAAGGCGGAGGAGGGCATTTCATCGGTCACGGTGGGAAGCGACTGGAATGAACCATGTTGCGTGAGGGTCAATCCGCCGGTACGCCCAGAAGTGATGCCCAAATAGATGAGGTAGACGGACGGCTCCGCGATGTGCAAGTAACGTGTTGACCTAGCCCCGTGTAGCAGGGGAATTCGGGCAGTGATTCTACGCGCAGGTAGCCGTCGAGATTGTGTCACCGGAAGCAAAGCGAGATGCTGATTTGGCGGGGAAGGCGGGCCTACGTAGGACCGACCGAATAAGATGTCAGTGACTATTGTATCACCTTGTTGCAAGGAGAAGAGGGAGACTGCTGTGCTGGTTCCATCCGGCAGCCCTTGGGCGGGAGAGACTCCCGGATTAGACGTGATAGGGTTCTAGAAGTTGCTTAGAATGTGGGGAATCGTGCGAGCGCAGCCCACCCAGCGAGCGCGGGCGAGCAGAGCCCGACGGCTGCCTGGCCAGCGCAAGCATGAGTGCACAGACGAGTGGTCGTGGGTGTGTTTGTTGCGAATGAAGCAAACCCGACGCTGTGGCCTCCCCGCAGACCGACCGCATGGTTCAACGAACAGTCAAGGCACGAGCAACGACCAGTGCCGGAGTGAGGGACAGGCGCGATCGAGGTGTTGTGGGCCGAACATCACGTAGTGGTGAGGAGGTGAGAGTGAAGGTGAACGAGTACCGGCCGCTGTCCGGGTCAGAGCGCGCGTCAAACGGCGCCAAGACGCGACAGAGCCGCATCAGCGCGCCTTCCGCTCCTTCACCTCGACCGCAGCCCACAAGGAGACCGCGTCCCGCCAGAGGAGCAGTCGCATCCACCGCTCCTGCCTCCCGAAGCTCTTGCCTCCCGACGGCTGCCTCTCCAGCTGAAGACCGCCGCGCAATCGCCTGCACGCTCCCGGAATGCCCTCCATTTGCGCGTAGAGCTGGTCGCTGCCACCTGCAACCCAATCCACACCTGCACCACCCAAGCGTGCCGTGCCAGCATCGCATACGCTCCCTCTTGCGCGCCCCAGCCTCTGCTGCACTCCTTTGGCCGGATACACCGTTCAGCCACGATATACCTCAGCACATACTCCACACAGTCCTCGCGCCATGTCGTCTTCCGTGTGGAATCCCGACAACGTGCGCGACGTCGCCGAGTCGGTGGGCATCGCCTCACTGGCCGACAACGTAGTTGAGGAGCTGGCCCGCGACGTCGACTACCGCCTGGCCCAGGTCCTGGAGGAGGCCCTGAAGTTCATGCGGCATGGCAAACGGACAACGCTTAGCACGCACGACATATCCCATGCCTTGAAGGTGCTCAACGTGGAGCCGCTGTACGGCTACGAATCCACTCGCCCGCTTCGCTTCGGCGAGGCTTCGCTGGGGCCTGGCCAGCCGCTGTACTATGTCGAGGATGAGGAGGTCGACTTTGAGAAGCTCATCAACGCCCCGCTGCCCAAGGTGCCGCGGGAAATAACCTTTACTGGTACGTTGCGCACCAGTCTGGCGTCCGAATGTCTATCATGGTACTAACTTTTGCAGCACACTGGCTCGCTGTCGAAGGTGTGCAACCCTCCATACCCCAGAATCCCACGGCAAGCAACCAGGCCGATCTGCTGCCCAAGGGCCCCAATGCGAACCCCCACCTTGCCGCTGCCAACGGCCTGGACAACTACACCGTCAAACCTCTCGTGAAACACGTCCTGTCCAAAGAATCCCAAGAGCTATTTGCCAAGCTTTCCAGTGCTCTGCTCGACGAGAACAACCAGGAGTGGCAGAACGCCGCTTTGGCTTCCATACAAAGCGACCCCGGCATCCACCAACTTACCACATATCTCATTACGTTCATATCTGAGAAGGTCACTCATAGTATGAAGAACCTCACTGTACTCAGGGCTATGCTACTCGCCACCGACAGATTACTGGCAAACCCTACCATCTACCTCGACCCATATATCCCTTACATGGTCCCTCCGGTACTTACGTGTTGTCTGGGTAAGCATATCGGCCCAACGTCACATCAAGCACCCTCGAACGCCTCCTCCGAGACATTGAATGGGAACAATATTAACGGGCATGCACGCCACAATTTCGAACATTTCGACCTGCGCAAGATTGCCGCGTCTCTGCTCCAACAAATGTGCCGGAAGTACTCAGCTTCTAATCAAGGTCTGAAGACGCGCATTGCCCGCTCATGTCTGAAGGCCTTCCTAGACCCCAACAAACCGCTCGGCACTCACTATGGTGCCCTGGAAACACTCCGACGTGTTCTCGGTGCCGATGGTGTCAGGATAGGCATACTTCCCAACTTGAAAATTTACGACGAGGTACTCAAGGAGGCTTTGGCGGATGATTCGCGGAAGGAAGAAGCAAGGCGCGTCTTAGCCACAATTTTGGTATGCCTTGATGACATGGAACGAAGTCGAGGCGCCATGAGAGCCAATGGTGTTGCGAACCTTGAGAACCAAAGAGACCGTCTAGCGGAAAAGGTTGGAGGCGAGGTCGCCGACCACATCATAAAGAGCAACCGGACAGCAGTAGCGCAGGCGATATTGGAAGCGGATTTAAGCATGGCCTGAGTTGCGTAAGTGCTGCAACGGTACTTCGGGTATCGGCGCTCTCCGACAATGACGGCCAACTTTCATCGGCTCAAACTTGCATTTGGTCACAGATTTTGGGACAAAACATGTGGCCATGGGAGTCCTCGGCGTTGGGTAGGGTCAAGATACCATTTCATTATATAGGCTAGAAAAGTACTGTCCTTGTTAACACCACCTGGACAACGCGAGTAACTTGTGCATGTAATTCTCTCATAAGATGATGTATGGTTTCACGTCTATGCTAGTCACCACGATCGAGTTCAACGTGTGATGAAAAAGCTCTACTTGACATTACGTTGCTCTTTGCTACAGAGTCAAAGATCATTCACAGACCGCTTAGTGAATGAAGCTTTTGGTAGATCTGTTATCCCCATGCTGTTTGCGCAGGCAAACACCCACAGGCAACGGGAAAGCAACAGCCTCTTCTTCAACTTGAATACGCGCCCACCGTACTGACCCAATCCCCTTGCTCCGCATCCCCGCTTCGAAAGCGTACAGTGACGAAGTTTCGCGAAGACATTTACAGTATTGCTCCGAAAGCATACATAGCATTCAAGATTTTGATACGGCACTGTAGCCATGGAATTGAAAGAAATCTAGCGCATTTACTCGATAGCTTACAGGAACATAGCTATGTGCTCTATTGCTCGCCGCGTAGATGAGCGGACTGGTTCATATAGTCTTGAACTTGTGTACACGGCGCATTGATTTACTTCAACAAGACAGCGGCAACCGAACTCACGCCTCTTAGAACTACCGCCGGAAGGAAGCAGCAGATTTACCAATACGTCTTCGAGCGCAACCTCGGTCTGAACCTCGGTCGCTGCGCTTACATCCAGCTGGCCCTTCTAGAGTGTTGTCAGTTGATCCACAGTGAGGCCCATGAGCTCGCATTCAATACATGGTACTTCCACGTGCTCGCCGCGCCTCACCAAAGGCACGCCGTCGAAACGAAGGAAGCGGAAGGCTTGCAAGTTTTTCAAAATGAAGAAGTCGAACACAACAGAGCTGATTGTACACAAAGCACTGTCGCTACGCCTCTAGACCCTGCGTTCACGCATCAACCAACTGCGCTACGTGGGCATCACGATGCCGCAGGCGAAGCTCAATCCGCTGAGCAAGGACAAACCATTCCTCCTAATGCGACTGCCGCTCACGGAGCTTAGCATCGGTCTGACCGGAAGCTCAAGCGAGTATTTGAAGAAAGACGTGGCCATCTACCATAACCTCATGAGCTCTCTTTTATGCAGCCAGAATACCACGCGGGGAAGTCCGTCTCTGAAAGTCCATACCCAGACCGAGGAGAAGATCGAGCGTCTCGTTGCATTGAGTCGGTGGTTATACAAGCCGGATGCTGCTGACGTCTATCGGACGCTCCGAGCGCTGGAGACAAGAAAGGCAGTCGTGCGCGCGACAAACGATCTTCTGTGGAAGACCGTCGTGTTCTTCGTTACTTCGACCGAGTGGGGCTTTGCGACGCCGCATGTAGATGGTGATCGGTACTTGCACTTTCTGGAGGAGATGCTTCGGGGGAGCGCTGCGCTGGAGTTTGCACAGGTGAAACATCGGAGCGGCGGGCTATGAGAAGAGCGATGACTCGAAACTCCCCGATTGGATATCACAAGGCCACGGTTGCGAGCCGTGCCGGGAGAGACTATCGTGGGCGAGTAGCTTGCGCTCCTTTGTTTGGAGAAGCGGGGAACAGGAAGGTGGCAAAGCCGGCGTGAGACGGGAGCCATTAACGACATGGGATCGGATTATTGGCACTTTGCATATCCAAAGCAATAAATGCGTCCTTGAGTGGACGGATACATGCTGTTCATGTATTATTTATGTAACTAGACGCAATAACGATACTAGACCGAAAGTTGGGACCAAGTTCCAGGCAGTGTAAGCCCATGAGACTACCAACTACGCTCCTATTTGCTATGCACGACGATAAAATAACAGGCAATGAACGACTGACAAAGTCAGGACACATAGAATTGCTCTCTGCAGTAGACATGAGGACAGGGTGACGCCGAAATGCAAAGACTCGCTTGGTACTTCCCAGAAAGCAGACAGGCGTTCCCAAATGAAAACACAAACTTAGCCCAAGCAAGAAGGAGTGCGCTCGCGGTGGCATAACACCGGGCTCTTCCTTCATTATAATAGAGAACGGCGACTGGAGCCCCAGGATAAGAGACAACGAGAGACACAAGGAGACAACAGGGACATGGGTGGAAGGCCCATTTGTGAGGGGTACTTATGCATGACTGGCAGGAATCTGCTCGACAGGCCACATCCACTGCTGCTGTGTTTGATACTGAGTCAGGTATGCGTTGTACTGGTCTAGGTACATCTGGGCGAATTGAGAGTGATCCTCGGCCAACGGCACAGCGTGTTCCGGCTTCTCAGGGGCCAGACGTGGTTGTTGTTTGGGCGGCACGGTCTCGCCATCCGTAGGCGAGTTGGGTGGATTCTGCAAACCCAGTGCAGCAACCGAGTGTTCGATGGGGCTCTGAAATATGACGGGTGATGCAGGCTGCGACAGCGAGCGCCGCTCCTGGACGTCTTGCGAAGGGTACTTGGCTGGTTTAGGGACGAGCTGTCCCTGAATAGTGACAGTATAGCCATCTGGTGCGATGACGATGCTAAAAGCTGCAATGGTTTTGCCATCAAGTTGTCCGCGGAAAAATCCGGGGTTGACAGATTGATATTGTTCGTGTGGGAACGTTGGTGATGGAGATGATTGTCCGTTGATGGCGTAGGGGTGGTGGCCACTTGTTCGTGGGCTAGGGCGACGATATCGGTTTGGGCGGGGCATGGCGGCTGCAGATGTGGGGATAGAATCGTCCGGGTCGTAGTCTTTCTCGTGGTGGTATGAGCGGTGTGGTGTGGGCGGTGTCAGTCTGAGGCTGGGAACAGTGGGCGCGGAGAATGACCTCGAGTGACTGAAGCCAGACGGACGAAGACGGCTCCTCATGGGAAAGTAAAGAACGAGTATTCGGTGCTTTCCTACTCAAGATGATTTTTCGAGAAGATGGTCTTGTACGGAGCTAAGATGAGCATCCTCACGTAGCACAAGGTCGCCTTTATACACGTCCTTCGCCCGTTGGCTCTTCCAATGTGCCTTGCGCATGGATTATCGTTAACTCCGAGACGAGAATAGTAGGGCCTACATGTCCCCATGCTGACAGCTGGTGGACACCCTACGGCAAGGGAGCGCGCTGCGGCTATCGCCTGTTGCCCGGCTCGTATTGGTAGACAAAGCGATCGACCGTACGATGCGTACCCAGCAGTTCGGCATTCGCGCATAACAGACATTATCATTGATGGATAAAGCCACGAATCTAAGATAGATGATGCCATTACGGAAAGCCGAAGGCTGACTTTCGAGCCGACATGAGTGTGATTGCGAATGTGCTACGGCGTGTCAGGCCAATGGTTGTTTTGCCTGAGCGCGCCAAACCAGAGCGTTGGATTTTTAAGCGCCATGCATGGGTACGGCCGAGCCTCGTTTCTCCGTTTTGGTTAGTTACCTTGACGAACGCGTGGTCAGCCGAGTTGCGGCGGAGGACGCTAAGATTGTTCGCATTAGTATACAAGAGTGCATCGCATGCGAGAGGAGCGGTGGCAGTGTGAGTACATGTATAGGAATCCATGGTGTAAACCCTCTCATCAAGCCTTAACAGCAAACTATCAGCGGCAAAAACCCCACCAGAAACTCGACCTGCAAGACTGAAGGAATGACTTGAATACCAATACTTTGTATGCGTACTGGAGAAGAATCTGCAGTGTCGATGAGAGGAAGCGAAATCTATTGGAGCTGCAACGTGTATGACATGCGTTTGTGAGACCAAAATGGACACCATGGCATGGTCCAAAGGATTGAGTTCAGTATCGTTTTATGCGCGCAAGCTCGGCATCGATCCTCTGGCGAGCAACAAAATTTTGCACCGTTCACCCAGGCGGCCCATATAGACCGAGTCACCCTTCGTGCTGAACCGGCTTTCCAGCACTATCGAAGATCTTTGGGAGGGCTTCAATGTCAACCTGCCTATACTGGGCAAGCCATGAAGTACCTTCCACATCGTAAACTTGAATCGATCTGGCATGTTTGCGTGAGGTCTCTGGTGTGCCAATATCAAGCTCGTTGTCCAAGTCGGCGAGATCGGCTGAACTGGTGCGAAAAGCAGGTATACCAGTAGAATCGCGACTGACGATGCCCTAGCCTTGGGGTGCAAGCTCTGGATACCTTCAAAGACTGCAAGTCATAAGCGGTCGATGCGCGCGTTACGGCTTAATACATTAAAAAGTCAGCCTCCTCGGCGGCTCGGATATCAAAGCGACGGAAAAGATCCCCATCAGCACCGCCTCCCAAGGCTCGAAACTTATCAAAAGGAGCGCCGCAGACAGTCCGTTCAGAGCCTGTAGAGTTGCTCCTGTTTGAGGCGCGGGGTTTTAGCCGGCGATCTATGGGTTGAACTGTCCGAGGCTGGTTGTGCCGTCATACTTGTTTTGAAGAGCAGTAACAGACAATGCTATCTCTGGAGGAAATGTGACAAGTGGACTGAGATGCGAATGGAAGACCCATTGCGACCCTGGAAGAGCAACAGCTTCCATCTGAACACTCGCCTCCTCCTATCCACTGAAGCTCTCCCACGATCCCGAAGTTCCACGGCTGGACGGCGAGATCCGCAATGTGTGAGGACATGCAGCAGCTCCCCTGCAAGAGACGACCGCCTGTGAGCAGCGCAGGGAGTCTGCTTTCGGTTGTCTGCTACCCATTGGTACGGGCCGTATGCCCCGCACACGCTAAAACCCCTGTCTTGTCAGCATCTATCTTCACACCACGATGCGAGTTCTCGAATTCAGGTGCTTTTCTTCGTTGTGAAGACTGACTTTGGGTGCACTTCATCACCAATTTCGTGTCATCGGTACTCAAAAGACTAGCGACGTTCTAGGACTTTTCAGGATGATAACTTCGTCTTCATAAGCTGGCCAACGAAGGCCTTGCAGATGCTGCCATGTTAGTGACCAACGGCGAACCAATGTATGTCGGGTGTTCATGCATTGGTTGCACGTACACAGGCATTGAGTGACGTGGTAGGGCCTGCCTCTTTCCCTTCCGCAGTGTACAGTCGGAAAGCTCGTCGTATTGCCGCCGTAGACAGCAAGCTCAGAGTACACTTGTTGGCGCGTATGGCTTGACGCTGCACAGTTACGTTCCCAGATCTCAGCAGCCCCAGTCCCTTTTTACTTTAGTGCCTTACGAAGATCGCCCGTGCGTAATCAAGACAAAGAAGACGGCGCATATTCGAGATGTGGGGGTGATTGCGCCAAATTGGTACAAAGCGGTGCGTCGAGGATGCGGCGGGACTCGATTGTGCAAGATGCAGGCTGGCTTGGCGTGAAGCGGAAGGAACGCTACCCCGACAGCGATGGTAACACAACGCTAATTCTAGACCTGTGCCGCGTACGGCACGGGTCTCTCCCTCGCGATTAACACATAGTTGATCCGCGCGGGTTGGGGGTTCTGGATCGGTGGCATGTACTTCGAGATCCTCCTGTGACGGCAGCGCTGCCCTTACCGGTACCGGTATTGGAAATGTACTCGGATACATTGATGTGCGCAGTTGTGGCTGCAGTCCCCAGTGGTTGCCACGTGAATCCAGATGTGTTGGAAGGCCGAGAATGATCTTCCGGCAGATAATAACCTAGCAGGCATCACAGCTGCACATATCGCATCGCCTTCTCCGGCTGTGTATGATGATCTGGGACGTTTGGAGGCATACACAGGTACAGCTTCATTTTCTTCATCAGTTACAGGTCAACAAGAAAGGGAATATCAGTGCATGCCAAAGAATCAATCCATTTACTAGCGCGTTCCCTGGGAGGCCGCTGTTTTAATTGTGTTGCGTTTATTTGCATCGTTGCAATATACAGTGGAGTGGAAGCGGCGAACGCGAGAGCACCTGACCGCGCGTCGAGCGCACGGATCATGCCCACGCCACCTTCCGCGCCCAGCAGGAACAAACACCATCGTGTACTTCGTCTCTTGACCCCACTTCTGCATACAATCGCATCAAGTTCTTTTCCGCGTTTTGCTATCCGTTCAGGGCAATGACATCGTTCCTTTCACGGGACTTAGAGTTGTGACGATCTCTATTTGTTCATAACCGTGGCGACAGCTAAGCGCTGGTCTTGTTGAGTTGCGCGACTCAATGACTGCTAAGGCAGTCACGGCTACAGTTGACGCGGGCAGTGAAGTAGAAGGCGATGCGCTTTGGCCTCTAGCATATCGTCTGCAGACGTCGCAGCAGCCGGCATTTGTACGATGGTGGAGCTACCAGTTGTACCAAAACCCAGAGGGTGAGTGATCCAAACGCAAAGAAAACGACCTGACTGACGACTTACTCCTGCCATTCAGGCGAAAAGGTGCAAGTTCTATATAGCAATAATAAGGCACGGTCGGAAGAACTTGCACAGAAATTCCTTGAGGAACCAATGGTCGGATTCGACATGGAGTGGCCTTGTTTTCCTGGCCAAAACCCTCCATTGCAAAAACGAATTGGGCTCATCCAAATAGCATCGGAAGACAAGATAGCTCTGATTCATATTGGTCTACACGCAGGAAAAACTACAGATGACATCATTGCGCCATCGCTCCGAAAGCTCATTGAAAGTCCCAAGATTACGAAAACAGGAGTCGGCATCCTGGGCGCAGATTTCGCGAGGCTACGTCGATTCTTTGGCTTGAAGCCACAAGGGGCGTTCGAGTTGAGCCACTTGGACCGCCTGGTGAGGTTTGCATGCATTCCACATCTTCTAAACACGAAGATGATATCGCTTGCAAACCTGGTGGAGGGCCATCTCGGCTTACCTCTAGCGAAGGGGCCTGTGAGGACTAGCAATTGGAGTAAACCACTCAACGACGAACAAAAGAATTATGCCGCTAGCGATGCTTATGCTGGATTCATGTTATTCCATTGCATGAATGCCAAACGGCTTGCGCTGATGCCTGTGCCGAGTTTACCCATTTTTGCAGAGCAATACCCTCGGAGAGCGAAAGGTGCCAAAGGATTTGCTCCTATCACCACACTTATGCTGCATCCGGCAGAAGAAGGTGGTAGTGCTATTGCAGCCAATGAATTTTTTGAAAATCGAAAAGACGATGCCAAATCGGACGAGAAGGCATGCGAAGAGAAAGATAAGACTGGAACTCCAACGGCAGATAAAAACAAGAAGACGACCAAGGAGACGGCCTCGAAGACAGGGTCGACGATCACTCAGAAACCATTGGGCCGTGCGGCGCAAATTTTGTATGATCACTTAGCAGAGCGCCGCAAAGCTCTTGCCCAAGCAAATGGGGTCCCGGTCTATCTTATCGCAAATAATTCAGTCCTTCGTGGCCTTGCACAGATGGCACCGCAGAATGACGAAGACCTACTAAAGGTGAAAGGCATCGGAAAGCTATCAGTCGCCAAATATGGCACCGACTGGCTCGATGTGATTGTTCGAAACCTAGAAGTCCATGGTGATGAGCAGCAGCAGATAGCTAAGCCATCAGTTGCACTTGCTGAATATCAAGAAACAGTGCCGCGCACTCCCACCCGGAAATCAATGCGGCGACCACAGAATACGCAAAGTTCTACCGATTCTTCCCTAGGATTTGGTTCTCCTATACGTCGCAAGCCAGTTTTGCAAACCGGGTTGTCTTTCACTCTAGCAGAAATTACGCTCGAGAGAGGCGACAGTACCGATGGCAGTCTACAATATCCTGCCCTACCCCGATCAAGAGTCGATCATCAATATGAAGACATCGAATTCATAGACATGACAGGCGATAAGCCACACGGTCACAAGTCGGCCGGGGGCGTGGAACCCATTGTCACTGTTGACGCATCGCTTGGCGCTTTTTCTGGAATAACATCTGGAAAAGGTCCGGCTCATCGCAATGCTAAGTCGCCTAGCTCTTCGGAAGATTCTCTTGTCTTCGTAACACCACCATCGCGATCGGCTTCCTACCTAAAGAGGAAAAGAACAGAAACACGATCATGTACAGCGACACCCAGCCGGGTGCCAAGCCAAGCAGTGCCACCGAACCTTGCTCCAAAGGAAGCTCCAACGCCGGCTCGTATATCCACTCAGGCTCCGCTGCTCAGTCCTGGGTCGAGGATGTTCCGAAACAAGCTAGTTGCCTTCAGCAAGCTTGTCACGCGAAAGCTCAGTACAGGATCGGCAACACCAATTGTATCTGAGGCTACGCTTGATCTGATTGTCACAATTTCTCCACGAACAGCAGAGGACTTGGACCGTATAGCGGGTATCGAGCCATTCGTTCTTGCTTGTAGAGCTGCAGAGATGGATTTGTTACGGAACATAGTCAAGTTTGCCACCCCTTGACCTTGAAACCTCATTATTACTCAGTCCGACTAAACATTTAACACGCTCGATGAAGAGGACGCAGAGGCTGGCAGATTGCGTTGTTCTTCGACCTCACCCGTTCTTAGGATTAATACAAGCTACGCCAATTTGTTTATGTATGTTAACATTAATCTTTTTACATTCAAGCGACGGACACGGCGAATTGGCTTGATACCCAGCACACAGAGGAAGGCGTTGATTGGATATTTTTGCGACATAGTTGGCATGTTGACCATGTAATGCGCATTGCACTTTCACATCACAGTGATCACGGCGTATGACACGTGAAAGCCGAAGTCGGCGTTCAGTGGTACATGGCGCACGATGCGTCTGAACACCAAAAGCAGGACAAGCGGTCACTGCTGAGAGCATATCTATATGATTACAGCTTGGCGCGACTGTGACGAGGTTTGCTTCCAGGAATACATGAGGGAAGGGCAAGCGCGGACCGGTTCCCAAGACCCAAGGACCCTGTCTTGTCCGGGATCAACGAGGTATATCCTCTGATCCTCACAGGGCTCGTTAGCAACGCAGAATACGGCACCGCCAATCAGGTTCGCGTGGTAGCATACGTCGTGTGACGGGTAACGGAGTGGAGAATACCGAGCGACCGTTAATGACATTCTCCATTCTTGGTACTCATACGCAATGTGAAGGTTGAGACGAACGTGGGCGCGTTGGGAGGTGACGGATGCTGGATACCGCTATGACGGGACCGGGGAGAAGGCAAGCACTCGCGTAATAGGGGTTTGGAGGGGGTGATTACCAATGATCGGCACAAGCGTGGAGCGGGACTTGAGAAGGCGTGGCTTCGCGCGGAGCAACGCGATTGGCTACTAGTGTCGATGCGTCACTCCTTGAAGTGTATCAATAGCATCTTGGGCAGATGCCAATTAGTGAAAGAAATGGAATGACATGTTTGATATGGAAAGAGAAGCGAGAGAATTCTTGGTTGTGTGAAGCTGTGCAGAAGGGCCCACCGGCCGTTGTTGTTCTCGGTTCCACAGCACAGGTGCCGTCAGAGCTAGGCGGATTTTGGGACCACTTTCACGTGTCGCCGCTGAACGGGAGCCATCATGTGAAAGGCGGGTGTGCGTGCGAATGACAGACGAGTCCACTCTCGACGCCCCCAACCCAGCGCAGCGTCGTCCTCCGCCCATCCACCAAAATCCCACACTGTCGGAACCACCGTTCGTCATGTCAACACGCGCGTAGAGATCTCGGTATCTCTCCGCCATCAGTCGCAATCAGCCGCCAGTTACACCGGACCCCACAACACACGACTTCGCACCGACCAGTGCAGCGAGCCAGCGAGGAGGCAGACGGCACCATGGAGCAGGAGCGCGCACAGCCGCCTGCATACACGCAGCACGACCCGTCGAGCCTCAATTTGCCTTCGGTGCCGACGCACTCACTTCCGAGCCTGCGAAGCCTCGATCTGCCCGATGCGCAGCCGTCGCACCCTTCGGTGGAACTCAGTCCCAGGACGCAAAATACACAATGGGGCTCGCTGCCTCGCATGGCATTCCCGCGCGTCCCCGAGGGCGACGTGGGCAGCCCGATGGACATGGATCGCGCGAGCGTAACTAGTGGCGATGACCAGAGGCGGGAGATGAGCGTTGTCAGTATGGAGGACCCGGACGTGAGACTGGCCGCCGAGGCGCTGAGCGGGCTGGGAAATCCAGGTGGGTCATGTTTTTTCTTACGAGTCGGTGCATGATGCGGGCGCATCGGAGTATCCAGCGGGCGCGACGCCCAGCGAGTACTGCCAACATGGCCCGTCGAGTCGCAGAAGGAGCATGGAGCGTGTCAGGACCCCGCACGTCAGGGCCAGAAGCCCTCAGTGGTTGCGGCAGACGGGGCACCACGGCTGCAGAGGACGCCCTTGGATGGAGCTGCATGCTAACAATCGTGTACAGACTTCGCCCGCTCGCCCACAAGTCGCTCCGTCACCCTCTCCGCCCGCGAATCCACTGTCGAGCCCGAGCCGCTTCTCAATCTGTTGACATCGGCGCATCCCTGGCTCGGAGGCAGCATCAATGGCTCCATCTCGGCGTACAATACCACTAAAACCTACTCGCCGCGTATATTCAAGTACGGCGCCGAACTCATCGAACGCAACATTGGTTCGCCCGTTGTAAACACCGTCTCCTCGGTCGGGAGACGCACCGGCGTAGAGCAGAACCTGCGACGCTATCTGGGAGAGGTACACAGACGGCCCAGCGACCTCGAGCAAGGCGATGCCGACAGAGCTGGGAAGCGACCCCGCGTTATGAGCCCTCGGGCTGGCGAATCACCCGACGCCATGGACCTGGATGTTGAGAGCGAGTACGCGACATCCCGCACAAGAGGCGGCTCGCAATCGTCCTTCGCCGAGAGCCTTCCCGCATACGATGACCACCGTTCTCCCACGTACGAAGAGACCGCCGTCGTCACCATCGACCCCGCCACAGGCAAGGAAATACGAACCTCACAAGAACGCCCACAATCTACCCAGGACCGTCGCGTGAACTGGTCTACGCAGCTCATCATGACGACGTCCGGTCTCGGTGTCGCCCTCTCCGACGCATCCCTCAAATCTCTCAAGCTATGCTTGCGCTTGCTGCGCGGTGCGACCAAGCACATTGACAGCGTTATGCGCGCGCTTAAGCTTGTCGTGGACGAATACGAAGCCGCGCTGCGGAATGCGCGCCACTCCAACGGTACCTATGCCGACGAGAAGGACGCTACAATGGCCGATGGCTCTTCCACACAAGACGCCCAAGTCCGTGCCATCGCAGACCGCATGAAGCAGCTCTCCAGCGACATCTGGACCACCCTCCAGTCTGTCGTCACTTCGGTCTCCCGCTACACCGGTGGTGCGCTTCCGCAGAATGCGTCGCAAGTCGTCCGCACACAGTTGCTCTCTGTGCCGCAGCGGTGGCAGCTTGCATCCAGGACCACCGCCACGGGCAACGAAGGAGGCGAGGGAGGCGGCGAGGAGGTCCGCGGCGCAAACCGCATGCTGGCGTTCGCGAGCGAAGGCTTAGACATGATGGGCCAGATCACTACCGTTGTGGACGGCACCGTGCAGAGCGCAGAAGGCTGGCTCAGCCGGATTGGCCGCCAGCCCACACAACAACCCGAAGAGGGACCGGAAAAGGCGCCCTTGACCGACGTCAGGGTCGACGCTGGTGTCCACGAGAAGAAATAGATTATTCTCTCTGACGCCACAGCTCTGTGCCGAGACAGGGGACGAAGCAGGGTTTCCTTTGTGTTGTAGATCTCGTGTTATCTTACTTGGTTCGAGTCCATATTCCCCAGTTTCCTATGTTCTGATTGGAAGCGAGGCGTTTTGTTTGGCTGGGCTGGGTTTTGGTAAAAGGGCTTGTTGCGCTTTGCCGGCGTGCGTTCATCTGTCTGTTTGTCTTTTCCTGTGCAAAGGCTAGAGAAATATGGGTTCGGATGGGGATTCTAGCTGGCTACGGCTGGAGTTATCAATACAGTAACGGCTCTGAACAAGTGTCGGCATGCGTATGTGTTCTTGGGCAGGTGACTTGGGTTACAGTGCCATATATCTCTTACGTCGGCGTGAAAATCGGCTTTGCAGTATCGGATCATAGCCTCGGTCGCGATTCGTTAAGTGAGAGATCTTCTCTAAGATCGAAGAGAAGCGATCGTGATCCTACTGATACCCACCCTGTTCCGCGCCGTGAGCCATTTGTTCCAAGAGCTAAGTCGATACCGGCTGCTGTAGTATGTGATCATGCCAATAGTGAGACCAGCCAGACATGTAGAGAAAACCAGCCTTCCAGGTGAGGCAATAAATAGATGCATGTATTAAAGTAGCACGCATAGAGCGCGTCCAACTTGTCTATCGAAAAGCCAACCACGGCAGCAAAAAGCCATTTCACCTGCAGGCCCCGGCTCAAAGTAGTTTTGATTCGGCTTCGAACCGGTGCACTTTCAACATGGGCTGACTCTAACGATCGCAATGTCCGCTAGGCCAATACACTCTATGTGCCGGTTGAAGGATGAACATACATTGGTTCAAATAATATATAGGCATATAGTTTTAGAGGGCGGTATGAATGCGCATAGAGAAGTATGTGTATTGCGTAGGTACAGTATAGTGGTGAGGCGAGTGAGTGAAGTGAGAGGTCAGTGTAAACAGAGCTGCTGGAAAGGGAAGGCGCGAGGTGCATACGCTCCGGCAAAGCACGCTGCTGCTGGGAGAGGTAAGGGCTATCAAATTGTCATTAGACATCTAGAGATCCTGTAATAGCTCATCTATACAAGTATTGTATCTCGCTCTGCAGCGACGGGTTTTGTTTGGCTTCGCGGGACTCGCCTGAAACACAACTCAGCCAACTAAGACAATCCAAACATCCAAGTATATTGGGTTCCGTAAGTTATCTGTATCCTCATTTCGAGTTCGCTTAAAGCTGAAAATGCTGTCCGCATGAGAAGATCAAATTTGGCTCGGTCGTACACCTGTGAGGACAGCCGACCAGCTACGTGTACAGTTGACCCGACCTAGGATAATGACCTCTTCAATTAAATCCACAAACAAGCAAAGCCATGGCTGACACGGTCGGCTTTCTGAAAGCTTCAATATCGTCCAATTTGACGATGTCGGTGTGATGCTGTGTCATGAGACATATTCATTTAAGGATTGGATTCACGTGATCTTTAAAGTAGGCATTATGTTGCACGTGGCGCGAGTATGGGAATTACCTCGGGCAACTTGGGGTTGAGCTCTTTTGAGTGTGGGATTGAAGAGCTAGCAGGTCGCGCGGGTATGGGAATGTCTTGGCTCAGGCATGCTCTTGTGGGGCGGCAGGTTGCGCGAGTGTGGGCGTAACCTCGGTCGTTTAGCTCGTCAGACTAGAAGTTAGCTCATCCGACCATGAGACTGAACTGGCTCGAACATGACATCAACCCTAACCATGAATGATCCAAGCATCATGAATGCGAATTAGTCAAGATATATGGTTATGAAGGACTGTCTTCTGGAATTGAGGTCGCCTGAGTGTAAGACGAGCAGATACGACCATAAGTATAACTCTGGTAGACAAGCCCACCACGCCCCCAAAAAAACCCCAGCCGACCATGACGAGCGCAGCTGACCATGAAGTGCTTACAATAGAAGCTACTAAGCTAGATGTTCGGGCGACCACGAGAGTTCTCCCATGATAAATCACCAGGCCATGCAATATTTCGCCCTGTCACGAAATATGAGCCTACCATAGGTACGCAGAGATTTGTTCCCAGCATCGAACTAAGCTGATCCATTGCGATTTTGTCATATATCGAGATTGAGTGTAGACCTCCTTTTGGAACCACGTTCAATTGACGCGCCTATGTGATCTTGTACGCCCATGCGAGAAGAGGCCACCGCCAAGGCCTACAGAGTTGAGCCAACTGCACGGATATTTGAGCTCATATCTAAAAGCGAGCCGACCATGGAAGATGAGCCGACCATGAAAAGCTAAGGCCACCACACACAAAGCTCGGCCACCCACCAGAGAGAGTTGAGCCCACTACAAGAATCGACGAGCCGACCATTAGTCGTCACGCAACAGTAAGATGAAAATATAGACGAATTTTCTGATTTGTGTCAGGACACACCATTGTTGGCGCGGTCTTTTTTACCCTTACCCTACATTTGATGCTCTAATCCTAACAGTTCTCTGTTTCTTGAGGGGTAGGGCCGAACTGGAATGCGTTCCAAACTCGTCCGAAACCCATTCGCCATGACTTCTGTTTTACAAGAGACAGGTCGCCGCATATCCTTCTCCCTTGCGATGTGTACGCGATTCGTTCCCCGCCATGCAGCTGCTCTTCGGCCCCCTATTCCACAGCAATGGTACCGTTTGAAGGAGACTTGAGGTACCACATGTCAATTGTTACATAACCAACACCAGGCTTTAGGATGCCAACAGCTGTGACGTAATTGAGCCAGAAGTACTTCTCAGATCCTGTTTCGTAGATACCGCGTAGATGAATCACGCCGTCAGGTTGATCGGATCCAGCGGTCTTGATGAAGATGTTCGCGCCGTCATCGGTCCTCAGTTGATACCTCGTGTCAGGGTGGCCAGTACCCCGGTTATCGAGGTAGTTCCAGTCTGCCCCAAGATTAAGAACGTCTCCTACCAATCAAAGAGACATTGTTAGCATGAGAATCGCTGCAATTAGGTAGCTCATCAAATTTACCTTTAATCTTCGGGCCTTCAAAGTATCCGCCGGTAATTGGGATCACACGGACCTCTCCATATGGCCCAACGCCCGTGGAAAACGGTTCGCCGAGACTACAATTGAGGGAATATAGGAATTCGAGGCCTGGTGGTGTAGGGGTTTTCAAGCCGGTCACAGCTGTGGCCACCAAGGCCAAGGACGTAAAGATGAATGATTTCAGCATCGCGACAAGATGATAACAGAGGGCTCAATTGATGGTCCGCTGATCGATATTGTTTACATTGAGGACTCACAAAGTACCACAAGGTGTGGGCAAAGTGGCTGTCTTATATTGTTTTCTACAGCCGACGCTCGGCCGCAGCTCCTTTAGCCATGCTGCATGGGTGGTATGAGAGCCGACGATCGACCCGCATAGTGTTCAGATGCTCGATCTGGGGAAAGTGGAAAACCCAATTGGGGTTGGGTTTGGTTGATCGCGGGGAAATAACGGTTTGAGAAGATGGTTGTCAAGGCGGTATCTTTTGGTTCCTGGACGGTTAGCAACAGCGGCAAATAGCTTGTTGTGCACTAGAGCCGGCGGCATCTACGCGAGACGGGTTAGGTCTTACTTTCTGAGGTCCACAATTTCTAGATGGCTCCAGTTTAGGTCGCTAGGTTGGTAGCTTAGAGGTCTCGAGGGTGCGCACTGCTTTATTTTGAAAGGTACGGCTGCAGACCTGGGTCTCGGCTGTCGCAAAGCATGTAGGGTCGCGCGACCATGGGATTTGCTGAGCCGACCACAGGGTCGATGGGGGCGGCCATACCGGTAAATTAGACGAGCCCACCACGCATTTTGCTGAACCCACCACGCATTTGACAATTTGGAGGCGACCACGCGTTTGACGAAGCGACCGAGCACTTGACGGAGGCCACCTTGAATGAGCTGAACCCACCATGCTCATAGTTCGAGGTTCGCTGGTCGTGCGACATTTTCGTGGTGCTCCGAACATCCAGCGTGGTGGCCTCTACTACATGCACACACCATTGGCTTGGTCGGCCCAGGTCCAGCCATGGTCGGATGAACTGTACACCCGTTATACGAGCTTATACGACAGCAAACGTTCTTTTGGCTCTTGTTTCAATCAGCAGTCACCTTTGAGGAAAGTTCTGAACCAGGTGACGAAGGAAATAACGATCACCAAAGAAACTGAATCTACCACAACCACGCAGCCGCGGTACGCCATCTCGTACTCCACTCTATTCTTAGAACACGCCCATCGCACACCAGCCCCCACATCTCGCTCCCTCGACCCCAGCATCGATCGCTCTTGGAGATCGCTTGACCAAAACCATGCATCTCCGGCATCTCCAGAGCAATCAGCGTCAGCTTCGCTTTCCCTTTCTCATTCGGCTACTCGGATTGTGCCGAGAAACTGAGGGACTGAGTTTTGTGTAAGATGCGGGCTACACGTGTGAATGCTGGTGCCTAGGGCCAAGATGAGGTCAGCGCGGAGAGATATGCATGTTGGAACGCTGGATGGGTTGTGTTGGCCTTTTCAGGAAGGGATGCCAAGGGCGTGTTCGGGAAGCGCGATGGTTTCACTATGATAGAAAGAGATCTGCTAGTGATAGAGGATGCGCATGCGTGGTGGAATCTAGAGGTCGGCACCATGTCGGCGGGATTCTGATGAGATTTCTTGAATTAATCCACGGGTGGAAGGAGCTCAGATGACTGCACGGGAGAGGATAGTAACGTTATCCAGCTACGATGCGGTCACGTCTGTGATTGGACGGCGCGGAAGGTGCCTGTCATACAGCTGAAGAATAACGAGGTTAGGGAACACGATTAAAAGGTTGAAGATGTGACCTAGAAGAGTTATTTCGGGCTCTCCGACGGTTGAAGGAAATAGCCTGGCCGTCGGAGATTCTTTTCAGTAAGACGCGCTCTGTGCAGAGCAGCATGCATTGTGACACCGGCCTCACCGTGATGCCCAGGGAACCGGTCAGTTCAAGACTCATGCAGGGACATAATTTTTCCTCGCACTGTGTCAAAGTCATAATGGTGGTTATAAGCCTGAATTACACTCTACAGCTACAGGAGATTGCCAAGCTGGCAGTTCATGGATCCCGTCGATTCGCGTTCCACGCTGCACCCTGAGCCTATCATACCGTCTTGTCTTTGCAGAGTAAGGCATCGTGATCGCACTAATATCTGTGCTTGGTGGTGGTGGCAGTGCCTAACAGTACCATGGCCTGACATATCCACTCTCTAAAGTCCCTTGGAAGCTCGAGTACCGGTTGTCCGTGTGGGTGCATTGCTATCGTCTTCTCCTGGCAGTATGTAATGTGTTGCATGTGCTCTTTCCAGCTGGTGATCAGAATCGGAAAGCATGGGCAGATCAAGGCGGTGCATAATATCTTCGAAACTCCCAGGCCGTTCGAGTTACTTGTCGTTCTTCGGGGTGTTCGTGGACGCATTCGGCGTCTGCGCCGACGATCCAGAATTGGACGATGAAGGGGTCTGAGGCTGGAAGAACGGGTGGCCTGTATTGCCGTTTGGCGAAGGCACGTTGACAACCTGAAGGGGCGTGAATCGAATAGGAGGCATAGAATACATCTTGAGAAGGCCGTGTGAGGACAAGAATCGATTTGTATGATTGTGGATGTCGAAGAGGGGGTGGACTCTGCTTGTTATATATGCCTGGGACTGAGCAGGTATCCGATCTGGTCAGAAATGTCAAGGCAACTGTCTTGGGTAGAGTTGAATGAAACACATGAACTCGAGTATACTTGGATGTTCGCTTTGCTCGGGTACACTATCCGACTTGACTAAGAACACCACTTTGCCCGTTTCGCGACGTGTCTGAATTTTGCGCCATAGCACCTGATACCGCGTCAACCTGCCGTGCTTGACGAGATGCCTAAGTTCAGGTCAAGGAAGCCTAGCAATAACCTCGTGTGATTCAAAAAGAGAAGTGCCGGCCTAAACCCTGCAACGTCTGATCAGGCATAATGCGAGAAATTCGAAGCAACGATTGGCAATACGAGATGCAGGGCGAGCAACGGTGCCATTGAGAGGCGTCTGCAACCCGGTCGTTTCCAATTAACGGGTTTTGAGGATCCTCGCGATGAGTCGATTCAGATCGGACTTCGTGTTATCAGCGCTTCTGCTAAGATCTGGCACAGAAGTTGGTAAAACATTCAGGTGTTGAGACAAGGGTATTTTTGGATTTCGTATCGCTACCGGTGCCATTATTGGCGACGTCGGGTCGGAGAAGAAGCAATACGACTGCCAAGGAGCCATGCAGCTGGCCGATCTAGTTCTTTATTCAACAGGCGGTGTCCAACAGCACCGTGCCATGCCTTGCAACTTCGAGGCTGCGATTGTTTTCGTAGAAAGAAGCATTGCCGGCTTCGAATCAGGCCGAAGCCTTGGTGTCGGCTATGAGAAGCTACTTGTAGAGTAAACGTACAGATCCACAAGACCATGATTGGCCGAACAATGCACGCCCTAACATTGATCAGCTGCGTCCACAATGTCCTGCCCCACGCGCTTGTATTGACGCGTTGCAACGCGATGTGGTAAGAGACGGGGATCCGAAGCTGGTCGGGATCGATGAAAAACGCAAAACGATACGACTAATCGTAGACGTTATAAGGAGCATATTGCTGCCACGCATGGTTGTTAGCGTCGGTGAGAGCAGGTCAAAGGAGCGCGCTCAGTTATCTTAGCGATACCTAGCCTCTCGGTGTTTGCGATTGGGATGATTCGAAATTACTCATCTGAGTTCCACGTGCACGAACGGACGAGGACGGGTTAGGAGCGGTAAACGCGAGAGGATCGGCGACATTCTAAATAGGGCATGCCATCCAGCAAAGTCACAACAACAAGTAGCGAGGGATTTGTCGATTTGTGATATGACGAAATGTTGAAGGGATGCTTCCCTTCTTGAGCGCAAGTCCGATGCTAGTAAGAAAATGTCTAGCCTTGTAAGGCTATGCGATTGAATACTCGCACCGGAGTGTACTGAAGATAGGACGAGAAGCGGACGGTTAGCCTGGGGTTGGCAGCTATGAGCGAGATTATGTTCTCGTCGAGCTTACAAACCTCACGGTAGGAACGCGTCGATATTTGTGCAATTCACAAGAAAAGGGCGGAAAGTGGGGGTCTTGGCCACGCATCCGGCTCGGATCGCTGAGCATCCGATTCCGGGCGGCCTTTGTTCTTTGTTTCTGACACAAATTATGACGCCTTGCAGAATGTGCAAGGGCGCATCGCAGGCGGTCATTGTCATTGTGAACAGCTGGTGAGGAAAAGCTGTTCTACGAGGAAGCAGCAGCGGAGTGGAAAGCAGCGATGGCGCAGTTGCTGTTGCTATGCGGGAGGCCGAGCGCTGGGTGAAGGACAACCCTCCGCCGTTCAAAGCCAGTGATGCCCCACCATCTTCATGACGAGTGCCGCGGAGCCATTCGTGATCAACATGACTCATTCTGTCCAGTGTTTCCGCCACGCTCCCTAGACCACTACCCGGCGTGGTACCGACGGGCTCTGCCCTCTTCATCGCGTTTCGCGAAACGCATCAAACCTTCTTCGGTGAATCACTAAACGACAACAAGTAAGCCGATGGGTCCCATGAGACCCTTGCTCACAGCACGTTACTGTTTGAGCCCGGCATTAAAGTATAGCGTCGTCTCGCGCCTTAACGCCGATAGGAAATATTTCCTACACCTTCTTCACTTCGCTCCTCCCCTTGCCATTGTTTTCTTTCCGACACTCCTTTGTTTCCCTAACGCCCAGAGCGTCCTCTCTGCGGCCCGCCCAGCACTTCTTCTCGCCTGATCCCGCTGGCGAGTCCCGTCAATTGCGCCACCATGGAGAAGGCCAACGTCCCTTTGAGTACTACCGCGCTGCGCGAAGAGCCAGAGAGCGTGCCTAGAGAGAAAGAAGTCGAGCCTATTCGCGCCGATAGCGAAAGCGCCACTACCATTTCGAGCAGCGCTGGCGAGAAGAGCGCCCAGCCTGCCGAACAGCATGATACTGGTGTCAACATCTCGCGCGCAGAGGCCGAGTTCGCAGCCTTGAACCGTGAATTCTCCAGGACTAGCCAGTTGAGCCGCACCAAGTCCCGCCAGAGTCGCAAAGGCGCCACCGATATCGAAAAAGCCGTTGATGAGGAGACCGGCTCGGAAGAGCCCTTTGATCTGGAGACGGTCCTCAGAGGCAACCGCGATGAGGAGGAGAGAGCCGGTATCAAATCGAAGCGTATTGGTGTGGTGTTTGAAGACTTGACTGTCAGCGGCATAGGCGGCGTCAAAAGTGAGTATCGCGCTCTGAACCCCAGTTCAAAGGGCATACCCAACGTGAAACCCACAACCCGTTGTGCAGTATTTCCATCACACCCTCAGTGCACTTTTTGGTGACCTGAATGAAAACTAATATAACCCTCACACAGATTACGTCAAAACCTTCCCCGATGCATTCGTTTCCTTCTTCAATGTTTTTGCCACAGTCCAAAGTCTCCTGGGGCTCGGCAAGAAGGGTCGCGAGTTCGATATCCTCAAAGACTTCAGAGGTGTCGTGAAGCCTGGAGAAATGTGTCTGGTACTTGGTAGACCCGGAAGCGGATGCACGACCTTCCTCAAGGTTGCATCGAACCAGCGTTACGGGTACACCAAGGTCGATGGCAAGGTCCTGTACGGTCCTTTTGAGAGCGATTTCTTCGAGAAGCGCTACAGGGGAGAGGCTGTCTATTGTGAGGAGTAAGTGGCACTGATACAACACGGATGTGTCTTTTCGGTAGAGCAACATACTCCCTGCTGGGCTGAGATATGCACCAAGTATCCGCCACCCTATCTTGATACACACTGACTCTTTGCAGAGATGAAAACCATCATCCCACTCTTACCGTCGGTCAAACCCTGGATTTTGCGCTCGAGACCAAGGTCCCTGGCAAGCGACCCGCAGGTGTGTCGCGCAAGGACTTTAAGGAGCGAGTCATAGACCTCATGCTCAAGATGTTCAACATCGAACACACCCGGAACACCATCGTTGGAAACCCTTTCGTACGTGGAGTTTCGGGAGGCGAACGCAAGCGTGTTTCAATTGCTGAGACGATGATCACCGGTGCATCGGTACGAATTCCCCCCGGTGCGAAGTCGCTATGTCTTAGGCACAAGTCGACTTGGACATCAACCCCGCTTTATGACTCAGCTGACTTTGTATCCGCGAGTATAGGTCATCTCGTGGGATAACTCGACCCGTGGTTTGGATGCCTCCACCGCTGTCGATTATGCCCGATCACTTAGGGTACTCACCAACATCTACAAGACCACGACATTTGTGTCCCTCTACCAGGCGTCTGAGAACATCTACAAGGTGTTTGACAAGGTGCTGGTTATCGACAGTGGGCGGCAGGTGTATTTCGGACCCACTAAAGACGCTCGAGCTTACTTCGAAGGGCTCGGGTTCCTGGAAAAACCGCGTCAAACATCACCGGACTATTTAACTGGATGCACAGATCCGTTCGAGCGCGAATACCGGGCTGGTAGGAGCGAAAAAGATGTACCCAGTTCACCCGATGCGCTCGCTGAAGCTTACAAGAATTCTCAGATCGCTGCTGACTGTAATGCTGAGATTGCTGCCTACCACACCCAGATGGCTGAAGAGAAGGAGGTACACGATGAGTTCATGACCGCGGTGCAGGAGAGCAAGCGACATGCGCCGAAGAAATCCGTTTACTCGATTCCGTTCTATCTGCAAGTCCAAGCTTTGTTCAAACGCCAATTCTTGCTTAAATGGCAGGATAAGTTTACTCTCGTCACCTCCTGGGCTACCTCTATCATCATCGCTATCGTCATTGGAACTGTCTGGCTCAATCTCCCCACCACTTCGGATGGCGCCTTCACCCGAGGTGGAGTGCTTTTTATCGCTCTTTTGTTTAACGCTTTCAACGCCTTCTCGGAATTGCCAGGTGTCATGTTGGGACGACCAATCGTCAACAAGCATCGAGCGTTCACTTTCCACCGTCCGTCCGCTTTATGGGTAGCTCAAATTGGTGTTGATCTGCTGTTCTCTTCAGCACAGATCCTGGTTTTCAGCATCATAGTCTACTTTATGACCGGACTGGTACGGGACGCTGGCGCCTTCTTTATCTTCGTTCTCATGATCATCACCGGATACTTGGCTATGACTTTGTTCTTCCGTACCGTCGGTTGCCTGTGTCCGGACTTCGATGTCGCTATCCGTTTAGCTGCGACCATCATCACGCTGTTTGTGCTGACCTCTGGCTACATTATCCAATACCAGAGCGAACAAGTTTGGCTCCGCTGGATCTTTTACATCAATGCGCTGGGGTTGGCCTTTTCAGCTTTGATGATGAACGAGTTCGGACGCCTTGACCTGACTTGCGCTGGTACCTCTCTGATTCCCAATGGCCCTGGTTATGGTGACATCAACTCTCAGGTGTGCACATTGGCCGGTAGTACAGCTGGCACTACGTCGGTTTCCGGTTCCGACTACATTCGTATTGGGTTCTCTTACCTAACGAGCGACCTTTGGAGGAATTGGGGCATCAGTGTTGTTCTCATCGTTGCGTTCTTGACTGCGAACGTGTTCCTTGGAGAGTACGTAAAATGGGGCGCGGGAGGTCGTACTGTAACTTTCTTCCTCAAGGAAAACAAGGAATTGAAGGAATTGAACGAAAAGCTTCGGGTGAAACGGGACAAACGAAATCGCAAAGAGGAAGACACCGATGCGAGCTCTGGCTTGAAGATCACCTCCAAGGCCGTACTCACCTGGGAGGATCTTTGCTACGATGTCCCTGTCCCATCTGGTCAATTACGTCTGCTGAATAACATCTTTGGCTACGTTAAACCAGGACAACTCACGGCCCTAATGGGTGCATCCGGAGCTGGCAAGACAACACTGCTGGACGTGCTCGCAGCACGGAAAAACATTGGTGTCATTGGCGGCGAGAAGCTTGTTGATGGTAAAGCGCCTGGCATTGCCTTCCAGAGAGGTACTGCGTATGCCGAACAACTCGACGTTCATGTGAGTATATCTCCCCAAGCCGATTGGTGCTGTAAAGCTAATTGATTATAGGAACCTGCCCAGACTGTCCGCGAGGCTCTTCGCTTCTCTGCCGACTTACGCCAGCCATTCGAGACCCCCCAGGAAGAGAAATACGCCTATGTTGAGGAGGTCATATCTCTTCTGGAGATGGAAGACATGGCTGATGCTATCATCGGAGACCCAGAGACTGGGCTGGCAGTCGAACAACGTAAACGTGTGACCATCGGAGTTGAACTTGCTGCTAAACCGGAGCTCCTTCTATTCTTGGACGAACCTACTTCAGGTCTGGACTCCCAGAGCGCATTCAACATCGTACGGTTCCTCCGCAAGCTGGCTGCGGCGGGTCAGGCAATCTTGTGCACGATTCATCAACCGAACTCAGCTCTCTTCGAAAATTTCGACCGACTTCTATTGCTTCAACGTGGAGGGCAATGCGTCTACTTTGGAGACATTGGCAAGGACGCGCACGCTCTTCTCGATTACTTCCACCGCCATGGTGCTGACTGTCCATCGGATGCCAACCCCGCCGAATGGATGCTCGACGCTATCGGTGCTGGCTCGACGCCTCGTATTGGCAAGCACGACTGGGCTGATGTGTGGCGCGACTCCGCCGAGTTCGCACAGGTCAAGGAAGACATTGTTCGTATGAAGGAGGCTCGCAGCGCTGAAGTTGTTGCTGCTGCGCATGTCGAGCAGAAGGAGTATGCCACACCACTATGGCACCAGATCAAGAAGGTCAATAAGCGCCAGAACCTGGCCTTCTGGAGAACTCCCAACTACGGCTTTACGCGTCTTTTTAATCATGTCATCATCGCATTGTTGACCGGGTTGATGTACCTCCAGCTCGATGATTCCCGATCCTCGCTCCAGTACCGTGTCTTCGTCATCTTCCAGGTTACTGTTCTGCCCGCCCTTATTCTTGCCCAGGTGGAACCCAAGTACGCCATCTCCCGTATGATTTCCTACCGCGAGCAAATGGCCAAGGCCTACAAGACATTTCCATTTGCGCTATCTATGGTGATTGCTGAGATGCCGTACAACGTTCTTTGCGCTGTCTTTTTCTTCCTGCCTATCTACTACATTCCTGGTTTGAACCCCGCTCCGGACCGCGCTGGCTACCAATTTCTTATCATTCTCATTACTGAGATCTTCTCGGTTACTCTAGCTCAAGCACTAGCTGCGCTCACTCCGGACCCTTTCATTTCCTCGCTCATCAACCCATTCGTCATCGTCATCTTCGCCCTGTTCTGCGGTGTCACGATTCCAAAGCCACAGATTCCTGGCTTCTGGAGAGCCTGGCTCTACCAGCTCAACCCGATGACTCGTCTTGTCGGTGGTATGATAGTCACGGAACTACATGATCGCAAGGTGGAGTGCGTACCAGTCGAGCTGAACACATTCAACGCGCCGGACGGACAGACCTGCGGAGAATACATGAGCGACTACTTCAAGAACGGCGGTCCAGGCTACATTGTTGACAACGCTACCGATATTTGCCAGTACTGTGCCTATAAGGTCGGTGACCAGTTCTTCGAGCCGCTTGGTCTTTCGTTCAGCAACCGCTGGCGTGATCTGGGCATCATGGCAGCTTTCATTGGCTCCAGTCTCTTCCTGCTTTTCATTGCCGTAAGAACTCTCTTTCTAACAGCTGCAAGTGCATCTTCTGACAAAGACTAGGCTCGCTATCTCAACTTCAACCGCCGGTGAGCAGATTTGCTCCATCGCTTCCGTATACCTCGCCTGCAATCGACTTTCGACCCGCTACCCAAAGGTCGTTGCAAACTCTCATCGACATTAATCGTTGGAGGCGACGTACGCCGAGCTTTCGACCTATTGTTAGAAGCCCTGCGTGCAGTGCTCCCTTGCGACAATGCGCGGCCAAAAGAAGCAGGCACCGTCTTCAAGATTGTCAACGCCGCTCTGCACCTCCGGCTGACACCATTCGCAAGGGATCTCCTCACTAATGTGTTGTCTAATGCGCTACCTAATGCGCCCTGTTTTGATATCCTCTCCAAAAGTCTTTCATAGTGTTATTGCTAGTACTTGAGCTTCAATGGGTAAACGGCCATACATATAGAGTGCGTCGCTCCATAATGGGCGACGTTTGTAATCTACACCTGCATAGTAAAATGTTACTCGATATTCCCCATGACCATGGAACGTTTAATCTGAAGCAAAGGTCTATGTACAATGTTTCGCTACGCTCATCAGCTTATCGCGTAGGGTCTTGACATTGGCCAGAGCTGAAGGAGTCCTGTCAAGAGCTGCGATAAGAATGCAGCTGTTCCCATGGAAGGATCAAAGAATGATGCCGCAATTCAAGTGGCTGGCGAACTCTTGTGGGAGAAGCTCAGGTACAGAAGCACACCTGAACTGCACATGTCACAGATGCCTTCATGGCGACGCTTCAACCAGGAGTATGGAGATTCTTCACGCACACGTCCTTATCATACATGCCTATGACTGGTGGATGCCCCTCCCTCAGGACTTCGTTTCTAACACTTCTGTTCCGTTAAAATACCTACTTCGAACATACATCACATCAACGTACCCTCTCAGCGCACATCCAAGCTCTTCTATAGCGAAATAGATAAACATGATAACAAGGTACTCTCATAGAATGAGATTTTACGAGAGCGTAGATGAACTCCGTACGCGTTCCAAGCCCGTAATTGTAACACGCACTACAGTCCTATGGGTCGAGACGTCCAGCACTCTGAAGCGTGTTGCCTCGCGACCTCAATATTCGGCACTAATCCACTCGTCTCTCGCTTCGCAGATGAGTGGTGAAGGTGATCTGAGCTCATTGGAGTCTACCCACGCAAGAAGTGAACCCAGCAACGAGGCAGCTGCTTCACCCACGATATCGCCGACATTATCGTCAACTTTGCTCGAGGACACCACCCCAGAGCAAATAACCTACCAGCCAGACGTCTACTCTTACCCTCTCATGATCTACGACCGTCTTGTTGATGCGCCGACCCCTCAGACGGCCGTCCCGTGCGACTCCACATTTTACGTTCCCTTCAGCACCATGGGAAGCGGCGAGTTCGAGTTGCCGGACATCCCGCTCTCCGTCCCGTTCGCGTTATTCGTATGTCTAGGCGCAGGGTCACTATGGTCGATTTTGGTGTGGTTGATAAATCTGCCACACATATGCCCAAAACATAACGCACAGAACGGCCACAATGTGCAGGATAAGGCTGCAAAGAAGCAGCAGAATGAGAGTCAGAGGAGGTGGTGGGATTGCATATGGGGACGCCAGCATGTTCTTAGGCAAACACTTGCGGACAAACCCCAGAAATACACACCACTAACATCAGGTTCCTCCATCGGCACGAATTCAATCACAGAAGGAGCACCGACGACAGCAGCAACGTCCGCAACACCAGAGCGCGCAGAAAACACGCCTATTCGTCTACGCAAGTTAATGCCAGCTACGAAAAGACAACAACCACCCTCGCCCTCCCTACCACCGTGGCAATCCCCTACGCCCACCAGAAACACTACACTTGTTACGCACAATCAAGGTCAACGCAACAGCAGCAGCGCTACGTTCAGTTCACCCGCAAATCGATTCCTCCCCTACCCACTCCAACCCCGCTTAAGCTCCGAATACCTTGCCGCCCACGGCGCCTTCTTCTCGAAGCCTCTGCCCACACCACCGCTACCTCAGTCCTCTGCGCACCTCTCACCGTACCCGAGCCGCTCTGCCTCACCTGGGTCCGATCTCGACGCCCTCGAAGCACAGAGCGACAGCGTCGTCGAGCCTCGGCGCTCGCGCAGCGTACGCAGCGTGATGCATATTGCTGATGGAGTGGACAGGACGGGTGAAAAGCTTTGGATAGGAAGGTGGATTGGTGCTGTAGAAGAGGGGGTGAACAAGGCTGTCGATGCGGTAGTGAGGTGGACGGAGGATGAGGGTGCTGAGGAGGGCTTGCTGTTGCCCGCTTGGGAGGCGGGAGGTTCGAGAGTGAGTAGAGACGGCGAGGTGGCGTGACCTGGATGTACGTACGCGTGCGGCTGGTCGTTCTCCCATTTGTGCCACCTTCCACATGTCTGCAATAGACATGCACAGAGTTACGGTTTTTATTCTCGCTGCTCGGGAAGGGCTGCCTGACCTGCTGGATCTGGTTGATTCTCACATGATACGCGACTTTCTTGAGCCTACGCTGAGCTGTATAGCGCGCATTAATGCTAATGAAGTTTTATTGGCTGCCTTTGCTTGGACGCTTCGAGAGCACGTCGCTTACAGGCTCCTCCTTCTTTCGCGACGTTGAGCAGAGTATTTGGGGACGTCGACGAACCATGCATTACGTCACGGCACTTCAATGTATAGCGGTGTTCCCTCTGATGCAATGCATCATCCTTTCAATCTCGATCTCGACGCTATATTCTGGGTTCACCACCCGAACAATAGTTGTAACATGTGGCGTGACGAAGGTTATCACACGAGCTAGCTAGTTTGGTGGACACACTCACTGTTTGGGCAACTCGCCTCGAAGCCCGTGCACAGTGATGTTCCAGAATCACACTTCACAAAGCCACCGTTTATGCTCTTCCACCGATCACCGTTTGGGGTCGGAGCGGCACATCACTTCTGCCGGCTACGGCACTCGAACCGGGCCTGACGTTTCAGCCATCGCGCGGCAACTTTCCCGTGCGCCAAATCTAGCTCTTCGTACGAGCCGCGAAAAAAGCAAAATACAGTATAGATCGCACGGCTTCGGTCTTGGCAACTCTAGCGGCGTAAAGCAGCGTTGTTGAGCAATTCAAAGAAAGAGGTCATCGCTGGAGCCAAGAGTTGCCACGTGCGGGAGATGGTGACGACGAGGATAAGAATTATGTTGGACAAACATCATCATCTGTAAACTTTCACCTGTGGAAGCTACCACATGAAAACCACCTCTGAGAAGCTGACGCGGCCTTTCAAACGTGTCTTCAAAGTCAACTGGCTGCAGACTGAAGAACTGAAAAAGTACGATGAAGACGAATTCGCGTAGCGCAATAGAATGTCGATGCAAGGTATTCGGTGCGACGGAGATTTGGGCTGAATAGGCCCATGTAGTACTTCCTGCATGCTCATGATCTACAATAGCCCGCACCATCGGAGTACAGCGACCCTGTCCGCTCAGAATTGCCCCGGACGCTTCCAGAGCGATCGAATTCGGCTAATAACGCGGCGGTACCTGCAGAACATCCACCGCTCCTGCGCTGCACGAGCTGGACTCGTACAGTGGAATCAAAGTATGGGTGGGCTGCGAATCGAGAATTTGCAGTACCATGAACCACCATATAGAGCTATATTGTTTCAGTGGCGATCCTGCACGTATACTGATCGGACGTAATGCTGCTAGAGTCTGCTGTGGTAGCGAGGTTATTGATACCCCTGCAATATTAATCAAGAGGCTCAGGTCGTTTAGATTGTTGAGATGCAGAACCGAGAAACAAAAGTTGCCAAGACTGATAAATGAATGAACTGTAAGAGGAAGGATGCGACCATGCATCGCATCCGATTCATGACGCAGAACTACTTTCGGGATCAGACCGGGTCAATGGGTTAGGTGTCGCAGTGAAGGCTGGCTGACGCTGGGATAGACGTGGTCACCTTGCAGGATCTGATGTTGTGACCTTACACTGGCATAAAGTGTTGAGAGAGATGCATCGATTATGCATCATTCAGACAGGCCAGCTGGCATCTTCCGCTAGAATTTGATCAGTATCGAAAGGACAGACGGCTACGCAATCCGTGCATATGCAATGGCCAGGGTCGAGGATGAGGAGTACGTAGGATGAACGTCAGTAAGTACCGAGGACAAGTAACGAATCTTGAAGGGCCGATAGGAGAAATGTGACAGCGTATTGAGAGCAAGCGATAGGAAGAAGAGGAACCAATATTGGTAGTTTGAGTACCAATACACCTGGCTGGACGTCACGGTTGGAGAGGTTTCATGTGTCCTAACTGACGGACCTGATAGCTAGTATATTGCAGGCAGCTGCCAGATTGCGCCCTATAGTGAAGAGGCAGCGCGGCCGGCCACCTGGCAGATCGCAGGATTCGCCCACAGACATCCCAAGACAACCGAACCGATAGTCAAGGCCCGCAAACACGTCGCTTAGATGATCAAAAGAATGACCACATGGATGGCTGGTGTTTCGGCGGATATCTTCTGGTGCAGGTGCGGGTCGCCCTTGGCCAGATCAATCTAGCCAGTTCGGGTCTAGCGGTAGCGTTACTTCGAAGGCGCGCCCCGCCCCCACCAAAAATTTCTCGAGTGAGGGCAAGGGCGATGGAGGGCAGCCAGGTTCCGCATTACATCTGCAGACACACACGACGGCGACCATGAACGAAGACATCGTCGACGAGATCCTGTACCTTGCTCGTGCCAACGAGGTCGCTGAGCTGTCGACGTACCTCTCCGATGTCTCAGCCCAGGCGAAACAATCTAAAGCCGAACTGGTCGCGGCCGCGGCAGATCCCTACTCCAAGAACACAGCATTGCACTATGCTGCTGCGAATGGACATGTCGGTACGAACACTCCTGTCATTCATGTGTTCTGAGTCTCCCTGAGCTAGGTGCTGACTGCATGCAACAGACACAGTGAAGCTTCTCTTCTCTCTCGAAACGGGCAAGGCTTCGGCGTCTACGTCGGGGCTTATCAACGCGGTAAACGATGCGGGCAACACGGCACTACATTGGGCTGCGCTCAACGGACACCTCGAATGTGTCAAGCTCTTGGTTCAGGCCGGGGCCGACGTCACGATAATCAACCGGGCCGGCCATGACGCCGTATTCGAAGCCGAGATCAACGACAAGGGCGACGTGGTCGATTGGCTCCTAGGAGCGGTCGAAGAGTTGGAGAAGGGCATCGGGGAGACGGGCGAATCATCAGGCGGAGGACTGGGGGCCGATTCGCAAAGCGAGCCAGCCCTGAACGGCTCCATAGGCACGAGTGCCGGAGGTGCAGTCGAAGATGTAAGAAGGCAAATGGACAACCTCGATACCAAGGACGCCTCAAAAGACGGCTGAACCACCCAAGGATAGACGCAATCCCAGCATCATAAATTGCTCAGCACCCCTACACCCTGCCCCACTGAACGACGTTATTTGGGACATTAGGATCCGAAGTATAGCACCGGGAGCTCGGAAGCCTGCCACGTGGACCCCGTGTGCAGGGCAAAAGCAGCTGATGTGGCGTGGGCGAACACACTCAGACGACCGCAAGCACAAGATCTACAGAGATCGCGCTAGCAGCGGCGATGATGTTCGAACAAGATGTATTGGAATTATGATCAAATAGCGAGAAGCAGATTCTCCCACCGCTCTTGAGCTCAAATGAACCGCTTGCCATAAGCTCAACATGTATCGCCCGGTCCATGCATCTCGTAAATGACAAAGCCTGATATCGTGCGGCATAGCACATAGACAAATACAGATCAGGCTACTGTGCCTCGTCAGAAGTCTGGGTGCTCCGTTACCCTGGAATGAGTGAGATGGCACCCAAATTGCTGACCTTCACTTAGCCACAAGGAAAGCAGAAATCCGCCTAGCTGTTAATACAGAGCCTTTTGGTATGCAAATACAATAGTGTTTCAACCATGAGCTAACCACCGAGACTTTGTGGGCGGCAAAATACAGTGGCTTTTGTATCATGGCTCAAGCTGATACGCCGAGACTTTGTGGGCGGAGGCCATGATACACTTTCTAAGGCCGGCATTAGTACTAGTCGTTACTAAACTGTCGCTCCACTCCATTATTCCTTACCGCCGAGGTTCAGTCTCTAAGCCAGGCACGGCGCTTTTCTTCTTTCTTGTCACGGCGCTTGTTCTTGAAAGCCTGCAGCTCCTTCTTCGACAGGGCCTTGCCGCGTCGCTCCGCCTTCAGGCTGCGGCCGTCGTGGCTATTGGCCGCGGCATCAACGTCAAAGAAGGCGCTCATCTGGCGCTTGCTTTTGTTCTCATCATTGTGATACTCCGGGTTCATTCCGGCCTGCTGGAAGCGGCCGGTGAAGCGATTGAACTGGGCAGTCGTGGCATAATCTCCAGCGATGGGTGCTGGAAGACCCGTAGCCACAACCTCGAGTTCTTCCTCTTCCTCTTCGGCTTCCCGAGCATAGTCTGCATTCGGGTCATAATCGCCATGGATGGCCGGATTGTAACCACCATATTTGCGCTTAGGTGGAGACGAGGTGCCAGGTGCGCCAGAGCTGGTCGTGGGGGCAACAGTGGAGCTGTTCACATATCTGCGGCAGGCACGGATTAGGATAAGAAGGCAAGCAAGATAGTAATAAGTTGTTAGCAAACCTGTCGTACGATCCGTAGTCTGTCGCGGTGGCCTCAGGCAGCCGAGGGTTCTCCCATTGAGACTTGCCCGTCAGACGGTTGTAGAAGTAGTGGCGTTGTGCGCCGTGATCCCACTCATATGTCCACCCATCGTCCTCGGGGGGCGCTTCATCGGGCAGCGGAGGCGCTTCGTCGTCATAGGGCAACGCCTGCTCGCCTTTGGCCTGCAGCGCGCTCGCAACCTCCCGGTCGTGACTAGGGGATTTGCGCCGCCTCGGAAGCGAGTCGCTCAGGTCTGAGTCCGTGTCGCAAGCGTACGGATTGTAGTCTTTGCTTCCTGCAGCGTCGGTGTTTGGCTCGTTGCCAGCTGCGGCGGGCGCAGGGCTCTTCTGGCTATCCTCGACACAACCCGACGCCATCGCGAGTATATTATATATATTATGACGGCACTGAATTTTGGATGTTAGGATGTGATTGTAATAGACGACGGGCGCGTTGATATAGAGGGTGTGCATACAGTGATGGGGCACTCGACGTTCAGTCCAATTCTAGTTTCGCAGGCGGCTTGGCACATGAGTTCACGTGACATGTCTGAGCGCGGGCCTGGGCTTCCAGAATCAATGGACGATGAGGACACATTCGATGATTCGAGGAAATTCATACCGCAACACGTCGACAACTCAGACTCTACACAAGATTACACAGTCCTACGGCCATCTCCGCTGCCTCGCCTGCCGGGACCGCTCCGGAGACGTTCGCTCTCGCTTTGACGCTTCCTTCACGCTGGAACAGCCAGCCCACCTGCACAGGCACAGCGAAGGATGCCCCGATGATGTGTGGCGGCCACTAACGGTGGTGACAGCCGGCACCTGAGTTGCCCGGCCGCGCCGCCTGCCGCTTCGATAGGCCGGCAGCAGGCTCGCGTAGGCATGCTGTCGATTCGGCCTGGAGGCGCTACGTCAAAGACAGTATCGCAGGACCCGAGGCTGGAGGCAGCGTGCTTAGCGGGCCTATTATCCGCTGGCATGCGCATAAAGTGGCATGCATGCGTCCCCGACATGCAAGCAAGACAACGGGGATGCTCTTGGGGTCCGTCTCCACTCGACGGACGGCTCTTGGACGCGCTCCCGAGCGATTTGACGCTGCTTTTGCCTGTCGCCGAACCGTCCTCACCCCACCCGCTCCACGATCTCAGCGCCCTCAATCTCGCGGCGTGCCGTGCTGCGGGGCCCCTGCTGCTCTCCAGACGCAGCCGACGAGCACGCCGACGTGCATGCGTTCAGGCCGCCGCGCAGTCAGAGAATGCGTGCGTCGGGGCACTTTGAAACTAATCTATGTGAAGCTTATTGGGGCCTGCCGCGCTCCTTTCACGCCCGTCTGCAGCAGCAATTTCTCGCGGGATTTTGCCGCAATAACATGAAGCCTGTTCGCTGCATCCCGCCTGCGCTGCATGATCGGCACCAGTGGGCTGCGGCAGCGCTCGCGGTTGGCCAGCGCCCAAGGCCGTTGTTGGAGCGAGATCTGAGGGCGGAGCCATGAGCAGCCCATCCCAACCGCCACGCGCACCCAAGTCCGCATGCCACCCTCGGCTTGCAGCTGCCTGCACCTCACGCGTCGGCCAGACACCCCCCAAGCACACGATATCGTCGCCAATATTGCCCGCCCTGGCCATGCTGAAGTGCTCACTCGGCTCTCAAACACCAAGAGCTCCACGTCCATGTCCCTGGCAGAACTTAGTTCACTAGGGTAATGGCCCTGCCCTGACCACCTGCCCTGCTCGTCCCCCATCCCCTGCTCAGCTGGCCGTCCCTACCGCAGCACGGATTCGCACGGGTTCCCGTCTTCATCTTGCACGCCTACCCGGTATTAGCCCATCACCAATATTGCCATCCTTCCTTGCCGCCCCCGTGCCAGCTGGGACGCCCTTTCTCCTGCGCCCAGCCTGCCTCCAGCCCAGGAGCCGTGCCGCAAAACTGTAGTCTGTGCCTGTCACTCCTCCCGAGCTTAGGCCCCTATGGTGCTGCCCCTACACGCACATCCCGTACGTGCCTCTTCGGCTGTCGTCCAGGAGTAGCCGGAGGGGTGGACGTCAGCCCTGCACGGACTGGGGACTTCCGTTGGCTCTTTCTCTGAACCTTGCCATCTTGCAGACCTCAGTGCGGGAATTCGTTACAATACAGACGCACGCAATCGTGCTTGTGCAGTCCTCTGGCCACCTTCCCGACCTTCTCCTGCGAGTACTGCCTCCATGTCTCCGGCTGTCTGACAACGAGCTGGTTCCGTGCCTGCATCAGAGTCGACCTTAGCCCGTGCCTGCATCTCCAAAGTGCCCTAGTTTATATTTTGTATTGTTCCTTATCGCTCCATGTGGCCTGCCAGCCAATGTATCGTGGAACCCATCCCACCTCGGCCCTCGACCGTCCATCTTCACCTCCCCCAACTATGCTTGCCGACATGAACCGTCTGCCTAGTATACCTTCGCGGCCAGCGCATTTTCACCCATATGCCTCCGACAGTCCCTACCAAAGACCAAGTGCTGCACCATCGCGGCCCGACATCTCATCGCAGCAGCATCCCTCCCGGGATTCCCAGGGAAGTCAAAATCATGCGCAGCAGCTACCAAGCCTGCGAACCCTCCTTGAGCCAGAGCTACTGGAAAACAAAGTCTCTGATCAGTTCCCGCGGCCTGGTGGCGCACAGCTATTCAATAGCACCGCTGGGAGATACGGATCCGCGAGCCCGACCTTGAAAAGACGGCATGATTCCGACGGTTACAGCCACGACCATCCAGAGAGTCATGCTCTCCCTTCTCGAATACCAGCCGTGCATCGTCATGCCTCGTTTACCACCAGTACCGACAGCCAACCGCCTGCCTTCTCGACCTCTGGTCCCGCCCACCGGCCCCAGACTTTCATTGGCATTTCTTCTGGAACCATGTACTCCGATTCCACCACTAAGATCTTCCGTCCACCTTCGACCACTTCCGCACTAAGTGCATGCTCAGAACCAGGAAGAGCCTTTTCGAGCCACGCTCAATTTCACGATGATCCCGTGGACCTAAGCAAGCCGGCACGGAGACGGACTGAAGGATCGTCACGCGCGCCCATACGATCGAAACATTGTGTGGGCCAGCAACAAGTGGCTGGAGAAGGTTTATGCTATGTCTTCGACGACGGGAGTTATTGTCGCGTTGTTATTGATGGAGAACCGGTCAATCCGTCATGGGGCATTACGAAAGCTGGCAAACCGAGAAAGCGCCTCGCACAAGCCTGTCTCACATGTCGCGAGAAGAAGATCAAGTGCGAGCCTGGTTATCCCAAATGCCACCAGTGCGCCAAATCACAGCGAGCTTGTCGAGGGTAAGTTGATGTTCCGTTTTTGTGCAACACTTCTTCTCGACCACTTTCCCAATTTGCATGAAACCAACCTATCCGGAACACTCAACGATGCATTCACTTGTGCTCATGTGACAAATACTGACTGAGCGTAGTGGCCTGAATCAGCCAGGCATGAACAATGCTTCGGGAGAGACTTCACCGTCGTCATCTTCAGTACTGTTTAAGAACCAGTCGACCGAACTCATCAGTCCGGTGGCTGGACCCGACAAATTCAAATCTCTTGATCAACAATACTCCAAACCTGTTGAATCTTGGAATACAACAGGCTCCTCTTTTAAGCCTCGGACCTTTCGACCAAATTCAGTTGCCACGTCAAGAGACATGTCGGTACACTCGATGGACTCGGATTGGAGTGGATCTGTGAACAACCAGGACCCGGATGATCTCAGACGTGGATCGCACCAGGACCAACTGGCCATGCAATGGGAACAGGACCCTTACGATAGCGACCCAAGGCTCACCATGCACCTACTGGATCTCTATTTCCTCCATGCTGGACGTGCAACGTATGGAATGTTTCCTCGCCGACCTTTCCTCACTTGGGTGGAGACCAACCGGGAGAAGAACCAGGACCATCTCATGCTTCTTTACTCTGTTCTTGCCATGGGCTCTGTGTTTTCCACCGACGCTGAACAGCGCGGCGCTGGCAAATGGTATGCTGCTGTTGCCGCATACGCCATGGAAAAGCGATTTGGCAAGTTCACCTTGCAATTGTGCCAGAGTCGCTTAATGCTGGGTCTGTACAACTTTGCTCGTGGCAAGTCACAGGAAGCTTGGGATTACTGTGGAGCCGGGCTGCGCGCTCTCAGTGCCTTGAAGCTCAACTCCGAGGACGGAATCAAGGAGCTCCCAGAGACTGCTGCCGATATGCCTTATGGATTCGACCGCTTGACTCTGGAAGAATGTTGCCGCCGCACCTTCTGGTCCGGATTCTTGATGGATGTAAGTTCAACTGCGTCTACGGCAACCACCAACCCTGACCTAATGCACCAACAGCGATACAATGGATTCTGCGGTGGCACCCTTTGCGTTATCAATATTGAGGACACTTTCCTACGACTCCCCTGCTTGGAAAACATGTTCGAGGCATCCACTCCCTGTGATTCCCCCATGTTCGACTTGGAGATTCTGAACCGCCAGGCGTACTCTGGCCCTCCCCTCGGACATATGGCCTACTTGACCTTGATATCCACGATCTGGGGCGATGTGGTGACTTTTACTAGCCGTGCCGTTCATCGCTCTGGAGCCAGGTATGAGGTACTTTATGAAGCCTTTTACGCCAAGACGTATGAGCGACTGGATGCATGGCTTGAGATGCTACCGGTCAACCTCAGGGTGAGTTGGCCTAGCGTTACTTTCATTCGAGGCATGTGCTAATAGTGGCTTGTTCTGCAGTACACTCCTCAGAACCTGGACAACAGTATCGTCGAAGGCTTCGCAGGGTCGTTCATTTCCCTTCACGCTCTCTATCGCACCACCGTCATTCGTCTTAATCGCCACATTCGATTGTCTGCGATGTCAACTGACAAGGTCGCCCGCAATGTCGAACAGGCCTTCTATCATGCGATCAGTTTTGTGCATATGATGCATTCGCTGGCGCCTGAGAATCGCCACCAACGTCTGCCTTCGACTGCTGCTGCAGAGTTCCTCTTCTCCACACCGTTCCCTGGTTACGCGCTCCTGCTTTCGATCGATGTTGTTACTGCCGCCGGCACGGCCGCTAGTATTCCGAGCCTTATCGAGACTCTTGGCATGGCAAGCTCATGCCTTGAAGAGCTCGCGACCTTCTGGGCATCGGCTCGCACGCAACAGAAAGTTGTGGCGAACCGTCTGAAGCAACTCACGAAAACCGCTATGCAAGAAGAGCAGGGTGCCCGGAACGGTACGCTTGGACAGTTCTGGAGACAAACCGAAAGCTTGGAGGCCGCATTCGGGAACGACGATGCTGTGTACGAAGCAGATCAGCAGCTAGTGTTTGAAGTTCTGAACAGGCTTACCGATGGCAGGCGGACCGCGTAAAGCGAGCGTCTGTATCGTCATGCAAGAGAAGCCGGCGCGAATACGGTAGTCCTCGACCAATATGGAGACCCTCCGAAAGCATCGTGGCCAAATTAGGAAACTATAATGCTGTACGCATAGCCAACAGCATCTGCGTTTGAGATCGTCAATGGGTTCACGGGACGTCGAGTCGCATTCTCGTCTTGGCAATGCCTGCTCTAACTATCCGCCAATAAGCGACCTCAAACTGCGCGCACCACCTACACCGCCTGCAACCACGCAGCCCGTGCATCTTTGGAGTCTCCCGCATGTGCGCTTACAGCACAACATATAGGTGTTCCCGCACACCGATTCGCACGTGGGCATAAGCCTTGCATGAGATCGACCGCACGAGATGTATTCGCCCACCCGACGCTCTACCATAACGCCGGATAGCAGCATGACGACATATCATCTGATTCGCCTTCCCACCTTCCCGGGAATTCCCACAGTCTGAAACGTTTCTCCTCCTGGTGGCTTCTGTGTAATGTTAATGTGTACTCTATAGTATCCCGGGCACGAGCTGTCTGATTTGCTTATTCTTTCCCTCTTCCGCCCTTTCCGTTTTCCTCGGTTGGTTGCTACGATTTCTTTCAGGGTCTGGTCTCCATGTATGGTCATGAGGTGGATGCTATTGTGTATTATATGTTCACCAAAAGTGGGCTTGTAGCCGGTGTCCGCGGATGATCAGCGAAAGCTGCACAAAAGTATTTGGAAAAGAAATGATCGGCGGAGTTAACACGAATCTACTATGACTTCTTTTGTACGACCTGTGCTTTGCTCATCAATGCCTTTTGTCCGCATGTAAGCGTTCCGACCGCTCTCCTCCGCATAGTAGTGATCCGGCTTTCATCGCATACAGAGCTAGAACGGTATATGAACAGTAGATTATACGGTTTGACGGCGCGAGAGAGGTTGTGAAAGTCGCAACACTAATGCTATGAGACATACGCGAGGTTGAAGTGTTTCATGGACAAACGGAAATTGGAGTCAGGGGTCAAGGATGGGAGAAGAGTCGCGGAAGCTTCTGAGGGCTTCTGGAATGCGATGCGCTCGGGTACGTGCGGACGACTTGGGCTGAGTGCTTTTTTGCTTGGTGAGCTTAACTTGCGTGGGACTTCCGGCGTGAAGTGTCCCGAGAATGCTGAGCAGGAGCTCATCGTGTACCGAGCCTGCATTGTAGGATATTGGAATGGATAGAGGACATGCGGAACCCAGCGTAGATTACTTCGACATGGTGCAGTCACAGTAGGGCCATGGAAACGAGCTCACAGCGTGTATCATACTGTGGACCCACCTCGGCACCACGATTTGCAAGGCGACTTGGAACACAACCGGCTCAAAACCGTGCTACTATGGAAAAGCGTCCATCTCCCCACGGTTCTCAAGCAAACTCGATTGACTTATCTCACCCCATGAACCCTCTGCCCAGCCTGATATGTCGACGCTCAACCGCTTCCAACGATCCCCGAGGCGTTTCTTCCTTATTTCAACTAAAGTTTCACGCTTCTCACTTTAGTCGAGTGATGCAACCAGCGAGTCCGGAACGCAACTAGTCACAGTCTCAACGCTTCCGCCTTGTCCGTTGCCCACCCACGCACTCTTTCGGATTCGACACAGGCAAACCACCCTCTACCCACTCTCTTCGGCGTCGAATTTCTGCTCATTCGCCCGCCTGCCCAACCAAACTACCCAACTGCCCAAAAGCCCGCTCGTTTGATGCTTGCAACGCCAAGAAATTGACACACCCAGGCTTCTGCTTGGGTTGAAATGCACACGTACCGAGGCGTTGGCGAAAGATGCCGTGCGGAGTAGCACACGCTCGTTTAAATCAATGGGTAGTTTAGTATTCACAACCTGTCAGCAAACCGCTCGGTATGACTCACCCTAGTGAGGAACACAAAGACAGCACATGAAGGCTTTCCATTTGGTCCCGATCTAACGCCAAAGATGATGGGTATCACAAACACCGTCTGCGCCCAGGTAAACCCCTCTATAAGTCCGTCTCCAACCCTACTCCCATGGTACTACTGCCAAACGCGTCGTGCTACCCTTCAAACCCCGCAGCCGCGCTTTCCCTTTCCCTTCCCTCCCAGCCGCTATCTGCACTGTGGGCGAAGGCCTGCTGCACTGCAGGGCGCGGTTTGCTAGCAATGTCTAGCTCTGCGAACCTAGGCCTAGCCAAGGCGATGTTGATGCGCGCGGCGTTAAAAATCTGCTCGCTGGGCGGGATGGCGGCGGCGAGGTTGGTGTTCTCAGTCAATCGCGTGATGAAGAACATGAAACGTCCGGTTTTGATCTGCATCTCGGCGAAGTTTGCGCTGCCGGCTGGGATGCCAGTGTGTTTTCTATGCACACGATTGTTAGAAACATGCCGAGAACATATAGAGGGTGATTACGGGATGCTACACGTACGCCATGCTCTGCTTGTGCGTCTTCAGGATACTGGAAATGCGCTCGAACCGATCCGAGAAGGGATTCTCGGCCTCCACATCCCGCGTCACATGTGTGACCATCAAGCACGTTGTCCGCTCGTACAATATCAGCTCCCTCGCCTCCACCACCTCGGCTAGCTCCCGTAGTAAACCCTCAATACTCCTCGCATTCGGAATCAAAAAGTAGATGATCTGCGTCCATGCCTTGTACAGACTCTGGTCCCAGATACTGGTCGCGAAGAAATCTACTGTCGGCGCAAAGCTTTCAGATGCGGAACGTATGTATTCTGTGCGTTCGTCGAACAGTTGCTGTCGCAGGCGCGCTTGGACGAGGTCCATTTTGTGGATCAGGACGAAGACGGCGGCGGAGGGGGAGTGCTCGGCGAGGGCGCGAATGATGGAGGAGTAGGAAATCACGTCGGCGGCGAACTCGCGGGACTCGATGTCAAAGACGAAGATGAGGACTGCGACGGAGCTGAAGACGTGGGCGCGCTGGTGCGTAAGATAATTTTCGACGAAGCCGTCCTGTCTGCGGACCCGTCAGTACGCGTGCTCTTCCAAGGCTTCATACTCTCCTGCGAAACGGAAGGAAGCAGAAGCGTTCTTACCCTCCGCAATCCCAGAGGTTCAACATCAGGTTTCCCATAAACTTGATATTGCTATGCTCCACATCGATGGTCGCGCCCAGTCTCCTCACGTCCTTGGCCACGTAGTTGCTGAATACAATGCTGCGCATCGACGACTTCCCCGCGCCGCTCTTGCCCATGAGCAGCACCTTGCGCTGCTTCTGCCGCTTCGTTGTGTTCATTGTGTCTCGCGAGCTCTCATCCCTCCGCGTGCTGCAATCGCGATCGTCGCGGACAACGCCGCGTCTGTGTCTATGGTAAGTTCGGCGATATACTACTGTGCACGCAGAACAGAAACGACGGCGAGTAAGGTATCCTGAATTCGAAGCGCTGTGGGGAAAGCTCGGTGAGTGACGTGCACCATCAGCTTCAGATAGCGGCCTCGGCGCCTCAGGCACGTGAGGTTCTAAGCTTCGTTCGGCATAGCGTTGCTGGGGTCGGCGCGGAAGCGGAAGTTGCGCTAACAGCTCGGCAACGGAACTGAGATCCACCGGGATGAAGACAGTCTACCCCTGAGTTAACGCGGATGCAAACAGTGCGAAGAACAAGGGAGACGATAAGCTTTACGAAGGATCTGCCCAATGTCAGTTACAGGCATGTGCTGCCGACAACAGCTGCTGATATGGATAAGACGGCCGAACAGCTTCTCAAAACCCTAATGGTTACGAGTCGAGACGTGAGACCAACTGTGTGTTGTGTATTCGCTCCGTATAGGTGAAGATTTTAAATTTTGCTGAGTGTATAAGGCCAGCTTGTATCTCCGAGATGCCTGTAAGAAACGCAAATACTCTTCCCGAACAGGCAGGCAACGCGCGCCTTCAGATCCCGCAAAAATCCTTTCCTCCAATATTCCGTTCAGATCTATCCGAGAGACTGGCGTAGCCCAGAGAGATCTTCATCCAACGATTAATCTACTACATTGCCAATAAAGAACCCAGAGTTGCCCTCTCCTATTCCCACTTGATGAATTTTAATGTTGTCCTAAGATGATAAATGCCCAAAAGCAGAAGCAATGAAGATTGCATGTGAAATTCCGGAAAAGTCGCACGATGTGGGTGAATGGTGCAAGACGTCGAAGATGATTACGCAGAAAGCCGGTGCCGGAATATCCCACAACCAGGGCCAGAGCGTCCCTAGGTCCCGGATAAAAGAATAAGAACATATAAACAGGAATGGGGGAATCTCCAAGCGACCGTGCAGATCATGGTTCGTCGATTGGTCCGCGTACCCTTGCAACCCACTGGGACTGTGGGTAGGCCGCGGTGGATATGCAGAACCGTTCACGTGCCGCCGCTCAGCACAATCATAAGGTTCGGAAAGAAGAAAAAGTAACTCGGTATCTCGACGAGAAAGGAAAGTGAAAGGGACAAGGGTATCTTAGAAAACAGTGCCGTCGGATAGGATCATGATCGGTGGCTCCTTGGTGTTGGGTCGCGATACTTCAGCAATTTCGCGGCCGCCCTGCCACACGTTAGTTTGAAATCAACATGTACAGTCATGGGCGCAACTTACCTTCCAGCTGCCTGCTTCCAGCATTTGGGCCAAATTCAGCTTGTTCGAGCCACTCAATCCCAGTAGGGAGTTCACCTCCACCAGTAGCTCGTCGAGCAAGCCGACTGTGACAGCGCGCCATTCCACAATGACATCGTCGTCTGCTGTGAAGAGAGGCACTACTTCCATGCTTGGCTGTCCCTTGTTCTGCGCGTTTCGCTGGTACTGGGCCAGACCCCGCTTCGCGTCTTCTGGTTTCAATGTCAACAGTCCGGTGTCGATGAAGAGACCACCATTCCGGTATTCTGGCAGGCCCGTAAGGAGATCGGCGCCGGCAAAGTGCACGTTGAGCAACTTGGTCATCGGAACCATGAGCGAGTAAGCTAGCCACTGGGTGAGCTTGTGGAATGGCACAATGTTTTCCCAGGGATGTGTAGGGTGCGAAGGCATGACTGAACACGGCCATGCATCACCGAGCGAGATGCCGTCAATCTGCGTGCGGGTTGCGGGCCAGATCGGAGCCAGGCTGTCCATCAGAAGGTTCCAGAGAGTGGGAAGAGGGATGATTGGCACAGACGAGGCTTGCGTTGAAGGGTGTGAGAGCAGGAAGTCTGCGAAAAGTCAGCATGAGCACGCCTAGCCTAGCGGTCCTGGTGCACTTACCAAGCATGTTGCCGGGACGCGCCTCGAGCCCAAAAACCTCTTGGTTCTGCAATGCGTCGCCCAGTCGCATAAGCAGACCAGCGCGCCCTTCCAATCCGTCAATCACGTTGGCTTCAGTAACCTGGAGCCCTCGCGCTAGTACATTGATGTCGAGCTTTTTCAGCCCCGCGCTATCGACCTGGCAGGGCTCATTGGGGTTGCTGCTGAAGATGCCCGCTTTGAACATCTCCAGACTAGCTACGGCCAGTCCTTCACTCCTACGGTAGATCTTCCCAGACTCCTTGCTGCGGTACTGCCACTTTGTCCCCGCGCCAGCGTCCAAAAGCACGGAGACGAGGAAGAGGTCAATCAAGCGGCGCGTTCGCTCCTGGTTATCGACGGTCGAGGGCCACGAGGCCATGAGCTGGTCAACACGTGGTCGGCCACCCACATCGAAATGCTGCCACCGGCCGTGCGGGGGAATGGAGGCGTAGTCGGGAGCATAATCGCGCTGGAAGTAAAGTTAGCCACGGGGACAGACGTAGCCGAGTCCTCGGTCTTGTTGTGCGGAGCGTCTTGCCTTGATAATTGCAACCACGTACGTGGCCGTGTCCTGGAATTTGCCCATGTCAACCGTGAAGTGCTTCAGCTGGTTCTTCCTCGCCTTCTCCAGGACCAGGCGGGTCCTCTCGCGGACGGCGTAGATGCTGCGCAGATAGGCGGCGGGGTCCAGCGTTGGGTCGGGGGCCCGGGGCAGAGGCACGTCGGGGAAACTCATGCGCGACTTTCCATTTGCAGTGGAGGGCGCAGGCGACTTGAGCGAGCCATTGCTCATGTTGGGCTGGGTGCCGCCGGGAGCAATTGCGGGCTTGGAGCTCTTTCTGCTGAAGAGACCCATTGTCGCGGCCTAGGGGAGAGAGGGTGCTAGGAACGGGGATTGCTCGCTGGCGAGAGAAGTCGAGAGGTGTAAGCCCGGCAAGTGCACAAAGAAAGCCGGAGCTCGCGCTGCGAAGTGGGCGCGGGCGTGGGCGTAGGTGGGTTGGCGGGCGGGCCACACAGTCAGTGCGCTGCGGTTAGGCTGCTTGGCTCCGCGTGGACGGGGTGGCAGGGGCGAGCACTGGTGGGAATTGGCAGACAGATGCGGAGAGGTCGAGGGTGAGGCTTCGGCGGACAACAATCTCAGACAGTCCCAGGAGCGGGCGCAGCAGACCGGGACGCCTGCTCGATGGGCCTCGCGGGCAGGGAGCTCTGACGGGGGTAAAATTTGGGCCGTCGGCAGGGCAGGGCGCGCGAGCTGCCTGGGAGGGACGGGAGACTGGTCGCGCCGCTTGTAATGGAGCCGTTGAAGGTGCTGGGTCCTAATCCACACAAGCGCAGACGCCAGGTCAGGGGTGCCAGATGCGAGATGGCCTTCGGGATGCTCCAACCTCGCGCGACCTCTGCCTGGCCCTGCTGCTTTCTCTGCTGTCAGCGTCCAGCGTTACGCCTGTGCGTCATGTCGCCGTCGAGCGTCCCGACAGGGGCCTCTCCCTTGACGAACCATCTGGCACGCGAGGCAACACCTGATCTGCTCGGGCGGCATGCAAAGACGTCTGGTCCGCAAGCTGACTAGCTGTCCTGGACATGATCCCACCGCGGCGCGCTGCATTCCACTTCCGCCTACGTGCAGCTCGAGCGACAAGCCCAGAGGCGGCTCGATGTTCGGTTGTCCCTAGCTTCATAGAGCAGCCGCGGCTCCGAGCCGTGCGACTCGCGAGAGGCCAACGGGCCGAATTCCAGTCGCTGCATGAGGCCTCGAAGCTTCTTAGCACGTATGCTACTGGCACTGGCACCGTGGCTGCGGGAAGCTCAAGAGGCCCGGGGTTGTGAACCACAATCGCATCTCAGCCTCGCAGCATGGCAACCGCCTCGCAAGTGCCAGCGTTGCCGACTACTACCCTGAACCTCGAGAGCATGGTCGGCGAGGCAGCGTACATCACCTCGTCTTGGTCCACGCTTGCCCATACCATATCACACACTGAGTAAGGTAGCGCCCCACGAGTCAGCAACTATGTACGCTCGCAGGCTGGACGCTGCACCATTCTAAAGTTACCCGAAAGCTTTTGACAAGAGTGCACGATGGCTTGGCGCCCGTATCCGCGAAACCGCGGCCGTGCTCGTAGATCACCCTCACTGACCACGCGTTGACCTGGACGAATCATTCCAATTCGCGGTATGTTGCTCCGGCGCAGATCAAGGTGGTCCTGCAAAGGACGCACAAAGTCAAAACATTGCCTTTACATAAAATGTGCGCTACATGCCGCCGATCAGGCGTAAAGGGGGGCCGTTCGAAGCCCATGACTGACTGGCGAGTTTTTCATCCGGGATTGCTCCTACGGAAGCATCCGAAGCCCAAGCTGATGTCGATCCGGCGCAATACGTGACTGGAATGGTTGTTGTGCACTGTGACTGCGAAGCAGTTCGCGCTTGGACACAGCAGCTACACCATCACATGCACATTTCCTGGTCGATGTATGTCAAGTCTCGCTGTCATTCGCAAGTGGCGTGTGCTACTGCCAAAATGCCGCCACCACTGCCCAAGTGTGAGTGTTTCGCGTCTGGTGTACCCTGCGTCGAGAGCGTACAAAAGAAAGGGTCCTGGGTGGGGTGGGGCTTGACTGTGGTTGTGGCTGTGGCTGTGGCTGGGAACGCCACAACCACCTCCTCCGAAGAAGCACAGAGCACGAGATGCAACACGCTGGCGTTTTTCGCGCGCAACAATCGTTACAATGATCTAGTCAGCGCCTGACGCTATTCCTACACACACACGCTTCTCCTTCGCGCACCATGGACGATCTTGCCGGCCTTGACTGGTCAGCCCCTCCCAAAAAACAGTCGAGCGCGCCGACCGCCTTTCCCCCGTTCCGCCAGAGCCCCGCGCCCCAGCTCTCAGGCCGCTCCACGCCTCTCGCTCTTTCTGCACAGCAATCGGGCGCCGGTGCAGCTGGTGGAGGCAGTCGACCGTTCAAGGCGCCCTCCAAGCCCGCAACGCCCGCGAACGACAGCTTCGCCAACCTCATCGCGGGCAACAGCTCCAAGTCTGCTACGAGCACCCTGTCCCTTGCCGAACGGCAGCGCCAGTTGCAAGAAGAGAAGCAGCGTCAGGAGACGGAGCGGCAAAGGCAGTATGATGCGCATTTTGGCGCGTCAGGCTCGGCCTTCTTGGACAATCTAGGCAGTGGGAAGAGCACGCCTGAGCCCGCAGCTGCTGGCTTTCGGCACCCTACACCGAACGCTTCGGCCAGGCAGAACCTTTCCAGCACCATCAACAAGCCATTCGCTGGCCTCGATACTTCTATCAAACGACCCGTACAATCTCCCCCAGCCGACGATGATCTTCTCTCCGCGTTCAACTCCAACGCTCCCGTCGATGCGTCCAGCCACTTCCCGCCCCCAACTTTCGGCAGCGGTCGAAGCACACCAGCAATTGGCACGTATAGCTCACGAGGAGACACGCCAGCGCCACAGACTTTGAAGAATAGCTTTGGAGACGAGGACGACGACGATGACATGTTCGGCCTAAATCAGTTGGCCCAGAAGGCAACAATCCAACCTCCACCGCCGTCCGCGCCTACGGGAGATGATGATATTCTAGGCCTCCTCAGCAAACCGGTCTCCGAATTCCAGAGGAAATCTGCACCGGAACCGGAGGCTGAACCCTCGATTTCACGTCAATCAACACCAGCTGCTGCTAGTCCACACGACAAAGCTGTTGCCGAACTTGTTGATATGGGGTTTCCTGCTGAGAAATCTGCTATCGCTCTGGCAACGACCGAGTCTGGCTTGGATGTTCAAGCGGCTGTTGGCTGGCTTCTAAATCAGGCGCATGCGGAGGCTAAGCAGAAGACCCAAGATCGCAGTCAAGAAAGGCCGCGGCGTAGCCCGGATGAAATGGACGAGCGGCCGAGACGTAGTGAATCCAGGCAAAAGCCTCGTGATTCGAGTGCTGGTGGTGCCACTCCCGCTTGGATGCGAGGCGAAGAAAGCAGAAGCCGGTCTGGCCAACGCAGAAAGGAAGGGCAAGGACTTGAGAAGGATGTTTCGCTTGCATCCGATATAGGAAGCACGCTCTTCAAGTCGGCAAATTCGCTGTGGAAGACAACCCAAAAGAAAGCGCAAAGGGCAGTTGCAGACTTTCAACAAGACGGCGACCCTAACATGCCTAAATGGATGAGAGACGCCCAGGCTGCAGCTGCGAATCCATCGCGGGGTAAGGCACCTGCTGCTGATGTCACGGATGAAGCTATGATGTTGGAAGCTGGCGGGCGGCCGACCAAGCCGTCACGACCATCTGCTGCACGTCAAGCTCCAGAGCAGCTTCCTGTGCGACCGAGACGAGAGCAGCACGACTTGCGACAAGACTCTCGCAACGGAGGCCCAGACCGCATGGCTTCCCAGTCTCCAGCAATGCGTCAACAGGTTGTAGACAAACGGCCTGCTCACAAACTAACTCGCCAGGACGTTGAGGAGCAGAGCCCGCAGGCGTACGTGAGTCCGTCGCGACGAAAGAAAACCACTCCCCAGCCCGATCTTTTCTCTTCTGAAGAACCAGCTCCCTCGCCGCCCACTTCAACATTCCGACAATCTGCACCCGCACAGTCGAATAACCCTTTCCTGAAAGCAACGTCGTCTGCACCAAATCCTAGAAGCCCTGCGGTCACCCCTCCGCCCCCGAAACCGCACGCACCACCTCGTCGGATTCCGCCTGCCTCCTCTTCAGCGCTCACTCAATCAGCATCTTATCGACAGAAAGGTTCCGAAGCTTTCAAGCGGGGTGATTACGCGGCTGCACACGCTGCATACTCTTCCGCCATTGGTCCTCTTCCTGCAACTCATCCGGTAATGATCATTGTACTGTGTAACCGTGCCGTTACCAATATCAAAGTGGGCGATCCCAAAGCCGCAATCTCTGATGCAGACTCTGCGCTCGAAATTATCGGGGTCTCGAGGGGTGAGGGTGAGAAAATCATTGTGGGTGGGACCGAACTTGACAAAGATATGAAAGAGTTTTATGGAAAGGCTCTTATGCGAAAAGCCGAAGCGCTCGAGCACATGGAGAAGTGGGCTGACGCTGGCAAAGTCTGGAAAGAAGCAGTTGAGGCAGGCGTCGGGGGGGCCATAAGCATCCAGGGGCGCAATCGCTGCGAGAAGGCTGCAGGCGGTGGGAACCAATCTACGCTGCCCAAACGAGCGCCTGTCCGGAGGCCGCCACCCAAACCTTCAGCAATGTCAGACCTTGGCCCAGCCCAGGAGTCTGAAGCTGTCAAGAAGCTGAAGGCTGCAAATGCTGCGGCCGAGAAAGCGGATGACGAGAAGTTTGCGCTCGCGGATTCAGTTGATGCCAAGCTCGTCGCCTGGAAGGGCACCAAAGCAGACAATTTGCGTGCGCTGCTGGGATCGCTCGACAAAGTGCTATGGCCGGAAGCAGGGTGGAAAAAGGTCAATATGGGCGACCTCGTAATGCCGAACAAGGTCAAGATTATCTATATGAAGGCCATAGCAAAAGTCCACCCTGACAAGGTAAGCTTCTGCTCTGTGATCATCAAACGAGATCGTGCTAACTCGATCGCAGATATCTCAGTCCGCTACTACAGAGCAGAGGATGATCAGTGCTGCTGTGTTCGCAACGCTGAACGAAGCCTGGGACAAGTTCAAGGCGGAAAACGGGCTGTAGCAGCAGCCAATAGCTTCTGCATAGCATTTTCGGGCAACTCATGCCTCGTAACGTAGACTATAGATCCTGCATGAAACGATTGATGACACCTACAAAAAAAACCTAGCATATGTGAGAGATCGCACGCGACTTGTTGGACTGTCTTTCCAGAACGGCCTAGTGCGGCGCGTACCTGCATCGTAAGAGCATCCCTGTCGGCACGGTTTCCCCAGATTTGGTGTCTTGGCATTATGTAACGATCCAGCCACTCCGCTTCAACTTCGGGATGAAAGCACTTTGCGCCGTTAATTTGGCGCTGTGCACTCACATCGACCTCATCATTGAGGCGCATTGGTCCCCATTCCTTATTCCGTTATTGGAGATTCTTGAAGTGTTTCCATCGCATCTACAGTGTGGCCTACGCTTACTTCAAAGCCCGCTGTTGTCTCGGAGTCACCGGCACATTCACGATATTTCTACCATATTCGCCACTACCAGCTTCAAGTTAACTGGACCACTCCCAGGTAGCACAAGAATTCGCATTGGGTCATCCTCACTAGGAAAGAGCGAGGTACGGAAAGTAGGAGGGGCTGGACATTCTCAGATCGTGGACGGCTACGTCATAGGCAAAAAATGTTTCCTCCATCGCAGGGCTTGCGCCTGGACATTGATGCCATCAGTCAGATATGCGGATCTGTTTCCATCGCTTGTTGGATAGGTATGTTGGTGCTGTGTTACTGTTGATCCTGGAGTGGCACACTATTGGTGGACTGGCCAGGTCATTTTCTTTCACCCGTACCACCCTCCAAGACATATTGGCTAATAAATGAGTAGTCGTTTTCTCACCGCAAATTATTGAGAACTGGAAGAGAGGTTCAGCAGAAGGCCTTTCCGTTGTCTTCATCACAGTATGGCTACTGGGTGATTTCTTCAACATTTTCGGTGCTGTCCTGCAAGGCGTGCTTCCGACAATGACTATCCTAGCCGTGTATTACACCCTTGCGGATATCGTGCTGCTCGGACAGTACTTCTGGTACGAAGGCTTCCGCCTCACCGACCGAGTGGGTTCGAGAGAGGAGTCAGAGGAGGAAGATGAAGAACCTACTGAACGCGCACCCCTCCTGTCGCCGTCGTTGAGAGATAGACACGACCTCCCCGAGAACGGTTTCCACACACCACCCAGGATCTCAGATGCAGACGCACGTAGACGTGGGTCCGCACATTCTGCAAACTCCTTTCGCGAGCGCTTCCTCTCCGTTTCAAGCAATCATCTCTCGCCCGTGACCCCACTGCTCGACGACCCCAGTTTAACGCCCAACAAGCCACCACCACGTACGCAGAATCCCTCCGCGCTGCAAGCCGTATTCTTCAACGTTGGCATCATCATCCTCGTCTGTGCCTCCGGCGTCTTCGGTTGGTGGCTCTCCACAACGCGCTCCAGCGCGACCACACCCCCACCGACGGAGCCGTCGTCCGAAAAGCTGCAATTCAATCTCTGGGGTCAGATATTTGGTTACATTTGTGCTGCACTCTACCTCGGCTCGCGCATCCCGCAGCTCCTGCTCAACTACCGCCGGAAGTCTACCGACGGCATCTCTATGCTGTTCTTTTTGTTCGCTTGCATAGGGAACCTGACGTATGTCTTGAGCATCGTGGCGTACAAGCCTTTGTGCAGGAAGCCAAATCATTGTCGGGAAGGAGAGGCTATGAGCATCTACGGGCGGTATATTGCGGTTAATCTGAGCTGGTTATTGGGGAGCTTTGGAACGTTGCTACTTGATGCTGGGGTGTTCATACAATATTTTCTGTACAGGAAGGATGAAGACAGTGATAGCGAGGAAGAGTCTGCGCGGTAGATGCTGGCAAAGAGAGGTTGGAGTGATTCGTGGTGGTCTTGAGGACAGCAAGAAAAACGGCTCTGGGTGTATATATTTCGATGCTATCAAAAGTGTAAGGCAGGTTCTGCATATTGTCTTGAGTTTTTGTACAACACTGGAATCGTGGTAGTGGTTAAATAGCTGTAATCATAACGCGACTATTATGGCTTTGCAGGGCTTATATGAGTGTCTCAGGAGAACTCTGCTGTAGTAGGTCCATATTGCGTAGACGGATAATACTTGTATATCTCCTACCAGACTTCTATTCATGAATGACCCTTATGGGGAAATCAAAAGTGCTACCGTCTCCAGAACCGTCCCCATGTATCCTTTCCCGGGACTTGCTCTCGTCGGGCATTTGAACCATCAACAAAGCGTCTGCAGCTCACCCCTCGTCATCTCCTTGTAAATCACCGTACTGTGTCTCGGCGTGCCCCAACACCGTAGTTCCCGACTGTTCGCAATCACCACCGCGTTTTGGTCTGCAACGTAGGTGTGCGTCAGAGTCGGCTATATACCATGACTTTTAGTATCCTGCCAGGCTTCTGTCCAGACAATTTGCAGATGCCAAATTTGAACCGTCCTTTTCACCATCGCCGGAACCGCAAGGCTGGGAACGGAGCTAACGCTATGTAAGAGGCCCACCCTACCTTCAGTGGCCTTGGAAGTAGCACTCTGAGGTTCGTCTATGATGGGCTGTACTTGATGGAGAGTTTGATCATCGGGTCAATGAGAGGATGCGAAGCGGTTAAGCTGCGACAGTTGATCCATAAAGGCTTTGAACTGCTGTACGGGGGTTAAGTCGCTCGTTCATCGTTGGCACAACATACCATAGGCATGCTTGCTCAAGCCACCTGCGCAGCAAAGGTGCACATCGGCGACAGAGCACAAATCTGATTGACAGCATTGAGAGCTTGTCCAATTGTAGCTCCACGTCCCGCTGCTAGTTCACACGAAAGGACCGAAGCTCCGTTGACGAGATCGTTATGTAGACTGACGATTGCTCAGCCCGACTCTCCCTGCAGATACACCCTCGTGAAGGATCCTTGTAGCATCGCGTGACCGAATTATCGCGCAGCTTGCTTTCCGCGATCGCTACCAAGCTAGGAAACCCACATTTTGGCTCTTTTGAGTCGATTCATGTACTTCACTATGCGGCGGACCTCAGGTCCGTGGAGGTTCCTTTCCGAGACGTGTGTGTGCAGCCTAGAGCAATGCAGTGCTTGTACAGGTCGCAGCACGCCACTGCTTCCGCGTTGGCAGAGGGGAATTTTTAGCTCTTGATGTTAGAATGCAATACACAATTGTGCAGCGGGAAGCATCCTGATTATATGATGGTACTGAGAGGCTATAGATCGAGTCTTGACGACTTCGGGTTCACTCTATGACGCTCGTGGACTGCGAAGAAAAAAACCATCTCTGGTACATCTGAGCATCCCGAGATACTACCGTCCATCTGTTTAGAGCCACCGGACGGCGTCGTTCTAGAGATAGCGTACTGGAAGCTTGCGGATGATGACCAAGTAATATTCCTATCATGTTACTACCGATGCGTTGTGCGTTCGAAAGCAGCCATACATAGCCATCTTTAGGTCCTGCAATACATCTAGTCTAGTCCAGAAGCCCGCGGGACATGTGGTTATGTGGATGCAGATTCCATTCCCAAGTGCTACCTAGACCAATGTGAGCTTAACAGTCTCGCGATATAGAACGCGACCTGCTGTTGAACTGGCAGGCCTTCGACTCGCAGAAGCCAGGTTCAATGGCTTAGATATCGGACATCCCAGACCATGCACAAATGCAACGATAGGTCGTCGAGTTCTGAGGGTCGTGACACCTGAACACGCATACCATAATCGTCTAGTCGGAGGTGCGGAGCCCCTCCGGGGTGAGCAAGGCTGCGCCTCGTCGGACTTCATCAACCACCGTTTCCAGGTGGTGCGAACTCCATTTTCGGATCGAAGGAATGAGGTCTTTCCTAATGCGATCTAAGTCTACGGACCGCAAACATGGATTGCCTAACAGTGACTAGTGAGCGCTCACTACTGCATTTGGTATGTGACAATGCAGGATGTGATTTCGAAGAAGCCTCCCTCGGGTCTTCTGAGTGATTTCTGATCTTATCAAAGGGTCTAGCCAAACACTCTTATTGTACAAAATCGCGAGGCTGCACCATTGGATCCTGGGGTAGGGGTTTTTGGCCCGCGGCGCGATCCCTCACACGAGAGTCCGTATGCTCACGACACCATGGTTTTCCGGCCCGTTGCTGATTTGCAGAAGTGTAGAAAGTTAAAGGCCATAACTTGCGTACCAGAGGTAGCATATGAACCCCGCGAAGGTCAGATACGAAAAGCTTGAGTGCGACCTTCAATCCCTACCCAAGCGTGTAAAATGTAGGAAAACAGCAGGCACACAAAAACCCACGCGCAGCCTTCCAACTAATCATAACAGGGCATGCGAGGGCTAAGCATGAGGTGCCTGGAATAAAGGCTTGTTGTCGGACCACATACGCTGCGCAGGCGCCGCCCCACCAGCTCGCGTAGTCGCTGTGGCGGAGATTGTACGCTACCACGCCTTCGCATGTTTCACGGACTTTGTCTACACGATGCTGTTAAAAATGGAGGAGAGCCTGATCCCAGGTGCTCTTTGTGAGCCTCCGCTTCAGTCGTTCTTTCATTCATACATTCTTTACATTCATCTGGTTGTCGCTTTTTTTTGATTCTCGCGCGAGCTGTTTCTGCTTTGGGCATGCTTTCATGCTTTGTTAGTGTTGGAATACCATCTACACAATTTCTATAGGTCTTGTAGAGCAAGACAAAATGGTTTTCGTGAGACCGGCGGCGCTTCTGGCGCTTGGTGGTTTGAGTGGGTTGGGCTGGGCAGCGCCGGTGGAGGTGCGAGGTATGCTTTGCAGTATGCAGCGGAGCGTCGAGTGAAGCTTACCGATGTGCAGACGACACTGTGTCTACTGAGATCTTCGACAAGTTGTCGTTATTCGAACAGTACGCTGCGGCGGCTTACTGTAAAAGCAACAGCAACAGCACCGGCACCAAGGTTACGTGTGACGAGCAGAACTGTGGTAGTGTCGAGGCGGCGGACACGAACACGCTCACTGAGTTTGAGAAGTAAGTGCCCCATTGAGGTCTGGAAGTAATAAACGCTGACATCTTGATAGCTCGTCAGAGACTGATGCCACCGGCTTTGTCACTACGGACACAACCAACAAGCTGATCGTTATTGCGTTCCGGGGTTCAAAGAGTATCGACAACTGGACAGCCAACCTGGACTTTCAGATGGAAGACGTGACCTTCTGCTCCGGATGCCGAGTTCACAGCGGGTTCCTGGAATCATGGAACGAGGCGCAAGATGGCGTCATCAAAGCCGTGCAAGCAGCGCAAGCAGAGTATCCCGACTTCAAGGTTATCATAACGGGCCACAGCCTTGGTGGTGCCATGGCGACCATTGGTGCAGCAGCACTCCGCACCATTGACATTCCCGTCGACCTGTACACATACGGGGCCCCGAAGTCTGGAAATGACGAGTGGGCGACTTTCTTGAGCGGGACAGACAAGGGAGAGAGCTTCCGGGTCGTACACAAAGACGACGTTGTCCCGACATTACCGCCAAGCGTCCCGTTCTTGATGCCGTATGCGCATGTGCAGCCCGAGTACTATATCACTACGGGTAACAAGGTAGACGTGACACCTCAGGACATCCAGGTCATCTCCGATGGCGACAACGGCGGTATGGATATTGCAGCGCATCTATGGTACTTCAACAAGATCTCGGCATGCGATGGGTTGTTCGATCTAAAGGTCAAGCGTATGGTAGAGGATCTTTCGTAGGATGGAGGTCGGTTCCTATCAGCGATGCGTGAGCTTCTTGCATATACCCTTTTGCCACAATACAAACGACTTCTCGTCAGCCGCGACCTTTGTAGAAGATACAGCAGACTAGGACAACGCCGCAAGCGCGCGCAGTCAAGTGACAGCGGAGCCTAATTTTTGAAGTTGAAGGTGCGCCAGCTATCGCGAGTCCTACAGATACAACATTCAGCCCTACGCGGGTAGACTGCATGTAACGATGTGATTGGTCGGAACAATCCTCGTATGACGATGTGCATAGAGGTACACTCTATGTTTTGAGCTGGATTCCGTGTTTGTTCGTGGGTACCGAGACATGCGCCTCCATGTGTAATGTTGGAATGTATGGAAGAAACAGCGACGCACGCTAGATGCTGTGATGTTGATCCCGAGACGAGGGTGTTGGACAGGTGTCGTAGTGGAGGGGTGAGGCTGTTGAACGAGCGCGCATGACGCCTTGAAGTTCTAGATGCTGACGATCCCGTTTTGCGAGATGACTTGGATCTACTTTCGATATTCCAACATCAATGTCGGCACGGTGCAGGCTGAGCTCCCGCTGACAGTGACGGCAGCAATAGCCGCGTTGCTGCGTCAACCATCCCAGAAGGTCAGCATTGTCTCTGCATTCGGAAACCGGCAAGCGGACGCCAGGCCAAACGGCCGGGCAATAAGCTCATCGTCATAGTTTTCGTGGGTCGTGTACTGTGGTTCAAACTCTGGGACCTCGCACACGCGCTTGGCGGATTTTAAAGTGGAGGGTCTGACGTGACCCCAGAGTGCATGCGGCCAAGCCATACGTCACCGTGGACTATCGCAAGCGAAGACGCAACGAAAGGCACGATGCGTTCACAAAAGAGGAGATTCTGGGGCGTTTGGGGACATGCACAATTGGGGGGGGCGGCTGAAAACAGCCGCGAGCGCACACGAAAGAGGATGCGACGTGGAGATGGGCAGGCACGGTGCAGGCAGCACAGCTCTAGACCGCGGGCTCTTCCGAGGCCGCCTTTCGGTGCTCGATGTTGTACGGTATTCTCGATGCTGGGCGTGAGAAACTCGAGCAGTACTGCGGGATGCTGGGTCCTGAGCAACGCTAGCAGGTGTTGCGGCGGCATGTTTCGCCGCAAGACCCGTTTCGCTTGCGAGGTCCCGAAGACGGTGAAGCATCGACGAGCTCGCATGCTGATAACGAGAGTATGACATACATGGCAGGTACCTGAGGCGTGCTGGCTATGTGGTGTGAAGTCAGGGGTGGAGAATGGGGATGCAGGGACCATCGAAATTAAGCCAGGATCCGGAAAACAGATGGGATTCTCCCCAGCGGCGCGCTCTTTGGCGTCACAATTGACGTCCGATGGGGCGAAGAAGAGAGGGAATAGGCGTGGCTGGCGGAACGACAGCTGCCCTGCATATTCTCGCTGTGCTCGCAACGGTCGCGGGCCAGGCGCTATTCCCGGGGGGGCTAGCCCCCCGTCGCGCATGCAGATCGCAGCTGCTTCGAGTCGCAGCATGACGTCCGCGCCAGCTGCGCGCCGCAAGCAAAGAGCTTTTGCAGCCTGCCGAGAGCATCTGCGCATGCGTTGCCTGGGTGAAGGGCGCATGCGGATCCTCACCACGCACCCGCGGCTCTGACACTGACGTCGCGTTGCCACTGGAGAAGCCTTGGACTGCGGCCGCGCTGTCGCCTGGCATCGTCTCCCCAGCGAGTCGCGCAGCAAGCCCAGGGACGACTCGCTCTGTCAGCTTCAAGCCATGGCGGCACCTGTCGCACCACTTTGCAAAGCGACAGCATGGACAAGCATGCACTTTGGCGAGGGGCTGGCTCTCCACTGGCACGCCATCCGCCAATGACCTCACCCGGAGGGCTTCAGTCCTCGTTGCCAGTGGCTGCTCCGCCGGCACCTGCGCTGGACCCTGTGCTCGGGGCACCACTCTCGCGATTCTGACCGCATCAGCAGGGGGCTCTGCATCGCGGCCATATGATACGCCGTGCAGGTGTGCCAGAGCGGAGCCAGCGGGCCTAGAGAGGATCCAGAAGGACCCTGCAGATCTCTGACCTCAAGCCTCGAACGCGTGTGGGACCCTCTGAGCGCCCAATTTTGCAGATCTGTGCCTCTCGCTGTTGGACGCCCCGCTATCTGGTCCCGGTAGTCCTGCAAGGCTGCGGAAGGGTATATATCAGATCCCCCTCCTGACCACAGCCTCACCATCCAACAAGCAATATCATCCAGCTACTCAAACAGCCACGCCATTCCCAACGCCTTTAGCTTCTTCACTGCCATTTACCCTCTCTACACTATGTCTGCTGGCGGCGTCTACATCACCGACAATTACTCCGAACCCATGGCTCCTCAGCACAACTTCGCCAACAACTTCGACTTGGACGACCCAAACCAGGCCATGTCCGTCTACGCTCGGTATGTTCTGGCGCTATTCACTTGTCCAACAAGAATGCTAATTCTCCTCAGCATCATGCATGAGCACACCAAAAAGCAACTGAAGACTGCAACAAACTCCGCTCGGCGACGATCCGAGGGTGTCTCGCCTAGTGAGAGTACCGCCTCATCCGAGTCTGTTCGCTCGACCGAATCATAATGCTTCGGTCTCTAATCTGCACATCCACACTGTTGTCTGTGACACAGTTGGCACACTTCGTCCATTGATTGGCGATTGTACGAACATTTCTACAGTTTTGCATGAACACGAGCATGAAAGGCGTTGAACCGAAGGGGATCCAGAGCAATGCTCAGGGGCGGCGTCACTTGTATAAGCCGTTTCGTATCGATACCATTTTGAATTAAATTTTCCTCTCTCACATGACCTATTGTGCATTTATTTGCAGTGAATCACCATCTTTTTTCGAGACTGTATTGCAGTCGATGATCATGTTTAATGAGAAAAACTGCTTGCTCACCTCCATGAACGCGGAATCAAGAAATTGCCGTCACCGCTACACTAGCCTCATGGCCGTCAGCATTCCATCACAGACCCTTGCTCGCCGCTAGTGTCGCACCCATTATACCTCGGATTTCGACTCCGTTACCGCCGCTCAGATTTTCCCGACTACCATCATTAGTTTCAAAATAATCAGGTTCATAATAGATCAGCTGTCATTTAATCTTGACACATAGCTTATCACCAACGGCTACTCAGCGACCTGGACCAGTCCGTATTCCTTTTCCCTGCTCGTGTGACGAGCCTGATTATTTGATCGCCTGACTCTCGCAGTGCATGCTACATGCTCAGACATCTGGCACCACCTCGATTATAATAGTAGTCGTACAGCCGTCAGTCCATTATCAGCGAGCTGAATCGCCCCAGGAGAAGCAACGTCATTGAGCTTTTCTGATGAACAAAACCAAGCTTAAACCATATCGTCACCGGTAGAATCGTCTCGCGAGCACTTCCACCGCACGCTGCGCACTTCTATGATGGGCGACTCTTCGTGTATCCAGGGCTTCGAATAAAGTAGCAATCGAATCTCAAGCACGCTCAGAGATCCGGTAGATTTGCCTTAATGCTTCCTGGCAGAGCCCATGCCATGGCACACGCGGTCTTTACATGGCCGTCGGGCAATCCCTACGAGAGCAAGTTCTCGAACTTGGCCCCAATCGGCGCGACCCGCCACCGGACGTCACGTAGCCATGAGTAGATTTGTACTTTGGACCACCGGGCTGCCGAATGCGTCGAACACCGGAATCGAATCAATTCGATACGTCATAAAGCAACTCCAATTCTCCATGCGCCAGCAGGCCTCGCCCGCCTGCCCAACCGCTCAATGCTTTTCATGCCTGTCACACCCGCAGCCACCCCCGTACGCCTCCCTCGCCAACTGCGCCTTACTCGGCCTGTTCGCCGGCGGCAGCGGCGCCGCCTCGGCCATCCGACTCACCAGCTCCTCCGAGTACCCTTCCAGATCCCTCTTCGCAATGTTCGCACTGTAAATCTTGTTCAGCCAATCCGCGAGCCTATACCCACCCTTTGCGATCTGAAGCTCTACGGTAGGGATGACCTTGTTGTAGTATGTCGGATACAGGTCGCCTTTCTGGAGGGCCGCCACGCCGTCGGGCATGACGACGGAGCAGACGAGGGCGTTGGCGTCGGTGGCCCAGGCCGTAGCGGAGGTCACGGCGTCGTTGACGTTGGACTTGGCGACCCAGGAGCTGGCGAGGGACTTGTAGGAGCCCGAGTCGATGGAGGCGATGAGGGTTGTGGCCCAGGATTGCGCGTCGGCGAGGGAGCTGCCGCCGACTTTCTTCTGCGGGATGTAGGTGTCCCAGTCGGAGTGGAGGTTGTCGCTGGTGTAGCCGTCCTGCCTGGGTCAATCTTCGTGGTCACACGGGCGACGGTAACGATGGTATACTTACGAATGTGACTTTGATGTCGTTACCACCGGTGTCAAGAGCCTCGTCGTGAAGAGGTTGGGTGATGTCGCCGAGCAGATGGACCAAAAATTTGAGCGCCTCGGCCGTGTTAGCCGCAGACAGTCTTGCGTCCGCGACACGCTGGGTGTAGTTTGAAATCGCGGAGATTGAGCATCCCGAGCTGGTACAGTCGCGAGCATAGTTGACGTTGCAGGTAGTTGGAGGACTATCATTCGCATCGATGTAATGGTAAGGGGCGCTGAATTTTCCCGCCGCGGTAGTACGATATGTATCCGCCCACGAGGCAACATTTGCTAGGTAGGACGTAGACGTGTCCGAGAGAACCTTCTTAGCCCTTGAGCTGAAGTCAGTTTCTTGAGATATCATATTGTGAATGAGCGCAGGGACTAGCATACCAAGCTTCTGTAGCATCGGTCAGGTAGTTCTGAGCAATGTACCTGGATTTCAAGGTCAACTGGTTGGCCGACACACTAATCTGCGACAGGGAGTACGAACGCGATTGTCGCATGCCCCAGTGTTCCCCAGGCACTAGCGCCTTTCAGAGCAGCGAGCCCTACGAGCAGCGAAGCCGTAGGAGTGTACATATCTAATGAGCTTATCGATCGACTTCGGACCTTGATGGGCACTTGGCGAAAGCTTGATGGTATATATACAGCTTCCTGTCCCGCAGCAGCGTTGCACAGTGCGGTGAATTCCTATCAACGTAAATCGTTAGCGATGCGTCGAACCAATCACGGCGCAGGTCGAGCCCATGATGTGCCATGGACTACGCGTGCTAAAGTGTACCTGCCTCATTAGGCTATTCACGTCCGATGCCTTGGCAAATAGCATGTTGAGGAAAGCACACGATCTCTATCGTGTGAATAGATGCTAGCCTCGATGTTGGATGGCTTGTTTAGTAGCAAGGAACTGACTTCCGCAGCAATTTCGAAGCCAATGCAATGCGATGTAGTCTCGTTTAGTGTACGGGATTCACCACGAGGCTAACCCCAAAAAAAAGTACAGAAGGTTCACAACTACTCAGAAAGGTCAAGGTCGGTAATTCATTCGATGTGGGGTATCTTCGCAAGCCGGTGCGCATAGATTAACGGGCGGTCCCGATCCTGCATCAAGGCAATATACAAACAGCAACAATCAAGGACCGCATACGAGTGATTGTGGGTGCAGCGAAAACTCGGACCCTTTGACACCGTCCGTAGAAAAGGTCTGCGAGTTTCCCCCAAACCTATTGTGAACAATCTCAGATCGTCTACTCGTCCTTCAAAACATTGCCAACCCAGTCCATGGCTTCTTTGGCCTCGCGTAGACCGTAGGGATACGTCAGGACGAAGCAGTGCATTTGCTTCTCCCAGTGCAGCCACTGTCCTGTTACGCGGTTTTGTTCCAGTTTCTTCCTGAGCAGGATACCGTCCGGGCTGAGAATATCGTGGCCGGCGGTGATGCCATGCACATGAATCCCGTATTTCTTCAGCAAGGAGATATCAGCATTGATGGGTGATACTCTCCGGTCGGTAGGGTCCATATCCCCGCACCAGGCTTTGGCTGTCGATTTGATGAATTTAGGCGTAAGAAAAGGGTCATGCTTAGCTGTCTTTTCGATGTCGGGATTGTTGCGGGTCAAGTCCGTCGACGGACATATCGCGAATATGGCTAATGGGTGCGGAGCTCGCTTCGTCTCCACGCCCATGTCTTCATCGTCTTCTCGCAGCGCTTCGAGGACGAGCGCCAGGACAATGTTGCCCCCAGAAGAGTCGCCCGCAAGGATGATCTTCTCATCCTCCTCCTCCGCAGTGTCCATGATCTCGCGATAGAAGCGCATAAGCCATGGGAATGCATTCTGTGCTGGATTCTTGGGCGCGAGTGGATAGGAGACAAGCGAAACGGTGGCCCCGGGAACCACCTGAGCCATTCTCGAACACATGCCCCAGTGCTGGGACGAAGGAGGAGTCTGCCATCCGCCTCCACCAAAATAGCAGATGCGCTTCTTCGTGTCCGACGGGATTGGTTGTTTCGCGACTATGTCGTATACATGCATGTCGCAAACTACTCGATGAGTAACATTGGAGCTCTTGGTCCCAACTGGCGATGGCTTGAGCTCGACTGAGCCTTCGGGTCGCGCGTGCCCCGGTCGTCCAACGTGGTTGTGAAAGGGGCGGAGGAGCATGTGGAGGAGGAACATGAGGACGGAGCGGTCATTGCGCGTCGTGAGCTGGATGGTAGATTCTTTCGCAGACGCGTCTACCGGGGGCATCGTCGCCATGCTGGCAGTTGCAAAGAATGTCAGTGTACAAAGTGACAAGCAACCATGCGGCAGATAAGTCGTATGTCAACCAATTCGCTTTCTCAGCCACCACATTCTCGGATTTCAATGATTTGCGAAAGCAGCGGCACGCTCACAGATTTTGGCGAAAAGGAATCAATGACGTGTTAGCGCAGCCCACTCGTCGAGGCGTCCATTGTCTTGTTTTCTGCGAAGCGAAGGACGAGATGCAGGCGCTCGAGCTGCTTATGGGTCTCTGGGCGCAGCATGTTGCGATATATGCGCTGCAAGGGTCGCGACGACGTTCATATAGCAGGACCGTCGACTGGGTTGATGGCACGCATACGCCAGGGTCCTGCGCCAGGGATCGCCAAGACATCAACGTTTGGCGCGATACGCACCCCGGCCTCGTCTTCCGTCTTGTAAACACCATGGCGGCGAGGATGCGCCACAGTATGAACTGCGTATTAAATCGACTCATTAATAATTGCGCCCATATCTCCTATGAAACGGTCCATTATCACCAGACAGGCTGGTTGTTGTGGCGCCAACGCTGCATTTGCGCCACACCTGCCTTCTAGATTATAGTCGGAGGCTGTATGGTCTTGGTATAGTATTCCAAGACCGTTCTTTCCGGCTTCACTCGTCTTGGGACCCTACTGCGAAGCGTGGCCTGGTCGCGCTTTCAGTCCTCTACTGCGTAGTCCTAGACTCCGCAGGATTTGATAGGCTACTCCAAGCTCGATTGCTTGGCTCACGTATCCAGACAAGAACTTGTTCGATTGCGAAGCCATGGGCCTACGGAAAGACCTGTCATTGCGCATCGCATTTAATCTTACTCTTATCATGGGCGTGGGTCCTCTTCCAATCTCGAACACTGACACTCCCAAGTGAGACACACACATGGCAGGGCAACAGCAATACCTCACCGACGAAGAAATCAGCAAGTTCATTGATGACCTAGATAGAAACAACGATGGGCATATTAACTATAAAGAGCTGGAGCAAAAGTTAGATGAGGTTGGAAAGGAATTGGCACCCAAGCCGAAACGACACCAAATTCACCACGATGCCGAAGAGCAGGGGAGACATGAATTCTTGCGCACACTCATTGGCTGCCAAGAGAACTCGATACCGCGGGACAAGTTCGCCGAGTGCGTGCGTCGCTGGGAGATACCGTCACTCGAACAGGACCGCAAGGAAGCGAAGAATGAAGACGACTATTTGAAGAACATGTCCGTGTGGAGGAAGGTACGCGCATACTGGGCTGTCGAAGGGCCACAGATAGCTTTTTTGGCGCTTGTGGTGTCTTTTATGCTTGCTTTCGGCATCTGGCAACTGGTATGGAGCTTTCCGAATTGCGCGTCGTGTTTTGGTGATGACTGACGGGCAGCAGGTCAAGTACCTCACAGAACCGATATATCGACCCGCGTTCGGATGGGGTGCTGTTCTTTCAAAAACATGCGCCGGTGTTCTGTACCCAACGTTTTTCTTTCTCATCCTCTCCATGTCGCGCTGGTTCTCGACACTCTTGCGGCGCAACTACATAATCTCTCGATTCATCAATTGGGACCTTTCGCAGTCGTTCCACGTAAAGATGTCCATTGTAGCCTTGGTTTTTGCTACACTGCACGCAATCGGACATCTGTCAGGATCATTCGTTTTTGGGAGCAAGCCAAATCGCCAGCAGGCCGTTGCAGTTGTTGTGGGCCAGGATGCTGTGCCGCGGTACTACATGGACTATGTTCGGTCACTACCGGGCTGGACTGGATTGACTGCACTGGGAATGTTCTACCTTTTAGCTATTCTCAGCATGCCACAGGTCCGGAAGTGGAACTATGAAGTGTTCCAGCTAGGCCATCTTCTTATGTTTCCCATTATTGGACTGATGTGCGCACACGGTACTGCGGGACTGCTGCAGTGGCCCATGTTTGGTTACTGGCTCGCATTTCCCGCTCTGCTCGTCATCTTCGAACGCACACAGCGCTTCATACTGGGCTTCTTTCCCATGGCCGCAAAGCTTGAACTCCTCGATGAAGATACCGTCGCGATAACGACGAGCATACCAAAGTACCGATTCTGGCCATACAAGGCCGGTCAGTACGTCCTTGTACAAGTCCCCAAGGTATCATCTTTCCAATGGCACCCCTTCACCGTCTCAACATGTACCGGCAAGTCGATGCAAGTCCACATCAAAGCCGACGGCGACTGGACGAGCTCGCTGCGTGACCTCGCCAAAAGCGGCACAAAAAGCATCAAGCTCGGCATCGACGGACCCTTCGGCGCACCTGCCCAACGCTTCTACGATTTCGAATACAGCATGGTTTTCGGCGCCGGTATCGGCGTCACACCCTTCTCAGGCATCCTCACTGATCTGCAAGACCGCGAGCTCGAGCGTACCGTCTCAACAGACCAACTTCAGGCCCGTAGAGGCTCGAAGCCATCGCCATACGAGGAGCATAAGCGCGTCGACTTCAACTGGATGGTGCGCGACAAGAACGACCTCCTCTGGTTCTCCGACCTCCTCAACGAAGTCACCCGCAGCAGCACCCCGGATTCCCACTCCAATCTCGACCTCCGCATCCAAACTTACGTCACGCAGAAGCGCAAGGAGATCTCGACGCACGTTTTCCGCTGGCTTATAGAGAAGTACCGCACACCGTCCCACCCGCAGTCATATCTTACTGGGTTGTTGAATCCCACGCATTTCGGACGTCCGGACCTGGCGAGCATCATGGAAGAGCACTACCACGATATGTGCGGTGTGCTTGCGGAGCAGATGAAGGAGGGGGAGAAGTGGCAGGGGAAGGGTAAATCGGATGAGGTCAAGGTGGGCGTCTTCTTCTGCGGGCCCCCGGTTATTGGGCTGCAGCTTGCGGATCGATGCCGCGCGATGACGGCAAGGGGAAGGACGGAAGGACGCAAGGTGGAGTATCACTTCATGATGGAGGTCTTTGGTTGAATAGTACATCTGCAGTAATGGTATTGAGTGAATATAAATGTCTTAAACCTATGTTGGGCGCGAAATATGTACAACGAACAGAAGTGAGTGCTGAATCGCAGCGACTCGGGTATAAAATGCTGCAACCCCGCTCCCTGTGCTCATCTCTTCTTCCAGAAGAAAGGTGTGGCGCTCTTCGGCGGCGGGTCAAATTCCGTGACCTCCTCCACCTCGAATTGCGCCATCTTCGCAGCTTTCCGACCCTCCTCGGCCCTTTTCTCGATCCTGCGCTCGGCCACTCTCCGCCTGCAGCTGGCTATGAAGCAGTAGGCGCAGATTCCGATACCTATGCCGCCGAGTACACCTCCAACTATTGCGCCAATGAGGCCCTGCTTGACGAAAGCGCCCTGGTTGGGTCGCTGGTAAGCGGTGGGTGTGGAACCGGGACAGAATGGCGTGGGCATGACCATGTTGTTCTTCTGAACGGCGGTGGCGAGGAAGAAGGATTGCTTTTCAAAGTCGGCCATGAGGTAGACCTGCGTGAGGAAGGCGGTCGAGAGGTAGAAGGGCTCGTTGGAGTCTTTGGCGCGGGACTGGACGGGTGTGATGTTTGACGCGTTCATGAGTACGCTTGGCGGAATCGTGACTTCGAAGCCGTCGTCGAGGATGATGGTCATACTCCCGTTGAAGGCATTCTTCAGCTTGAGCGAGTTGTCGCCCCAGGTGTTGTCCTCCTCGGCTTGGAGATGCGAGATGAAATTCTGTGTTATTTCGTAGGGTAGCGAGAGCGGATATTGGTCGGTCGTGATCTGGGCATCGAAGGTGTCAGGGCGGGAAGACATGGATGGGAAGGCGGCGGTGTCGAAGAGGGAAACATTGGCGTTGACGTTGTTGGTTTCGGAGATGATGATGTCTTTAACACGGACATTCAGATGGTTTTCTCCTGCGCTGCCCATGCTGTATTTGTGGACAGGGTCGATAAAACGACCTGCGTCGTAGCCACCAAAGACGTTGCTCCCGTTGACGGCACCACCTGCTCGATCGAAGCCTTGGCCGATGTACAATGAATACATCTTGCCACATATTTGATTGCGTGCGGCAAGATCGTTCAGGATGGTCGACGATGTCCCTAGACCCACAACAGCGGGCTTCGCTGTACCTTCTTCTACTACCTCCACGGATGAGTTATCCACCAGGGTCTGCCACGCGCCGTCTGTCTCGAAGTAATGTGTGTATAAGCGGAGCGAGTCATATCCATAGAAGGACTCCTTGATCGTGCTGTTGGGTGCAGTGTCTAATGTCTGGTAGTCCTTGTCTTCGATGAAGCTAATTTACATATAAGCATGCGAGAGTGTATGGCAGATAAGGTACACGTACGTAGTCGAGTCCCTCGAGTTGAAGAAGCCACCAGTCGATTCTTTGCAGTCTTTCAAGGTGCTGTTCCCATCGCAAAACGTGCTTGCGCCGAAGGAAGTCTGGTTTCTCGATAATGACGGCCAAAGACTGTGGTTCTGTGCTGGCGTCCCGATACCAATGAAGGATCCATACTGGAAGTTGTCGGTGTTGTGGGTTACCCGTTTATGGATATCGACATAGATTGGAGGTATTGAGCAGTTGAAAGCAACAGATGACTGAGCCAACAGCACTGTTGCTGAGAGGTAGAAAGCTAGTGACACCATCTCGAAGGAGCAGTGACAACGCTTGAGTCCAGCAAGCGATGTGTATATGGAGCAAGTCTTATGTGAACACACCGAACAAGGGAGAGGATCAGTGCCGGCAAGAATCTCACCTGCAAGAGCGGCCTGCAGCTGGCAGAGCGGCACCTATGTAGCTATCCACATGGTCACTAACTCGGGAGCTAAGATTTGCCATGGTGACGGCAGCCAGTGAGATGGAGATGCTGCTATTCTTGTGTTTGTGGGGTGGTACATGCAACAGGGAGCTAGATCCTCGAACAGGAGAGCAAATGGCGGGCGGGCGGCAGCTGACGCCTCTGTGGGATGGTGGATCCCCACCGTTGGGATGGCGCGGGCGCTTGGAAGAGGCGGCCGAGGGTGGAAAAGTCGCGATCTCTTTCGTTGCAAGGGTGTCGACCAAGCGATTGGCCAACGACTCACGATGCACATAAATAGATCTTTCCTAAGCGCCTGCGAAATCCTACGATTGGCTCTCTGCCACGCTAACACATCTCTGGTATGATACTGCAGCTGCATCTTCAACTCTTCCATGCATTTTGGCCTTATATCCAGACCATCCGGTTGCTCATCGGACCATACTTGCGTCTGTGTGTAGCACCCCTGGACCCCAGTAACTTTTGGCAATGTCCTCTCCACAGCTGCAATATATCAATCCTTGGACTTTGATCAGCATCCAGTTGCCTCCGCATCCAGAATAACGCGGGAGCATCAGATTCCGAATGCATCTGAGAGGCGTCATCTCACTGAACCCTGTATGCTACAGTGGGACGCTTGGGAAGTCGTTCGGGTGAGGACGAACGCTGCAGTGATGTGGCATGTGGAGTACAGCGCAAGGGCGCTCTCCGTCGCAGTCTAGCGGCTTGTGCTCCAGCGCTTACAAGGGATCATATGGCCGTGTGGACCGTCCCGACCAACCTGGAGCAACTGTCATCGGCCACGTCCTGGGTCCCATTTCAAAGCAGCCAAGGAAGACGCGCGCGTCGAGCTGACCCCCAACAAGTCAAGACATGGCATCGCGTTATTAGAGCTCCAGCAGTGCATCGCTGATCGTTTATGAACATGAGACGACCTTCAACTATGCGAATAGTGTACTTCGACGCTGAATGGTTGAAGAGGTTCTTTAAGGTGTCGTATGTAAGTATCTGTTGTATCATACTCATAGCTTCCGCAGACTCAGAATGATGCGATGCTTGGGGCTAGTTTTCAGCTGTCTCTGACACCTGGACGCTCTTTCCGGTCACGCTACAATGCGTAAAGACAACAAGTGCTAATCGGCAAAAAAAAAACGTGGCACATTGAGTCCACGTTTTCGGTCTGGTCCAGATAAGAATGCAAGCACAGGGAGATATGCGCACGAAGTTGCAAAAAGGCAGCCCGACGTGGGGGTCGAACCCACAACCTTGAGATACCGCGTAATCGAGTTGATTAGACCGTGAATACTTAAGAGTCTCACGCTCTACCGATTGAGCTAGCCGGGCTTGATGCCTCAATTGATGATTATATTCGAAAGATAGATAGATATATACATTTTCCTAATGCGCTCGTAGGCAATGTTGCCGGAGGAAGAAGATTTTTTTTTTATCTTGTGGGGTAAGGGATCTAAGCTGCTAGATGACTCAAACGCTCAACACCTCTCCAATGACGCTAGGCTTTGGACTGGACCCGAACGCAAGAGCAACGTAGTATGCGTGATGAAAAGACACATCGCAGCGTTGTTCTTGTTGTAAAAAGTGCGCTCTGACATGTTTATTCCATACATGTATCAATAATTATCAACTCCACTTCCACCCTTGGCCAGCTATTATAGCTGTACATCGCGCACAATGGACCGTTCTCAAACCCTCTCTAAGTTACAATACATGTTCGCACTCGCATTTGCACTCCTATGCGCTAGCTTCACTGCTTTTCACTCGCTTGGTTTCACGCTCCGACTCCGTTTGACCCTCCAGCCTGCGCTTCTCACCATCCTTCCGTGATGCTTCCTCGCGCGCGGCCCGCCTGGCCTCTTTGTCCTGCTTCTCTTTCTCCTTTCGTAGAGCCTTGCTCTCGAATTCATGCCAGTCACCCTCGAGATCTTTGAGTTCGTATGCGCGCTTGGACGCGGGCTGCTCGGTTGCAAAATAGGGGTGCGAGAGGACGTCTGAAGCACTTGGTCGCTGCGCGGGGTCATATACGAACATCGCGCTGAGAAGCTCGAACGCGGCTGTTGTGAGGCGGTCCTTGTACTTTTCTTCGAAGGTGCTCTGCTTGCGCTCTGTCGGCCGCAGTAGCTCAAACCACTGCATCTCGGCAATGCCTGGCCATTCTTGCACTGTCGGTGTTCCCAGTACGTTATATATCTTGTCGAGCTGATTGATCTCACCGCCATCACCAGGGAAGATAGCGTGTTTCGTGAAAATCTCGACGAGAACACAGGCGGCAGACCAGATGTCGACAGCGGGGCCGTATTGAGTCTCGCCGAGCAGGAGTTCGGGCGAGCGATACCAGATAGTGATGACGCGATTAGTATAATCGAGCTTGCTACGCTTAGCATAGAAGCGCGCCAGGCCAAAATCAGCGAGCTTCAATTGTCCGGTGTTGCTAACGAGGATGTTTGCAGCTTTGATGTCGCGATGCAGGACGCCTCGGCGGTGAAGGTAGTCGAGGCCTTCGAAAAGTTGCTTCGCCAAGTCCTTTTTATGCGCGTCTTCAAGCTTGAAGGATGGGTGGTTCAGAAGGCCAGTGAGGTCGTGAGAGAGGTATTCAAAGACCATGAAACAGTCGTTCTTTTCCACCATGACTTCTTGCAGCTTCACTATGTTATCGTGATTGAGGGACTGAAGTAGCTTGATTTCTCGGATCGCCGTGACTGGGAACTACAAATTGTCAGCATGGCTACCCAGAACGAGGAATTCACTGACTCACCCCATCGCGTTCGCCCTCCATCCGTATCTTCTTGAGGGCAACCATATCTTTGGTATACACATGTACCCCTTTGAACACCTTACCGTATGTCCCAGAACCAACCACGGACTCATTGCCGGGCTTTCGGTAATATACGGAATCTGAGGCGGCAAAGTCGGGTGAGAGTGTCGGTCGTGGTTTCACGCGCGTTTTCTTGATTATCCTCGTCTTCGGCCTCTCAGGCTTTACCGGCTTCTCCGGTAAAGTGTCTCTTCGCAGCTCAGTTCGGCTGTCAGGCCGACTGATAGGTCTACTGTCCGGGCGGAAGTCTGGTCGTCGGGGTAAGTTTGGATTCGGTGGGAGTTCCTTTCGCTCTCGCTCGACACGCCCATCTCTCTCGTCTCGTGGGTCTCGTGGGTCTCGTATATCGCGGTAGTCGCGGCTCTCACGCAGATCGCGCGTGTCTCGTGGGTCGCGAAGGTCTCTATAATCACGCGAGTCTCGGTCTCGGGGGTCGCGTGGATCATGCCGATCTCTAGGATCACGGTAGTCCCTATCACGGTAATAAGCTGACTCTCGGGAGTCCCGCGGGTCGCGAGGATCCCTTTCCCGGAGGTCTTTATATGGTCTTCGGTCAAGGTAGCTATCGCGCTTATCGTACGGTTCGTATCGACGTTCGCCAGCTCTATAATCACGGTCGAAGTCGCGCTCACGATCTCGGCTTCGGTCCGTATCGCGATCTCGAGGATCACGCTCAGGTCTTGAATCAGAGGGTTTGACGGAAGTTTCTCGGCTCAATGACTCCCTCGGCTTTGGTTGTTCAAGTATTGACCCTTTCTCCTTGTCTACTGCTGGTGGTTGCTCGGCTAACTTCGCTTTGCTGGCTGCCGTTTTTAGTGAGAAACTGAACCCTGATTTTGATGGCGTGGTCGCAGCTTTGGTGGGCGGTGGCATCTTCTTGTCCTCCTTCGCTCCTTCATCCTCGACCCGAAGGTCTTTCGACGGCCGGAATGGGTTGTCATCAGCGTCTACCGAAGAAGTCTGAGTATCAGCTGTTGCCGAAACGCTCGCCGTTGGCTGTAAAGCAGAACCGCCCGAATGTCGCGGCGCTTCGGTGGCCGGACGACCGCCACGTGTTCCAGAGGAAGGCGTCCAAGACAGATTCGAGAATTGTGTGGGCTGGGCACCACGGCCCCGTCCGCCAACTGGGGTGAAGGCAGGTCCGGATGGCCTCCTGTCGGACCCATTGTAGCTCCCTCGAAAACCGCCGCGATAGGATGGAGGTTGACTTGGAGAGTAATTCTGTTGGTATGGGGATTGACTAGGTGAATAGCCATGCGTGGGAGAACTGGTAAAGTTAGCGGGCTTCCTGTTACATGGAAACTGCATGCTGCAACCTGGAATGGTATACGAAATGTTTGTGGAGATCTCGGAGGGTACTGACCTTTGATTGGGATAGGATTGATGTCCGGACCAGCCACCTCTTCCACCTGGATGGCCTTGAGATGGATGCTGATGAGAGTACGGGGGTGAGTATGAGTGGTGTGGGCCTCCGCGGCCCTGATAATAGGCACCGCCTCTCATTTTCGGATCAGTTTCGTCGTCTGAGGTGGGCGGTGGTGGTGAGTTCCGTCTGGAAGGTGGGTGGCTCTCTCTTTTGCTTGAACGTTCGGCACCCCTCGACCGGGACCTGGAAGTGCGATGGCGAGACGCACGGGGAGAGCGGCTCTTGCGATGCTCTCTCTCGCGACGGGAGGGATTCGGAGAGGCTGACGGCGAGCGTCTGCGCCTGGGCGAGCGGGAACGAGCCTTTACAGGAGAACGGCTGCGGCGTCGATCCTTGACAGAAGCGTGCGGGTGTCTTCTTTCCCTCGTGTCGTCAGTTGGAGAGAAGTCTCGTCTGTGAGGTCGCCGGGGCGAGTCTCGTCTGCGTGACCCCTCCCGCCGCGACTCCCGCTCTGGTGTAGGAGACCTCTTCCGTCCCCTGCGCGAGGACGGCCTGTAGTATGAGTCGGCTGACGGCGACCGGCGGCGGGCTAAAGATGCCGGCTTGTACGTGTCGATTTCAGGCGTACGTCGTCGCGTGCGTTCGCGCTCGGAGCGAGGGGAAAAAGCCCTGCTGGACGGGCGATGGGTGGTCTCAGCGCGACGGGTTCGCGATCTCGAGCGCACGGTGCTTCGGCTGCGATGCCGCCTGCTTCGCTTGTGTGAGTGCGGGGATGGGGAGCGGCTGTGTGGGCGCTTCGTTGATGGGGTCGACCCTCGATGGTGGTGGGAGTGGTGGTGGTGGTGGTGGTGGTGCCGGTGTGTGTGGGTAGCCCTGTCGTCGCTGGGTGCCCTTCTCGTGGGACCGTGGCCTTCCCTATAATCACCGCGACTTCGCCTTCGTGCGCGTTCCCTGCTCAGGCTTCTTTCGTCGGACCGTCCCCTCGCGTGTCTTGTCGGTGAGCGTGTATCTGCGTCGTGGGGATCGCCTCGTCTGCCGTCCCTCGCAGTGCGTGGCACCGGCCGCGGTGACGCAGCGCCGGGTTCGACAATATGATCGCGGACCCGCTCTCTGTCTCTGTCTCTCGCGGGCGATTCCTCTGGTCTCCACTGATCTATTTCTTGGGCCCGGCGCAACCCAGCCATGTAGACGGACTTATCATCAGAGGGAGGTGATAGAGGGCGGCGTCGCGAGGTCCGAGTGTCATTCAGAAGGCACACTAGCCGAGAGCTCGAACTTCATCCGCGCCTCGTAGCCTTGCAGGGGCAGATAACGCAGCAGTGCCCCGATTGTCCGCAAGAAGAAACGTGCCAAATGCTCCGCTCCGCTGTTGTGAGATGTTGTTTCGTGAGCCCAGCTTTTGCCCCCAGGCCGCGCTGCGCAGCTCTGCAGGTAAATGAAGATGGTTAGCGCCAAGCCGTCAACCGCCGATACCGTGACCAATGCTGCGGGCGTGCAGCCTTGCAGCATTTCGTTTGTTTTCAGCTTCCCAGAGAGAACTGCCTCTTCTGAACACGCTCTCGTGCAGATTCCACCATTAACCTGCTGTTCTTCAACTGTAGTCCTCTATCTGCACGAGGCTGTGACTTCACATGGCTATCTATAGACAAAGAGACAACGAAGTGCATGCTCTGGATGCGAGCGGGCACTGCATGCTTTGTACATGCCACTGACGCTGCGGACAGCATGGACAGATTGGACATTGCGGGAACATCCCACCCTGGATGACTGCATTGTCTGGCGATACCCAGCACCGCACAAGCCCAGGGGTTCCGTGAATAAATGTTGACGGGCATCCGTAAATAGGTACCTTAGGTTTGCGCACAAGGTTCTCATCTGTTACCGGTCGTAGCCGTGGCGTAGGCGTGCGAATATCAATATTGAATCATAGATGCCGGCAGCAACCTTGGCCAAATGCTGAAGAGTCGGACGAGCAGTTGCATCGTGACTTCTTTCACACTCAAAAGTTCTAGCTCGAGGTGTTTGTGCAGATGTGCAGAGAGAGGTAAGTCTCTGCTCGACAACCCGAGGGAGGGGACCTCCCTGTGCGAAACAATAAGCACCGGTTGAGGCCGGGCATGATCGCAGCAGTCGAAGGGCGATTAGAGGCACGAAGGGCGTACACACGTCAAAGGACGATGTCCAACGCGGGGTAATCGGTCCTGGGCTCCAACAAAGGAAGGAGGACGCGGATTGCGCGCATGTCGCACGTTTCGCACGTCTGCTCGGGGTGTAAGAGAGCAGCAGGTTGCAGTCGTTACGGCCATCAAAGGCACGCCGAAGGTTAGCGCAGGCGACTGGAGTCCCTCTGCAACTGGCAGTGAGGTGCAAACAAGGTGGTGAAAGAAAGCAAAGCCCCCGCCCGCATGCCAAATACCCGAAACCCGATCCACCCTCGTCAAGTATGGCTCTCCATCAATCGGAGCCTCCGTCCCTTCTTGCAGCTAGTCGTTGATCGCATACTTTGCGCGAATTCTGTCTTTGCAGGGCGCCTGGCCAAGGGGTGTTTGGTAGTCGATGAAGCGGATACTGGCGGGGAGCAAGCCCCTTCCACACGCAACCTTCCCGCGTCGCTCTCGCTGGAGGCCGGTGAAGCTGAGTGCAGGGCTCGGGCCATAACAGTGACATATACGCACCTGTGGATGTGGCGGTGACAGCGATGCGAATGGGGTGGTGATAGCCTGTTGATGAAGAAGGATGGAGGCGACGCCCCGGTCCGATTAACGCCGCGCTTGCTCGCAGCGAAGGCACAGGGCAGGTGGCCCCTGCTCAGTTCGGAGAGCGACGTCAGCCTAACCCGCCACTAGGATCTCCGCTCGAGGAAAAAGTTAACTCTATCCAGTCACCCAACACGACCAGGCCGCGCTTATTTTGTAGAGCTATGCGCATGGACTGCGGTTTCCCGCTGCCTTCCCTTTACTCTCCACTTCGATAGCTACTATTGGACAATCGATCGTATCTTACTGACATCTTACAACGTATATTGCCAAAAGCTCCCCGCAATGGAATCTCCTCCCTTCAGACCAAAGCCCCTCCCCGCCCACCTCATCAACGGCCACTCTCCGCTTGCACAGTCCTCCAAGGTCGGTGACAAAGACAAAGCTACCGAAATGCGCGACCGAAAAGAGCGCGACAACCTCTACTCGTCAATCGAGGCCTCGAATCGCGGACGCCAGATCGTCAATTTCGACGGGCCCGACGGCTACTTTCCCAAGCCCACCACCAGTGCCGACACTCATGGCCACGATGCGCACCAGGAGTATGAGCTCGTTCACAGTGGCATCGACGTCGAAGGCTACGTTGACGAGCACTCTCCGAAAACGCCGCTTGCCACAAGTCGCGCACACAGTCCTTATACCCAGCACCCTACCATTGACTTCGATGGCTTGAGCTGGCCGAGTATGTAGCACAGGGTTGTTCTGACACCAGGAGACTGACATGTCCTAGGCAAGGGCACCCGCGAACGGAAGGAAGCTACCGCTGAGGAGAAAGAGCAGCGGCTGGCAAAATTGTCAGGCGCCGTGCGAACCATACTAGAATGCATCGGGGAGGACCCGGACCGTGAGGGCCTTTTAGATACCCCGGATCGCTACGCGAAAGCGCTACTCTTCTTCACCAAGGGCTACGAGGAAAACTTGCGCGAAATCGTCAATGGTGCTGTTTTCCATGAAGACCACGACGAGCTGGTGATAGTAAAGGATATCGAAATCTTCTCGCTGTGCGAGCACCACCTCGTGCCTTTTACTGGCAAGGTATGTAGTGAAAGCCGGGCTACAGTATATGCAACTGTGAGCTGATGATTATAGATGCACATTGGATACATCCCCAACCGTCGAGTAATCGGTCTCTCTAAGCTTGCTCGAATCGCCGAAATGTTCGCCCGTCGCCTGCAGGTCCAGGAACGCCTCACCAAACAGGTTGCGCTTGCTCTCTCGGAAATGCTTCAGCCACAAGGTGTTGCCGTCGTAGTAGAATCGAGCCATTTCTGCATGGTGATGCGCGGAGTGCAGAAGACAACTGCAAGCACTACCACCAGCTGCATGCTCGGCCGCATGCGGTCGACCGCCAAAACCAGGGAAGAATTCTTGAACCTCATCAAGCGAAATTAAAAAGGTTGCGCATAGTATACTCCTTTACCGTTTCATGTATCACAACTAGGGCTGCAAACGTTCGGCGTTTACGGCGGTGTTCATCCACTCACGTAGGGCGGTCATGGTTGGTTCTTTGCATTCATCTAGACTAGATGCATTATGGCCTTCAACAGGCGCCCGTGGACCTAAAAGAGGTCGCTGCATGGTGGACTCGTCTTTTTATCACAATCATGGTTTATCAGCGCTGCAAGCGCAAATACTGGGTACGTTGTGTTCTTCTGGAGGTGGCTTCAAAATGTCTCCAAACTATATGATGATATTACGCTTTCACGGCGTGGGTTGTTAGATGGTGGAGTTGTCTACCTCTCGCTCCTTCCTTTTCTACTGAACATGTGCCATGGTGTTGTTTTGTTGATATCACAATCACTCACGTTCTTCTTCACCTTCACACTGGCTTGGTCTTCTCGTGTCATTGAATTCACCGGAACCTGCTCTCCTTTTTGGCTAAGAGCCGCGGGTGAAGTTACTGGTTCAACATAAGCCGACGCCGACTCCCAAGCGCCACCCATCATTCACGCGAACTAACTTTAATGACCGGTGTCAGCTCTTTCGCCTTCGGCTCCAGAATTTCACTTCAAAAAAACTACGAAGGGTGAATCCAGTGACCGAGGCCGCAATGAGCACCAAAGGAAAGGGTAAGCGTGTCGCCGACGACGAGGTCGACGATGGCAAGAGCGCTACCATCACGATCTCGGCTCCTGCATCTCACATAATGGCGCCCGCGTCCCGCCTTACAGCGCCCGAAATACTGCGCCGCCATCGCCATCGCCGCGAGAACGTTGCAGCCAATGTGTGGGGTCCCTGCCTGCCTGGTTCAGATGCGCCGCTGCCGTTCAGCGTATACAAAGCTATTCTACGCCATCCCAATCTCTTCTTTCAGTTTGCGATCCGGTTGTCACAGAAGACCATCATCGACCTGTACGCAATCGACAAAGAGTTTCACTACAGGTTCAACAAATACAGCACCTCGATCATCCACGACTTCGCGCGCCACCATGCTCCCCAGGCTGCCTACATCTTCAGCTGGGTGCTCTTTCCCGAACTATGTATCAGCGACCCCATGCTGCGACCGATGGACGGCCGCCCTCACCTCGCTCGCGACATACCCAGCCTACGGTGGACTCAGATGGTCATACATCGAGACAACGTGGTGCGAACTATCCTTACAATCCTAGCAACCAACGGACATCGGGTCCCACGTGAGACGTACATCGTTCTCATGAAATTCTGGCTATTAATGGAGATGAACAACACGACACTCCGCACGACCTTCCTAGCCGATAACACTATTTGGACCAACCAAGACCTTTACTTCTTTCACCTATTCCTTATGAAGCTCGACATGCACTTCAACCATCCAGTGCACAATCACGGCTTCATCGATCTCTCGCACATGCTGTTGACACAAAAGACGCTCTCAACACTCCATAACGTTCTTGTTGGACAGCAAACCCTGGACTACGACGATTTAACGGACATGCTCATCAGAACGTACCACGAAGAAGACCTCGACCTCGATACAAATCCATGGTTGGCTGATCCAGAAGAGCACGGCGTTGTAGCAGATAATATGGGAACTTTATCCCGTGAAGGCTGGATATTCGAGGGTGAGAGCATGCACTCACCTGTGGACCTAGTCCGCATCGAAGCCATCGACCGGGGACTAGATATCCAGGAATACTTGATCGATTTCATGATGTACGGCTACATCGACCCAGACAGGAAGCAGAATGTGGCAGCACCGAGAAGATGGCGACATGAGAAGAAGATATTGGTGCCGAAGGAGCCGTGGCCCATTCCGAGTGCGACCACTGGCCTGCTTGCTACATTGGACAAGAGGTACGATATAACGCAGGAAGGTGGGGATTTGAAGAACGTTTCGGTGAATCGAGTCCAGCAGAGTGAAACTGTTTTCATGTGGCATCTGAGCCGAAAGCATGATGCGCAAGTGGGACAAATTGAGAACGATGTAGAGGGGAAATGCCGGTGAAGGAATGGAAGAAGACGAGTGAGAGAAGATGACGTGGTCTCCATTGTCTACCTATCGTTCTGCTCGGTTTGCCTAGATTAAAATCTCTTGAAGTGTAAGCTTCAGACTTCGTGAAAATGATGTGGACCGCATCTAGGAAAAGATGGGCAAACCTCATATCTTTCCCAGGCATAAAACAGCTCACAACCACATTCGATGGGTCCATGCCCTGGAACATAACCGACACATTACCTAGTCGTATATTACATACTACACATCCTCGTCACTCAGATTTTGAATCATATCCCTCCTTAACCTCATGAGTTTATTAAGGGTCATGACATTTCTTCCCAAGTTGACGCCCTCTTCGAGCCTCCCATACCTAGCTTCAACTCTCTCTCCTTCTTTCTCCACCACCAAAATGTCGCCACCATCTATCGCTAACATGTAAATAACTTATGATTCAGGACGGATGAACTGTCTGAAAGAATGCATGGTTGCGTAAACTTATACTATGCTGTGCTGCATGGATGACCTCATCCAGAGTTTACTTCCCAACCGTTGTCTATGGGAGAGAAAAACATACCGACTATAATTTCCCCATGAATCGCTGAGTGCTCTCATATCTTGCCGCACCGCTGATGGCCGGCACTTATCTCATCCTCTTTGTAAGCTTCCTACCATATTTCCCTTTGACACCTCCAGCAACGACAGAAGAACTAGAAGTAATTTTTGAGATATACCTCAAGCCCATTCTGTGCCCACCAAATATGCACGCCCGCAAGCAAAACGCCAGCACCCAGGCCCAGGAGTTGACTGGGCCAATTTGAAGAAGCACGCGTGGCGACAGCCTTGGGCTTGCCATAGGAATCGTAGATGTCGGAATCGGACTCGTAGTCAGAGTCAAACACGGAGGCAGAGTCCTTAGCGATATGGTTAATCGCTGGATCTCTTGGAATAATGAGGAAGGGATTCGGTGTGTTCACAAGGCAGGTGGTGATGGGCCTGAATACAGTCTCCCAATCAAGCGTATTGGTACACACGGCCAACGTCTCCGCCTGAATCGCATGAATTGTGGCCACCGAGGCCGGGTTCTCCCTAGAATGTTCACCCGGCGTTGTGCCGTACGCCACTGCGGCAATCATAGCAGTAACAGCCAACAGAGTCCCACAGATCTTGATAAAACGCTTCTTTGTGGTGCTCTTCGACCGATCGATGACACGAGCAGTACGAGGCTTGTCAGGCTCGCGCTGAAGATAGTATAGGACTGCCCACATGGCGCCCAAAAATGTGCTCGCTACAAGGTAGAGACTCGCCGGTACGCTTGTACCTGGAAGAAAGAAGGAGATGATGACATAGTAGAAGAGGATGAGAGAGAGGTGATACGCAGACACCCGAAGATACCGTACGAGCGGCGCTTCTGAACGGCTCTCTGTGCGCTCTTGATAGACTGGGAGAGGATACAAGCTAAGAGGCTGAACGTGGTCTTGTCGGATGGAAGGCGTAGCGGCCGGATTCTCAGGCTCAAGAAGGCGGTGACCATCGAGTTGTACAAGAGAAGCCCAATTTGCTAGAGTAACGGCGCGCTCGTCCACGGCTACTGGGGTACCGAGCATCGTGGGTTGCACAGCTTCCTTTGAGTGATTTGGGACCACTTCGATACTGGGAGTTTCCTTGGCTAGTTGCACCTTGACTGCGTGGCCCTCTGCAAATTTGACTTGGCCATTATCCGGCACCTCGATATGTTCGCCATCGTTCTTTTCAGCTGCAATGTAGGCATTTCCTGTTGGAGTCTCGTGCTGGCTGGCTGCTAGGTCTGCCAAAAACTTGTGATTGTGGATGGCTGCGAGGATATCTCTCGCCCAATCATCGACCTGCTCTCCATCGAAGTTGAGCAGCGAAGGCACATCAAGCCTCACTTTGGAAGGCTTCCCAGGATGCACTGCGATTACTTCCTTGGTCTCGTTTGGGAAGATCACAGCCTCATAGACTGGATCATCCGGGTTGACGTGAGCCGGTGCTAGTGGAGGTGCGGGCTGAGCCAATGGCGACTTGATGCGCTGGAGCTCCGGTGTCAAAGTTTGTTCATGCTTCTCGAAGTTCGGAAGTGCTGCATCAGCATCCTCGTTTGGCAAGTGAAGATGCTCTTTATTTTGATGGTGAGTGTCTTCCAAGCCCAACCCGTTGTCCTCATCGCCTGATTGAGTATACGCATCGCCATGATGAGCAAGACCGGAAGTGTACTCTGGTGCTTCTGCGATGTCATCCAGCTTAATCTTGCCACGATCGATGGCTGTGACCGCTGGATCCATATACCAAGGAACTGGGGTAGAGCGTTGGAGCACATGCGAACGAGCAATTGCGGTTGCGGCCGTACCATGGCGTTGGTCAAAGTCGTGGAGGACCTGAGATGCGTGGTCAGAGACGAACTTATGCAGTAAACTTGAGGACGCAGAGAGGGGGAATGTGGGCATGACCAGCTCGGGTGCATCGGGCGTATGCGTACCTTCATCTTCCGGAGGATGCGTCGTTGGCTCGATGGAAGGATTAACTAACGAATCATTCTCGTGGTCCGAAGCCGGATCCATAGGATGTGGTGACTCTGTAGCTGAAGTGTTAGATACAGAAGCATCCTCGGCTTCATCCTCAGGTGGAAGCTCATCGCTATCGCCTGAAGAGGCACAGGGAGTCTCAGAAAGGATCGACGGAGACTCTGGCGCAGGTATAGTCGTGCTACGATGGGCCAGTGGAACACCTGACCCTATAGAGAACGTAGTCTGATACATTTCTTCCTCGTCAGAGTCAGACATGTTGTCGGAGCCTCCGTGTAGAGATTTCGCAAGCTTAAGAAATCGATGCGATGCCGTATATTCGTCTGCCGACTCCGGCAGATTTTCCAATGATTCGACAGTGCATGCGTCATCTTCCTGGGGTTTTTTGGCATTTGTAGCTGCTTCCCCATTATGATGGGAAATTAGAGCAGTGCAAAGATCTTGCTCAGTGTCGGTTAAAGTTGAAATCTTGGGATGTAACTTTTGGTACTTCCAATTCGTGAACAGCGCGGCCACGCTTAGGGCATCTTCTGCGGCAGCGGCAGCGACAGCATGCTGGAACTCTTCAAAGGATTCATTAGCAACAATATCAACATAGTGACCAAGGGGACCGTTTTCTTCCAAAATAAGTGCCTTACCTTCCCGATTTTGGGTTTGATGCTCTTCAGCTTGAGGATCACGGTCAGCTCCGCCTGGAGGCTTCTGGGAAGACTCATCTGCAAGTTCTTGGGCAGAAGTTTCCGAACGTGTTGGCTTGGACGTTGTCGTGTGATGAGATACCAGTTGGTTCGCGTTAGAGCCTTGGCTGAACGCGGGTGATAGGAAAGCAAGCTTCTTCTCGGTCTGATCTGCACTCGTTTTGAACATATCAGCAGCGTACAGCAGTTCTTCATCGGAAGTCGTCTTATTGTTCATCTTTGTCACACTCGCAGGGACAGTGCGTGGAGCGATCATGTCAAGGATACGATCTCGCTCGGCCACCCAGCCATCTGGAGTTAAAAACTTGCGCGTTAGGTGCTGACTCTTGTCTGGAGAAGCACTGCCACGTTCATCCAAGGCCTTTTGCACACGTGGAAAGCGAAATGATACGGCCGGAAACGTGCCATCTGGGACGCTTTCGTCGGACTGATCTCCGCCGATATCATGCTGAGACATCTTCGTCAACGTCTCACGGGTCTTCGCATAACGCCACTTCTCGTCTCGTGGTGTTTCTGGGTCCCACTGCAACTCGATATCTTCGCATTGAGCAAGAAGCTCTGCCCGTTCCTTGAAGCTAAGCATCGCAATGTGACGCAGAGGGTACGGATGAAGACCTTCCAGAGAACGTCCGCTGGACTTGAAGACGTGACGGTGATAGTATGGAGAATTGTTCAGTCCGGCTTTGATTTCATCGACTTGCAACGGAACGATGATGTTCTGTCCCAAGGTGTCCATCCTTTGATCGTGTATCTTATGTCGCGTTGGTAGAGGGTATAAACTAGTAGCTGACTAGGATTGTCAAGTTGGCTACTTCTAAACAGCGCCCGGGTGGTGGCCGTAATGTAGGGGGAGGGCAAAAGTACACATGGTGCTGGCGCCGCAATATTCCAATGATGTATCTGTGGGTTGAGGGACTCTAATGAGTTTTCATCTGTGAAAATAGGTAGCGTGGAAGCGCTCATGGTCATATGAGCGGCTGTCGGGGTCAGTGGGTTGAGACCAGTGAAAATTACATTCTTTGAAAGGAGTGCCTTGTAAATGCTCCCCTCTATCAGCTTCAGTCCAATAAACCGTATGCCATTAGAAGCAGATACTGTACAAATATTCTCCTCCGGTATTGTCTGGTAAACGATTCTAAGCAGCTGTCCCGTTGATGTTAACGGCGAACGGGTCATTGCTGGGGTCCGTGATGCGGACATGTTCAATGAGATTCGCCATATACGTCGCATTCTGGAGACTATACTTCTTTTCCACGAACTGAAGCAGCATATCGAACCCAGATGTTACCCCCGACGAACTCCAGATTGGAGGCTCAGCGGACTCGTCCTCCACCCAACGAGCCTTGGGGATCCACTCAGTGTTTGGGCCATATGCGGTAATCTCTTTCCATGCCGCTTTGTTTGTTGTTGCCTTCCTTCCGTCCATGATGCCGGCTTTCGCGGCGACGCCGGATCCCGTGCAGATCGTCAGAACGTGCTTCGTCTTGGGTGCTGCCTTTGCGATGTAGTTCCATACTGCGGTCACTGGATGCAGAAGCAGATTAGCCGGAAATTTTCCGTTATGTGTGCGGGAGTCACTGACTATTCGGGTTCCGTGCACCAGGACCTCCAGGGACAATGAGGACGTCCACCTCGGGCGCCGTGTCAAATGTATGCGTAGGCGTGAATGTCGTCCAGACAGACGAGTTCTTCGGGTTCATTGTCAGAGGCTGCGTCGAGACAGGTTCCAGTGTATCCGACAGCAAGACAACTTCAGTGTTGTACAGCAGGCCTATGAAGTTGAGAATTTCCAAAGGTGCGGTTATATCAGTCGTGTCAAAGGCGCGAAACATCACGATGCCAAACTTTTTCGGAATGGCACCATTCAGAGCTTGGAGATTTAGTCAGGTTTTTGTGCAATCTTCGATGGACTCACAAGCAAAACTGGGGTTAGCCAGCAGACAGAAAGTCAGGGCGCACGTGCATAAAACCTTGAGGACTCCCATTGTGAATGCACGATACAATGGTGAAAGAATACTGAGGAAAAGAGCCCAGGCAATTGAACGACAATTAGCAATTAAACTGTTCTTTAAGAGTCGAAAAATGCACGGCCACGCTGCAGTCATTCCTTCGCGACCGATTAGACGGACTCTTCATCTATTCATTGCAGGACTATGCCCAATTGGGACGCGCACAGGCAATCGTCCGCCAGTCGTACGGCAAGACTATAACGCACACTTCTCAGTAACGTGTAAGATGCGGTAAGCCGAAAAGAGCGATGGAAGTATGGCCGGGATGGTGAGGTGTAGTAAGAGATTGAAGGGATGGACCATCAGAAGTGGGGGCTTACTTTCCAAAAATGGAATCGCTACTGCACCGCGAGATTACAACGCGCGCAAAGTCTCTCATCAGGCGACATCGGATCGGGAACAACTTCATAATCCGATCTTGTAGTTTACCTGCAGCTAAAGCCCATGTTGGCGTTGTCCGAGCATTCACATAGCCCGTTTTTATGATGCGGCAGAAAGAATTATATACAAACGATATATGAGAATTTATCCCATATTCGATGTTTCTGCGTCAGGTAGCTATATACATCTTCGAGCTTACAGCTTCTGTTTCCTACTCTCATCAACCCAAATACAACGTGCGCTATACAGGAGAGCGGCTTACGACTTGGGTACGAACCGCGGAGGTCCAGCCGCACTGATCGAAGCCTCTAGATCCTCATCTGGGTCGCCTTTCTTCATTGCCCTCTGGTAAGCCGGTCGTGCCGTGACTCTCTTTAGCCATGCCAAGATAGCAGGATACTCGGTCAAATCCAAGGGCTCGAACCGACGCATCGTGGTGAAGCACCACGTCGTCATCACGTCGGCGGCGGTGAATTGGTCGCCGGCTAAGTAGTCATTCGACTTCAGGCGGTTGTTGAGGTGCCCGACGGCCGTTTTTACGCGTTCATCGGTGCCTTGATAACGCTGGTCCTGCGAATCGATCCCGAACATGCGTGCCTGGAATCTACGGAATATGGTAGGCTGTAAATTGCCATTCGAGAAGTGAAGCCAGTACAGGTAGTCGGCATAATTTGGATGCGAAGGCGGTAGGGCGAGTCGACCGTCTCCGTATTTGTTGATCACATACTCGACGATCGCGCCTGACTCCGCGAGCAAGAGCGGGTTCTCCGGATCAGAAGTGGCGTCCTCTAGTAGAGGCGATGCTCCCATTGGGTGCTTCTCTTTCAATTCTGGTGGTGAAAGAAAAGGGCTGCGCTGGTAAAGCTTAATTTCGTACGGGATGCCGAGTTCTTCGAGGAGGAAGGGGATCCGCTCGCCCTGTCCGACTTGAAGGTGGTGGACAGTGAGTTTGGCCATATTTTCAGATTTGCTGCCGGTGACTCTTTTGGTTGGAACTTTGCGTGTTGACAGGACAACAAGTCTTTGACGATGTCTTCAGTGATGATGTCGACGCAGCCAACCTGTTCTATATAGTGGAGCCTGCGGCCAATCACAGCCTCACATATGGAAAGCCGCGGCTCTGGCGACAGCGAAAGCCGCTAGCACCGACGGACACTCGGTAAACCCCACTCGTCCTTCACGACTCTCCCCTCAAAGGATCTATGCTATACGTAGATCGTGGCCCCTTCGACATGGAAACAGCTCTCGTTGGCCAAAGATAGTGATCCGAAGCTAGTCGCAGACTTCGGAGATTGCATAGCTTACCAATTTGCAAAAGAGCAAGTCGCTACTATCGGGCCGGCAGCGAAAATGGCGAATTCACCGAAGGCGGGACAGACACGAGGTCTTCGGGCATCCGGCGTTTGTCTGCACATCATGCAGAAGTCTCCAGTGCAACATTTTTACTACACAATTTCATAGCCGAGCTGTTCGATACCTTGCAATATCATTGTTTCCTAATTATGAGAAGACGAAGGCTTTGTATCTCAGTCCTTCTATTAACGGATCGAATGGAGACAAATTTAAACATGATGGCAACTGTGACATTCCTTGAGAGGCTGGCCCTCATTAGACTCTCAGCTGCTGACTCTGCTGGCGCCGTGATCGCACAAACAATCTCGAGTAACCTGCTTACCATCAAACAGCTCATACAGACCGACGCCGACAGTTCCGGGACCACTATTGCTGCCAAATCTACACAAAGCGTTCAATTGCTGGCCGGTTACAGGGAGATTTTTGCTGACGTGCTGAACCCTGACAAGCGGAGCCCGCAATTCAATTTTTGGTGGAACAACAGTACGTTGAGAGTGAAGCACCATAGTCTCAACGGCCAAAGCATTGCCCTAGAAAATGCTTTGCGAAGGTCATTTCGGCATTGTTTGATGGCAGAAGTTCTGAGTCGGGAGCAACGTCTGAGAATGGAATTAGCCTTGCTTGAACAAGGCATGAGTATGGCTACAGCCCACAGTACACTCCACGGCATTTGGAGGCTCTGGGAACTTTTGCGAAGTGGTAATACCGCCAGTTGAAGTGAAAATTACCTCAGATCCTGTTTCATATCATACCCAAGTTTTGCTTCAGCATTCTCGCACAATCAAACACAGGAAATAGGAACTTAGGTAAGGGGGTACGTAGTTGGTAAATCTTGTTCTGCTCCAATGGCGCTGAGTGCGGTTATCAATGTACTTGCACAGAGACAACGTCAATTATGTCAACTACGATAGCTCTTGTAGGATCAGAGAACAGTGCATGTTGTTGAAATGAAAGCATAACTAGGTGACACCAAGGTTGAACGCTGATGCCTTGCAATAATTAGCGGCTAGTGTCTGTACAGGGGTGTGCAACACGTGGCACCCTTTCATGTATATTACTGTTCCGTGCAATAGAGCTTGGTCCTAGGTTATGAGCAAGGCAACATCAGGCGCGATCTCTGATCCTTTCAATTGAAATCGCCTACCCTACGAAACATCAAAAGACTCACCGGCCCAATGCTCCAAGTAACGCTAGGGGCCTCTTTGGGATCATGCAACATCTGCTCTCAAATTGAGTGAAGCACACATATTAGAGACTTAGCGATATAATAAAGGATATGCTAATCCGTCGAGATGCTTTGTCGAATGCCTAATGGACCGTCGGTGTGCATCGGTGCCGTCGTGCACTAGAACGTGCTATATTGGCGCAGCCAATCAGTGTACAGGAAATCCGAGCAAGCCTCTCAAATGATACCTACGCATCTCCCAGACTAAGACAAAAGGGTCTTTTTACAAGCCAAAACTTATCTGCGGCCTGAAGTGACATATAAAATGATGCCAACGCAAAGTGCCATTCTCTCCGATCACCACCATCATCAGTTTTCGACTCAAAAGTTCACCATTACTATCGAGCTGCGTCCCCTGACCATGTTACCCCCAATCTCCCTCTCCTCCCTCACCCCTCGCGAAGCAATCACCGACGCCCTCTCCCGCTGCATCCTCGGCCTCGACACCAATTCTCGCCCACTCTTCGAATCCGCCTGTCTTCAGGACTCCACCATGACCATCGCCATCGGCCCGACCGTCGTCTCAGGCTGGCCCGCCATCAGCGCCTTCTTCGAGCGCGTCTTCCAAGTCATCACTACGCACATCATCAGCAACGTGCGCATTGCGGTCGAGGACGGCGCTGACACGGCAACGTTGTCGGCCCATGCGATTTCATACCATATAAGGGAGGAGGATAAGCTGAGTGTAGAGGATACGTCGTATACGGCAGGGTCGTTGTATGATATCGAAGTGGTGAGGGATAAAGGGGATGGGTTGTGGAAGATTAGGAGGTGGGGGTTCAAGATACTGTGGACGAAGGGAGAGAGGGCGGTGCTGTTTGGTGATGAAGAGGTGGCGACTGTGGAGTAAATGCAGGCTTGCGTAGCGAACAATGCATTATGGTCACACTGAGGAAATTGAGAAAGTTGATTCTATATGGTTTGGCTTATCCCTGGTGCATTCTCGTCTGGATCAATGAACAAAGGAAGGAACATAGACGCCTGCATCGATAGCCTGCGCGATAGGAGTGTACATCCACCGACTAAAGTACGCGGATGCAGTCTCTTTTTCGTTACCATTCTTTGTTGCGAAAGTGCCGATAATTGTACCTGTCACGTTCAGTCCTGAACGCCTTCGTTCGATGTCAAAAACTTACCTGTGAATGGCCCACTTCCTCCAGACACAATTGTTGCATTCGCTTCACCCACGTGCACAACTTGGGATGGGTGATAGGTGGATGCAGCAGTAAATACGTATTTGTATTCGTCCACAGCCTCCACCTTCAATTGTATGGGGTGAGAAAGCCACGATTCCCGGACAGGGATGGTCTTCATTTCTGGCACCGTCTCGTTGGGCTTCCCCGTCGCTTCAACACTGAACTTCAGATGCGGCACCAATGTCTCACTATGCGAGCTGCTGGGGAGATGAACGATGCTGAGATCAATGTGCTGTAGCTGTGTGAGGAAAACAGTGATGCCTGCCTCGCCACTGCTTGTCGTAGGCTTGAACGACAAATCGACACTAAAAGTGAACTTGGTGCTGGTCTGCTTGCGCGCAATGAAGCCGAGGCCTTCCTCAGTAGGCTGATAACTGGCGTCGGATGTGAGATTGACCCTCGAAGGAGAGATGCGTAAGGTGTTGGGATGACCCTGTGGGGAGATAGCGAAGAGTTCGTCCTTGGGTATCCTCCAAAGGATATGCTGCCGTGAAAGTTGGCTTCCAGGTTCGAAATACTCAGCATCGGGCTCTTCTGCCCAAGGCCCCGCTCCAGGTACTCTTCTATTGATTGCTGGCAGTGGACCGGATTGTCTACCACGAACGGGTTCAATAATCGGCCATCCACCCTTTGACCATTGCGCAGGTACTAGAACGGTTTCGCGGCCCATTGGGTAGTTGGCCCACTCAGGACCAGAACGAGTGCTCAATGCAACGGCCCACCAGTTTCCTGAAGCATCTTCAAACAAATCAGCGTGACCAACGGTTTGAAAATAGTTGTCGGTGTTCTTAGCCGTCAAGATCGGGTTCTTTTCGTAGCCCTCATACGGCCCTCGAATGTTCTTCGAGCGAGCGATAGTCACAGAGTGATTTGTCTCTGTGCCGCCCTCGCCGATGAGTAAATAGTACCAATCATCTTTCTTGTACAGATGTGGACCTTCAGGGTTGCGGTCACCGGTCCCATTCCACACCTTGAATGTATCACCAATGGCCTTTCCAGTAGTGAGATCCATCTCTGTGATGTAGATGCCGGCAGCGACAGAGACATATGCTTTGCCATCGTCGTCCCAGAACAGGTCTGGATCAATGTCACCGGCTGGGTTCTCCATCCTCAACGGGCCCTCCCAATCATCCTTGAACGGATCCGTCGTTTTAAACAAGAGGATCTTTGGGCCCCAGGTCCGCAAGTTGACATAGCTTGTGATAAGGTAGAATGTTCCATTCCTATATCGGATCGTCGATGCCCATATACCCTCGTTCTGTTGCCCAGGACCGCCGCCACTCGTACCAAGTTCTGGAAGCTGGTCGGGACGGGTAATGGCATGAGAAGCGAGTTTCCAATTGGTGAAGTCTTTAGAAGCATACACTGGGATGCCGGGAAAGGCAAGGAAAGAAGAAGTCGTGCAGAAGAGCGTATTGTCATGTTCTTTCACGAACACGCAGCTTGGGTCAGAGTTCCAGCCTGGCAAAACTGGGTTATTGTAGTCCCTTCTCTTAGCCTTGAAGTCTTCTGGCGCAGGTGCTGCATTTCCGACACCCGCCATGGTCAGCGCTCCCGGGAGTAGTAATTGGGGGGAGGAGATGCATAATCACCAGCTTTGTACCTTGTTTATGTAACGCCCCCACTCAAAGCGAGCGAAAGGATTCAATTGCCTTGCATGAGAGCTGTGATGTCGGATGAGCAATGGGTCATTCCATCAATCAGCGGTCTCAATCCTCGGTGCAAAGAGCCCCGGACCCGCAGAGTACGGTAGCGCTTTTGCCAATCTGGGTGCTCTTCCAGGGGACGGGCCTGCAGCACCGTAGCACGGCCAGACCAGTACAGTTTGCGCCCGGCATCATTTACAAGAAAGAGTGGCAAGAGGAGATGATGCTTTGGATTCTGTACCTATGGTCACCCTAATTTTGCGAGATGCAGCGCGTGCGGGGTAACTTGTCCGTTCCTCCCGTTGAGGGGCGCAACTTCACCCCGAACCATCTCCGGTTAATCTCGAATTCATCCCTACACCATGATGAAAGACATCTCCGATACTAATTTCCTATAAGTTCTCCTACACGCCCATATGGAGGAAACAATCTGCACCCTTTCTCATGCTTTCAGACCTCTGATTGAAATCAACAAATGTAGAATCAGTTAGAACATCGAAAGCCATGCTTTTGGAAAGAATGAGTCAGGTCACGGAAAGAAAAACTTCCAAAATGCGAGGCATGATGGCTTGAATAAGATGTTTAACCTTGTGTGCAGTATTCTCAAGAAGCGTCCTAAATCAGTCGTGACCAGCCCGAAGACGCCAAACGGACCGTTGGCAGACAGACAATTCAGGTAGGTGATCAATGCATACAATCTATGCCAGCACCCGCTTCTACGCCCTTCCACAAGACCAAGTGCAAATGGCATGCCTGAAGGAAGTCCAAGAGACGATCCACTCATGAACAGAATGCTTGAAGATCTCCAGCGGCTGTAGGATATGGATTTCGAATGTCGAAAACAAATCGACTGGTTTACATGGCATCTGACTTCAGGGGTTGCAATTCTACCTTAGAGCCAGGTAGCAGCAGCCATTCGTGCGTCCTACCGATCAAGCAGAGCAACATCCGCACCTGGTGAGATACCGAAAACCTCAACCCAAATCGCGCGTCTTCTTGCAAAGGGAAACGCCCAGTATGGCACCGCATGGCATCAACTCCAACGGGTTGGAAAACATTCAAACGTTTTTCAATCCGCAAAACCCGCTTCACCTCCGCTGCTCGACACGAAGCACACGTGAAAGACTATCACTAAACAAACGCACCTCCAAACTTCGCTCCTGCTCCGCCCTCAACCTCATTCTCCCGCCGTTTCTCACCCCTTCTAAACCGTACCCCAGAGAGCCAGCAGGATCACGAATGCACACCACGTTTTCCTCGCAAGCCCTCCTCTACCATTGGAAGCCATCCATCAAGCACCGCCGCGACCTTCACCGCAACAATGCCATCTACCAGCGACGCCACAGCCGCACTCGCCACCCTCTCCCTAATCAAGCCTACACCCGCCATTCGCGATCTGCGCGCCCTCCTCACCGATGCCGAGCGCATGCAGCACAGCTTCGATGATCGCCCCGCCCTGCGCGCCAGCCCGGCCCGGCGCGAGCTCCTGCACGAAGTATTAAAGGACCTCCTTGGGCTCCGGAATCAGGTCTTCACGCGGTACAAGCGGGATCTCACAGGAAAAGGGAAGGCAACGAGCTCGGAAGAGGGGGGTGTGGACGGGGATGGACATGCAGATAATACCGCGTACGGGAATGTTTTCGCGGAGGTGGGGGCGGTGATCGAGGAGCTGCGGCTGTGGGGGAAAGTAGAAAAGTTGTTGGGCGGGGTGCTGGAGGGGTGTAGGGTTGAGGGGGTGTTTAGCAGTGAGCAGATGAGGGTCTTGAAGGGGGCGTGTGAGCCGGGGTTTGATTGGGGGTTTGGTGGCTAACGTGTCCGTCTCCATCTGCCCATCGACTCTTTACGTGTCCATCCGTTCTTCTCTCTTAGTACTCGTATTCTTGTTCCTACCACCCTTGCATGTGCTACTCCTCCATCAAAAACCTCCATAGTCCCTCTCCCTCCACATAATCCCCCCAAATAATATTCACCAACCACAAATCCCGCCTCATCTCTCCCAACAGTTTGCTCGTCTCCGTCCGGGGTGCGTAAATCCGCTGCCACTCGCGCCATATACTCCACGCCTCCTCGCACCAGCTCCTAAAACTCACCGCCTCGATGATGGTCGGCGTCACAATCTCCTTGCCGGTGAAACTGCCCCAGGTAACGGGATTGACGCCTTCTTCGTTGCTGGCTTCAAAGTCACCTGCTGCATTGGACGCAAAGTACGTCACCTGGTCGTGCGCCTGAAGCCGGGGCTGCAGCTTCGCCCAGTCGGCAGCGGGGAGGAAGAACTCTACAAAGGGCTTCTGGAAGACGAGGCCGTTCTTGGGGCCCCAGCCGAAAACAGGGTCGGTGGATTTGAGTCCGTTGACCGCGGGCTGCGAGGCGACGGTCCACCAACCCTTTGCGTTGAGAGCAAGTAGCTCCTTCGCGATTGTGCTGGTCTCGGGAGAGAGGCCCTGCTCGCTCCACGGTATGGCCTCAAGGTCGCCCTCGATGTGTCGGCGGAACAGCTTCGAGATGTCGTCTTTGTCGACGGGATGGCCCCAGAGCTTGAGCGCTTGGGGCGTCGAGACGTGCAGCGTGGGCCCGTATCCGTCTATCTCGCCGAAGGCGGGAGACCGCGCGTCGCCCCAGCGGCCGTTGGGGAAGTCGTCCCAGGTTGCTTCGCGTCCGAGAGAGCCTTCGCCTTCGGAGATGGCGAGCGTGTTGGCGCGGGTAGTGACGGGACCCTGGGGGATGCCTGCTTCGTCTTCGGGGACTCCGTAGGAGGCATTGCTCGACTTGCTGTGGGAGGATTTGGATATTATGACGCGATTCCGCGGATCAGAGTTGACTGACGATAACCGTCGTCTGTCTTTGGTCCGCAGTGCACCTTCCGGGGGTTGGAGGTCGGCGCCAGGGGTGAGCTCGATGGCGTCGTCGTCATCGTCGAGCGGCTGTGGTATCAGGTGGCAGCTTTCGACGATATGTGAGACAGCCTTTTCCAAGTTCAAGGTGTAGAAGTGGAACCCTCTTCTCGTGGGGCTGGGCCGTGCTTTCAGATGGTCCACGATCTCGCTCAGCACCTTTATGCCCACCTGCTTGACCAGCTCGTCGTCGCCTTTCACAGCGTCCAGACGAGCCACGATGTCCGCGGGGATCCTCGCATGCGAGAGTTTCGAAACGCGATTGAGGATCTGGTACGACTGGATCGGCAGCAGGCCAGGAATGATGGGAATCGTCGTAAACGCGCCGCTCTCGTGTTCCCTCAGCATCGTCTCGAACTTGTCATACGCATCCACGTCGAAAAAGAGCTGCGTCATGAGGAAGTCGGCGCCAGCCTGCGTCTTCTCCACCAGGTACGGGAGGTCGAACTTGGGATCCTGCGCCTCGGGGTGGCTCTGGTCCGAGTGGCCCTCGGGATAAGCTGCGACGCCTATGCAGAAGTAGTCGCCGTACTGCTTGCGGATGTACCGCACGAGATCCACCGCCCACGTGAAGTCCTTGTTCGAGTCGTCCTCGGGCAGCTGGCCCTCGTCCCTGTATTCCTCGCTCCGCGGCGCATCGCCCCGCAGCGCCAGGATGTTGCGGATGCCCAGCGCGCGCGCGTGCTCGAGCGCCTCGTCGACGAGCTTGCGGCTCATGTTGGTGCACGTCAGGTGCAGACATGTCGTGAGGCCCAGCTGGCGCTGGCATATCTCGGCCAGCTCGAGCGACTTGGTCGCCGTCGAGCCGCCCGCGCCCCACGTTACGTTCACGAATAGCGGCCTCAGCGCCTGCGCCATGCGCTCGAGTCTGGACGAAAGGTTCGCGAAGCCCTGCGAGCAGATCAATTCGGCGTCCCGGCATCATCTTTGACGCCTGCGCGCATCAAGGGCGCAGACATGGAGGGGCACGCGTACCATGGCCGTCTTGGGCGGGAAGAACTCGAGCGAGAAGTAGTTTGCGCCACCGGGCAGCGCATTGATCTTATCCGTAATCTTTTCCATGGTAGCAGGGGGGGCGTGGTGTTGCACCGAGACGCATTGCTGGCCCGCCGTGGTGACTTTTGTGAATGATTGCCGTCAAGAAAGCCCCGATCGCGGGTATGTGGGGCAGCGCCCATGTGGCTCCCTTGCCCGAACAAGGCGGCCTGTTCCCGCTGCAGCAGCACGCCATCGTAATTGTCTTCGTGTTATTCGATGGGCAGATCAAGGGAATCGCAAGAGTCGGATCCTTGAGGCACCATTCTGCTTGCTTGCTTCGATGGAGCCGTCGGAATCCCTTCCGAATACCGGAACCGCAGTCGAAGCGTACACCTCCCCAGCGCCGTGCTTTCACATGACCAGACTTCTTCTGTAGATACTGATGATGTTCTTTATGAGAGAAGAACGAGGACTACTCAAGTCGGCAATAGCCGAAGACGCACTTGTTGGCGGCGATCCTCGCCCTGGGACAGCATCTGGATGTGACCTTCGGCTCCCCATCCGGCGCCTACCTCGTATATTCCATTGCTCCCTTCCTGGATATCCGCGATTGCCTCCAGCCTTCCCGTCCCATTTCTGTACTCAACGCACTGCTGCACAACTGTATCGTAGTCATTCGACATGGCCCTTCCACCCCGTGTCGATGTCCACTCACACTTCCTCCCACCCTTCTACCACGAGGCCCTGCTGGCAAATGGGTACGTACGTTAAGATGCAGACTACGTTTCCTGCATTACAGGCTCCAAAGCTCTCATACAATGGGCGCAAATCGTATTCAAACCCTCAACATTTGACCATGAAACTGACTCCGTTTCTCATATCAAGCCACGAAAAAGTAGACGGCATGCCCGCCATCCCAGAATGGTCCCTCGACGGCCACCTCACCCTCATGTCCGCCGCCAACATCACAAAATCCATCCTCTCCATATCCTCTCCTGGCACGAACCTCCGCCCAAACACTCTCTCTTCAGAAGTCACTTCCCTAACACGCAAATGCAACGCCTTCGCCGCAGACCTCAAGCGCAGACACCCTGACAAATTCGGCTTTTGGGCATCGCTCCCCCTGCCGGATGTGCAAGCTGCGTTGGAAGAGATTGATAGAGCGCGGGAAGAGGGCTGCGACGGGTTCGCCCTCATGACGAACTACCACGGGTCTTACCTCGGCGATCCCATGTTCGATCCTATCTTTGCGAGATTCAACGAGTTGCACGCAAAGGTCTTCATACATCCTACCGCACCGTGCATGCAGTGCTCGGGCGCGCCGACACCGGCGCTACCGTTTGGTGATGGGTACCCGATACCTATCTTCGAATTCATCTTCGACTCTGCAAGGGCGGTGATAAATCTTTTCTTCTCCGGGACCGTGGATCGGTGTCCAAATGTGACATTTGTGCTGCCGCATGGCGGGGGCGTGTTGCCGCCGTTGCTTACGCGGTTCACTGCGTTTGGAGCGCTGGTACCGGAGAGTAGGGGAATCGATGCCAAGGTGGTACGGAAACAGCTTGGAGAGCAGTTCTACTTTGACCTGGCAGGGACTGTATTTGAAGGCGATGAGGGCGTGGTAGGGTCGGGCCAGTTGAAGGCGCTGGTTAGGGGGTTCGATATCTCCCATGAGAGGTTGCTGTATGGGAGCGATTTTCCATTTACGAGACATGCGTCTGCGATGATCCTTGCGAATAGAATGAAGGATGGGCTGGACGAATTATTTGAAAAGAAGGAGAGAGACGCGATCTATCAGGAAAACGCTGAGAAATTATTGCGAAAAGAGACGCTGACGAGAGGGAGAGGGGACCGATAGGAAGGTAGGAACATGAACATTTATTGATACAGTCGCAAAGTCTATATGTACTTATACGGGTTCAAAATACCGTTCTGACTTTTTATTAGCAGCTGAAGTACGAGAAGGGAAAAGCGAACGTACCGGATCATACAAGTTCTTGATCTGCTTCATAAGCTTGATCATAGTCTCACTCTTACTATAACCGACATACGGCTTCTTGCTGAGACCAAGTCCGTGCTCAGCACTGATACTGCCGTTTCGCTTCGACGTCCATTCATATAGATAAGGCTCGAGCGCTTTCTCTACAGTCTTGTCAAATCGTCGGACGGGTACGTTCAGATGGAGGTTGGCATCTCCCATATGTCCGTAGCCGACCACGTCTACGACTGGGTGGTCCTTGGTGTCTCCAAGAAGGCCGTCCTTGGTCATACGCTCACGGATGTCTTCTACGAGATCGTACATCTGCGCAATCGGTATTGAGAGGTCATACTTGTAGACACCACCCCAGTGACCGAGGCATTCTGTGATGCGTTCACGGCAAGCCCAAAGTTCAGCAACTTGGGTTTGGCTCTCGGCTAGAACACCGTCAGAGACAACCTCGGATTCCATGACGTGTTCAAGGAAGTTTTGCAATTTCTGTGCGGTATTAGCGTTGTGTTTGAACATAGTATCGAGGTACTCACCTCGCTGTCGTGGTCTGTGTTGGAGCCACTGGTTTCTACCAAGCAATAGAAAGGATGGTCGCCTTCCAGAGGCAATTTGACCCCCGCTACCTCTTTCAGGATCTTCTGCGTGCGACCATCCATCATCTCAAATGCGGACAGGATCTCACCGAGATACGCCTTGGCGGCAATGAATGCCTTCTGCGCTTGCTCGTAGCTCTCCAAGCCAAAGTAAGCTACGTTCACAGCAGGTGAGCGGCGAGGACATTGGATCGAGATACCGGTGATGATGCCAATGGTGCCTTCAGAGCCAATAAAGAGTTGCTTTATGTCGTAACCTGTGTTGTTCTTCCTGAGGAGCGACAGATCTTCCATGATGGTACCGTCGGGCAGGACAGCTTCAATGCCAAGAACACTTCCGTGAAGGCTGCCATATCGAAGCAAGCGGAGTCCTCCTGCGTTGGTCGAGACGTTGCCACCAATCTGGCATGAACCCTTCGCGCCAAGGTCGAGGGGAAAGATGTGTTGTCGTTCCGCCAGGTAGTTGTCGGCGACCTCCAAGATGACACCGGCATCGGCAACAAGAATGCCCGAGACCTCGTCGAACGACCGGATGTTGTTCATCTTCTGCAAGTTGAGGACGATCTCATCGAAGACCGGAACAGATCCTCCGACAAGCCCGGTGTTGCCACCTTGAGGAACGACAGCGAGCATGTTGTCGTTGCAGTACTTCAGGACGGCGCTGACTTCCTCTTTAGTCGATGGCTTCAACACCAGTTGCGCGTGGCCTCTGAACTTGCGCATCCAGTCCGCGTTGAACGGTTCGATATCTTCACTAGCATCTTTGGTTACTCCGTCCAACACAGCAGAGTCGGAACCGAGCAGCTTCTGGAAATACTGGACATGTTTCTCCGAGAGCTTTGCGAACTTGGACTCTCGTTCAATGTTAGGATACCTGGGAGAAGTAAAAATTATGGTCGGATTCACTTATGAGAATCAGTACATACGATTCCGTGGTAAATTTAATGGACTTTGCAGGAGCTGGTCCATCCAAACCACCTTTTGAGTCCAATTGACCGACCGATTCGGTACTCGATGAAGTAGTCGCCTCCGTCTTCCATCTCACTTGCAGAGCGGGTCTGATATTCTTAATGCACGGGGAATGTCGCGACGAAAACGCTGCACGTCGCAGGGAAGCGGCGACGCGTGTAGGGGCAGCCATGTCTCATAAATGCAGATGAGAAGTAGAGTGGGGGACTTTTTCGAGGTCGCGGACATAAATTCATTGACCATGACCTGACTCGGCAGGGGTGGCACGAGCCCGCTCTTGGCGCTCTAGGTGGAAGCGACGACGCGGAAGCTCTCACAGCTCCGGCTGTGCTATACAAACCACCCCGCGCCCCATATCGACATCTTCGCCGCAATCTCGATTTCGCCCGCTCTCCTCTGTCCCCTCCCGAGCTCTCTTCAAACTCTGCACATCGTTCGCCATGGCTTCGGGCTACGATCGCGCGCTCTCAGGTAACCTTCCGCCTGTGGATGGCGGGCAAGCTCACAGCTGATTCCATGGACAGTCTTCAGTCCCGATGGTCACGTCTTCCAGGTCGAGTATGCGTTGGAGGCTGTCAAGCGAGGTATGTTGCAGAAGATAACCTCTCGGAAACTACCGCGATAGTAATGCCAGGGCAGGTACATGCGCGGTGGGCGTCAAGGGCAAGGACATCGTGGTGCTAGGATGTGAAAAGAGGTCGGCAATGAAGCTCCAGGATACGCGGATCACGCCTTCCAAGATTGGCCTTGTTGATACCCACGTCGCGCTTGCTTTCGCTGGACTGAACGCGGATGCCCGCATCCTGGTCGACAGGGCTCGCCTGGAGGCACAGTCACATCGCTTGACGGTTGAGGATCCCGTGTCAATAGAGTACATTACCAAATACATTGCCGGTGTGCAGCAGAGGTACACCCAGAGTGGTGGTGTGCGGCCTTTCGGTATCAGTACGCTGATTGTCGGTTTTGACCCCAACGACAAGACGCCGCGCCTGTACCAGACCGAGCCGTCGGGCATCTACTCGGCATGGTCAGTCTTGAGACAAAGAAGCAGCGCGTTGGATTTTGAGGGCTGACACTCTGCAGGAAAGCAAACGCTATCGGCCGATCGAGCAAGACGGTGCGCGAGTTCCTCGAGCGAAACCACAAGGACGACCTGGACCGGGAAGAGACGATCAAGCTTACGGTCAAGTCGCTGCTCGAGGTGGTGCAGACGGGTGCGAAGAATATCGAGATCGCCATCACGGCGCCCGGCAAGCCACTCGAGATGCTTCCGGTGGAGGCCATCGAGAAGTATGTGGAGGACATCAATACGGAGAAGCAGGAGGAGGCCGCAAGCAGGAGGCCCGGTCGCGGAGGCCAGGCCGCCATTCCGTCACGGCCTGCTGGAGAGGCTACGGGATCGGCGGCATAGAGTGGTTACAAGGAGACACAATGGAGGAAAACAGATGGGCGCATGAATAGCATTGGCGTCTGGTAGACTTCCCAGATGGTATACGACAGCTACGATCAGCTAGTGCTTCAAATGGCATATCTAGCATATGAACCTCGCCCGCCTCGCCTCTCGCGACGCGGGGTCCTGCACCCCGCAACCGCGTACTGCATTCCTACTATGCCAAACTGTAACATGCGAATGAGCGATTTTGTGGACATGGGGCGGGAGGAGTGTCGAAGACGTGTGCTTCGCTCGTGTGTAGAGGGGTCCGTGGGGTCTCGTGTGTTTGCTTAACCCAGCCTGTCGGAGGCGTCCTTGACGTTGAATATCGACCGCTCCTCCTCGATACGGGTCCGCTCGTCCTTGATCATTCTGCAAGACATCAGCTCTGTTCCTGGTGGGTGACGTTCAACTGACCTGGCGTCTTTCCGTATATCTTCGCCCTCGACCTGCAGCTGGGCCTGGGGCGTCTTGGCCTCGAGGACAAAGTGGTTGTCGCAGTGAGGGCAGTACTCGTCGCTGCTTCTGTCAGCATGCCAACATGGACGTTTCTCGGGAGAACACGAACGCATCCTCGAATTCGCGTGAATCTTTGCGGAAGGCCTTCTTGCACTTTTTGCAGACAAAGGTCATCTCGAAGCTCTGCATCAGGTCATGGTCGGCGGTCTCGTGGTGGCACTCTGCGCAGTCGAACCATTTGCGGCCTGGACTAGTCACTACATGGCGCTGCGTGGTGCTGCCGCGTGGACTCACAACACGGCGCGCGGATGGCGACCTGGGCGTTGAGGACGTGCTTGCTGCGGAGCATCAGCGGAGGTCATCCGTGGCGGGGTTGGCAGCGCGGGCGTACCACATGTCGAGGCGGCGGTGTGCCACGCGGGAGAGGGCGCTCGGGATGCGTTGCGACGGGCGCGGATGGCGGTCGGCGACGTGTGTGCAGCGAGCGTGTCTGGGTGTGGACGTTGGGCGTCGCGGCAGTGTTTACAGGGTCTGGCTAAAGTGTGCGTCGGAAATGCAGGAACCCAAGGCGTCTGTCTCAACGGGCGCTGGCTGCGACGTCAGCCACACTACGTCGTAAGACGGCCTCGCACCGAGCACATTCCTCGCCCACACGCCGCAGTGCCGCGCGCAAACACTCAGTCGCTCCGTCAAGCTCCCCCCGTCCAGCGCCTCTGCTGTGCTGTGTCTGAAACCGCCATCGCAGGCGTCCCCCGCCTTCTCTGCCGTCGACCATCTCCATTCCTAGGACCCATCCACCGATCACCGCCCGCGCGCACTCTGGCGGCTCGGTGCCCCTCGTCAACACTCCCGCTGTCGCTTGCTGCACGTACACGCCTGCTGCCGCTCTGTCCGTTGTGGCCGCCCCAAGACCTCCGCGCCGCATGCAGACCCCCCGCCCAGGCGTCCTCACTTTTTCGAAGCACACGGGCGGCGCCCAATGGGAACGGACCCTGGACAGTCGATGAGCATCCATAGCGTAGACTTTGGCGCCGGTTGACGAGGAGCGCCATGGAGCCCTCAAATCCCGAGGACAAGACGGATGGCTCGTCCATCGTGAGTGCTCCCCCGCCCGGCAGCTCCAAGCTCTTTGCCTCGCCCCATGCCGCTCAAACCTGCGCTCGAGGACCAACAGCGCCGCAAGTGACTTGCATGAACTCGCGCTAACTATGGACAGAAGCCAGTCTCCTCTCTCCGCAGCTTCTTCGAAAATAATCTCGGTGCCAGCAAACCGCCGGCGAGCCCTCGACCACCATCGCCCCAAGCCGTCGACCGGCTGGCCGTGTCCGAGGACAGCAGGAGGGATGCGCGCATGTCGCTGGACATCGCGCGGCAAAATGGCGGGCGGCACTCGACGTCGAACCTGCTAGAGACCAGCGGGAATGGTCCTGTTACGCCTCGGGGGAGAAGTATGCGGTCGCCTTGGAGCGTCCCCAAGCCGCGCCCGACGTCCATGGTAGCTTTCTCGCCGCCGCGGTCGCCTACGAGATCGCCACCCAAGGTCATGGTCAACTCGCCGTCGTCTCCGCCGCCTCATTCCCCAGGCCCGCAGATCCACTCGCCGCTTCCTTCGCGGACTTCCTTCCATACTTCGCTGGAGACGTCCTCACAGAGTCCAACGGTTCCAAACGGCACGAAGCCGTTCAAGCTACCCAGTCGGGACAACACTCCTGCAATACCCCTAGAATCGAAGCCCAGCTTCGTCTCTTCGCACGCCGCAAGCCCAGCCGTCGAGTCGCGCAAGAGTGGCGCATTCGACCGGCATAGCATTTCCACGCCACCCGTCCCGCCTCCTGTCAATCGCGCCGGCAAACCCAAAATAATCAACAAACCGCAACCCGTGAACCCACCCCCAAGGTCGTCTTCACTTGCTCCGATACATGACACAGACCGAGACCGGAGGGATGTATCGCCTTTCAGCACGCCGCCTAGCAGCCCCGAAAAACCGCCCTCGCCTACGAAAGATGCTAGTCCTCCAAAGCGCTTTAGCAACCTGAGAGACGGATACTTTCCACCGCCTCCTATCCATCACGCAGTAGCGGAGAAGCTGCCTCCTTCGGACCCGCGAGCCCAAGGGTTTGCGCATCAGCCGTCCAGAAATCCTCCTCCGGGGCGACATCAGACTACTGGCGACCTGTCCGAAGACCGCCCTACTCTTCCCGCGCGGAGAGAACGAGACAACGTGGACATGCGTAAAAGCATGGTTTTACAAAGGCCGGCAGCCCCTGAACCGCCAGTCCGGCGATCGATGGATACATTTCGTTCCCCTGCTATGGTGGCTGAAACTACGAATAAGATCATGCCGCCGCCGAGACGTACTCAGACGACGGAAATGTATTCGGTCGCTCTTGCAGAATCACGCAAGTCGCTTGAACCTCCGAAGCCACCGCCGCCGCGAAACTCTGGTGAATTCAGACGCCCTGCTCAGGTTCCCGCTCCCGCGCCTGCACCACCTCGCAAAGCTTCGCAGCCGTACAACTACGACTCAGACGATACCGATACCGCAAACGAGAAGCCCGGCACTGCTCTTACCGACTTTCCAGATTCCTCTCAAGCCAACCGCAGGCCACCAGTTTTTGACGCTGGGACTTCATTGATACCAACAGGCTACGAGACTAAGCTGTTTGCGATATGTGGAGAATACATTTGTACGACTGGTTACGTGACCAATGTATGGAATGTGCTCAATGGCAGGCTCTTGATGAGTATCAGTCATGGAGATACAGTCAAAGCTACGGCGGTGGCATTTCGGCCTGCGAAAGACGTCGAAGATGAAGGTAAACGCTTATGGCTTGGCATGAACACCGGCGAGATGCATGAGATCGATATTTCGACTCAAAGCGTGGTGTGCACGAAAAGCACGGCGCACAAAGGCGCACCTGTTGTAAAGATCTTTCGATATGCGTCCGAGATGTGGTCCCTGGACGACGAAGGCAAACTCCACATTTGGCCACCGGATGATACAGGCTCCCCAACTCTTCAGCAGACACCTTGCGCATACCGCGTCCGTAGCGGCCATACTTTCTCAATGATATCGGGATCACAGCTCTGGATAGCTTACGCCAGAGAGTTGCGCGTCTACAAGCGAACGGGCGACGGCAACTACTTTCAAGAACTGACGCAAGGAGGTCTGTCGCAATTAAATGTGGGCGACGTTACTTCTGGTGCTATCTTGAGTAGCCAACCGGACCGCGTCTACTTTGGCCATAATGACGGAAAAGTCACCATCTACGCGAAAAAGGGCTTTGATTGTCTGGGTGTGGTGAACGTAAGCCTGTACAAAATAAGCTCGCTGGTCGGTGTGGGCGACTATCTTTGGGCTGGATATAGCACGGGCATGGTCTACGTCTACGATCTGAGCAGCACGCCGTGGAAAGTGAAGAAAGACTGGAAGGCTCATGAGAAGGTCATCTTCGGTATTTTGGCTGATAGAACAAGCATCTGGAAGCTCGACCGCCTCCAGGTCGCAACGTTGGGTTCTGACAACATTCTGCGCATATGGGATGGTATGATGAAGGATGACTGGCACGGTACGTGTATTGCTGCGAACGACGAGGACCGATCTGACAACCGTAGAAACCCAAATGCAGCAGCGCGACTCCGAATATTGCGAGTTCCGAGAGTTGACAGCCAAGGTCATGACCTGGAACGCCGGCGCAGTAAAACCGACGGAACTACGACATAACGAGCAAGATCAGAACTTCTTCCGAGAACTGTTACAGCCTGAAGACCCCGCTGACATACTTGTATTTGGTTTCCAAGAGCTGGTAGACCTGGAGAACAAGAAGATCACGGCCAAGAGCTTCTTCAAGAAGAAGAAGTCAAAAGATACCCAGGAACAGGAGCACATGTCCCACCAGTACCGAGCGTGGCGCGACCATCTCGTTCGCGTCTTAGACGAACACTGTCCCCGGCAGAACTACACCCTGCTCCATACAGCAAACCTGGTCGGACTCTTTACTTGCATTTTCGTAAAGGGTTCCGAACGCACCAAAATTCGCGATGTTAGCGCGGCGGAAATCAAGCTTGGTTTCAGTGGGCGCGTCGGAAACAAAGGAGCGTTGGTCGTTCGATTTCTCATCGACGACTCATCTCTCTGCTTCATCAACTGCCATCTGGCAGCTGGACAGTCGCAGACACAACACAGAAACAACGATGCCGCCTCCATCATGGAAGCGGCACCTTTGCCACGAAATCGCTCACCCAGAGACTGTACAAACTTCTTTGTGGGCGGCGGTGACGGCTCTATGATACTTGACCATGAAATTTGCATCCTCAATGGCGATCTCAACTACCGCATCGATTCCATGACGCGCGATTCTGTCGTTTCTGCTGTGAAGCAGGGCAATCTCACCAAACTCCTCGAACGGGACCAGCTTCTCCTGTCTCGGAAACGCAACCCAGGTCTACGGCTACGCGCGTTCAATGAAGCCCCCATCACGTTCGCGCCCACATACAAGTACGATGTCGGAACCGACACGTACGACACCTCTGAGAAGAAGCGCTCGCCTGCGTGGTGCGACAGGTTGCTGTATCGCGGTCTGGGCAAAATTAAGCAAACCGAATACCGACGACACGACTGCGTGAGAGTCTCAGATCACAGGCCTGTTAGCGGGAGGTTCAAGCTGAGGGTCAAGACGATCCATACGAAGTTGCAGATGGCGGTAAGCGACAAAGTCGAGGTTGAGTTTGAGGCTGTAAAGAGGAGGATAGCGGGGGACATCAAGTGAGTGAATTGCTGCCGTCTGCTGCACGTCCGAAACTCTGCTAACCTGATGCAGACTCGATTACCTAGTTAATGTATTTGGACTAAGCGCAAAGGAAGCGCAAAAGCTATTGCAAGGCGCGTAGGATTCGCCCGTCGGCCGTCTGGAGATACCACATTCGTATTATTGATTGGGCGCTGTTGCTGAGCATCTGCATTGAGGTAGTGTTATGAACGATACACTGGGGATTGAACAGTGTGTGGTCGCGTGCTGGGTCCAGGAAATGCAACACGAAAAAGCGATCTGCACAATCCCATTTGCGCGGATCATCGATATCACCTCTACGCACTGCGGTGTAATGTGTTAGCGCGACAACATGGTGACGTCAAACACGCGTACCTCTCAAATGCACCCAAACAATAAAACCACCATTGCATCCACCTAAATAACAAATAACCCTCTCTATTGCAAGGAGTCCACATATGTCCTTCCCTTGTTCAATTGCCCTCCGTCGCCTGCCACTAACGAGCGCCTCGTCAGCACTCCCACGCGCACGTCTCACCACCGCGCACCTTTCCCGCAACACAAAAGCCTTTGCTTCGACGAAATCTTTTGAATCCAAAATGAGCGAGAGCCATTCACAGCGCCGCGGTGAGGAGACCACAGGCATCAGCGAGTGGAAGATGCGCCCGCCGTACCGCGTGCACGAGAAGAATGAGCACTTTGATGCAAAGTACGAGGCCAACTGCCACTGTGGCAAGGTGCAGTACCAGCTCAGCAGGAAAGAGCCGCTGGACAGCAAGCTCTGCCATTGCACGACGTGCCAGACGCAGCACGGTATGCTCCCTCTCCTTCAAAGATCCTTCCTCTTCTCCAGTATGCATGTTGATATGATTTAAAGCTGCACCTTTTCAATGGGCCGCCATCTTCCACAAAACCGACATCAATTTCAGCGAAGGCCACCATAATCTCGAGTGGTACGACCCCACGGAAAAGTCCATCGAGCACAAGCTCCCGTGCAAAGTGCGCTGCAGCTACTGTCACTCGCCCATCATGGACGAGGGCCGCAACATGATCCTGCTCTTCCCGTCGCTGATACACCTGAAGACCGACGAGGACAAGGCGCTATTCAAGCCCCGCTGCCACATGTTCTACGGGCAGAGGGTTATGGATATCCCGGATGGCCTGCCGAAGTGGAGCGGCCTTAGCGATAGCAGCGATCTGATTGAGGATAGCCCGCCGGAGAAGGTGAAGGAGATGCAGAGGAAGATGGAGGAGGAGAGAAAGGAGAGGTTTGAGAAGGGCAAGAATGAGTAGGTCTTGCACAGTAGAAGCGATGACAAAATAATAAAAAGAAGCAAAGAAAAGTCAAGGCCAGTGTGCAAAGTGACGGCGAATAGGCGTCTACAATGTGGCTTGTCTACGTTTTGGAAGGAATGTTATGGCATGCATGCTTGCATTCTATGGGCAGGCATGAAACGGCACAGGCATCTTATATGTCTGCAAAGAAGACAACTAGGTACTCATTTTAGACTCAAGTACGTCATCAACCTTTACTGCAACCTGCAAGACATATCCTTCGCTGATAGAAGCATTGATAATTGAGACTTATCCTTGGCACCGTTCAGCTGGGCCAGTCAAACATCCGTTCGACAGGTGTGAATGTAGAACAACTGCCAGATGCAAACGTGGCGAGAAGGATCCAACAGGCTACTACGATCAAAGCTTCACGCTCTAAGCTTCACATGTAATTACCACTATATTCACACTCGAGCATTACCATGTTTGCCAATACTTTCCCCAGCTACTGTTTGGCTTGCAATAAGTCACTGCTATCCCCTTCTATGCCCATAATTGGACTATACTTGAATATCCCGCGTCTGCGCGTCCCACCATTCACTTCTCGCTTCCGTTCTTCACATCCTGCCAACCCTACCAGCCCCCTAAACCACACATATTTCCTAAGCACAAAGCACCTAAATAATCTTCCAGTGCGACCTCCATACCCCACTCCACGCCCCTTTGTTGAAAATCTCGGCAAGAACTCCCAGACACTCGCACACCGACTTTCCACACCACCATGGCCGAACTCCACCCCATACCCTCCCTACTCGCCCTCTCCGAAGCCGTTCGAAACACGGGTACCGAACTCGAATCCATCGGCGGGAAGTTGCACACGCTGGCCGCAGCTCTGGAGAAAGAAGCGACCGTAGATCCCCCCTCTCTGACCCCCTCTTTGACCTCGCCGTCTTCCACCCCAGTCCAACACGCTGACAGACAGGTGGACGCACAGGGCCTCGCTACCGAGCGCACCTCCCTGCAGTCCCAACTCGCCGCTGCGCAGGCCGCTCTCGCCGCCGCAGAGCAGAAGGCGAAATCCGCAGCTGCGCCGTGGGGTGTCGATGTCTGCGTCGGGATCCGCGCCAGCTCCTCGGACAGTAGCACCGTCTTCCGAAAGATGGGATGCTGCACTGGCTGCGGCGATGCTGTGCCACCCTCCCCTTCCGTCGGCAGAGTCAGCGGAGGGAGTGCAGTGGGAAGCTTAACACCAGCGGGCGAGGCGAGGAGTCAGCTGAGCAAGGCGCTGTCAGAGGTTGCGGAGAGGGCGGAGAAGGCGGCGAGCCAGGTAAGGAGTGCGGCTGCAAGCGGAGGGGCGGGTGGTGGGAGCAAGGCAGTGAGCGTGGTTAGTAGGAAGAGCGGTGGTAGCGGTGTGGGTGCGGGCGGTGGTTCGAGAGCGACTTCGTCGCATGCAAGTCAGAAGTGATGGGTGGAATCTGGTATGCATGAGTGTCGAGATGGATGGGTCTATCGGGGGTTGAATATGCGGTGCCGCGATGATTTCCATCAACGAGCAATGAGGGACGAGAAGTGATTGAGAGCGACGGGACATCGTGTATGATGCTCTCGGAGAGCGAAACTGTATGTGAGACATCACTAAGAGTGGTCTGAGTTCATGTATGCTCGCATTTCCATTTCTCAGTCTGAGAAATGACGATCTGTAAGACTATGTTCAGCACTGCGGATACTTCCCAACGCTGCTCATACTACATGCACCCGAAATTGAATTGATAATCCTGAATCGTTATGAAGCACTTCGAGACCTCAGTATAAGGCTCTCATCTGCCAGGTAGGGTAGCTCGAAGAAGAAACTGTCACACGCCCCAGCCCTTTACTAGTTCTGGACCTGGTCATCTCGAATATTCTGGAGCCAGAACATCATGATTGGGAGATCACCGTTATTCCCTGTGAAGACTCGGATGTTATATATGAGCCTGCGAGGAGCTGTTAGCCACATTGACGCCATGAGTCTCGGGCTGACAGGACTACTCACTTGACTCCCATGTCCAGTTTGCGTTGGTTGATAAGGTAACCCATCGGCTTCCCATTTGGTGATCCCAGAAGCGCCTGTCCTTCCGGCTCCGCAGTAGAGAAGTCGTCACCAGGCCACACGGAGTATTTGTCTTTTCCGCGAGCATGCAGAGCCCGCTTCATAATACTCAGCGTATCCGTGTTGATTATCCACATCATGAACATTGAGTTGAGATTTTTGACGTTCGGATTCCCAACGTAAGGATTGCTTCCGCGCTGCCAACCCGCCCAGAGCAGGTCCGAAAGGCTCCGTAATTGAGGCAATTCGTTAGGATGCGCCTCACGGCCATATAGGGTCTTGAAGCTCTCCGCAGGACTTACGGCGATGGAGACCATCATAGATCCAGCCCTGTCTTGGACGCCAAATTTTGCCCTGGCCCCGGTGACTCGGTAATTGTAGCCATAGGCCTGGTAGGATTGTTCGTTCAAGAGGATCGGCTGACCATGTTCATCCCGAGCGTTGGCGGCTCCATGGCTGAAGTGGTAGGCATATATGTCTAGTCGTGAGAAGTTGGTCAGTGTATGGCGACACTTTGGAAAGTGATTAGACATGTCGTGGTAACCGATAGTTGACATATGGGATTGAGAACACCTATGCCAGCAAAAGCCTCCACTGGGCACGTCAATGTTACGTACCTTGCCACGGGGTGATTCCAATACCACGTGATCGTACGCAATCAATCCAACCGGGACCATAGAAGTCGTTGAAAACAGCATCATTGTATTTGCGGTCGCCATCAGACCAGCCCCAGGTCGAGTACATCATATTGTTCATGTTATCGGCCCTGAATACGCTGTTCGCCGACACGCGCGGAGGATCGTACGCTCTACCAGCAGCTGCATCGGATTTCCAGAAGTTGTAATACATCTGGGCACCCTTTGCCTGGGCTGCGCACCACAGCTCGTCCGACGCCATCGGAGAAAGATCCCAATTCGCCCGACGAGCGAGGCGCTCGCGCTGCTGGAGTCGGGCGGTCGTCGCCCCAGGAGCATATGTCTCGTTCGAAGTGGTGGCAGCCGGAGAATCGGATGTAGCGGAAAAGATCTGGTGGAATAGAGTATCGGCAGTGTCCGAAAGCGTGCAGTTCGCGATGCACGCGAAAATCGCGAGGGCCGCGGCTAGAGTTGTGATCTTCATCTTGAACAACGGATGCTTGTCGACAGATTGGTGGGCGGATACGGTCGGACAGAGCGGGGCGAGGGCGTGTCTGTCACTCTGTTATAACTGTGTAGCGGTGCGCAGAGGCGCACCTACCTTCATTGATGTGGAAGGCACGGCCAAAACAAGACCTGTGCAGGTGCCACTTCTGCGGTGGCTAGGTATGCAGAGATTAAATATGAGCTCTTAGCTATGCGCATTTCCCAGATTGTTCACCCAATTCCTTCTCCGAGAATCTCTTGTACTGGAAACGATATCGCAATACCTCGGATCTTTACGAGCGCGGAGACCTCGATTGGGCAGCGATAGAAATCTGCGGAAGTCCAAAGAAATGCTCACTTAGCGAGGACCCCTTGACTCTGCAGCTACTAGGGACTATAGGTGACACCTGAAGATAGTAGCAGAGAGACACCCGTGTGCTTCACCCACCCCGTAGATTCACTCATATTCAGGCCATAAAAACTACTCGGAAAACATGTTTCACCCTCGCGACTGCAATCACGCAGTCAAAAGACGACCCTTTTCCAGCCATGAATGCGACGAGGACTGCAAATGCACACTCGTGAGGCAAGCCGCCTCTAAGAACTACATAAATGCCAGAACTTTTTACGCCAGAAATAACGCAAATTGACGAAAACAAAATGAACACATGCAACGCCCCTGTGGTACCATGGCCCCACCACTTGTGTTCCGTGGCGAAATAACACTCACCACAATTCAAAACATCGATCAGATTACCACGCGAATCCACGAGGTATTCCAGCAAGCTTTTGACTTGTACCACGACTCTAAACACGCTACAGTGGCGTCTGAGCGCGAAAATGCAGGTCTGCAGCTTCGCGGACTCAGCAAGACTCTTCAGAAAGACATAGCTGAACAGCACCACATCGCGGCTTCACTGAACGTAACTAACGTTACGGGGGTATATGTCACCGCTGGGTATACGAAGGATGCGGCAGTTGTCAAGGCGAAGGAAGATCTAGCAGGTCTGAGCGGGAGGATTAGTATGATCGAGGGACTCATAGGAAGGATGGTGGCCGAGGTGGTGTATGGTAATTCGGAATTTTGGTGTCTAGGGGGTGAGCGGGCACCTCGAGCAACCGACGCCTGCTAAGCCCGAGAGTCATCTCGCATCTTCTGCATCTCATCCAGCACTCTATCTTTCGCCCATCTCTCATGCAAACCTCTGATCAGAAGGTCTTGCTCGCTGTCTGGTGCCATGCCTGCCGTCTCTGGGACTCGTTTATCCAAGTTCGTTGGGAAAGGATAACCTTCCGCAACATTCTCCAAGATTGTTCGAACCCTACTATTCAATCCCCCCTCCTTGTGCATGTCTCTTATCAGATCCCATGTTGCCTCCACAAGCGGATACGTATCAATCATCTCCATGGGTTTCCCAAATCCGCTCGATATCTGCAGCAAATTTGCCGAGCGCATGATGTCTTCGGAGTCATTCTGCCCCGCAGCATGGAACAGTGCGGGATTGAAGAACAGTCCATCGCCCTGGGAGAGCGGCACGGAGACGTAATTTTCGATAAAGAACTCCTGGAACTCTGGAATCCGATACGCCATGTAACCCTCCTCGAACATCTGGCTAAACGGCAGCAGCCGCGTAGGTCCGCTTTCCAGTGGCATATCCGAGTGGGCGACGGCGCCCTGCAGCGTCAAGAATTGCGATGCAACTTGCAACGCCTTCGGGAACTGTGCGCATGATGTGTTGTCTTGGAAGCCAATGTGGTAATCCCGGTGCGAGATCTGGGGTTTTGCACCGGGCTTGACTATGTTCACTTGGGCTGTGATGCGGTGGTACGGGCCTAGCCATGCAGAGGAGATGAGCGGTAGCCAGGGGTTAGAATAGTATTCGACGAAGGATTTTGCATCTTGCAGACAATGTTTCGAGAAGGAGTTCCAAATGCGGTCGTTTGCGCCCGAGCCGGCGAAGTGATCTCCGCGCTTGCCAGAACGCTTCTTTTCTTCATCGATGATTCTTGAGTAGGCATCATTTACTGTGCCAAGAAGCGACTTGTCTTTATACAGGTGTTTGGTAACGAATACGCCCGGGCCTGATAGGAGGATATGGTACCATTCGTCTTGCAGCGCTGAGCGTTGATCTGGAGATACTTCAGCGAACTCGGGAAGATCATAGATGGGGACATTGGCTTCAGTTGAAGCTGCGAGGGGGTAATTGATAGGTCGTGAATGGGTGATGAGTTTCTTGAATTCATAGAGAGACGGAGGTTTGTTGGTAGAAAACAGTCGAGGCGCTATCGGAGAGTGGCTGTTCGTGAAGCCGTTCGTACGTGCATTGATAACTGTGCTATTCATTTCGGATGCTTCGGTGATCGTGAAGTGCACAGTGAAGTTGGTGGTGAACTGCAAAGGTCTAAATAAGCAATTGATTTTCTCTAAGGGGCAATTCTGGCCGCTCATGGCTGCGCAGCTGTAGCGGCGATTCTTACCAAGCTCGAACGGCGCTACCCCGCATTGATCAGGACCTTTCCATCATCAACTCGGATTCCATCGCTACTACGGTTAATACCATCCCACGAGTTCACCTGCGTCTACCTGTGTCAATATCAAGAAAATCCGATTTGTTACTTCATGTGAAGTGAGGTGATTGACGCTACTGAGCACCTCTGTCGTCATGGAAGGGGCAAGACGGACCTTGTTGCCATATCAGACGCCCGCCGAACAGCATCTGAGAGACACAGCTCTCTTGCAGTAGGCATCCTGTTGGAGGTGGCTCGAGAAAAATGGCCCGGCGGTGTGCTTGTCTCTGTCTTAAGTTCAAGCGATTGTCCTGCACCAAATTGGGCGGACTGGCGTTTAGGTAGTCCGCCAATTTGCACATAGTCACTTCAATGTTTTACTTTAGGTCAATTGAACAAGTGAAAAAGAGCTTATTCACAGCCAGATTTGATGATTGGTGGTAGCACAATGATCGACTATTAGTTCGCCCAGTTCGTTCAAGCCGCTCTTCATGATACTATATGAACAGTTGCCAACGCCCAACCTCACGGCCATTTTGTGATCAAGCACAGAACAGCACACATAAATCCTCCCGATGAAGACGAACATGTATGAAGTCGATAAACGCAGTTAGTAATGGAAAATGCACACGAACAATCTGACACTATCTTGATCGACGGCTGCAAGCGGTTACCGGACCCTGACGAACATCGCGACCCCGCAAGCTATCTAGACTGGACCACAGTCGTGAAGATCGTCTCATGAATCATAGTGATCTTTTGGATAGCTACGGATGCTTATGATAAGAGAACAAGAGATCAGTGCGGATTCTCAAGATCGCGAGAACCCGCAATTCGCTAATTGAGGACTGCAAGCGGTGGATAGACGCTGGAAATGTACGGGAGAGGAGATTATAGTGGTTTAATGTAGGCTACGACAAGGGGCCATACCGTTCCGCGAGGATCAGAAGATAGGACATGGCACATGCGCAAGCCGTGTTCCCCGAGATCAGAGTTGTAAAGGATACGTATAAGAGGAACATGCTTTCATCAATTTGGGTGCTTTTCTGTACAGCTTTTTATTGACTTTATCGAAACATTTTCGCAAGTAATCTCAACAATGACAGATGTGAAGTGGTTCCAAAACCATCTCCCCTATCATTTCAAAGACTGCTCTCTGCTCGAAGAAGCGTTTCTCGCTGCTGGAGCCTCAATTTCCCGATCCGATGTTGAAGGCCCGGAAAAAGGAAATAAACGACTAGCTTTGGTAGGAGATGCCGCGTTGCGCCTCGCAGTAATCGACGATTGGTACAAAGACAACACTGAGCCATGTGAGCTGAGCGAACCCGGCAACCCTTTTTCTTACTTACATGTATCAGCCGCGGGCCATGAGCGCTTTTTAAGTGTCGGGACGAACGACCACTTGAAACAGATTGCAATCAAGTGGGGGATGGAGAGACTTATCGTGGAAAATCCCACTCAAAAAGGACAATACCCAAGGGAAACGATGGCAGCGACCGTGGAGGCAATCATTGGAGCCGTCTGGGTCGATTCTGATAAAAATCTCGCTGCGGTACAGAAGGTTTTGAACACTCTGAACGACTGACGATCTTAAGAAAAAACACCGCATGCGGAAGTCATACGTCACATCTAGGGGATTTCGTACGTCACTCACTTAACTAGCGTGTATTAAATCGCTTTTTGTCTAGTTCAAAATGTAATAGTCACTCATTTGACCCTTGTTCATCGGCGCGTCATCTGTGCATTCGGGTGCTATCGCTTACTTGTACACCGGCCACGACCTGCCTAATTTCCCCGAGAACTTACCAACCTTCCCTATCTTCTCTTTAACACTCGTGTCTACAATCTCAGTGCCCGTCCTATCAACCCTCGGATTGCCAGGCGCTCCTGCGTCTCCTAAACCTCCGGACATGTGTGTTGGATAGTTGTCGGGCAGCTCCACCCTATTGTAGGTCGAGATATCGACTAAAAAGGAGAACGTGTTAGCACATGCACTGAATGTTGATTCCGTTTGGAGGCACGCTTACCTGGTGGTGGAGGTGGCATTGTAGGTGCCGGCACCCAATCTACCGTGATCGACTGATCGCGGGAGAGTTTCTGGTTGTCGAACCACAGCTCAAAGCGAATGTCAGCCGGTCCTATTAGGACACGCACTTGGTATTCGACCCTGAAGTAATGTTTTCCGAGGGACCAAAAGCGCTTATTCTTCTCTGTGAACTTCTTTTCGTCCGCTGAGGACAGGTCGGAAGATATTTCGCAGAGTACACGCGTGTCCGGGCTCATCTGATCGGGCAAGTAAGGCGCATCGAGCTTGCACTCTATAACGCTGGTGGGGAAAGTTCTGCGTGGGTCGCCCGGTGTCACTTTCTTGATGAAGTTGTGGACTATTGGCTTATCAACTGATACAGGTTCTCCTTTCTTGACTAGACACTGTCAGCTAAAGTCTCCGAAGGGGTCGGATCATATTTTACCAAACCAAGCAATCGACTGCATGATATACATCTTTCCATTCAATGGATCACGGACGAGCTGCTTTCCTATGTGATCTGGGTTCTTCTTGTCGTACATGATCTTGCACATTGTTCCGTACGATGAGCGACAACATCGCCATCCGAGCACAGAGTAGTTTGTGATCAGCTTCCGTACGCGGTCTGCGACGAGACCTTTGCACACTGCTAGCTGGGGATCCGGAGCTATGCGTACAGATATTCCGTGAGCATTAGGGATACTGGTCACTGCATAATGTTGCCGTAATCGGGTCTGTACGTATGCCGAGTTGCCTAGGCCACCCGAGAGAACTATGTGTGCGACTTGTTCTGCCGGATACTTGCGGTACAGAATCTGCAGCTGGGTATCAATGAGCTGGAGAAGCTTGTTTACTTGCTTGTCGAACAGTCGCTGCAAATCTTCGCGATCGAAAGCCACCTCGCCACTGCGAATTCTCGCTTCCTCGTTGTTGTAGGTGTGTGATAGCTTTGGAATCCCGATACTGAAAATCGGTGTGTCGTCCGGAGCACCGTACTCGCATTTGACAGCCTGGAAGTCCCGACTCTTCATCATCTCCCACGCAGCATCGGCTGGGTCAATGGGCAATGGCTTAATAGCATGCGCTCGCTCCAGTCTCTCACACACGAGCTTTTCGAACTCATAATCTATTGCTGCGCTGCCGATGGTCTCACCAAAAACGACGTCGAGTTGTTGCAGGTTGATGGCTTGGTTCGCGGTTCCGGTCACACGGAGGACAGACAGATCAGTTGTGCCGCCACCGGCATCGCAGACCAAGAGGATATCATTCTCACGGAATATACCAGGTGCTTCGGTGGATACGTGTACTGCTGCTGCCTCAGCTTCTGTGAGGCCTATTGTTACCACGTGATTTGTTTGCACTCCAAACCCGGCCTGTCCTATAATAGTCTTGAACCTTTCCACTGTAGGAACTGGCTCCCATGTTGTTGGAACCGAGAAGATGAACTCTACACGGGCTGTCTCCCAGCTAACGCCAGATAACTCTCCACCTAGCTTGAACGCGAGGTATTCGTACATCTTGCTAAGGTAGTCCCGGTACCATTTTTCCACCTCCTCCATCGAGGCTGGAGCATTTTCTGGGTCGGACCGTTGCTTCTTCAGCAGGTGAGGTGGTGAGAGGAGTGTTTTGAACCATTCTTTATAGTCTTTGTCTTGGGCTGTTGTCTCGGCCACTGTTTCCGATAGGAAGCCCCAAGAAGACGGGGTTGGATTGGATGATGCCGTTGGGTATACTACGACTGTTGGGACCTTGTTTTCGTTTGCTTGGAAGCGGCCGGGCCATTTCTGGACCCAACGAATGGTCTCGCTTCCGATGGAAAGATTCGCGTAGGCGACGCCTGTGCACTGGAAAATGTTAGTGGATAAAGGAAAATTCACGTGAAGCAAACTGCTTGATGCATATCTCATCCTATAAGCTGGTTGCTGCTCAATCCGTGCTCACAAAAGTCTGGTGAGCACGTCTGGATGCGATAGATGCACGTGATGATGAGGTGAGGACGCGCTAGCCGCCTTTGACTCAGCCCTCGGCCCCTCCTTCGCTCTAACATGCAGTCCATCCTGACCATCTGCAACGTTGACACTTACCGTCATGCCCAAATCAATCCCGATCACCATTTGCGGCTTCTCGCCCTCTGCTGCTCCATTCATCGTCGCGGTCATCTTCGTTGACTGCTGCCGTTACAGCCTCGTGCAGCGAAATTGATGAGCAGGCTGAGTTCTCAATGCTATAAGACAGCCCAGGTTGCATTCGCAACCGTGAAACGCATGGGCTTGGCTCAGCCTCAGCCTTGCAAAGGGGCCTTACGCTAGCCCCCGTCTTATTATTAGGTGTGGGTCGGTGGCCTATCAGGATGTATGTGCAACAAGGAAGGCGTATTGGGGGCTGAAGGATCGATGCAGGGCGAAGCTTCGTTGGAAACGCGCACGCCATGAAAGAACTCCTAGAAGCACTTCTTACCGTTGAGATGCGCTGCGAGTAAAGAGTTATGGGAAGGTGGGACAGGATACAAGGAGGCTGCAGATGCGTTAATTAAGGTCAATGTGATTGTGCAGCGCGTGGACGCGAGCTGTGCCGCAGGAGTTGTACGGTATTTCGGGGGTACTAAATGGCTGTATTCATATTTGCGCTAGTGCCATTGGCGCATGTGAATGGCTTGATATACATCGGCTCACCTGCGGATGTGTCAGGCTGTGGTTTCCATCCTTACTCCCTCTGCTGACACAGTCTTCGGAATCAATCAAAACGGCTACTTCCTCTTTGACCTCTGTCTTCCATTCTGCACAACTGCTTCTGGAGACACTCCACGGTCGCTCCAATGGCAACGGAGCCCGAGAATCCCATTCCTGCATTCACAGTGAGTTTGTGGGAAAGTCTTTCAGCGTTGACGTATTATACCGAAAAGAAGGCTGCGCAAGAAGTGCCGACACTTTTGTGGAGTTCAATCAATGATACCCAATGGACATCATTTCATTCCTCAACCGCATTCACATACATACCTCTCGGGTCCTTTAAAACAACGACAACCGTGAACCTCTGGTGGGATAACACCGCAAGCAGCAATGCCGGTGAATTAGGGTTAAATTTCCAGGCTGCGGGATCGGTCTTTACCAGGATGACTGCGAAACCGGCCCAGGCATCCGCGCCCAGTGCACCAGCGACCCCAACACATACTAGCAATGCTCCAGCAACAGATCCTGATGGAAAGCCTGGAGTTTCGATACCGTCCATCACTCCAGCAGCAAGTTCAGGACCTGCTTCGTCTGCCAGCGCGTCTGGCTCGTCACAAACCACCGAGCCCACAAGCTTACCTGCAAGCGACGGAATCAAACCTGCAACTGCAGCGGGAATTGCTGTAGGTTGCCTTTTAGCAGGTGCATTGATTGCTGGCTTACTCGTCTGGTTTTGCTCGAAACGCAGACGGCCTGCGACCGGCGTGCGTGATTCTGAAGCGAGTACGGTCGCCTTGATGCATCGCGAGAAGGGCGCCACGGCCAATGTAGTGTCCATTTCGAATGGAAGTCCGATCACCTCAACACTCGAAAATGGCCTCCCTCAACCATTGGAAGACCAGGCCATCTCTGGTGAAATATCGAAGATCAGCAACCTGATCAAGAACCACGTTCAAAGCTACTACCATAGCCGTACTGTTAGCCCTGGAATGATCGATTATGACGATCTTCAAGCTCTTGGAGAGAACCTTCCAGTATCAGTGGGAACCCTGAGCACGCTGCTCAACAACTCGGCAACTCGCGAGATAGCGCTGAGGTTTATTCTTGCTTGGGTGGTAACATCGCGGATTCAACTAAACAATTCTTCAAACACAACGTTCCTGCCACCAGAGGTTGCAAAATGCATGCAGTCGATGAACCACGCGGAGCACCCATCGCGAGGTAAGCTACTAAATAACGAACTTCGTCTGTAATTCTAACAGTCTTATACAGTGCACTCGCTATTATACACCAAATGGCGTGCGCTCACGGCCGAGCTTCTGCAGCCTACCCACGTTCGGAACCCTTTCTCTGGTAGCGACGGTCGAATTCGGAATATACAGGCTGCCGCGACACTTCTCGACAGCGTGCTACGGCCGTTCGCTGATTCTCGTATGGACGACGGAGCACGAAGTCGAAATCTGGAGGAGATGCTCAAGCGATCAGCCCAATTCGCCTTCACGCTTTTCTCACAACCGAGTGCCTGGGATTTCGACTGGCAGGATGAGCAAAGCGTTAAGTCGGGCAGCCTGTGTATTTTTCCTGCCCTTGTGCAAGTCGCAGATGAGAACGGAGAGCCTCTACATCCGCCACGCCCATTCAGTGAGGCCGTAAACCGACGTCTTGACGAATGAGCAATGTAGAATCAGAGATGCATCTAATCATTTTAATCACTCAGGTCGCCACATATCTTGGTCGGAGATCGTGACTTTCATCCGCTCCTTGGGGGCCTAAACACAGCCCTGTTGGGGTCTTGAGAAGGCGTTGCTAGTCGTTTCGTGTGGATGACTAGCGAGGACCGAGCAAGACAAAGCGGCCCCTAAACAATAGACAGTTTTCGACTGCGCACCTACAAGAGCTCCAATTGGCGTTACGTTAGCTATTTCCGGCCTTGATACATGTAGTATCACGTAGATCAGATGCACATCAATTACACTTTGCTGCGAGACGGCTCGCTATCCAATAGAATCTGCGTTGGCTATGCCTAACCAATGTCTAGTCGGATCCCATGGTGCACAGATACGAAGGGAGAACATGCTTGTGGTCTGTTTCGTCTCACCCACACGTTCCCGCAGTGCACAGCCTTCTTTATCTCTGAAGAACCTGGCGGAATTGGACTACGGAGTGCTGCCGCGCACCAGTCGCCCGTGCCCCGACGTTTGCTTCTCCCACCCGAAGCGTATTACATCTTCGTTGGGCGGCTAAAAGCACTTGAGCCGTGGAGGCGCGCTGCAATCTCCTGTCTGATCTACTGTTTGCCTTTTCCAATCGCTGACCGTCGCCTCAAGGATCCGCCGCAATACTTCCAACTCCATGACCACCTAGGCAGTACCTTCATGCTTGACAAAAATGATGTCAGGGGCCGGTTTGTACTTGCCGGACACCCTATCGAGGTCACTCGATCGTACGGAGGCGCATGCAGTAAGACAGAGGCACATTGACCGCAAGTCAAGCCAAGACCCGGATTCAGATCGCAAATCCATCGCCCTCTCGCGAATGTCTTCAGAAAATGTCACCAAGGTGTTTTCCTCGCTACCAACTGTCTTTGACTTTGCGGACTGGCTGTCAACACAAGGGAGAGTGTCGTCCGACAACGAGCTCTTCATCGATCTTCTCCAGCGCGTACGACATGATGTCACCGAAGCCTCGCGGCTCTATACATCACAAGCTGTCGTGGATTACCTTGAATCATGGCCCGACAAAAGGACCTATATCGACAAGGTTCTACAAGATATCGAAAGAGTTCTTAATGATATAGGCCAGTTCGTAGAGGCCGTGCGGGTATCCGGGGATGACGGCAGCACGGTCAGTCTGCGGCGCAAGTTTCAGTGGGCAATTTCGCACCAGAAGAAGCTCAGGAGCAAACAGCAATTGCTCACGATATGTCACCAAAGCCTGATGCCTGCCGTACAGCTGATGCAGACCGTTGAGATGAATGCGACATTCGATCCCATCCACGAGCTGCCGGATCGGCCTTGGGTTGGAGACACCGTCAGCGGTTTTCTCAAAAGTCCTCGTTCCAGACAGAAATCAAAGTTCGCCCAGAGGAATTCGTCTGTGCCCAGCATCACACTTTCAGAGCCAGACCTGAAGGATGACAAGTTTGGTATTTGTACTGTAACGCGTTGCTCACTAATTGCTGACATTTCTGTAGCACACCCGTACCAGCATATACTTGCCGAGCTTCCAGGAAGCACTCCAGATGATCTTCATCGTCAATCTCTGGATTTATACGCGGGTTCTCGAAAGTCACGAAGCAATTCCATGGAAGAAGTGCTCCAAGCATCCGCGAGACAGAGCAACATGCGTTCTACCCTTGAAAGTGATGTGGTCGAAGAAAGTCGTAGACCGATGACAGCAGATGCAGACGTTGCTGCAGCTCCTCGACGATCTCCCCCAAAATCCCCGTCGACTCGCAGATCTGTTGACCAGGTCCGGCCTTCGCTCTCCTTCTTCGATAACAGAGCTCGCGCATCTTTCGATTCAGCTCGACCTCGAGCGTACTCAGAGCAGATGCGACCTCAGCGATCCTTCGAGATGAGGAGCCGCCTATCATACGATCAAGTGCGACCTCTGCCCACTGTGACCGAGCGGCCCATTGAGCGCTTCAACTCGACCGCATCCGTTGCTGTCGGCGACGCTATCAGCATACCACTCATGCATATGAGATATCAGACGAGACACATTAATGTTCGCAAGCCGCCTGTCAAACAAAATTCACTGCCGTCCACGCTGCCCTCCTTTCCAAGCCAGACGTCGTTGATGGATGATCTGTCAACATGGGTCATTCCGCCATCAGCACGTGAGAGCTACCGCAGTGTACAGAGCCTCGACACTGCAACATCGATCAGTGACACTACACCAGCAACATCGGTCACATCATCACCGACCGTCCCAAACTCACCTACCAGCTGTCCAACAATGCCACTGGACGCCTCAGGATGCAGCATGGAGAAAACATCAACCGACCCTTCGCTGATTCTCAGATCCATCCCAGTTCTACCTTCGAGGCCAGCGCCAGCGCCACCATCATTGAACCTACCCCCATCTATAAACCCAAAGATACCATTTTCACAGAAATCCGAGCCAGATGCGATACCACACCTTGTACAGAATCAGAGTTCTCAGAGATCTATACCAGCGATGTCTTCATCACCATCTTCGGAAACAGATTTAATACCATACTCAAAGGCGAACGAGAGTCTGCAAAGAGCACCCAGTGACCCAATTCCACCACCGTTCGTGCGGCGCAGACGTCCGGTACCGAGTCCCAGCAGAGACAGATCCGTAGAAGAGACGTCAAATGCACTATCTACACCGACCCCACCGTCAACAGAGACCGCTGCAACAAGCGCTCAACCTCACTACCAAGCGATAGCAAAAATAACAGAGCAATTGGGGAATGAGCAGCAACCATCAAGCGATGCTCATTCGTCTGCAAGGCCACATTCATCCTACGACTTCAAGCAAAGTATACACCACACATCTTCAAACGCAACCACAACAGACAAGTATCCTATACCTATGATACCCAGCAACCCACCGCCCATTCCCGATGTACCACGACAGTCCCCTCCACAAACCGCAGACAGCATATCATCCAGGACTTCCCATGCCTACGCTAAAATCCACTCTACTTTTTCGACCGCAAGCGCGACAGACAAATATCCAATATCTGTGTTCCTCGATAGCCCACCACCCATACCAGCCACCTCAACCCAATCTCTACCGACAACCACAAGCTACACAGTAGCCCAATCAGATGTACGCCACGGCAAATCTAACGCAAGTGCAACGGACAAGTACCCGATCGCTCTCTCACCTACGAGCCTACCACCAGTCCCAAGTCTCCCGCTAGTCTCACCACCAATAAACGTTACAAGCAGCGAAACACCAAGTGATGGGACAGCTACGGTACAGCCTGCAACTCGGCCCATGACTGCACTGGCAAAACGAAGAGCCGCGCATGCGAAGCGCATGCAAATGGCCTTTGGCCCGGACTCGGAAAATGCATGATCACATGAAGTCAGCTCGACACAACACAAGTCATTGAAAAGATCTATTCCACCATACTACAATATGAAACACGACCGAAGAGGAATCTTTAATCATCATCGTGGATAGTGGCTCCATGGCCATTTGTATACGTATGCTTGTCCTTGTACGCGGAGCCCTCGTGGACATGCCAGTTCTCGCCGCATGGCGCGCCGTCCTCCATGCAGCAGTGCTGCCTGCAATGCTGGGCATGGAGGAGCTTGGCGACTGCTTCGGGCGCGACTTCGGGTGGGCAGGGGCCTTGGGTGTGGCCGCTAGAGGATATCAGCGTGTGGCGAACAAGAGGGGTTAGAAAAGTGGAAGAACTCACGCAGTCATCGTCACGATGCGACAGATAAGTCTTCCGTCAGGGTACCTCCCAATGACGGGCTGCGGCTTCTGCCAGGTCCAGAGGCCGTCAGTGCCGGAGCGCTTCTCGAGAGCGTCGGGCTCGTCATCGGAGAGCGGGACGCGGATGGGGGTGCTGCGGCTGAGGCTGATGAAGAGGCCGGCGATGCCCTAATTTACGAACACAAAGTCAGTGTGAGTCAAGACAAGGCGGCATATGTCTTGGCTGAGTGAAAGCGAGGAAGACCCATTCACTTTGCACTCGGTGGTTTTCTTACTAGAACAAAGACGCAGACACGCATCCTGAAAGTTGCTGCAGGTTGTGAGTAGTAGGAGAGGAGGACTTTATTGTGTGTGGCGAGGCATTTTGTGTAGTGGAAGTGTTGGCCAACGGGTTCGCTGCTAATACACGTAATCCCTGCCAACACCCACATACAAGTTCAACGAACTTTCGAGAAAGTCGGAGGTAGTGTAATCGCTAGCAACGTAATCAACCAAGTCTCCCTTTATACGTGATATTGATGAACGGGATCTCTCTGCTTCGTCTTACTGCAAAATGACATCTCCTCACATGCGGCAACTTCACTAGTAGCACTGCCCAACATGTTTGCTAGTCATTACCATCCTGCAAGTTACAAACCCACGACGCTGTGCATGGAAACGAAGGTATCACCTCAACGGGAACCGGCTATGTCACCTAGCATGCGCCATCATCACCATCTGTATATCTATTACCATATGCATCGCTACCGCGAATCGTTGTATTGGTGACATTTCGAGTGGCGGCCGTGCTTGATGCCCGTTCACCAGGTTGGACCTATGATCAGCAGCACGAATGTAAGGCACAGGAAGTTACCATGCATATTGATATCAATTGCGACGGACTGTTCCGGCATGATACAACCCCATGCACCAGTAGCAGCCTCCCTTGCCCACGCCCTCCACCTCCTTGTCCTCCATCGCCCATCTCTCAACACACGTCCTCTTGCAACACCCCTACACCTTCCCCGACAAACCTTATCAACCGCTCTTCTTCCATCGACCACCCCAAATCCTCCCACTCATTCCCTACGCCCGCGCACCACACCTTCGCACTCTCCCCTACCTCCCGTACGAAGCCCAAGACCTCACCAACACACCAATCCGCACACAGACAGCAAAACTCCACATAGTGCCCCCGCATCTCCTGCCACAAGAGCACAATCCTAGCATACAGCTCTTCTAGCTCCGTGTGTGCGATTTGCTCGTCCAGAGAGAAGAGGTACGTCAGCGAGGGGACTTGTGCTGCGCGGAGGGCTGTGTAGACGGGGAGGAGGGAAGAAGCTGTGCGGAGAGGGGCGTGGTAAGGCATGCGAGGGCGCGGATGGCGTTGATGTATTCAGCTGGTGAGTTGGTGAGGGGCGAGGAGTGGAGGTGGGGAGGGGGAGAGGATGTTGGGGTTGTCCAGTACATTTGGTTCCGTTGGTCTTGATGGGCATTACTCGTTGTAGGATGTATGGAGCGTTTTCAACCAAGTTACAGGTGTTTGGAACGAGGCGAGTAACACGTGTGTTGCTGCTCTGCGTGATAAAAGCTGTGCAACCCCGAAAGGAGACAAAGTGTAGGCAGCACCTGCTCCACGTCAGCTTTTCACGTTCGAAGCAGCGGTATTCGCAGTATTTGCTGGCGACGACAGCGATGATGATATACAATGATTTATCTTAGCTAGTGTCTTAGATGAAGCTAGCTGCCCGTGACCAACCCTCCTGGACTGATACATAATGCATGCGGGGAACACAAGCGCGTCTTTAAGACCCTCCACCTAGGTTCGAGGGATCGGGGGAGAAGGACACACAGGGTATACTTGCGCCATAACTCCGTAGTTCACGCCTTGTGTATGGAACAGGCGGCATTTCACCGTCTGCAATGATGGCCCGGACTTCTGCAGGGCTTTTGTGTATGCGAGTCATCCGCAGGCGATTCTTTCGAATATCAAGTGAATCCTTCACACCAGTCCCTGAGCCGCGAGATCCTTGTACACCTTCTCAGGCATGACGTTGCCCTCGGAGTCTTCCATTTGCACCACATTGTCCACAGTCGCCTTCTCTTTCTTCTTGTCTTGCTGAATCTTCCTCCACAGGGTCTGCGCCTCGTCGATACTTGTGATTTCGCGGAAGAGAGTCGTGTTCGTGATGCCGAGACACCTCAGACCGTGGATGTGACGCGGTTCATTGAAGTGCTTGTCAAAAGCCCGCCTACCCATCCATACGTAGTTGCCACAAATTTCGCAAGGGAATTCGACCCCGAGACCGTGGAGTTTATACAACCAGAATGGAATAGGCTTGCCATCCCAGGCGAGCGGGAGTTTGAGCGGATTGTAGATCTTGTCCTCGCCATCTTCATCGTCATCCTCGTCGTTGCCACCATTCGCCGTCTCTGGGGCCTCTGAGTACAGCTGTTCCAGCTCTTGCTGCCGTTCGCGTTCCGTCATGCCTTGCTTTCGCTCGACGTTAACCTTGGTATCGCCGCGCTCTGTCTGCATCGCAGCAGCAAGTCTGCGAATGCGGAACTCCCGCTCTGCCACGGCGCGCTCCTTGAATCGATTCATGTCTCCACCCGGGCCGTTGGTGGTGGCAACGGTCGTGCTCGATTCTAGCTCTGCCGCCGCCTTTTTGTGTTTCTTGCCGGTCAAATGCGCCTCGTACACCGACTCTTTCGCGAAGCCCTTCTTGCATGCCGAACAATAGATGCCTTCTTCCATGGCGTCTCCGGCTGCCTGGCTGGCCTGTGTTGGGTTCTTCTCCCAGCCTGGAATCTGGTCGTCGGCCCATTTCTCTTCGAACTCCTTGTCGAAGTTGGCGAACAGTTTGTCCAAATTCTCAAGCGGCTTTGTGCGGCGCATGAAGCTCTCCAGATACTCTTGTAATGCCTTCAAGTACTGGAAATACGACTCAGACATCTTCTGGTCGCGACGAATGGTAGCTTGAGGCGGAGTGAAGACGTCAAAGACATCGAGATACTGCAGGTAGGTCAGGCGGCGCGCTTGCTGCTGAACAGGAAGGTTTAGGTACTGTTCATGCAGCGTGGTCAGGTCGAAGAAGCGACCGAAACCTTCCTCGCCCGTGAACATGGAGTCGATGGTGGCGATGGAATGGGCGTGGTCCTCAGGCGACCGGCGCTTGTAGGCTTTTTCGAGGTTTTCGACAGGCATGTTGGTGTACTTGCTGTGGTATGCCTTGATGTTGGAAACCTCGCGTGCGAACGACTCCATGGGGTCACCAAGAGTCAGGTTGCGGACCTCGTCGTCCAGCTTGCCGTCGGCGTCTTGGTAGATGGACATGAGGCGCCCGGAACGTTCCTCAATCTGGCGAAGGAACTGGGCGACATCGTGGTCGCGCGCGAGGCGATCGCGGATATGCGGCGGGTCCTCAAGCAGGCGGTCCGCGATGGCATCCTCGAGGCGCTCGAGCTCCTCGTGGATGTTGCGCTGGTCTTCGAGAAGCATGGCTACGGTCGCCTAGGCAACGTGAGTGTGCAGGCGGGGAGCTGGTGAGGTGAGGCAGACCTGCGGCGTCCGGTTGAGCAATGTTGGACGCGCTCGGTCGCGCCTTCCCAAGACTCTCCAGAAAAGTCCGGATCAACCTTCCGCCGGCCTCCGCAACGCGCCTGCCCAAGCTCCAAAGTTTCTCCACCGCAGCGCTGCCGCATCGTCCACCCCACGCAACCCGGTCGCACACCCGAACACACATCCACCATGGCGGAAACAATCGATCGCAACATGGACGACAAGATGGAGTTCTCCACGTCCAAGGAGGTCACCGTGGCGCCCACCTTCGAGGCCATGCACCTGAAGGAGAACCTGCTGCGCGGCATCTACGCATACGGCTACGAGTCGCCGTCGGCCGTGCAGTCGCGTGCCATTGTGCAGATCTGCAAAGGCCGCGACACAATTGCCCAGGCACAGTCCGGCACGGGAAAGACGGCCACTTTCTCCATCTCCATCCTGCAGGTCATAGACACCGCTGTGCGCGAGACACAGGGTACGTGCGGTCGCTCCGCTGCGAGACTCATCTAACGCATATCAGCGCTCGTCCTTTCACCCACGCGCGAACTGGCGACGCAGATTCAGTCGGTCATCATGGGCCTCGGCGACTACATGAACGTGCAGTGTCACGCTTGCATCGGCGGCACCAACGTCGGCGAAGACATCCGCAAGCTCGACTACGGCCAGCACGTCGTCTCCGGAACCCCAGGTCGTGTGGCAGACATGATTCGTCGTCGCAACCTGCGAACGCGCAACATCAAGATGCTAGTGCTGGACGAGGCTGACGAGCTCCTCAACCGCGGTTTCCGTGAGCAAATCTACGACGTGTACCGCTATCTGCCACCTGCGACGCAAGTGGTGGTAGTGTCCGCCACCCTTCCGTACGACGTTTTGGAGATGACGACCAAGTTCATGACGGAACCCGTGCGAATCCTCGTCAAGCGTGACGAGTTGACGCTGGAAGGCCTCAAACAATACTTTATCGCCATTGAGAAGGAGGAGTGGAAGTTCGACACGCTATGCGATCTCTACGATACACTCACCATCACACAAGCCGTCATTTTCTGCAACACGCGCCGCAAGGTCGACTGGCTCACAGACAAGATGCGCGAGGCCAACTTCACAGTGTCTTCAATGCACGGAGATATGCCTCAACGCGAACGCGACAGCATTATGCAGGACTTCCGTCAGGCGAACTCGCGCGTGCTTATCTCGACAGACGTCTGGGCGCGCGGTATCGATGTCCAACAAGTGTCCCTCGTCATCAACTACGACCTTCCTTCCAATCGTGAGAACTATATTCACAGGATTGGCCGAAGTGGCCGCTTCGGACGCAAGGGTGTGGCTATCAATTTCGTGACCCAGGAAGACGTGCGCATTCTGCGTGACATCGAATGTGAGTGGATTCAAGGTGTATCAAACGAACCCTTGCTGACAAAAGCAGTATACTACTCGACTCAGATCGACGAGATGCCCATGAACGTTGCAGACTTGCTTTCTTAGATAGGCTTAGTTATGGCGTTCTAGGAGCTGCACATACAGTTGATTTTCAGCCGCTGCCAAACCCGGCACGAGCAGCGCGCATTGTCGGGCAAATGCCGCTTCGAGGCATGAACGTGGAGGAAAGGGCTCTGTAGCCACTCAGTAGGTGTCCACTGCTTCCTCCAGCCTGACAAGCACTGACCCGAACTTGGACAGTATCACCAAAAATTGCATATCAATATACCCCAACTCGAGCTTGTACACAATCGATGTAGACCAGCGGCTTCATTTAAACTCTTTTGGCACGCCAGTAAACTCGCAAATTCATCGGTCCGATTCATACAGCTACTCTCAGGTTCACCCTATGGTCTGAGCAGTCTTGTGACGTCCGGATTTGACGATTTGCCTTGACAAGAGTCGTGCGACCGGCCAAAACCCATTTGGTGTAGTAATTTACCTCCCTACGATTCCAGATAGATCTACCGCCGACACATTTAACGGACTCCGATGTTGCTCCCCCAAATTTGGACGGACGCCACTAGGCAGTCGCGCGACCAATCAGCTTTCGCTCTCGGCTTCATAAGCGAGGCTCCGTCTCACCTGAAACCTCCAACATCGTCACCACACCTCATATCTCTTAGACCCCACGCTCCACTGCGGACTTTGGCCTCAAGCAGAGCGGCCGCAACACCGTTTTGTATCCAAACAGGTGCGAGTGAGGTCGGATAGTTGCACCGTTCACTGCTTTGGCCAATTGCGATGCGTCATTGTGTGAGCCAACTGCCTTCCCTCAACGGCGGAAGAAGAGCAGATGAAGATCTGGCAACCTAGCAAGTTTTGACCTGTGAATACACACGGATAATTGCGCGACCCAGAGTGTAGCTGACTGCTCAGATTGTTCACAATCAAATATTGCCATCTAATGCCACCGCGCGCCACGACACCCTAAATGGGATCTTCCGTCCACTGGCCTGATGTAATATTATGGTTGCTGTCGTAAACGGAGCATGGGGTTAACCACTGCACGGTTACCAGAATAGCGGTTCGGGTTCAGCTCTGCCGCACCCTGTCGCATTTGCACCAGCGCGCTTCAGCCCAATGTCCTGCTCTAATCTTCCGGACTCCTTACAAATGGCTTGGTGAACCCCCCTCATTAAACTTTGCTGTCAACTCGTTCTCCACTTGAGAAGCAGGCTGTGGTCATCTTCTGACGAAAGGTCCAACATGCTCGGTTTCGTGTTTTCCACGGCCATCCTCTTCCTAACTTGCATATCCGGCATCTTAGGTTCTGGGATCACCACTTTCATTGATGACCAATGCAAGACGTCACACGAGCCCTTGGAAGTAAAGAATGGGTATCCAGATGGAGTGTGTACGGCGCTGAAAATCAAGAACGGCCTCGAAGCTTTCCAGATCGTACAACTGGACCCTGGTTGTGCAGGTATGTCACGATAAAGTACTAGAAGATGTGTATCTGACTTGAGCAGTCACATTGTATGGCCCAAACGACGACAGTGGGCAAGCTTGCTCCTCGCCCGTCAAGATCGTAGGCGAACTTGCTGCCTGCTATAACTCGTCGTGGATCTACTACAGCGTCGACAACTGCTTCAAACCAAACTCGGTCTCATCTAGCGCGCTTGTGCTTCCGACTGTGGCGGCGAGTCCTTCCTCCACCTTGTCCTCCTCATCATCAACATCGTCGCCATCTCCGACCTCCTCAGCATCTTCATCTAAATCGACTACTACCCCACCTCCAACCAAAAACACAGACACCTCTCATACGCCCGCAATAATTGGTGCCATCATCGGCAGCGTCGCCATCTGCGCCGCCCTCATCGCTCTCCTCGTCTTTTGCCTACACCAACGCAAGTCCCAGCCCGGCAAACCCCTGCCGCACCCGCCGTCCTACGAGCTCTCGCAGGAGCGCGCCCTGAGCGAGATGGCGCGGAGTTCGATCGTACCCCCGACGCGCACGGTGCAGAAAGAGATGTGGGCGAGCGAGGCGGCGGTCGAGATGGGGAGGAATAGTTATGCCCCGCCGGTGGAGCTGCCGGCGGCGAGTTGGGGCGAGGATAAGAAAAGAGGAAGTGCATTGATTCATGTGCACTTGGCCAGGTAGATCGGTAATGGAATGAAGAGTGATCGTTCTAAGCAAAGCCACGCTGCATCTGAATTTGTGCCAATATACTCGTGTGCTTTTTGTCGGGCGTGCGGGCTAGGTTTTGCACGAAGCTGCCAGCCGCTCAATGACCAGATTCTGGTGATTCGAGTTGAGGTTGTCGCAAATCCTCATTCAACGTCCGCGCTCTCCAATGCATGGCGACGGATCATCTAGTCTGCTGCGTGTTATGGAATCCAGGTCTGTGACGCTTCACCACGCAAAGCATAAGCTGGAAGACGTGAAAAGCTGCTGCTGCGCGAAGACTACGTGAGTATCGCGCTGCGTGCATATTAGCCCCTGTATTTGTCTACGGCACCAAGTCATGTGAACACCATCGCTATTTCTATCACTGAATAAAGACACCCAGGCCCCCCTGCTTTCCTGGCTACCTACACGCACACTGCATACGAACAGCTTACCATTTTCCACACCATCGCACCCGCACCGCACCATGAACTTCAACACTCCACCACCCGCCGAGGGCGTACCCTCGAATGAGTGGACAATGGAGCAGCCTGTGGAGTATAACCCCGGCGATTCGCGACTGGGGCAGTATCTGGAGGCGCTGGGGGTTCCATAAGGCAAAGGAGTTTATGGGTCTGACTTCAAGTGACGAAGATTTTGAGTCTGATTAGCAGTAGAGGGGTGATATGTGGAAGTACGGTAGTGGTGGGACTTAGAGATAGTGGGTTACTTCACAAGCCGGTCAAAGTGAACGTCCCGTGATTCTTGAGGGTTAAATGCTGTTGAGGCATGTCAGAAAATAAATAGATGTCAATGAGTGAGCCATGTTCCTGGACAGAATGTCTGAGTTGTTCTGGTGATGTTTCTGGTCGCCGAGCAGAGTATGCTATGCGTGAAAATGCACTGAGAGGTTGTATATACGTTGACAGAATTGATTGAATGATTGTAAGCATTTGAACAAATCTCGACCAACTCTGTATAAGCCTGTGACTTGCGCTCTGATAGTTGTGAAGTAAGTGGGGCTTACCATACGGGTTGAATTAGTATCGAGCGAGAAAAGTGAAGGCATCAGTCTCTCACCAATTATCATGGTAGCTGCGCAGCGTCCACGCACCTCGATGGGCGATAACATTTAACATAACCACGCTGTCAACAAACCTACTTCTTCACCCAACCCGTATCCACCGCCAGGCGCCATGTCGCAATCGCACTCTTTGCCTTTGCTGCGACAGCAAGCCAAAACACAGCGACATCCGTCCAAGCTTCAGCGCCGAACTTCTGCGACCAAGCGACGCTCAATGCCCGACCCGCAGCCATCCACGCGCCAGCGGCGACCGTCGCTCGATCATCGACGTCATTCCTTGCTTTGGCCTAGCAATATGCCTTCCGTGACTCCTATGAAGAGCGTAAATCCCAAAGAGTAAGACTTCGCCATGTGTATCTGTTTCTTTCGGACGACCTTAGATGGACGATACATTTTCTCAAAGTAGTCTTCGCCGCCACTAACCTCTTATACGTTCCAGGTATCTTACCGCGCTCTCCTCCCTCATCAACAACGCTTCCGACCGTATGACCAGAATCTCGCTCCCCGATCTCATCTGGGCCTTCAACCGTGCTCATGCTCGCAACGACCGTACCGCCATGCGCCAGCTCGGCATCAGAATGGCTTCCACGCTCGACCAGGTACAGGAAGCATATGATTCTTTCTGCGAGACCCGTGGAACATTCGACGAGGAGGAGATTTGGAAAATGATCATGGGCTTGGGCGACGAGGGAGAGGTGTTTTGGGATGTGGTGGATGAGTTGGGCGACTTGATTGAAATCATGGAGGGGTTAGAGACGGAGGGGTTTTGGAGGAGCTTCGACAGGGTGATGAGGAGCGTTAATCAATAGGGCTCTGACGGGTTCGTGTGAAAAAGGCGTGGGTTGAGAGGAAGTTGATGCATGCCTATGGTATGGAATCGGTGCAGGAAAACCTAGGGCAAATTGAAGGCGTTTTGGGAGGTCTCAAGTAGACGAAGTCTCGATATCAATTCCGTCACATTCGAAGCGCGACAGCTTGTGCGGTATTCGCGCTGTCGCGGATGTGATGTGAAATGCGACTGCAGACGAAGAGGCTGTTGCAGTTCCATGATTCACACCCTGCTCCGCATCCACTATCCCTGCACTGACCTAGCATGAATAGCCCCATGCCATGAGTTTCCTCCTGCTCAGAAAGCCACAAGAATTGCTTGTGTCAACGAGGAAGAGCAGTCAGAGCCGCAAATCTGCCAGGTACAGTCTCAAGGTGAAGGCGGGAACCTCTTTGGTTGCTAAGTAGCCAAAGTAGCTCTATCATGAACGTCATGTCCACAAATTTCCGCGCATAGCAGAGGACAAGTCGCAATCTACACAATATTTCGTCTCTGGAAGGATATTTTTGCAGTTCCAGGAGTTCAGCTTCAACTTGGAAAATGGTGTGGCTGTGAGACTTTGCACATGAAAAGGCGCATAAAGCTACCCAAGACGCAATCCAACCACAGCAGGTTAGGGAGGGTCTGAATCGTACAGAAGATCGAGTTTGGATCCAGAAAGGAGGATCACGGAGGTGGATTAAGCTGCGCGCGAACAAGCGTCGCGAGCGGTTGCCGCTGAGCGCCCCGATGCAAGATCACCTAATGCGATCTGATCATCGTTATTATTAGAAAGGCCCATCCCATAGTTCCTAGTCCGTCAGTGTAGCCTCTAGGGGTGGTTCAAGTGACCGGTACTTGCTCTCATCGATCATGCAGTGTGAGAGGGAATAAAGCATGTATGCTGGGTTAATGCCTCATTCCCAAGACTTTTAAAGGTGTAAACCCTTCATCTCGAGACTGTGAATGCAAACATGGACCACGGATGTCGCCCGACTTGCCTTCTTCCTGGTGAGTAAGCTGCTGTGCTCTCGTCGCAAAGTATCCAGACGTGGAATATTCAGTGCACACAAATCTAACCGCAGTTCTCACCCTGACTTGATCTTCTTTTTCTTTTGTTTTTGCGATCGACACCCATTGCGGCTAGACGTTCCGGCGCATTATCTTGATGGTTGAAATTTCTGGCGACCCTAGTCTTTGGAAATACAGTACTTGACGCGCATTTCACGCGAGTCATGCAGATCTCGGACGACTCCGAGTACTGCGGGGCTTAGGGCAGGTCCAGAAGTGTCTTCTCCACGTTGCCGCGTCTCAACGTTTTTTGGTTTTTGGCAGAGCTAAGCCTTAAAATCCGGGGTCGGTGGACCGCTCCCGCTGCACCGGATGAGCTTCCCCAAGAGAGAATAGTATCTGAACCTAGAGTTTGCCTTGCTGTAGGAAAGTAGCCCGAAAGACAAAGGTTCAAAGGTGCCTCGAGGTACTGAGGTTTCCGAGGGTTATTTTACGTCGAAGCCCTTGATTTGGTTAGAGCAGGCCGCCTGGAGTCTGTGCCATCGCAGTCTATGGTAACTATTCCGCACGCGGAATCACCTACCGCGCTCTGCACTGGCCTTGTTAAATACCGAAACCTGAAAGCTTCGTGAGTTGTTTGATGTGAAAACCGGTGGCAATGCATGCGCAGATGAGAAGTTATTTGACACCCAAATGACGAGATGCTCATCAGTGTCAACCAGGCTAGCTTGCGTTAGCGATGGTAGTTTACGTACGTGCGAATAATGTGAGTAAAACGAAGGTCAACTCAAAGCGGGAGCACGATCCATCCAATCTTGCAAGAGCCTCCTCTTCGCGCTATCCCCACAAGTGAATCGGCCGCCCAGTCACTCTTGTTGGAGCCGCATTCACGGCCGCCTAGTCACTAGCTGCGCGTGGCGCTAATTACCGCTCTGCGCGAATATGTGCAGCCTTCCCCGGATCTCAATGGTCCTAGCAAAGTATCCGATCCTCCAATAAGCATTGCTTTTCACTACCTATGTAGTGTCACATGTTGGTATTATCTCGAAGTCGAGGTTACACTTGCGCTACTTTAACACAGCAGGGCTTTGACAGGAAACCATGCACCGTTGAAAGACACGCTTCGATCTCTGTGGTAGGTTTTTCGTGTCTTTCTTAAGAATGACGTCGTTGCGCCTGGGGCACATATACAGTGCAAAGGTCGAGTCCGTTACCGATAATATCGGCACGTCGTGCGACTGGTCCTCGAGAGCAAGCAAGCAAAATGAACTTTTAGAACGACCGAGAGGGACCGAACGGGGACCCCGCTAGGGCACAGAATTGCCCCGTGCATACGATAGGTACATTAGCGCTCTGCGAAGATCGTCCACAACGCTTACTTACGGTCGTGATGGTGGGCCGACTACGTAAGTATCGCCTAGACGCTGCTCTGCGAGCCCAGAAATTACGTACAAGCGTTGTCTACCCCATATCCATGTACTACTCTGATTTTGCTATATGTTGTAGTCTGTTTCCAGTTGAAGCACACGACACTCACCTTCTCCTGTCTCTTGTTGACCTTACTGCCCATGAATTGAATTTTTGACACAAAATTTTGCGCCATGTCATACGAACCGAAGTGGGATGACGTTGAGCAACATGCCGTGAAGACAGACGAGGTTGACAACCTTAAGCCCACGGAGACGCGCCGACGAGGAAGCGTGTTCAGCATTGGACATGGCAGCAGGCGGCGTATGAGCATCAGTGATGACGTCTTTGGCGAGATCACAGAAGACGGACCCAATTACCGCAATGTACGAACCCTTGGAATATCTCATGGCATTGCAGCAGTTGATTTGACCAGGTTGGCTGGATGGGGACCGTTGTTATCATGATCAAGACGCAGATCGGTCTCGGTGTACTCTCCATCCCCTCTGCTTTCGATGCTCTGGGTCTCGTCCCGGGAGTGATTTGCTTGTTGACGGCTGGAGGTATGATTACCTGGGGCAACTACGTGGTCGGACGATTCAAGGAGCGACACCCCGATGTCTACAGTATCGTTGATGTAGGCGAAAAACTTTTTGGAAAGATTGGAAGAGAGGTGTTCATGGTCTTGTTCTTGCTATGTATGTCCGGACCTTACTTCATCCTGCGTCCGTATCTAACGTTGCGCTAGGGTGGATCTGCGTCGCGGCAGCAGGATATTCAGGGATTTCCACGGCTTTCAACGCCATGTCGTTGCACGGCACTTGTACCGCAGTCTTCGTGGTCGTTGCTGCAATCCTCGGCTTCCTGACCTCCAGCATCCGGACACTGGGCAAGATCTCGTGGCTCGCTTGGATTGGCGTCATTTCCATTCTTGTTGCGCGTAAGTTGTTCATCCATGTGTGCAGCTGATGCGGCCACTGACTTACATAGTGTTAACCCTAACCATCGCCGTGGGTGTACAGGGACGACCTGCAGCTGCACCGCAGACTGGCGTATACCAATCTGATTACAAACTTGTGGGCAATCCGACTTTCATCGAAGCGATGAGCGCCATCAACGGTTTCATCTTCGCCTATGCTGGAACTCCGGGCTTCTTCGCTATCATCTCTGAAATGCGAGAACCAAAGGATTATAACAAGGCCATGTTCACATGTCAAGGTACAATGACCGTTGTATATCTGATCGTTGGGATTGTAGTTTACTATTTTTGCGGCTCATTCGTCGCTTCTCCAGCTCTGGGGTCCGCTGGACCTCTCCTCAAGCGCGTTTGCTACGGTCTTGGGCTCCCCGGCCTTATCGTCTCGACCTGTCTTGTTAGCCATTTCCCGGCCAAGTACATCTTCCTCCGCCTTTTGAAGGGTTCCAAGCATCTTGTCTCTAACTCGAAGGTACATTGGACGACGTGGCTATCTTGCACTCTCGGCGTCACCATCGTGGCCTACATTATCTGCTCCGCGGTGCCCAACTTCGGAAGTTTGATCTCGTTGGTCGGAGCCTTGCTCGCCACCTTCATGTCGCTACAGCCGCTGGGTATGATGTGGTTGTACGACAACTACAAGGGCCGCTCCAGGAATTTCAGGTGGATGGCCGGTGTCGCGATCAGTCTCTTCGTCATTCTTATTGGTACCTTCATTATGGTTGCAGGATCATATGCTGCAATCGTCCAGATCATCGACGACTACAAGAGTGGGAGCTCCGGAGCATGGTCGTGTGCGGACAACTCCAACTCCGCCGGTGGAGGCCACTAAATACCCATCGTTCTTCTTTTATGTATATTGAACTACTTCTCTGCATAATGTCAGCTCGACGGTTGATCAACACCTGTGGTAAGGAGTTCCATTGTAGACAAGGAGCATGTACAAGTTACACGACACGACTACGCGTACATGTAGAAATAGAATCAAGGCGTTCTGTAAATACGCACTGAGCCTGCGTGCCTTCTTGTAGGTAGATGCATCGCATCTGGATTATCTTGCGAGGATGCACTTTAGCTTCTCTGTTAATTACATATCAACATGATTAGCACTGAAACTTGCTCAGCCCGTCACCGAATTCCAATCCATACCTAATATAGTGTCTCACGACCTTGTCACCGCATAGTTTCTAAGGACGAAGGAATCATCACGTTCCCCTCCGATGTTGCCTCTTATTTTCCGTCCGCCTTATCGACAGTACAGTCTACAGTGCCCACTACTTCCAATGACCAATGTGCCATTGCCTAACCCATCCGCATCATAAACCCACCGTCTGTATTTTCACCGAAATCGGAAAAGCTACCCACCCACCCTCAAAATCCAATCCACCATCTCCTTGCACCTAAACCCTTCTCATCGCCATACTTCCTCGTCTCTCTCCTCGCCCACCATTGCGCCGCCCCCCAAGTAACCAAGTACGTGACCAGTACGCTCAGCCCAACACCGAGACCCACACCAAGCGCGAGCTTGCGCTCCCATTTCTCCGTCTCCTCGCTCCGCGCAAAGTCAATCGCCGCTTTCGACCATTCCGGCGCGACGTGGAATGTCTGTGTGTTGTCACCTAGACTGTCTGTGCGGCCAATTTCGCGCGAGAAGTCGGTGCTATTGGCGCGGTCGGAGCCGTACTGCGAAATGGATATGAACGTTTGGCCCGTCGCGAGGCCGATGGCTTGGGTGAAGTTTAGGGTTGGGGCCAGGGGGTTGGGAAAGAGGGCTGAGCTAGGGGAGAAGGTGAGGCTGGTGCCGTCGGTCACATCTATTGTTGTATCAGATCTGAGTTCATTCGACATGTCGGTTTGCGTGTAGAGTGTAGACTCACTAAACTCCCAAACTACGTATTCCGGAACGCCTGGTCTTCGGTCACCAAGACCAGTCATGTTGGCGTCCAACATCCACCACCATACTGTCACAGGATAGTCGTCCACTTCGGTACGCCATGTGAGCTGGTAGATAGTTTCCCAAATGAGCGTCGGGAAGCCGAAGCGGGACTCGTTGGGCCAAGGTTTCCGCTGCGGATAGACATCGTCAGGGTAGCTGCAGGACTTGCCTGTGGGGTCGCACCAGTAGAACGAGGTTAGACAGAGCGAAGAATACCTGCATTGATGATCGCTGGGGCTCCATGCAGAGACCACTGTTGCAATGAAAATCAGGATGTTGAGGATACGGTTCAGCGACATTGTGTATTGAGATGACAATTCCACTGGTACATGTGCCTATACGTCTATAAAGAGTGGCTTTGACCAGGCATAGCTTGGCACTAAGCCATGAAGCGGTGTCTTGGTTTTGCCACGACCAAGTGAGGATGTTTGCGAGTGTGATTCGCAGGTAGACTCCAAATCCTCACAATACATCGTATCCAGCGAGGCACTGCCAGAACGATTAGCATTGATAGGTCTCATGTGTCAGTTAAGATTGGTATTATGAAGCTTGTTGTCAAGGTCTCGGCTCAGCGGTGCCGTAGCGCGTGAGGATCGGCAATGACGTCAGTCACTCTTGGGGTTACGGTAGTGACTTGAATTGATTTACAGAATCAAAGAGCGAATAGACTGTATCAAATCGTTTGGACTAGCAAACGTTATTTCTGCACTTGTTCTGGTACTCTTTCGGACATCCAGATGTGAAATTGTCCCCAGCCAGAAAAGAGCACCGTACCAGAATCATCAACTATAAATTCTATTTTATTGTGATCTCAGCCATAACCCTGGGTTTGATTATTCGAGCTCCCTACTCTCACTCTTAGCCTGCCGCATCAGTGTAGTGTCAGTGTAATCTTCATCCTCAAAAACCATTCCACATCCCCGCACAGCACCAATATAATTCCGCCCCCAGATTCGGCGCCTCAGACACCCTCAACTTCCTCCTCTTTCCGAATTTCTTGAACCCAGGCTCATCATCGTCCTGAAGCGCAAGTACTTGGTCCCGGAGCCGCAAGATATGAGCTTTCCATTCGTGCTTCATAGCTGCGTCTCGATTCTCCTCGCGCCCCTTAAATTGCGCTACCATTTCCATTGTTTGCAGGCCACCTACTTGTGTCAGGGCATTCCAGAACAGGGTGAAGCGCCAGTCATCGGGAGAGCCGTCTACATTCACTGGATCAGAGTCAGAGGCGGACGAGTATACCCAGTCTTGTTCTTCCTCCGAAGATTCATCCTCATCGTCCTCACCCTCAGCATTGTCGTTGTCGTTGTCGTCGTCTTGATCATCGTCTTCCTCTTGCACCTGTTCTACTTGTCCCTGCTCAGGCTCTTCTTGCGCAGCTGTGTCGCCCTGAGCATCCCCAACTCTGGTCCCGGTCGGGTCATTTGCTGCCTCATCATTTCGCTCAGCAAAATTCGAAATTTCCCTTGCAACGGTGCTGCTCTGCTTACGGAACTCGATCCTTTGGAGTCTCCTGATCCACGTCTTCGGCCACTTCCTATCCTCATTATCTTCCGCCCCAGCTGCGATAAGCACCCGTCGCCACGCTCTCTTCCACAATATACCCTCAAACATAGCGCCGCCAACAAGATGTGCCAACGCTGTTTGGTTCCCATTGACCTTTTCTGCGTTCGGATCGTCCTTCGCACCCTCAGCGTAGGGGCCTACAGCCAACATCTTAAAACCATCGTGGCGGCTCGAGTTTGGTCCGCATATCCAGTCTGGAATGCAGTATTTGATGAATTCAATCCTTGTCTCTATGCCCAGACCGGGCTTCCGCCTGTCGGCCGGTTCTAGGTAAGACGCCATAGAGGAGCCGAAGAGCTCTCCGTAGGTGAGCAATTGATAAGTCGCACTCGAAACGTCGGTGTACAGTGTGAACGCATCTTCAGCTCCACCATACCAGAAATCAGGTTGCTTATACCACTCATCCCCGATCATGGCATCCATCGTTGCGTTTAGTGGATTAAGGATACTGAACCTTGCTTCATACATTCTCCTTACATCATCCATGGTCAGGCCTACGTCCTCGACATCATCCCGTAGTGCCAAGGACAAAAGGCCTTTCATGCCACCACGAAAGGCTTCCATGAGGCGCTCGACACGTGTTTGTCTTTCTGAATCATTCGCAACTGCCCAGGTAGCTATCTGACGCGCTACAGCGAGGACGAGGAAGTACGGATGCGGGGAGAAGAAGGTGGGGGCTGAGCCCGACGCTAATCGTAGGATAGTCTTTGGCAGAGTGTCTGCGAACACATTGTGCAAGCGCCTGCAAGTCGAAGAGGCGTTTTTGAAGTCTTCAATGTTGTGCATGTGCACCGGGAGCTGGAGAAGTAGTTCGTCCGGGAAGTCTACGAGAGTCTTTGGTGCCATACTGTCGGTCTGTAATCTTCGTGTCCTGATCGTATTTTATTCGATCTCGTGCAATCTATAATACTATAAGCAACGCGCTAGTAGGGCGCAGTCGATGAGAAAAGGGCTAAGATAATTCTCGTGCGAGAACTTGGGTGTTCAGCGTGAGACTAGCCAGGCACCAATCATGGCGATCACAAATACCCCTCGTCAGCTGACTTGCTGCGTCCAGATACACATACAGACTGATTAAAATGATATACTGTAGATACATGGGAGACTGCGGTGGCCTCTCTAAGATGATCCGGTAGATGCTTCAGCACATCCACTTATTTGCATTCCTGAAGTAAGCATTGCTGCTAGCAAGTGCTCTCGATAAACCTCGGAAGGCAGGTGCAGCCTGGTGGGACCTTCCGCAAATTAGGCGAATGCGCTCATATTTCGTCGAGGACTGCTACCGGTCTTCATTTGTGCTGTTCTCAGCTTGGAATTGAATGGATTATGGCCATCTTATGCGGCGGGTTCTCAATGAAGCTGTTTAATTGATGGTTTTCGCGACTGTGGGTAGAAGGGCAACTCGTCATGAATACACGCAGCGAGTTGATGGCGAGATAATAGAAACAAGCGGCAGATAGCGATCACTGATGAAGTGGACACACATGATGGGAAGCCTCGCAGTCACGTGGGCCGCAGCAACTTGCGGACAAATCAACGACGCGCGGCTTCCGCTTTCTCCGCTCTCTATTGTCGCAAATTCAGCGTCTCGACTTTCGAAAACCTTCCAGACTGTCAAGCTCAACAAGACAGCCTTGGGAACGCCTCGTCAGTGCATGAGCATTGATGTGTTCCTGGACGATCATGTTGAGACCACACGCGCAGCCGTCTCTTGGCGGTACCCCTTCGACATGCCTCTACACCCTCAGCAACCATCAACTGTGATGAAAAACGTCACCCGGGGTATCAGGTCGCATCGTCAAACCTCTTGCGTAGTACGCGACGTCGATGGCCAACACCACTGTCACAGCGTTCGGGTCCACTTGCCTGAAACACGCAGCATACCATGAGCGCCGCTCCGCTCCGCGCGAACGTCTGCCTCTCTCTATGGAACCACGATGCGAATTGGACGAATTCCTGTTCTGTTCGTGAGCCTTGGAAAAGAAACAACGCCGTTCGCTCCGCTCGCGGCAAGAAAATGTCTGCAGTTCGCCTCGAGGCTGCCCGTCGCGAGGCATTATCCCGTCACGTTTCAAGATGCTATACGCCGCATACGACATCGCCTGGCAACTCTGTTATAGCTAAGCATGCCGCGCTCGCCCAGGTTTCCAGATCACACTTCGTTGTCTCTTGCGCACGTCTTGACTTGTAATCCAACCGTCTACTCGCAATTCTTCCTTCTCACAGCATCTTGTTCAATCAATTGCATCCCCTTCATCGTCAGACGACACAATGTTGACCAACCGCCGCTCCACCATGATGCTCCCGCGTCAAAACACAAACCCACAAATCCGACCGGAGCCTGCGCAGCCGGAAACAGAACCGCACTGCCGCACCTCTTCTGTTTTGACAGCCACGACAGCCACGCTTCCCGGCTATCGCATTGTCAAAGTCCACGGCATGGTACACGGCCTCACAACCGTAGCGCGCAAGGACACAAAAGCCTTCCTCAAATCTATGGGCAATGGGAGTGAAGCGAAGAGTCTCACCCATATGATCTACAACGCGCGCGACCAAGCCAGTGAGCGCATGATCAGAGACTGCATCTCACGCGGCGGGAACGCCATCATTGGCATGGGATTCGGCGAAAGCGAGGTCCTTGGGTTCGCGCAGATCAGCGTGTACGGCACTGCGGTATACATAGAGAAAGAGAAAGCGTGACTAGAAGATCCCTTCCGAGACTCTGGGTGCTACGTAGGCCCCACACAACGAGACGCCACTTTTGAAGACGTGGAAGACGATTCCCACACCTGAGCATCCATCTGGACATGGACAATTACGACATGACGACTACGACTGCCGCAGTGCGAGCAGGAAACATTTGGCGACGACGGCGTTCGAGGCGTTTGGTGGGCAAAACAGCGGAATCGTTCAAAGGAAGCAACTCTTCCAGCTGGGTGCATTCGGGATGGATTTGTGATACCCGAAGCTTGACCTGACCAAGGCCAGCAGTGCGTAATGCGATGTAAAACACATATAATCAAGGTTTTCAATGTTATCATTATCTTCACCTGAATGGTGGCATATCAAGCTGGTTGGGTTAGCGACTCAGGTTTCGGCTGACAAGCTGGATCGCGTACTCAGGGCACGACACTTTTCTTCGATCCGAGATTTCGGATCGCACAGCTTGTACCACGATCATACATGTACTCGCGCGAGACCCCCTTTTACAGCTTGTGTTGCTTGTGCAGTCAGGCAACGCTCTTGGAAGAGGGAATGCTTTGATGGAAACTACGCTCGAGTGGGAGAGCGGAGAGGGTACCCTGGAGGCCGACAGTGTCATAGTGTGCAGTGTCTCTTCTTCGCGAGGAGGCTCACCAAATCGCAGCGCATAAAGACGAGCCCTGTCAGTTGTGCAGGGGCAAGGCCTTCAATTTGCAGTGGTCAGCACACGCCGCTACTCAGTGCTAGGTTCGGCAGTGCGGCATCATCTAACGGCGGTGGGGGCCAGGTTGCCCCGCAGCTCTGCGCCCCCGTTGCGTGCATGAACTTTGCAGAGCCGGAACAAAATCGCGGAGGGCTTTGGGCTAAGGAGAGGATGAGGGGAAACAACTTGTGCTGATATATACGCCCCTAGCCTAGGATGTGCGCAGCGTTTGTACACTTCGAAGGGCCTACCTGCTGCGGTAGGACATGCAGCTAGCTTAGCAGCGCGCGGGCCGTAAGCAAGCTGTCCGACAACGCGCTCATTCGCAGCATGTAGCACCCTCATTGTCGGCCACCACACGTCGCCGATGCCTGGGATGGACATCGTCTCGTGAAGCTTGCCGCGTGCTAGATCCTCCAAAGCAATCGTGCAGCCAGCGCCCGGGCCAGCCTACAGTCGGCCTACTCCCATGAGTGTCCCTGCTACCGCGCCCGCTCGACCACGCCGCGGCCATGTCACTCGCTCCGTCTCCAGAGCATGAAGATGGCGGGCGACTGAGAACGCCGAGCGGCGACGTGCTGCTCTCCAAGACGTGCCAGAACTGCTTCTCGCTGAAGATCCGATGCGACCGGACGCAGCGCGGCGACATATGCGACAGGTGCACTCCCCGGCGACATGTATATATCCAGGGCAGCGGTGCTAACTCGGGCGGCAGGTGCGCGCGACTGGGGAAGCAATGCGTCTTCCGCCCGGCAAAGCGGCGCGACAACTCTGCGAAGCGCGACTCGTATGACGCCCCGCCCTCTGCGCCCGCACTGCGCCATCGCTGACAGCCCTCCCAGCCGCATACAAGCCCTCGAGGCACAGGTCCAGGACCTGCTGCGCATCAAGACGCCCTCGTACAAGGTCCAGCAGCCGCTGCCCGAAGCCTCGCTCTCCGCCCACCCGAGCCCGCCCTCCGATGGCGATGTGGTCGACGAGGACATCCTCCCGATGGAGAGGGCCGACACCCTCGTGGAGCTCTACAAGTCGGAGATGATGCCGCACTTCCCCTTCATAATCATCCCGCCCACCGAGACTGGAGCCAGCCTGCGCCATGAGAAGCCATTCCTGTTCCTCGCCGTGCTGTCGGTCGCGAGCTTCCACGACCTGGCAGCCCAGGAAAAGCTGGGCAACAGGTTCAAGACCATGGTCACCGACAAGGTCCTATACGGCGGAGACGACTGCTTGAAGCTGGAATACTTGCAAGGCTTGATGGTGGTGTTGGCATGGTACGGCTCGTCCAGCCCACGTCGAGGCCACGCACACTGCTGACCCCGCCCAGGAACCAGTACCACGGGCGCTCAAAATACTTCACACAGTATCTGCAGCTGGCGATTTCGATAGCAGTGGATATGCGCTTGGACCGCAAGCCTGTCGTGCAGGTGCCCCGGCGGTACGAGGATAAGCGCGATCCTCTCGTGGCTGGCATGCCAGGGACGCAGACGTGGGGTCCCGAAGAGCAGCGTGCGTCTGCGGGCATCTTCTACATTTCCTCGACGTAGGGCTTGATCTCCCTGACCCTAGAGTCTGTCTAATCATCCACAGGATATCCAAGTTACTAGACAAGATGAACACATACCCCTGTACACAAACCATCGAAGATGGGTGCTTAGCTTTGGGCCAGAGGGCCGAATATCGCACCGACAAGGATCTTTACCACGTTATACGACTGCAGAAGATCATCGAGAACATAGAAACACTCGCCAAGAGCCCTGGGTCAGAGGCCGAGGCAGAAGATGCATACATGCGTGTACGATCGCAGCTAGAAGAATTTCGAGCCTTCTTGAGCGTTGAAGTTAGCGATAGTCGTCAGTCATGCCTCCCTCATGTCTTATTAGTTACTAACCGCCTCAGATCTTCTGTTCATGCAGTTCCACACTGCAAAGTTGTTTCTCTTCCAGGTCGCCTTTTTCGAGCGCAACCTCCAACAGTCACCCGCAATGCATCTTAACATTCTCTCGGAAGGACTTGAAGGAGCCAAAGCTTTCCTCGACCTGTACCTCTGGCTGCCACCAAAGTCCGAAATGGCGCTCACCAACCAGGAGTGGGTCCAGCTGTCCTTTGGTGTCACTCAAGCCGCCAAGTTCGCGATCGTGAGCAGGACACCCGCCGTAGAAGCGCAAACCAGAGATCTCCGACACCGTTTGAACATCGACCACATATTCCGGCATCTCGCCCTACGCATCGGCGCCCTCGTCGGCCGCTCAGGCGGAGGAGACAAGCACAAGGACATCTTCTACCACTACGAGCAGCGCACGCGCAAGATCCAGAACTGGTACGAGAAAATGACGCGCGCGACAGACGCGCACTCGCCAGGTGCGCGGCACGCGGGCGGCAGGCAGTACAATGGCTCACCGCCGCACGCGCAGGCGCCGTCGTACAGCACGCCCTCTTCTTACGCATCTTCCACCCAGCCCTCCCCCATGCCGGCCACCCCACTACCACATGCACACTTGCAGCAACCCTCGCAGGTCCCGCTCTCGGCGACGTTCTCCCACCAGCAGCCCCTCCAAAACCTGAACTCTCAACTCGCACCCGTCCCGCTACCAGACGCGGGTTTCGAGGCGTCAACGAGCGTAGGCATGATGCCGATGGGATCGTACACGACCTCACAGTTCGGCAGTGTTCCATCGATAGCGTTCCCAGACTTGATGAGCGCGCCGGGCTGGGACACGTTGTTTGCGGTGCCGATGGAGGATATGAGTTGGCTGGTGGATGTGAGCCAGGGATATGGCGGCATGAATGCGGCGAGTTCGCCGAGTGAGGGGGATTGGGGGCTTGGTGGATCGTGAGAGGAGGGCGAATGGAGTTGGAGATTGTGCATGATACCAATGGTCGAGGTTGCCGAGGGCTACAGTTGAGGCTTATATCCACTTGTTCGATTACAGGAGGTTCACGCCATGCGTCCCGCTGCTTGTGCCCGAGGCTGCTCTCTTTGCATCAGCATTACCTTGTTTGGGGGTCTCGTCCGTCGGCCGGTCGGACTCGGACACGGGCATATCATCCGCCCGTGCATCTCCATGTATCCTGTGCCCATATTTGGGTACACTGCTCTGCGAACGAACCCACACCTCCCCATAGACCCTCACTCACATCTCCGTCCGCCCATCCCCCACCTTCTCAGCAGCAAACACCTTCTGGCCGCCAAACCACGTCTGCAGCACCCGCGCCCTCAGCAGCTCCTCAGCCTCGAACCGCATCTCGACAACCACAAAATCCGCCTCCTTGCCCACCTCAAGCGTGCCCACCCGCTCCTCCGCAAAACAGCTATACGCCGCGCCCCGCGTCGCCGCCGTTACCGCCTGCGCGATTCCCAGCTTAAACCCCTCGTTCACCGGCGCATCGCGGGCGGCCGGGTCCCGCGCACTCTTCCGCGTCGTCGCGACGTACAAGTTTGCCAGCGGGGGGTGCGGGGCGGTCGGGGCGTCGCTGCCCAGGGCGAGGACGGCGCCGTGGGCGGCGAAGTCGGCGTAGGCGAAGGCACGGGCGAGGCGGGCGGGGCCGAGGAGAGCGGGCCAGGCGCGCAGGATGGCGGGGTCGGCGTGGACGGGCTGGATGGAGGCTGTGATGTTGAGGGCGCCGAGGAGGGCGGCGGAGGCGGGGGAGGTGAGTTCGAGGTGCTCGATGCGGTGGCGGAGGTGTGGTGTGGCGTGGGTGCGGAGGGCGGTGATGGCGTTGGAGACGGCGAGGTCGCCGATTGCATGGCTGGGGGTGTCAGTTGGTTAGCCAGGGATGGGATTGGTGTAGCTGGTTTTGTGGGGGGAGACGGTGAGTTTGCACTGCTACTGAGATTGTACGTACAGTGCGCATTGGAGGCTTGCGGAGGAGGCTTTGGCTACGACGGGAGCGAGCATGGCGGGCGTCCAGATGGGATCCGGGGAGGCGACATTGGTGGTGTAGGGCTCTGAGAGGGCGGCGGTGCAGGCATCTATTACGCCGTCGCAGATGAGCTTTATGCCCACTACTCGGAGGTCAGGGGACGTGGTGCTGTTGTACTGGCCTGCGAGCTCGATTGCGCGGTCGACTTGAGCGAGGCGGTCGGCCTCGCTGGTGCCAGGATTGATGCACCAGTGTGCTGCAATGCGGATAGGGAGGCTCCCGCCTTCTGCATCGCGGAGCGCGAGGAGCGCTGCCCACGCGTTGTCGTCCATGGCCATGTCAATGGCGCCCGTGACGCCAACGGCATGGTACGCCTTTATCGCCGCACGCAGGCTCGCGAGCTTCTCCTCGGTGCTGAGCACGCGCGCGAGATGCGGCCACACGATGAGTAGCACGCAGGCCTCGCTGAGCAGCCCGCTCGCATTGCCCTCCCCATCCCTCTCGATCCTCCCGCCGTCCGGGTCCGGCATGTCCTCCACGCCCATCTCCCTCAGCGCAGCGCTGTTGCACCAGCACGAATGCAGGTCCTTAGAGTCGATGTACACAGGCTTGTCGGTGAGGTCGTCCAGCATCGACGCGAGCGCTACGCCGCCCGTCATGCTGTGCATCCACCCGCTGCACAGCACCCTCTCTTTCTCTGGGTGTTGCGCGACATAGGCGCTGATGCGCGCGCGGATGTCCGCCAGGTCTTTGCATCCATCTAGCTGCACTTTTGCGAGGGACTGGCCTAGTAGGAGAAAGTGCGTGTGCGCATCTATGAAGCCGGGGAGTATGTATGCGCCGTTCAGGTCGGTGGCGGGGGCATGGGCGTAGGTGTTGAACGCGGGGGCATCAGGCGTGCCGACGAATGCGATTTTGCCATCTTGTACGACAAGGGTAGTGGGTTCGGTGGAGTTAGTAGTGGAGGGGCCCGCGCCAGTGAAGAGGCGGGCGTTGGTGAAGACGAGAGGGACTGCCATGTTTATTGTTGTGGGATGACAGACATATGTCGTGTAAGGTGGGGGCCTAATCTTATCTGATGATATCGATTTGGGAGCGATACCGGAGGGGTGTCGCCGAGATACATCCGACTTCCTTTTGACTCTGGAGCGATCTACAACAGTGTCCACAAGGTTGATGAAATCTTTCATAGGCCGCCTCCCAGTGATCTCAATCCTCTACCAGCTCTGTCTCTTAACAAGGTGTCTCACCTTTAATTCATTTGAAATTCCTGTGGCCGCGGCTCGAAGATCGAACAAATACAAGCAAATTAGCGTTGTCATTGCGACTCACCAATTCACCATACTTGACCCGGGCATAGAAAACGTCCATGATAGAAAGCATAGCCAGTTGAACACAGAGGATCCTTGGTTAAATAATTCAATTATCACGAAAATACGAAATGAAAACCGGTTTGCCGCTTCATACTTCTTATAAGTCTACGAGGCTTCCTGTAGATTGGAAGCAAACCGAAATGGACGGACGCTATACCTTGGACAGAACGCGCATGCTTCTGTCCCACCGCCCACAACGCGTGGTTGGCGGTCTTTGAAAGGACAATAAAATCCACGTGAATGACAGAGTTAAATTTGAGCGGGTGTATCTGTGCCTTCGTCCTGCGCTCGAACTCATGCTGCCGTAAGCATCTGTGTTTCGCACCCGTGATATTCCGTCAGTAGTCATGTCGACAAGCATCTGATAACTCAATAGTAATCTAGTGACGGCTGGGCAGATCTCTAGCGAAACTTCCTCGATCTGGGCGTGTATATCGTCATCATGGTGTAGCAGCCATTGGTGTTGATACGGTGACTGCCTGTCGTCATGCTCCAGTATCCATCCGAATTCACACAAGCGATGCCAAGTCTTGCGCGCATCCGAGCCGGTAGCGCTGGTATGCTCTTCCCTCTGCTCGACCCAATAGTCATCTTCCTCTCCCTTGAATAAGGCCTCGCGCATCCCCGCGTGCGCCCATGTGCCTTCGATCGTCAGGGAGTCAGCACACAAGCACCCATCGGGGACTTCGTGCCGTTCGCCGTTGTCGAGCGGCATGATCTTGTTGATCCCAAGCATCCCGTAGATTGTAGTTATGAAGCCCCTGGCTGCCGGATCGGTCCAGTCCTCAGGAACATCCTGACTGATCTTTAGCGTGATGTTGTCGACGTGAAGTGGGAGCAGGTGTAGAAGCAAGACCGGAAAACGCGTCTGGGGAAGTCTTTGGTACCGTATTCCAAATCTTGAGGTGTGGCGTTTCGTAACTTCTTGAAAGAAAGAGCCGGGAATTGCCACGGCGATGCCCTTCTTGACCTCGAGAATAGTGGACGGCGTGGAGACGTGGAGAGTCGTTCCGTAGGTCTCAGTCTACTCCTTCATCTCGTCGAGATACTTGTTCATGTTTTCGACCATGGCGTCCTCCATCTCGGCCTTGATCCTGTTGTATGACAGCATGAGGCCTTTCATCGCGAAGTCGAGATGATCGGTGAGCGGGGGCGAGATGTGGGAGTACACCATCACCCGGATCTCAGCCACAAGATCCAGGAACCTGGTCCTGGAATGGTCCATCTTGAAGGCCGAAATAGAGGACTGGGAACTTTGCAAATGTTCGGCATGAGCGCAATTCAATCGGAGGGATTGTCGATGGGAAGCGTGCGATGTGATGATTGTTATGAGGGAAAGTTATCGAAGTGTTTATATAGTCCAAATCTGGGCTCTGTTTCTTAGCTTACATTATGTCAACGTACAGGCACCGTTTTCCAAAAAGTACGGTGAAAGTTTTGGTCCACGTGCCAAGTTTAGCTAGAGAGTCTTCCCCTAGCCAGGTGCTGCGAAGAGATCTCATAGTCGTTGAGACCGACTCCTTCGTTTCAAGTCGCCCGTATCGCTCCAGAACTCTGCCTGGACTTGGCCATACCACGTATAAGGGCGACGAATCCATGTAACACCAGTTGGTGGGCCACAAATATGTGGCCTCATAAGCTCGATAGTTCTATCCGAGACGTACTCTTTGGCACACCAATGCAGAATTTCTCCATAGAATCCCCATTCAAAGGTGATTCTGTCGATGACACTACCTGGTGTGCGTATCGATTCGTTTTTGTCGTCAAATTTGCCTAGGTTGCCGACCTTAGGATCCATAAGGCGCCTCAAGTCACTCATGAAGTCTGCCAGCGGGCCTTCCGGCATTACGGGCCCCTTATGCTTCATTTCCTCATCGTCTTCATATCTCGTAAAGGTAAGTCGTATGACTCCTAGCTGGAGCAGGGGAATTATGGCCTTGGAAAGTACCCGTGTAGCTGGGAATTGACCATCTAGAGACCGGAAGTACGAGTTGGGTATCGCGACGGATATCCTTCCGATGTCGGAACTTTGCGTGAGCTTGGTGATTTGTAAAGGCGCAACGTGGGATTTGATCCACTGTTCCCTAATCTGATCCAGATATCTCGCCATGCTTCGTAGAAATTCGTCTTTCATCTCGTAGTGAAACTGCTTGCATGACATGAACAACCCTCTCCAATCTGCAAGGCGCGAATCTATGGGTGGAGTCATATATTCGTACATCCGTAGTCGTATCTCAGCAGGGAAAATATGCAGAGATTGTTTGAGTCCATCCTGCAACGTGTGCATTATGTCTGTGTTGTAACACTGGTTCTCCAGCTGGTGGATTCTATTGCGTCCTTTATTTCGCCAAGTGTTTCGCTTGATGTAGGTCGAATGTCGTATCTGATAGAACTTGATGAGTACGGGGTGTAGGAGCTGATTTTGTTCGTCTCGGTGTTTATCGGGATTTAAGGTCCTACCAACATCAATGAAACCCGAGCCGGAAGGAGGAGTTGGCTCTAACTGCACCAGGAAATTTCTGATTTGGTTAATGCGGCAGTCGTCAGAGTCTGAATTTCCTTCGTCGCAGGTACTTACAACCTGTAGGCTTGTCGGCCGATTCCGGAGTATGGCTTGCTAATCAGAAGTGTGTTGTTCTGTAGACCGTGGTGAAGGGATAATGAGTAGCAGCAAGCCCCGTGCAATTTACAATCTGTGTCCTTATTTTCTCTCTGTTTCCATCAGATTAATTGTTCTTCTCGAGCCTAGAACACAGATTGGGATGGTTGAGACGACTTTGTCCCAAAACCATGGTTCACACGTGACTCACACCACGGGCACACCCACGGATGCTTCCATCCCATAGGGTTCAGTTTTCTTCGGCTCCGAAGAACCCCACATGTTACCGTAATAACGCCAAAAAATCTCGATAGGTTGCACACGTGGCCACGTGGCGCTGATGGCCGTGCTATTGGCAGTAGTGGTTCGTTAAGTGTTGAATTCCTAACTATGGATGGGCGGGGGCGTTGAACTTGGGTACCAACTTTTATCACTGCCGTGCAATTTTATTCCTGAAAAGCCGATTTCGACCGTTTCGGAAATACTTAGGTAGGCAGGGTCTATGGCTGGTAGGATATATAGAATGACCGATCAATTACCAAAGTCGCCACACTAGACTCACATTCGGGCTTCGATGAACTGTGAATGAGATCGAAGCAGCCAAAAAATGGTTTATAATGCAAGTTGTATCATTACATTATTCCAATATTGAAGCCTGTTTGCACCTTGCGCATAGTCTGCCTCTTGTCTGCATCCTGCTAGGAACAATCCAGGAACGGAAGAGATCGTGGAGACGACTCTTTAGCAGCCGCGAACAAAGAAGCAATCAAGCTATTCTTGGCTTTTCCGAGCTCCAAAAGTGCATCGATCTCTTCATCAATGTGGCGCAAGAGCTTTTCCTTGGCCCAATTCGGCTGCCATTTAATTGGAGGCGCACTGCCCATACCCGCAGTTCGAGTGTCATCTCTGCCCGCTTTAGCATTCAACAATCATAAGCGGCTCCATATCACGTACCCCGAATTCCAGAGATACTCCACAAGTTCCGCTGGAACTCTGAGGCCTTCCGCAGCAGCTTCAGTGCTCGGCCAGACCTCTGGTGTCGTACTTTTAACAAGACCTCGAACTCCGATCGGACAGCTGCGACAATTTCGCGATTCTTAAGGGACGGGACAATACCACGCAGAAATTTCTGCTACAATGGAACCACCTCTATTGAAGAGTTAGCTTTGACTTACATTTTGGGCTGGAAACGGTACATGTAACCAGCAGCACCAGTGATGGCGATGTTCCCAACATCTGTCGAAGTCATGATGAACCTTGTTAGGCGATAATTAGGGACTTTACTCGATAAGGCCAAGAACAAGTGCTTGTGTGTAAAGACGAAGGGCTTCCTGCATATAGGTCGCCATGATTCGTCCGCAGGCACCCAGTGCGACTCACGTCAGCATGTACTAGCTAGTTGCCAAATAGTAGCCAGACAAATACAGGTTTATCGAAAACAACCATAAATCATCTTCAATGCCATACCGCTTGAATGGGTCTGGTGATGGGAGCTGCTTAGTAGCCTTGCAGGACAGAATAATGGCGCCATTGATCCTACATCGCGGAAAGTGGCAAAACATGCGCTCTGTAAGACCGACTGCAGCATACTAGTCCATCTCTGCGTAAGGTGCAGGTGCTCTGTGATTAGACCAGGTGATTAGTCTGAACCCTGGCAACATAAGTGTGGGGCGATCGCCTACGTCAGACTGGATTAATCACACAAGATGTTTTATAAGCCAATGCAAGGTATCGAGCGTCCAATAGTATCGCATCCTAAGCTGTTTATAATACAACCGCCAATCCATATAAGTTGCGACGCGACTAGGAGCACAGTGCATGAGCAAATCTCCTCCGTGGAAGGGCGAAATCCATAGCTATATGGGGTCGCGAGACTGCCTGTCAAGGCAATCATTCTTCCAGACATCTTCACTACGTTTGCCTCCTACGTTACCACAATTACTTTTATCAACATGGCTAGTAGATCGGGAGTCATCCTTATCCTGGGTGCTGGTGCCAATATTGGACAACACGTCGCGCAACAATTCGCATCACAAGGGTACAAAGTCGCTTCAACCTCGAGGAGTGCGAAAAGTGCCGACAATACCTCCGATGCTGTACACATTGTAGCCGACCTCTCAGACCCAGAGTCAGTTGCGGGAATCTTCTCTCAGGTGAAAGCTTCTCTCGGGGTTCCGAGCGTGGTTGTATACAACGGTAAGTCTGGACTTTCAATAACAGCCAACACTGTCATGCAGAATTGACATTATTCATAACAGCGGCTGCCGCGAGCTTCAAGGATGCGAAGAACCCAGTAACGCTCTCCTTGGCCGAACTCTCCAAATCCCTGAATGTCAACACCCTGAGCGCCTATGCTGCACTTCAAGAAGCTATTCAAGGCTTTGAACAACTGCCCGAAACTTCCTCGCGGACCTTCATATATACAGGAAATATTCTGAATACTACTGTCATGCCTCAGCTTCTTGACTTGGGAGTAGGAAAATCAGCAACAGCTCATGCCATACAAGTTGCGGCGACTGCGTACTCTGATAGAGGCTTCAAGTAAGTGTCTCATGTCCTTGTCAACAGTCAGAGATCCAGCTTCCTGTCCGAGACAATATTTTTCATCATGCCTTGGATGTTCCGCCGCGGGATTTTCCCTCCCTAACATAGCAATTGACGAGTGTTAGGTTCTATTACGCGGATGAACGAAAAGCAGATGGCACGCCACCGTATAATGATATTGACGGCGAGGCTCACGGCAAGTTCTACGCTGAGCTTGCTAAGGGGATGAAGCAAGGGGACTGGCAGCAAACGTTCGTCAAGGGAGAAGGATACAAGAAATTCTAATTGGGAAATATCATATTTCCTACCTCATAGTATTTTAATATCCACCAATCAGATGAAATCAGATCGTAGTGTCACTGCAAGATAAAATTGATTGGCGGCCGAGGCTTGAGCGCCAAGTCGGCTACATGTTTTGTCTCGTGCGGGAGCTTGGCTCTTCGTTCTCAGATACAGGTAACAATTTTTTATTCTTGGATAATTCGGCCAAGAAGACAGCAGCTGGATCAAAATGAGCGCGTTACCAAACCACGCAGATCAAAAAGAAGAGCCTAAGTCAGATGAAGAGCACATGACTAATTCGGAATTGGAAGAAGATCAGGGAAGGTACGATGAAGAGGAAGAGGAAGAAGAAGAAGAAGAATACGAACCTTCATACTCGGTGAAAGAACTGGCAGAAATCGTTCTTGACTTCTACAAGTTCCTCGCCACCCTCCACTACGACCGCTCAGACCTGCATATTCCACCTCCTGAAGGATGGCCTCTCGAGTGCTTGCCCAAAAATGTCATAAGGAAGAAGTCCTCACGGACTATTGAGCTTATGCGCCACCTTCCTTATTTTAAGGAGGCCAAGAAATCAACCCATTTGCATTACAAGTGCAAGCTATATGATTACACCGATGCCGAACAACACGATGGTATACGGGTGGGAGACGAGTGCACCTTTGAGAGCGAGGAGGAATTCGAGTCCTTCGATGGAGAGAAAGTGGATCCCGCCGACATGCTGGTCCTCGCCTGGGGTTACGAGAGCGGAGGACATCAATTCTTCTTGGACACATTGCGAGGAGAAATGACAGTCGACATAGTTCGCTGCAATCTACTCAGTGCCGATCCTGTCGAATATTTCTTCGGGGAGCTCAGGGAGAAGTACCTAAGCCTGAAGCTGATCCCTTGTCCCGGTAGAGAAACTGAAGAAGCTGAAAGTGTGCCCGAACGAGAGGAACACATTGATCAGTCGGAAGTGTTGGCGCAGGAGCTTGAATGGGGCACGGATCTGGATTGGCAATTCGTGAGGCAAGTATACCGAGAGTTTGGCTGGCCAGACGCGTTCCGGAGAGAGGAGGCTGTAAGGGTTATCGAAGACTTTATGGCATTGAAGAGTAACGAGCGTGGCGAATGGGAAGAAGCGTTCAACTGAGCGCTTGCGTTCAAGTCAGGTTGGAAAGGTAATAGGCGATATTTACTATTTTCTCAGCGCCCAGCTATCACACCTTTCAAATATTCCCGTGCCACCTTCTCCATGTTTCAGAGGTTTTAATCAATTCACGACTCGTTTATTTTGAGAACATTTTTGTCAACCCTGCCATGTGCGGCCAGGCCCAGTATATTGCCCAAGAGAAGACCTGCCCGTTGTTCATCGGAGAGTGATCGCTGCAGACCGCGTACAACGACACTCTCTCTACTAGCAAACCCATCTTCGACACCGAGCGGTACGCATGGCTGAAGTACGTCAGCGGAGGCGCTTTCTGGACCGGAGTGAGCTACTCTACGGCTACCGTCGGCGGTGAAGGCACAGACGGGAATACTGGTTGTACATTGATCTGATCCGCTAAGGCATTGTTATCAAGGACACGATGCAGTCTTACCGCTAGAAACATTGAGTGCGCTACCACTGCTTGCGTTAGGATATGATATGAGGGGAGACATATACCTATACGTTAGAAAACCTAAATCTAATGAATAATAATTGTCAACGTATAACCAGGGTTCATGCAAGCATCTGAGACTGGCCTCATACTATCTATACTTCAAGGACGAGCCCTATCTCGGAAAGAGCGTCCAGGAGCTCGATTGACAACACAATAGCTCAAAGCTCGGCACCGAGGTCTCTACACGGCGCGCCAACAAAGACACCCGCCACGACTCACAAAGAGAAAATTACGACTCACATCCCAGACAAGAGCAAGCGACACTTAACGACTGACACACTTCGGCTCTGCGGTCCAGCTCTCGCCGGTCGCTTACCATATCTCGAGGCCCCTCACTTTTCCCGAGCTTCGTCACTCCTCAAACTGGATAGAAGAAGATACAACTTCGCGTTGCGTATAACACACGCCCTATTTCTCACCTTACTAACCTTCACCCTCGCACAGCCAAACACCACAGACCCCATCACCGACTTCTGCCGCCGCCACCGACACCAGACATGCGTCATCGAAGTAGAGCTGTACATCGACGGCGGGCAGGTGTACTGCGGGGGCAGCAAGAACAGCGAGGAGAGTGTTTAGTAGCTCATGGCGGATGGGGCAGATACCTTGCTGATATTGAAGGACACGCAGGACGTGGCGAACGAATTTGCGTTTCCGGTGCAAGAGGGGCGGATCTGAGTAAAGTACGTTGCGCAGTGCCCGGTGCTCCTCTGCCCCTTTCTCCACGCCTCCTCCTTGTCCAGTGCTTACGAGAGTGATGGGGATACAACGAACAGTAAACGCGTGAAGGACGACACCGTTGCCTCCGTCACCAACAGCGTTCTTCTTCCCCGACGCCCCCAACCGCCTCTTCTATCTCTTCGGCGGCGAATCAGCCTCACCCGCCGCCGCCCCGGCCTCCTCCCTGTAGCGCTTCACCCTCTACTTATACGACACCATTTACAGCACGTGGAACCGCTCTGTCCCAGGCGCCTCGCAGGCCTCCATCTCGTGGCTAGCGTTCGGGACCAGCGCCGTGCCAGATGCAGGGGTGTCGTACTACTGCGGGGGTTATCTGACGGGAAAGAGCGATGGGTCGCGGCGCGGGGCAACTTTTATGTTAAACGGGCTGTTGAGCTATGATACGGGGGCGCAACGGTAGGGGAATAACACGTGGGATCTGACAAGGCGGGCCGAAGGCTCGTTGCAGTATATCCCTGCATCGGAGAGAGGCATGCTGGTGCATTTCAGAGGCGTAGAGGTGAAGAGAATTGGTGCAAATGTTATACATGCGGATATGCGGGTAAGCCACAGCTATGTTCGCCCAACGGAATCCACTTGCTAAATCTCCCAGCAAATCCACTTCGACATTGCAAACACCAGGTGGTGTAAAACCGCCACGGCCCACTGCGGCTTCTGTGCCGGCCTCGTCTGGGCGAAGGATTACTCGTCGGACAACATGTAAGCCCTGTTCGACGCCCACACAAACACAAAGAAGCCCGTCACATTAAGCCATGCAGCTACCTCTTCGGCGGTCTCGGCCCAAACGGCGCAGGCCTCGACAACTTATACGTGCTGTCGCTGCCGTATTTTCAATGAAGCTGGTACGTTTCCGGCCCTCCACGTATTCACCCTTGAATTGCAGTCACGCATGGCTTTCACGCCTCTAGATCTGGCCCGCGCTCCAATCGGCCAGCTTTGCCGGCGGCCGCGGCTTGTCGTCCTGCAAGGTCTTCAACAGAAACCACATGCTCACCATCGGCAATTTCACCAATAGCTCCATCTCGGATTGTAACGTGCCCAAGATCGGGGGGCAGCAGAATGTAGAGCTCGGCGCGTGGGGGCATGCACGCCCTTGGACAACATCACGGGGTTCCGTGTGCCGGATCATTGTCAATAGGATTGGGGCCGCTCGAGAGGCTCTGCGATGCTGACGATGTGAGTGCCGAGGGACATACGACGGCGACAGCGCCAGTGACGGGGTGGGACGACGAGGCGAGGGAGCTGGTTGTATATCTTAAAATGAGCGTTGTTGCCCAGGAGCGGACGGCGACGAGATACATTCCTGATTCTACGAGTTCGAGTTCAGCGACGAGCCAGCAGACATCTGCTTCAATAGCCAAAGGGTCAAATGCTGGTGCTATAACAGGTGCAACTGTTGGCGACGTGGTGGCTGTCGCGTCAATCATCACCCTTTTTCTCTTCTGTCCTCGCCGCAGAAGAACCGTGCGGCACAGAGCTGATGCAGCTTCGAAGGCGAACGTCAACAGTCCTGCAACGGCGCAAAGCTGGGTGGGCATCTCGCCGCTGTCACGCAACAGCACCCTGCACTTCGCCCTCTCTCAACCCTCACCGTACTCTCCGCCAGACTCTCATCCCCCTCCATCGACGCCGTGGTATGGTATGTCCAGCTCTTATTACAGAGACATGTAGTCACCACCGCTATCTTAAGTTCAACCAGGTGGCTAAAGGACTCTGCAGACGTGCTTCCCGTCTCCTCCCAGTCGCGCCAAGTCTTTCAAGGAGTGGGTCACGTATGCTACACCTGCGGAGCTGCCAAATGTGGTAACAGCAGTGGTCGCAGAGTTACCTGGGATCTCGAGCCCCGTAAATGCAGGGATACCACAAAGGAGGGTTTCCAACGCCGGCCATGAGGTCGGATGGTTTTAACATACGGAACAATAATGGCTTTAATCGATTTGGTCCCCGCGGATGTTGACACAGTTTCTCTGTTGTGCTTGGTTTGAGAAGGTGATCGACTTTGTTGGTTTTGGATCGTAATCGCCCTCGGTTGTGGAGCACGCTCAAAGTCCTTTCCAGGGTAGCTTGAGCGCACGAGCGTAGCCTCGCCACCTGTACAGTAACCTTGCGTCGTTGCAAAGATAAGCAGGGTCAATAGTCCCGTGAGGCGAAACTCGCATTGGCTTGAACCCCGGCCCAAAGTCTTCGAATCTTGGTGTCGGCCACAGGTGCGCGGTGCAGTCACCGCTTGAAGCTCTGTCGCAAGGCATTATACCATGTTTTGTTTCACCAGCTTGTTTTGGTTTGAATTTTTTTCTGGCCAGTTCCTGATCAAGGTCTTCATACCGAGACACTTCATCATTGGTCCTCGCTAGCTGCCTCATTAAGCGTTATTGTCGATGTTGCACTCGTAAGATGGTTGACCAGAGCTTCGCGTGAAGTTTCGTGGATCAAGGCATATATCCTGTCTAGTAGCTCTTGCACCTTGAACGGCTTCTGCACAACGTCATCCTGCCATACTATTAGGACGTTGCTGCTCACATGAGTGTGCATTACCCACCGAACCAGCGTCCATTGCCGCCTGTATTTGCTCTTCGCGAACATTCGCAGTCACCGCAATGACGGGCAGTCGTGTGCCAGCTCGAGGGCCTCGGGCCATCGCTGAGTTAAGGAGACCTTTACCTTCGAGCTCTCTTTGTCGGATCATGCGAGTAGCTGCAAGGCCGTCTAGAATAGGCATCTATGTGATCGATGTTAGTGCATGTTGCGTTTCTATGGTATTTGCAGCGCATTACCTCAGAATCCATAAGCACGGCGTCGAAAGTGCTCTTTTCAAGATATTCTAGCGCTTCGATTCCATGGTTGGCCACTTCTACTATGCAACCCCCTCGCCTGAGCTGCATGCTGAGCACCTTTTGATTGATCAAGTTGTCTTCTACTAATAAGATATGCAACTGCTGAGGCACAGTCGTTGGGTGTTCCGTGCCGTTGATGGGTTTCGTAGTGTCTGGTGCTTCCTCTTCCCTGCGGCGACACTTGACATAAAATCCAAACTTTGATCCCTTTCCAGACACAGAGGTGACTCCGATCTCGCCGCCTTGCTTCTCAGCAAGCTCCTTTGAGATGTAAAGACCCAATCCACTGCCCCCGTAGGTAACGTGCGTCTTGATGTTGGCTTGTGAGAAGCGTTTGAACAGCCTTGCGATGTCATCATCGGTCATACCTATTCCGGAATCCTCGACGATCATGGTGAGATAAAGCTGCTCACCGGTGCCCCATTCTGGAGTATTGGTCACGTCGCTACTTGGCTCGCCGTCGGCCCAGAACATTTTGTCGGGAAAGAAGCCCCGCGGATGAGACGCGCAAGCTCCAAGCGTGATTAATACTGACGGTTCGTTTGCCAGCTTGAGAAACTTGATCGCATTTGTAACAAGGTTGATAAGAATCTGGGTAACCCGAGATGAGTCCAAGTAGACTTGGTCGATGGCGAGATCAGACAAGGAAGAGTCGACATTGACAGTGCATCGGATAGAGCTACTGTCTAACTCGGCATCGAACATATTCATGATGGAGCGGATCAAGCTTGAAGGCTCGACCGCTACAGGTTTGATAGACAACAACATTGATTTCAGTTTGCTGAGAGTCAAGACATCGTCAAGAATTCGTCTTTGGTGCGTGGCACACTGCAAGACAATCTTAGCATGTTGTACAATCTCCGCTAGCGCCCCATCACCTGGAACTGTAACGCCAGCGCACTTGCTTTCTTCCGCCATTGCAATGATAGCGTCTGCACAGTGCACGATGGCGCCCAAAGGGTTTCTCATCTCATGGGAGACAACATCAATGAAAGCCTCTTGCTGCCTTTTTGCTTCTCTTGCTTCTGCTGCGGACCTAGCATGGAAGGCTTGAGCCCATTTCAGTCGCGAGATGTCGGTGGTGCAAGCCATAACTGACCTGACGTGGCCAGAGTCTGGATCGCGATATGGGAAAGCGAGGACTTGTATTGAAGCTGGTATTTCCTCACCGGTTGGGGAAGTGTAGGTTCGTTTCATACGGAACTCGGCATGTATATGCTCCACCCCGGCAAGGAGTTCCTGCCAAACCTCCCTTACTTGGGGTAGATCTTCCTCTAGGTAGGCGTCGTAGAAAGAGTAATTGGCGAGATGTTGTTCCGCACTTCGTCCGGCAAGACGAAAGTACTGATCATTGGCCCACAACATCTCGCCATCAATGGCAACGTGGCACATGCCTACTGATGCGTGTTCAACCAGGTGGCGAAGCTTGAGATTGGAGACGGCGAGATCGCATTCAAGCTGGTCACGCCGGGTTTCAGCGAGCTCAAAATTTATTGCAGCGGAAACAATGCTTGAGACCATGCGATTCAGATCGTAGACGAACTGACGGCAGGAATCGTCGAACGGTCGATACGGGTTCAGGCCAACCACCAAGTAGCCGAAAAGGCGAGTAGAACTTGAGATGGGGAGAACAGCAATCTTTTTCGACGGCGCCTCCCAGCCTCTCCAGGAAGCATTGTCAAAGCGTTGGTCGCAATCGATGAAGATGGCTTCAGAACCAGCACGTCGCAGCTCAGGCACCAAGCCCTCGTCACTGGTTATGTCGGCGACGTCTACGAGAAGCTTGTGGCCTTCTGGGAGCCCAATCTGTCCCTGCAGGCGTAGTGTTGTCCGCTCTCCAAGCGTGTCATCGAAATCGAATTTGTACATGACAGCCAGCGGCACGTCGTGGGGATTCGTTGCGAGCGTTGTGAGCACGTGTGTCATGACGACGTTGGTTTTCTGGTCGGGGACAGCAGCCAGCTTGTTCAACATGGAGGTGCGACGATCGGCGAGCTTATGGTCGGTGACCTCAAAGACTGAGTTACTTTGTACACAGGTCAGCCGTTCGCCACAACAGGGTGCAGCGCGACGACTCACTAGAAGCCCAGCGGATGGTGGGGCGGCCCAATGGGTATGAAGGATCCCGAAAAGAAGGCCTCCTCTCTCCATCCGTTGCGCTCGACAAGTAGTGGCGTGTCCGAGTTGACGTTCTGCCCAATGCCCGTCCTGGCGCTCTCCTCGAACATCAGACGAATGTAAGGCCACAGCTCGGGGAAGCCTCGCGCATAGGTCGAGCCCATGAGCGCGGGGTGCACTCCATGGCACATGGGAGCAAAGGCTTCGTTGTAGATGGCGACCGCATCGGGACCCCACCACAAGCAAGCGGCACGGGAGTCTGCATGCACAAAGTTGGCAAAGAGCTGCAGCGTAGGGTCCCAGTCCTTGGGTGGCCCCAGCCCGTTGCGGTTCCAGTCTGTCTCGCGGAAGAAGCGTACGTGGTCCGTCTGCGCAAGCTTGTGTGTCCAGTCGTGCGTTCCGTCCTCCGATGCGCCTGTGGGTGCGCCAGAGCTGCCACCCGCTGCCGGCGGGGGCTCTGCGCTCGAGTCCATGGGGGGCAGATGTATGCCAGGGAGGAGTTGCCCTCGCACGGCTGTGGGATATCTGCTGGTGTCGCACAGTCAGAAGCGCCTGCGCATCGAGCTGGAGGGTCGAGCAGCAGGGCGCGCCTAGCAGGCTAGACCTCACACTTCCGCCTGGACGTGGAGCGGTCCCGCGCTAGCGTACCGGGTGTTGCCATCTCGATGCCTCTCTTTTCAGCGGCCTCCGGCGACCAGCTTTCGAGAGACGCCGGAGCATCCAAGCGGCGCAATCGCGTCCAAGACTTCGCGACGACGCGGAACCGCGTTGATGGCCGGCTGTGGCTTCCGCATGCACAGACCCCTTCTTCAGGCTCTCTCCACTTGAACAACATCACGTGCACCTTCCATGCCCAGCCTCAAACCTCAAGGATGCATTGCTTGTCCGCGACCTTGTGCACCAAGACCGAGGCTCGATCTATTCCTGCAGCCCGCCCCCTTTGATACTGACGCCTACTGTCTGCTTCGCCACATTCCACCCGTCAACCTCTAGTCTCACCGCCCGTGTCGCAAGTTGACCCCCAAGCCTGAAGTTGACTTCCAACTCCAACGTCTCCTCCGGCCACACCGTGACATAGTTATCGCTCCACGTAACGGGCACGACATCTACAGACCCGTCGTCGTCTATTTCTGGTCTGTCGAAGAAGTCTACCAGATTCAACCGGACGAAGACGGCTGGCAGCTTCGATCGGTTCTGCAGCGTGACCTTTACGTGGATGTGGCCGGCAGGCTTGCGCATTTTTATGAGCGTCTTTACCGACAGGTCGGCCTGAGGAAGTGTGTTGAGAGCACCGAAGTCGGAGAATTTGGTGACGGGCGTGTGGTACCAGGTCGAGTTGTCAAAGTCCAGCGTGTCGGGCTTAGGCGTCAGGTGGTATACATTCCTTGAGAGGACACTGTCGTTCCCTTTGAGTACGAGCTTCAGTAACGCAACGTCTCTAATCTGGTTGATTTCTGTCATCTCAAAGAGTCGCGTGCTGTTGTTCGGTGAGAGTTGGGTCCTTGTTGCCGTCTTGCTAATCGTCGTGCCATTCACATCGAGCAGCTCGGCTTCCACGGTACAAGGTCCGAGAGAAGACTTGGACCGATTGATCAAGTAAAAAGATCGCGTAAGGTAATCGTAAGCTACGTGTTGTAGGCGAGCGCCAACTTTCGTGCCGAAGTACGAGCCCGCGGGATGGAGGTAATAATCGAACAAATTCCAGTGCAGCGAGGGCCACGCATTGTTCAACATCCAGTAGATCAGCCCTGTAGCAGGTCTCTCAGCAGTCCACTTCGCACCATATGCCTCGAATTCTGCCCTTGTTGCTTCGTAGTCCATCAGTTGCGCCTTCAGCAGGTAATTCTCTAGCGACGTCGGGGCACCATAGCGCGCCCAAAGAGCCTCGTTGTAGATTTCTCGCGTGTAGAAGGAAGAAACATTGGTACTCATATGATATAGGCCCTTTCTGGGGTGCTTCCAAAGATCATCAAGGTCGGAGGAACTGAGGAAGCGTTTCAGCGAGCGAAGCTCGGGGGTGCCGACACCTGCACCCAGTTCTGAACCGAAGCCAAAAGCGGCACCCAGCTGATCTGAGTACCAGTAGTTTGGAGGTACCCAGTCGTACGGTCCGTCCATCTTCATTCCGCCATTGCCCAGGAGATCTGGGTATCCTCGCTGGCTGGCTGAGGCGATGATGGGAATATCCCAGTCAAAAGCTCGGAGGGCATCGACATATATGCGTACCGCACGATCGTCGGGCCAGAAATCGGAACCGACCAGAAACGCCAGCAAGGATGGGTGGGACTGCATCATTGCGGCCTCATGGCGCATCGACGCATTCGCTATGGCATAGTCGGCGTCTTTCCATTTTTCACCAGACCCCTCATCATTGTACGACCAACCTTCCCATTTATCGCAGCATTCCCATCCGGCCAAGATCATGATGCCCGTCTCATCAGCCAATTCATACAAGAACGGATGTTCCTGCTTGCCCTCAAGACGTATCGCATTGAGGCCCATATCCAGAACGTATAGGAACTGTGTACGGAGCTTGTTCTCGTCGAAACGGAGGAAAATGTCCGAGGTATAGCCTGCACCAAGAACCTGGAAAGGCTTGCCATTGACGAAAAACGTAGTGTCGTTGAACTCGTTCAACGTAGAGGTAACAGTACGGATACCAAAGCGTACGTTAGGCATAACATCTGAAAGTTGGCCCCTTGTTGACAACGTGCAGGAAACATTGTACAGTGGCTGTTCACCCCACTGCGCCGGCCACCAAATAAGCGGGTTATCAATTTTGAATTTCATCGATATTTCCTGCACAGACATCGCAGCTAACGTGACGCCGTTGGCAAGACCCAGATTTGTTAATTCCCGGTCTTTGGGATCGAAAATCTTGCAATGCACGTCTGCCGTGGTGCTCGCGCTACCCCAGTTTCTCACATCTGCTTTCATCTGCACCGTTCCATCAAGCGTGGTAGCCAGTCTGGGTGTCCCGGCAAATGCTACACTTCCAGTCTGCTTAATTTCAACATCGCGCCATACGCCTGTTCCATTGTCAGGTGGATATGGATTCCAGTCGACAAAGCCCAGCGCAAAGTCGCGGTTATAGTCCGTAGGATAGACCCGTATCAGTAACACGTTCTTTCCTGGTATCGCTTTGGACCCAATGTCGAAAGTCCTGCCAGCGTATGCGCCAGCCTGCACATTCTTGTCTACGACCAACGCGCCATTGAGGTAGATGTCTGCCCGTGACGAGATGCCATGCGTTTTGACCTGGAGATAGTTGTCCACAATCGCATAGCTTGACTGAACTTCAAACTCGGCCCGATAGAACCAGGGCACTTGGAATTTCGCCTGTGTGATCTGGTCCAGATTCTCAGAGAAGAATAGTGAGTCGTCGTCATGGTAGACCTTATTCTCGAGAAACGTTGCCATCAAGGTGCCCTTGGATCCGATTGTATACCAGCTGGATACATCGAGGCGCGGTACAGAGAGCTTAGCCGCATCGTTCCCGACATGACTCGACGATTGAATCTTCCACGACGGAATGACGGCGGCTTGTCCTGGCGCGGACACGAGAGGGGATGCGTCGGCAGCTGAATTCAGTAGCGATGCGAGCGAAAACAAGCTTGACATGAATAAACGCCGCATCGTGGCGAACCCGCTGAGAGATGTCTGGAAGGGACTGGATTGTTGTTACACGGAGGTACTCGAGAACTTATGAGAGTAGTAGCGCCGACATAGCTCCTGCATTAGGAAGCTGTATCTTGTCGATCCTTCCTTCCTGTAACCCAATCATGATGACTGATGCCTGCAGTGTAACCTCAATCTCAACGGATGACGGCACAGCTCGCGACTTGTAACTTCGCAGGGCCAAGTGTCCACGATATAAGCAGCTCAAGACAATAGTATTTTAGCCTCAAAGAGAACGCCAATTCTGGGCGCATCCATTCAGCATTCGAACATTGGTCGATGGACGCTCATAGCTTCCAGCCCCTCTTCTTAGCAAGTGCGGTCTCCTGCCTCACGGCCAGATCGGCGATGATTTCCTCACTTCCGCCTCCGACGACCATCATTCTCAGATCGCGACTGATTTGTTCTACCACTGCACCTGGACCACCCTTTTGATAGCCAGCGCCGCCAAAGATTTGCTGCGCTTCTCGGTTTGCCATCTCCAGAATCCGGCCGCCGTGCACTTTCGACAACGCTATCTGCCCCGCGATCTCTGGGTCCTGCCACCCCAGCGGCGACTGTTGGATCTGGTACGCAATCTGCTCAAGCCAAGCCCAGTGCGACTCTATATACCTTCCGAGGGTGGCCAGCTTGTGAGTGATGATTTGGTTTGAAATGAGAGGCTTTCCGAACGTATGTCGCTTGGTAGCGTATTCAAAAGAGTGTGAGAGACAGGTACGTGCTTTTCGGTTGCATCCGACCGACATGATGAAACGCTCTTTGTTGAAGTTCTTCATGATGATGCGGAAGCCTTCGTTTTCCTTGCCAACCAAGTTTTCTATTGGCACGTAGACATTGTCCAGCTCAACGAAACTAGCACCACCCGCCTTCTGGCCACTGTTTGGTATGCGACGGTGAGAGAAACCTTGTGATGAGGTTGGTATGACGAGGACGGAGATGCCCTTCGCGCCGTCGCCTCCGGTACGGACCGCCGTCGTCATGTGTGTCGCCCACGGCATGCCAGTGATCCATTTCTTGTACCCATTCACGATGTAATGGCTCCCGTCCTTACTCTTCACTGCCGTCGTTTGGATGTTCGCAACATCAGACTGCTAATCATTAGCAGTGCTCCAAGTATGCGGGCATGCGTGCTCACACCACCGCTTGGCTCTGTGATGCCTAGACAGAAAGATGTCTCCCAGGTAAACAAGCCAGGCAACCACTTCTTTTTCTGTTCTTCTGTACCGTAATGAACGACCGGTGGCACCCCGATGACTGATCCCCCTGCCATTGCCGTCCCAACGCCTCCCTCGACTCTACTGCTTTCATCCGTCATGATCATAAGATGAAAGACATCCAAATCCTTTACCGGTATTCCCGCCGGGCCAACAACATCTGCTGGTCTGTACGGCTCTGGAACGTCCGCAAATGGCTGACCGGTGCGCGCGTGCTCTAGCCTGAGTTGTTCTGGAACGTCTCCCTGTTCCTCCCACTCTAGCATATATGGTTTGATGTGTTCGTCGTAGTAGGCGCGCAATGTATTGCGTAGCTTTCTGTGCGACTCGTTGTAGTATGGTGAAGGAAGAGTGAGCCACGAGGGTTCGCTCCAGGGCGGACCATCGTTAACCGTAGTTGCTTTCGTGTCGGGCGCCATGGCGAAATCGGGTACACGCCCTCTCTTGTGAAAACCGGACGGTAGTTGGTCGTGACATGGCTGTAAGACAATAGCGGTTCAAGTAGGCACGAAGGAAGGAGCGAGCTGGGGTACATGCCTCGGTTCTCGGATGCTGCAGAAGCGAGTCAGCGTTCCCCAGAAATAGGGCTCGCTTCTAAATTAGTGTCCGCAAGAGACTCCAACAAAGGGCCGTCACCAAACATCAACCCAAAATGATGCTGCCACTCTCTGAGAACGATTTCAAGGCAAGAAATGGATTCTCTCCAACTTTCAAAGGGTTATGAAGGACATCTTCCCGACTTCAGTGCTGTGTACTTGGCTCCAGATGCTGGTCAATTCCAAGTTTGTAATAGCTCGGGAGATGTCCGTTTCTAAGGATCCTGCGAACATCAGATTGATCTGAAGCAACATGGGCAGTGTCGCCGAAACCCACGTTTGGACATATCAATTGACCATGGACTACAACATATCCGTTCGAACCACACTTACACACTCACGTAGCACAGCACGCCTCATCTTCACCAACGCAATTCCCCTGGAAAACAAGCTCCTCGTACATGCGGTGGTAGGAGTGCAGCTGGAATAGAAGGAGCAAAACACGTTAGATGCGTTGTGGATATTACATTAACTATACATGCCCTTCCCGCGAGATTCTGCACAATATGCAGTCAATATAAGACATTAATCGGAATCGCTGCCATAACCAGCTAACAGGCCGCTGGAGGGAGGTGCCGATTGTTTAGTCGACGGTGCTGGCGCGGGCATGGATGGCTTAGAGTCCTTCTTCTTGATCCCCAGCGCCGCACCATAGTCCTTCTTCTCTTTTGGCTTCTTAGTGAAAGCCATCACGGGGACTTCCATGGGCGCATCATTCATCTCCTCCTCTGCTATTTCCTCTTCGCCAATATCCGGCATACTTCGCCCCGCAAAGGCCTTCCGTGCCGCCTCCTCGTCTTGCTCTTCCTGCCGCCTGCGCGCCTCATCGACATCCACAACGGTGACTTCAGCCTTCTTCCCCTCTTTCTCGGCGCGTTCAATCCTTGCGTTTCTCGATCGAATCTCATCTAGCGCATCTGCGATCGCCATCTCCTGCTTCGCATCTAGCACCTTCGTCTCCAGCTCTTTCATCGCATCCCTCTCTGCCTCCTCCCTCTCCAGCCTGTCTAGCCTCTCCTCCTCCGTCTCCTCGGCCAACTTGGCCTCTCTCCACGGCTCGAAATTCCTCTTCGCGCCTCGCTCACACTCGTAGTCCATATTCTTCGGGTCCGTCTTGAATGTAATCTCGGCGGAGCATCGCGTGCAGCGGATGTAGAAGCGGAAAATGGCAATCTGGTAGTACTTCTCCTCGGTGGTCTCTTTGCGTGCGTTGAACTTGCGCCCTTTGTAGATGAACTCACCACACGAGGTGCATTTCATGGAAAATGGGGCCATGAGACGGACGGTCTGGACTTTGGGACCGGCTTGCTTAGGTCCCCGCGTGCGACCGATCTTGGAGGGGTCGAAGTCGGGCGGGTAGTATTTGCTGAGTACTTTACGTTCGGACATGGTGGCGGTGGTATTGGAGCGTGAGGCGCGGTGGCTTCGTGTATTCTTCTATGTTCCGATTGTGAAGGCCGAGGAAATTGCAGACGGTTGTTGAGACAAGGGAATGAGGCAACCGCGTAGGGGATTTTATATCACGTGATCTACCTCAGAGTTGGGGAGTCAAGCGCCTGCCCAGCGGTGCTGGTCCTATTGAGATGGACAATACAGAGTGCCGCTAGAATCCTGATGAAAAAGGTCCGCGGTCCGTTCAGATAGTTCCGTTAAGCATTCTGAGTTAGTTGTGGAGATACAGATGAGTAGACACGGCAGAAAGATGCAGGCGGTCGCGGTTTCCTTAGCGGCGAGGCTTGGCGGAAGGCATGTCACGTGGAAGCCCCGCCCCGTGCCCACGCGAATGGCAAGCGCGCGCGAGGCTCATCACCGCGTCCGGCGGCATACAAACATTGCATCATCCGCGGCCCCGGTCCCCCGCAGTTCTTCTCTCATGTTTTGGACATAGACACTACTCAATGGACAAATTTCTTCGCGAATGGCGACAGGATGCCGTCAACAAACATCAGTACGAGACAGCCATTTTCGTTGCCGACAAGCTGCTGGCCCTCACAGGTATGCGGTCGCCGAATTGATTACAGAGATAGGGCTCACAGCGATGCACAGGAGATGATCAAGACTCGTTCTACCTGGCACAAATCCACTTCAATACCGGCAACTATAATCGTGCGCAGTCGTTCCTCGCCCGCGGCAACCTGACAGACCGCAACCCTCAATGCCGCTACCTCGCAGCCCACTGCGCAATAAAGCTCGGGAAGACAGAGGAGGCTTTGGCGATACTGGGCGACAAGAACCCCACGCATCTCATCACGGCACCCGGCAGTGCGCGCCAGAAGCTCCGGCATGTCGACGTAAACACTCGGGCAGGTGCGCGGCACGGCAAACATGGCTCGCGTTCCGAACGTGTGCCGACGAGCGAGGAGCGAGACCGGGAAGACGTCAACAACATCAAGTCGGAGGCAGGCATGTGCTACCTGAGGGGCCTGTGTTATGCCAAGCAGAATGCCTTCGATCGGGCCAAAGAGTGCTACAAGACGGCGTGCCAGATCGACGTACAGTGCTTTGAAGCCTTCGATGCCCTGATGACCAACTCACTCATGTCTCCTACCGAGGAGTGGAAGTTCCTCGACTCGCTCAACTTCGATGCCATCAACGTTCCCAACAACCCCTCGCTTTCACAAGAGGCCGCTCAATTCACGAAGACCCTGTACACGACACGCTTGTCCAAGTACTCGCGCCCAACCGAGTTCGAAGAGGCAGTGGAACAGCTGACGACACACTACAAGCTCGCCGACAACCCAGACATCATCCTCGCCCGGGCCGACCAGCGCTATACGAGTTGCCGCTTCCGTGAAGCTCTCGAGCTGACCTCGTCGGTTTTGAAAGAAGACAAATACAACTTTGCAATTCTTCCTGTGCATCTCGCTGCACTCTACGAACTGAAAGAGAGGAACGTTCTTTTCCTGCTTGCGCACGAACTCACAGACACGCATCCTTCAGAACCATGTACCTGGCACGCCGTGGGCATATATTATCTAGCAACACACCGCATCGCCGAGGCACGGAGATACTTCTCCAAGGCTTCTGTCATGGATCCGCATTTTGGACCTGCTTGGATAGGCTTTGCACACACGTTCGCTGAAGAGGGAGAGCATGATCAAGCTATCTCAGCATATTCCACCGCAGCGCGATTGTTCCAAGGCACGCATCTCCCACAGCTCTTCCTTGGTATGCAGAATCTACAGCTCAATAACATGGTCCTCGCACATGAATATCTAGACACTGCGTACCAGCTGTGTCCAACAGATCCGCTGCTGCTCAACGAAATGGGTGCAGTATACTATCACGAGGGTCACCTCATGGAGGCCATCTCTATGTTCCGCCGTGCTCTTGGGATCAGTGAACAGAACAATGCCGACATCGCGTCTCTCATCCCTATCCGCACAAACCTAGGGCACGCTCTTCGCCGCGACGGACAACTAGAAGAAGCTTTACAAACCTTCGAAGACGTCCTGCGCCACGGTGTCAAAGATGCTTCTGTCTTCTCTGCAAAAGGGCTTGTGTTGCTCGAACTTGGAAGGACATGGGACGCTGTCACGGCATTCCACGAGGCGCTCGCAGTCGCACCGCAGGATCCTATGGCCACTGACCTACTCAACCGCGCCCTCGAAACCAACGAAGACGACGCAAGTTTCGCGGGCGCGGACAAAACTATTGGTACCGAGCAGAGCTTGGGTGAGGAGGACAGCGATGAGGAAATTGAGGAAGTAGAGCGCTTGCTGGGTGGTAGGCTTAGAGAGATCCAGCAGAACAAGGTCGCAGGGAGGAGCCGGAGGAGGAGAAACGTGCCTCTAGACGATCCAAGTGCTCTAGAGGAAAGTATGGCGGTCGACTCGGATGGGTAGTGCCCGTAGTAGGCTTCCCTTGTAATCGTAATGTTTTGTCTGTTAGCGAGCGGGTTGCATTGGCGGAGTTTGGGTAGCCTTTTATGGCCTTCAGGAGCGCAAAAGTATGACAACGGCATGCTTGGCGCTTGGTGTCCTTTGGGACATTTGTGTGGATTCGTACTTCTGGCATCTCGAAATGAAGAACTCTCTCACTTACGATTTGGAACTTAAATTTCGATATTAACATTCTTTCTGAAACGCTAAATCTTTAATCTGAGCAGTCCATCGAACCCACCTACCTTCTTTTTAACGAGGACGTAGTACGCAATTCCCGTTGACGTATCCGCCTCGGCTTTTGTTCTGATTGCTAGCCAGCTACAAAAACGTCGATTACATAGAAACTTGGTTCGGGCCAAGGTATAGTGATGACTTTAATGCGATGGGAATGTAGAGTAAATCAAGATCCACCAATGAGCGTCAAGACTCTAACAGAAACATCAACCATGTGACACTTTAACCAGATAGTATACCAAGAGGAACCTCGGGAAGATTTCAACCAATATATTAGGATAGTAGCCTACTGTTCTATCGAATATAGTTTTCGAAAGGTGCATAGAACTTTTGAAAAGCATTCAGATTTTTCTAGTACCACAGGGCACGATACGATCTCACTGCTTTCGTTACATCACACCAAAAAAATGCGTTTCCTATTGTCTATAGTCGCACTGATAACGACGACACTCACCGCACCACACGAACCTATCCAATCTCTCGACTTCTCATCATATGGCCTTACTAGCCGTGCTGACCCATCATTGACAAGATATCTGGGCGTCTTCTTCCTCGGCGACAAGCCCTCCGTCTACTTCTACCTCTCTAACGGCAACAACGCAATCAGTCTGAAAGCCCTAAACAAGGGTACCCCCGTCATCAACCCCACAAAGGGGACGCAAGGCGTGCGCGACCCCTCTATCATCGCTGGCGGTGGCGCCGAAGCAGGCAAAAAATGGTATATCATCGGCACCGACCTTAACATCGGCAAGACGACCTGGGATGCCTCGCAGCGCACCGGCAGCCGAGGAATCTTTGTGTGGGAGTCGACGGACCTCGTCAACTGGACCAACGAGCGCCTCGTCGTCGTAGAGGATGAGACCGCGGGGATGGTCTGGGCGCCCGCTGCCGTGTGGGACGCGGCGAAGGCGCAGTACGCAGTGTTATGGGCGTCGAAATTCTACGCTGCGAGTGATTCGAAGCATACGGGAAGCCCGTCGGCGATACGCATCCGAACGGCGTATACGTCTGACTTCAAGACATTCTCTGCGCCAAAGGATTATATTAATTACAGCCCGACGAACATCATTGATATCGATGTTTTGCCCCTGGGAAATAACGCCTACGCCCGTTTTCTCAAAGATGAGAGCGCGAAGACCGTGTTCATGGAGGTTTCTACGACGGGATTGTTCGGGACGTGGTCGAGGCCGGGAGGAAACAATGCGATCATTGAGAAGGGCGTGGAGGGCCCGGCGAGCTACTGGGATAATCAGGTTGACGGGAAGGCGCATTTGTTACTAGACTTTTACGGGAGCGATGGGTATCATCCGTATAACAGTGCAGATGTTAAGGGGGGGAAGTGGAGTGCGAGTGATAGGGGTGCGTTTCCAAAGAACCTAAGACACGGGAGTGTGCTACCTGTGACGGATGCTCAGGCTACAGCTGTAAGTGCGAAGTGGCCAGCTTGAAAGTGCCGTGTCGGGCTTTTGGCGATTTTATCTGCACCAGAGCTGCTTTGTCTCGTCAGAGAATCCAGAATGTTCTCTCAAAACTCTTGGATAACCGAAGGTGAAGAATAAGTGTAACTACACATAATATGGATACAGATTCGGGAGGCATGAACTGCACCAAAAACTAATATATATTAACATGCACTATAGAGACAATTACACGGATAAATAATCACTGGTGGCATACGTTCGACAGCGTTGAATGCGTCACTTTGCACGTTTCTTCCCTCGATTGCTCAAGCCGAAACGGGCTTCTCCGAGTCAACTTCACCCAAATGCTGCTCCCTCAAGACTTGGACGTCCACTTTCTCCAACGGGTCCTCATTAGCTTCACCTCTGTGGTACAGTTGGCGACTGACATGCTCCGTCAGATATTGATCGAAGTCTCGCAGGCAAACACTAGCGATTATAGCAAGCCCACCAAGCGCAACAGCAAAGTAATACACGTAGGCGTAAGACTTGGAGTATGCAGTGGAAACAGCGATGTTGGTGGTGTGAAGTATCTCCGGATTCATGCCTGTGACGTTGAGCAGTGCGGCTTGCGTACCGGCTCCGACGGCAGTCATAAGCTCTGACACGGAGTCGGCGGGTAGACCTGCGGATGTCACGGCGGATGGGACGAGGGAGGCGAGGTAGCCGGGGACCTTGTTGGTGTAGATGGCAGTGAAAGCTGCGGTGAAGATAGAGCCGAAAATCGTACGCGAGGCGGAGATGACGGCTGGAACTTGCGTTAGCTCTCACCACAATCGATGTCGGATGGGTAAGTCTCTTACAGAAAGCCACACCAAGGTCCTGATCGGAGACGACGTACTGCACCATGATGGCAGCAATGACCTCGCCCCATCCAATTGTCAATCCGCCGAGGAAGCTGAACGCAATAGCCTCACTCTTCTTCTCCACGGTGATGCTCGCCATGGCGCCCAGGAAAGCAGTCATCCATATACTGCTCGCTAGGATTTGGTATCGAATGTGCTTGATAAAGTGCATAAGCGGTCCAAGCAGCACAATACCACCCCAGAGCCCAAACGCCGCCGTAGTAGACAGCCACGCGGACTCCTCCCACGATCCCACCGTCGAACCAAAGATGTTTGCAATCTGCTGAGGCCAAATGATGAAGAGCGCGATGTTCATGACACCGTATGTCGCAGAAATTACTTCGAGGCACGTGAAGCCGCGCAAGTCGCGGAAGAAGCGCATGGGTATGATGGGCTGAGCCGGGGTGAGGAAGACTTCGTAGAGGATGAAAGCTACTGTCGCTATGGCGCCGGTGATCAGAAGACCGAGGATTTTGGGCGAGTCCCAAGGTTGCGCCGGACCTCCCCATGAGATGCCGAGGAGGAACAGTGTGAGACCTGCGACAAGAAGTAAGACTCCGATGAAGTCAATCTTCTTGATCTCGTCCATCTTGCTGGACTTCTTGCCGTGGAGTTGGACGTATGATGGAGGGTGGTAGAAAACCGCCCAAAGGAGCGTGCCCGGTACTGATCGGTTATGTTAGTCGCACATCTCAAGATGAAGCTCTCCAGCGCTCACCCATCATGATGATGAATATGTAGTAGATCCATCGCCAATTAGCTACGATAGCCAATCTTAAGCCAATGTAGGCTCCAAATCCAGTCGCGATCACATTCGGCACAACGACAGCCGCCGTTCCGATATACTTGTCTTTATTGCTCATAAGCTCACCCGCAAGCAGAGGGTATGATGCTGGCACACCAGACGCAATACCCATGAGGACCTGAGCTCCGATGAGTGTCTCGATAGACTGAGCAGTAGCAGCGACAATGCCACCGATAATGGCAAGAGCACATGAGGCAAGGGCGAATCCACGGCGACCAAAACGATCCGATAAACGGCCAAAGAGAAGCAACGAGATTGGCTGCGATATAGTCCAGACAGTAGGTACAAGAGCCGTGTTCAAGCTGGGGCCAATGTCCTGAGAGATGGCAGTTCCGAGAACGGCGGCAGTGGCTTGGAATTGGAAGTAGGTTGCACACACGATGACTCCAGTTCCAGCAAAGCTACCTACCATCTTGGGGCTCCAGAAGTAGCCATTGGGTAGTAGAGTCTTCTCTGTGGCCAGGGCTTGCGACCGAATCTTGTCGGCTTCTTCTGAGTTCAGTGACTGGACAGAAGAGCCATTGAGGACTTTAGAGTGTTCCTCCACCGAAGGAGAGACCTTGGGCTCGTCCACTGTATCTGTCATCTTGACCTGGTGTGAGAGGCAAAACAAAGTGCAAGAAGATTAGCAGAACGGCCTCGCGATTGGGAGCGCTTACCAAGCCTGAGAGGAATTGTCAAGCAGGGATGGAGAGGTCTCTCAAAGGGAGGGCGCGTCCTATTCATGAACCCCGAAAGCGCAACAGAAATGAGAGATGAGTTCACACCATACCAACTGACTCGGCCATCTTCAGAACCCTGTACAAGGCTAGAGCAAACCATGCTGTTCACAGTAAAGCAAGCTATAATCAATATGGTGGCGAGCACGATCCTTGCTCAAGGGATGACATTCGTACAAGCGCACGCTGATAAACAGGCGGAAGAGGGGGCGGACCAGAAGTTGTACGCGTCGTGCATAATTATCTTGTGAAGATTGTCCTCAACGGACGCACGAGCGGATGGGGACAGCCTCGTGTCCAGTCTCTCCAGCCAGGATCTGAAAAATTCGCCTCGTCGAGGAGTCGCGAATGGTGTTAGATCAACAGACTTCTTCCCACGTTGCCTGTAACAGTGGGTCTGAACGGTAACAAACGCATGCTGAAACGGTATAATGGTCCCCCACGCGAGTAGCGCCCGAGCGCAAATTTCGCGTCCAACCGGAAAAAGGGTTCTTGTGACCGGCAGCAAACATTCCTGTTTGTGGATGGCATTTCGTTAAAATACAATGGCATGATGCGACATTTGGTCAAACATGCTAGTAGGGGTACCGGTACCGGTAGTCGTGGAGTACCTACCATAAGCGAGGCGGTGAGAACGCGAAGCTAGTGCAACAGCGAGCCGATCCGCAAGAAGGAAAACATGGACACATGACAGGCGCAAAAAAAAAAAAGCAAATGATTGGTTCGAAATGGTTTCCATATATGTGGGTAGTGAAGTTTGTGGTGAGATTGAACATCAGCTTCATTGGCGCGAATAAACACAGAGTATGTCTACTCGTCGAGACCGTGGCAGTCATCGACAGCAGCGTAGACCATTGGCTACTCTGTTCGCCTGGGTGTCGAGTATAGAGATCATGCTGTTTGGAGTACTCAGGTCACCCGAGTTTCGGCTTTGGCAAGGAGACCTCTAACCCTGGCTCACACGAATCTGCACCTCGCGGTCGACCATAATCCCGTTACCGGTGTCACGCTGCGCTGACGAGGTAACAATATTCTTCTGGCTGTGATCGTCCCCGAGCGTGGAGTTGCTGTCACCAGCCACCGTTGTTCCGCCGTAGATTCGCGTTTCGGTTCCCTTTTGGCTCGCTGATTTGGAGTGCTGCTTCTGGCTGGACAAACCTTCTTCCAGCTCCAGGTAGCGGTCTGTTGACTTCTGCTGTTTACTGCGCTTGTCGCTTCGGATGGTGGAGCGCAGGCTGAGAACCTTCTCCAAGAGCGGTCGGAGAGCTGGAAGATTGGCCACGATGATTCCTATGCCGACTTCTGCTTGTGCCCACGCAGCCACATCCATCGCATTGTAAAGAAAGTTCTTAGTCGCACTAAGATTGACGGTGATCGAAAGCCGAACAAGGGGAGCAATCGATGCGATGATGCCGAGACTAAGCAGCGCGATGACGGAAAGTTTGATCCGCGTGTCCATCTGAACATTCCAGAGCAGAGGAATTGGGCTGTGATGGTTATTAGTAGTTCGGACAAGAGCAAGAATTTGCTGTTGGGATTTCACAACGTACACTAGAGCGCAGAACCAGTCCGTGAATATGGAAACGGCTGAAAGAGCGAAGCTGAAGCCGGTGATATTACTCTGAGCATTGCAGTGACCGTTGGGGATTTTTGTGGGCTTCCAATTCATCCTACGAATGATCAGTATGTCTGTTTCTTAGCTATTTTCAGTCTTAGATCAAAAAGGATGCTAAGATCCCGGAGTAAGGACGATAACAAGTGGCTCTTTGGGCTAACTTACGCGACGGGATCACAATGAAAGAACTCGTAGATCGTCGTAGATGTCATTACGAGGAATACAGCCCCCATACAACAGTAGATAGGTATCGTGTAGAGTAGCTGCTTGTTGGCGATACGAAGAAGCGTAAAGCAAATCGACCATTTTACTGGAATGGCAGCAAGACACCACATGGTCTGCATAATGAACCACCACTCAGGGAAAGTTAGGACGAATTACTGTCAGCCAACATCTACAGTGATGAACTTACAAACATTGCAGTCTCCTGCTGCTTCGAAGTAAGCTGATCATCTCTTAGGCCACCACCGGTGAACGCAATTCCCAGCATTCCAGTCGTAGAGATAGCAAATATCGGCTTTGGTTCATTAGTCAAACTGCCCCTCGTAGGTTCTGTCATTGAACTCACGATGGCAATGAGCATGCACCAATCATCCGGGCCCCATGCTTTCCTGGAGAGGCGCACATAGAACCTGAGCGCCCACGATAGGACATCGAATACCAGGAGAAGGAGGGTACAAATTGCGAGACCAGGAGCAGTAGCGCCAGCCATTTCGTAGAAAGGTTCAAAACTTGCGAGTCGCCTGGTACGGACGAGCAGCAACCATAGAGCGAAGAACTGACCGTTTATAGGAGGTATTTGAAGGAGTGACTGAGTGTGAGGCTGGTATAAGACTGAAGATCACATATGTCTTCCCGCTCCGCAGGCGAGTGTCGAAGCCGTTCGTGTCAGGGACAAGGAAGATACCCACCACATCCCACACGTTCGCAAGGTATCAACCACGCATTTGGAAGCTTTCGAAGTCGATCGTTACAAAGTATAGTGCTCAGGGACCTTTTTGTCCACGTTCCTCCTGTTCTCGTTACGGAGCTTGGATAGCCCAACGGCTTGTCCAACGGCCACCGCAAGTCCGAGTTAGTTTTCACAGTTTCAAAAGTCAGATGTCTCCAATGAGAGCCTGTGTAGACCTGTCGTCTGCTCTTTTTTCTGCGCCTCTCCGCGACGGGACTGCAGATCCACCCGCGCGGGTTCAGCGAGACAAAAAGGAGCCTTGGAGCCAATGCCATTGCAAAAGTGCATAATCTTGCAAAAGCATGGAAATCAGCTCACTCCTACAGCGATCGGACCATGTGAAGATGGTACCTGCGCGAGACCGTGGTCGGAGCAACTTGGCCGAGCTCCTCCCTAAAGTCTGAAAGACCGGGCCTGATCGAGCAGTACGGTACGCGTCAGATGAGGAATTGACGATGCACTCCTCAGACTCTGTTTTCATTTCGTCGCTGGCGTTATCTAGCACCTTTTTGGGCTCTATCTCAGAAACAAGTAGGATAATAGTCGGACGTCTCACAATGATTCTTCGAGTTCCAGTGGTCACCCTTATCGCAATACAGTACCCAGGTTACCTGTCACTCTGGCGTCAAGTGTTTCCCCTGTGAGGATGCAGTATGTTCCCAAAACAATACAAGATTGCCCGGGAATTAATTGTGGCTCTCATCAGTTCGTGTGTACGGCTATCAACCCTTGTAAAGCTGCTGCGTGCCTATATGCATGAAGCGATTGCAATGCCGATCACACAAGTCGTTTCCTGTCCGGCAGTTTGGCTCACCCGTGCAGCCGCTGACCTTGCTGAAAGCGGCTGACCATGCGCACACCCCTGCGCGCGTAAACCCTCTAATCCTCGGGTAGGCATGCATCGGGGAACGTTGCTAGCTTCCGTCACAAGTCTTCCAATCCTCGCTGGCTACTGCGATCCTGATGACGTTCCATCATTCGCAAGTTGCAACCTCGCCATACATAGCGTGTGTTCTCGGGTGTTGATCTGCGTAGGATTCGTTCGCCGTGGGTTGAACGTGCATGCATTACAGCACCCTGCCCACGGAGATTTATTGGAGATGGTCACTGAACTTTGAGGAGGAATGAACCGTGTAGGTGGAATACCAGTAATCATATACGAGATCTTGAGTACCCATTTCTCCGGGATGTATTGCGCATTATCTTTTTCGTGACTACCCGCAGATATCGTGAAGAAATCTAGGCTCCCTCTTCCGCGAATTGTGGGCCAGCCAGTGTGGGTCAAGTACTGCACTTCCTCTCAAGGGCGACAAAGATCGTCTATTGGGCGGTCAAGCCGCCATCCACGTTCAGGTTGATACCTGTCACCCATGCCGCGTCGTCGCTAGCCAGGTAGACAGCGGCTCGTGCATGGTCTTTTGTCTCGCCAAATCGACCCCGTGGCAAAGCCGCAAGGACGGCGTCCCGCGCAGAAGAGAGTGCGCCACCAAGCGCATTGTCCAGCATCGCTGTTTGGGTAACTTACTATGGTTAGCTTCGTACAAGATGTGATGAGACAGGACCAGCTTACACCCTGGGCAGATGGAGTTGGCGACGATGCCCTGCTTCGCGACGTCGAGAGCGACAGTTTTCGTGAGCGCCGCAACAGCCCCCTTCGAAGCCGTGTAACCAGCTGTCAAAACGCGAATTAGGTGTCTCCGAGGAAATTTGCGAGGATTCAAGGCAAGGAGAACTCACAAAGGCCTGCCATGCCGATGTTTGCAACCATAGAGGCGAAGTTCACAATCCATCCACGAACGCCAGATGGGTGAAGTTTTTGTTTCTTGAACTGGCGCACAGCATACTTGCAGCCGAGAAAAACGCCACGGGTGTTGACCCTTAGGTGTGTGTCGAAGGCGTCCTCATCGACTTCATCAATAGGTTGAGGGTTGTCTGCTTCTGTGCATATTCCCGCGTTATTTACCAGGCTGGGGCATATCAGCACTATCACCATTGGTAATTGATCGGAAGGTGAACTCACATATCCAATCGTCCATACTCTTCGACCGTTTTGGAAATTAAAGCAACCCAGTCTTCCGCTTTGCTAACATCAGTTTGTACGAAGATAGCTTTGCCACCTTTCTTGACGATGGATTCGTGAGTAGCAACGTCTTCGCCTTGGCCAAGAGGGCGTAAGTCGGAGCATACGAGCAACGCCCCTTCTTCGTGGAACTGGTTGCATATTTCCCGACCAATACCTTGGGAGGAACCCGTCACGATTGCAACCTTGTTCAGCAAACGGGGACCAGTCATTTTGGAAAGTTATTAAAGAAAAGATCGGTAGTAATCAAGGACAGTATCCGTATATCAGAGACTTCAAGAAGTTGGCTTGGTTTGTACCCTGAGAAAATGTTGAGCTCAATTTGCGAGCTTCACACTGGCGTTATGAGTGAGGCTCTTGCCCTAGTTGCGGTGTCGGCTCGCCACCTCATGCGTACCCTTGTCAACTAGACAGATGCGCACTAATCATGCATCAGGACCGTCATACAACTCCACTACTGCACACGGCACGGCCAAAGCACCGCGCCAGATCGATCAGGTTACGATTGACAGGAGGATATTATTGAAACAAAAAGGAAGGTGATTATATCGATAGAGTGGAGACGCTCCATAGGCGAGACAGGCCTGTCTTGGTCAACGAGACTGTCTTGAATAACTCCCATTGAGAATACCGGCTTCTAGACAGACAGCCAGCTTAGTTGCAGGTTGAAGGGTGTTTCCTTTCGTACGGCCAGCAGTGTAACGCGATTCGGAAACCTAGAAGGTTGCTAGGTCCCATTCAAGTAGAACAGAATCATTGTGCGCAAGATGTCGAGACCATTGGAGGGTAAAGTCGCCATCGTAACTGGAGCTTCTCGAGGTAAGCTTCGAACATTGACCTGCGCATAGCCTATGCATTCTAGAGCTTATAGCTACTTAGGCCTCGGAGCGGCGCTTGCCCAACATCTAGCTGCAAAGGGCGCAAATGTAGTGATCAACTATACCTCGGACAACTCCACTGCTGCTGCAAAGACGGTCGCAGAAGAAATCCAATCGAAACATGGCGTCAAAACTGTTCTGGCCCAGTGCGATATAACTAAGCAACACGGCCCTAGCCGGTTAATCGAGATAGCAAAATCGCAGTTTGCCAACGACGGCGAATTTCAGATCGACATCCTCATCAACAACGCCGGAGTGGTCAATCCGGCTCCAATGGGATCGGTGACCTACGACGAGTTTGAAAACACGTTCCAATTGAACGCACGCGCACCGTTGTTTGTTATTCAGGCGGCCATGCCTTATCTCCCGAACGACAGGTCAGGGCGGATCGTGAATGTATCCAGTATAACCACCAGTATGGGATTCTGGTGGCAGAGTTGTTATGCCGGTACAAAAGGAGCTCTTGAAGCTATGGTGTGTATCCGCCTGGATGCTCGGTCATTGCTAACTGTCGCCATTGCAGACACGAGTGTGGGCTCGCGAGCTTGCCGAACAAGCTACAGTCAATTCTATCAATCCTGGAGCCATGATGACAGGGATGTACACAGGGCTCCCACAAGAGATGCTTGAGAAAGTCTGGTCATTGAACTACATGGCACCGCTGGCCAAACCTCGTGTAGGGATAGATTCGCCAGAAACTGTCGAAGCAGCGAAAGGGCTTGGAGGAAGGCCGGCGTATCTTGAGGAGGTCTCAGGCATCGTAGGTTTGCTCTGCATGCCCGAGTCCGGGTGGATAACAGGACAAGTAATAGGGGCAAATGGAGGAGGAGTGATGACGAAGGGTTAAAGAGTTGGAGACAAGGCGTCAGTTCAGGCCTACCAATGGTAGCGTCGAAGGCGACTTGGCATCATGTGATCTTCAGGCTTCAGCGCCCACGTGCCTCAACAATATAGCATCCCCAACACAACAATCGCAACGACACTGTGCTTGTTGTCCCCGTCACTGTGTGTCTCATCAAGGTGGAGACCTACGGCTGCCCAGCCCAGGACCCAATACAGCGCAACCACAACTGACAAGTCAAGCAAGATATTGTGCAAGGTCAGAGCTGACAACACAAGTCGCTGGGATACCGGTACCTGACGACCTGGTCGGGGTGCAAGAAGATCGAGCAACAGAACATTGCCCTCCTTTGTGGCTCTGCATTTCGGAACTAACATTGCATTTTGACAACTTACTACCCATTTATCGAGGGTTTCTCTTATCGCGCGCGCATTACTCGGACGAAGCGAAACTGCGGTAGTCCTGTTTCTTCCGCTCTTGGCTGTCTTACCACCCTGGCCCCTTGTTCCAATCCGACGCGAGTTTCGCAGGTAGTAGAAACACCTCAAGAATAGCATCGAACATCGCCTTGGCTTCTCTATAATGAATTTACTCTGCTCTTCCTGAAGGGCATCTGAATTAACAGCCAATAGGATTGCTCCGAGACTAGAGACGGTCTTCATGCTCTCTCGTCGCATGCATGCATGCATCTTTGACCTCTTCGCCGGTACCAGAACGTTTTTTAACCGCCCGCTATTATATGTACGTCACACACTGGTACCGTTTGTAGTACCTTCCGCTACGCTCTCCTCGGCGTCCGTTCTTGGTATCTTGGGTTTTCTCTCGTCGAGACTTCCAAGGCGACTCACGAGGCAGTTGACATCCTCTAGAAACACACCTGCATGGATTAACTTCAATCGGAACGGAACCTGCTGCACTGATCTACATTTCCTGCGAGGCAAACAAAAGTCCAAGAGCGCCTCATCTAGATCTCTAGGCATGCCAAGTTGCCAAGGCGTGCTGGTTGCAACCAAGCCCGCCCTCGAAACAACAAACACAACGCTCCGCCCTCAACAGCCCACTTTCCCATAGTCCCAAGGAGCGGAGAGGAGCCGCCGCAGATACAAGACCCGCTCTTGGACATGGCTAAAAAGTGGGAGACGTGGGATATCAGTGTTTAGTGTCAGCGGAGCCGTATCGGATCAGCGGGGCCTCTGCAGGGCGCTTCGGGCTTGGGCGGGAAGCCTCACCTTCCGTCTTCGAATTTTTCTTGGGTTCGTTTGTATTTGCTTGGTTGAGGTAGTGCATGCTTGGTTGGCAATCTTGGGCGCATTGTAGACTGTGTATCGTGGAGGGGAGGTTGGGTCACAGCCATGAGCGTGACACGAAGGCTCGGACACTTTGGTATATAAACGGCGAACCTCCACTCCACCAGGGGGCCCCATATCCACACTCATCTCCACCTTCTCCATTAAACCTTCTCGACCATCTACAACTTGACCCACGAGTTCTCTCCTCCGCATAACTACCACCATGAAGCTCTCAGTCGTCGTTGCTTCGCTCCTCGTCACACTCGCAGCAGCCATGCCCGACCCACTCCCTCAAGGCTACACAGGTCCCTGCTCTACTACAGACTGTGGTGTGAACCACCTCGACTGCACACGTCGGGGAAACCTCTGCGTACCTTGGCCGCACACCGATCCGGCTCTGCGCAAAGGATGTACATGCAGCGCCGGTTAGTTGAAGACAGCAACAATACGATCTGGTATGTTCATCTATTAAGTCCTGTTAGGCGTCAAAGTGAAGGGTGTCACCATCCACGCATTTCCTTCAGGATGAAATCGACCCGGTCCTGATTGAGAAGTAGCATCACGAACAACACCGCCGAAGAGGGTCTCTATGGGGAGCAGCTCAGAGTTGTCGTCATATCCGACTGAGAGCTCGGTCAAAATCTCTGAGCAATACGAGCACAATTCGAACTCAAGACATACTCAGGGCGCCGTCGACCTGACGCACTGCGCGGCATATTCTGACGCGGAGCGGGAACGAGCGGTGCAAGTCCACGGGGCTCTTGGAAGGATGCAGAGCGTATCGTTTGCCGCATTATAAATATTCCTTAACGAAATTTTACGACTTTTTTCCATCAATCACGCAGTGTCCGCTCTCCTACCTCCCGGTTGCCTTATCTCTTGCTATGCTGTGTCTCATCGTACATGATCTTCAATGCATGGCTACAGTCCATCAAGACCGCCTGTTTGAAATGCAAAGAAAGTCTTGTGGCCTCGCCAAGTGCAACTTCGCCCTCCACCCATGATACAAGTGTCAGGTACCCATTCTTGGTATCCGTCAGTCTCCGCCGCTTCGAAACGGTCAAAGCTTTACCAAAGATTTGCATTGCTCACTTTTAAGCCACATGCATCTTCACAAGAACTACAAGAGTGACTTCGCATTTATACCGAATCCAAGGATAGGTCATAGTTATTATCTTACGGGCCATCACAGACAAAAACGAACACTGGGTTGATGCCAAAGCGAGAGGACCTTACTGACATTTGATAGTAAACTCACACAGCAAGGTCATTACCTCCAGATAGCTGACGCCTCGAATTTCGTATCTTGTGATGTACTTGCCAAGTGTCCAGAAATTGCACCCAAAAGCGAATCTTTGCTTCCGAGTGCCTTATCCCGCGGTTACGTCTAATCGAATCTCGAACACCTGAGATCTCATTCCTAGCATTCTTTCCGACCGATAGCCTGGAAGCAAGCGCTCTGGTGACAAGCTCTGATCTTCGGAAATCGTTTCAGACCTAGTCTGCCACGGTACCACGGCGCATATCGAGCCTGCGGTTCTTGCCTGGGCGCTTCCACTTCTTCTCTTTCATCCATGGCGCCGTGCTCAAGCCACGTGCCTGGGTTGCCCATACCTCCCTTCCCATCTCCACAAACTCCGGACCGAAGTCTTCGAGGATCTTCGCTACATCGAATTCCTCGCCATGAAGTGCTTCCTCAAACTCGTCGTTTGTTCCAAACGTGGCAGCTTCCCATTGCTTCTTCCATGTCCCTACCGCTGCAAGAGCTTCGGGGTGCTGGCTCTGGACATCCGTAACAACCATATAGTACGAAGATCGCTTCGTGTGGTACTTGGTCGGTTTGAATAGCTTGACTGAAGAGAATTTTCTGAAAGTGTAGAACAAGCCTACTGACTTAGGCCTCTCAGCCTTGTGGAGGAGAATGATCATAGTTCCGCCAGGGCGAAGGTGCTCAAGGCCGAGAGCAAGCTGGGCGACGGTAAGTCTTATTGCTTCTCTATGCTCCCGGTAGGCGGCTCGCTCCTGAGTCCTCAAGACCTGGCCATCGCACATGACAAGATCGAAGGCGTCGGTGGGTCTGAACTGATGCGGAAGAAATTCATCGGCATCTGGATGTCCAAGGGAGATATAGCGGACGCCCATGTCTGAAGCCATCATGTTAACGTCCAGGAATTTGTAAGACACATTGAGGCACTCTGGAAGGAGTACCTTGTATCCTCCCTCGCTGACAGGCAGAGTTATACCAAGAGCGCGAGCGCCAGGATTGATGTTCATAGTTGTGAGCAGGAAGCCTCCAGGCGCCATACACATGTCGAGGATAGCTGAGTCATTCCCGGAATGCTTCTTGATAGCGAGGGCTCCATCGGTCTTCTGGTGCATCTCTTGTGCGATCTTCTGCATCATCTTGTAAAAGATCTGCGCCACTTTCTCATCAGCAGTGTCGGACTGCTGACGCTGTTTCTTGAAGTAGGAATCGCCTGCCGGATTGTTCCACCCCTACGTATGTCAGCGCTGTTGTTTCATTATTCGATAAATCTTGTGCAGAGGTCTGCTCACCTGATGTCGGAGCTCGTTCAGCTGACGGTATTCTACCGAATGCTCCAACAGGTACGCTTTGATCTTCAAGTCCACGCGCTCCTCCCAGTCGTTTGGATTTTGGGTCTGACCCTCTGGCGAGTGGAAGCTTGGGAGACCTTCAGCATTATCGTTTCCCGCTGGTACCAGCCCATCGGCCATATCGGGCGCGGCAACTGCACCACTGGAAGAGATCGCTGGAACAAACTCCTGAGCGTCAACGCGAAGCCTGGATGAAGTTGGCGTCAATAGGACAGACGTTTGCTGCTCTCCATCCGCTGGGATGGGAGCACTGCAAGGCTCCTCCATACGAAAGGAAGGCATGGCGGTAAAAGTGAGATTGAGCAAAATGGCGAACAATGGAAAGAACGATCGTTCGAATGAGCTGAACAAACGGTCGGAAGAGCTCTCGCTGAGCGAGATTGCCAGGTGAAAGTGAAAGAGAAGTAGGCAGTAAACAAACAGCTGAGCCCGCGCCTTCCATTTCCACAACGGCATTCCATAAGAGAGGAATGGGGGATTGACTGAAAGCGTACATTATTACCCAAATCAACTGCAGTGTAACCCTGAAACAACTTATAGATGAGCATGTCCAGTATTATAGGTATGTCGCAGAGCAATGCCCCAAATTAATCGACACAGGTTCCTACAGACGACTTGGACCGCACTGTATCAACCACGACCCGACCAAAACTCTTCATCGCCTCTTCGCCCCCGCGCTCGATATCCGGTCCCGACCAAGAAGACCTTTCAAACCACATTTAGCAAACGAGGACGCATCTTATCACGGAATCGTTTCCTACCATCTGCGAGCCTCTCCTGACAGTATGCTCCGTCAGAATATGACACCTCTCCCACATGCCCGTTCTCGCTCCCCGCTACCCTAGCCCTGTCGCGACACTGGAAAATCCGTAACCTATCTATTGCTCCAGCTAGACAACACTGCCTCTGCTTCCCTCCCACCCCACCAACCAAGCAACCAGCTGAACAGGTGTCTTTGGCATCGACTCGAATCAAATTCACCGCAAACTAAGAGACGCTCAAAGCGATGCATCTTATCTCACAAACGCATCCATTTGGATCGCGCTGCCCAAAAAAGTCAACATGATACCCGGGCGAGACGTAAACGATAGACGGGATGGAGAATGATACCTGCGACGTGTAAACGTGCACTGAATGATTTGGTAGGGTTTGCACATAAACGTTATTCCATATGCCGTAGCCCACCGATATATACGTTCAACCACCAGAATCTATACAGATACCAGACCGACACCATCCAGCCACCCAGCCAGACGGCACAACGCCAAACACCTTTCGCTAATCAGATAGATAGAGATTCATGTCTATGCCCTCTTCTCTCGCGGAATGCTCGGCCCCGCATTCAACGCCCCCGCAAAAAACCTCCCCACATCCGCTGGCCTCAACTTGCCCCTGAACCCACCCCCATTTTCGCTCGCCGTGCTCCTCCTACTCAGCCCTGTCCCCGTCCGACTCAGCCCGCCATCGCCCAAATCACTAACATTACTCCCCCTTCTCGCACGTCTCATGGCGTCCTCGTCCTCTTTCTTGTGCAAGGACTCTGAGGGTAGCAGGATGGCGCGGTCGAGGGCGTACGGCAGTCCGCGGTGGCGGCCACGGATCTGCATGGCGATGATGATGAGTTTGGACAGGGGCTTAAATTGGCCGGAGAAGGAGGCGTTTGTGCCGGGGTAGCCGAGGGAGAGGCCGACAGTGCCGTAGGCAGAGACGATTTCGAAAAGGACGGAGAAGAGGGTAAAGGCGTATTCGTTGGTCTGGGGAGGTTAGCGATGGGGCGGAGAGGGAGATGCGGAGTCGGGAATGGAGGTATGGGGCGGGGACTTAAGTGTTTGATGCGTGCAACATGTGCATGTTGTATGGTCATACATTGCTCGCTTCAAGGACTTGTACCTGCTGCCACCTCGAGAGCCCCTGGAGTTCCCACGGAAGCCGACTTACGTTTTGCAAGCGAGAGCCTTCCACGATCGCGATGATGAAGAAGCCCAAGAAGACGTACCACAAGTCGAAGGACAATTGGCGACGTACGTGGGTGCCGAAGTAGCTATGTCCAGTGTTCTCGTCTTCATCACCGGACCAAATCCCAAGGGACTTTTCTTCGTACACATTGGTCTTACGCATGGAGATAGCGATTGGAAAGACTGAAATGTACATCATGATCAGGTACGATACCTGGATGGCGGGATGCAGGTCAGAGAGACTGACGACGGCGAAGCCTGCAGTGCGAGTTGAGGCAGCCTGGAAGAGGCCATCAAGGAACCGGAAGCCTCCGGGCAAGCCTTCGACAGCTGGGGCGTTGAGCTATGCGCGCATTAGTGAACATCCCAATCACCAGTGGGAGCATACTCACATCTAAAACAATAAAAAAAATTAAGTCGATACCGTTGAGGAGAATGAGTACCCAAAATAACCACCAATTAGCGCTGCTTGGAAATAACAGTGTGAAGCAGCGACGTGGGTGATCGAGGAGAAATTTGAATTCTTCCCAAACGCCGCTTCGGTACGGCACGCATTTGGAAGCGAGCCAGATGATGAACCGAAGCATACAAGGGAAACCCGTGTTTCCGATGATGATGAGGAATGTCCCCAGCAGGAGTGGTAGGACGCATAGCTGGAACATGACCATAGAATCGGGATTGAGGGTAAATCCCAGGTCGTTGAACATGGAAGCCGGCGTGAAAAAGCCCCTGCCAAAATTAGCTCCAGAGTTAAAATATTTGCGTGTAACGAACGACCTACCACCACACAGGGCTCACGCCAACATCGCGAAGTTTAGCGGAGTATTTTGCGTCGTTCACAATCCATGGAAGCAGGCATATCATGCCTAGTAGGTGAAATCCTACAAAGTAGCACACAAGAACGACAGCCAGCAGCTTGAGAGCTCGATATTCAATGCCGCCGAGCTCCTCTCTTTGTTCTTCAGTCAGATCCACGAAGGCAGAATTTCTCCCCACGGTTGGGGTCCAACTCAGGTACGGCATTGGATCCTCTTCCTCCTTGTCGCGCGTAAGGAAGCTGCTGAATGTCCTTGATCTGGATCGGTTTGGCACGTGGAGACCACTTGGAGGCGGCTCCTCCTCAGACACATCAGACCGCCGTCTTGTCCGGTTGAAGTTGTATGCAGAAGGTCCCGCGTTGGGGCGGCGACGTACGTCCGGAACGTCAATGGTGATGTGAGTCTTGAAAGGATGGTCATCACCATTCATCTCCTGTGCCGGAGGTCTGGAAGCCGACCGAGAGCGTTTCGCCTGCAAACGTTCTCCACAGTCTCCATCGTGGGAAGTATTCGTCATCGGCCTGTCTAGTTCTGTACCTTCTTCGATTCGCTCTGGAACAAAGCCTAGATCATAGTCTCGGGGACCGGGAATGCGAAAGGTGGTTGCATCTTTCGGGTTGCGTTGGTTCTCTACGAAAGCGATGCTCGTCTCCTTGTTCTTCTGAGGCAACCGCTCTTGAGGGTTCGTAACCTCGTCTGCAAAGGTAATGTTTCGATGTAAGACCATCTCGGAATAGTCGGTCTTGGGTGAGGCATCTCCCGGTGCAGGCTCCTTCTCTTTCCTGGGGGTAGACGCACTGCCGCTCTCATCATCCGAATCCTCTATAGCGATGTCTCCCTCGTGGAACGCTTCCTCGTCATCGATCCTAGTGCCTTTGACGTGACCATCGGCAGCCCTCAACACTCTAATCTCTCGATTTCCTACTCCGTTCTCTTCTCTGCCAATGTCTCGCTCAAGGTCGGGCTTCCCTTCGCTCTTGGCGACGGACCGAGTCCTTGATCGTCGCATACTGCGCGCCTCGAGCACGACATTCTGAAACCGTCTCTCGAACCAGTAGAGCCGGATAAAAACAACGAACGTATTTATAAAGATAGGGTTGCAAACAGAAGCGAGTAGCATGAGCACGACCTGTACATCCCGATTAGCAGGGCCATGGTAGCCGACACTATTGGAACTTACCTGCTGGTACAGTCGCAATCTGTTGAGGTCGATGCTATTGCTTGTCAGCTCAGCTCGCAGCCAAGTCGTATTCCACCTACGTGTTCAGGCCACTCTGAGTCGCTCCACCGCTGGCAAAGAACAATGCGTCAATATATGCCATGTCCTTGGCCGGGTAGAGGATGACGGAGCCGATGAGCGCCATGGAGACGATGTACATGTCTGGCCGCTGTTAGTAGGCAACGTGCGGCAAGGATTCCAGTACGCACAATGGATAGTGATGAAGTTCAGGCGAGGCTTAAAGGCCGACCATCGCATTGGTATGTGCTGCTTCAGCCATCCGAAGATGACAAGCCACGGGCCAAACATGTCGCGATGCGTCGTCCTTTTTTCGGCAAATGGGCTCGCTACGGGAAGTCACACTGGGAGTCCACTCGAATGGCCGGTGGATTCTCTTGCGGTAAATGACAGGCGGGCGGTGCTCGAGCTCGAGGGCTGGGGTGTGCTGTTATAAGGTACAGACCGACGCGGAGTCGTTGTGCAAGGTCTTGCGATTCGAAATGTGCATTGTCGGCGGTCAGCGGATGGGGCGAGGATTCGAGGCTCAGGGTCGCATTCGAGTGAAGTGACAGAGGCTGCGGGAAATACTAGCGGGTCGGGCGCAATGGCGAAGTCTGGGGTTCAACTAGGGTGCTGGCGGTGGGAGGATAACGCGGATGGGGTGGCCATGATGACGCCAAGACCGAGGTCTCGACTTGGGCCGCTTCAGGAGAGATGGCGACACCAGCCGCCGCCTTCACGAGCGGCGCAGCCCTGAAATTACTGGCCGGCCCGATTGCACGCGCCTCTCTGCTGAAACACGGCCAGCATACACGTGCGCAATGTTTCGAGCGTCGCTACTGCCCCACTCCCGGTATCCCCGCACGTGCCGGCCGGCCACGGAAGTCGCACGGAAGTCGCACCCAGCGCACTGCAGCCGCCTCGAACCACGGATTGGCATCGCGTCGCATCGCATCGCATTCAGGTACCGACTGGCTAAATCTAGGAGACAAAAAGGAGCTGTTCGCTGTCCTCTCGCGTAGCGCAAAGTATTCACAGCTGAAAAGCATCATCGTCGCCATGCAGCATCGCCCCATGCGCCCAGAAACAATGAAATCACCACCACATCCCGCACATGCAATTTGTCCCTCTAGTTCCCCCCAATCTAATCACAGCCTTCTCACCACAGAGTCACTATGTCGCTGTGGTGATCTGGGGCCCCGGTATACCGGCTATCGCGTTCGCTGATGTTTGCGGTACATCCGAGGCCCCGTCAGTGCCATTGAGTGCCGGTGAGATGGCGCCGGAACCTGTGGGCTTCTTCGTCTTGAGGGTGAGCGGGAAAGGGTAGTCATCGGGGTCCTCTTCCTCCCTATCAAACTCGTTAGCTTGTCTCATTCCCCTACACGTGGCACACGGTACTTACGGGAGCTTCCATGCTATGTAGTCCTCAGTGCTGAGTCCTTCTCGTCCTTCCTGGAGCGACGCAAAGTCACCAGGTGTCATCATCCCAGACCGATCGCGGGGAGACCCGGGCTCTGATAGCGGCCGCGAGATCTTGACCTCATGCGAGCCAAAGAAGTCGGGCTCCTCATCCTCTTCGTATGCCGCTGGGTAAGCTCGTCGCAACGCGAGCTGGCGTGCTTTGACGTATTCCATGCCCATCCGCTTCCAGTCGAGGAGGTCGCTGAGACGCTCAGTTCGGTTGCGCTGGTTGATACGCTGTCGCTTGCTCTTCTTGGTGAAATCGAACATGTAGTCGACAAGCTGGTTGACCGAGTCATCAACGCCCTTCATACGACGGTCCACAATATAGATGCCGTAGTCGGAAGCGTTCTCAATCAGCTCTTCCATGTAGCAACCGAACCCGGACAGGTTGGTGGTGATGCTAGGTACACCCATCACGGTGCACTCGGCGGGAGTGTAGCCCCATGGCTCGTAGTATGACGAGAAGACGCCCAAGTGCGTACCGCGGACGAAATCGTCGTAGTCCAGAGGGAGGACTGGGTTTGCCGAGTTCAAGAACTCAGGATGGAAAACGACCTTGACACGATCAGAGGGATGGTTGAACAGCTGGCAACGGCGGAGCTGGTTCAGAACCGGGTCCTCAGCATCGTTCACCATGTTGTGCGTTACAATCGGCGGCAAGTTATTCCTCTTCATCGCGAAAAGTCGGCGACGTAACAAGATCTTGTCCGAGGCCGAGAGCAAGTCTTTTTCGTCAGGCATGTCCTGGCCATCAGACCAAGTAAGAGAACGTTCGAACAGCTTCTTGCCCACGTTTTGCTCGATCGTCTTAATGGTATCGTGCAACGACTTGATTACAGCCTGTCCCTTGAGCGCTTCGACAGTCAAGGACTGTGTTTGTGCCGGCAAGATAATGAAGGCTACCACAGTCATGTTGGACTGAGCGCTCTTCATGCGGTGGTTCAACCGCGCCAAGGACTCGATGAACATATCCACACCCTTATTACGGTACTCGTAACGACCCGCAGTGAAGAAGTAAAGGGTGTTCTCCGGATCAAAGTCGTTGTGCCCATAAAAGTGACCTCGGACGAAATCGTTGATCTTCTCCTTTGCCTGCTGGTGCAAGTTCTGGAACTCGTGTGTGGCGGAGAATTTCTTAACGTTCAACCCGTTGGGTAGTACGCCGTCCGGCTTGCGCTTCAGAAGATGCTCGCTCTCGTACGCAGTGATGTGGGAGACGGTTGTAAAGACATCGGCGGAGTGTGCGGCTGCGCGTTCTATGCAGTAACGGTGGTAGATGCCACGCTTTCCAGCTTCAGAATCCACATCGAAGAATTGCAGGTTGTTGTAAAAATCGACAGAGCCAGCGCACAGGTAGCGACCAAGAAGGGTAGCGTGCGTGGTGAAGATGGTGGTCACATCGATGCGCCGCTTTTTGCACAGCGGCAGAGCAACACCAGCAAGCCACTCGTGGAATTGCACAATAACCGCGCGCTTCTTCTCGTGGTATACATACTGTCAGGATTAGCCGTGTAGGGAGAAGGTGAGGGGTTTCACCATACCTCGCCCAAAAACCATGCGATCAAATAACCAAAGACAATAGCTTCGTTCGTCTCGGAGTCGCCGGGCGGCGAAGGAATACCAGCAGCAGACCACAGGTCGCCTTTCCACTCGTCGAGGTATCCGTAGCCAGTGCTCGTATCGAAGAGCAGCACGCGCGGCGCGCCGTCAATAAGCCATCGGCCGTACAGCGTCTTGATGCCCCGCTCATTCATAGACTTGACGGTAGCCACCAGGGCCGGGTCCTTGGGCTCCAATTCTTCGACCTCAACTGCGGCCTGTTGCGTCTGTCAGTGGGGCGGAAACTGCCTAGCATTGAGATCATACTGAGTTTCTGTTGAGCGGGCCGAGCAGTGTGTATGAGGAGCCATATTCGGCCGTTGTCACCTGAGCTTTCGACTTCAGGACCGAGTAGATACCGCCAACTGCAAAAGTCAGAACACATCTTCCGGGAGCTCAACTGGCAGCGTACCTCGATTCGCGACCTCGGTCGCGACCTCGAAGAGGATGTGGTTGGAGACATCGCGCGCTTCGGTCATGGTGTCGGCGATGGGAATCTTTCCAAAGATGGAGGAGACTGGGAAAGGCGCAACCACGCAGAAGAGCTCTCACGACAGACGAAGCCGGGGAAGCTGGAGAAGGGGAGCTTGAGCGCGGAGCTCTAGAGTGGAACGAGCTACTGCAGGCGATGGCACTAGACGGGCTGCTACTTGCACGGGAACAGGCAGCGTGACCGGGTGTCGGCGAATGTGTGCAGCTGCGATGGATTGGAGAGAGGCACGACGAGCGGCCAAGTGCAGTGTGAGAGTTTTCAAGAAGGAGGCGGGAGGACAAGTCGCGACCGCTGTGCCGTTTGTTTGAGAGCCCGAGCGCGGAGAGAGATGATGGAGGCTGGAGTGGTGCTAGCCCGCTTTCACCTCGACCCGAACAGCTTGCATCCTTGTCCACCATACGTCACAGCGCCCTGCGCGCCGAGAACGAGCCCAATTGGCCTATCACGCCGCGGCAGGCCGTTGCTGAGGCACCAAAATCTTAAACGCGCCCACGCCCGAGTCAGGTCGCCTTGCACAATGCTCAACAATCCTCCTGCGCCCGCACCAATTTTCGGAGAGTCTTGACGGCCGTGGTGTCGCAGTGTGCGCGCGCCGCCGGTGATCGTCTGGTCACGCTGCCTGCGCCGTCATGGGCGGCCGGCGACGATGCGGGGTTGCCTCACGCTCGCAGCCCACTCGCCTCCAGAGCCCACTTGATCTCTAGCGGGTGCCGGTCCGGAGACGCTGTGGGGTTCCAATAGACGTGGGACGCTGGGCCCCCGCGGCTCTGCTTCCTATGCAGGGAATCCTTCATCATTGGATGTGGCGCTCGTCGCTCGGCATACTACGAACAATCGCTCAACACTCTGGCTGCAGGGAAAATTTTACAATTCTAGGTCACGTAAATTGCTCGACACAACGAAACTATAGAGTTCTGCACATCAATCCCACATGGGCGAACTAGGCAAAGCCTGAGATATTAAGCAAAAAGACCGCGAGCCTCGACTCGCTCCCCGTAGACCGAAAGAAAATTTGAAAAGAAAATCTTTGACGGAGCACCAACAAAATAACAAGCAAGAAAGCAACCCGGAAGGAAGCTAAGAAGCTATCGAGGACCCGCTCGGAACGACACGAAGAGAAGGGACAAACAAAAGAAATTGAACTTGACCTGACAGAAACACGCGATACAGTCCAGACGAATTAACCTTCCGACGACTCCATAGATGTCAAGGAAAAGGGGGTATCACAAAATGTCATCAGCCCATCTCCACGCTCTGCCTCCTGTCCCGATCTATGACCGGTCCCTTCACCGTCTGTTTCCGCTGCACACCTGCGAGCAGACTTCCTGAAGCAAATTGCGAAGGTTCGCTCATGTCCAGCATGGGCCCTCTTGCTTTGGAGCCGTCCATAACCCCATGGCCAACGGGTTGCGCACCCTGGCTGAAGCCTGCGCGCGCGAGGAGACCCCCGGTGAAGGCCTGTCTGTCATCGTCAATACCAGCGGTGTGGTTATTCACAGTATATGCCGCTAGGCCTTCGCCGCGGCCTTTTAGGGAGCGTGTGCGTTCGTGGCCGCTCGTGCCGTAGCTGCCGTGAGCGCGTGCCGTCATCGGCCGGACTGCGCCGGCACGCCAGTCTTGCGAGGGTGGGACTTGAATTGCTTCTTCTGGGGAAGTTGCGTTCTCAACTAGCGGTCCGGCACTGCCTTCTGGTTTGAAGCCTTTGCCTTTGTTCCGGAATTGAGGGGGCTCTTTGTACTGAGGTGTGAGATCCACGAGCGGTCTGGGTTTCATCCTAGTGGAGGCGCTGCGTTGAATGTCGCTCGAGGTTCGTCGATGAGTGCTGCGGACCGACGACCTACGGCCGAGTCCGCCATCGTTTCCTCCAGCAGCCTGTGCCGCTGTTAGGGCGTCGATGCTACCCACGAGCGATGGTCCGGCGGTGAAGGGTCCATTTGCTTGCGCTTCACGTTCTTGTACGGCTCTCTGCCGTTGCGAGTACTTTCTCCCGAGTAAACCACCTGCAGCGAAGGTCTCCTCATCATCAGGCCTCGTTGTAGTCTGCGTGAGCGAGTTGGTCCGTTCAACTACAGGCATATCGGGTATCTCATCCACTAAGCCGCTGCGGGTGTATGCCACTGGCGGCGGAGCTTTCTGCCTGCTCGACATCTTTCTTGCGTGCATAGCTCTTGAATTCATCCTAGCAAAAGATCCCTCCGGAGCTGCAGATTGCTGAGCAGTGGGGTCCAGACTCTTGCCAAGCTCTTCCAAGTCGAACAGTGGTTTGAAAGAGCCTAGCTGGTAGAATGAATTCTCAGACGCATTGCGGCGGTGAGACGTCACAGGGCCCTGGTCAAGGCTTCCCAGAGCTTGGGTCTTCGTCAGGAACGCATTCGCTGGTTTGGGTTCCTGGGGCTTAGGTTTCTTCTGCCCTTCGCCCATAACATGCTTCAAATGCCAACTTCTCCATGTCTGAAGCATACTGTGAAATTTAACCGAGGTGCTGTTGTCGCTTGTGCAGAAGAAGTGCACATAGCGTGACTCGTCCGAGAAGATGTTGGACTTCTGTTGGCTCTTGACGGCGTAGCAGAAGCTCTTGGGCGGCTTTATCTTCTTCAGCTTCAGTTCCGTTGGCCTGTAGATATCGAAGTCTGACATGTGGCAGATGCTTTCTTGGTCCTTGGCTGTCTCGTTCTTCGCCATGACCAGCTGGCCATCACTACGCAGAGTGACGTACTTCTTGTTCCACTTGCCAGGCCTTGACGAGTAGTATATGAAGCAGCTCAATCCCTCCGGTTTGTCATCGGGTACTTGTGACGATAATAGCGTTGCTCGATCATGACCGGTATAAGCGGCATTGATGATTTCAAGATCGTTCTGAGTGTCGTTGTCCCAGGAGTTCATCACGTCCCGGACATGCTCATACATGCGTAACGGGCGCTGTACACTGACCTTTGCGAAATTTTCTACTAAAATGTCGGCGTATGAGTCGATTTTCTCGGTCATGACAATGGACGCGGATCTTAGAAGGTCCTGGGCTGTAGTTTCTGGGGTAACGGGAAGAAGAAAGGTCTTCTTATTGCAAAGGATGGACACACGCTGAAGGTTTGATTAGGAGGGGCATATTATAAAGGGAATGGGTAGTAAACATACTCGATCACCAGCGTTGACAGCAGAAATGGGCGCATCAATACCAAGAACTGCGCCTCCACCGCCAGGCCTGATTGTCTCCATGTCCCTGTTCTCATGACTAGTATGAGAAGGTCTGGCGGTACTTGGTGGGCTTTGGGATGCTGCAGAATTGTCTCTACGACGTCCAAAGATGCCAAAGCGCCCGCCGTGTCGTGGCGGCGACGTTGGTGGGGATACTGGGACGGTGCGTGCCGCCTCCTCGATGCGTGCTCTCCGCTCTGCCTCTTCCCTCTCCTGTAATCGCTTGGTACTCTCTGCCTTTTGCAACCTCTTCCCGCGATCCTTGTCCTCCTTCTGCCGCCGCAGCTGTTCTGCAGCATGCGCTTCCTCTTGCGATCGGAGGCGCTCCGCCTCCTCTGCCGCTATGCGCTGCTGCTCCTCGCGCTCCCGTTCTGCCTGCTCAGCTTTCGCCTTGGCACGCTTTTCAGCCTCGATCTGCTCCCTCATGCGCCTCTGCCGATCAGCCTCATCTTGCATGAGTTGCTTGGCCTCATCGCGGGCCGTTCTAGGACGGGGCTGTGTCGCCGGCAAGGGCGCGGCTTCAGCTCGTGTTCGCGACGTGTTCGGGACCCGCGGTGAGACATTGGGAGCAGCGCGCATGTACGGGGAGCTCAGGGCGCGGTTGCGGACGGTGGTTGAGTCCTGGGGAACAACAGGTTGGGCAGAGACATTAACAGTTGCAGGGAGCAGTGGTGGAGCCTTTGCGGTGGAAAGTTGCGATGTTGTAGGTCGCCGGTGGTAGCGCGACATGCTTCTGCTCACGGGAGCAGCATTTGCGGCTTCCATGGGGATCGGAGGCATGGCTGGGATATTCGGCGTCTCAACGGGGTTTTGGTGGAGAGCTTGCTGCTGTGCTTGCGCTCGTCGCACGCTGCGATAGCGAGAGAACTTCTGCGGAGTTTGCTCCGAGGAAGGCGCCGTTTCGGCCATGTTGTGTTCGTTTGTGACAATGCTGTGCGCTACTGCGTGCCTGCGCGTCTGTGAAGTAAGGGATGCGGGCGTCCGGGTCGCACGACCTACACCATGCCAAGTTGGCAGGACGGCTACAACGGGCCAGGGGAGAATGAGGAGGGGCTGAGACAGGGAGCGGAAGCGGTGGTGATCGCCTTGAGCCCTTGAGCATGGACTCTACCCGGCATCTAGCACCCGTCGCGGATACAAGCCATCGTCGCGCCCCATGACATTATTCGAAGTGGTTGGCCCAATGTAATTGCCCTCCACTGCCCGTTTCTTGCCTGCAGGGGGCCGCACTTTTCCCGCCGCCGGCCAAAACCCGCCGGCGCCAATTCTGCGAGTCATCCTACCAGACCCGGACTGCCGGGCTCAACGTTCACGCTGAGGAACTCACATTGGGTGTGGAAGGAGCTTGGCGGGCAAGTGATATAATTGCGAGAAAGAAGGCGAGGCGAACCTGAACGTGCATGCGGCAATGGAGCTGAGCTGCTGGGAGAAGCTGCAACAACCGCAGAGACCACGACTTCCCTGTCTACACAAGCGGTACAAAGAGCATCCTGACCCACCTCAGCTTAAAATCCATCCAGAAAAACATTATGGCCTAGAACAAAGAGCTGAACTTCAATAAACTTGCCAAATAGTAAGCAACCGTCTCTACACAGTACGCGCGTAGGCAACAACTACTGTCTGATCTACTGTGCGCGAGTCGGCCATGGATGGAACGATCTACAAATCTGTTTGTACGTCTTTCCATTACGATTGACATACGTATAAGTCTCCATAGCGAACGAAACATGGGGATAATGCACACGCGTCCTACACGGCCGCTTTTGTAGCTCCAGAACCCTGGATTACGTGGCAGCCATAAAATGTCCTTCACAATTGAGTGCCAGCATGGAAAAGCTTTCTGTTGAGTCTGTTCTCTTTTCTGTTTCCATTTCTATCGCTTGCATTCCTCGCTCTCACGGTGGCAGGCGCAGGCCGAGCTAGCTCTTCCCAAAACAGCACCATGGGAAGGAACCACCTGTGTGTTTGGCCCTCCAACACGTCGACAGTACGACTAGGAACTCGCACATAAACGATACCAAATAGTAGCTCCGTCAGCTCTGCTGCACAGCAAACATCGTGCGATTGCACTTATCTTGTTGTCACCCTCTCGTTCTAATGGACGCAACTGCTTCAGGAGGACGAACAGCGCACAAAGCCACGATGCCGCACACGGAAGTCGGCCTCTCCCAGGCAGAAGATACACCAAGATGCGCGTCCCACTGTCCTGTCCCACAGTAACTGAGCCAATTTGGCCGTACGGAGCCCAGGACAGCCAGATTATGCCAGTACCCGCTCGATACCTGTCTACATGTCACACGAATTAGATTCACTCACACCATTAGCAACCGGGTTCCCTACTACCGGAAGCACGCAACGGTTCAGCAGTACCACGAGGGAGGAGCGAATTCACCGTTCCTGCTCCACTTCCCGCTACAAAAGCATGTGGGCCGCAGAGAAGCGCTCCTACACGGAGACACTCCCTCCTACCCCTCGTCGATATACCTGTTTCAATTGGATACCTGTTGCATTCAGTCGCATGGACAAAACTAGACGGAAATTCTTGCTATTATTACTTCCAGTTTGCGTGCCTCTGTTACTTGTTCACCGTCATGTCACCTTGATAACACACGGAACCTTGCCCTTTGGATCACTGGGAGTTTCGCATTCCGATTCTTCTTCCGAGAGTGTCCATAAGACTGTAAACTCAACGCTTGGTGTAAGTTACTCTTCTTGAGCAAGAAACTTGTTGCTGAGTACAGCACCAGTTTGGCGCCCTTGTGGCAGTATCGCACGCGACCAGCCCCAGAAAAGACGGGCTACTATGGTCTTCCAACTTAACAGGGATCGATATTACAATCCCAGAGCAGCCCCAATGGACCGACGGCCACCTCCAAGCCTTCGAGTCGCCACAAGGCAGCCAAATCAGCAGAGGAAGCGCACTGGCCTGGATGGGGCATCTAAATGCTCTGCGGTGGTTTCTCTCTACGCCTCTGCAGACCGCCCTCGTCATCGAAGATGATGTCGATTTCTCTCTGCATCTACCATCACAGATATCATCAGCCGCGAACGCCCTCCGCACTCTCCTTTCCCCTGGCGCTCCCGAAACCCGAAACGCATCGCTCGATACTGATCCACTCTTCTGGGCCAACCCCGATAGCTGGGATGTCCTCTGGCTTGGCCACTGCAATGACGCTGCATCCCCCCAGCATGTGCTCTCCCATCCCTCCATCAGCTACCCCGATAGACACATCCCACCGCTAGACGCCATCGCCCCGCCGGCCTCAGACCTTCTGAAGACGTTCAACCTGTCGGATACCAGGATGCTATACCGGTCATTTTGGCCGCTGTGCACCTTCGCATACGCCGTGACGCGCGCCTCTGCCGAAAGAATTCTATCTACGTACGGCACTGAAGGCAAGGGCGGGTGCATTGCATACGACGTGCGCATGCTCGAGGCGTGCCGCGACCACGACTGGCGCTGCTGGACGGTGGTACCGGAGCTGTTCCACCATGTGTCTGGGAACAGCGAGATTGCTAGTGTGAACACTGGGGCGGAGAAGGATGGGGAGGGAGATATGAGTGGACGGAGGAGGCCGAGCGTGAATATCGAGTGTGGGGCAAGGAATGAGTGGTTGTGGGTTGGGGAGGAAGACGAGGTGGGACGGGAGAGGCTGCTTGGGAGGGTAAGGGAGGCGAGTGCGAAGGGGGAGTGCTTTGTTGATTGGATGAGAGGGAAAGGAGAGACGGAAGTGTAGTGTGCTCAACCAATGATCCATTCCAGCGTGGTAGCCGATTTTCATATTGATAGTGACTACATCTTCTATGGCGGTCTTCGTGGGATGATCTCGCAGCCCCACCTGTTCTTCAAAAGATAACCATGAGATCCCAGCGCCGGCAATGCAGAGCCGTTCCAGCAAAAGAAGTGAATGCAAAAGGGGTATTTAGCAGCGAAAGGAACGAAGGAAACTCTCCGGGACAGACGCGACTCAGCGCCACAAATCCGCCCGCGAAGACCTCTTCTGATGTCCTATGAAGCTCCCGCGGAATGCAGGCCCATTGCCCCCCAGCGACTGCGAGTGCCCGTGTCCGAACCCCCCGGACGGCGACAGATTTCCCGCGCTGCGAGGCCGCCCGTCGCCGCCGTCCGCCGGCACAGCGAGGAACCCGCCGAACCCGTTCGGCACAACGACGCTTTTGCGCGCGTCGCCGCCCCACTGCGGCCCCAGGCCCTTGCTCGCCGAGTAGCTGCTCAGCGGGCGACCTCCGCTCATCGAGCCGCGCCGCCCGTACGCATCCGCGGGCATGATGGACGTGAAGATCCAGTCGAGCTCGTCGAGGCCCTTTGAGAAGACCTCGAGGGGCTGAGAGAAGCCGCGCTGGGGCGAGGCGTCGGCGAAGGGGCGCAGCGGGGGCGCGAGGGTCAGCGTCTCGGGGAAGTCTGGGTCGCGGACGTAGAGCTGGCGGAGGGACGGGAGCGCGTTGGACATGAGGCTATTGGTGAGGTACTGGTAGTGCGAGGTGGCAGGGGAGTACATCTGGGTTGCGGTGGCGGCGATGACTTCGAAGTTTAGTTTGCGGAGGGAGCGCGAGGCCATGGGGGGCAGTGGGTCGATGGGGAGGGGCGCGGCGACGGTCGCGGAGTACTCGAGGTTGATGAGGTTGGGGGCTGCGGAGAGGACGACGTGGAGGGCGGCTACGGGGAGGTTGGCGCAGCTGCGGAGCTTCAACGTCCGGAGGGTGTCGCGGCAGAGGGGGTTGGAGAGGTATTGTGCAAGGCCTTCGCCGGTTATGCCGTCTATTTTGTGGAAGGAGACAGTGTCCAGGGCGGGAAAGTCGGGAACGCCGGGGACGGTGTGGAAGAAACTGTCGTTCATCTGAGGAATGCCGGAGAAGCTGACTTCGCTCAGCCATGGGAGCGAGCCTAGAATACGACGTAGTAGCGTTGGGTCTATTTGGACTTTGTTGATCTCAACAACGCGCAGTTGTTGCCAGTATCCGTGTAATAAGGACTCTAAGGCCTGCTCGCTGCCTCCGTTGTACTTCATTTTGCGAATGTTTGGACATCGCGCTTGTAGTTCTTCCCTAAGTGTGTGGCAGGTCGGGTCACCTGTAAAGAAGCCGTCCGGCAAATCGATGTGCTCAAGGTTTGGGCATACAGAGACGGTTCGCGCGAGATCAGCCTTGCAGGACTCGCGGGTCATGTATGGGAGCTTCAGGTAGCGCACGCGGGAGCCAATGTGGTGGTTCTCGCGCACCGTCCGGCATAGTTGCTGTAGCCGCACAGTTGGAGGGTCCATGTCGCCGCCACGCGACTTGCGTCTACGCTCCTCGGCGTATACTTCCTCGAGCTCGCAGTAGTGCACGGCGTCGAGTCGGATACTCTTGTATCTGGAGTATGTCAGGTCGCGCCTTCCTATGTTACCACCGGGGAAGGTGCAGGTGCCCATCGCGAACAGAGGCCAACTTTGTTCTTGGACATGTAATGCACGCATCGAGCCTGGGGTGTATCTCGCATCCACAGCTTGCGCACGCAATGCACGTTCCAAGACAATTCGCAGCGTATGCCCACGATGCAGCTCCAGCAGTCACTCACAGTAGTCCTGCCGCTACGCCGTACCATTGCCGCTTGGTGAGGGCGCAGTGTGCCAGATCCCGCATGTCGCAATTCATGCAGCCATCGTGCCCGGAGTCCTCGCTCGGCTCGAGGGATTCGTCGCTCGCATGCGGACATACCTCCTCGAAAATCTGCCGCAGAATCTTATCGGGCAGCCGCTGCGTCTGGTCGGGGCCGTGGTATGCCTGGTACGCGAAGTCGTCGCGCGCGCGCAGCTCTTTGTTCTTGGGAGTCTTTTTGCGACCGAAGCGCTTCATGAACCCCATGACGCGGTACGAGAAGGTCCTGGCGGGCAATTAGAAAATGCAATTGGCGAGGGCGGGTGCATTTAATTTGGCTGCGACCGGGCGCGCGGGGGAGGGGGTTTGTAATGAACAAGGCCGCGGCCTGCAAGCTGTACTCACTCTCGTTCTCGCGGGGATGAATCAAAGCGGTGCCGAGACATGGGGAAGGCGGCGAATCGGCGCGCAGCGAATTCGGCTGGACAAAGACGAAGCTTGGTCAAGACTCAAGCACAGGTGAAGTTGTGCCACGGTCGTGTGCAGAGCGGCGCGCGGCGCGTCGGTGGATCTATGAGGTTCGGAATCGGAGGTATATAAAAGGGGCACACGGAACGCCTCTGTGGAGGACATCTTTAGAACGCAGCTAAACGCGGAGTCTCACTCACCCCCATTGCTGTACCACTGGCAGTCTGGCTTGCAGCTAGTACCCTTCCTGGCAAAGACCAGCGCCGGTGGATCAGCCTGCCGCACGTATCCTGTCACTCGGTGTGTTGGTCAGCCAGAGGCATCCCTCCCATCCACAGCCGCCGACCCCGCCGAGCCCAGCGGTTAGGAGATGCGTGTAGAGCGGGGAGCGGCTGCCAAGCACAAGACAAGAAGCCACCTGCGCCGAAGCCATGGGTGAGGATGGAAGAACAGCAGCACAAAAAGGGGCGAGGATGGCATAGTTACATGTACGACTGCATCCTGCAGCGCCAATGCCGGTTCCGCTACGTGCTTCATGCATCCCTATCCAATTGCCCCGATGACGACGAATACCAGCGCTGCGACTCGCTCTGATACCGCGTTTGAACAGCAAAGACATGATCATGTTGCCTGCGATAGGGTCCAGCCAGATGCGGGACCCTTGCACGGCGCCGTGGAGCCGTGTTGCCGTGGGCCGTTGGGAGCGAACAGAAAGGCGGCAGGGTGAGGGACCAGACAGCTCCCGCCGAGTACGCAGTATCTATCAATGCTCTACGGGGCGCACAGGGTGGTACCGAGGCGGAAGGCGGATTGCACGCGGAAAGCGTTTGCAGACGCGTGAATGGGCTTGGGCGAGCTGTCGTGGTGTGTTTCAGATGCCAATCAAGCGGCCGCGAGTGCCACGCACGTCCAACAGAGCTTCCAGCTGCTCTGCACAGTACGTGAAGCTCGCCGGAGCAGGTGGGCGGACAGTGGGCAAGCAAGAGCTGCGCAGATACATAGCCGTTCCATGCTGTCCTTAGCAGGACGTCGTCTACGCGCACATTGGTGAGCAGAGCATGCAGAGCGGCGACGATTCGCCGCGAGGCCTTAGCTCCAGCTTCTAGAAATATTCGTCACGAATCCAGTCCCAGGCAGAGGGAGACCGCGCACGGTCGTCCTCCTTCACTCACCTCGACCACCTCCCGAACAACGCTGCAGGAGACTTTCCATCTCATCCCATCCTGCTCCTTGTTGTCTGCTCTGTTGTCCTTCACCTGTAGCTTGCAACTCCATTAGTGGCTGGCCCCATTCACCTGTCGCTGACGTCTGCCCGCTGCACCTTCCCTCCTCCGCACCTCGCTCCTTCCGAAGCAACCACGCTCTTTCCTGTCACTAGGACCTAGAGAGCAGCGACGACGGCCTCCTGCAGCCTGCCCAACAACGCCAACCCACCTCCTCCCACATCCAAAAACATGGCTGCACCGAGCCCACAGTCTCCTAATCTCGACCGTTACGTCGTGATTCACGTCGCTACAACTTGCGATGAACACGGCGTCTACGTTACTAAGGACAGTGCAGAAGTGATTGAGCTGGGCTGGATATTGCTTGATGCAAAGAGCTGCGAAGAGGTGCGTCTACCCGCTGGCCCCACGCCGACCTGCGGTTGCTGACGTGCCGTTCCAGCTCCATCGTGAAAGTGTCCTTGTCAAGCCTGTCAACACACCCATTACCGCGCTTTGTAGTGAGTTACATCTACCTTCGTCTGCTTCTTGACGTGGCGGGGCATTGGCTGACGCAGACATCTCCAGCGAGCTTGACGACCCTCACCTGGGACCAGGTCCGAAACGCCGGGACCTTCCGAGATGCGATAAACCGCTTCGATACCTTTGCCCAAGAGCACCTACTGCCAAAACACCTCGAGTTTGCGTTTGTCACACTTGACAGCTGGGATCTCCGCGTTCAGCTGCCCCGCGAGGCCCGTGATAAGGCGGTTGTTCTGCCACCCTATCTGCAGCACTCGCGTACGTTCGATCTGCGAACTGAATACCAGCGCTGGCAGACCCACCACCCGGAGAGCCTGCCGTTCGGCTCTTCTGCGCTTTCTAACATCTGTGCTGCACTTGAGGTAGAACCAGTCCAATCTTCTGCACCGATTAAACATAACCTTCCTTTTCACCTGCAGGCCCTAGCTCCCGCTTCGCCAAGGCGGGCTATGGAAGAGGCTGTCACTCTCACACGCGTGCTCAGAGGCCTCATCCATAAGTCTCAACCTCCCCAGGACCACCCCGACGTTTTGACAAAACCCATGGATGCCCGCGCCGATGTCAGAGCGTTCCTCTCGGAGCGCAGCAAGGTGCTCCACATGAGCGGCTTGCCGCATGACACTACACAGTCCGAGCTTGAGAGCTGGTTCACCCAGTTCGGCGGTCGTCCGATTGCTTTCTGGACGCTGCGCACGCCTGACCAGCACAAGCCTACCGGCTCTGGCTTCGCCATCTTTTCTTCCCACGAAGAGGTAAGAAGTTGCTGCCAGGCTCCTGTTGCATACTGCTAACACACTATAGGCTGCTGAGAGCCTGTGCATGAATGGTCGCGCTCTCAATGAGAAGGCCATTGAGGTCTCACCGTCTTCTAGCCGTGTCCTCGACCGTGCGGCCGACATCCTGAGCCCCTTCCCTCCCAGCAAGAACCGTCCGCGACCCGGCGACTGGAACTGCCCCTCGTGCGGTTTCTCCAACTTCCAACGTCGCACAGCCTGCTTCCGCTGCTCCTTCCCGGCCATGCATGGCCCACCTGGCGGCGACCCAATGGCCTACGGTGGTTACGGATACGGCCCACCCTCAATGATGGGCCCGCCTCAACATCACATGGGCCACGGCCACGGACACGGCATGGGTGGCGGACACGGCAACATGGGCCGCGGAGGAAACGGCGCGGTGCCTTTCCGTGCTGGTGACTGGAAGTGCGGTGAGAACGGCTGCGGTTACCACAACTTCGCCAAGAATGTTCAGTGCCTGCGCTGTGGTGCTAGCCGCGCCGGAGCTGCCGTCGTTGCTGACTCTGCGTTCCCGTCTCCTATGGATACGCCATCCAGCTTCGGCATGGGCCCTCCCTCTATGGGCGGAACTCCCGGTGGTGGTCCTTTCGGCGCCGCCCCTTTCGCTGCTGGTGGGTACCCTGCTCAGCAATACGGTGGACCTCCGAGCTCGTATGCTCTTCCATCCGGCATTGGCGCTGCCAGCCCGTACCCTCCCATGGGTGCCCAGTACGCTCCCAACGGCGGCATGCACTCGACTCCTTTCGACAGCCGCTCTGCTGAAGCTGCGTTCAGCTCGGCCGACCCGTACCCCAACCAGGGAGCTGTCAACGGCGGTGACGGACGCAACGACCCTTTCTCTTTCCTCTCCACGGGCTTCGGTGGTCTATCCGTCAACGACGACCGCCGCAACGCATCCAACGCCTCGAACAAGTCGCCGGCGTAGACTCGTATCGTACATAATAGGGATCGATGGTTCGAGGCTTGGATCTTGCTCGAGCCTTTTTTGGCATGGGACGGATTTCTCGGCTAGGCAGGCGCGGGCAAGATCTCACTGCATGGGCACTTTTTAACAGACAGGTTTCAGATTTGCGGCATTTGCAGGCATGGTATGGCTGGAGAACATAGACTGGAGATCTTTCGGCGATGGTGTTTGATACCTTCTGGGCAGCGGAACGGTGTTTGGGGATCAAAATCACAAAAGCCTGGGGGCCTGGGTAAAAGCACGGATACGGGCGGTGCACAGGTTCTGGTGTGCTGGACTGGAACTCTTTTTTGGATCTGCCGGGTGGAAGTTCCATCAATCCCCTTTTTCCTTACTTTAATCATGTGTTTTTTTTGCTCGAGTCTATCTCTCTTCGCTTCGACCTGATTTGCCCTCACCACTCTCACTCTTCCTCCCCCACCTTCCGACCAACAAATTGACCAAGATGCACACATCACATGATATTGCTTTTGTTTTTCTTTTTCCTCTGTCTTTCCTTTTGAACAAAATCATACTTTTTTGAGCGGCATAGCGTTTCTGGGGGGCTTGGGGGCATGGGCCAAACAAATCAATAGCGTCGGCGTCGGTGTCGGTGGGTGGTGGGCTTGGCTTGGCTGTGTCTGGGTGTGTCTTCGGAACCTTTGCTGCTTGTCTTTGATTTCTTGCTGTTTGTGGATAGAGTGGGTGGGTGTATGGATAGGGGATGAACCAAGAGGGCGCGAGGAGGTGAGGTGAGATAAGAAAGTGTATTTTTTTTTGGAATGTAATTTTGTTCAGAGCATGGTTGACCGGAGATGGTTTGTGTGAGTGAGGCATGAACGTGAACCGGGTGAGTGCTGATACGGAGAGGGTGTGCTTGGATATATGGACGAGGTCCAGTTGGGCAATGGTATGCGGACATTGATCTAGGGATTGAGTGGTGCGGAGAGACACTTTGATAGATCGGAGGTCTAGAGTTGACTCGAGCTGGCTTGAAGGAGAAACTGAACTCGTCGGAGAGCGGGGGCATGGACAGTTATCTGCTCGTCGGCACTGAAGAATGCAGCGTCGTTGACCAATGAATCGATCGTCGGTAGCAACGGGTTTTTGATGTCGGTTTCCTGAGGGGTTTCCATCTCCCGTGTTCAGGACTTGCGAGGAAGCACGTTGAAAGTGTTATGTCTCATTCCATCTGCATTTGCATCTTTGTGCTCTCTAAGAAATATACAGCAGCCGTGTCGACGCCGTCGCTAACCAAGCCACCCCGCTATATGCGCCGCACGCACGTGAACGCGTGCCGAAACCCTAGATCATCATCCAGCCCGAACCAAATCCAAACCAATTTCTGCAACAGTTGCCAAGCCCAATTGAGATCTGCTTCGTCCCGCGCCCTAAGTATGTTTTCGGTGGTCGTCGATTATAAGTATACAAGTGTATCAGAGTGAAAGCCCGCAGGGATGTGGTGTGGTATCTCAAGGATGCTTGCTCGCTCGCTCGCTCGCTGGCGCGCAGCTATCCAAAGGAAGGACTGGAGAAAGAAAAGAATACCAAACAAAATAAAATCCTCGTCTGCGTCACCAAGCCATTCGACTTCCCTCCCTAGAGCTGGCAAACGCTACTGCCCAGTCTTCCACGTGTGGAACGTGCCATCGAGCACCTTGAGCGCCTCCCGCGCGCTGTTGAGCAAGCCCTTGCTCTGGCCACCGCCCTGCGTGGCGTCGATGTCGTCCTTGGTCTTGTACTCGTGGCCGTAGTCGTTGTCTGTGTCGCCGGGGCCAAACACCTTCCACTTGACGAGCGCGGGCGGCGAGATGGTGTACGATCGCATGCGGCCGTCCTTCATGTGCGAGATGAACTCCCAGTCGATCGGGTTGTCCATGGCCTTGAAGCCGCCGATTTGGTAGAGGGCGCGGCGCGCGCCGCGTTGCGTCATGGCGTAGCTAGAAGTCTATGTCAGCTCTATGTTCTGTGCCGCATCGAGAGAATCGCCTCGTGGGACGGGTGGAGGAGACGCGGCTTACCCCATGGTGCACAGCGGGTGGTACGTGGGCGTGATGAGGCGCACACCCGCATCTTCGTCCTTGTAGTTCCAGTTCTCCTTCATCTCCTTGGCGTTCTCCTTGGTGAAGGAGCTGATGGCCGGTGAGTTGGGGTCGTTGTACGAGAAGTGCGATTTGTCGTTGGGATGGGGCTTGTACATGCACTGGCCCATGGAGAGGTGGTCCCAGTCGCAGCCTATGACCTTCTGTTAGCACAGTGCCGAAGTCTATTGGATATGGTGTGCTGCGGTCAATGCCAGGAGGGTTGCGCAGCCAAGCAGCCAACAATGTGCAAACCAACGTAGATGTACACATCTGGAAGCGTCTGAGGGAAGGCACGACTCACCATATTCGCACTCTTGGCCGTTCTTTCCCCGGCCGTTGTTCTCTGCGAGCGAGTTGTTGGTCTTCATCTGCCAGTTCCAGAGCCCAAACACCTCCTTCACATTTACGTCCCAGTCGACATCGTCCTCGAGGATCAGCGCGCTCTGGATGTTGTTATCGATGATGTATCGCCACGCATCAGCGTGCGCCCTCCACACACCCAACCACGGCTTCTTGGGGTCATCCTTGGGGTGCGCAGTCAGCGGGCGCGCCTTCTCGTGGACGTCGGCCGAGGGGATGCCAGCGATCATCTTGTTCAGCTTGATGCCCGTCTGCGCGGCTATAAGTGCCATAGCATCCTGTCGGTCGGTGCGGTAGGGCATAGAAATGTAGACGATTTCCTGGAAGTCGAGGGTTGCATTTGCGGGCTTGGGGCCGGAGCCGCCGGTTAGGTGGGACAGCTTGCCCGACGTCCATTCTGCGGTGCTGTAGGTGGCGTGTGTGGTGCCGAGCTGGCGGACAGTGAGGAAGAGGAGGACGACGATGGCGTAGGCGCCGAGGGCCCGCGGCGTCAGGAACATGGACGATGCCATCATGGTGGCTAAATGTCTCCGCGTTTCGTTTTTTCGGCTTTGATTTGTTTCCTCCGGAAGGATAAAGGAGCCTAGGGCTCAGTGTCGGTGTCGCAGTCGCTCTCCCGCAGTCAAAGACAAAGGAGTGTCGATATGGTATTAGGTACAGCGCGCGTGTGAAATGGGAGAGCAAAAAGTCAACAAGACGAGAGGTGGAAGGAAGGGCTAAATGAGCGGCGGAGGGGCCTGCTAGGGATGATTGCGGCAGGTATATGCCAGGGGCCAGCCTTCGCGCGTAGGCTGAGCCTCTGCTATCGGTCGGCTCCCGATAGTTCCTCAGAGGCAAGCGATCGCCAGCCAGGGTCTGCGTTTAATCCAAACACACAGGACAGGACTATCCGATCCGGATTCTTTATGCGAAGCGGCATCGCTGTGGTGACGGCCCCTCGCCCTGCATCTACGCATCCGCCTTGCGACCTCATCTCCAGGACGACAGAATGCTACCAACTCTGCATCCTCAACATCTATCCTGCCACCACACGACTCCCTCGCTCCGCTAAGTTCGTAAATTTCTCAGCCCCAGCAATGCCAGTCTAGGCCGTCGCGCACGCCTATTTTCGCACTGATTCGCCCCCCTTGCCTACTCCAACGCCACGCGCAGCCTCCGCCCAGCATGCACCTCCCCCTAATTTTACACTCCCACGCTGTCACCGTCAGACGCATTCAGGTCCGCGCTGCCTTGACAAGCGTGCGCAGATCCCACCCTGCGCCGTCTGTTCCGCTGTTCCGCCACGGCGTGTGGGGACCCTGACACTGGCACGCCAGCGGCCGCTCTGCGTGTCCCCTGTTGCGTCAAATGAAGACGTGCACTTCTGCGGGTGCTCCCAGATTGCTGTACCAAGCCGCCAGGCCTGCCACTGCGCTACGGCCCAATGCGGCATCGCGCCGTGGAGAGCCGGAGCTTCGACTACGCGCGCATGCGATTGGGGCGCCGGTTCTCACATGGCAATCTTAGAGGCAATCTCGCTCCCGCCCGTCTTGGGTGCCCACACGAAGGTGTGGCGGTTTCTGTCCTGCGTATGCGGGATAATTTCTTGGCCGCATTCGGGCTGCGCGCATTTAGGGGATATGTTTGAGGTTAGATGATCACGATGGGCTGGCTGAGGTGTAGAGTAGGCCCGGTTGCGGCATCTGGGTAGTGCCATGGTGCTGACGCCATGTACCTGCAGCCCTGTGGGTACGGTATGGCTAAGCCTCTCAACCCTTTAATTCATCACGACACGCCAGTACGATTAGGTCGCTACACCAGCAAGTTCTTCTTCTTCACTACACATCCAAGGGATGGACCGAGTGGTGTGTTCTACCGGCTCCGCCGTCCAGCGATAGGCTACACAAGCAACCCTCGCGTACAGTAACCACTGCATTGTCAGTAGTGTGAGGTTGCACCACCAGCGGTCTAGAGTGTGAGGCGTGGGACGGTGATTTTAAAAGAGCAAATGCCGGACAGACGACAATTCCGAATCATAAGTCTGTGCAGGTATCATCGAGTGTGAGACCTCGCAAACGTCCCGAGTAACATTGGACATTATTGTCTCAGATGTATCCAAGGCACATAGAGACATGAGAACTCAGCCATACTCCAACCTCCCCTCTAAGCCACACCAAACCTCCTGATCAGATCCCTCCTCCATCAACCATCAACCCCCTCCCCAGTCCTTCGCCTCAGTTATCCTTCCCAAACCGCACGCTCAGAAACGGACAATTCTCCTTCTCCTGCCTTTCCTCCGCAGTAACCTCGCAATACGCCAGCGCCCGGTAGTCCCCGCACTGCACCCCGCTCCCGCACAGGAACGCGCTGCTCCAGCACTCGGCTCCCCGCACACAGCTCGTCACCTGGCTGCAGTACCCGCAGTAGAAGCCGCCGGGCATGCGTTCGGTGCAGGTGCAGGAGGTTGGCAAATTCGTGTTGGATGAGGGCGAGGAGGAGGGAGACGGGGAGGGTAGCAGGGTGGTAGGGATCGCAGTGGTTTGGCTCCAAGGGTTTGGGGACGGATAGCAGGGGGCGAAGAGGATCGTGGTTGAGGGCAGCCTCGCGGCCGCTGCGACCGTCAGAGTGGTTCTGTACGTGCTATTCGACGTCCCAGTCACGGTGCTCGTGACGGTCGTCGTGATGGTCGACGACGACGAGACCCGCACGCTGGAGGTCGCTCTCTGTGCTACCGTTAGCAAAAACGACCGCCAATGTCAGCCTGTGTGCTTGACTTGGCCGCTGTTTCACGGGCAGGACTCATCATCTTTTATATCGTTCACCAAGAGCGGGATTCCGGCCTGTCTCAAGCCTCTTCGCACGCGGGCGCGTATCGCGCATACCGCGGTGACCAGCAACCACTCGTACGGGCGTATCGCTTAGAGACGTTACACGTCCAGTCTGCAAGGGAAACCGGGCTGTGTGGCACGGCATCTTCGCTTCCTTGCAGTTCGGACCCAAACAGACCCTTAAGATAGAGCGCGTGGGGGTTACCGGTGAGGATGCTGAGAATCAAGGGAGAGCTGGATAGCAGAGGCCACCTTTTACACTTCATCAACGGAGCGGTTCAATATCTGCAATATTATGTTTCATTTGTCATTCCAGTATAGGTCGGGCTGCTTAAGCTGAAGCCTCTGTACAAGTTTTGAGCTGTGGTTCTTGAGATACATCCCTTACGCCCAACATTTTGCCGTGGTATCTGAGTAGTGGATAACTCCCCTGTTCCGTAAACGCCGAAGCGATAAAAGTACGCCGATACCAAATGCTTACATACCTCGAAAACGCCATTCTGCAGAATCGCCCATGTCCATCGTGCCCGGAGATCCATCTTACGCCGTGCCCTACTCCTCGATTAAACTCTCAAGTATGAGGCTCTGAATCACAAATTCACCACATGCCACCTTGACTTTCTTCTCGCCTACGAAGCCTGTACGAACGAGCGTCTGCGCCTCTGCCTTCACGGTTTCACTGTCCCTCTTGCGCTTCTTGGTAGCCTTCTTGCGCAGCGTATTGCCAGCACTGCTGCTGAATATCTGGGCTGCCGCATCGGCAAGCGCATCGGGTTTACCGTCCACGTATACCCAATCCCATGCTCCGGTGTCCACAGATTCCTTTGCTTCCTCGAGGTCGCTGCACAGACCAACCTCGGTGGCTCCCATGGCATGTGTAAGGAAAATGTATGGCTCCTGTTCGTTCTCTTCGCTGACAATTAAGACAGACTCGTCGCTAAATAGTAGCTGGCGGTCCTTGACCATTCGTATGAAAGTAACGTCTTCGGCAGTCGGGTCGTATGTCTGCATGTTACGAGAGCGGACGACCCCTGCAGGGTCCAGGAAGGTCGATGTGCCAGCAGGAAGGAGGTACTTTCCGAACGGCAAAGCATGACCTGCCGCTAGAGAGTCGTGAACCCAGCGAAGATGCAGGCAGGGGATATTCAAAGAGAGCGCTTGAAGGAACTTTGGGCTGCGCGAATGTGTTTGTGCAATGAGCGCCACAAATCGTAGATCCTCATGCTTACGCTTCAGCTTTAGGCCATGCATTGATGCGGAAGGTGCATTTGCGGAGCCATCCGAAGACATAGGCGCGTTGTATGAATCTGTGTCGAACAAATGGTGAAAGCCTTCTTCGAGGACCAACCCACCACTAGATTTGAGGAGCTTGCTGATGTCGTCTTTGTTGACTTCTTTGCTCGTAGAAGTTACAGCGAATGCCATGTTAAGGAAGACGTTGCCGCTTGAGGAGCGAGTTGAGGACGCCACCGAAGATGCGTGAGCAGTCGAGTCTCGAAGTAGAGAGGGTCCAGCAGTGCTCCTTCGAAGCACTGTTGAGAGTGGGATAGCAGAACCAACAACTCGAGGCGTTCCAACTCGCGAAGCTGAGCCAGCAGGACTGACAGCTTTGTTGTACTTGAATGTTCTATCCTTCAACCGAGCCCACAATTGTGCGGTAAGGTAGATGTTAGCTACCGGGACATCAATGTGCATTTTGGCTCGTGACTGTGCATCGGCAGGAAGGCTATCGCGTTGCTTTTCTTCCGCGACAATCGTTGCATAACCGTGGCGAGTTGTCGCTGGATATTCCGTCGCCCCGTCTCCCAGATCGACCTTGTCTTTGAAGCCAATGACCACGTACGCTAGCTTCTTCATTCCATGAATGTCGATTTTGACATGGTCCCCCGGATGCAGATCAAGAGCACGGATTTGCATGGATTCCAAGTCATGGTGTGTGCCATCATCGAAGCGGACACGAAGACGATGCGAGTCCACACGGCCAACGCACGTTGCAGGACAATAGCCTATGCTGGGCCAGTGGGCGAAGACACGATCAGGCATATCAGGCTCTCCTGATGGATCTCCGATAAAATCATCTGGTCCTTCCCCATCTACAGGTTCGATGCTGGGGATGTTAGCATCTGGCACAGGTCCGTCTTCAGCATCGAGATCATTTGCGTCACGCATCTCAACATCGGTATTGAGTGTTTGTGTAGACTTAGTAGGTGTCGTTTCATTATTTGCAGTCTGGCCTCGAAGCGTTGTCTTCAGTGGCGTCCTGCCTGGTGACTTTGACAGTAACGCCATGTTCACGGTTTTCAAGGCACCCTTTCGGGGGGTTTGAGGCTGATTTGGCTTGAACCGTGTCTTGGACTTCAACATTGCTGATTGAGTAATGCCAGCTTCCGCTCGAGCACGCGACGCGGCCTGAGCTCCTTGTGCTTCGCGGTCCTGGGTCGTCGGAGGAGACCATCCCGCTACGTGTGGGATGCTGCGGTGCGACGGACTGCTGGATTGATCGGAGACAGGGTCCGTCTCCTTGATTGGGCTCCGGAAGGCCTTTTTCGTACTATAGGTTGTCCGGCGTTTCTTCTGCGGATTGAACGGTGATTCTCGCGCTATCATTGCATCCAGTGGATCGTCCGGATCCTCTTCAAAGCTCAGGTGCGGCAGTTCCACTCCTTCAAGGTCGATAGATTGTTGTGTGCCTGGATCGTTCGCAATGTCCTGCAATGAACGACCCTTGAAACGTGCCGGAGAAGGTGCGATCACACTCTCTTCCATGGAACTGTTGACTTTACGGGCAGTTTGTGATGCCGACTCATGCTCCTTCACAGTATTGAAGAGCTCATTCTTATTGATCTTCTTTCGGAAATGGCCAACGTGGTCATCCTGTTCACCGTCCCAGATCCCAGCCACAGGACCCTCGGTAGCTGCCTCGGTAGAGTCGAGCTGTGTGTCGTCTGTTGCTTCCGGGAATACCGGAAGTTGGGTATCTTCGAGCAAGTCGGTCTCGGGAACAGTCGATTGCGGATTGGTGCGTGGAGGGTCCATTGAAGTGTTTGCATCCTTTTGATGGCCATGTCCAGGGTGAGTCGAGCGGATCAATACGTCTTGTTCAAGCTCTTCCTCAATAGTCTCAGGCACTTCATCATCATTGCGGGTGCTTTCGGCGCGCTCTTCGCCTTCTGCATCGTCTTCGTGCGCTAGTTCGGCGTAATTGTTGGGCCCATTTCGCGGTGTGGGTAATTCATCATCGCTGTCAGCCTCTGCCATTCTCATGTCGTCATCGCTGATCTGAGCGTCCCGTTCCTTTGGTTCGACGTCCGAATCTTCTTCGTATGCATGCTCGTCGTAGGTGATGTCGTCGTCTTGCGCGATCAAAGGGGGACTACTGGGAACGCCTTCCTCGGTTCCATCGACCGCCGCACCACCGTTACCCGTGGTCATGCCAAGTTCTTGGGAACTCAACTTCGGCGGCATCGGAACAGTCGATGAGATGGGTGAGCTGACCAGCGCCGATTTCGGCAGCATCGTTGTTTGGTTGATACTATACTGGTTGGTCGAAGGTGAGGATGGGAACCTTAGTGGAGCAGGTTGTGAAGCACCAAAACTACCAGCCGGCTCCGGCTGCGAGTCCATAACGACTTCCGTTTCTCTGCTACTACGGAGCCTCGAGAGGCTTTTAGGCGCAGGTTGGGGCCCAGAGGGCCGGCTCTGAGACTCAGGCTGCGGTTGGGATGGGGAAGGGTCTCGTTGAGAAGGATTGCGCGAAGGGGTTTCGGAAAATATGTAAGCCGGATGAGAAGATGTATGTGGTACTTGAACACGTTGTTCGACCCCAGCTACCATCTTTGCGGTGGCCGGTGCGGAGCGGCGGGTGAAAAGATCACGAGACAGCTGATCAGGTGAATGATCCGTACCATCATTTCTAGGTAGAGGTTGGGACAGTTCGTAGGGCGCATCGACACCGGCACCGTCGTAAGGACCATTATGATGAGTCGGTTCCATTCTACTAGGCTTGTCTGGAGAAGTGGCCGTCGCCCTCATGAATGACAGGTCATGCTTCTTCGACCGGCGCTCTGAAGGCATTGGAGCTGAGACGCTTGCCAGGGATTTAGCGGCTTCCTGTTCGAAACGTTCTTTCGCTTTCAGCCTGGCGTAATGCTTGCCGATATCCGTGGGTTGTTCCCAGCTGTCCTGTTGCTCTTCATAGTCGACATCCTCACCCGCCTGCTCCTGGTTCCGCCGCGCCTGCGAATGCTTCATCGATTCGTAATCAGCCCTCGGTTCACTAGAAGATCGCATGATTACATCACTCATGGGCCCCTTCCGATTATGTGGCTTAATTGGACTAGACATCATGGCGTCGGCGCTTGAATGCCGCGCGTGCGTGAAGTTTGGAGAAGGCCGCTGGAAGACGACATCGTCGTTCGGGTTGCCAACGGCGGGAGACGTCTTTGCCTGTGTAGCATTGAAAGCTTGGGTAAGAGACATGCCATTGTCTTCACCAAAGCCAAAGAACGCGGACGCTGACAATACGGTGCCCGGGGTTGTGTTCGTCCTTGCCGCCGAGCTCAGCACTTGGCCCTGGCTGTCCCGCTTCCTGCTTGGATAGGCTGCCGGGGTCTCAAAGAGCTTGAGAGGACTAGTCTCTGCGTATTGAGCGCGAAGTTGCGTGTCTTGATCGTCATCCATCGTGACGGGACTGGGGAGGCCATCGCGGGGCTGTTCTGGACTTGAGACAGTCGCGTAATTTCTCGCTGATTCTGAGCTGTCCCCGTCGGTCACAGGAGCGACGGGCTCGAACGCGGCCCCAAGCATGCCATTGCTACCGTAGATCCCGCTGGTGAGGACCTTGAAGATCTCAGGATCCGCCTGCGTGTCGCCGGGAGTGTCCATGGCGCCGTTGAACGACTGGTAGGGTTTGCGCGCGTCTTCTCTCTCCCTCATCGACTCCCTAGTGCTGACCGGTGCCGAGTGGTGTTTGTGGAGGTTCGGTGTGGCATGTCGCGAGTCGAATCGGACGCGTCGGGCTGCCGCACGCGTCGGTGAAAGAGAGAGCGAAAGCGCCGTGGCGGCGCGCTGTGGGCTAGGCAGTCGCTGCGAAGGGAATGTGGGCGTTGCGGTCACAATGTGCTGGCCGGTCGAATCGAAGGAGTGGATGGCAAACTGGCTGCCTGCCCGCTGGCGGAGCAGCTGGGAAAGCTGGGATGGGTCCTAGTGGCGTCAGAGGATGTGCTCAGATAGCACGACTCATGATCTGCAAGAGCGACCGGGGTGTTGCCGCACTGCATGCATGCGAGGAGACGACAGCTCACATCGTAGAATTTGTCCTGCAACATCGTACAATCTTGCGACTCCGCCATGATCACGACAGCCTGCCGGAGCTGTTCCGGTGCGACGTTGGTGGAGGAATGTATCGTAATTAGCCACGCGACATTAATTCTCCGGGGGATTGATGAGGGCTGACGCGCGAACACGTGACGGCTTTTTGGGGGGTTGCTTTGTCTCCGACAATAAGCAGATCCAAATGGCGTTTGCCAAATGATGCCAGCATTTCCAATGCGATAAAGACCTAAATCGAAGAGCACCAGCCTGAGATATGACTCTGCCTTGGATACCTGAGCGTTGTATACAGGCCAAAAGACGCCTCTGCTGAGCGATGTCCTGCGAGGAGAGACCAAACGCCCCTCAGCACTCTGTGACTACGGCGTTCACTATCCATACTTATTACTGAGTCCGTGACGGGTTTTTTCATGGCTCAAGCTCGAGGTCGAAAGTCAGAAGCGCGCACAACCCATCCGGACTTTCCAATATCGAGACAAGCCAATTGGTACGGGCTCAAGCGCTCATGTTTAATAGATCGATTGCGGCTAACCTTGAATGTTTCAAACAGAAAATGTACAATTGTTCCCCCTCAACCTCTTGTCTTGCTCGCTCTTGCTCGTTACTACCGCCCGACTTTGACCGACACCCAGCGCTAGCATGTTTCCTCGCCATGTTTCGCACATGTCCTCCGCCTTTCAACCTCCATCTCTAGTCGTTCCTCGACATGGTTCGCACATGGCCCCCATCTTTCGACCTTCACCTCTAGTGGAGGAAGGTGTAGTAGGCCGACAATGCAAAGGTGGCGGCAACGGCGGCCCAGCCGGTTCGCGCAACGGTGGCGTTCTTGAATCCAACACCGACATCCCAAGCCAAATGCCTCAAGCCGTTCACGCTGTGAAAGAAGAAGGGCATCGCGACGGTAAACTTGGCGGCGGCCTTAGCCCACAGCGGCCATGCGGCGACCGCAGCGACCAGGGACTGGCTCTCGAGGTGCCATCCGAGCGTGGGAGCCGCGAGGTAAGCGATGCCGAAGATGTATAGACCCCCACTGAGGATGACGGCGGTAAGACGGTTGAGGCCGGAGGCGTACCAGGTGATCTGCGGCTTGTAGATGGAAAGGTGCGGGGAGACGGGACGGTGAAGGCGCTGCTTGGCGAGTATTTCCTCGCCAGATTCCTTGCTGATCGTGTTTGCCAGTCTGCTACAGTATCAGCTTCACGTGTTCTGGGCGGCGGGTCGATGGTGTGAGCAGCTGGTGATGTTGTCACGAGCTACGTACCTGCGTTGGACCATGCGCCCGGCGGGCTGGATCATGAAGCTCGGGGCGACTGCCCGTCGCAGGCCAAGCTGGAACACTCGCTGGGAAGCCATGATGCGTGCAGCGGCTGCCAATTGGTGTGGAGGGGAGAGGGTTGTCGGCGGTGGTGGTGATGTCGTTGCTCTCTCACAATCGTGAAGCCCAGCATCCGAGCCGTTGCCGAAGCAGCCAATCACAGCGGCCCGCTTAGTCAACGCCTGAGTGCAACCCGAAAATTATTCGCGCACGCGGCTCTGCTCTTCTTCTCTCAGGAACCTCGATATCGCCGCCTCGACCTTCGGGTATGAGATCGCGGAGTGACGGCCCTTCCGTTGGCGTTATGTCAGTGGTACCGGGACATGAGGGATCCGCGAAGAAATGCCCGTAGTTAATCGCTCATTTGGCCTATAATTATGACCTGATGAGTTTCATATCCAGGGCTACATAAATATTTTGGTGGAGTCAATCTTCACGTTTGCTTTGTATCTGCGCGCCTTGGAGCTATACTTGCAGTGTTTACGCTGTAGTTCTTGCACGTAACGTTGTGATTGTAGGCGCGTAGGGTTATCTTGTGAAGCGTCCCGGTGCCTCCCGACAACGACCCCTTCCGTTCGTGTTGACGTGGTAGAGCTGGATGAGTATGTATAAGCAGGTAGAAGGGTAAGCTTGTGTTGTCAAGATCACTGTAGCTAGTCACCATGACTCTCTTCATTGCGCGATCGTTGTGACCACGCTCATTGTTGTGTGTTGCCCCCTCGAAAAATTTGTTCGGGCACGAACTACATCTACAACAACGAACCCACATCTTACGCAGACAATGAAGCACAGCGCTACAAATTGACATACTATACCATTGATATCCCATTGACACCCCGTACACCGTAGTCCGAAGGCGCCATGAACGCCACGCAGCTCGGCCAATCCGACTTGGGTTTACCACCGAATTCGTATATCTACAGGATCATTTCCACCGCGCCGCGGCAAGACCCGCTCACCTATGATCGAACCGACCTACTCGCTGCTATTGCCTCTGATGACTCCCTCCGCTTTTTCGACCCGACAACACTCAGCACGCTCGCAAACGGTGTCGTAAGAAATGTCAACGAGAAAGTCACGTGTCTGGAGCGCGGCAACGACCAGCAGAGCAACCTCGTAGTCACAGCTGGAAGAGATGGACTGATCAAGTTTTGGGACAAAAGGATCCCGGGGTCGGCAGTCGCGCACATCCAGAGCCGTGAGTAGACAGCGCATCTGTCGTAGTGAGGTACTAATCTTGACGCAGCACAGAAACTCATTTCGTCACTTGTTTGCAACTCGGAGAAGCACTTCCTTGCCGCTGGAATTGAGAACCCTGAGGACGGACCGCGCGGCTCCCCAGTCTACATCTGGGACCAGCGCAACCCACAAGCTCCGGTGCGCGAATACGTAGAGTCGCACACAGACACTGTCACGGACCTGCAAATACACCCAAATCTTCCAAACCTACTCTTGTCCGCGAGCACAGATGGCCTGGTCAATGTCTTTGACATCACACAAGCTGACGAGGATGACGCGTTATACCAGGTCATCAACCATCGCTCCGCTATTGCTCGCGCAGGCTTCATGTTTCCCACAACCGACATCTATGCCATGGGCACAGACGAGACACTGAGCTTCTACGCGCTTCAAAGCCAAGAGGACGAGAAGGAGGAGCCAAAGCCCAAAGCTTATGGCGATACGCGGGAGCAACTGGGCTGCGAGTACTTGGCCAAGATGCATTGGGTGGGCGACAAAGCGTATCTTGCCACTGGGAAGCACAGGTGAGCTAGCTCCTGCAATTCAATCTAATCAGTCTCTGCCAGTGATGCTAACTGTGAATAGCTCTGGCGATCTCACGCTCTATCCTGTGCACAAGAATCTGCAAGGCGGTCCTCTCGATTACATATGCAACCCACAGCAGCCCCTCCGGCATCAAGGGGCCCATGGGGAGGAGATTGTGCGTGATTTGTTCACGGATACGAATGTGAGTATTCTTACACAGCTCCAAGATTAGTGTCACGAATGCTAACCATCCGTAGACAGGTACGACCTATACCTGCGGAGAAGATGGCTCGGTCCGCGCTTGGAGAATGGCTAGTGAACAGAACGCTGAGGCCTTCGGAGATGCCGCTGAGCCGAAAACGAAATCGAAGGACAGGAAAGAGAAGCGAAAGGACAAAAAGAAGGACAAGCGGAAAGGCGATGAGTCCAGGTTTGCACCGTATTGACCAGTACACACAAACGCAAGCAAAGAGAACCGCACAAATTCATAGAAGCACCCAAGAATATCCCCATTGAGCAATCGTGCACAAATAACAAGCATTTCTCATATACTTATACCGTCCGCGACACGTTGAGGTTACATCCTTTTCAGATCATCGAGTTGGACTGCTTGAACTGGACAATGCCCGACATAACTTTCGCAGCGGCAGTCACCAAAGGCGCCACCTCCTCAACTTGATCAGAAATATTTCTCAAGGTAGCTCTGTCGCGCCTCTCCCTCAGAGCCCCTTTACGACCTACAATGATTCAACCCAGCACGGAAATACCGAAACACAACCGGAGCCATTTGTATTCGAGCCACTGCACAAATGTCTGCAAGCTTTAGGTGTAAACAGGAGCCTGGAAAATGAAGGTGGAAAGAACGTGCGGGTTTTCTACACAGCCGACTAGAAGGGTGGCACCGAGTAGACGGTAAGTCAATCCGCGGACGGTACAAAAGGGATTTTGAGAGCAAGTGCTAAGCATAACAGAAATTCTGAGCGCATTTTTCGCAGACGGTGAGTCGCGAAGAAGGCGTGCTGATTGCATCCTTGAACCAGATGGAGCCCAGAGATTTTGGGGCTGCCTACAGGCTCCCTCCGCTGAACCATTGGTCAGACATCGCGTACCTTCAGCTGTTTGGTCCTTCTGCGGCCCGTCCTACGTCTTCTTCACCCCTAAAGTTAGATTACATCATTCGCCACAGCATTGCCAACAGGACCGCCAAAGCTATAGCTGAGTATATGCTCACCAAACACAAGGTTCAAGACCCAGCCTGGCTCGGATTAACCTTTTCCCTGGAAACGGACGAGGGCAAGGTCATTTTGAGCTCGCCTAACCGCTAGGATGCAGCGCACCTGCCGGCGGGTGTAAAGAGCAGCTTGGCTTGAAGACCATGGACAGAGTCACCGTCTTCTATACGAGTGATATGGTATGCTCTTCTAGGTATTTGAATCTACTGTTGTGGCTGGGAGATGTTGATGATTCGCAAATTTCAGACTCTGAGACTCAGTAACAGAACTTCGGGGACATGGAGCAGATGAATAGGGATAGTAGGACTATGTGTTTGTGCATCATGGGAAGGAGATCTCGCGTCGAGCCAGTGTGTGATAAACTTGGTAGAATTCGTACATTGAGAGTACCAAATCCAATGCAACAAGACAGCCTCACATCTTCCGTAAGTATAAGACAAAAGGTGTTGTAATACTGCTTGTGTTGTCTCTCGTTGTGGGGAGCGCAATCATCTTCAACTGAACAATAGTTATCCACGCCTACACGATAAATCATTGACGGAGCCATTCCGACCAAAAGAAAAGTTGAGAAACCAATGAGATGCCTCGGCCAGATACAAGCTTCCGGTGACAAAGGTTTTTGATCTTCAAGGTGATAGTACGATAAACTCGGCCGACTTCCTCAGGTATAGCGTTATCGTACTTTGATCTATGATACTTGGGCCTATGGTATCGCAACGCATTTAAACCTCCTCAACATGTAGCCACGCCCATCCACGGATTTTGCACACAGGCCACGACTGGCGTACATTCCTGTGCTGGTTCGAGAATTAAATTGTGACTGCACAATCTATCATGATGTCTGTACGGTCTTTCTTTGCCGTCGCGCTTGCACTCCCACTTGCGCTGGCCCACCAGCACCACATCCGCTCGGACCCCAGTACGCTGGCGCAGACACCTCTCGCCATCAATGGCATTCCACCGTCGACCCGCGCCCATTGGATGCGCAAAGCCAACGAAGCACTACAAGATGTCCACGGCGACCCCTGTCCGTTCGGGGCATTTGGCGCCGTAATAGTAAACCACACAGCGCCTGGGCTCGGAGAGCTAGTCTGCATCGGCGCGAACTCGAACCGCCAAAAGGGCGATCCGACGCTGCACGGTAAGACCTCCAGCATTCACAGTTTTTGTTCTTGTGTTGTGTAAGGAAGTACCCAAGCTCACATGATATGCCGTGTTGAAGGCGAAATCGCCGCCATCCAAAACTGCTCCGCCGTCCTCACATCCCCCTGGGGACCGTACAACTTGAGCACCACCGCCGCGCTGGCGGCTTTCACCCAGCTCTCGCTCTACACGAACGCGGAGTCATGCCCCATGTGTGCGTCTGCGATCCGCTGGGCGGGCTTCAAAGAGTATGTTTACGGCACCAGCATCGACACGCTGGTCGAGAAGGGCTGGGGCCAGATCCGGATTAGTTCGATGGAGGTGTTCCGGGAGAGTTATGATCTGGGGACGGCGACGAAGTTGATTGGGGAGGTGCTGACGAACGAGACGGATGTTTATTTTGGGTGGCAGTATGATTTGGAGGCGGAGTGTCCGGAGGGGTGTGGGAGGGTGGGAAGCAGCTGTCAGGCGGGGGATGAGTAGGCAGGAACATTATTGTTCATTTCAATCGGACCCTCGCAGCCACTTTCCCGCGCCTTGTTGCTGCAGGCATATTGACTCCTATGTTACGAGTGTGCCTTGCGCTCACTTGTTCGTTAGCCCTCTGAGTATCGTGGATCTCGCTCAGTCCCGCGCTGATCCGCTGCGAAACTTTTCCAGCCTGAGCTACTGGAGTCGGATCGTACGTCTCGTCTTTGGTAGCTTTTCAACCCCCCCGGCCGGCATTGCCTTCTCTATGTATCCTCGGGGAGATAAGTCACAGGAGGCCTGTTGCCGCGAACGATCGTCGTGTATTTGAGAGCAACCCACCCGCCCGGGGCAAGGCAGGCGCGTGCAGCTGGCCACGAGCAAGCACGAACAGGGGCGTCTGCTTCGATCGCAAGGCGAACGAACGGCCCTTGTTCGGGTCGGAACGTTTGAGCAACAGTTCGCACCGTGACCGCGGTTGGCCAGGAGCGATGAGACGAGGTCGGAGGCGCGCGGGATGAAACGCCGACGATGGCGCGCTGCGGAACAGGCCGCCATTCACTGCGCGGGCCATAGCTCCCGCCCCGCCTCTTATCAAGCAGCAGCTGCCCATCCCCTCCACATCCACAGCATCGCACCCAGCATGGCTTCGGACGAAAACGACCCCCGCCGCAACCGCAGCCGCGATCGCGACCAGTTCGACGAGCACAACCCGTTCATCGCGTTCCGCCGCTTCGCCGACTCGCACGTGTCGTCGCTTCTGAACACCGTCTTCACGCTGCCCGCCACCATCGCCAACTACAAAAACGTCCACGTTGCGCGCGAGCACTGCCTCTTCGGCCGCGCAGACTCGGCAAAGTGCGAGCAGCTGCACGAGCTGGAGGAAGAGACGGCCCGGGTGATTGCCGAGTGCCGCGAGCTGTATCGTGCCGGCAACGTAGAGCAGGCACTCGACAGGGGCGAGGCTCTGCTGCAACTCAACCATGCTGCCGACGAGCTCCGCAAGCAGATCGTGGAAGGCGGCCAGGGAAGCAGCCCTGCAGAGAGGCGCGCAGGCCTCATCCCCGAAGCACGCGACGGCAACAGCAGGACGGAGCTGGTAGAACGCGTGGCCAATGAAAAGGGACAGCAGTGGGGCTGGTCATGGGACTGGGGCTTCCCTAAGCCATTCGATGCGGATGAGGACATCGCAGACAGGCGCGATCGATGTCGACGATGGCGCCGCCGACGGGAAGAGTCCATGCTCACGAACACACAAGCAGCCGAGCAACGTGATGCAGCGGAGGACCGCTCAATGTTCCCCGACCAACAGAGCTGGGTGGAACAGCAGCGTTTCCTGCATCAGCTGGACGAGGCACTTCTGCCTATATTCCAGGAACTGTTCCGTCGCGAGAGTTCCGAGACTGCGGACGTGTATGATATGGCTGGAAACTCGAATGTTGCTGCAGAGCTGGTACGTGTTGGTGTACCCAGGGATGCCTTCGAGGACCTCCTTCGCTCTCAGAACGGCTATCCTTTGATGCCTCAAGAGAAGCTGGGCCAGTCTGACCACTTGCTGCACGAGAACTGGTGCCGTCGTTTCTTCGACCGTACCGATCGGGGATTCGTGGGTCGACCATCCAGACCCGAGTATCCCAAGCGAGTCCCATGGGAGGGCGAGGAAACAGCCGAGGAACCTAATTACGAGTACGCTCATGATCACGAAGATCAACACGATGAGCCTCCAAGCCCCAAGACCAAGCAAGGTGGCTGGTCTAGCGGTATGCCGGAGACGGAAATGGAAGCTTACGAGCGCTTGCTTGGCCCTACGCCTGCCTTCGGATCGGACGCCCAAACAGAGGGTCGCCCCTCTGTACTTTCGACCCTCACCACTACGGAGCGCACGGTCCACCCAGATGGTACCGTCACAACCAAGGTCGTGCTCAAGAAGCGCTTCAACGATGGCCGAGAGGAAAGTTCCGAGACTGTCCACACAGAGCGGGGACAAGACTCCGCGGGGGAACCAAGTGATTCTCCATCGAGCGTGTGGGAAGCTGCTGCTCAACACAAACCACAGGAGCAAGCCCGCAAGGACAACGATAAGAAGACTGGCTGGTTCTGGTCGAGTTGAGCTTTATGACCATTTATGAGACACGATTCGGCGCATCTGGTTGTACGTTGGATTGTACTTGGAGCAAGTGTATGTAAGGTAAACTCCGGCAAAGCAATATCCACTCCTGCATTTTCTTAAGCTTTGGGATCGGCGTACTCCTCTCAATTGACCTCAAGCGAATCAGATCTTCGAAATGAACTGAATTACACACTGAAGTATCTTATGCCAGTCTGATGCTTCCCCGATATGCTACTACGTTTTCCCAATTGCCATGGATTATCCAAGAAGATCAGACCACGACCTGGTCCGATGAAATACTTACCAGTCTTCATAAATCCGATCGGCGCAACTAGGACCAAGATCAACTGCCGCATATGTTGGCCCCATGTCTCCACAATATCAATGCGGGGGACGCACGTGCGCGCCCACGTTCGCGTTTCTCCACAGTCTGAAAGGGTTGGACTTTATCCTTCCAGCCGGCGCGCACGCAGATTAACTTGCAATAACTCGAAGCCACAAGATGACCACAGAATGTGCCATCTACCGGACAATACCTGGTTTGTCAACAATCTATGGCACTGCACACGTAAATTTTCGATCATATATTTCTCGCGAATTAGACGACAGTGTCAGTCGATGAATGCAAGGGTCTCGCATTTCTCGAGGGTCCAGTCGCCATCTACGTAGCAGCATCCTCATTAGGTCTATACTCAAATTCAAATCCAACCCGTCATGAGTCTGTGCTGGATGGGGCAATATGCCTACATAAACGCTCGTTGCCCGCAATAGTTGAGTTGTGATCCACCTACACACGCAACCGTATATCGACATCGCCATCATGCTTACTACCTCCGTGGTCACGATCGCACTCTCCACCATGGGCCTCGCTCAGGCGGCGGTACCCGCGGGTTACAACAAAGTCTACTTGCAGAGCATGGTTGACACCAAATTTGTCGTGCAGGCAAAGGCAACGACATCCGGAAGCACTGTTGTCGTGTACGCAACCACCAAATCGCCCTACAAAATAAACAAGATAAGCTAACACATCTAAACAGCAACACCGTCAACAACAAAGCTGACCAGCACTGGCTCCTCACCTCCAACACCTCCAAGATCTACCTCGCAAACAGCGACCCGCCAACTCTGTGCCTCGACGCCGGCGCCAAGAGTATGTTCTCTCCCCCTACATCGTCCAGCCAACTAACCCGTCCACCCAGCCGCCTGGAAAGACATGGCCAATGTCTACGTGAACACGTGCTCTGACACTGCGCCTGGGCAGAACTGGACCGTCATGGCGGACGGCCGCATCGCTGTGACGGGTTCGAGCCCCGCGGAGTGTCTGGATCTGCAGTATATGCGTGCGACGGCGAATAACCCTGTAGGGCTGTACCAGTGTGCTGGGCTGAATAACTCGGGGGCGAAGGATAAGGGGATTAATTGGCCGCAGAAGAATGTTACTACGACGCCATGAGTGGAAGGGGAAAGGGGTGCCACCATAGCAACTGCACGCTAATCCCAATGGTTTTCGTTGTTGAAACTGCTTATTGTCTTCCATTTCCCTCCAACCTATCTCACCTGCCGTTACACAGAACATGTCCGCCTCTCATACCGCGACACCGTCCGCGACAAAGGCTCACTTGGCGTCCCGATCTCGACGTCCTCGGCTCCGCCCATCATCTCTAGCTTCTCCCTAAGTTTCTGCAGGCTCGCCTCCTTCTGCTCAATCTCCGTGCGTATCTCGTGCGCATTCGCCAACGGATCCTTCAGGACATGATACACAGTGGACGCCAACAGGACGACGGCCACAGAGACCAACGGTGCCCACTGCCCAACCTGGTTGATCGACTCGTTCGTAGACCCATCGTTGCGAATGTACCACTCGATCCAGCAGATGAACGCTACCACTATGCACGGAGATAGCAGAAACACCGCAACGAGGATGATGAGTGCAGTGACGTCGGTCAGCAGCCGCAGCACAGGCACCAAGTCGTGCAGTCTCGGCCTCTCCTCTCTCACACGGACCTCCCGACTCAAATGCAACGGCATCCTCCCAATGCCTCGTAGCGTGACCCAACTCCTGCCCCAATCTGCTTTCAGCTGTCTCCACACAAGCCCCTTCTTCCTCCAAAGATGATGCGGCTCGTGAATCGTAGCCCTCAGCTCCTTGCTCCCCAACCTCAGCACACTCAGCAGATACAGAAATATCTGCGCCAGCGCAAAACCCCACACCGCGATGTATATCAGCAGCGCAAGAAGGTCGTCGCCATTGTCCCGCGCGGGATTGTGCAACTTTGCGAACTTGGTGTGCCGCGTTGACACCACGCTCTTCAGCGACGTCCGCTGCCGGATCACCTGCGACGTGTTCCAGCACGGGTAGAAGCAGTTGTTGCTGAGCTCCTGCCACGTTGTTTGGGGATGCTCGAAAATGTTGGCGATGGTCGCGTTCCAGCTGCCCTCCCAGTACTTTGGGTCCCACCCATCGCTGAGCTGTGCGTCCGGGTCCAGTACGCCCGCGAAGCAGAAGCGGTACTGCGGCGCTGCGAGGTTCGTGGAAGACCAGGCGAGTAGAGCGCAAACGGAGGCGGCCAGCATGGTCATGTTCCAGAGGAGGATCATGTAGCGGATGATGAGCGAGGAGCGCATGGTGCGGGACCAGATTTGCAGGGGGAGCCCGACGAGGCAGGCGGTGACCACGATAGCGGTGATGGGGTCAATGTCGAGTTCCACGGCGTCGGGCTTGACGGTGACAGTGGTGGCGTTGGTGACGAGGGCATTGATGGCGTCCGGACCGGTGGTCCAATTGGAGTTAGGAGAAATGTAGGGGATTGTGACGTTCTGCGCATCTTGGATGGGTGGCTGGTTTGCTATGATGATGAAGGCATTGATGGCGGCGCAGGCTGCGTAGGCGACGACTGCGCCGAAGAAGACGTGGGAGAGCCAGCGGATGCGGATGGAGCAGAAAGTCAGGACGACGAGTACGTAGAAGAGGTATCGGCTTGCGGGGGCGTAGATGTCGCTGATGGGGTAGGCGCACGTTACATTTTGTGCGATCAAAGTGAAGGCCTCTCTGTTTAATGTCGCATTGTAAGTGCCTCCTGAATCACCCTGGTAGGAGAGCGTCTCTACGGCTCCAGGAAATGTCGCCGAAGTCGCCATGATACTCTTTTGTTGTGGCTCAGCATGTTCTGCTTTCAATCAGGTGATAAAGTAGAAGAGTGTTAACGAGTTTGAAGATACTGGTACGGAGTCGTCTCCGAAAGTTTTTGGTTACCTAAACCAGCGTAGCTTTGCCCTTTTGATGTGACCTAACTGCACTAGCTGGGCACGGCGGCTTCACTATGCGGCACTACTCCCACGCCTACTTGTCCAGGGAAAACCCACCTGTGCAAAACACCCCTTGAACGGCTTGCGACAAGTCTGTTATGGCGCGATCGCGGTACGCAACCTCACTGCCGGAGACTTATTACTTACAGCGTTGAAACGCTCCATCAGCCACGCCTCTATAGCTAATTGCGATCCTCTCTTCGTTTTATTCCCCAACGACACATTCAAAATCGGCCCGATGTGCGCTTCGTCTCGTCCTTCAATCACAACTATATCATCTTCAAGCCCACCCTTACTCTTCCAGCCTTTCTTCAACTTGGATACAAACTCCGTGACGGGATCGTGGAGGAGTTCCTTCCCACCAACCCACACCAGCATACTTTCCACCACGTGATTCAGGCCACTCCACCACTGCGGGTCAGCGAGATACGCTTCAGCGTAAACGTCGTTGCTCTTGACATCCCAAGTTACTTGGTGCTTGGAATCCGCGTCCATTTCGCCCAGATACATTGTCGCCCATTTTTTCAAAATGTACGCCGAGAGAGTGTCTGACTCCGCGTTTCGCTCATAGCTATTGAAGGCAGTCGAGAAGCTAACCCAAGGGCTGAACAGCATGACGCCGCGAAGCGGTACCTGGACCTCTACGCGCGGAACACCTGCCTTCGGGTGCAGGATGTGCGAGAGAAGAGCCAATGCGAGGGCGCCGCCTGCAGAGTCGCCCGAGAGCATGATGCTCGAGGGACTGCGACCGCTTACATTCACCAGGTGGTCAAGTGTAGCTGCTGCTTGGCGGAGTTGAGTTGGATACACAGCTTGCTCAGGAGCGAGACTGTACGCCAAAACGAGGAACGAAATCGAAGAGGTGCTCCCGGTACCGATGTTGATGTCTTTCGTAAGGCCATCAAGGTATGTTAGATGGTCTGGAGATGCAGGCTGTGTGTATCCGCCACCTGTCACTGTCAGCTCTTCCTCTGTACGCTTTCCTATACCGCTTCTGTTCATTTCCGTCAAGGTACCTACCGTGCAGATACAACACCACAACCTCCGCCGCCTCTTCCCCAATCCAATGCGCCTTTAACCCTTCTATCTCCCTCCTCTTCCCCTGCACCGCCAAACTCCTTGCCTCCCTCCCCGTCTTCCTGCATAACTCGCCATACGCCTCCGTGGTGGGCTTGAAGATTGCCCGCGAGACTGCGAAGCTAGCGTGCCGCAGTAAAGCTCTGAATACTGTGAAGAAAATGTCTTCGAAGAAAGTTGCTGCGCCGGAGTCGGTGAACCAGCGTATGGGTGTGGTGAGGAGGCGGAATATCACGGCTAGGACTGCGGGCAGGAGTCAGAGTATTCCTCGAAAACAAGAGCAAATGGAAGCTCTAGCGACGACGCTCTGTCGGGATCACAAAACAAGCCCTTCCATCACGGAGTGACTGGAGACTGGGTCTCTGTAAGACTCACGAACTCTGGCTGCGAGAAGGAGCCATGTAGAGGTGCTCGGAGGCGATATATTCGCCATGGTTCTGGGAGTTTTCTTTTTGGAATGCAAGTGTAGCCCCGTTCTAGTGTGCGCGAACATTGAAGATGTGGTGTTGGGCGAGGAAGTGCGGTCGGTATCCGAAGATGCGCGTTAGTTCCCGGCACCAACACTGGCCAATAGGCACCGAGTCGCAGCTGTTGGCAGGTCGAAAGTAACATGTTGTTCTTTAATTCATGAATTGTGTCACTATGCAGGCTATGAGGATGCTTAAAATAATGCACGGTAATTATGGCGTACGTTTCGTGGCGATCAAGGGAGCGCGACTCCATACTACAACGCAAAAACCTAAGAGCTATTCACAAAGACACATACGACTATATCAGGACAGTAGCAAAATTAAAATACCCACCAAGCTTCAGAGAAGGAGATGTTCTGGTCTCTCTTTCATTGCGCAATCACATCGTCTATGATTTATGCTTGTTAAGACCTCTTGCTGATGAAACTTCAGTATTTTCTCACGGCTCTTGGTGCCATCCAAATAGTTAGACGATTCCAAAGCAAACCTATTCAAACTCACTTGGCTACGGTCGCATATCCTTGGCTCCGCTCCCCAACCATCAAGACGTACCCAACGCACTTATGTAAATTAGTTCTCGACGGTCTCTCCGAGTAGTGCAAGGACTGAATCTCCAAGCCCCTCGATGCGGCCTCTTAAAGGCATAATGAACACTATACGGCACGAAGATTGGTATAGGAGGAAAAATATGTATCTCACCTTCGAACGCTGTGTCTGCCATTCCAAACACGAGAGGCTTGATTTGATACCGGTACTATGTTAGGTACGCTGCGTCACACTCAAGTGCAAATATACTGCTTAGCTTGCCTATGTTCATAGCAGACTTCTCAAACGTTTTGTACGCCATGTGTATCTTCTCACTATCGTCTTTGTCCAGCGCGTTCAGCGTGTCGATTTTATCGACCAAATACCGATTCAGAGGGGTCGCAAACGCAACAATAAGCATTTTCAATTTCCTCCCATCGTAGTTCTTAGGTTGGCACCATTTGGCGTTAAGTCGAAAGCCTCGAATCCGGGCGTGAAAGCTCGGTGCTGCTCTACATTGGCTTCCATGAGTCCTGCAATGCCGGCAATCTGTTCGATCTCGGGGAAGAATTGCTGCTCTTCTATGTCGTGATGGTGGTGGTGGTGGTGGTGGTGGTGCATAGACGGCACCAGCATTGGCACTAGGTGAGGAAACCACGAACTGTGGAGATGTCTGAAGCGGGTATATAGAGGGCTTGCAGGTAGATGCTGTTGAGGCCACGGATCATGCATGCCATTGTGGGCAAGCACCATTTGAGTAGCAACGTAGTATGCTGAGTGGGGGGCCCGGTTCGGTTTATTAGGGGAGTTCAACCTTGTGCGGTAGCGAAGAAACATTCGTCTTTAGAGAATGGAAGAGTTGGGAGGAGTGGAAGGGGCTGATCTGCCGATTGTGAGGACACATTCACAGCTGTGATAGCGTGCTTAGTGGAGAGCTCGGTCATAGACAGGCAATTCAAGTTTCCCAGGCGCAAGGTTGTAATGAAAATTGTCGTGCAGGATTCGGGACTAATTTGGAACGAATAGAGAAAAGTTCTCTGGCCGTGAAAGCAGTTCGCGAAGAACGTTGATGGAAATGATCTTTCTCACTACCTAGGTAGTATTAGAGCAGATACAATAGGTTCCTTCGGTAGTTTAGACTGATGATAGCTTGACTCCGTCAGAACCGCTCTTTATAATACCGTTGAGTTACGCCCCGTGAAGAATGTAGTACGTTCTTATGACTAAAAATTGTTCTGATGTCGGTCAGTATATGCAGCCGGCGCAACTTCATAAGGCATACTCTACGCGTGTTGGGCAGGCGTGTAACTGTATGTGAGACAGGAAGCACCGAAGACTATGCTAATCGGAGGTCTGCGCTGAGTTGCGCCGGCCCCGATCTGCCGGAAATATTGCACTGTGATTGGTGCTTAGACACGTTGCGCTAGCTCGAGCGATCGAACTTCGTACATCTTTCCACTTTCCGTTAGTCCCTAGCAAGGCTGCGGGCCAACTTGATCCCGATTCAGCACTCATTCTGAAAGATACACCGATTCTACCCTGGCAGGTAAGATATATCTAGATGCTCTTTGAACACAATGCATCTTTGGTTCCAACAAACACGCTCAAATCATCACTGTCCCTCGTACTACACTCAGCCCATTTCTGAATCGGCTTTTCGCGATCAATTACTCTTGTTCGTCGAACGATCACCACCACGACAACAACTACAGCAGATATGAAGGTCCTCCTCATCGGCGCAACCGGAAATGTAGGCCTTCGACTTGTCTCCGCTCTTCTCACTCACGGTCACAATGTCGTTGCACACGTACGATCTGTTCAAAAGCTTGAGTCTCTTCTCCCAGAGTCCGTTTACCGCCAGCTGTCCGTTATCGAGGGCAGCGCGTTCGACGCAAATTCCATAAAAATCGCCATATTGGACAACAACTGCGATGCCGTTGTCAACTCCGCCGGTCTTGCAGCAGTGACTCCCTGGGGCAAAAGCGATCTTCCGAGAATTGTCGCCGCCGTTGTTGAAGGTGCGCGACAAGCTGGTGCTGAGCGAAAGAAGCCGTTGAGAGTATGGTTCCTTGGTGGAATGGGAGCACTCCAGTTTCCAGAAGCGAACTCGCTGTTGTCCGACCAGTAAGTATAACGACGAAATTCCACTCAGCGATATCGAGGCTGACATCTACAGTGTCCCCATCTTGCTTGACCATTGCAGGAACTTGGCTTTACTCAAATCTCTTCCACCGAATACTCTCGATTGGTCTATGCTCTGCCCAAGCAACATGGATCCAGAGTCCTCGGATTTCAGTGTTCCTACGAAGAGCTCGCATGCAAAACTGACGTCCAGTGCGCAGACACCGCCATTATGGAAAGATTCATGGCTCAAGCACATCCCACTGATCGGGAAGATCATTGTCATCGTGATGAACATCACTCGTTACGGTACCACTCTAGAGCAAAACGCCGATTTTATCGCCACTGATTTGGAGACCCTGGACAGTCCGTATATTGGGACTCAAGTGGGAATCATCGACGCGTCGAAGTGATGAAGTGCGAAAGTTTTATGATTACATTTACATAGCGTTTCAGCGTTCGCGATAGAATACCTGATATATAAATATTCAAGACTTCTTACCGAGTACCTTTTCTCGAAAGAACATTACCACTTGTTTAGTCTACGCGCGAGGTCAGATCCAATACACACGATACCAGAAATGCATAACTCACCACTTTTTTGGTCTGAGACTCTGACGTCCCTTTTCTAACTGACGCTGATAGACCGGCTTGCGCGGGTATTGATGCAACCTCTGCTCTGTCCACCGAGAATGCTCCTGCCACAGGCGCTGATGCAGCTTCATTATCACCGTATGTGTCGAACATCGTGCTCATCACTCTTCTCGCGTTGATAGCTCTCCTCAATGGACCAGGCGAAATATCCTCTCGTGTCTGGAGTGCCGATACGATGTCGGGGTTGCGCCCCAGCGAATTTGCCATACCGATACTTTTGTGAATTCCCGCGATCACACAATTCAATTCACCTCTAATCGGGGGCCAGGACGTCGCAGACGGGCATATCGATCAAGGTTTCCCTCGGATGCTGCTACCAAAATCAAAAGGATTTTCCGCATGGCAGGCAGATCAAATGGAAGTGGTGATTCAAACAACTCCATATCGCTCTTCGACAAGTGTGGCGTTCAATCTCTGGCATTCAAGTTATTCTGCTCCCAATACCCATCCTCGGTTATATCGAAATAGTCTGAACTGAATTCTTCGCGATTATGGTGGTCCCATGGTCTGAATCGTTGTTGTAATGTCGCGAAGACAGCCGTATCGGCGTTCAACTGGGCCCCAGGACGCGGCTTGTCCAACTCTACCGTACGGCCGTATTCATTCCTGACTTTGTAGCGCTACGAGGTCGCTTCCACTTAAAGAGATTGCTTCCGCTTTGGTTGACCCCTGCATATCGTCCGCACCTCATGATCATTGACAAACAGTCCTCTGAAGAGGGAACAGAAATTAGAATTGGGCTATCGTCAGAGTACCAAATACTCATAAAAGTATATCCGCCCTTGATGGTAGCTTGATAGATAGAAATCGAGATGAATAGATACTATGGACTAAAGCAAAAGATGCTGATTCAATGTCCTGCTGCGATTCTCCACGATTGGCTCTTTGCAGACAATGGAACAATGTCGATAGGAAGTGCCCGTCCGTGCACTTCCTGTGAGTCGAACGAGCCCAGCCTACACTGTAGAGCTTGTCTCCTAGACTAATTGTGACCGGAGCTCTCTTAGAATTGCTAACAGCTTAAGACTCTCCATTTAAATCCTCTAGCTATTCACGATCAGCTACCCCAAGCACTTCATCGTAACATTGCCCCCTGCATCCGCATTCCATAGTGCATCCCATCCCCCATTGTCCAGCATTGCAAACGTATACGTCCCCTTCTCCACCACCCACTCATACCCCCGATCCAACATCCTTAAGTACCTCTCGACCTCGACCTCCATCCTTGCCGTCACCGTCTCCCCCGCCCCAACATACACCCTCTGGAACGCCACCAGCTGCTTCAGCGGCTGTGAAATCGCACTCACGCGCTGTAGCAGATACACCTGCGCCACATAGCTCCCCGCCATGTCCCCGGTGTTCGTGACTTCAGCTTCAAATACGAGTGAATCTGTTGCCGTGAAGTTGGACGTGGAACCCCGGGCGGTCTGGCCGCGGTAGTTCGACACGTTGAAGCTAGTATATGATAGCCCGTACCCAAACGGATAGTAGGGCAGCGACTCGATGTCGGTATACCACTTCTTCTTCGCCGTCTGCTTGTAGTTGTAGTACACAGGCAGCTGCCCCACATGCACAGGTACACTAACTGTCAGCCTCCCGCCAGGATTCGTCGTGCCAAACAGCACATCCGCGATCGCCTGGCCGCCGTTCTGCCCTGGAAAATTCGCATCCACAACAGCGGCGGCGCGGGCGTAGAACTCCGGGACAGCAAAAGGGCGGCCGCCGTGGAGGACCAAGACGACGGGCTTGTCCAGCGCAAAGATGGCTTCTGCGAGCGCGGTCTGGTTCGCGGCGAAGTTCATGGTGGCGCGGTCGCCGGACTCGCCGTCGCTGTTCCATGCGCCGCCCAGTGTGAGGACGATGACGTCTGCGGTGCGCGCGAGGGCGACGCTTTTCCTTACGGGATCGGTGCGGTCGACGAGGTTCCAGAAGAGGTAGACCTGGGAGTTGAGTGAGCCAAGATTCTCGATCTTCTGATAGAGGTTCCAGGTTTGGTATTCCAGGCGGATGTGGTAGGTTTGGCCTTCCTTGAAAGTGAACGGCTCGGAGCCGGGCGGCGCCTGCGTGCTGTTGTTGATGGAGTAGGAGCGGTCAGGGATGTTGGAAAGAATGTTCCCGGCGGTAGTCAGAGGGACGTCGACGTGCAGGTGGCCGTCTATAAAGATCCTTGCGGTGGTATTGGCGCCGACCGCGACGCCTAGCCAGCCATCTACGTCGCCGTTGACTGCAGGGTCTAGTTCGCCTTCCCAGATTACGCTGAAGTTGTTGGATGAGAGACCGGATGGAGGGTACAAGCCCCAAGATCCCACTGGTGTTTCGATCCTCTGCACGGTTGGTTCGCTGAAGTTAGTATCTGCATAGTACGTAGCTTGAAGACCCCCAGAGGAGCCTTTGGCTGACAGGTGATATGGGGGAATGGGGTAGTGTGCGTTGTACAGCCAGGTGTTCGCGCCCATGCTAGACACGAGCTTCCCATTGGTACCCTCAAGATGAGTTAAGATGCCTTGCCGGAGTGTGGTCGAGTTGGCCACAGGAGCCATCCCGTACTGGCCGGAGTAATCGCCATAATTTAGGATGTCTCCAAAGGGACCGATCAATGCAATGGTTTCACTACTCGTGTTTCTCAGTGGTAGGGTCTTATTCCTGTTTTCCAACAGCACCATGCTCTTCTGCGCTGATTCCAAGGTGAGGGGGATGTGACTGATAGTAAGTTGGTAAGGATCAACATCGTCGGGGATGTAGGGGTTGTCGAACAGTCCAAGGTCGTACTTGACCCCAAGCACCTTGCGGACCTTTTCTCGAAGTAAGTCTTCTTCGACCGTGCCATTGGCGATAAGCCCTCTGGTGGCATTCAACAGCTCATAGAGAGGGTAGTCGTAGAATTGGACCATTCCTCCAGCCTTGTAATATTGGCCGATGGCATCGGCTGGGGAGTCAGCGACCTTGTGCCCTGTCTGCAATTGTTTCATGCCTGGCATAATCAGCGTGACTTGCGTGAGTGTGAGCGAGAGAATATACCAGTATCATCAGCAGTCACGAATCCATCAAATTTCCACTCGTCCAACTGCTTGTAAAGCATAGGATTGACATGACTTGGCACGTCATCCAACTCATGGTACGCCATCATCACCCCCCTCACACCACCCTTATCAACTACACTCTTAAATGGCAAAAGGTGCTCCTCAAGCACCTCGCGATTTCCGTGTCCCATGAACGGCGCACCGTTACTCCCACCTTGCGGCGATCCATGAGCTGCAAAGTGCTTCATGACCGGCGCCACGGCATCGCTCTCGGCCCAACTCCCGTTCTTCGACAAGCCACTCGCAAAAGCGACACCCATGTGCGACGTTAGGACCTTATCCTCACCCCAGTCCTCCTGACACCGGCCCCAGCGCGGATCCTTGCACAGATCGAGCACGGGCGCAAGGCACGCGTGAACGCCGATACTTCGCGCTTCGGCGGCAATCGCTCTTCCCACGCGGTGCACGAGCTCGGTGTCCCAGCTGTTCGATAGAGCGAGAGCCTGCGGGAACATGCTCTGTTCGAAGCTGCCTACGCCATGGAGGCATTCGGCCCAGTGCAAGAAAGGAATCTTGAGCTTCGAGCTTTCAATATTAAGCCGTTGGAGGTCGTTGTAGTAGGTTTTGTTGAGCGGGTACCAATCGTGCATGTGGCCTATGGAGGCATTGGGCGTAAAGCGCAATTCATAGTCGTAGAGCGAATTGTCCGATGCAGGGCCGATGATGTTATCGGCGAAAGTAAGGTGCAGCTGTTGGACGAGGTCTGGGATTTCCATCCGTGAGAGAAGATCATCGATGAACGCATCTTTTGGTTTGGCGCGACTATCGAGGCGCGGGGCGATGTCTTGCTGCTGCGCGAGAGTTCGCAGGCTTATTATCGTGAACAAAATGGCTGACCGCATCCTGGACATCAGTGTACCTCAAAACACATCAAGGAGGTACGTTGGAGAAAGCGACTATTTCAGTGCTCGATCTCATCCACTACTGGGCGGCCAAAATCGGGATTCCATGATAATCATGGTGTGATCGCAAGATCCCATGTCGATGCAACGGTGACAACGGGCTATGTACCGGCTTTGCCTTTGCAGGACCCTGTCTTGTAGACGATGTGTCGAAGTGGGGATTCGAGCAAAGCTATGGATGCGATATACATTGGGTGCGGGGGAGGGGTACAGGGTTTCGGCAAAGATACTCCGCCGGTGCAGATCATGCCGAAAAGATGCATGCTGATAGCGGTGATGCTCCGCTGCCCGGGCGTACGTAAACTGGAACTGACTTCGGCGAGTCTTCGCGGATTTCGGTGTGTGCTATCATAATCAAGTCTTACAAACGGCAATCGTCTGCTAATCCGAATCAGCGAAGGATGTAGCGGTGATGGGATTATGGCACTGGTAATTGTTTACAGGTTCTTTCTGTTCACTTAGCATGCGGTTTCAGCGTGACTTGCGTTTGTGTCTTGTAGTGTTACGTATTGACATTGAAGTTAGCAGTCAGCGCTGCAACGGGCTATCGAGGAGGGTTGAATGAGGCCTCAAACGAGCGCAATGCATACTCCGCGATCATGCAATCATAGGAAAACTGTTCGCAGGGTGATTCAAGGCGTTGGTGGCCTTACGATTGGTCTACCGACTGCTCTGGGGGAGGATTGAGCGGCTTCCTCCCATACGTAAAGCAACTGTCCGCATTAGCATATCCTTTCTCTGCACTCTGTCCCGCATACTTACACCGTCTCGTACATGTATGTCTTCCTCGCCCCTAGTAATGGCATGACCTCCTCAGCCATATACGTTTTCGTCCTCTCCTCGGTCCACCCAAGAATTTTGACAAACATTTTCATAGCTACCGGCTCGAAAGCATGCTTCAAATCCTCCAAGAAGTAAACACCAAGCTTCTTCATCTTATCACCTTTGGCCCATGGCCCACATGGCCAGTACAACCTCTTCTCCTCAACGGCTTCAAATCCAATTTCTTCAAACCATCGTTTGTAATGTTGCACATTGTTCCACGGCCGTCCAATCTTGGAACCGCACTCGGCTACTGTTTCCAGGAAAGAGCGGAGTGGATTTTCTGGCGGAGGCTGTGGGTCCATGAACTGGAACGGAAAGAGACCGTCTTGGAGCTCGAGGTAACCGCCGGGTGCGAGGTTGTCGTAAGCCTTTTGGATAATGGAACGCGGATCCGCAAAGCATGTGAGCAGCGCGCGTCCGTGGATGTAGTCGAAAGGTCTCGAGTAGTTCCATTCGTCTTCGGCGTCTGCGATTTCGAATTGACAGTTTGTGGGGACGTAGCTGGGCTGAATGGGTGAGAGGTCGGTGCCGGTCACGCGTGCGTCCGGATACTGCTCAGCTGCAAGCGAGTCAACACCTTCCGTCGGTTGCGGCGCGAGCGGTGACATGGTTACCGAAATCCATGGCCCATATCCCGGTGCCTGTTGCTATGTCGAGCACGCGCTTCGGGTTACCGATGGGCGCGAGGGCTAGAGCGCCGTCGCATGAGATGGTGAAGAGCATGTGCTGGAGATCCAATCTGTCTCTCTCTTTCTGTTCATGGTGTAAGAGAGGCTGCTAACAGTTGAGAAATACCGTTGCATACTTCGTCATTGGGGAGGAGATATTCTAGTGAGTTTTAGCGAAGACTGCTGAAGATGTGAAGGAAACATACTGCCAGACTTGTATCCATGATATGTGCGCCCGAACTCTTCCACCGAAGTGTACACATCGCTTCGTGCGCTCGTCGTCGACGACCTGGACTCTCGTGAACATTGTTGCAGATGGAACTGTGCCGTGATTGTACATACGCATACGTCAAACCACCGATTGCCGAATCGATGTCGCTGTCCTACGCCTTGTTAACATTTGCACCTCAGCGGCGCCAAACTTAACCCCGCGTGTCTAGCCTGCGCGCCAAGCCGCTGGAGACGTTCAACTTACATCGCTCTCCGGGATCAGCGCATTAGAGTATTCGGGCTCTTGGGCGCTGTTATCGGCCATGGTGGACGACGAATATGTATGTTGTTCTAATTTATGTATGTATGTAGTATGTACGCACCGCACAAGGGTGACACGCAGATGCCTGCGGGCCACGCGAGGTTTTGGGGCGTAGCTGAAGGAGGAGCTGGTGCTTTGCCCGTTTTGTCTTGCAGTGCAGAAGCGTGGAGGGGACCCTGGTCTAGCAGTCGGTCCGTGGGACCTGCCGGTTTGGGGGGTGTAGATGTCACCCAGAGCAGTGGGGAGATGGGACTATTTGACTGTAAAGTTCGCATCGCGTGCTTAGCGCTGCTATACTACTGCCACGTCGACTCTACGCGCGTTGAAGTGGGTGGTGGGGAAGCGCTTTTGTCTATGCAATCGCTCTATCGTGCGAGAAATGTATGCCGCCAAAACGCTTCAATTGCAACTGATGCGCATTTATCAACGCGGCCCATAGCAGCAGGGGTATAGGAAAAGATTCACAGTCTAGGAATCCGAGTAACAAGAAAATCGCGGCCGTGAATCATCGCCAACAGTGAAGCAGCTCTATCATACCGTCATGTCCGTGCTCGAGACTTGCCCGGGCGGAGTTTCCCAAACCCGACCCGAAAGAAATAGGAGGGGAAGATGTGAGGACTCATTGGGCAATGCCCTTGAGCTGTGGATGCGGGGAGGGTGACCTACCCCTCAAGGCAGGAGAGCTAGGCTTGAGCATAGGGCTGGCCGCGGCGCTCAGAGCATCGAGACTAAGCTGGCTGATGGCGTCCAGATTTCCCTGAACAGTCTCTTCGTTCAAGTCCAGCATGAGACGCAGCTCGTTGGCCTTGAGAGGCTCCCCCAATCCAACGATCAGCTGCTCCTTGTTTGCGCTGCCCGAGACGTCGTAGTAGAACCAGTGGTAGCCTATATCCTCGAGTTTGTGTGGCTCCGCTGGAGTCGAGATGCGGGCGGTGCAGCGTCGTACGTCCATGCCGAAAACGCCAGAGATGGACGGCTCGCTGCCGAGACCACCAAGCGTAGAGTTCCTTCGTGACAGAGCGCGGGGCACCCTCGCGTCTTTGTCAAGCGGTGCTTCGTGCAGGCTTCGGGAAGCGCCCGCATCCCGTAGCTTGGCCCGCTTAAAGACGGCCTTGTGTAGCTCCGTGATGCCTACTACCACGTAAAAGTCCTGCTGCTGCTTGGCCAGATTGTATATCCATTGCTGGGCTTCCGGGTCGTTGCACACGGCGTTGAACGCGTCGCGGGGTCGCTGGCTCGTGCGCTGGATCATCTGCTCGGCTGTGACCGTCAAGAGGTTGGGCTGTCTGTAGATGCGGCCAAGCTCGTACTTGGAGCCGTAGCTGGACATGAAGCGGCCTTCGGCGTCGGCGGCGAAGACGTCCTTGTACCGCAGCTGGATGTGGTAGTCGTTGAGCTCATCCACGGCTTCGTGTGCCTTCTGCGAGTAGAAACCGTCGCGTTCGGGGTGGAGAGGGTGCGTGAGGAGCTGGCCCACGACTACATCATTGGAAGGGAGGGGCTTCGGGAGGAGGCCATGGAGCACCATTCTGGCAATGTTTCGTCGGCGTCGGGTTTGGGAGGAGGTACGATGAGGAATCCACGGATAGACTGAGAGAGAGAGACGCTCAGGAATAGAGCGGAGGTTGGACAGTGCTTGTTGGGTGCTCTGGGCTGACATGGCGGCAACTTTGGAAATTCTGGCCCCTTGCTTAATTTAGGCTAGCGCCTTGGGTTTGGCCGCACGTTGACTGCCAAAGCCTCTGCATTGGACCTCGCAGGGAGGCAAGAAATGAGAGGCCACTCATCAATATGCGGTCGATGGAGGGATGGTGCAAGGTGAATGTCGCATCACGTGTGACCGTGTTTCTAACGTTCCTGGGCCGTGTACATGTTCGCCGGCATCGGCCGAACGCTCTTCCAAGTCTAGGCCTAACGACTACAAACGAGCACTGAGCTCTACAAGGTGCCCACTCACTGACTCGGCCGTGGGACAATGTCGTGGCGATGCCGGCAAGACTACACGATGCATAAGCACAGTGCCAGCTAGGCACAGGACACGTCCACACCCTTGGTTGATGTGATACCCGCCCGCTCCACCTCATATGGATGCGATACTTTAGGCCAGCTTCGCGGAGTACGCGTACAAATCTCCTCGGACTTGTACTCCGTAATACGTGAGATGTTGGTGTTGATAAGAGGTAACTGCTCGTTTTTCTTTTCCGTTGGTAGCACCCCCGCGCCGCCCCGTGGGAATCGACGCGCGGAGAAAATGCCTCACAGGCTCAAGCGCCTGGTAGCTATGGTATGTGGCACAATGGCTCGACATCGGCCCAGTGCAGCATCCGACGAAACTGATGTGCACTTTTGATTAATGTGTACACGATACAGGTACACAATGTATGAGCAACTACCAATGACCGCAAGTGGTTAATCGGAAGCTGAAGCGGGCCACATGCTGCTTTGTGGCCTTAGTAACGGATCAGTCACAAAGAGAAGCCTCGTGGGAACTATAGAGCGATGCTGCACGAGACCAGGCTACTGCAGGAGGCGCTCTGCTGACGGTGGTACAGACGGGCAACGCGGTCTTGGAGATGAGTTTGTCAAGCTCGTAAACGGCTGACTGTGCATGCGGGATGGAACAGCAGACGTCCGAACGAACGGAAGATGGCAGGAGAAGCGCGGCACACCTGCGACAGACGTGGCCCCTGTTGCTGGATCGAGCAGAGTTTTCCAGATCACAGAGTGCATCGCATCGCGATCGTGTCGTCGGCCAGTGGGGTGGCCTGGAGTGGATGGTTGACCAGGGGGAGCTTGGGCGCGCGTGCAACCTGTGCGCGGCTTATCGATATGCTCGTGGAGGGGCAGAAGCAAGCAGCGGGCACCGAGACTCTCTCCAGCCCACTTTCGGTGGGTAGCTCGGCCACCAGTCCATCTTCAATGCGCATAGTCAGCCGATACACGTCTCCAATTGGCGAATCGGACCCGCTCCATGACGTCGAAAAGGCAACGACAAAGCCTCCCGCAGCAACGTCACTGGCCGTCGCCAGCTAGCCCAAAAGCAATGGACGAGCTCACCCTTTTCCCACTAAACACTACAAGTACTTGTACCCCTCCTCAGCCTCTCCTATCCCTCTCCATTCCATCCCAATTCCTCTTCACTGTCTTCTGATACCGCTTTCTATTCCTACCCACATCTTCAATCAACATGCCTTCCGCCATCCCAGAAGCCACTGAGCTCAAGGACCTCCTGTCCCTCAAGGGCAAGGTAGTCGTCGTCACCGGTGCCTCAGGCCCTACTGGTATCGGAATCGAGGCCGCCCGCGGCTGCGCTGAGTTCGGTGCCGATCTCGCCATTACCTACAACTCTCGCTCAGCTGGCGCCGAGAAGAACGCCGAGGAGCTCAGCCAGAAGTACGGTGTCAAGGTCAAGGCCTACAAGTGCCAGGTCGGCGACTACGCCAACGTCGAGAAGCTAGTCCAGGATGTCATCAAGGACTTTGGCAAGATCGATGTCTTCATCGCCAACGCCGGCAAGACCGCCGACAACGGTATCCTCGATGCTTCCGTTGAGCAGTGGAACGAGGTCATCCAGACCGATCTGACTGGCTCCTACAACTGCGCCCGCGCTGTTGGTCTGCACTTCCGTGAGCGCAAGACCGGCTCGCTCATCCTCACTGCCTCCATGTCCGGCCACATCGCCAACTACCCCCAGGAGCAGACCTCTTACAATGTCGCAAAGGCTGGCTGCATCCACATGGCTCGCTCGCTCGCCAACGAATGGAGGGACTTCGCCCGTGTCAACTCCATCTCCCCCGGTTACATTGACACTGGTCTTTCCGACTTCGTTCCCCAGGACATCCAGAAGCTCTGGCACTCCATGATCCCCATGGGCCGTGACGCCAAGGCCAAGGAGCTCAAGGGGGCTTTCCTCTACTTCGCGTCTGACGCCTCTTCCTACACCACTGTAAGTCATGCCACCTTGCCTGCTACCCGATAATTGCTAATGTGATGACAGGGTGCCGATCTCCTCATTGACGGAGGCTACACCACCAGGTAAACGTCTCGCTACGAATTAATGTGTCATGATTTATGTTTGGGATAAGGAAAAGCTGAACGAGGTGGACCATATACCTGGACGCTAAATTAAATGTTAAATATTTCAACTTCCTCTCACAGCATTTGCACACTGCGTGGCCATCGTGTTATCTGTTTGACTCTAGCATTGGGCTCTTAACGCTTGTTATCAGTGTTGGGTAAGTGTGCCATCATGCTGTCGCGTGTTGAAGCTAAGTGTTGATTGAGTTACAGTTCATGAGCGAGTCGATCAATGCAAATCATCAATCTTAGCATGCATGCATACTTCGGCAACCAATTGCTTGGCTGTTAAGCTCCGCGGCGCAGTTGAAGAGCAAAGGGACCACAACGCAATGGAAGCAGAGCCGGTCCGACTCGACCTGTTACGTAGAACCGCTCTCTCCACAGATCCTTTTGTTGCGCAGCCTTAAAGGGATGGCGCCGCCACACGCTCGGGGAATGCATGGGATACTGAGGTACTAGCCGTTTCCGGCGTCCGCGCGCTTTCACATGCGGAAGCGACGCCTCTGGATGGACGGACTTCAACAATTGCAAATTTCCAGCTCTCACCATACATCGGCTCTATAGGAAAGAACCGACTGCCATGAACGCTTATCGAGTTACAACTTCGTAGATGCTGGGGTCAACCGTTTGATGGCGGAAGGCAATGTTGAGGTAAGCTCTGCAGCGAAGGAAGGCATGCATGATGAGCAGCAGGGGTAACAGCAATATGGAACATCGCTCAGCTCTCTTGGTACAGCGTCAGATTCTCTACCTCCGCAGACATCACATGGCCTAGTATGGACATTTAAGATTGCATTGTCCAACCAATCCCAACCGCGTAGCGCAGCAAGCTACCCAGGACCCTCTTTTGGTACAGCTGACGCGCAGTACGCGCCTTGAGCACCTTCCAACAACGTCATAGTTCCTGCGAGTATTCACCCGTCGTTGTACGCGACAGTCAATGATGCCTTACCAAGCACATGCGGAGCCTTGGACAGGGCTGAGTTGACAGGCACATGGTTACATACGGCTGGCCCGACTTCCCGCGTGACACGATACCCTAGGTCCCGACACTAGGTCCCGACACTGTGGACCAGATCGTGAAGGCGGAAGGAACGTCATGGAGCCCCGACCAACGCTACAACCCAGGTGAATCTAGCCGACCGTCTTATAGAGTATGGCCCTATAAAGACTCCAAAGCCTCGCGACCTCGACCCTTGCTAGCAACAATTCGACTTGACCCCCTGCCACAACATGAAGTTTCAAGCGCTCCTTGCTGCGCTGGCAGCGACCTTACTGGACGAGGCATCAGCAAAGGCTTTTCGACAACGGCGGGCTGAAGATCTTGCCAGCCGTATTGAGGGCGAGACCACTATCGCTCTGCAGGGAGTGCTGAACAACTTCGGTCCAGATGGAAGCGAGGCACCAGGAGCTTCTGCAGGCGTCCTCATCGCATCCCCATCCACCGACAATCCCAATTGTAAGCATACAAATGACGTTCTGGGAGGTTGTGCCGCAGGACTAATGGCATCTAGACTACTACACGTGGACGCGAGACGCAGCGTTGACTCTCAAGATGGTTGTGGACGAGTTTCTGCACGGAAAGGGTGACCTCCAACCGTATATCCGGGACTATGTCAAGGCGCAAGCTATCGTGCAGACTATCTCAAACCCTTCAGGTGCTTTGGGATCCGGACGTGGACTAGGCGAGCCGAAGTACTACGCTAATCTCACACGCTTCAACGGGGACTGGGGACGACCGCAGCGTGATGGACCGGCTCTCCGTGCGACTGCTCTCATTACCTACTCTCGGTACCTTCTCAGCACCGGCATTGACTCGGACGGAACCGAAGCGGACAACATCTGGCCAATCATCCAGAACGACCTCAATTACGTCGCCCAGTATTGGAACCAGACCGGTTTCGATCTCTGGGAAGAGGTCGATGGATCGTCATTCTTCACCACTGCCGCGCAGTATCGTGCATTGATCGAGGGTGCAACGCTTGGACAGCGGTTACAGCAAGATGTATCTGCTTACGAGTCTCAGGCTCCCAATGTGTTCTGCTTCCTACAGACTTTCTGGAATGGAAACTATGCCGTGGCAAACATCAACGTCAAGCAAAGCGGCTTCAGCCGTAGCGGTATCGACGCCAATACCGTCCTCACCTCCATTGCCTTGTTCGACCCGGACGCCGTGTGTGATGATACCTTATTCCAACCTTGCTCTTCACGAGCGCTGGCCAACTTGAAACAGTACATTGATGCATTCCGTACTATCTATACTATCAACCAGGGCGTTTCCGAATCAGGGGCAGGTGTAGCAACGGGCCGCTACGCAGAAGATGTTTACTTCAACGGCAATCCTTGGTACCTAACCACTTTGGCTGTAGCAGAGCAGCTCTACGATGCAATCCAACAATGGAGCACCGTCAACACCATCAGCATCGACGATGAATCGCTCGCCTTCTGGCAATCGGTATACCCATCCGCCCAACCCGGTAGCTACACCAAAGGCGGCTCCTCCAACTTCACCAAGCTCACTGATGCCGTCCTCACGTACGCCGACGGTTTCGTTGAAACAGCCCTGAAATATACGCCCGAAAATGGTGCTCTCTCCGAACAGTACAGTCGCGAAAATGGCACGTCACTCTCGGCGCACGACCTCACCTGGTCCTACGCCTCCTTTATAACCATGCGTGCCGCCCGCCTAGCAGCTACCTCTGATTACAGTCAAGTCTCCTCGTGGGGCTCCCCATCAAAGCTCGAAGTTCCTACCGTCTGCACACCCAGCTCAGTGAAAGGTACTTACAAACCTGCTGTCGCCGCCGGCGCCCCGTCAGACGCACCATCATGCACCTATCTCGTTGCCTTCAACCTCAACGCAACGACCTTCTACGGCGAGAATATCTACCTTTTCGGCAGCTCATCGGACCTGGGCGACTGGCGTGTCAGCGATGCACTTGCGGGCAGTGCGGCGAGCTATTCGGATGCGCGGCCGCTGTGGACGTTTACTGTGGAGCTTCCGGCAGGCGCGGACCTCGAATATAAATTCCTGAGGAAAGAGCCGAGCGGGGAGGTGCTATATGAGGTGGAAAATCGAAGCCTGGAAGTGCCGGAATGCGGGGATGAGAGCCCAGGAGAGCAGACAGTGGAGGATAGCTGGAACGGGCCGGTGGGCAATCAGATGGAGTAGGGTGTATACTTTAGATACCGGGCTTGAGATGGATGTACCAGAATCGGGTTTTGGATGCCAATGTCAATGGTCATGGCTGCTACACTGTTTGTGTTACACCGTGCATGCGAACTAGGAGATGGGCACATATCTGCCTAGATTTTTCATCAGTTATACCAATAGATTTGTTTCACATTCAAGAGATTCTTAGCTCGGCAGGTTGGTGGTCGAGCAACCTCGAGGGTGGTGCTAACTGAGCCCTCACTCTGGTAGCACGAGCGCATCTCAAATAGTAGCGAAAGACAAGATATATCTCAATATGCCCAATGAATTTCCATGAAGTTCAATGTCTCGTATCGGACAATAAATAGCAGCCGCCCGAAACACTAAGCCGGACCGCGGCATCTCTTGGCGCCACACCTCCGAGCCTCCGCAACACGACTTCCTGCACAGTGCACACCCAACGTACACAAGTCGCCCAACGCCAACACCGCACGAGCAGGCTCTCCCAAGGATGCTCCTATAACGGGGCCATCCACTATGACGCTCTCACCATCTCCACCATGGATCACTGGGGCGACCCCTGGGCCGACGATGCCGACACTGACACACACACGCACACGACCAGCGCGATCGCGCCGCCCGCGAAGGTAGCAGACGCGAAGCCGCGGGAAAATGCGACGTCAAGCCCGGGGCTGAGGCCGCAGCCGATTCTTCTCAATGGCTTTGAAGATGAGGCGGGGTGGGGGGGTAATGCGTGGGCGACGACGCCGAGCCCAAGAAAAGATGCGGAAACAGAGAGGGAGTTTGGAGGGGATGCGGTGAAGAAGATACGCTGGGATGCGCAAGATGATGCCGTGGAAGGGACGGGCGTAGAGGAGGGGTTCAGCGCGTGGGCCGCGCCGACGGAAGAGGATGCATCTGAGGACGGAGGCGCGAACGGCGTAGAAAACGCGTCAAGTTGGGATTCACATACCGGCCACGAAGATCGTGCGCGTCATGACAGTTTAGAACACAAGGCAGGGAATGAGTGGAGCAGGATCGAAGAGGTGGTGGAGGGCTCGAAGGGCGTGGAGCATGGCGTTTCGGAGACTTCGGATTCGGCCACGACGATTCACGCGGATGATACGCCTGCACAAATCAAAGCCGAGATTACTGGAGAGCTACCTCGCGAAGACGATGCTTCTACACGGTCTTCAGAATCGCATTCCGATGGCAGTCATAATGAGGCGGCTACCGAGTCGCCGCGGACATCGGTTGAGGAAGAGCGCGCAGCCGTGAAGAGTGCAGAGGCACAACATGATGATTTGGAGGGATCGGAAGAAACCGACCTCGGTACAGAACATCACCAAATTCTCGAGCAGGACGTGGATGATGACTTTGGCGACTTCGAGGACGAGGTTGTACAAGAAGCGGCTGAAGCTCAGCTGGATGTGGAAGCAACCTCTGATCAACCAGCATCGTTGTCGAAACAAAGCGAACAAGACATGGTGAGCGATGGCGAGGAAGCATCGGCAATACGTTTTCCTACGGGCCCCATCGGCAATGTTGTCTTGGATTCCAAACTGTTGGCAGAACTGTTCCCGCCCGTCAAGAACAGCCCGCAAGTGGGAGAAGCGCTAGACGATCCAGTATCTTCAACTTCAACCCGCAAAGCTTGGTATCGTATCACGCGCAAACAGACTATGCGTGAATACAACAGCGGCGCCGTCGATGACAACTATATCCGCGTAACCTGGAAGACGTCGCACATAAAATCAGAAGCGGTCAAAACCGTCGCAAGATGGGCTAACGAAGACCGCATCGCAGGGCGAGGGCCAGGAGCGCGAGCGTCTTTCTTCTGGGATTCTCCTCACTCCCCGACAGACAAAAGAGCGTCTTTTGCGTCCCTTCACAGCAGGAAGACATCGACAGCCTCGGTGTCGAAACCAGTTCGTCCTGTCAGCCAGGCTCTTCCGCCGTTATCAACCGATGTTTCCGCTGCGTTTGACTGGAGCTCACCATCTTCAGCCACGCGCACGGCTCCAGACAATTCTGGTTTGCGGTCGACCTCGTCGCCTATAGTTGCGAAACACAGTGCAATTACAAAGCTGCAAAGACAAAGCGGAAGAGCGGTTTCCATGGATCTTAGTTCGTCTCCACGAGAGACTGCATCGCATAGGAGGACATCTACCGCCACGGAGATTCGCAACGGCCCGCCAACGGCGACTCCGTCAATCACACCGATTGAAGCACCCCCCAGAGTGAGCTTTGATCCCTGGAACTCGACGGCTACACCCTCGCCCATTATACCTGTTTCGGAACCACCCACCGAGCAACTCGATCATTGGGCCAACCTCGGAGCGCTAGACACAGGCGCCCCTCCCAAGGCACCTTCCGATGCACCAGATGACGACGGCGACGAATGGGGTGAGATGGTAGAGTCACCCGTGGTATCAACCGTCCAGACACCCATTTCCAGAGTGCACACACCTGTCGCAGAATGCTCAGAACCGCCAACACGTAACGGTACTGTTTCAGCAACCTCTACAACACCAGTATCTGCTCGATCTTCGCCACTGCAGCCCTTGCCTCCACCAACTGCGCCAATTCATGCGTCTCCTATTGTGCGTCTAAAAGGCACCGTCTCACCCACTTCAGCAATCTTCGGGGCCAAGGCTTTAGTGCCCACTGGCTCTGAGGAACGCATCGGACCGCACCTGCTGAAGAAGCGGGACAGGTCACGAGAATCAACCCCGGAAATGGCGAGAGCGATGCCCGTGAATTTACCGAGCATGGATGAGACACTCAACCGGGCGTTCGTTGAAGGCATACTCAATACAGACGATGAAACCACGAAATCGGTCATGGCTGCAGATCCGGCCTCACCTCCATCGCCTGATACCACTCCACATATCCACGAGCACAACGACTCCACCACCATCAACTCAACCTCGTATCCGCCCCCACCCTCAGACGAACCCAACTGGGGCGACTCTGCTGACTTCTCTATTTTCGAATCCGCACTTCCACCATCTACATCCTTTGCACCACCTCCTTCACAGCCTGCCGTTGAAGAGCCCTGGTCCATCTTCAACTCCCCGCTCCCTGCGGCGCCGTTCGTTAGACCCACCGCGCGTCCCGTCACGCCGCCGGCAAAGCAGCCCCTCACGAGCGCAACGAGCTCGGCGCAGCGGAGGAAGGCAGAGGAAGACGATGTTGTGAGGGCGATTGTAGAGGGGTTGCCGGATTTGGGATATATGTTGAGGAAGTGATGCAGCGGAGAGAAATGAGCATCCATGGCATAGCGTTGCATTGTATATACAAGGCGTATTTTGGGGTATGAAATGAGATATGTTGGGATGTATTCTTTGCTGTTGTTTTGGGGGTTTGGCTTGGCGTTTTGTGTAATTTGTGCTTGTATTCTCCGCATCTTGGAGGCAGACTTGTATGAAAAAGAATGACAGTCGCAGATCGGCTTTATCCTGAGAATGAGTAGAGTGACTAGCCTTTCTGACTCCAAATTATCGTAAGCAATTATCTAAAAGCGATACAGTCTCTGTTCTAGTGATCGGATATGGTTACTTCTATGAGTATCTACTTACCCAAGAACATTTGAATGTAGGAAGTCAGACCAGTGTCTGATGCATGACAAGTCGATATAACCGATCCAGCTCTAGACCCCACGAAAGCCTTCGCTCCAAGCGAATACCACAACATCACGTCTGCGCCACAGCAATAGCTCGAAAACAAGACGTTCCGTATCCTGACTGCTAACGTCGTCGGTAGCAGCTCAGCGGTCCCGGCCCCACCTGTGACTGGAATGGCATGCTCCCGTACTACAAGAAAGCAATTCGCTTCCGGGAACCGGACCCGACTTACGCCGCCAAATTCAACATCACTCATGATTTTGAAGGCGCGTCGGGCCATGATAACACCACACGCTTGATATCAAACTGCTCTGCGTATCTGTCTGAGTGCTCATAGGGATGTGTTGAGCCGTCCAAACTATGATCTCATTGTTGGCCATATGGTCAACAAGGTGCTCTTCGAGGATGACAAGGCTGTGGGTGTGCAATATGTAGGACAGGATGGAATCGACGACCCGATGGAGATCAAAGTGAGAAAGGAAGTGATTGGCAGCTCACTACAGCCGTGGCTTTCAGTGCCCCCTCTATCCCGGCAATTACTTCCGATATTCCAACAAACGCTCTGAAACGTGTCTCTTTCGCAGGCCTACCGCAATGGGAATACTTCTGATGCCGAGAAGCTCTGCAAAGCTTATACCCTGGATGGCTTCTTTCTCCTCAACCTCACTGATGTAGAGTAAGGGAGAAAGTTCATCGCAACAGTTGAGGCAACGTTCGAATTGCAAGAGGAGTTTTCAAGTTGGATCTAGATGTGAAGAAGCAGTCTGTAGGGGGGAAATTTTTAGGGTAAGCAAGCCACCTAGGTCAGCCTTTTCCGCGTTGCTCAAGAGCGCTGCAGATACAAGCCTGAGGGCGCAGCCAAAAGCGATCTCAAGGGTCGCCCCGACCGCTTCAAGATGTGGACTGCACAGATAGAAGACAGACATCCTTGACATGGGCAAGCAGAACCCCGCACCAGAAGTCACATTGTAATCGCAACATCCATGAGGAGTTTGTTCGGGGCGCGAACGCGACCCAAGATCTCGTGCTGGCTTCACTGGAGTCGTCGTTACAGATGCAGCCGGGCGCGCTTATCGATATGCATCACATCGACCTCTAGAGGATGGGCCAGTACAGGATGATATGCTATTATCCGCAACCAGAGCATGACCGACGTAGCAGCTTGGTGCCGCACTGTGACTTTGGTAGCATGACGACGTTGTTCAACATGCTTGGTGGGCTGCAGTTTCTTCGCAACGGAAAGACCCTGAAGTCGAGAGTGACTAGCTCTATATACAACCTCTTTTTGGTCATGCGATCATTGAAATTGGAGATATACTGGTGGGTCTTGTGAACGGCGCGTTGAAGTCGCCAATGCATCGCGTAGTATACCCGCCTGGGGACTAAGCAAGCTTGACGTGGTACTCGTTGGCATACTTTGCAAGACCGGAGGTTAGGACTGTTGTGAGGCGTCTTGAGGGGGGCAGTATCCTAACTCTGAAGGAGGGTGAGACGGAAGATAACCTCGAGGCCAGAGATTGGTTCGTGGCGAAGATAAAGTGGATAATTGAAGGAAGATCCAAGTCGTAACTAGTGAGAAGACCTATACAAGGCGATGGCGAATCATCTATGCACACAACCATTGTAACGTGTAAGCATGGCGTGAAACGTCGGAGCTAGCTGTTATCTCGGAGTGTCCAGGGCGCATCCCGAACGCCGAAGGATTCATGCTGGCCAATGAAGAGGCAGACAGCTCTCCGCAGCAGCGTATGTGGACGACGCTCAGGTGTATACAAATATAACCCTTGCCACGATCCTGACCACCATAATCTATCCTAGATTAGGATATTCAGAAATCAAACAAAGCACAGTGTAGATATGGAACAAATGCTTCCCGTTCCGTCTCCCGTCTCATCGTATTGGCTTAGTCAACCGCACAAATTCAGCAATCTACGATCAACAACCGAACTACCCACACAATGTGAGGTTGCAATCATTGGTTCTGGAATGGCCGGGATCACCACTGCCTACCATCTCTTCAACCAAAAGCAACCACCGTCAAGTGTTGTAATAATCGAGGCTCGCGAGTTGTGCTCCGGTGCAACCGCCCGCAACGGAGGACATTCGAAGATCAAGCTTTCCACGCTTGCAAGCCAAGTATCAAATCTGGGCCAAAGTGGGGTAGACGAGCTGCAAAAGTTCGTGCAAGGCGTTATCGCGAGCTTAAAGCAAGTGGCTGAAGATGAAGAGCTGGACTGTGAGCTTGAGATCCGCCGGAGTTTTGACGTGCAATTGGATGGTGAAGATGCGGCCTCTTTGAAAGATATATTTCAGGCTAGCAGAAAAGCAGGCCATACCTGGACGAAGGATGTCGGCTTCGCTCTACCACGATTTCTCGAGCAAGTGACTTCAATCAAGGGCGCAAAGGCGGCTGAAAGTGTTCCTTGTTGCTCGCTCTGGCCGTACAAGTTTGTGGCACAATTGCTGGAGCGCCTTGTTGCTCGGTATCCGGGGCAGCTGAACGTGCAGACGACAACACCAGTCACGGCCGTGTCTGTGCTGGCAGACGGGACAAACGCAATCACTACGTCGCGAGGGGTTCTGAAAGCGAAGAAGTTGGTGTTCGCGACGAATGCGTACACAGCTGGTCTCCTTCCGCAGTTCAAGGATGTCATTGTGCCAGTACGCGGCATGGCGTCGCATATTGTGCCGAAGGTCCCGGTGCATCCACATCTTTCCCATACCTACAACATCACTTTCAGTTCTGGCCAAGCAGCCGACTACCTCAACCCGCGGCCAGATGGAAGTATCGTTGTTGGTGGAGGAGGTTCGATGTTCAAGTCTGACCGGCCATCATGGTTTAACAATTTCGACGATTCGACTCGGTTCAGCAGCGAGGTAGAAACGTACTGGGACAACTACATGCAGCGCGTGTTTCTTGGCTGGGAGAACAGTGAAGCAGAGGCGGAGAAAGTTTGGACTGGAATAATGGGCTCGACGCCGGATGGCTGGCCACATATCGGACGCGTTCCCGGCCGAGAGAGCCAGTGGGTACTTGCTGGATTCAATGGCGGCGGCATGTCGTTCATTCCGACTGGTGCGAAAGCGGTAGCAAAGATGGTAGCAGAGGACAGCGACTTGGTCGATGTAAAGGACGAGTTCGGCATACCGGACATCTTTGCAACGAGCACAGAAAGGCTACGAAAAGCATTCACGGAGACACGATGAAGCGCCGGATGATTCAGATGCTGTTGAGGTGGTTGTTCGGTAGCTTTCACACCGAACCTCTGGGCGCGCCTGCCCCGCTAGGCCCCTCCAAATGACGCCAGTGGGGTCGAGAGCTATCGTGATCTTTCACAATTTTAGTACCCTGGCCCAACATGGCGCTCCATCTGTAGCTGTCTGCACTCCTGGATTTAGGTAATGCCGTCTCGCGCTCAGCCACCTAGGCTCATTGCGCATGGGGGTGGCTGGCTGGCTACTTAACCGCCTGCCTGCCCCTGCGCATGTGCAATTCTAAGCACTTCCTCATACGACCTATTTTCTCTGCAAAGCATATACCTTCACGATGTCTTCCGGCAAGACCGTCACTCTGAACACGGGCCACAAGATCCCGTACGTTCCAGCATTTTCCTGCTTGGTTGTTGACGCCCGAGTGTTTACTGATTGCCTCGCAGACAATTGGGATATGGCACCTGGCAAGCCGCTCCTGGCGAAGTCGGCAACGGTGTCTATGAAGCCTTGAAGATTGGCTACCGCCACCTTGTAAGTCAACCCTCCCAGCAATTTGGAAACATGGCTGATTTGTGCTTCCAGGATCTTGCGAAGATGTACGTACCTTCTGGTTGCCGTTGCACCCTTCCTACCTCGCCGCCATCGGGCGCGCCCACTACTGTGACAACAAAACATGCAGACCCTGGGTTGTTGGGCTGGATTGCCCCGCGGTGGGGTGGTGGGGTAGCTTAGAAGCTATGGCTTCATGCATTCGGAGAAATTGAGCTGACAATATTTTCCACCAACCAGCTACGAGAACCAGAAGGAGGTCGCCCAAGGTATCAAGCGCGCCTTCAAGGAGTTTAACATCAAGCGTGAAGACGTCTTCATTACCTCGAAGCTTTGGAACACTCAGCACGACCCCAAGACTGTGGAGGCCGCCCTCGACGATACTCTTGCCGAGCTTGAGCTGGAGTACCTTGTATGTCTACGATTTGTGGCCGCAAATTGCTGCAACACATGGCTTACAACACAGTAGGACCTCTACCTCATCCACTGGCCCGTCAACTTCGGCCCGGGCAAGGATCCCCACTCCGATCTCTTCCCTGCGACCTCCGACCCCAATGAGGTGAACATCGACAACTCCATCCCCAACAGCGAGACATGGAAGGCTGTGCACGCGTTGCCCAAGAGCAAAGCCCGCTCTACCGGCGTGTCCAACTTCACTGCTAAATCGCTCAAGGAGCTCGTTGACAAGACGGGTCTCGTCCCCGCCGTCAACCAGATCGAGCGCCACCCTATCCTCCCTAGCGACGAGCTCATCGCGTACGCGAAGGAGAAGAACATTCACATCACCGCCTATTCCGCCTTCGGTAACAACTTCTTCGACATTCCTCTTCTCATTACCCGGCCTGAGATCAAGGCCATTGCCGAAAAGAAGGGTGCTACTCCTGCACAGGTTATCCTTGCATGGAGCCAGATTGGTGGACACTCGGTCATCCCCAAGTCGGTGACTGCGTCTCGTATCGCGGAGAACTTCAAGGAAATTGAATTGGATGAGGAGGACGTCAAGGCGATCAAGAAGTTCTCGGATGAGCACCAGGGTAGGAGGAGGTATAACGTTCCTTACACAGCGAACAAGCCTCGCTGGAGCATCAACATCTTCGACGAGCCTGAGGAGCAGGAAGCCCCCAACAAGTATATCATCTAAACGGAGTAGATTGTTTTCGCACGAGAGCCGCTCCGCGGGTACCTGTAATTGGAGAAAGCTGTCACAGTAAGTGCTCTGTGTCAAAAGCTCGCCTGCAAAGGTGTTAGTTCTATCCAAGTAGCATTGTCGTAAAGAATTCAAAGAAGAGCCCAGCAGATGCTTGTCGAATGTGTTGAATGCTTGTCGGGTGACTGTCACCCGTGGGCCGCTGCCAATGTACTTGGCAAAGCATCTTTCCCAGCCCGTTCCCTTCAACATGAAAAGTGTGCAGCAAACCTTTCGTTGTCGAGCAGGCGAGTCATTACCGACCTGCCTGTTCGAGTAGTCTTCGCTTCCATCTGACGCTCTCATTGGCCGAGCCTGCGAACACCACGACTTCCCTGCGATGTCGCAATCGCCTCCCAGATCACGACGGTGGACCATGCAATCTCTGGGATCTAATAAAGGCCACGAGCGCAACATGCAGAGATATCACAGCAAGCACATTGCCAGTCGGCGTACACGATGGCAGCCTCCGACGCCGCCGTGAAACGTCCCTCCATCGAGGATGTGTCGCTCCCGACGTCCAAAGCTCCATCGACCACCACTGTCCCGCGAAAATGGTATCGCTCGAGTTTCTTCAACGCCTTCGTCATTGGTGGTGTAGGTTTCCTGGCACCTGGTCTGTGGAACGCGATGAACGATCTCGGAGCCGCCGGCGCTCTTGACCCATATCTTGTGAATGCGGCCAACGCTCTGATTTTCGGCATCATGGGCTTCTTGTGCTTGTTCGGCGCACCGATTGCGAACAGGATTGGATTGGCGTGGACTCTGTTCTTGGGTGCTGTGGGGTATCCGATTTACTCAGGCATGTTACTTCCACCGAGGCAATTCTTCGAAGGCTAATCATTGGTAGCGGGTCTGTACACCAATAACCGCTATGGCAACGTCTGGTTTGTCCTGGTGGGCGCGGTTGCATGCGGTGTCAGCGCGGGTCTATTCTGGGTCTCTGAAGGCACCGTCGCCCTTGGGTATCCCGAGCCTGGCAAACGCGGAAAATACATGAACATGTAAGTTGCTTCTCAGCTCGACAGCAAAGACCACACACTCACCGTTAAAAGCTGGCTGTGGTTCCGCACCGGCGGCCCGATGGTCGGCGGCGCCATTGTGCTTGCACTGAACCACTCCGCATCAGCGAAAAAGAAGGGGAAGGTAGGCTATCAAGCCTATCTTGTGTTCATCGCTCTACAATGTATCGCGTGCCCACTTGCGCTTGCGCTCAGCCCTCCAGACAAGGTTCAGCGAAGCGATGGCTCCAAGGTCATCATCAAAGCGGAGAAGTCATTCAAGGACGAAGTCAAAGCATTGTGGCGCACTTCCAAACGCAAAGATGTCCTGATGTTGCTTCCGGTCTTCTATGCTGCGTACTTCAATCAGTACTCCGGAAACTTCAAGGTACTTTATCATCCGAGCAGCGCTCTCTTTGTCCGGCGTCGCTGACCAGTATTAAGACGTACTATTTTGGTGTTCGCGCGAGAGCGCTTATCGGTTTCGTGGGAAACTTTGGCACTTTGCTATCATCCCAGCTGATCAGCATGTTTCTAGACTACAAGAAACTGTCTGTTAAACAGCGTATCACCTTCGGCTTCTACTACGTCATTGCGCTGCATATCCTCGCCTGGACCTACGGCTGGGTCATACAGGAGAAATACACCCGAAATCCACCAGCAATGGATTGGGAGGACTCCGGATTTACTGAAGGCTTTTTCGTGATCATACTTTGGGACTTTGCACGTCAATCGCTCCAGAACTGGCTGTACTATCTTCTTGCGACGAAGACGGACAATATATCTGAGCTATCTCGATTTTCAGGAATTTTAAGAGGCCAAGAGAGTTTTGGACAAGCCGTGTCTTTCGGCTTGAACACGAAGAAATGGAAAGGTGGCAGGGTGCCATTGGCTGTGAACACAATTCTTCTAGGTCTAGCTGTGTATCCGACTTGGCTAGTAGTAAAGGATCACGTACCCGTCGAGGCAGCGGATGGGATCGCCGAGGAAAACATGATCGAGCAAGCACCAGATCTGGAAGCTAAGAAGACATTTGCGAAAGGAGAGGCTGCCGGATCGGGGAACCTATGAGTGGATGTTGGAGGAAGGTGACGGAGGCCTTGGGATTTGGGTCGACATCAGAATGCGCTACCGGTAGCTGACTCATCACCACAACCCTCTTAACATCGCCTTCATTCCATTCTCCACATTCTCCATCAAAATTTGTGCGTATGGGTTTTATTGCGTCAAGAACAATTCCTCACTGTTGCTCGAAAGAGGAGCCCTTCTCATTATGGCTTCGACTACCCCAATGATGGGATAGCAACTTCTGACGTGCGCGGCACTTACGAGGCTCATGACCAATTAAGCCCGTCACAGTGATTTGCACGAGGTGCAGGCGAAAAAAAAAACTCATGCTTCCAAGCAGCTGTGCACGCACCATATTAACAGCTCAGACAAGACGTACCAACGTTTCGCGACCGCGCCTAGGCCGCCGCGCCGCGCAATCTGTGGAGCTCTTTCATGCCTTGGGAAACGAAACAACCTGCTTGGCTCATACGTCTCCCCAAACCTCACGAAACAGGCCAATGGTTTGATCTCTGCCAGACATTGATAGTTGGCAATGGCTAGTGAAACCGCCCTATGTACTCATTTTTAGCTTGTACGCGTCCAGCATGACATACACGCCTTACGAAGGCCTTGCGCGTGCAATTTTTCTCCGCAGCCTCAGTTGCACCAGTGTGGGAACACTCTCTCCGCCGCGCTATCCCTGCCGAGAGAACATGCTGAAAGCTCACAGCCCCATGGAACATATGTATATAGTCGACTTGAAAAACCACGGACGATAATACCATCCTTCAATCACTCCAACTTTCTGCAGCGCATAAGTCCAACCCAAAATTTCGTCACTCCAACGTACAATATCTATCTTTTGGACTCTTTGTGTCACGTCGCGCATCATGGTCAACTTCACCCGCCTTACTTGCCTGCTGGCTATCGCCAGCCTCACCTCATCCCAATCCCTCTCCTCCTCCGCAGGATCCAGCAAACCTTCCAGTGCAACCTCTAGGCGAAGTGGTATCGTCAAAGGGTCAAATCGTCCGGTCACATCTGGAGTGGCTGCGCCCACCGGCGGTCAGACAAACTCTACCTCGGCACCACCTGATTCACTTCTTCCACCACTCTCTCTCCTGGACAGCAAATTGAGAATTCGACAAATTCAACATCCTCAAGTGGAGACTAGGGTTGGACCTCCACTTTCCGGGCCCGTCCCTGGCGGAACAGCAGCCCCTCTCCCTTCCAGCGACGCACCAAGTGCGACAAGGAGATTCACTGGTATCTCGCGTCGTCAACAAGCTTCTTCCAATGCATCACAGGGCAGCAGTCTACCAGCGAAGCCTTCAAATCCACGTCCTTCCGGGCCACCATCATCCGGCGTGCCTTCAGCTGATCCTGATGTCCAGGAGCAGAAATTCTCCAAGCTGCCACCTAACTTTGACTCGATCGCCAGAGCCACACCTCGCGCTACTAAGGCTATTGCACAATTTGTGTGAGTGGGGATTTCCAAACCTGACCTCGCTACACAATATTTTGATGGTGACAGAGATCGTGAGAGTTTTGAGCGGATTTGAAAATCATGTATGTTTTTGCCGCGTCTGTATGGATCTCTTCCAGAGCCGAAGATTTGCGGGGAAATGTGCTGGCTGCATTGCCACACGTTTACGTTGGAATCGCTAAGGATCGCCCCGAATCGACTACGCTGTTGCATATGCTCTTCCATTTCTTGGCGAAAGCCCTGAGGGGTGCTTATCAATTCCAATGAACTGAGCTCGGTCACGGTCATGATTTACGGTCTTCTGTTAGGATCTGACTTTGCTTATGGTCAGCTCTGTAGGTACTATGCATGCAATAGAGAGGCGGAGCACGTAGGAAATTCTCAACCTCTGAATGCTCGGAAACTTTCATTCCATGAGCACCGACAACCGGTGCACTGCCTCGTTATGAGGAATCGTAAGACGCTCGAAACACAATTCTGCGTCGACCACCACAATGGATCCCGACTCCAGATCTCCTACACGAGCCTTCTACATATGGGCAGGCAACGCCACATGATTCGGAATTAGGATATAATGACTTTTCCAGCAAGCCTCTACGCACGGCTACGTACCATTGTTCGCGATGCTCCGATGGCGCTAATGGCCTCTTGGGAATAGCGCAGCATCCAGTCTCACTGATCTAACTCGATGAGGAAGCATTCTGCGCCGTGGGCTTTAGATCATGCCTTGTAGCGTGCGATCACTTTGTGGACATTTGCAAGTACCGGACGGACGAGCGAATCTTGAGCGTGTAATGTCCTAACTCCTTTGTGGAGTTTGGATCCCCAAGACCTTTCGAAGGCTGAAATATCGCATATAAAGCCTCGGTCTGACCCAGGACAACAAACTCACATCAATCAATCATACACTATCCTCATTCAGACTTGTACAACTCAAACTTTGTATCCTCTGAGTTCTGAGATATATATTCATTATGGTTGCATCCTTTCCCCAACGCAAAATCGGCGGCACATCCGTGTCTGCTCTCGGTCTTGGTTGCATGGGCATGTCTATGTCAGCTCTGACTGGCGAGAAGCGCGATGATGAAGAAATCTTCAACACCCTCACTACTGCGGCCGATATGGGTATAACCTTCTGGGATACTAGCGACTTCTACCTCGACAACGAGGAGATACTTGGCAACTGGTTCAGTAAGACAGGTCGCCGCAAAGAGATCTTTCTCGCGACCAAGTTTGGCTGCAAGCATGGACCGGGGGGTTTGGGAGATGTCCAGATCAGTGGAAGTCCGGAGTATGTGCGGGAGTCCATCGAGAAGAGCCTGAAGACGCTAGGTACAGATTACATCGACTTGTATTACGTTCACCGGATTGACCCTCGCACGCCTATCGAGAAGACAGTGGAAGTCCTCGCCGAGCTTAAGCTAGCAGGGAAGATCCGCCACATCGGTTTGTCGGAGTGCTCATCACGAACTCTGGAGCGCGCGAGTAAGGTGGCCAAGATTGATGCTGTACAAATGGAGTTTTCGCCCTTCGCTATGGAAATCGAGGATACCGGCTTCAAAGACGTGGCGCGGAAGCTTGGTGTCACGATTGTGCCCTACTCACCTTTGGGTCGTGGTTTCTTGTCGGGAGCAATCAAGAGCAGAGCCGATTTTGGACCTAACGATCCTCGGCCTCGTATGCACCCAAGGTTTTCAGAGGAGAACTTCCCGGGAAATCTCAAGTTGGTTCAGATCTTCGAGGATATCGCAAAGGAAAAAGGCGTCGCTACTGGACAGGTTGCGCTAGCTTGGGTTCTTGCGCAGGGAGATGGTGAGGAGACTCAAGTCTTGATTGTTGCGATTACTGACCAAGACTTGCAGATTTTATTCCGATTCCAGGCACGAAGCGAGTCAAATATCTGCTTGAAAACGCTGGTGCAGTCAAGGTCAATTTCACTGATGAGGACGAGAAGCGAGTGAGGTCAGGCTTGGACGCCATTGGCGGCGCAAAAGGCGCGCGCTATCCTGAAGCTAATCTCGCTGGATGTTTCGGTGACAGTCCCGAGCTTGGGAGCGTGTAAAGACATGCTATAATGCATCTATGATTGTATGGTGGTTCTTCGTACCTGCCATCCAAGGCAACCCAATAGTGACTATTAGGTACACATGGTAGCACCTACCATTAGATAGCCCCTTCCATCGCAAGACGATAATGTTTGTCTTCAGTAGCGGCTTTACAATCTTCCCTCCTCGCCCACACCCACTTCATACCAGTCTTACCGCGTGACCACTAACGTGCATTTGTTTACACTATCTTTCCTCGATATATCCCGACATGACTTGGCCAACTCTGCTCCTGCGCGAGCTCGCTTGCGAGGCTTTGCTGCGATATGCTGACCGATGGGGGCTGTTTGATTCTTCGGATTCGGGATCTTCAGAGCCAACTCAAAATAGCGACATTCGGACGAAGAAGGCCATACATCCTCCACATGAGATCCCCCGCGAGGGACTTAAGAACAGGTATGTTAATCATAGGGCCATTTTATTACAGTATCAGGAGAGAATTTCGAGCACAATGGGCCTACGTATTCGTACTCCGGGGCAACGCACTATGCTCAGACTTTTTGTCCTATTCATATAGCTCTGCTAATAGCACAGTCAAGGAGGCGCATATTCGCTGACAGTGATACACAGATTCGGAAATCTCGTTACACTACGGGCGGCTGTAGGCCTAAGTCCCAATCTCGCTGACCTCACACGTGCATGCGCCCATACCAACGAGCGGCCTCGTGAACAGTCCCTCTCCTACTTTTCACAAGGGTCTGCACCGCCTGTGACACCGAAGCGCTCTTCGACACTCTCCGGATATCTGGGCGGGAAAGGTTCTCGGATTCCAAGCTCTACTAAACAAGCACTTACCCGCGCGCATATGTCCGTCCTCCATGCTCGCCGTCTTGCGTTAGCATATGCAGCACACGGTTTTCCCTATGGACAGAGAGGGCTTCCCTCCATCAGCCTGAGCGGAAAGTCGCTCGCTTGCAACACTGTAATTTCTTCCGCTCGGGATGGTTCTTGGAAAGATCCAGAAAAACTGGCCAATGAAAGGCAAAGGCAGTGGAAAAGGCAGGACTGCAAGCCGGTGCCTTCGCTCTTGAGCCGGGTCCAGGATGTGCGTGTGGCGAAGCGCTCGTTGAAAGAATCCACCCCGCGGTTGTAGGCCGTCAGAGGCAACTACGGTTCTGTGTTTCCGGGTTAGTTCAACGTTTTTATCCTTGTTCAGCCACCGCTTGTCTAGCGTGCGTGAAATGGTGGGGCTCCACAATCTGCTGCGTCGGAATGCTAGAGACTCGCTACGAACACGAACTGCATGCGTGACAACTTACCGGTATATCTCACCATGTTCTCCCACTTCACACGCGTCGCGTACTGCAGCACAATTTGAGCCTTCCGAACCCGAGTGTGATGATTATACGGTTCTCTTGTTCAGTTGGATCGACACGTCTGGTTTCCACCTACCAATGTGCAGCTGACAATCTGATGAGGATCGTTCTAATGGAAATGGCCGCAAAACTCTTCACAGTACTTTTCGCTTTGAATCTTCGATTTCCTTTACCAGGCGGCCTCGGCATGGCCAAAGAGCAGATTGCATTTCTAGATTATTCCGCGAATTGTACAGTTATATGTGGATCATTACTATGATTCTCAATTCTACCCGGACGATATGATCTTGTAAGGACATGATCGCTCATCTGACCGGGGAAGTCTCGGCGTGACATTAGCCTAATGAGGGAGAGATAATATATCGTAGACCGCCCAGAGCATCATCAGCCGTACAGAGGCTGTATTGGGAACACTAAAGTCTCCATACCAGATCGTCAGTCGCACAGACCATGTTTCTGTAATTCATGCCGGCTCCAGAAACTGGATATCGGCAGCAATACCCCATGGGATTTAATCAAGGGCTGTTGTAAGGTGTCACAGTCTCCACATTGCAAAAGGACCGGACATATTCCGTGTAGAGATGAGTCGCTATTTTGAGCAAAGGTAATTGTGGTAGCTGCTTGTTAACCCGAGTTGTATCCAGAGTGCGGTATAAAGAGCGTCAGGCTCGGTCTCTTAGTGCTTTGTTCTCTACCACAGACGTCAAGAAACATTCAGCCAGCATGAAGTTCTCAGTCATCGCACTTCTCTCTGCCAGCGCCCTGGTCTCTGCCGCCCCCGTAGCAGAGCCAGCCCTCGATGAACGTCAGGCTGCTCAGAGCATCCATGAAGCCATGGTTGCGAAGGGAAAGAAGTACTTCGGTACGTGCGCTGACCAGGGCCGTCTGAACACTGGCTCCAACTCGGCCATCATCAAGGCGAACTTCGGTCAGGTCACACCTGAGAACAGGTATGTGCACCCATATCCTGTCTGAGAGCTGGAACTATACTAACGCCAGAGCAGCATGAAGTGGGATGCCACCGAGAGCTCCAAGGGGAACTTTAACTTCGGCCAGGCTGATCAACTCGTTTCGTTCGCTACCACCAACAACAAGCTCATTCGTGGTCACACCACCGTCTGGCACTCGCAGCTCCCAGGCTGGGTCTCATCTATCCGCGATAAGGCCACCCTCACCCAGGTTATGCAGAACCACATCACCACACTCTTGACTCACTTCAAGGGCAAGGTCTACGCCTGGGATGTCATCAACGAGATGCTCAACGAGGATGGCTCCTTCCGCTCGTCCGTCTTCTACAATGTGTTGGGCGAGGATTTCGTTCGCATTGCCTTCGAGACGGCCAAGGCTGCGGACCCAGACGCAAAGCGGTACATTAACGACTACAACTTGGACCAGGCGAGCTACGCAAAGACGCAGGGTATGGTGCGCAACGTGAAGAAGTGGATCGCAGCGGGCATCCCGATCGACGGTATTGGTTCTCAGGGCCATTTGACCTCCGGCCAGGGCGCCAACGCGCCGGCTGCCATGGCCGCGCTGTGCGGTGCGGCGTCCGAGTGTGCACTGACCGAGGTCGATATCCAGAATGCGTCTGGATCGGACTGGACCAACGTCGTCAACGCGTGCATGCAGCAGAAGAACTGTGTGGGCATCACTGTGTGGGGCGTGCGGGACAACGACTCATGGAGACCGCAGGGCAACCCGCTGCTGTTCGACTCGTCGTACAAGGCGAAGTCGGCGTACACCACTGTGTTGAACGCTATCAACGCGGCGTCTTCATCTTAGGGATGAGGCATGTATATGTATATATATTCGGTCGCTTGTATATAGTTCTTGTCAGTCGTGATGTGGGGTCTCGTCAGACGCGCGCTGCTCCTCTGTCATTCCTCCTTCATGGGCTCGTCGAAATCAGACCCTTTCGAAGCGCGAATCATCCCTAAGCCGGCCCTCATGCTTGCGCCTTCCTCCACTTGCCTTGTCCAGAATACATCCGCGGCTGTCATTCTCACGCTCTTCCTGCGCTCCCGCTCCACGACGTCCAGGTGGCCTCGCTTGGCGGAACTGGCCTCTAGCTCGTCCAGGTGTTTCTTTCTCTCGGCATACCGCTCAGACCTTTCTTTCCGGATGTGCTCTGAGCCAATGGCATGTAGCGCCCACCGCACCCCGGCTCTGAAGCCAAGGAAGATGTGCTCCGAAGCAAAAATAGTGATTGGGAGCGACCACCACGTGTTTAACCCGTAACTAGTGGAGTTGCGAAAACCAAAGAGATGCACAATCGCCGCAGACGTCAAGCTTCCGAGCCACGTCAAAGCCTCTAAACTTGCGACCCAAGGCCCGATGCCATCGTTTCGGACGGGAGCTGGGCGCTGGTGCTCAATGGTGATTTTGATGATGTCTGCGCGAAGCTCGAACCAATTGTTGATGAAAAAGCCGATGGGGATGAGAGGCCATACGGGGCTGAAGAGCGCGAGATAGCCGAACTGCAGCACCATTTCTGAGATATCTTCGTGAACGTCGTAATGTGCGAGTGCTGCCTGTCTGCGAACGCGACGGAGGAATCTAGCCTCTACGGGATCATCACCTTTGACGAATCTAGTTTGACCGCCTACGAAGGTATGTGATGTACGGTACGTGCGCCACCAGTCGCGGGCGTTGGTTTTGAGGTATGGTAGGGCTAGTTCTTCGATTGCGCTTGAGACTTGACCTGTCACGGTAAAGGTTATGACTTCGTTACGAAGTTTGTTCGGATCGACGTGGAAGACGAAGTTCGGGTCTGCAGCTACGCCTGCAATGGATAAAATGTAGGTCCGGAGATGTGGGATAAAGGTTTCGCCGAATGGTACGTAGACGAATGCAGTAAGGAAGATGGGCAAGTAATTCGATATGGACTGTAGCACAAAGATTTTCTGCGTGAGGGACATCTCGTAGTAGTCTTCCGTGCGGTGATTTTCGTATTCGGTCAGTTGAGCGGCCAGCTTCTCGAGCCAGTTGTTGATAAATGGAAGCAAAAGAGCAAGCATAACAGTGGGGACATATTCCTAAATATGGTATGGTTAGCGTGTAAATCACCGCGCCGGATGAGGCCAGACTCCGATGAGGTACAGACGTGTCACCGGCCTCGCGTCCGGGATCATAATAGTAACTTACGAGGTAGTAATCATACGGCCCATCATATCCTTCAACGATGAAGGTCTCAAGCGCGAAGACGGTACCGATGACGATGGTGAGAAATATAGTACTCAAAACCAGGAAAGGCACGACTGCCAGCTGTCTGACAATCCGTTTCCATCTAGGAAAGTAGTGCTGTACTCGGCCCGCGTCGTCCACCACTTCTTTCTCATACTGGTACTGAGGTCTGTTGACCTTCAATTTACCGACGCCACGTACGTTCCAGCGGATCGACAAATCGACTTCTCTGATCTTCCAGTACTCCAGAAATACTGTGCACCAGATACAAATGACCACCGCGAACGCCAGTGAGTATTTGGGCAGGAAAGCCCAGGCCAACACTCCAGCTACACAGGGAAAGGCCAGGGAGAGAAAGTAATCATGTATGAAGGCAAAGTAGAAAGCCACTTTGCTGCCCCATAGGTCGCGTATCTGATCCAGGTCGTCCGAGGTTAGGAAGAACTTTTTACTCAAGTGTACTAGGAGCTTCTGGTTCCTGACAGGGTTGTGCCTAAAAGTTGGAGGTACAAGTTATTGATGGGTACCTTTCATGATACGTTGGGGACGGAGAGGGGAAGAGGGTCAAGCTATAGGCCAGAGGTGCGTAAGCAATACTAGAAAACTCCTAATATTGCTTGCACCTAGCATCTAGAACCTGTACCCCAAGTCACGTACAAGGGGAAAGCGGATGGGATATTCTCCCATTTGCCAAATCCTGGGGTGATGCCCGCACCACCTAGCTCCTTGCTCCAGGTCACCAGATGGTACAACGATTGCAAGTCTTCGGCTTCGTTGGCTCCGGCTACTATGGAGTTAGAATTACCCCCTGGATGTTTCTTCGTAATCCCATATAGCCAGTCCTTTACTCTGTGATGGATTAGAAATTTTGACAGACTTCGAACATGGAATGCGCATATGGTCAAGCCACGCCGGATTCTTAGAGAGAATCCAGCCCTGTAAATGCATCTGAAACCATCTAGATTGGGGCGCTGCTTACCGCGAATGGTGCACGGTGTTACCAAGCACTTCGCGTGGTGCTTGTACAAACACGAGAAGCGACTCATCGTAGCCAGCACGGACCTCCGTCTGCAAGCCCACTGATTCAAGGTCATTCAATAGCGCAGACAATTGCTTGGAGGCCTCGGAAACATCTGAATGGAGTCAATGATGCCGAACGGGCTGTCAAGTTGAGGGACCAACCTAAGCTACTGAAATCGAAAACGATGATGTACTTATCGTTGTAGGCAATGTAGGCACTGCTAGGGTCGTCCAACCCAAGCGTGTCTGCTCTCCTCAGAGGGCTGATCTCAAGGATCTTCTCAGGGATCTTTTCAGGAACCTGCGGGATCCGTAGTGACATTTGGGGCAACTGAGCTGTTGTTCGGGGGCGTCGATATGGCGGCGTGTCCTTGCCGCGCGGAATTGAGGTACGTGGGCTGCTTCTTCAGCCTAGTCTCGGGGAACCGGCACGGTCGGCAATGGGTCCAAGCTATGGGTTGTCTCAAACGGGTTTGATTGAGTTGGAATGGATTGATAGTGAATGGAAGGATACTGCATTGACATAGAAAGCGTGTCTAAGTGTCGTGGAGAAGAGCTTGCGCTGAAGCGCTGGGTCCCCTAGCATGGTGGGGGCTCAAGCTGACGCATCGGCGCGTCTAGGACTTGGAAAGCAGTCATATCGTACCACTGGTTTACCCGTTTATGAAAGCACTCGCATCGAACCTCGCCCTCGTTTGATTGAGGATACAGACACCTGTCGCCACGCGTGGTGGAAAGGCAGCCAAGGCGGCTGGGGACCCTGTGCGGTAGGTACCCGCGTGTTCACGTGCGCATGTGTCAAAGCGGCTTAGCGCAAGAGATGACGTAACGGAACTGTTGATTAGCGTCCCCGCGACGTGTTGCTCAAGTCTTCAGCCAGTGCTTCTTTTACAGTCGAACAATTGTCTTTGTGTATATTTGAAGCGGACAAAGACCACGATGCGAACCTCACACTATATTTATAAGACCCAGCGATGATAAGAGTACTGATACAGCGCATGGCTCGCCGTTCACTTCCCCTTGACATTAACACGTTCCCGCTGTGAACATAGCATTATAACATTCGCATAGAATCAAACAACCTCAATGGCCCCCCGAGAAGTTACTGTCAGCCCTAAGACTGCGATGCCGAAAGACTATGCTTTCCTCAAGAAGGGCATTCAGTACAAGACACTACACTCCCGTCGGCTTACACACGAAGCAGGCAAGACTGTGTACGTCGTTGAGAGTAACAAAAAAATTATTGGCATCCGCGTACCCAAAGATATTTTGTCTCGCGTACACGCACAGGCGAACGAGACCCTTGCCGCCCGCAAGCTCGCGACCGCAAAACGCGATACAGCCACCATTCGTCAAGCAGCTGCTGAGCTCGACTCGCAGTTCTCCAAAATACCAGAACATGACAGGGAGCTGGTACTGAAGCACGGCTTCAAGAAGCACTCGGGGCGCGTTGGACGGACAAGGATGATACCCCTTTCGCGAAAAGTGCCGTATGCGGTAATTGCGCACGTTAGGCATAGGCATACCAACTACGACAGGTTGCTAGATAGTGGCATGAGTAGGGACGCTGCGAGGAAGAAGATCCAGAAGAAGTTGCAGGACACGCTGAGACAATGGGGCAATAAGCAAGGTAGGCGATCAAGCTCTAAGTGAGCTAGGCTTTCGCTGACGGTGGGAGATCTTTCTTGGTACTTTGAAAGCAGTAGACTTACGGAGAGTGAAAGTGACGTAGAAGATCCTTGAAGTAAGTGGGTTCTACATTCGTACAACAATATTTTCTTATCCCAACAGTCATATCGGATTGCTCACATGATTGTCAACGTGCCCTCCTCGCGCATTTCAGTCCCTTAAAACCTCTACTAACCCGCCCTATCTGGCATAGGAGAGCTTCGAGAAATACCCATCCTCGGCCATTTTAACAGCCAATCTCGTGGCCTCATCCAAGTCCTCTACCGGCAGCCCCAACTTCTGATTATCCAGCCCTGCCGTCTTCTCGTACAATGCCGCATCCTCCCCGGGGAAGAAGTACCGCGTATACAGCATGTACGCAAATCCCATCCTATTCCCCTCAGCCATCATCCTCCGCGCATCGTCAAACCGCTGCTTCGCACCAATCCGTTCAATCTTCCAGTCCGCATCGCCCAACCCCATCACGCGATTCACCGCATCCAGCATCTCCCGCTGGTTCACCGCGAACGACGAAATGTTAACAAACCTATTCCGGTACGCGCCTAGTGCCGCTTCCCCATCCTTTTCTGCGTCCACAGGCAGCGCGAGAAGGCTCGCAACCGCCCGCCCCACCTGCGCCCACGTGCTCGTATTCACGCGCTGCGTCCCCTCGTCGAACAACACAACCTCCCGCTTTGCGATGTCGATCCCATACAGCCCCGGCCCGGACAGCGAGTACTCGTACCAGAACCCGCTCACGATGCCGAGCCACGAGCTCACGCCCAGGTCTTCGACGAGCTTGCGGGCTGTCTGCTTCGGCGGCCCCGTGCGCACGTCGTTGGAGGCGGAGGCGTCGGTGTTGTTGCCGTACTCGTTGGGCAGGACCCACGGCACGCGGGCTTCGGCGGCGGCTTTGATCAGTTTCGATTGCGTGTCCGGTGGGGCGCTGACGGCGAGGGTGATGATGAGGGCGTCTTGGCCCTTGAGAGCGGAAGTGAGGGTGGAGGGACTGGTATAATCGACTGGGATCACGGCGATGCCTGCGGGGAAAGATGAAGAGTCGGTGCCGCGGGTGAGGGCTGTGACCTTGAAGGAGGGATTCTTGAGGAGGGCGCCTGTGATGTGCTTGCCCAGTTGGCCTGTTGCGCCTACGATGGCGATATTGCGGATGCGGTCTTGAGCCATTGTTGCGTAGCGGGCAGTGTGTTCTCGCTTATGTTTGATGAATGATTGGAAAGTGCGACGGTTCTGGGTTCTGTATATCAGAATGAGGGTATGGTGGTGGGCTATTTTGAATGGTTTATATAGTGTACTGACTTCATCGCAATGTCACAGCGATCCTAAGCTTAACCCCGGCCTTCAGGACGTCTTCCATTCCTCTCGACCACAATACGCATGTCGCACGAATCTCTTCTGCGTGACACATCGACCAGTTCGTTCTTTATCCAATGACCGGACAGGCTCATAGAGTCGCGTGGCAGAGCTTATGGCACAGAGTATGAGATGTTCACCTTGTCGGGATCCAGTGCGGCGCCGACGCCGATCCAACTAGCTTAAACGTGCCGCTTTGGGTCGGTTTTCGGGCCCGAGAGTGTTTAGCGAGAGTATGTACGGGCTTGGGAGAAGTGATGTAGTCGTCGGGTACGGAAAAGATGGAATCGGAGTTAAGGTGTGTAGGTCGTCCGGTGGGCCAGTCGCGTACATCTTCCTCTGCACATGCATGAATCGATCCCAGATCCATGGTAACAACAACGATCAGGTAAGTTTTGCTGGGGCCAAAGATGCTTCAATCACACTATCTATGCTACGCCTTTGACACAGCCAAATCATCTACAACCTCGCTCCCTCCCGTCTATCGATGAAGTTCTCCGCGTCGTTCTTAGCCCATTCTCTCAGTACTTTTCTCTGAATCTTCCCGCTCGGTGATTTCGGGCTGCGGGCTATCAGCATGCATTAAGGAAACGATACATGCAAGCTACTCACACTTCGTCGATGAACACAACGCCCCCAGATAGCTGCTTGTGCTTCGCAACACGCCCCGCTATCCACTTCTCTATATCCCACTCCGAAGATGCGCTCTTGTGCTCCGGCTTGAGCGCAACGTACGCCCGGGGTAGTTCTTCATGATCCCTTCGAGTTTCGTTAGCGCTTTCCAACAGTCCAAGGTATACCGTATGGCTTACAATTGCAACGCGCACACCGCCGCATCAGCCACATGCTCATGCTCCAACAACAAGGCCTCCAGCTCCGCCGGCGCGACCTGGAACCCCTTCACCTTGATCAACTCCTTCTTCCGATCCACGATCCAAAACCACCCCTCCTCGTTCCGCACCGCAACATCTCCCGTCTTCAAAAAGCCCTCGTCATCAAACGTCTCAGCCGTCGCCCGCTCGTTCCGCCAATACCCCATGCACACGTTCGGCCCCTTGACGTGAATCTCGCCGCGCTGCCCGGGCCCGACTTCTTTTCCATCTTCGTCGATGAGCTTCATTGAGCAGTTTGGATCGATGTACCCTACACTGCCGGAGCGGTCGTCGCGGCCGCCGGGGACGTGCAGCGAGGAGCAAGTGACTTCGGTCATTCCCCACGTCTGGACAACCTTCAGCGCAAACCTCTTGGATACCTCGTTCTGCAGCTCTTTTGACAGCGGCGCCGCGCCACATAGGATATTCTTCAGGGAACTGAGGTCAAACTCCCGAGTCTCGGGACGCTTCGCTAGCATCACGAGCACCGGGGGTGCGGTCTGGATGTGGGTTACGCGGTGATTCTGGATGTTTTTGAGAAACGTGGAGTAGTTGAAGGAACGCATGAAGAAGCAGGGTGACAGCGTGCGGGCAGCGGCCACGATGGACCAGAGCTGGCCGTAAGCGTGGTAGAGGGGGAGGAAGCCGAGCCAGCGCTCTTCAGGGCGCGAGCAGGCTGATCTGGAATAGGGCTGCTCGAGGTCGCGCATGAAGAGACTTTGTTCGGTGTTGGCAATCACGTTTTGGTGGCTGATCATGACGCCTTTTGGTAGACCGGTCTGCGGGACGTTAGTGAGATGGCATGTTCCAAAGTCGAGCGGAGGTGACTTACTGTGCCCGAGGAATAGTTCAAGGCAGCAACGGTGGTACGAGATTGGTCTGAATCCATTTGGTCCCAATTCCACGACTCAGCTTCTGAAGCGGAGGGTAGGAAGCTGCGCCAGTCTCTGACGCCTTTCGACGATGCGGCTTCCTCATCGGAGAAGAGAAATATTCGGTCAGTGCGAAACCCTGTTTTACCGGCTGCTTTCAGAAGGGTCTGGAGGAGTGCTGGTTCAACGAGAATGACCTTGCACTCAGTGTTCTTGATCTGATAGACGACCTCTTGGTTACAATTAGCCATTGACCATCAGCATGCATGTAGGGACATGCCTTCGACGCCATATGCGGGATTGCAACCACTGTAGATTAGCCCAGCGCCGGCCGTGCCGAGATATGCAACGGGCACGAATATGTGATTAGTTGAATACATCATGACCACATCTTGTCGGTTCAATCCCAGCTTCTGCAGCCCAGACCCCAACCTCTTGACCCATTGTAAAAGCTGCCGTGGTGACAGAGCATTATTTGTATCATCTGCATCAATCCATATTGGCTTGTCGGATGCTGGCTTTGACGGCGGAAAGAGGTAGGTCAGAAGATCAGTCGCCGGGATGTCTATCTGGAAGGGAGATTGTGAAGGCATCGCTGTAGGGAAAGAACAATGCTGTCATCCGAAGTACACATGCCATCGTGAAGATAATCCGGATGGTAGTCCAAGGCTGGCGTCATGGACAATGGTGCCGAGGTGCAAGTCGAAGCGGGGTCGGCACAGACCATCGGTCCCTGATGAACAAATCGACGTCGACTTGGGAAAGACGCATTGTGAAAGGTGAATGAGACAGGATGCAAATAATGTGTACAGTTGTAGATAATCACGTCAACCAGTTGCGCCATTTTCCCAAAGCGCCAATGTGCCACCAATGCCCACAGTAGCCTACTCCCAGAAGGTAGCCTCCAGCTCGTCACCAAGGGAATACTCGCCGTTGTTTTTGACGATCTCCCTAACCACCACGCCCACAATATCCGTCTTGGTGTGAGTCTCTGGCACATCCAGCCCGCTGTCCCGCCTCTTTCCGCCCTGGCCTTCGTGTCCCACCTCGCGCCGAACCTCGTAGTTTCCGGCACCAATATCGACAAGCCTCGCACGCTTATAGCTCGCGTTCAGGACCTCCCTGATGGCAACCACAAAGCCGGCCTCCTGATTCTCCTTCAGCCACGCCTGCGCCTTGTCGTCCCGCAACACCTTCTCCAGGGCTGCGTCGGCATCCTTCAGCAACCGCACATGCTGAGACTCGGCCTCGATTGTGCCCACTTCTGTGCCCTCCCCAGGCTGCTTCTGTACCATGTACGCGCCGCCGAGCGACTCGATGAAGCGGCCAGACTTGCCATCGAAGCTGATGACATCCTTGTACCATTTGGAGCCGACATCGTCGTAGTCGCGGTGCTCGAGCGTCGAGGGGTCGTGCTTGGAGGTCCTGGAGACCAGCTGACCCACGGAGATGGTCTTGTTGTTCAACGGTTTGGGGAGGAGAGCGAGGTCGGGGATGATGGATGGCGAGAGCGGCGCCTCCAGGGACGACCGGCGCCGTGTGAAGCTCATTTTGGCGACGCTGGAGAGGAATTGAGTCAAATGGACGCGTGTATCGAGCTGTAGTCAGTGGAGCTGGTGCGATTGAAGCTGGTGAGGAGCTACAGCAAGTGAGGGGTCAGTGGCTTTATGTGATCTCATTGTGCGCCCTACGGCGGCAGTGGCCGGACCCAAGCAGTGCTCAGGTCACGCTCATGCTACGGCTGGCGGCGAGTGGTGCCTGCCCAGCCCCACGGTGCGACGAAGCCGGTAGTGGTGTGATGCGTCAGGTGCGAGCTGCTCGCTGCTCGCGTGTGCTGCCGTCGGAAGGTCCCGCTCCCGATGCTGGGATTCGGAGCAGGGGTAGCTCGATTCCGGGCCTTCCCGGACCAGCAATCCCCTCCGCAGCTCACTCGTCGAACCACGTGTCTGGTGCTTCGTTTCCTGAGCTACACCTTCATGTTGGAAAGTGTTGTAATGCAGCAGCTGCAAGACAGGTCCCTGAGGAGCCGGACTTATCGAATGGACAACCACCATTACTCATACGCATCACGTCGGGTCAATTCTGCTTGTTTGGCCCATTTCTCGCTGGTCATGCGAGAGATGTACGGCACAACTACCTAGAAGACGGACCAGTATACATCGCAAAAGTAGCCTGTCAACACATTCAGCCTCCCATCTCTGCCAGATACCCCTTTGACTAGTCAGTCTCGTCCGCAGGATTCTTCACATATGATACTCACCGGACGACTTACTTGTTCATGAGAATCATATACTGGATTGATCCCTCGGATCACCATCATGGACAACCTTGTGGCACCGCTGCCTCTGGCCATCCCTCGTTTGCATGTCTTCCGCGCCTGGCCTGGGGCTATTCACAATCATGGATCTGGGGAGGAGCGTTGACGTCTCGTGGTCAGGCAGGATATATCGGGCACCAATTCTAGTCCCGTGTGTCGAGTACCAAACCGCGAGCATGGACCGTGTCCGAGGTCTTCTTTATAGACGTCCGAAGCGGGGTTGCAAAGCTTCGAGGGCGCTATTCGACAGCGTATGAACAAACAGTCGGGCTGCAAGGGTGCGTCTACTTCACCGATGTCGTCGGGGGGCTGGGCAGTCACTCCGGAGTGGATCCAGAGATCGAGAAGCAAGCACCTCCGACGTATTTACTCGTCAGCCTTGTCTTTCGCATCCAAGGTACCGCACCAAGAAGACGATGTACCTTGCAGCGATTAGTTGTTAAGGGTATGGAGCTATGCGGCAATCAAATTCGGGTAATAACACAGAAACCTAAGTTTTTCTTCTGTCCTACTTCTAATATCCCTTACCATGTGCCCTTGCATGCAGTTACATAATTGTGCCCGGTCTCTGCTGCTCCAACGACATATGACGCTCAAGACCACACAAATACACCCCCTGGGGCAGCAGCCACTAGAGACATCCATTGTTTGAACGAGCACGCTTAGATGTCGATCCTATGCGTGAAAGGTGTGAAGGAAAGCATTCTGGTAGCAAGCCAATGAGATTCGATCGTCCAAAAGCTCTAGAAACTTGCATTCACAGTGGACCACGGTTGGAGGGACGTCAGAACAATAGTGGATGCTATGTGTTTCTCTATGATTCTATCTATCAGGTCTTGCGGCCCATGCGGCGAACAGGACCCAAACCCCTATGCCAAACCCATTCTCCCCATGCCATCTGCCGCTACATTGTGGTTTAGTGCCTTGACCCTACAGGAGTCCGGTTCTGGGTGTGTTGACGACTGGCGACCGAGACGAATGTCTTGTCGGCGAGGGGCACTGTAGCAGTTCGGAGTCTAGCGCGGCTGGTATGGCGGTCAAGGCGATCGATTGTGATGTGCAGCGATATAAGGGTATGGAGGAGAGATTGGGATAAAACAAGAGACGCCAAGAACGCTGCAAGCGAATATGCAAGTCGAGCACGAGCTTGTGCTCTTACAAAGTGATCGTTTGCGATCAAGAGGCCAGTTTGGAGATATCAAAGTCGCGAGCGGATGATAGTCAGTAGAGCTACGCCACTAACATCGAAAGTATGTGCTAATTGCCCTCCCTTGTTGTGTTCGTAAAGATTCTGCCCGGATGCTCGCACGGGTGGCTGAGCGGTGGCACATGAACGATATTCCGGGCATCGCAGTGGAATTCTTCCCGTGACGAGTCCTTTGCGGTGTAGCTTCTCCACCCCCTGCGGTGGATGGCAGTACGACGAGCAACACGGTGGCAAAGTGTTTTATTTATTGTGCATGATGTGCTTGTCCCGGCCCATTGTTGCGTTTTCTGGTATTGATCCTGGGCAGTCGCAAAGAAACAGTGCTTGGGTTGATACGGTGCCTTCGAACTCCGTTGTCATTGTTTGGAAGTTATTCTATAGTCTGCTTCTACTGCTGTCTTGCGACTTCCTACATTGTAGTGCTGCATTATCACACCCCCAGGGATATCTGAGTGGTGGTAGACCAGGCAAAAATCAACCCTTGAATCCATGAACAAAACGCCCTAATAGTACAATTACAACCTGGCAACGTTTCCCTATTCGTAAAACATGGTCCTCCGCTTGCTATGGTACAAATGGTGATTCTTGGACGTTATCGTGGAGAGTTCCAGCGCGGGTTCGCGTCCACGATGCAGACTTCCACCATTAGGGGAAGAATCGTGTCCCGAAGGGGTCCGCAAGTACGGAATGCGCTCCTTCGGGGTTGTCGTTGCTGTTATTGTATATCGCTCTGTGACGGGCCTTTCACCCACAGTGGGGGTATCCGCCGCACCGAGGCTGGTTGTCGTCGCACCGAAGGGTTCCGCTCGCGGCCCAAGCAAACACGTTGAATAGCGTGGCACCGAACATCGTGGTGATGAATATGATGTGAAAGAAGATCTGGGCCTCGAAGCTCTTGTGCGCGGATCTCCGTAATAAAATTTGACGATCCGGAGTGAGAAGAGGAGTTGGTTAGGTAGCTATGTCCGTCGAGGGCGCCTTTGATATGTTTGTGGTTGTGGTGGAGGTGGAGGTGGAGGTGGAGGTGGAGGTGGAGTGGAAGGTGGAATCAGGTGGAGAGAGCTGTGGTTGTACTTGGAGATAGCGACGTAAGGGTATGATATTCGTAGCTTCTGAAATCGCCAAGGTAGTAAAGGTTGGTTGTGGGATATGTATATGAACCGGACGTATTTTATTTGGACAGTGCCTCATAATATAGAAAGCCTCCAGCCAGAATACTCAGCCATCCTCTCGCCAATATTCCCAACGCCCCTTTCTCAGGCTAATTTCTTGAGGCTGAGCTGCTTCACGTGTGCGATGAAGGACCTCGCAAAGTTTGCACTGGAACTTGACCGGAGCTTGTTCTGTCACGGTGTGGCTAAGCAGGTGCTGTGGCGTGCTCACCGGTAGTGCTAGCCTTGTAGCCTCGCCTTCACGCCTTCAGTCTGGTCCTGTTGCCTCAAGGCGGGTAGCTAGGGCCGTAACAGATTGAAAAATTGCGGCAGCGCATTCTGCCAATCTGCCTTTCGAAGGGGCGAAGCACTGTAGGCTGCAATTTCGGAAGGGTACCGGCGCTGGAAGGCTTTCATGATGTTGATGACCCATTTGGCTGACTCTCTCGGGAGGCTGAACGCTCCCGCGGGAGCAGTGATAGGGTCGTGCAGAGCGTTGGACGGGTGCGGGAAAAAGCGTCGTTTAGTCCGACTATAAGTATTGCGTACCGAGGTTCAGATCTGAGGCTCAAGTATATTTGCGGTCTCAGTACTGAACCAAATGAAGTGGCGTATGCGCGAGTGGAGGGATTGCGCGAGGCTGACCTATAGATTGCCGTTTCCTCATCAGTCGGAATCGCGGGGTCAACTGGGCTCACCGGTCTCCAACCTAGTCACCGACATCTCCGCCTCATCGCCCTGAACTTGATTTCTTGCCTTTTAGTCACGGCCGTCCAAATGAAATCCACAGCTATGGCAAGCTGCTTTCGCACTGCGCGATAAGCCTTTCGATATTCGGGCATCGCGTACCAACAATTACAGGCGGCTCTCAAGGTCCATAGAAGAAAGTAACGACCGCGCTTGTTCTGCACACAATCTGCAAAGGAAAGGTTCACACAAGAGCCAAGTCTCAAGCGCTGGGTAAACCTGAGCGATTGGATGACGTCGAACCCTTGCTGCGTTAGCACATACCGAGGTACTCACCCCACGACTTCACTTGAGGATATGTTTGCGAGAGTGCGAGGTGGTCTCGTTGAGATACTGGGTACTTGGTGCTTTCGGTCTCGCAAGAATTTGCCCTGTGGCACAGCCATGTACTGTAGAAAACTTGCACAAAGCTGACACCGTTCGCTTCCATCACCTACCCTCATTACATGTCGGTTTGATGAGATCTTCGGTCCTCAGCCACAATGAGAGGACTCTATGCCCACCGGAAACGTGTAAGTCATGACAGCCGAGGAGCTTCTCGGCCACTGGTCAACCATCCTGCTTGTGCAACCTACCGAGGGGAAGACCGGGCTGTATGTTGCTACCAGGTATATCTGCCTCGTGAAGGTGGCTGAGCTGTTGCGTAGAAGACTTGTTGTTACAGAGTTGATCTTGCTATCAGGCAACATTGTCAACATTGCTCCTATCGCAAAAACAAGTGGCGGCTTTGCCTGGCTAAGAACGTATTGCTCTTCCCCAGGTAGACGAAGATGAAGCATCAGGAGGCTTAGCATGGTGAACTTTGGTTCCGGATCATTTCATACTCCCCACTTGTTTCCGATTCGCAGAGTCTGACGAGACAGCACGTCTATGTGAGGGCAAGCGCGGACCATTGTGACTGGGTCTCAATAGACTTTCGGAAGATCTTGTAGACTGCAGATTGCGTGGAAGTTGCAGCGAGGATGGTGAGGCCGTAGATGAGGAGCTGTTCGCCCTGTTCATATGTACCGAAGGTATCCCTGAAGCAGATGACACTGCGCGTTGCGGTCGTGTTTGTTGCTGTGAGCCACCGGGGATTATACATACGTCGAGACCCTCTGCAGGTAATGGGTATCCCGAGTCCTCGATGATATCATAGAGCCGCATCGTGCGCTGCACAATGCAACCGAAACAGCAGTCTTTTTGGACGATAATAAAAGCGCGCTTGTTTTCTGACGTCCAATGACACGCGAGCCACTGGCCTAGAGGGCTACTATCCACAAGCTGGTAGTAGAGGTGAAGCTTCGTCTTATACATTCGGGAATTTCCGGTGTCGAAGATGAGACCCTCAATAACGTCAACAAGGTCTATAGGGACTGTGCCGGCGTTGTCTTGTAGAGTTTGGATCGTTGTGGGCTCGTGGTATCCATGCTTGCATGGGACACTAACAAAGGCATCGGGTAATTTTTGTCCCACCAGACTTGCGTCACCGACGAGGATGGGCTTTGAGTCGAGGAACCCTTCCAGTCGGACGAATAGCGTATCTTTGACAGTTGAGAGTAACGTTCGTACTCCGAGGCCACGGAATTTGAGTCTTGGTACACAAGCTGCTATCTTTGCCCCGGAAACCTCGCTTGCGAAATCCTGATAGCTCAAGCCGACCCGGTCTGACCGAACTTTGGAGCAAGTCTCGCCTTCAGAGACAATTCTGCCAGCAGTGAAGCCCAAAAATTTGCCACGGAGATCATGTATGGAGAAGTTGCGTGCGGTGTTGCGATGCACGATCAATCCATCCAAATCAAGCGCCAGCCAATCTGCGCTCCACAATTTGTTCTCCAATGTGGATAAGTCAAGGTTGTCGGCACATAGTGGAATGGCAGATGACATGTGGGCCTCGAAGCATTCGCGCTCATCCCTTCGCTCCTGCTTCTGACCGAATTGAAGAAAGCTGACTGACATCTGCCTAATCGTGACGTCCCAATCGGAGAATGCTAAATACGACGCGAAATGAGAGGCGATCCTGATCGTTTCGGACACTTCCTGCTGTTTGTCCAAGCGTAGCTTCAAAAAGCCATGGTCGAAGCTTGACTTCGAGCCAGGTGGTACTTCGCCTAGCTCATAGATGATTGGATCAGCGATGTAATAGCGTAGCCGATCAGTTATGGTCAACCCAAATCGGGCACCAGACACCATGTACTGTCCATGGAGAGAGTCGTATGTCCTTATTACGGTTTTCTTCAACTCGTAGTCGTAGTAAGTGTCTTCAATGTCGCTTTCGACTTTTAGCACGGGTGGATCGCTCATATGGCCATGACAGATATACGTGGGACAACCTTTCGATACAGAGAACTTGTAGCTTTCAATATCCCCCGGCAAAAACCCTAGCTGCCGCAGTATCCTTAAACTCCTGGCTTGTATGTGGCGCAATTCGGACTCGGCGTAGGTCACAAAACCTGTCATGTTAGCATTCTGAAATGCCATGCGATTCTCAGTCCACGATGATATGGCGCTTGCCAAGGTAGACACTTGGTTCAGTGTCTCTATGGCCACAAAGGCCGAAATCCTGGGAAGAGACTCTGATTGTGTGATTTTCGAAAGCCGATACTCCAGGAAATGCACAATTGCACAGTCGACGCTCCAGCCTCGTTGGTTCTCGGGTCTCTCCTTGGACAACTCAAATTGTTCCTCTAATGTTTTCTTCAAATATAGACCACAGCTGCTCTTGTTGGAGGACAACTCAATGAGGATCTTTGCATCCTCGTAAGACCCTGTGACAGGTATTGGTGTTCGATCTGCTTGAAGAGCGCAGACCTTTAGCCCGAGCACCTCGCTCCCATAAGATGTGATCCAGGCGGCGCCTCGGAACCCCCAGCATATGAATATGTATGGTTCTTCGGTAGAAACGACCTTGTGAAGCATGCGAATGATGGAAGCGATGTCTTTGGCCAGTGGGATAGCTGAGTATGGTCCTTCTTTGGGCATTGTAGAGGAATGATCTGGGTGAATCGACCAGAGGAACTTGTGGTAGTTGAATACTTTCTCACCGAAACCAACTCTTCTTGATAACGGCACAAGATCAGTCCGAAGCGATCGAAGCTGTCCCAGACCTGGTATATTATCAAGGGAAACCTTGGCCTCCTCAAATAGAGCGTTCAGTGCGACTGTACATGTTTCCTCGTCCATAACCGGCGTTATAGCTGCCATCAAAGCTAACACGTTCTCACCGGCCCTTGTTTTGAGCAACTGGTCGGCCAGAAAATTTGTCGACGCGCCGATCTCAACAACTTTGTACAGCCATAGTCGTTCGGAACGCTGCGCGTTGCGAGCGTAATTGATCTTCTTCCTGAACTCTTGCGATGCTGGCGTGTACTCCGCGATCATGAGCATGCATCCTATGGAATGAATATCAACGCCAGCCGTGGCCAACTGCTTGAGTCCATGGGATCCGACGTTGAAGATGAGTTGTGAGAGACCGGCGAGATCGACCTGCAAGGAAGGGGCTGAGGATGTGGTCATGGCCATGGCCGCTGCGCATCCACTGATGCTCTACGACAAGGGCGACTGATGCGCTCGACTTCAGTGCGCGACTCGATGGCTAAGGGCAAGGTATGCTTGAGAGTATGCCGCGGATCAGATACGTCGCGAAAAGCAAATGGCTTGCCTAACCCCGCATCGAGCTGATTGTCTCAGCCTCGCTACCACCAGATCATGTGGGGACTCACGCCTTCGCTTGTCAGATCTTATTGCTTTTGGAAGACAGTCGTCCTGGTATGAAGGGAATCTAATCCATAAGGCATTTTCTATAGTAAGCTGGTAATGGGTGTTGAGTTGCTGACGGATTCTCGCAGTTCTTAGCAGCACGAGGCACTCATGGCGGTCCGCACCCACGTTGTCTCTTGTGGGGGCCGAAATCCTATAATTTCGGAAAACTTCTCATCAATGCTGCACCTTTTCCTGCGCGCTTTGATCGAATTTTCAGAGCCTCCACATGATCGGTAGATTCTATGTGCTGAATAGACTCGAGATACTGAACGTCCTTACAAAGTAGCTTCGTTAACATCTCTCTTGTTCTTCTTGAACTCACCTACCTTGAACAAATGAGCAACATAGAGCTAGTCCATACACCAGAGCTTAAGCGAGTGTGTAAATTTGACTGCAGACAAGCCACCAGTATCGACGCGGATGGCGTGGGCACTTTTCGATCGAAAGTCTGTGGATGACATGGTCGAAAACCGACTGAAGTGTGTACTGCAACTGGTTAACTTGTAAATCAATAATTGTTACAATAAATTCAATATTGACTGCCTTTAGGCGCTTGAATGTTGTTATGCATAAGGAACACTCCAGAATTGTGCCGCAAATTTTCGACGAGCTCACGGCTCAGCGGAACCATGAAGTCCTCAAAAGCAAGAAAACAACGAACTCATTCTAGCGGTCAAGGAAGCAGCTATCGATTCAACAATCGTATTTCGACACAACTGCACAGTCATCTTGGCCAGTAATTGGCAGATCGAATTGGAATGTGAGGTGGAACTGACAACGTCTAACAATGAAATACCAGCATGCCTACGAGAGCAATTCAAGGCTGCCTGTCCCATCATTCACTGGACGAATGGTCTTCCAGGCAATGCTTCGTGCATGGGCATTATTGCACAATACATCGTTTCTACGCGGTGGGCTGAATATTGTCAACATAGTACCTCTCGATTTCGAGATCGTAGCAGCTTGTCGAAGGGGCGATGTTACGTCACTTCAAAAACTTTTCTCGGAAACGAAAGCTGCCCCTAGTGATATGGCAACAGAGCGTGAATACCGTGAGACTCTTGCTGGGGTTGTGCCAATCGCAATTTCCTGCTCCAGCTTTTGCTAACAAGTAATAGGTTGCCATAAAGAGCGGATCCATGAGATTTCGACGATTTTTGATCCAGGCAGGAGCCCCTGAATAATCGTGTGAGCCTTTGTTGCAATCGATTTTGGTTGTACTCCAATCCTCCAACAACAGAAAATTCCTCCGAGCTGCATGGCAGTGGTAACGTAACATTGATCAAGAACTTCTTCATACCAAATGATTTGATGTAGAGATACTGTATACCGAAAGCGATACGGGAGCTTCTTTATTATATGGCCTTTCGCGTGCCAGAGAGCGCCAAACCGAGTTCCTTGCACTCTTGGCCAGTCAATCTTTCTCACGATTCAACTCACAGGAAGCGTATTGCTCATAAAATATGGACAGGGTACAAGCTCTGTGCTATAGTAAGGCCTACCGTGACATATGCGCGGACCAAGATACTCGTGGAAGGAATTTCCTGCACATTGCGGTTGGATATGGCGACCTTGTTGCAGTTTCATATGTCCTTGAGAAAATGGTCGACTCAGAACCCATGAGCGCATTTACATCAGGCCATGTACCTCTGACGATCAAAGAAAGAAGCGTCACTCCTGGGGGGATGACAAAAGTCTTTGGCGAAACAACCTATTGTAAATGGAGTGACGCTCAGCGTGGCCAACGAACAGAACAGGCACCGAACAAGGTCATTGCCCATTCGTTCGATTTGTATACAAACGTTCGTACGTTCGAAACGACATGAACAGAAGCTGATTCGAACCGTACAGCGAACGTTCGGCTGAACGTTCGTATGTAAACGATTTCCTAATTAGGAAAGAGGCTGGTGTTGAGGTCCGGAAACTGAGCTGGATGTTTTAGCAGGCATCCTTCTTGACAACGTGTTTTGACAACGCCGTGAGGTGACTTGATACGGCGTCTCTTGTCACCCAGTTCTGCTGGAGTTGTAAAGCTTCGACGACGGCGGGCGATAATTGATTGCGATCGCACATGATAGTTCTCCTGGCGGAGGAGAAACACCGCTCGCAGTCGCACGACGTGGCTGGAACAGAGAGATGATCCATCGCCATCTTGTATACGACCGGGTAGCTTTTTTGGCCGACGTCAACCCACCAGCGGTGTGGATCCTGCATCAATTTGTACATGTCCGGCGACGCGGAGCTCGTCAATCTATCGCCGTAGAGGCTGTCGAAATACTCGTCGAGCTGCGACGTACATCTCTGCCGCTTGTGTGCCTTATTGCCTGTGAGAAGGTGGTCGTCAACAAAATCCACCGAACATGGTATCGAACAGCCGAACGTACGGCTCCAAACATGCGTTCGTTCGGTGCTCTGTACGGGTCAACATGCCTGTATGCTCGTTCGAGTCAAAACACCAAAAAACGCCGTTCGGATCGATTGTTCGGAGCGAACGTACTGTTCGTTGGCCACGCTGGTGACGCTTTGGACTCGGCAGGACGGACGAGCGATGTTCGAGCTGAGGAGATGATTGGACTGTGGAGCTAATGGTTGAAAAGTATGGGGAATTTTGATTTTATGATAGCTGGGCATCCTAGATGATGTTCAGGTATTCGAATAACGTGAAATTCCGCTTTCATCAGACCAGATTAAGTCCTGACACTCCCGAGGTCGTATTTTTGAGACACGCGTCGAGGTTGGAGCTTTTTCTTACTCATGGCACCCATCTCTAAAGCCAGTGTTGCTGGCGTATCCACACAAAGGTACATTAATATTTATACAGATAATTGAAAGGTAGGCTTGAGAGCCCCAGGCCAATGTCACGTGTAGTGACGAAACGGGACTAGTCTCGGTTGATTGTTCACCTGTGTTTCACGGAGCATGTGTCATGTCGACCACGGCTTTAACCTCAGCAGTGCTGGTGGCATTAAAAAGGCTAAAGCTTGCCAGCTAAGACATGGCCATCATTTAGGATACATCAGGGTCGTTCAATCGCGCAGATGTCTCGGTCACCGCTACACATGAAGGTGTCGAATCAGCGGCGCTGTACGCAAGGGCTGACGCGTTCCACCTTATCGCGGACGAACAGCTGTCATAATTCCAGAGAACGACTGGGAGCGAGTCCAGTATATCTCCTGTCCCTGCGAATGCCGGTCAAATAACGTATTGTCCAACTGCTCGCCTCTTTTGAATGGCGCAATTTCTAGACTTGTCTAGTCAGGGCGACCCGCTGCACCCGTCCTGTAACACTCTTGATGATCATATTCTTGACGCCTTGTTTCTGCACGCGATGATCGCTTCACTTGAGCTTCGGCCGCCGCGCCAAAGCTGGACTACGTTCGCCGTAGCTGATCGATATGTCTCAGCTTGTTTGTACCAATTAAGCATCCGAAGGTGTTACAAGCGATGTCAAAAACGTACAAGAGTCTCGTGGCTGATTTAAGTATGTTCCCTAAAATCTAGGTAGTGCAACTCACCAAGTCAGGGGGACCCACAGCTCTGGTCCAACCACCCTCACTGCGTTACTTGAGCAAGACCCAACAAACCATCTCTTCGACACTCCACTTTACGTTCCTTCTTTGCCATGGGGGTCACTCATTGCAACTTCCCGCGCCTTGTCATCGCGGTGATATGTGCATTCATTATCTTAGGCCTCGTACTGCACAGCAAACCAGAGGTCGTGCCTTCCTTGGAGCAATTACAGGCCATTGCTCAAGAGTATAGGTACTGTTCTTCTAGCTTTGGCGCGAATTTGCCGCTCACCTCCCAGACCCACCTGGAATTATACAAGCACGTCGAATGCGCCGGTGAAGGAGGCGAGTGTGAAAGATCGCATACATGCGCTATTCGCTCCGATACGGCACTCTTTAACCGACGATTATACCGATGCATCGGGGAAGACCTTCGGACTAAATCAGTTGCCACGATGGAGAGAACCATTGAAGGGTAAGGTTCTCATTGTGGATATCGACACTCGTGAGCCGAACGGCAACAACGAAATGCTGAACCCTAACCCGATGAACTGGGAAAACTTGCAAATGGGCGGCGGACAGCTGGTTTCAGGTGCCATCATGGGTCACTACCTCTACTGTGAGCCTCATGCTCTTAGGAGTCATGCGCAGTCAAGCTGATATGTAGTCACTAGCCCAGATACACGAGTACGACTACGCTTTCTTCCAAGCACATCGCATGGAAGGATACCACGATACTTGGATCTTACCAGGTGCACTGCGCCAACTGATTGAAGCCGACAAGTACCAATGGATCATAACCATGGATGCGGACGTCACTATCACACACCCGGAAGTACCTCTTGAATGGCTACTCAATCACTGGGGCGCAACGAACAACACGTCTATCCTGATGCCGATCGACCAGAAAGTATTTGACAACGACATTATCAACAGTGTCGATAGCAAGGGCTTCACTGTACTCAACACCGGTGTTGTCGTCATTCAAAACCTGCCTTATACCAAGGATATATTGGATGCGTGGATTGAATGTCCTCACGAGGGGCGGTATCAGGGCTGCGGCCAGTGGAAGGACAAGTGGAGCCACGAGCAACGTGTTTTCTCCGAATACATACGCTACGACTTCAACCCCCAAGGCGACAATATCATTGTAAGTGTCACTTTTCGAAATCTATTTGCAATCTCGTGCTGACGAAGGCGTCAAGGCCATTCCCTGCGACGACGCCATGGGCTATCCAAACATGATGAACGAGTACCAAGGAATGATTCTTAACGACTGCAATGGGAATTTCTTCAGGCACCACACCTTAAATAAGGCCAAGGCGAAGCAAAGTCTGGACGTTTCCATCATGCAACTCCTTACACAGCTGATTCACAGTTCGTTTTTCGACCAAAAAGAGTACTTGTGGTACAAGGAGCCGGCGTGAGAGGTTGTGTGTCTGTGCCCGTCGCCGGAATAACCCAGCGTTACGCGTCATGCGTACGCGTCTGTGGAGAATAATGCAGCATCTATTAGCGCGCACGTGCACTTCCACATCATCATCTCTTTCAGTGATTCCACCCCGTCAGAACTATCATTCAGTAGGTATACCTGAACCCAGGGGTCTGTTCCAGAACGACCTCACCCTTCTCTGCCTTGTTGTTCCGATGCAGAAAGTAGAGCCAATTCAAGGAGACTAGGACAACAGTGACAACCTGCGATGTGATAGCAGTGATCATTCCCGGTATGTAGTCCGGTGCATCTTTCGATTGGAAGGCAAATGACGCGGCAATGCCACCGCATCCTCCACCCATGAGCAACATGGCGGTTGCAAGTGCACGCTTCGTCTGGCCAGCTGTCACAGGATTAGCTTCGTGTTCGCGACACAAGCCGACGTCAGGTTCCCATCTTCGAAGAACCGACAGAACAGCTCGAAGCGAACTTACTCAAATTGTTATGCTGATATCCATATATAGTCGGGATGTTAGAGTTAGTGCCACCCACAGCGAGAAACACGCCAAAGTAACGTGCGCCAGCGTTACTCGCGAACGCCATGATGCAGATGCCCAGAGTGATGATGAGCGATTGTGCGATGATAGTCGGGCCGCGGACCTTGAGACGATCGTTCAAACACCCGATTGCGAACATCCAGATTGCTGCGCAAACATAAGGCGGTATGGTTAGGAAGTACGTCATCTTCGTGGAGTACCCCATAGAATCGTGCAATATGATGGGCAGGAAATAGGAAAAGGAGTAGACGGTTAGATTGTTGCAAAAGAGCAGAAATGGGAATTGCCACATTTTCCAGTCCTGGAGCGCGCGTGAGACGTTACGGCGATTGAGGGGCTCTGGAACCGCGTCTGCGCGATCACGCTCCACCCGCGCGAGGACGATGGCTGCCTCCTCGGGCGTGAGGAAACCCTTCTTGGAGAATATTCCAGGCCGCGTCGCGCGGTCGGGAAAATCAATCAAAATGAAGCCTGCCAGAATCCCAATCGCAGCACTGATGATACCCTCGATGATAAAGATCCAACGCCAGGCCGCCAAACCGCCAACGCGCCCAATAGTGGTAATGCCGTACACGAGCGCAGACGATATGCCCGACCCGAAGACACCAATGCAAGCCCACGCTGCAAAGCGTTTCTGAACCTCGTAGCGCGTGTACCAGGCCCCGAGTAGGTAAATGCAGCCAGGTGCCATTCCGGCCTCGAGAGCGCCAAAGATTACACGGCAGACGAGTAACGTCTTCCAAGATTGCACAAAGCCCATGGCGATGGTTAAACAGCCCCACGCCGTTCCAATGAAGCCAAGCCATCGTGCGGCGCCAAGTTTCCTGAGAGCGATGTTGGATGGATAGTCGAAGAGAATGTAGGTTACGAAGAAAATCATGGTCACTAGCGTGTAGCGATTGCCTTTCGTAGTCTCGAGCTCTTTGCCCATACCTGTAAGTTCGTAAGTATTGGGTTATCCGACGAACGGCGAAGTTTGGGCGACTGACCTGCGATCTGAATGTTCGGCAAGTTCACCCGATCTATCAATGCCCACATGTACAGCAAGCCCAGGATTGGAACCATGCGAAAGTCGACTCTCCGAATGATCTTTCGAACTCGTTTCTCGTCTCTGTCGGTTTCAGCTCGTATCGCATCGTTCAAATGAATGTTTCGGTCAAGCCGCGACTCGTCCACGGTGTGTTCTTTCTGGGAGGTATCCTCAATCTGGACAGCATCGAGCTTGCTACCAGTGGCCATCCTGTTCCACTGATTGCGTCGCTTGAAGGACTTGCAATGTAGGCAGACACAAAGGGTCAGATAACAATGGTACTTGAATCGTAGATAACAGTCCAGCGAGACATCCCATCGACACTGCAGCTCTGCAATAAGCGGTATCATGCTGTGGCGATATCATTCTTGTCAACTGCGAGTGGGGATGCTTCTGTCGATCAATGCCTTGCTCGACACTCATCCTCGAGAACCATGCCAGCGTTGCTGGACCCTGTCGGCAGTTGTTCCTGGACCATATGCTCTGCTCCCACAAGACGCACGCTGAATCATCGCGGCTATCGGCTGCCATGCGAGGAAGCCTCGCAACACCTCGTCGTCAAGGCCAAGCTTTCGATTGGCGGGCATACTAGCATGTAGTACCCAGAGGATCCTCTAGTAAATCGTGGGGTACTGCCAAGTTGCGGGGCCACCTACGGAGGAATCTCGTGTAGCGGGGAATGTCCGAAGGTTATGGACACCAAAGCGTGACCTTGGATCAGCGGCGTCGGCAAATAACGTCGCATAATTGCCGGGGACACTGCATGACCCTCGTGTCACTCCATTCGCCATCTCCTCCCTCCGTCTCCCTCCCCCGCTTTAGCCCACTACACACCATTCCCCACCGATCCGCGACCCAATCCGCGCTATAAGAAAACGCCCGATCCAAGAATAAATGTACCACCTAGAAGGTAACCACGGCCCAGAGGCGAATCTCCTCAGCGACTTGATCAAGAACGCGAAGACGAGGGCTCAGGCAATATGGAAGAAACAGGAGCCGGCGAAGAGCATCGCGAGTTCAAGACCTTCCGTGTCAAGGAGCTCCACCCAACTTTCGGTGCCGAAATCGAAGGTGTAAATTTTCCGAGTCCGTCCGAGGAACAGTTCCAGGAAATCTTGGCTGCAATGGCGAAGGTACGATCAGCTGCTGCCGATTATGTGTTATGAATGGCAATCAGGAACTAGTTCAATGGTAGTAGACTTACATTCGAATAGTATGGCGTGTGCGTATTTCGAAAAACAGGCATGGATGACACAGCGCACGTAGAATTTTCGCGACGGATGGGAGAGCTTGATGATATTCGGCCATACATTACAGCTGGGCGCAAGATGCGGTACAAGTACTATGAACTGTTCGATGCCGGGAATGTGGACGAGGATGGCAACGTAATCGATCCAAACTCTCCGAAAGCGCAGTATCAGAGGGTAGGCCAGATTGACAACTTTTCTCCAAGCCATTGCACTAATTCTCGAGCAGGGCAATACTCTTTTCCATGTCGATAGCTCTTTCAACCCTAGACGTGCATCTTTCTCGCTCCTACGCGCATACGAGCTCCCACCACCAGGGCACGGCGGCAACACCGATTTCGCCGACTCTCGCACAGCTTTCGACGAACTTCCCGAGCCGTTGAAGTCTGAGCTGCTCGAAAAAGATTACGTAGCTGCGCACTGCATGGCGCACTCGCGCAAAGTTGCTGCCCCCGAGTTCTTCAAAGATTTGGACGTTACCACGCAACCGATGCATTTACACAGGATAGCGCAAAAGCATGAGCCATCCGGTCGAATGAACTTGTACATTGCTGCACACGCGCACCATGTCGAAGGATTGGACGCAGCGCGATCGGACGCGTTATTGAAGCAGCTGCTCGACCACACCACACAAGAAAAATATCGGACTAGTATCCCGTGGGAGAATCAGACTGATATGATCATCTGGGATAACACCTGCGTGCTGCACAGAGCCGGCAGTGGTACCTTCGCGGGCAAGTTCAAGCGAGACCTGCGGCGGACAACTGTGCACGACGCAAGCAGTACAGCCTGGGGCTTGAACGATCCGAATATATCAAGAAGGCCAGGCTTCAGCTTAGGCGTAAGTAATCAGGGACCGCAACCAGTTGCGACCTAGTGAAATCGATGTCTAAATATCATGTTCTCCCCTAGTAATCGTCCCAGTCCCAATACACACTGCGTTTGACGTATTGTGCATACTGCCGTGGAATGACTCCTACTGAGTGTATCCTGATCAATTATACTACACCAAACCGCGTATTTCGTCAGGTATGCCATGGCTCGAGAAAGCCTACCAGCGTTGAGTGATGCCGCCATCAACCGACTCTTGGCTTCACTCAGTTTACCAGGACCCATAAACTTCGACAAGCTGCATGCGACTGCTGCTTATTGCACCATTTATATCCTCCATTTCGCGAATGTAATGTCCGACCCGGTCACAGCAATCATAACAGGAATCATCTTCAATAACAGGGATCATCTTCGACTGGGATTTTCAGGCGTAGTACCAGCGCCATTGTGGAATACTCGGAAAGCTTTCCTATGGAACGAGCAAGATACCACCGACGCGAAGGTAGAGCGAGAGAGGCTGTTCAAGACCTTCCAAAAGATGTGTGAGGATCGGCAAGTCGCAGAGGTTCTCGAGGCCTTACGAGTCAACGACACGCAGAATGAGCTAGACGACATACTCAGGTATGTGCGTGCTCTCGATTAGGTCTGTCCCTGCGGTCAGTGTGAAGGTCAACGCGCCCAGTGGCAAGCGAACGCAGAGGCAGGCCTCAGGATTATCATCTGTAGCAATAAATCGATGATGTAAAGTACCCGTGATGAAAATTCTGCTTGAGCTGAGGGGTCGCTCATCGTATTGTTACATAAGTGGAAATACACTCGACATACGGGAATGTCCGACTCATTTTCTTTTCGGTTTTCTCTTCCCAATATCGTAACCCCAACCGCGCAAGGTCTTCACCACTTTCGGGGTTACAGCTGCTGTGAGAGGCACCCGTATGAATATGAAAGACTTGTGCACCAAAAAGACCAATCCAAGTTTTGTCCAGAAGGCTGGTAGAGTCTGTTAGTGAAGTGATTGACGAGTATCCGGGACACTCACTCGGCCCTCCGCTCTGCTCTTCCTGTTCAGCCTGAGCGGCCTCAATTTCGGAATCGCTTTCACCTCCCTTATCGAACAGATTGGGGAAATACCTTCCTATCAAGTCTTTCGCCCCACCAACAACCACATGCTCAACGTGATCTATCCGTTCTGCACCAACGTACTTGACGGCAAGAAAGCACAGTGGCAGGTCGGCGACGGTGAGTGCAAGATATACTCCGACCACTGTCCATCCATATTCTCTGGATAGCTTCTTGAGACGAGCTGTAAATGACTGCGGCTCTGGACTGCCTAGATGCGGTGTTGGGTCTGGATGCGAGTTCGTAGACCGCTTCTTGCTGTAATTTCGCCGGAATAGGCGGCTCGAATATTGGGAATGAAGGAGAGACTGCCTGCTTTGATATCGAATGGGCTGTTGATAGGCAGCGGGTGGTACTCGGAAAGGATACCAGCTGGGTCGAGTAAAAGCGGATGTCAAACGCGCTCTTGAGGCCATTGTAACACACACTACAAAATAGAGCGCAACAGGAGATGGAGCAGCAGCGATATAGTATGCTGATTAAATGTCTGTGGGTGTTGTCGACAAATTATGATGGAAACACGGTTGATGTCATCCTTCCCGGTATGATGCTGATGTCCCGCCAAGATGCCCTTTCAGGCATTCATGTAGCGTGAAATCACGTTCTCAATACATCCACCCGTATGCAGGCATTCGATTCGCTCTTTGGTCGCGCGTCTGTCCGCTTCACAAGAGAAGGCTACACGCTCCGTATGGATCTTTCGCGGAGTGATGGTTTACACGTCGCAGCTGTCCTTACTGGCGCATCGGGATGTGGGGTCTGCAACGGGCAGTAGGTATGCCCACAATGCCAGACCTCAACTTCAATCCACACGCCATGTACTGTACGTTGGCAATGCCGCCATGACATGACTATTTGTGCCCGCATGCGATGGAATGTCCCAAGGCATTTTTTGGTGAATCCATTCATTTTCAAACTTTGATTTCAATGTGTTCGGTTATGTCTAATTGCATAGCAAGAAGAGAGCGAGCGATTCAATAACACTTAGCGGAATACTAAAGACTTGTCTATACGAATAGAAACCCTATCGATACTACAAGGTTTCAGATGCGTGCATTTCATGTACACAGGAGACTCTACTTGGATGCAGCCCCGCAAACCGCCGCGACCCACGAAGATCGATTCTGCAACACGCGGCACACCGATTCTTTGTGCGCCAGGCGGCTAAGCTGTGATTGAAACGGCAGCTGCATGTGCGACAGGTGGCCGTTTGGTGGAAACAGCTGACTTCCATGGAATGCACAGCAGAGGCGCAGGCGCATGCGAGCCGGAGCACTATCAGAATAGCGCAACAACATCCAGTGTTCCTTTTAGTTGGAACCAACTTCACCGAGCTATTGGGTGCAGAACTTTCAACGGATCTGCTGAGCCACAATAAGATGTGCTGCATGCGCCTAGCTGCCGGTTGATACGACGCGCCACCTCAAAACGTCGACTCGCAGGACCCGGGCTGGAGGGCTCCGCCTGTTCGCTGGCGGATAAGCACCCTGAACAACAAACACACGCGTCAGGTCGACGAATTGAACGCCGAACATACTGCGGTAAGCGATTGCTAGCTTGCTATCGCAGGTAAGAACACCAGAGTCCGTCTCTGATATAGTGTCAGCTCTCCAACCTTGCTGCAGCCCGCAGAGCGTAGGCCGCACGCTCCCCACTGAACCCAACCTGGCAGCACACCATGTCGCCCTCGATACCCCTCGACACGTTCAACCACCAGATCATGCATTCTCGGGTTGGAAGTCCACAACATAGCGATGTGAAAGCGGATCCAGGGTTGTCTTCGCGCATGCGAGCGACACTCAAAGCACTTGCACCTACGCCTCATGATGTCGCCTCGCAAGCGTTCGCGCATGATTCTACCACGATTGATTTGTCCACCGCGCAAAGCGAGCTTATACGTCCCGAATTGCTAGAGTTCCTGAAGACGTTGGTAGAGGACAAAATGACAGAAAAGGTCGCCAATACAAAGCCCAGTGATTGAACCTAATTGACGAAGCGGTAGACCTTCGCTGCACCAGCCGGAGATGGTGGTGACGCTTCGACAAGAGAAAGCCTGGCTTCGTTCTTCAACAAGTCATTCAATCCTATACACACCGTCAAGCCGGAACATATCGTCCTCACTGCCGGTGCCTCCGATGCCCTCGAAAGTGTCATCCACGCGATTTGCGACGAAGGTGACAGCGTCATCGTGCCTGGACCGTACTGGTGTTAGTCAAACACTGCTCTCAACCTACAACTTCGAGACTCACCAAGCTACAGTTGGTTTCGAGCGCATCACAAGAACTCGGCAGAACGTTAATATTGTAGTGGCTCGACCACCCACGTATCAGAACTTTGACAACTACCTGCTGCCTTCTATCCAGGCCGCATACGACTTCACAGCGGATAAGTCGCGGATCAAGGCCGTTCTGATCTGCAACCCAAACAACCCTACCTCGCGCTGCTACACCCGGAAGTCGCTGATCGAATGCATGGAGTTCTGTCAAGAGCGAGGCTTACACTTCATCTCGGACGAGATCTACGCTCTGACCGCGCTCAACGATACGCCGCCAAATAGTGCGAAGTTTGTCTCTGCCCTATCCCTCACAGAACCACTTGTCCCAGAAGGGGCAGTCAAGATCGATCCCTCCCGCGTGCACGTAATCTGGGCCGCGAGCAAGCTCTTTGGATCGAGTGGCTTCCGCATTGTAAGTCGCCCACGCCCTTGGACTTCCCTACACTGACATACCCTCAGGGCTGTCTCATCTCCCAGCAAAACCCTAAACTCCTCTCCGCCCTGTCCCTCCTCACCTACTGGCACGCCAACACCCTCGCATCCCTCTACCTCTCGCACCTCCTGACCTGGCCTCAACTCCCCACGCTCATCGCTCTCAACTCGGAACGCCTCACCGCATCCTACCGGCTCCTCGCGACCGCACTTCAACAGCTGGATGTAAGCTTCGTGACGCCGACGGACGGCATCTTCGTATTCGCGAAGCTGGCGAAGCATGCACAGAACATCGAGGACGAGCAGGACTTCTTTCACCGGTTGGCGCTGCAGGGCATACTGCTTGGGCCGGGAAACGTGTATAAGGGTGTGGAGAGGGATTTTGGGTGGACGAGAGTACGGTTTTCTATCCCTGTTAAGGTAATGGAGGTGGCGTTGGAGAGGATTACGACGTTTGTGACGATGGAAGGATAGAGTGAGATGTTGCTGCGAGGATTGATGGCGCTTCGGCGAGTTCACATACTCCTGTTGTTTCGCGTTTTGAAGAAGGGGGCGTGTATGATGGGAGCTGCGAAGGTGTCTAATCTGGCTCGGATGCTGGGATATCTGTGTAGAAAACGAAGTTACGAGCTCACGAAAACACGCGGAGGATGATAAGGAAACGATTCGATTTTATATGAGCGTGCCTATTCTACGTCGTGAGCAATGTCCCTGTTTGCGGCGCACGTAGCTTTGCGAGCGGTGCACAGCATTGTGACGAAATTTTCTTGCGGTGCCTCAAGTGCCCTCCCTATGCTACCTTGTCCCAGTGTACCATGGTCTACAGCACTCAGGCATACAGTCTACTATGCAGCATTCACGACGCTACATCCAGAAACTTCCTATAGCCATATCACGGTGTCAGATCGAACCAATAGCAGGACGGCACGGCACAGTTCTCGCGCGACGAAGGTACAGCGGCGGAAGATTCACGAAGTAGACCGTGGGTTTGAGACACGAGGACATCCTTGATCACTATCGCCATGGTCAGCCATTGTCTCCTCGTAACATAAGGGCATTGTGCAATGTAGGCGGGAGATCAGAGTATAGAGTTCTCAACAAATGTGTTCAGACAGGGATAACTGAATGATAAAGTCTCATCCTTTGCGCGAGTGAAAGAGGGGGAAAGGACTTACAGGGAGACGAGATGGCGGTAGGAGTGAGCCGTGAGGACTGATCAGCAGCACAGCAAAAGCTCGCTGAGCGTCTTAGGGGTGCATCTTGGGGCCGGTGCCTCAATATGAGGTGCACGCACCAGGCCTGCTGTCCGTTCTACATAACCATGAGAATGGATAGGAAGACGGTACGTCGTCGCGAGTCAACAAAAACTGGCCCGTATAGCACAGTTGGGTGGGAACAGGCGTTCAGCCAAGGAGATGTGCATATATTGTTCTCATGGTCCGAACCATCGCTCAAGCGTATCGCGAAGGCAATGATGGAAGGTCAATCGAGGGTGAGAGGATGCGGTGTGCGCAAAGTGACGCGGTGTGCAGTGGAAGTCGCTGCGAGACGCGAAGAAACCGAGGAAGACGCTTGGGCTAGGTTAGCTTACCGACGCACACCGCTTACTCCTGGCAGCCTCGGCACACAGACCACGAAACGCAGAAATTTCGCGCATCTCGCTCGGACCAACTGTAGCGACTGTAGCTGCAGAGAGGTCTATCCATATTATTATAGATATATATATTTTCATTTTAGAATCGATAATATCAAAACAGCTCCAGCAAGCGTTCGCAATCCCTGCATTGCAACGCCCGCATGGCTCAGTGGTAGAGCGTATCACTAGTAGTCGCTATGATAAGGTCATCAGTTCGATTCTGATTGTGGGCATCATCTTTTTGGCATTTGGGTATATTTTTGCACTATCAACTATGCCGACTTTTTGTCTCTATTTATGTAGTCGTCAAGCAACAACAGAAATCAATAATGAGCTCGATAATCATACGTGCATATCAATCCCTTTGTTGCTGTCCTCCAACCCTGAAACCTGCACGCGATTTCTGTCTACCGTGTGTGACCAAATAAAAAAACTCGTGTGGTATCTGATGAAACAAATGCTATGTACACCGTGCGCGTGCGACGTCCACGTCAACGCGGGTCGGGTTTCCAAGCCGACGGATCGAGATATATGGAACGAGAACAATGTGTGACGTACCAAGTATATGCAAAACCCCACCTCGTTGGAGGCAAGGACGCATTTCAGCACGACATGGCTGCAGGCATGTAAGGGAGGATTGATTGGCATCGTTTCGAAAAACGAGAGCTCGTCGTAGAGGCAGGGAAGACGGAGGGTGAGAAGTCAAGGTGTTTGTGTGTTTCTTCGGTTCGGCATTGTTCTTCAGACAACGCGTGCGGTGGCGCCTAGCTTGGTATCGATGCAAGGGCTCTTCGCCACCGCTGCTCCTGTGAAGCCGTGTGCAACTACATCATCTCGGGTGCCTAGGTGATGAGGTGACCATCGGGGGTTATGAGCTGGGACAATGTGTGGAATCGGAACTGCCTCCACGCTAGGAGACCATTGAGAACCGTGGCTGTCGTTTCTGGAGCTTCCGTGTGCTCTTGGACGGGCTTCGAGGTGGTGATGGAGGGAGTTGTATCGGATGAGCCGCCTCTGGGACCAGAGCAGGTGCCTGCTGACCTGGGACGGGCTCATCGGTGGAGGCACCTGGTCCAAAATGGCTGCCGTTGACCTCGACCCCGATCCCATGTTTTTGGCTTACGAGCGTTTTGCTTGTGAGATTGGACTGCTCCGGAGAGACCAGTCCACTGTTGGCGTAGGGGAGGGAAATCAAACCAAGCTCCATGTCAACATGTTCTGGCTCCGGAATAAAGTCTGCAATCATACTTGTGCGCTCACTGCGTCGCGTCGACGGAGTATCTCCGATATCCACATGTGCATCACTCTTGTCCCCGGCGTCATTTCGATCGTGCTTGCGGAACACGAGCCAGAAAACAACCGTTGTCACAGCCATCCCGCCGGCTAATAACGCGTAGAAGATAACGAGATTCGGGTCGTGCGCGAACGTTGTCAGTCCCATTGCGGAAGCTGATCCAATCCCCGCCATGAGTGGAAAGATGGCCTGGATCATGGACTTCATATTCCTTGGAGCGTGGTTGTACGCAATCTCGAGCGCCGTGACGTAAGCCCACACCTCACCCATGGCGATGAGGAAGAATACCGGTGCTTGAATCCAGACATTGACGAGATTTGGCTCACGGTTTGCGACCGAGCTGCATGCTCGCGGATGATCGTAGCAGGGACCTGAAGAGTAGATGACATTCTGCACGATTGCAGCGTATGCCATCGAAGACACCACAAAGCCGAACCCGATAGTGATGCGCGTGATCGGCTTGAGGTATACATGGCGCTTGTGGAGCAGAGGGTAGATGATATGATGTATAAGGGGTGTGAAGAGAATGCAACCCACTTGGTTCATGGCCGGAAGCATGTCGTTCGGGGTACCGCTGGTTTCCATCTGCGCGGATTGCGATATTAAGTTATTCTGCATCTGATCAAAGCAGATGTAGAACACAATGAAAGCGAGCAGGACTCGGCACCCTTGCAGCGCTCGACGTAGTTCGTGAACCAACTGACCACTCCAGGGGACAACCTTGCGATGATGCTCGAGTTGGTACTCGGGTTCAGTGCGGGTGAGTCGAAAACCGCTCCGACAAGCGCAGAGCAGTATCTGGCTCGCCTGGGTGAAGATCTTTGATTCGTGCGGCACCCTTAAGAAATATCCTCTTCCAGCTAGCAGTGTGAGTAGTGAGATGAATACGAACCCGAGACACAGGCCGTATGCCGCTGCGAAGCTGACATGCTCTTCTAGAGCTACGACCGCAAACCAAGATAACGATCCAACGTTACCTAGCCAATAGTTGAGACTGTAGATATATTCGATAGTGAGGACACGATCTGTGACCACCTCTTCTCCGGAAGATAGTACCTTGATGCGCGGGTCTGTCTCGGCATACTGATCAGCCAAAAATGCTGCCATGTTGGACTCAAAACCGCCACCTCCCAGTGCCACACATATCATGGCTATAATGAGGCCCGGTAAACCCCAGCCTGCAGCGAGACTCGAAGGCAACGAGCTAAATGTCATCGCTGCGCAGCCCAAGTTGAAGAGTATCAAACAAACGAAGAGAGTTCTATATCGGCCCAGACGAGAATCGGAAAGGACAGCGAACAGTATCGGAGAGACATAGTAGGCGATGTAGAAGGCGCAGTAAATACGCGTAGCTTTCACCTGCCCCAGGCCAAGTGCACCAGGTGTCTCTTCGTGAGTGAGCCGAGCAGGGTGCTGCATGTAGTTTTGCCACGGTGCTGTCCTATTATGCGTCAGCTTACAATTGAATGAACGCATATATGCTACTCACAAGCCCCAGAAGGCTGCTTTTTCCCAAAAGCTTATAGAAGCGACTATCCATAGGCGTACCGGGATATCATCACGCACACGACGTAGGTGATCCGAGCTGTTTGACGATAAAGACATTTTGGAAACGGAGAGCTCCCCAGTGGGGAGCTTTCTCCGGCTCTCCGCAGCACTTGTCATAGGAACGCCTTCCATGAGGAGTTGGGTCGTGTACTGCGTGGCGGGGTGAACTAGTACGATGTGAACTCGGCGTGGGCAGTGTCTTAACTACCATAAACTCGCTGAGAAATAGCATTCCTTGTAAACTTTCACCTATGCAGCGGCCCGAGCTTGTGATTGCTGGTATTATGGCTGTTGAGACAATGGGGCCGTGTGTGGGGCGGTTCAAACCTCTGGTATGGGGCCGAGCGGTTGTTTCATTACGAGCGAGACGCGGATTCGAGGAGTTATAATTCGGAAAGCGACCATTATGCATACTCTTCACACGGGTTTAAATGGACCAATAACCGTAGATTTTAATGATACCAATGATTGGTGCTTGCACAGCCTGCAAGCCGATGGTGATTCATTGTTGAACAGTGTAACCACAGTTGATCTGCAAGATCCCGCCATGATCGCAAATATCTGCATCGCACGCTGTGTCGCCTCCCTTCCATGAGATTGGATTTTCCAGAAGATCGAAATGGGCTTCTGTTGGGCGGTGAAGGGCCCACTAACGAACACAGTACGCACGCATCCGTAACACGGTACCCTAAGCGAGTTCTAAAAGGTGCGTTGTGGCACCGTAGTGCACCTCTTCGTTACAGATCGAAATTTTTCCTGGGAACGGTGGCAAGTACTTTCTAATCTCGGCGTCGTCAAAGAACTCCCCTGTCGAACCATCCTCGCTGTGGACAATCTCAATGGATCCAACTTCCGGGATCGCGGTCAAAGCGCGAAGTGGTGCAACGGCTGATTTCAGCTTGCAGAGTTTGGGCAGAAATGATAGAATGCCACTGTGACGAAAACCTGGCTCTTCCTGCCTTTTCCTGTTGTCCTGATCTTGAGAGATTGCCAGATATTCCAAGGATTTTGCATGGCGGCACAGTGCATCTTCTAACCGGAAGAACTGAAATAACGCCCATTCAGACCAGGGGAGATCCACCTCTACGTGGAGGCACTTCAACGCCTTGCAGCAATTGAGTAGAACGTTGACTGCGTAATGGGGGACCCCACCTTTCCGAATGATGATCGATTCCACGCCAGAATCTTGCACCCGGCGCCACCAGCCAAGGTCCATTTGGAGATCGCCTTTGCTATTCCAACCTAGAGACCGACCAAGAGATCGTTCATGACAGCCCGTGATCTCGAAGCGCCGCAGGCTTGGCATGCTGAACATGTACGCAAGACTGTAAAGATGCAGGTCGAATGTACCAGGTAAGGAGACGACTGAGACGGAGTGAACTTGGTCAAATCTGCCTGGCCAGTTGGGAGTTTCGAACAGAATATGGCTAATTAGGGAGAATTCGTGCAAACTGCTTAATTGCAGAGAGATGTTCTGTACTTTGCGCGAGGCTAGAAGCAATGACAATTCTGCACAGGCAGCGGCTCTGAATATCCCTATACTGGCAAGTAGCTTTTTCCAATAGTCTAGCAGCGACTCTGGAACATCTAGCTCGTCGATAGCTTTCCGCAGGTGGCGAAATGTGTCTTCTGGCATGGGATTCACCCCGCCTTCTACGCGTATATTTATTTCTCGTACATGATCGGCAAGGTCAGGTCGACTGATCAGACTTAAAGGGAATATGTGTGGCTTGTCAATCTGATTTGCGTTCGAATACGACGCATAGAGAAATGGCTCGGCCAGGCTCCGAATGCGTTGAGACGTCAGGCACAAGGATGCTAAAGATGGGGTCGCATTCGGCAAAGTGTGGATATACTCAAGTATCAGCAACAAAAGCTCAGAAGGGAGACTTGGGAAATCCGGCGCCATGGTGGAGTTTCGATGTGGAGAAGAACGCTGGTGTGACGCTGCAACTGCAGCCTGCAGCCAAAGTAGCGTCACGCTAGTTATGTCAGCATGGCTTTCACAAATAGTTGTTGGATGGGACGGGACCGGAACCGACGTCGGGGCGAAGACAACGATCCTTTCTAATACTATTCCCCGACTGCATATCGTGGGCTCGGATTCAAGTGGTTTCAAACGGTTTCCTCCAGTGGCAGCGCGCGTCCAAAGTTCAGTCTGCTCAGGTTATTATACTACAAGCACCATGGAATTTTTAGGTTGTACTGTTGTGGCCACGGCTTCCTCCTTTGCCTACTGCCAATGTGCCTTTTTCTTTAAGAAAGCAAATGCTTCGTAGAGGGTTTGCGATGGCTGGGATCCGGGACTCCGGGCTTCCTATCGATAAGACATCTGGATTCACGCAATCTCGGTTCTACGTTACCTAGGAGCACTAATATCCCTATTCCGCCTAGTTGAATCAAAGAAGGGCGAAGCTTGCGAGGCGCTGCGTAGCAGTGCGTAGAAGGATGCCACTACCGTTTGTCTCACTCCACCATTAACCTATACAAAAGTGTGTGGCTTCGCAGGTTCGCTTTTTCAAACAATCCACGAGACACAAACACACGCATTTACTATGTCTGAGAAGGCTGGCTTACAGAAGCTTCGACCCTGCGGTATGTCTGTGTTTTAGTTTCTTCAATCAGTCCTTCATGTGACACATGCTTAACGGCAGGAGTACAGGCCGTTTTGAGCTCTTCTCGACAGCTCGACATCACCTCGGCTACTTCAAAAATGTCGCATGTGCCGCTACCTACACGGTCGCGTCTGCAGTCAAGCACGATGTATTGGAAAGTCTTATTTGGGGGGCGCTGCACAAAGTCATTGCGCGACATTCGATGCTCAGCGCTATCATCTTGAACGAACATAAGCAAGACTCTGAGGTCTACTTTGCGCGTCTTCCTTCGATCGACCTGAGAACTTGCGTTGAGTTCCTCGAGCGTCAATCCAAAGTCGCAGTCGGTGACAGAGACGAAGAGCTCGAGCTACTTCTACAAGACCAGCACAGAATCAACTTTAGAGAGGACATTGGTTCAAAGCCGTTCTGGCGTCTCGTGATACTACACCACCCAGAAGACCAATCGACTTTCACGGCTGTCTGGTTCTTCCACCATGCTCTCGGCGACGGAGGATGCGGCCCAATTTTCCACCGCACTCTCCTCTCGGCCCTAGACATGTCAAACCCAACAGATGCAGTGAATCCCATTGTCAAAATTCCCACGACTGCAATCCTTCCCAAGTTTGAAGACCTCCATCCACACCCGATATCCTGGGCCTTCTTCTTGCGCGCAATCCTGGGATCAATCCTCCCATCCATCTTCGCGCCTCGCGCGCCGAAACTTTGGACTGGTCCACCCGTCATCGCACCTACTCCGCTCCCCGGCACGAGGGTCCAACTGCTACCGATCTCCGCACCGACTACAACAAATCTCCTGAAACTTAGCAGAGAGAACGGAACCACTCTCCAGGCCACCCTCGAATGCTGCATCGCGACCGCTCTCTTCTCCGTTCTCCCGGCAGAAGCATACGACAAGGTCAACGCCTCTGGGCCCATCAGCATGCGCTCCCTGATTCGACACGAAGGTCAACCCGTCGGAGACGACGAATTCATCCTCGCGCTCGCAGAGTACACGCACATGCACGATCGCACATCGCACCCATTATCCAGCGAAAAGTTTCCCTGGGAAGAAGCACGTGCCGTTCGCTCGACCATACAGACCGAAGTCTCGAAGCAGGGCGCGGACAACGTCGTTTCGCTGCTGCGCTATGTGTCCGACATCCACAAATACTTCACTGAGAAGGTCGGCCAAGAGAGGGCCGTATCGTTCGAGCTATCGAACCTTGGGTTGATAAAGGCAGGCACGGGAGCTGGAGACGGATGGACGCTGGGTCGATGTGTCTTTAGCCAGAGTCCGCATATCACGGGGCCGCCAATTGTGTGTTCGGCCGTCACAGGTGGCGATGGGTGCTGCGTATTGACATTCGGATGGTTGGACGGAGTGGTGGATGATGAAATGGCGAGGGCGGTTGTGGAGAGTGTTGAGAAGCTGATACAGGGTCTGGTAGGCGGGGGAAGTTGAACCTATGGGCGAGAAGACGAGCGCTTGAAGAAAGAACTGCAGCATCATCTCAGCTGACTCTAGAATAGATAATTCCATGACAGATGTAACAAATTACACTAACATTAAGCATCATTTCGATGTTTCGTCATCCATTTCCCTACCCCCTCCCACCTTTTCGACACGCTTTGAAAACTGAATCTACCGTCGCTCATACAAGATATTGGAAATTTTAATGCAAGAGAGCTCTTTGAAGATGCAGGGTGAACGAAGATACAATATAAGAGGCCAGATGCTGCTCGGGGTAAATGCTTAGGAAGAAGGACGAGCTGATGGCCATCGGGACGCAGGGGATGGGAGCATAGAAGAGATTGAGCCAGGCCGGGGGTATGGGTATGATATTTGCATCAAAGAAACGAAAAGAAGAAGGAGAAAATCGGTCATTATGACTTGGTCACAAGTCCACGTAAACGTTGTATGAGAAGACGGCGCCCGCTCGTATGGAACACCTGATGGAAGGGCGAAATAAAGAACTTGAAGATGGTGTCGAAAAATCGGGATGCCACGTTACCAAACTGTGTTGGTAGGGCCAACCTTTTGTCGCTGAATGGAATCAGTTCGTCTGCTTTCCTTTGCAAGGTGGTGGGCACGTACGCTCCTCGGTGGTAGCGCGGGCAGTATATGCTCCATACCAGATTTCCAACGTGGCTTAACCTGACAGCGTGCAGATACGCCTGCGCATCCCTGGACAGAGTTTTGGTATTAGGGCTCTCGATGTTCTCCTCAAACTCGGACAAATGTCTCTTGATCTCTTCTTGGCATATTTTGATGGCTGTAGACTCTGTGCACTTGCGCTCTTGCATTACGACCCAGACGGCATTGAAGACGTAGTCTTGTCCAGCCTTGTCTGCGTCCTCGCGTTCTTTGCGCCAGGAGTAAAGGTCATTGGTCAGACTGATTGCAGCGTAGCCAGGGCGCGCGAGTTTCATGCACAAATCGAGCTCGTTTGCTGGGATTGTGAGCGCCATAGCGAACGTAAGCATGCCGTACCAAAATCTGGGGCAGATCGGGTTAGCCGGGACCTGCGTATCGCTAACATCAACGACATGGCGCCGCGTCATTTACTTACAATTCTCCGGCATCGATCGCCCGGCTCGGGAGATATTCGTCTAATGTCTCGAAAGGTTGTGAGCGGGTGCGCGATGCAAGTTCGACGAATTGCGCCCATGCTTTCATCGTTGTTATCGCGCGGGCTCGGTCAATGGCCATCATCTCCGCTAGAATTTGCGCTTGTAGTTTCTTCTCCGGGCGAACTGTGCCGTGGACCTTCTCATTGAGTGCATCGTCGCGAAAAACGTGCAGCATGTCATCACGACCTTCTTTGAACTAGTTCGGGTCAGTTGTTGGGATGCACGACCGTTGAGCCGAGCCTCTTCTTACGTTCTTGAGGTCTAGATTCTCCATTTCGTCTACAACGCGTCAGCGGCTGAACACTATCTGTCATGTGTAGCTCCATACCATCGTAGAGAAAGGCATACTCATTGGCGTAAGAGATGATCTCTAAACGCTCAGGAATGCACTCGGGTATGGTGGCGCGAATAAAGCTGTATGGCTCTCCCAGGCCGCCCTGATAGTCGTAAACCGGGCTCACAGTCGAATTCCAGTCTTTTTGTGCGCGGAGCGAGCCCGCGATCTCACTGTAAGGATCCTTGTGTATCCGAAATGGGATGCCGTTCGCCAATCCATCGTCCCTGTAGGTACCCGAGTCCAGGACATCGGAGTATTTGAAGTCCATGGCCGTGGGACAGAATTCAACCAGTCTGGTGCGAGGGTTGTTAGAGAGTACCAGTAGCCACAGACCCGGGTGGTCGGGCCTCCTTTACATATGTGGACTGCTGATGCGCAACAAGCGCGGGCTACGCCGCTATCTGCTGCCGCTGCCGCGGCCAAGGGTTTGGTATGGTAAGGAGCAGCTCGCCGACCCTAGGCCGTTTGGAGGGCCTTTCCGTGCGCACGTCATTAAGGCCGTTGACCCTGGTGACCCTGGCCTGAGCATAGGACCAGATCGAGCTGCTGTGAAACGTGGCAGGGGAATGGGAGCATTTGCCTCCTGACACGCACCAGAGCCCCATAGCCGACCATTCCAATCTCTGCATGACACTGGAAGCGATTAGATAAGCGCGTGTGCCGTCCCGACGAGATGGGCTCGGTACATTCCCCGCGTCGAGGAGTCAGTTCCCTGCAGCAAATCCTTCCCACGAGGACCGGGGGTTCCAGGGACGGATGTTTCGGGGTCACATAGACCCAGAGCCTGGACAACGACAACGCCGGAGGCAACTTTAATTGCCATGGGCAGCAAAGAGCGACATTGGCAGTTGCCTGTGCGCTATTAGCGTTGCCATCGCGCCGGCTTCTGCTCTCGGATCGGTGATTCGGCGCGGATAGCGCCTTGGTCGCTTGCTGGAGTGTGGTCGCTTGCTGGAGTGTCTCCGAACGCAGGTAATTTGCGAGGCGACCCTTCACTGGCTCCGTCGCGTTTTAGCACCCCGTCCAAAGTCGGCACTGTCAGATTTGTTCGTTGTAAAGCGCTACTCGTTGGCTGCGGTCGCATTCGGAGTGTGGATCGCAGGTGATGCTGAAGCCACACCGACAGGACCTTTTCACACAGGGGCACTTCTCATGCTCTCCCAGGACGAAAAACGGACGACAATCTAGCGGGCCACGTGCACCCTATGAACGTGCGATCCCGATTAGACCATTCCGCAGTTTCCATCAGCCAACTCCATTGTATCAACGAGAGCTGGGCCCCACAACATGGCCGGGATGCGACATCCTTCGCCCAGTCTGGCGTTCGTATTCGAGTCCAGACCCCAGCTATTCGGAACCTGCAGGTACTGCATGGCGACCGGAAACGGTCGAATGGCCTTCCGAGCACGGGAACACTTCGTGTCGACCTGCCGTTCAACAACATAACCAAGCCTTCGGAGACGCCGAGATTTTCGTCAACTGGTGTTCGCCCAACGCTCTGTTCTGGTATGATAGTCGCTCAGGTCTTTCGGCTGCACGGTGCGTTCGCTGTCGCGATTGCGGGCTGGTTCAAGCAATCGCGATCAGAGCAGCTTCAACACCGCGCTCACACGTGTCTCATCAACGCAATCTTATCGGCCCAAGCCTCGGTTTGTCCACGCACCGTTGTTTCCACACTCGCTGCTCGAGGGGCGTGCTACCAAATTGGCAAGAGCCCCTGTCTTTTTCCCTACCGTGCAGCATCCGTGCTGGTGTTTCCAGGCAAGCGGGAACTCGAATACACGGGGATCTGCTCATGACCTATCCGCTCGGCGATACTGACGTGCGGGCGATGTAAGCTACCGCGACAGCCACCAAGGGTTCTTCATTGCGGACCGCACCCTGCTGGAAGTGTGGGCTGTGCAACCTCAATCGGTCGAAGTTCTCAATCAGTCAGGGAAACATGCCCCTTACGTGCATTGCACATACCCCTCATCGACGATCAATGACATTTGCTTGTCAGAATCGCTGAGTGTTGGCAACTCTTAGGGCCCAATGTCGACTGTGCAATGCTGTGGTATATCTGACCACATTTCCTACTGATTGTATGCAACGCGATTTAATATGCGGTTCATTTTGTGTTGCGGCAGGTGGACGTCAATGTCCGAAGTCACGCAAGCCCATCCAGCCACCTATTGCAAGAGGCTATCTTCGCTCTGCATATGTATAGGAGCGGTCCAGAAGTCCGTTGCACTTTCCCTCAAACTCCCAGGTGCATGCAGCGGATGACCTCACCGCACAGTTCCGGGAAGTCGTGTCACAAACTGATTGGGAACCGGTGACAAGGGTTGTAGTGCCGAAGGAACCGCGTTGGAAAAGTACGTGCATGCGCACGATAGATTGCAGGTCGCGAACGGGCTACAGGGTTACGGACCTCCTGCGTCACGCATCCATGCTTGGACTTTGAGCAAGGCAATTGCTGAGCGACAGCATTGCCCAGCAAAACGACTTCTGAGCAACATGATCGCTGAGCAGCATGATTGCGGCACAACACAAAACAAGTAATACGCGAGATCGTCACCATTCAAAAACATGCTTCGCTTCAACTGACAGCAAATTTTACGAGTCCAGTTTTGCTGACCCTTTCGTGGTAACACCGCAACAAGTAATACTCCTCGCATCCACCAACCCTTATTCTCTCGTCTCGACCCTTTCCCTTTCTACTGCGATTTTCCATTCCTTCCGCCCGCCTGGTACATTTATCGCCTATAACGTCGCTAATACGAATCTGTCTCGATTTGCAATCTTGAACTGGAGACCAACAGAGTACTTGAGCACAATGCTTTGTATGCTTTGTTGTTGTGATGGACATTCCACATACTATCTTCCAAAATCAGCGTCTTCGCTTGTCATGCAGCGACTCAGACCACCGGGAGGCGCACCATGGTACTTCCGCCCTTTCTCCCCAGTATCGTCTGCTCTGCGCTATTGCGTGCGCGGCTACGCCTGACACAGGGAACCCGACAAGATGTGACTCACAAAGGGACTCATCACCTGATAATATTGATAGTTGTTAACAAAGGCCACATTGACTGGGTTGTGAATGAAGTGACATGTGGGTCGATATCTCGGTCACCCGTGTGCATGGATCTAATAACACAATCTGTCCATGCAGTGATGCGCAACATTGCGGTTGCTGCAATGAATAAATCTGTTTACAATGCGATTCTTGCGTCGAAGATTATCATTCAAAGTTAACAAAGACATATGTTGGATGTCATTGACTACCGATATCGAGCACTTCATAGATTGAAGAATCTTGAACCTGAGCGAGCATGTATTCTCTCTGGCAGACCCGACAAAGCAGCATGTACTTTAGATACCATCCCTTCGCCTTGTCGCTTCACTCATCACATCACCTCAGCGTTACTCGTATCGCAGACACCTCAGCATACCCCGCTATGCCCTGGAAGAGAAAGGTGCTAAATTAGTGAGGGCTCAAGATGAGTTGAGGGCCTCTCCCACGAACAGCCTGCACCATATCTGCACACACCCTCAACTACCGGACGGCCAATAACCGTCGAGCCCTTAAATACTACCTCGCCCGACAAGCTCTCGGACCAGGCATTTCACACTTGATCTGTGAGAACCAGCGCACTGCCATTATTCCGGGTCTGTAGCATGGACCCGCCACTCTGCCGCGTCCACAGCGCTCCACCGCCCTACTCTATTCTGGAACCCAGCACTATCCCACCATCTCCGAACAAGAAGCCCACACAGAGCTCTCACACGCGTCCACACTTTCAAGAGCACTATCAAAAGTCAAGACCAGAGTCGAAGACAGCGCCGCCCCTTCCGTGTACCACACCGCAAGAGTTGGCAGCACAAAAGCGCCGGACGGGGTGAAGAAGGCCGGGGTGGTGACGGCGATGGCACGAGCCGCGGGGCCGGCAGGGGTTTTCGCGGGAGGCATCTTAGGTGCAGGCGTTATAGCCTACACGGGGGACATGGAGGCATAAGACGTACAAGCTGAAGGAGAAGCAGAGGGCGATGAGGCTAGTACAGGAAGGAAAGGCGTGGTATGATGGGGAGGGGAACCTGGTGACTAAGGCGACGCAAGAGAAGCGGCAGAAGAAAATGGTGGCAGAGGGCAAGGCGATATTTGATGAGGATGGGCTATATGTGGTGATGGAGCAAAATAACATGACGACGAGTGGTGATGAGGGGGAAAGGTTGGCATGGTGGAGAAAGAGAAGATCAGTGTTACTGTGGTTGAAAAAGAAGAGAGTTCACATGGGCAGTGACAGTAGAGGGTACACAATATCAACGAGTGTGTGAGTAGTTGATTGTATGATGTAGAATTATCGTATTAAGTGTATGCGACGGAGAAGCAGCCGTATGACGAATCAAAAAAACTCGGAAAAGAAAAGAAAAACGCCGATAAACACTTTTCCAATGCTCAATGTCGATCCCCAAAGTCCATCTAAGGCTTCCTGCAGCTAGAAGTAGGCCTCAACGAGCCCTGCCCGTAGTACACTGCGTATGCCGCGTTGACGCTCTCATGGTGCTCCTTTGCGTGCCTCTTGACGAACTCCCACGCTTGTCGTGTCTTGCTCGGTGTCATTTTGGAGGATGAGGATGATATGAGGGAAACGGCTGAGGTTGTTTTGCCGGACTTCATGGTGTCGATAGAAGAGCGAGTTGTGGTTGAAGGGGCGTAGGAGGCCATGGTTGTAGTGGGGTAGTGTCCAGATCCCAGAATAGAGGTTGATCTCGTTTGCGGCTCAATGCTCGCGGTCTTTGGAATTGTGGTCAAAGGAGGGTGTGTATATGAAGCTGGAACCAAAATGCTCAGGACGAGGACAAGGTGTTGATTGTAGTGTCAAGTGGCTGGTTTATAGTGGAGGTTGCAATGTTGTTTGCTAAACTGAATAGCTGAGTATAGTGATATAGTTGATCTGAGCTGATATGTTTCAGATGGAGTGGGAATTGGTGTACTGATAGTTGCCTGAGTTTGTGTTACTGCAGAAGGCGAATTGCTTCCCTCTTATATCTCTATGCCCTTCGTACGGTCTCCTACATCGGCTCTTACTCAGAGTCATCACTTTGTCACAACTCACGCGTTCTATTTTCCGGAACGCCCTCACGCCTTTCATGTCGAACTTTGGCCCACTACAATCCACCACGACTCGGCCAACCAATCGCGTCGCTCGCACGATGCGACGAGGTAAGTCCTCCCGCCAGTTTTCCGGCGGCATTTCACGGGAAGAGCTAGCGATAGCGAATCGTAGCTCATGCCGATACACGCGATTGGTCAATTCGAGAGGGTACCCGTGATGAGTCGCCTATGGAATTTGCCGACAGTAGGAATGTTCTTGCGCGCCCTGCGCACGGGCCTGAAGTACAGGTGTGGCTTGCGCGCCCTGGAATGTACATGCGTGAGTCAAATGTCGTTGAGAAGTCGGAATCGGTATTTGCAAGCAGAACGCAGCACTTGGAAAATGCATCGAAGATCCCGAAAACGTTCCCAGCACGGTATTTTCGTGACCTGGCATCATATAAGCTGGTACCATACGGGTCTGTCTGGTGAAGACAGCTGATGTGAGCGCCCTAGTGAAATAGGCAAACTTTGGACACTGATATCTCACAAACGAACCATGGCCCATGAATTGTAACGGCGTCTCGTTGCTATCGCGCTCCCGGGGCCAGTCAAGATGGAAATGCACAATCACGAACACCCGTCGCATCCGTGAGCGGACCATGTGCCGGACAAGTACGCGAGCTGCGGTTATCTAGGTTTTGGATGTTTGCGCATGGAGTCGTCCTTGGGAGACACGAAGGTCTCGTGCAGTCGGCGGTTTGCCGGCGCGAGGGTCTTGGTGCTGCTGTCAAGATGCGTCATCTCTCAACGGGCCAAGTAACATTGGGCGAGGCCGACGGCGATAACACTATCGCGCAATCCAGTTGGTGAACAGAAGAAGGCGCCCAAGGACAGGTCCTATGCTGAGAAATCCATGCTGAATGACGAATGCAAGTACAGGGAAGACTCTGACCTTGCTCTCTCGGGTGATCGTTTGGTGGCAAGGTAGAAGAAGTCGGTGAACGAAGCTCGACTGATGCCAAACGAACACCGCCTTCCAACAACAAAGAGGACATCGATAGCAATCCGTTACCTGCAAGTTGTCGACACATCCAGGAGGCACACACAACCCCACTCGGTTGTGTAGGTCCGTGCGCCGACGCTTTCCGCTTATCGGAAGCTAGATCCATGCCCAGGTGATCTTGCCTCGCGCTCTTTTCTCCACCTTTCTCATCTTAAGTCTCATCGCTGTTCAGATCGCCGCTATCGAACGAACTCATGCCCGCGGTGTGCAAACCCCATTGATCTGTTGACTATGCATGGACCCCTTCCACTCGCCGCTCCACGATGGGTGAACCGAGGGCTCGACAGCGCAAATTCGCGCCCCGCTCGCGTCAAGGCTGCTTGACGTGTCGAGCGCGCCGGAAGAGATGCGATGGCCAGCGCCCCCACTGCCAGAACTGCACCAGACTGAATCTATCATGCGAATACCAGGCTCCCCGTAGGATCACCGCCGACGCTGCCAGTTCACAGGACAGCGAAAGCTCTCCGGACTCATCTCTGACGGTTGGACCTCTGACACAGTCCCTCGACCCTTGGGATACCCTCCCTGGAGATGAAATCGGAGAGAGGAAACACTTACTCCGTTACTATGTTGAAGCATTTGTTCCAAGTGTATCTGTAGCTACTACTGCAACCGGAAGCTTCTACACCGGCCTGTACATACCATGGGCCTTTGAGTGCGATGGTATGCTCGACGCGATACTTGCTCTTTCTTCAGCCCAACTTGCCCGAAGGAGTGCAAGTACAGATCGTGCGCAGCACCTTCGCGCTGTCTCAGCAAGGCACCAGCGCAAATGCCACGCCTTCCTAGCAGACCGCGTACCAGAAACTGGCGGTCCTCCACGAGATGCCTACCAGGTCATTGGCATCATTCTTCTACTTGTTGGTCTCGAAGCCTTGAACGGAGACAAGAGTACACGTTGGCTTTCCCAGATGAAATGCGTACGAGGCATACTCCAGATGCTGGGCGACCCAGGCGTCTCATGGGAGCTACATTCGCTCCGCAGGCATTTCACCTACCACAACGCCATGGCCTCCCTCATGGCCCGAGTATCCAAGAACGAGTCCCTCTTCGTCTACGATGATCTAACGCTAGCCTGTGAGCCCGACACCCCACTGGTTGTCGACCCCCTCATGGGAATCACCTACTACCTCTGCAGCCTGATCTCGCGTATTCAATACGTGAGCTCGACCAATCCGGCCTTCCCCCAGATCTCCGAAGCCGCCTTCGCGGTGATTGAGCGCGACATACAGCAATGGACGTACGGCTCTCCAATAGGGCTACCCGGTCTCGACCTCCCGCAAGCCCTCGACCTCATCGCACTCGCAGAAGCCTATCGTCTCGCCGCGCTAATCCAACTCTACCGTACGTCCGCCGCACACAAAGTCCTCATATCCTCGTGCGCCAGCCGCGCCATGGAATTCATATCCCGCATCCCGCCAGGTAGTCCTGCAGAGTCCAGCCTCCTCTACCCGATCTTCCTCGCGGGCGCTGAACTCGACAACGAACCAGAAATATCGAAGTGTTTCAAGAGACTGGCGGAGATCCAGCAGAGAAACTGCTACGAGAACACGAGCAATGTGCAGAAGGTGCTGGAGGAGGTTTGGAGGCCGGCGTTGAATGGCGAGCAGAAGCGTGACTGGGAAGACGTGTTGCAAGAGTGGGGATGGTCGTTCACGCTGGGTTGATATATGATGAGTAAAACCAATCTATCGAGGTCGGGAACCCTCTAGTATGGCTCATCATGATGGAGAGTCGGGCTCCACTGGTATCTGGACCTATGATCCGCTTCGTCAGTCCATGGGACGCGACCCCTAAATGTGCCTCGTTTGCACCGCTCGCTCGCCATGCGCGCATGCGCCCAGCGTTACGCTTAACGCTTAATGCCTGGGCTCCATCACATGGCGTCATTCCCGCAGGCCTTTTCCACGCGATGGTCGCACTGAGGCGCCCCGTCTTTTACGCAGGGTAGAGGCATCATTCGCGTCGACAGCAGTACGACTTTACTTGCGAGCGACCATTACGCGTGCGCCCAGGTACCCATGCGGCAACGCTCTGCCAGCTATGCGTTAGGTCCTAGATGACTCACATTGATCGTAGCTGAACGACAGTCTCCAGCTCTCAGGTAGACGTCATAGTAACAGACAATGGTTGTCGGGTATTGCATCGCCTTACCTAGAGGGCTGGAGATTGCTGTCCAGTTACGACCAACGGGGTTCATCTGGGAGCGCTACATCTATCTGACCCGAGGGTGCGCTCAACATCATGGTCAGCCGGTTTGTTCTATAAAAGGCTTTGTTAGGACTACGGAGGGAAGGTTCAGAGCTTGCAGACGGATGCGTGGAAAGGTTTTGTAGAGCGTATGAGGAGGAAACAGTGTTGTGTAGAGACGGGGTCTTTAGTCGCGTCGTATACTTGGTGCAAGGACGCAAGGACGCTCGGAAACGGAAACTGCTTCAGGCGTTCGATGCATGGAGGCTTTCGCAGTCGAATGAGAGCATGACTTTCCATCGAAATGAAGGCGTTGGATCTCGCTAGCTATTGCTTCTCAGTTACTAGTAGTCAACCCCGACCCATGAAAGTATTTGGCCACAGAACGCGATGCCAACACAGTCAAGTCCACACGCTTCAACAAATCATAATCGATTGGCGGACGACAAGCTACTCGCAATCTGCTACAGCTAAGGCCTACCACGTATAGCCGTCCAGGGCCAATTTCATTCATAGCTGTAAGGTCGGTTTCCGAAAGGAAATTGTAATGCAAAAGGGCCACTGGGTATCCTGCCGTGCCACACGAACCACGCAATCCGAACGACTACATTCATGCATTAGTATCTATATCCTCATCTCCCTTTACAGACCGAACGCGCAACTCTTGCGGTTCGTGTAACCCTCGTTGATGAACTCGACCACGAGCGCGGCAATGTCGCCTTTCTTGGTAAACGGATGGCACGCGTTGGACAGGATCCAGGTGCTGCCGAAGAAGCTCATTTGCACGGCTTGGCCGCAGGCGTTGGAAGGTGGAGTGTGCGGCTCTAGCGTATCAGACAAGATGGGCGCCATGTTCGCGCTGATGAGATTGGGTTCTTGTGCGGTGGTGGGTGTCGCGGCCACGCCGGCAGGAGGATCAACAATGAGAGTGGCAGTCTCAATATTGGGGGGTTTTCCGGCGGCAATGGCAGTGAGTATGATGGCTAGGCACACGGAGACGGTAGCGAGGGGATGCATCGCGGCTGCCTGAGCAGGATGGCGGTAGCGTATCCGTGTGTTTCAGTGCATGTGGACGGACAGAGAGCGAGGAGGGAAGCAATCGAGATTATGCTGTGAGAGAGCAGAGTTGAGATGAGCATCAGTGTTTTACGAAGGCTAGCGGAAGGCACCGTGAAGAGGGGAAAGGGCGAGGGTGAGGAAGTGCGGCAGCCGGGCTTCACTTCTTGAACGAACGCGAGCTTGCAAACTACGCGCACGTTCAGTCACATCAAACAGAAAGGCCGAGCACTAGTGACCGCCGTCCTAGCTATCTCAAGACGCGCAGTTCAATGCCCAGCAACAGCCAAAAAATGGTTACAGCGCTATTATCAACCAGACCACAAATGCATCACGACACTTGAATGCAAACGGTACGAGTATAAAGACGATTGACTGAGCACAGCTTGTGAGCCCGAAGCAGCCAGCTACCTCAAATCTTTGCTTTTGGGTGTTAACATGCAACCTAGGCAGCAGCCTGAAGTCACAACTGTACAAAGCGAGCTAATATGACATAGGTTGACCTTGGCAACGATAGAGCTATGAGAGATCATCTACAGAGTGGTGCAGCTCACAGCTCATCTACCGTTACACTCTGATTCATACGTTCCACATATTCATCTTCGCCACTCCTGATGGCAGCCCCGTTTCGCCAGCCCATAATCCTAGCTGAGTTTTCCTCGCACTCTTCTTCGTACTTTGACCGGCGCAGCATCGGGTGCAACAACAGCAAAAACACACATACTCCTGCCCCTCGGCGTCCAGATAGTCTGATAGGCCCTGATAGACATACTTGTCCGCTGCTTCGCTAACATCATCCAGCACCTCCACCTTCAGACTCAACCGCGCATTGCGGATATCAAGATCACCTTTAATGCGGCCGCTGATGCCCTTGAGCTTCTTGGCAACGGACTGCGCTGCCGAGGCCGAAGATATGAAGATGTACGTGGAGGCGGTGCGACTACCACTTGGGAAGCCACGACATATCTCGATGTCTAGGATTGTAGTGCCGAAGCCGTCTTCCCCGAGGAACTCACGGTAGAGGAAGAGAGGACTCATGCCCCGAGGCACGTTCAGCACGCGGACCAGCGCAGTGGCGTTAAACTTTGAGCTGGGAATTCCGGCCTTCTTGTTCTTCTTCGTATTAACAACAGCCTTGCGAGCCTTCTTCGAGGGCATTTGGTGCCGGGTGAAGAACACCGCTTCGTCGTCTGCAGGAATGGAAGAGGTCTGCTCGCTAGGGGTGGCGGGCGAAATTATTCTTCCAGGAACGTCAGTCGGTTAAATTTTTCAAAGAACGACTCTGGGTCACTACTTTGGTGTCGAGTAAGGAGTTGGCCTCTTCTAATGCTAATCAAAGGCGATCCCGATCATTTTATGCGACACTGGCATTTCTGAAGTCATGCAGTAATGATGAAAAATCAAGATATGGACCCAGGAACGATGCAGTCCAAAGCAGAGACAAAGACAATCATTTCGAAACAGTATACTACAAAGAACACCATGCAGCTCAACCAATCTGCTTGACGTGATTCGTAACCAGACACGTCCAATCCGAACTACCGTAGTATATCGTATGTCCATCATTGTGCGTCTGCTGTCCAGTACTCTTTACAGTATCCCCAAGCTGCCAGAACAGATCCGCAGCCATACCGCTATCTTTCGCCGCTAGACTCGTCTTCTGCCACTCGCTCTCCACGGGACAGTGATCTGCCGCATTCGATACTCCATACTCTTCAAACAAACAAGGTTTCTTGAGTTGCGCGCAGACCTTTGCGTGTGCAGTAATCCAAGCGTTGCCCCAGGAGTTCGTCGTTCCCCATGAGCTGGGGTAGAGGTGGAATGTACCGAATGAAACGTTAGGCAATGCGAGGTTGGCGGCGAAGTCGAGCCCTTCACTGAACTGATAGGGATACGAACCGTCTCCGCTCAAACCGAAACCCTCGTCGCCAATGGCAATCATGTGGTCGCTATCGAGTGAGCGAATGTAGTTTGACGTCTGGCGGATCCAGTTTGTGAGCACAGAGGTCTGGCAGCCATTGCAGCGCGGTTCGTTGGCGAGCTCCCAGGCAAACACAGCAGTAGACGTGCGGTAGCGCGAGATCACAGCCTTGATGTAGGCTTGATAAAAGGACTGGCATTTTGCGGTTGTGTACCACTGTGCGTTGCTGCTCACGCCGCAGGCGGAAAAGTAGGCTGCCATGCCACCGTAGTCGGTCCAGTTGTTGACAAAGTTGATGATAAGCTTAATGCTGTGTTTCTCTGCTGCTTTCACGACCGCGTCAAGGCGCTGAAGGCCATTGGCGCCGGTGTTGATGGTTGCTGTCGATCCGGAGAAGGACTGAAAGTAGACTGTGCCTGAACCGGGAACTGTGGTTACGTCGTTAAAGCCCCATACTCGTAGGATCTTCAGTCCAGAAGTCTGCAGGTGGCCCATGATGACATCGACATCGTTATCGTTGGTGAGGAATGGTATCCAGTAACTATTGGTGCCAGCGTAATCTATGGAAGTTAGTCAGGATTAGATCAAAGATGGATATTACGCAAAATTGGCAAGATAATGTTCAAAACTTACATTTTGTCACACCGTCAATGTTGAACTTGAGTCCGTCGACCTTGGAGATCGAAGCTCGCGGCGCAAGATGATTAGCCGCCGGCAAAGCTGCTGCTGCAGCGAACAAAGGGAGAAACGAGAGCAGCTTCATTGTGGAGATGTATGCAGTGCTCGATCGAAGTGAAGAGTGCAAGGACCAAACGTATATATACCACTTGAACTATTCTTTGTACCTGAAATGTGACACATTGGGCACGGAGGCCCTGATTCCGATCTACAACGGCCATCTGGCATTACGAGGCTCAAGTGGTCTTAGCTGTGGGGTCAAGTACAGTAGCCAAGATCTGGGGAAATTTTCAGTGGCGCATAAGAGCAAGTATCTGAGCGCTTAGCCTACAGATATGACAGAAAGGGTGAGGATTTAGCGGAGAGCTCGCCTCCGTAACGCTTCGGGTAAAGTCAAGAGACTGCTTTGTGAACAATAACTTAAATTGTGGCGATCGCGCGGAAGCGTCAGCTAGTTTAGAGGTGCAAATGATCGTAGCGTTGAGCTAGCATTTCTCCGGCAATTAAACGTCGCGAGGTCAATCTATTCGTAGCCGAGGTAGCGCGCCAACCCAGTCATAGTGCCCTAGAGCAAAGACTCAAGTCCGTGGAAAAACTCTTGCGCTTGATATGGACGCTATATTTTCCATGTGCGTGGTTCTTATGCGTACTTCGTTCCATATCTCACAACAATGTGACAGCTAGTCAGTGGAAACGGCGGCACTGACCCAGCTTGATATCAACACATTCACGGAACTTAATCTACATTGCTGTATGGAGAGACGAAATGATCAATCATTGTTTTTGTTCCCGCGGGAGAAATAGCCACCATAGTGGTAACCAGCTAATATATACTATTCGCGCGAACGTGTCGCGACAGCAATGGAGCAAAACATCTACCATTGGCAACCCTCACAGCAATCCGAGAAGTTAGGTGGATTCCATCAAGACCGTAATCTTGCACTTTAGGTTCTTTGGACCCTTTCGGCCGACAAGGTTTCGACCAGTGAGCGTCGAGATGGCGCGCTGAGCCTCTGCAGGACTGTCCAGCTTCACAATAGCGTGAGCGTTGCCCTTGTATGTATTATCCAGCTTCGTTCCCTGGACCTGGAATTGTGCGTTCTCGAAAAGTCTATGAACGTTCTCCTCAGTGGCAGCATAAGGCAAGCCACTGACGCGAATCTCGACATGCCCTTGAATAGGAGCAGGAGTAGTAGCAGGTGCAGGCGTTGGAAGAGATTCCTTATTTACCAGGACGTCGACCTTCATTGGGAGGTTGCTGTACCCGCCATAGGTTTCGGTGTCTATCCGACCGGAGGCAGGCACAGCTTTGAATTCTGCAGACGGGGCGGCAGACCCACGGTTGGCCTTGTTGCCCTTGCGGCCCAAATTCACTTGCCAGTTCCAACCAACGCGTCTAAACTTTTTATACTTGTCCTCTGCAATAGCCTTCGTATAAGTCTCCATGAATTCAGCAGCAGCGTTCGGGCGCATGAAAACAAAGGCATAATGCTTGCCCGGTGGCATCTGAACATCGTCGGGCACGTGGGGCGCAAACACCTTGTCAATCTCCTGCCTAGAGGCGCCAGGCTTGATCTTTGGGATGAAATACATCACGTTCTTGTCTTTAGCCTTCTTCTCCTCCAGAATGCCATTGAGCTCATCATCATCGACACACGTCAGGTAAATAGTATCGTTCTTGTAGCAAGTTCCATTGTATCGCCTGACGATGCTCCAGGCTGACTGAACGTTCTTGAAGCGGACGAGGACGCTATCGTAGAGATTCTCGACGTGCTCGATATATTGATCGGCAGACTTCTCCCAATCATTGGGATCCAACTCGTCAACGACCAGCGCGAATGACGACTCATTGAAGAGCTCACATACGATCGCGTGACGTCGCGCGTCAGGAAGCCCATCGAAACGCACCGTCTTGGTCTTAGGCATAGCCTTCTCGTCGCGGAGGAAGTCCGACAGCCGCTTCACGGCCGTTTCTCCGGGGCGCCTCGGCCAAGGGAACAATTGCGGTGACCATTTTTGAGCTCAAGTGCGACTTCCCGTGGCGGCGCCCAGCGAGTGTCTGAGCCAGACGTTGAGCGTTGGCATACGAGTCGACGAAGCAATACATGGTATAGGTAATACCGTAACCGCCATAGGACTCGCCATAGATCATCTCGATTTCCTTGATACTGTGCTCTTTGTCGTAGACGAGTTCCCTGTAGAAAGCAGCGGGGTCGTAACCGGGCGACACGCGATCAACGCGGACGAGGGTAGTGGACGTGCTGTTCGCCATTTTCGCCAGGAGAAACTAAAACTTTAGGCTTCTCTCTGTGTGAACTCGGTACTGGTGTGGATCGGGAGAGGAAAGTTTCTCTTGGCTAATCTCAGTGTTTCTCTTTTGGTTGTTTTGCGCTTAGGGGATGATTTGAACCTGTCTATATGGAAGATTTCTCGGATTTTAATAATGTTGAAGAGACAATGTAGAATGCACAACAAAAGTCTGACACTCGTGGCGCACTATAATAATGCTCTCTGTTGAGTGTTTTATATCCATTAGATTCACCCTATTCGAAGGAGTTAGGGTATGAGATGGTTGAGTCGACGGATTGATTAGAACCATAATTCACATTTGACAAGTCAACTAACCGATCAGCTCCCTCTACACCACAGCTTTCTCGTGCGCGAAGCAAACACGCCCATGCGCGCCTCTCCATAGCGGCCGTGCCTGTACCCTGGACCCTGAATTGTCAGTATGATAACGCCCAGTAATAGCAACACCTAAAAGGGGCTAGTGCAACATCGTACGTTGTATGGAATTTGGGTTAAACCATCTCGCATCGACCACCTCTCGCTTACAGTGCGAAAGGAAGAGAGGTGGGGGCCTGCTTTGTACTGGGTCATCTGAAAAGCGCCCGTGTTTCAGAACTCGCACACCTCTTATTCAAGAACGTTTGATGCAGATGACTACTTAGCCAAAGGCCAGACGAGTCACACGGTATTGCACGCCTATCGTCTTAGCTCAGTCTAGAGGAGCAATGTAATATTGTCCATCAACGTTGTCCGGAAATATCCCAGGGAGGATATGCTTTCTCGTCCAATAATTTACGAATGTTCAGTACGATCATATCCCGGACTAACATGCGGTAATGTCCCCTGGATTCACACACCTTTGATCATCACCAGCTCCATGGTCCCCCTCATCACCTTCGCATAAGTAACATGCGTCCATTTTCACACGCAGTTGAGCTACGAGAGATTTAGGTTCACAAAGGATATCAATTTCAAAGGTTGGCCCTTGCAATGTAACAAACCGCTAAGTCGTAAAAAAAAACAGAGCACAAATGCAACGAAGGTACATGAAGTTCGGCGTCTTCAGCTCTGCCCTCAAAGAACCAAAGCATCTATCATCGCCATATCCTTGAAGAGTTGACAGAATGTTCCTTCTGGTTTGCGAAAGGCGCTTAGGTGCACTTGACGAAGTTGTTTCCACTAGCACCAGTGTGCGTAATCGCACCAGCCTGCTTGCAAGAAGTGTTGATCACAACGCGGTCAGCTCCAGGAGATCCTACTATCTGTTAGCTCGAAGAGCTCTCTCAAAACAATACAATGCAGCACTTACCACCAGTGTATAGAGCACCGCTGGAGAGGATGGGGAACTCGAGGTAAGGGCCGGAAACAGCAAACGAGAAGCCCTCGTTGTTGTTGAAGGTGTGCGGGTAGCTGTTCGATCCGACCTGAGTACCGGCCTGGTAGTACGAGCACGCCTTTTGAGATGCGGCGTTGACTGCGGCGGCTGTGTAGCTCACAGAACCACACTTGGCAGCGGCGCGCTTGTCAAGCTCAGCAGGAAGTGCCGCAGCGGAGGAGACGAGGAGCAGGATGGAAACGAGGTTGATTGAGCCGAACATGTTGGCGGTTTCTCGACGTGAAGCACAAAGAGCGAATGATGCTGGAGCGACTGGAGCTGATTGAATGTTCCTCGAAGCCTACCGTGAGCCAGGTACGTTCGAATAACCCATCCTTATACTGCTCAGATCGTCCTTCCTCTTCCCTGAGATATAAGATGATTGGTGGGTACCTGTGGTATGTATTCGGCAAACAAGCCGTTCCTGACTTACGCTCCTACATCGCAGGGACTCCCAGCCTAAGCAACGCACACATCGAAGTATCAAATCACATTCACCTCTTACCTAGCACGCCCCATTATGATTGGCGTTCGATATGATCGACGCGTAAGCGTGTGTCTTAGTTGTCCGGGACCCTGCAGGATCTGCGCGCATATAATGCTCAATATGGCAGGTAAGCGAAAAGATCGGTCTACAAGTGTGCGGCGACCAAGAGTCGTGTCGATAAGGTTGGCCGGCAATGGCTGGTAGTTGATGGGGGCTATAGTGAAACACGGTGCTTGGCCCGGAGAGAGAGACGGGCGCTTGCACGGAATAGGCAGGCTGCGATAACCAATTACCCCGCAACGTGGTGGCACATGGGCGCGACTTGGAGAAGTCCTGTAATAATAGTGATATGGGTGTCGGAACTCGCCTCCGCGCAGGGTTCTGGGAGGTTTATCTGTGTCGCGCGACCAGAAGGACGTCGGAGGGGCTCTCCAGGGCCTCATGCGATGGATTCTAGTGGTGGAGAAAGTTGTATGGAGATATCGATGCATACGTAGAGAGCGGTTCACACTGAGAGGTACTTAGAATATCTCCTCATTCACAGCCTGGCGGAAGTCGCCGAACCCGTCGCCGAACTTCGGGAAAAGCATTGTGATCGGGAGGCTGGTGTCTGAACGAAATGCCTTGGATGAATTAGCGTCCTGGAGAGCACCCATTTGATAAGTAAAGCATGATGCTGGCCACGAGATGCGGCAGGTTCAGTGCAAGACCACAGATCACGCTTGGAAGGCTCTTGGGCAATCAATATAACATGACGAACTCAATCGATATGGTTCTACATGAGTAGCAATTCAGCCCTATACCTACTCAAAAACATGAAGAAGCTGAGCTCACCACTAAGTGGGCTTGTTTATAGTGATGCCAAGAAGACATGGTCTTTCCCTCCAACCAATTGAAAAAGTCCATCTTCCCAACGTAAGACCCAACGCAAGGCTGTTTGATCAGGACAATAGTCGTCTGGATGGTCAACCACACGAACAATGAGGCTAGATATGTTAGCTTTGATAACGTGAAGAATTTCTGCGCATGACTCACTATATTGCGGCGTTTAATGAAGAACGCAAGTAATCTTCTTGCCTAGGACCTTGTGGTTCTTGTTGTTCAGAATCAATTGAGCCACCTCCGCCTGCGTCTGGCAAGCGATGGTTACTGTCGCCACGCCCTGATTTAGAGTCTCTTCTTCGGCAGAACAGCTGTGGGATCAGTAGGATCGATCTGAGCAGTCCCGTCATGGCCAAGTGAACTCGCCAAAGCGGTAGCAGATACCTTGTCGTTCTCCTAGCCCTGATCATCGACGGACAAGTCAGAGATGCCCTAGGTGACGTCGGTGGCACCTTCATGGCTGCGCAGCGGACCTGAAACCGGTGTGACCCGGTATTTGCTGTCCGAAGTAGCAGGAGCGGCCTTGCCGTGGTTCTTCTTCTGGTCCGTCTTTATGACCTAGAACCGCCAACTATCATATTTACAGTCTGGCTTTTCGAGGCCCTTCAGGAACGGGACAGCTGCCTTTTGGATTATGAAGACGAACGCGAAGGGCTTGCCCGGCGGCAGGCTGCTGCTTCGTAAGGTTCGAGTTCAGTCTGCAAAGAGTGGGACATGTCAGGTGCGCGCTTCCGCCTCAAGGTCTTTTCCACAGAATCTTTCGACATAACTTTTTAAATAGTTGAAGCCCCAAAACCTTGCTATCGCTCATATTCCTAACTTTAAGTATCTGTTAAGCTTTGCTACCAACGTCCCGCACCTAATATCTGCTTTTGAAGTCGCTAGGTCCAGGGAAATGGCGTCAAATTCTGATCAAATCACCAAATCGTTGAGTAAATTTACTGTTTATCTTCAGATTCGTCTTTAAGAAGATTGGTGCTATGGGCAAGAAATGGAATGGAGATTACTGTGCGTTGGTGTGGACTGAAGGTCGCAAGGTACATGCCTCAAAGCCAACAACTACGATCATATGCAATGATTAGTCACTACAATGAATTAAACAACTCTACTGCTAGAAACCTTCAACGAGTATTTTCGCTATCGACCCTACTTCTGGTCCCTTGAATAAAGTACTTAAGCTAGAAAGAGGGTGCAACTATCCTCAGAGCCCCCATCATCCAGCCAGACGCAATGGCACGAAAAAAAGACGTTTCAGACAAAACATGACTAGCCTCACTCGGACATCATATCAGCCATGGTTATGCGTCATCGCGATTCATGTCAGCGTTGATCCGCACCACGGTCACCATGGTAGACAGTGGCGTCCCCCAGCGTCACCTGTTCTCCCTATGCCTTCACCACGGTGACAAAGCGCAGCACCAATATCTTGTTGGTCATCAATATAGGTGCCTCGACATCCTCTGCCGCAATAATAGTGACAGCTTCCTCTTGATTGGCCTTGTGGAGCGCAATATTCATGGCTGCGATATTGCAGGAAGCAAAGAATTTTTGAACGCGCTCTTCACTGCCGTTCGGTTGAGTTTGCCGACGCGAACCACTTAATTGATGACTTTAGGATCCATAATACCCCTGATAGCGGGATTATGGATGTTTGTGGAGTCCTGGAAGGCCGAACCGGAGTCGTTCTCGTTAAGAGTCTCCAGGTGGTTGCTGTCGCTCCAGAAAGAAGAGGCCTTGCAAGCGCCATATGCAACGTCCTTTTCGTCCTTGCTCAGTGGACCGGAAGCATGAGTAGTCAGGAAGAGGCATCAGGTTCCACCGTTGTGAGCTTCTTGCGGTTTGAGTACTTGACGTCTGCACGCTTAACACGGTAGTTCCAACCCTCGTGCCACGCGCTGATTAGGAAAAGTCCGAGAGGAACTCCGCAGCCGCCTCCTCGCGCATGAAGACCAATGCAAAGCGCTTGCCGGGCTGCATCACCCCACAGTGAAAGCGGTGATCATGTGTGGGCATTCAATTTATCGACTCTGTACGTCACTTATCACATCCACACCGTTCATGGCCCCCTCTTCTTAGGGGAAGCCCCAGATGCAAATGACAGCATTCTCACCATCTCAAAGCTCCGAGTGAGATGATTCATCGGAAAAGACGAGTCAACGGTCTATATAATTCTTCTCACAGACACATTTGCATTTCAGATGCTGTCCAGACAATATCAATCAAGAGGTAAACGGTCTCCAAGCTTAAATGTGGTGGAGTTCGAAAGTTTGATATACAGACTTTCCTGTCTGTTCAGCGTACTCTTGCAGTGTCTGACAGAGCTCAGCTCGGCAGAATGGACACGATTTGGTGTCCATCCAGGTCAGGAAGCAGGTCCCGTGGAAGATATGATTGCAATGTGTCTTCACGATCTTGATATCCGCTTTATCCCACTCATCCAAGTAAATTGGGCAATGTCTTTCCTCTGAGGTATGTGTCTGCTCGCAGAGGTGCCGCAGAATATAATCGTTTTAGCTATTCGCTGGCGCCATGGTTGCGTTTCTTGGCGGAAGCGGAGGCGGAGCGATGCCTCATAGGACTCAGAGTAGGTTGCATCGGGATGCGTTGCGCGTTTAGGTCGAAAGTTTTGCCGGCTCACGACGTTGAGATTCAGTCGACGTGAAAAGCCAAACGCTTCGCAAGTCATTTCAGGCTTATATGTGGCGTGTTCGAAAAAATGCAATTTTGATGTCGTGCGTTAAGCTGGTAAGAGTCTACCAAAGTTCATATCACGATGACCCCACATCAGAAAGGTTGAGTTCCACAAGTCTTGGTGCACTCTCAACCCAAACTAAAAGGAAATAGAAAGATGAGTTTGGACGTGACGCGTCCAAGGAGAATAAAGAAAGACTACCCAAGTATACCTATGGTACGCTAAGCACCACAACAGCTCCCGGACCTAAGCCTGGCACATACGCCCCCTCTTCAGGCACTTGCTTTCTTCGCCGCTATGTATCTCCATGTCGTGATTTTCCTACTGGCTTTAACCTTTTTCGTCTCACTGGCCTTCTCCTCCCCGCAAACCATACACTTGAACCCAAATCTGCCCCCAGCAGCATCGAAAGCAACACTAAACCCCTCCAACAAACCTCTCCCCGCAACAACATGCGGCTCCTTCCCCGCCCTCGTCGGAAAAACCCACTCGGGAACACCCTTCTTCTTCTCCCCAACCTTGAAGTCAAATCCCGCCACCCCCTCGGCATTTTTGTTGACCGGAAACCCAAACTCGAGATGTGTGCCCGGTTTGACGACCTTCATCTTCTTGTTCTTGTCATGAGGTTTGTGGATCGTGTCCGCCACCGTAGTATTCGGGATGCTGCCCACCGGCTCAGCCTGCACATACATGTATCCCGTGCTCGTGTCCACGACCGCCGTCCCGTTGTACGGCGCACTCCCATCAACGCGAAACTGCGTCTTGACCTTGGCCCAGTCGCGGGAATCCCCCGTCGCGCCCTTGTCTAACTTGACCCAGTTATAGCCCTTCGTGTTGGCGCTTGTGAGGCCTAGATACACGCCCTTGGTGCTCACTGTGTACCCACTTCGGAACGTCTTGTCAGTTGTAGCAGCCCCGTTCACCTCCTTGATATTGAGGAAGGGGTTGTGTGAGGGGATTGCGTAGGGGAGGCCGCTGTTGGGTAGGTTGAAGCCGAAGCCGATGCCCAGGATGAGGACTTTGCTAACGTCATTGGCTGGGGCGGCTTTGTCGTCGCATTTTCCGGTATTTCTCGCGGTATTGTACTTGGGGCAGGTGACGCTTTTGTCTACTATAAGGATCGGGATCTCGGAACGTGCGGAGGTGGATTTGGCGCCTGGAAAGGTGATGTTCAGCCGCACAAAGCGGCCGGTGTAGATTGTTTTTGCGAGGTACTGGTAGGTTGGTATGCCGGTGTTGTTAGCGATGGAGGGGAGTTGGGGCGCGCCGATGAGGAGACCGGTGCTCGCTGTGTCGACTGGGAGGGTAAACTTGATGCCCTCGATGTTGGCTTCGATGGTAGGTGTTTTCGTTAAGGAGAATTTGGAGGTGTAGGGGAGGTTGATTCCGGTCGTGTAGTTGGAGAGATCGTTGCGATCAGGAATCTTCTGGGCTACAGCCAGTGTGGAGATACCGAGCAGGAATAGCATCCGGAACATAGTGTATGAAGTAAGAAAGCGGGCTTAAGCTACAGTCGAGGGACGAAAAGCCACGAGGTATATAACAAACAAGCCATATACAAAAACTGTCACCGTGACTATTAGCGGAATGCTGGTGTAACATTGAGTCGTAAGCCGCCCCTATCTCATCCCTTGCCTGTGGTCAAAACGCCGATAAAGGAAAATATCACATGATCATGCCGCAGCACTGATCTCCTGCACACCCACCGGGCCCATCTTGACAGCCTCTGGCTTTTGGGACTCCTTCTCTTCCTCTACGTCTGTCAGCCCTATGTACTTCAAGTTACCCGCCCATCCCAAGTCGTCGCCAAAGTAGCCCTGCATGACTTCGACGCCATACTTCATGCCAGCTTCGGCGCCCCACGTGAGGCACTGCTTGCCAATGGCGATACCGATGACAGGCTCCCACTTGTTGAGCTTCAGGGGCTTGTATTGCTCTCCTGACGAGCCATGTGTTTTTTCTGAGTTTAGGATGGCAGCGTAGATATTGTGAGCAGCGGTCTGACCCATGACCATGGCAGAGCCGGCGCGCTTTATTCCGGACCATTCGACAACATCGCCGACACCGAAGTGCGAGGCAGCGTTAGGGATGGTGTCTTGGAAGGAAAGATCTAGGTTGACTTTGACCTCCTTATCCTTGTTCAGGCACGCTTCTGGCAGGGGATCTGTCGTTGGCTCGCCCTTCCGCGTTGAGTCGATGACGAAGTCTGCGATGAGAACGTTCCCATTGGCAAGCTTGACTTCGAACTCTCCACTAGGCAGCTCGGTTATAGCAGCCCGACTCCCCGTGACGACGTCAACGCCTTCCTCGATGAGTATATCCTTGACTTTGTCCTTCACGTCTGAAGGCAGCGGCTCAGATGAGAGGACCTGGTCACGAGAATGGATGAGCGTAACATTGATGCTGGGATAGTGAGATTTGATCTCGCCCGCGAACTCAATGCCCACGGCTCCGGCGCCGATAATGACAACTCTTCGGCCTTCTTGTGGTTTCCTAGGGTCACCACCCACTATCTTCGAGACGAAAGCTTTGCCGTCCTTCAAATATTCTTCGTATGAGCCAGATTTGGGAACAGCAGGCCAGTGCCTCTTGAGTCCAGTGGCCATGATGAGGTAGTCATACGCTTGGTGTTGGGTCTCCCCACTGCGGTCCAGCCACTCGGCAACCTTGGCCTCGGGATCAACACGCTTGAGCGAACCGTGCTTGAACTTTAGGTTCCGTTCCGAGCGGAGCTCGTTCGTCTGTGAGAAACGCTTCCACATATTCACAGTGTGCTTTGGAACTGTGTGTGCGAGAGGTGCACCGACGGAGTGGACTTGAAGACATGATCAGCACGGGAATAGCATGAATTGTGCTTCCACAAAGCAGTGCAGGCAACGGCACGTAACATACAGTATCCATCTCGCTCATCGAGCACTGTAATTTCTACACCGTTCCTGCTCCTCTTCTCCTTAAAATCAGGAGCATCAGGGTAGTAGCTCTGCCGCGCCTTCCCTTTGTCGCAGTCGAGCAGGTTAACAACAGCCGAGAGTCCACCATAAGCGCACCCAATGACCAGCACGCGATGAGGCGCCGACAGCGAGAGGTTCGCCAGGGGCGAGATAGGATTCAAGACATCCGAGATAGCCTGCAACCTCATTTTGGTAAGATATGTAAGCTGAAAGGAGGATCGGGTGAAGTGACGCGAGATGATCTGATAAGATCAATTGATGGGTGCGAGCAAATGCCGAGGGTTGGCGCCTTTTAAGACGTGCCCACCGGCATCGGAGTGACACACCGCGTTGCGCGTAATTAGCACGCAGGCACGTTCGATCAATCGGACCACAGCGCAAGGATTCGGGATAGACGGTTAACGGTTAGGCATTGCGGGTCTGAGTAACAGTCGGGATTATCAGATCGCGCTAAATGGGTTAGCGGGATCAGATAATTTCTTCAGTGGCTCGGCGTCGAGGAGTGGAATTAGGCACCCGGTCTCACGAGTCAACGCACAGTGCGGAGAAGGCATGCAGAACCGAGCAGAAGTTGCAACGCGTTCATGCGTCTGTGGAAGTCTTGTTGACAGATTACAGCTATCTAAAAGTGGTGCGTGAGGTGGGAGAGCAATATCGAGCCAGCACCAGCTGCCCGTTAGCGAAGTGATCCACGCGTCCGCTCCCTCGGCATGCCATCTCCAACAAAATTCTGCCGTCATGCATACCGTTTACAGCACGTCATCTTTTGCCGAAGCTGCGTGGCTTGGACGCGGAGCAGCCTCCACACACTCCGCACCTGCATCATATGGTGACTGGTGGCGCCGACTGTCGGATTCATCAAGAGCCTAGTCTTAGGCAATGGAGACGGATATGTCCTGCGGGAAACAGTTTCTTACTTGCACGTCTAACTCCGTCCCCTGGTACAGTATTCAAACGGTGCTCAGACCGAGGACATTCGTCGTGGGTGGGCATAGCAAAGGAGCTGAGTGTAACGAGGATGGTTCGGAGACGGTTGCTTTTCATAAGCGACTCAAAACTATTGCACAATTATATACGTCGTACCTAGGGGGATGCACACGCATTTGATCTTGTTTGACATCACTTTTGACATAGCCACGAGTCGCTTCAATATGTTATTCCGGGAGACAGTTATTCTTATGAAGCGTTAATAGCGACTTGTCGCAGCCGCATCCAGTACACAGAGTTGTGACGCACAATGTTCGTAGGTCAGCGACTCGTCGATCAAGCCAGATAATGACCAAAGTCCTTTGAAATTTCAAGCTGTTTACTTCGCTCATATTTGTGCCAAGTGATACTTTTCATACGGTAAAACTAAGAATACCATTCCCAAGCCTCCTCCCTCTCCCTCTCCCCCGATCCCATCTTCATCTTTATCTTTAGCCCCATCTTCCACCCCAGCATTCCCACCATCGCGAACTACCCAACATATCTCTCACGGCGCCTCAGCCCCTCCAATCCCTCTCAACCCACACCCACCCAACCACCTCCTCATCGATCCAATCCCCATCCCTATATTCATACTCCGCAATGTACCCCTCCATAACCCTACCCCCACCTCCCCTCCTCACACCCGCACGCGGTTCAATCGATCGGTGATATGGATGGTTATTTCGCACGTAGTCCAGCAGCGCGGCGTGAGCGGTTGTCGCGTCGTTGAAGGACATTTGTGTGGCGCGGACAGGGTCAGTGAAGGGGACGAGTTGCTTTACCAGGAAGAATACGTAGGGGAGGGAGGGCCTGGTGTGGAGGGATGAGGAGCGGGGGGAGAGGTCGGCGGGTTTGGTCATGGGAGGTGGCATTTGTGTTTGCGAAGTAGGGAGTAAGTAGTTTTGTGCTGGAACGTGTGCGGAAACGTCGGCGGGCTTGGGTAAGGTATGAGATGGGATGGACCGTGGGATATTTGTGCTGTCAGGTTGCTTCAGTCGCAAATTGGAATTTGGATTGCCGAAGTGGCAACGCTGAGAGGTCGCTTGTAGGGAGACCAAACATGCCTTCCAAACGGATTTACCAGCGGGAGAATGGCTGAGTTGCTCGCTTTGAGGTAAAGGGTCGCAAAAGCGGGCCATGGTGTAGGCTCGTTCTTCAATTGTGCTTCCTGAAGTTTGTTAATCTACAAGGAGTGTAACCTTGAATTATAGTGCGGTGGTTTGTAGTCATGTCTCAAAATGTCTTCGGTGGAGTTTCGCCTTGAACGGGTCATCGACGTGGAACAGGATGAGCTTGGCCCGTGAACGAGACTGTTTCGCTGCTTCCACAAGGGGTTCCAACGCCCAATCTACTCTTTCTTCGTATAATACGCTTTGTAATGCGAGCCGCAACCGGTCAACGTAGAGATGCCCTCGGCTTCCTCGCCTATCAACTCCGCCAGCTCCTTCATAGTGCAGTCCCAGAAGTAGACGCATTCGCATAGGCCGGTACCCACTAGAAGTAAATGCAGACGCATATAGTATCGGTCCACGGGAGCGAGCGAGGCATGGTGATGGGTGACAGGGTGTGTTGATGTGGTGCAGTTTGGGTGGATCGGACCTTCAGTGGATTGTGTGTTGCGATATGAGCAGGTGGCCGACGCTCGTAGGACTGCCGCTTGGTTGCGCCGTCCTAGGTCCCGATACTTAGGAGTTCGTGAATGTCGTTCCTATTGAGCTTCGTCTTGGACGAGCCATCGAACTAGAGCCTCATCAGTTGGCACGGAACGTGCGCGTCTCACCTTGACAGACTTTGAAGGAATTTGCCCTCCCAGCAGACACACAGGAAGGCTGCGTTCAGCCCCAAAACAAGACCAGAACATGCGATGCCAGAATCGGGAGGACTGCACAAACGAGGGATTTGATGGTTTTCGTGTTGTACGCGTTTATCATTCTCCAGAGATCTATGCGCAGACCGGTAGTATCGTACATTGTTTTACAGCCCCCATGCCGCCGTTCCAATGCATGTATTCTAAGCATGTCGCATCTGGCGCACATGCGCCTATTTATTATACAATCAAGTATCGTTCCATGCTGCCGTCCAGCCAACAGGCTTCGGCGGTTCCTCTCGTTGCGCAGCCATTCACTATTGGCTGCCTTCGAGTCCGTCTCTTCCTCGTCAATTCCATCAAGTCCCGTCTAGAAGGTGTTGGAAAGCGCGGCGCCGCTCTGTGACTCCTTCTGTATCCGCGCGACATAGGTCTTGGAGACGGTGTTCCAGGCGGACATGTACTTCTCCATGCAAGCGGTAAAGCAGCCCTCCTCGCCCTTGGAGAGCGAAGCGCCGGGCTTCGGCACGCAGCGGTCGAAGCAGTGCTCGTTGAGTTTCTACATACAGTCAGCTTGGGCTTGGCATTGCATTCAGATTCGAAGACGAACCTCGACCAGCATGCGCGCATTCTGCATCGCAGCTTCCTGCTGGACCTGGCGCATGATCTGCGACTTGGGGTCGCCGCCGCCAAGAGCTCCGCCGAAAGAGTCCATTGCGATAATGTGGGGATGGGTTTGGGGGAGGGTTGACTTGTCAGAATTGGCGTTGTAGCAGCGGTGGTGTTTGTCGCAAAAAAGTGTCGACACACGACGTCAAAGGACCCCGGCGGGCGGCGCTTCCTCGGCAGCGGCGCACGAGCTTCGCGGAAAGGCCACGCTCTCCGCAACGCAGTGCTCACAACCCCGTCTTCTATGTCGCCCGCCACCCACGCGACCCCTCCTCTCTTCGACTAGCCGCCGGGCCCATTTCTTAGCAATTGCAGAAGCTTAGCCTTCTTCCATTCTTTCCCCGCGCATCGTAACGCGGCCCGAATTCGACGCGAGAGCGGCTAGACATTGTCTCGGTGTCGGCGCAAGGACAGACGAGACACCATGTTCGGGAAGCAATGGACGAGCTTGTGCCTGCTGGCCGGGAGCTTTACAGGCGCGCTGGGCCTGGGGCTGGAGGAGCACCCAGACGTCAAGGCCATCACTGTGAGCATGGGCCTGTCGAGATGCAACCAGCACCTGCTAATTGATGCAGTTGCGGACACATAGTCTCGAGACTGTAAGCGCGGCTCGTATACGATGCACTCGGAGGACTCAGTATTGATCTGCTACAGCCATACCTCGACTCGGACATGCAAAGCCGCTGGTGGGACTTTGGCGGCGACTGCATCATCCGCACAGACAAGTACATTCGCCTCGCTTCAGACAAGCCCTCGCGCGACGGCTGGATATTCTCGCGCGTGCCGCTGACCGCGACCAACTGGGAGGTACATGCAGTCACACCCCTTGTCCACCACCATCACCAACTCACGCGTATAGATCATGGTTGAGTTCAAGATCTCCGGTCAAGGCAACCTTTACGGCGATGGCTTCGCAATGTGGCTCACCAAGCAGCGCGCCACCCAGGGCAACGTTTTTGGCGCCGCCGATAAGTTCGAAGGCCTGGGTGTCTTCTTCGACACGTACAAGAACAACCGACCCGGCACTGTGTTTCCCTACGTTATGGCTATGACCGGTGATGGGAGCACGCCGTACGACAAGGACAACGACGGCAAGGCGAACGAGCTCGCCGGATGCTCGGTACGAACAGTTTTCTATCTTACATGATTATGCGGAGATGAGACGCGTTCTAACACTTTCCACAGGCCAGAGGTATCCGTAACGCCGGAATTCCCACGAAAGCCCGCTTCACCTACTTTGCCGACAAGTCCCTAAAGCTAGACCTCCAGTACAAGCAAGAAGACGAATGGACTGAGTGCTTCGAGATCGAGAACTACAAAGTGCCTCCGGTGGCCTATCTTGGTTTCTCTGCTGAGACAGGCGAGCTGTCCGACAACCACGATATCATTAGCGTGCGCACCCAGAACCTGTACATGAAGGGCGGCTCGCAATCGTCGTCGAACACCGCAAAGAAGACCGCTAGCAGCGCAGTGAGGCCCAAGGAGAGCAGCGGTAGCTGGAGCTGGTTCCTGTTCAAGTTTGTGATGTTCGGCCTGGCCGTTACCGGAGCATACGTTGGGTTCACCGTCTACCGCGCCAGGCAGAGGGACAGGTTTTAGACGTGCTCCCGATGAGATGTTGTCAGTTCATGGTGGGCACGAAACCCAAACAAGACTCGACTTTGCATACGCAAGAGACCTGGATGGGTCAGAGGTTGGATGAGCATTGGATCTGGTGTTGGTGGATTGATCATGTACAAGGTTGGATGATGTTGTTTGTCTGAGTTGGTTGGACGGCATTGATAGCGTTTTTCTTTCTCCTAACGTCACTGTTCATATATCTGTCCTACGATTGAAGACGTCAAGCCTTACATGTTCACTTTCTGGTACTACGAGTGAATACGAGAGTAGTGTAGTGGAGGTACGTGAGAGTGTATTGAATACATGTATGGAGCTAACCATCTCTATTAAATCCATCATGTGCCGACACAATCCACGAACGACCTTTGTCCCCAGCAATAATCGACTCTTGATAACACAAACGCTGTCTTCTATCTACTGGTCCTCAGATTAGCTCTCCTGCTGTTCTCAACCGCAACCACGGCTCCGCCTCCGCACTCTCATGCTTCAGCATCACCAGGCTACGCTCAACTTTGGCTTTAATGCCCCATCAGGGACATCATCACCGGACCCTTGACCCTTCGCAGCACTTGTCTGCTTCCAGGCCGAAAGTTTTCCACCCACGACCACCCCTCAAACCACCACGGCGCGCGCAACAACAGACAACCAGTCACCCCCGCACACACCCTTAGGCGACGCTCGGATTGAAAACTACGTTTGTAAGTCGTCATCAGCGGCCCGCATGGGCACTGCTTCGACCCTTTTACTTTTTCCTCAATGCGCGGCGGGGGCGGTTGCGGGCCGGGGATCGATGTTTGGTGGGGACCATGCAAGCGAGTGGCGTGCTTGACCTGCGAGACAAGGCACTCCCTCTGATATCTGTTCTCTGAGACGCCTGCGAGGGCGCCTCCAGCCATGGGCGGCCGCGCGGGTGATTAAGCCGCTTGGGCTTCCTGGCTGGCGGAGGGGCTTTCAGTCATAGGGATCTACGGGAGTTAACGAGGGTCTTGGAAGGGCTCGATTCGAAGCACGATGCAGGTTGGGAGAGGGCCGGTGGACTTACTCGCTGCATGGGGTGGGTGCAAGGTCGGAGACGTGGAGCGACGCGGTGATCTAGGCGCAGCGCGACGTCACGGGATGCGCTAGCACGCATTGGTACTCCAGACGACCTCAGAGCTGGAAGAAAGAATCTCTACGCGAAGTCGAGAATTATGCGAAACGGATCTTACACGTACCTTTAATTGCCACAGAATCATCAGCATGCCACTTCTGCTGGCTGCCGTCGTTCACTCGCCTCGACCGAGTCTGTTGCCTGCCGTTCAGAAAGACATACCTGATTAAGATTCGTTCATTGCTGCTACAGCAGAAACTTTGAATTCAGGCCATGTTTCTGAGGTGGTACAACGCTACTATTAGCAGACCGTCCAATACCAAAACAACAACTGCGTTCAGTGTCAATTCAGAGATACTGAGTTCAAATCTCCACTTCCAGCTTCCAGCGAATCCGAAACCCGTAGCAAGCATGCCCATATTCGTCATTGTCGATATGAGAACATCTAGCCGTATGAGACGGAAAAGCTTTCGATCCAAGGCGACGCAACTTTTTATTGAGACAATGAAGCTCAATATACCAAGTTTTGTCGTGATCGTTCTAGAGGATTTCAGAATACACTCCCTACGGACAAAACCAACAAACTTAGAACCAGAGCTTTGCGAGCTAATCAACGAGCGTTGAGCGCACTTAGCATTTGCCCCATTGCATAGTCAGCGTATCGAAACTTAGCTGTACGAAACAAACACCGGTGGATATAATGACGAAAAGTACGAAGGCATACATGCCCATGGTGTATACGAATTGTCGATCGCGAATCCAACTACCCCAATATCTCATTGACGATGGTACTTCTATCATTGTATGCCGGTCCGATCTGCGCTGAAACGTCTCCGTCTTTCCAACCCAATTAGTGCTATATCCCTAGTTGAAGAAGGCCGGCAAATTCCTTTTGTGGTATGGTGTATGGACTCGTATCTTGGTGGAAGTTGGTCCCGCGCTGCACCTGATAACCTACTGACAATGAGCATGCCTTGCAATAAGCCGTTTGCTATCTCCACGCCCAAGAAGCCCATTTGGAATTTCCAGTAGGTCCGTTCGTCGTCGTTTACTCCGTGGATTCTGCTCATCCAAAAACCTCCAACTGCATTCATGATAATGCTAGGTAGAGCTAATGTGAAAATTACAATACCGCTGCGATGAGGATCTACCGGGTGGTGCCAGAATAAGTGAAAGAGACGGAATGTATCGTTGAATCGACCGCAGAAGTGCCCACCAGTGTCTCGAGCCCTCTCCATTGCTCCGCAGCATGAGGATCTGGGTTTCCAGCGAATTTTCATTCGAAAACGTCCAACTCCGATCATAGTTGTTATGCAGAAACAAATGCGCACAAAGAGAAGAACCTAGAAAGATGGGGACTGCATTGAGTTCGGAGTAGTCTGCTAGGCTCTGTGTAGTAACAGTTCTGAATAGTGACACTATAGGCCACAGAAGATGCAAATAAAGCATCTTATGAAAGTCTGATCGGGACTAGAAACAGGTAAGAACGAATCCCGGGACTTATGTCCTAGGGTTGTCCGGTGAATGACTGACCCTGTCCTTTGGCTTGGGCACATTGAATCATCAATCTTGCCGCCGAAACAGGTAAACTGTCGAGAATTGCAAGCCCGATGTATAGAAGTTCACTTGTAACGCAGGGGAATCGGCAAATGAATCCCATAACATCAGGGGTTACCTCGCGGTTACTCAGAACACGTTGGCTGCATATAACCTGGGTTCAATTCACGAATGGCACAAGACTTGTCAAATCAATCATCCAAATCGTAACAAGACTCTGTCAAAATATGAATCAATCGACGTTGGAAAGGCCCCGTTGCCCACTCGATGCATCGAGATTGTTTCAGAAAATGGGAGACTAGAGCTACGCCTGACAGAAACGAGTAGTCAAAGAGGCAGATACATGATTTTGAGTCACAGATGGGCCCTCAAAACGGCTGCTGCAAACACAACTTTAGCCAACTATGCATGTAGAGTTGGACGTTGTAACAAGAGCGGATGTCCACAAATGGAACTTACCCCCTTGTTCAAAGACGCTGCACAAATGCCCTCCAGACTGGGAATCACATTCATATGGATCGATTTGATATACATCATACAGGAAGACACCGGAGACTGGGAGCGCGAGGCAACTAAGATAGTAAGTTAGTATCAGTTCTCGTGCCTACCTATCGCGGCCACGACCGTCACCGGATCAGGCGGTATTATCAGTATTGTAGAGGTTGAAGTTATGCCTAGAATTGTACGATTTCCTTACCGAAACAGATCAGACCGGCAGGACGAATATATGTATGCACAGATTGCCCATTATTCGGAGCCCGAACGAGACTACGACAGGTTCATCTTCCAAAGCGAGATAGCGAAATGTTGACCAGGGGATGGGTATATCAAGGGTGGCTTCTCAGTCGCCGAATCATAAACTTCTCCAAATCCTTTGCGTATATGCAATGTCAAAGTGCAAATCCAAAGGCACTCTCAGGGGTCATGCAAACTGTGGGCAGGCTTGGTTGATGGAAAACCGTCGCAAACGTTCAGCCCACAACGGAAGGTCATCAAAGTAACCAAACCCCGTCGTAGGTCTTCGTCATCCATGAGCACCTGTCGCAAGCGCTCGACCCAAGGAGATAGGTATGGTGTGGTCAGCTGGTGCTCCACTGTACTTTTTGGTCCGTCCGGAAAACGCAGGCAGCGCCTCAGCGCCTATAATTGCTCGGCAATTCTAATGTTCGTTGCTATTGTGAATACATTTTCTGGAAGTGGCTATTTCCGAAGCGAAGGTATTGTTTACTACGCCATTGTCAACCAGGGATCCCTCCGATTAACGCTGGCATAAAAATCGATCAACAGGTATACATGTAGGTACTCACCTAGCTAAAGTGAATGGATACAGCCGCAGACCAAATCGTGTCCTGCAGCTCTCGCGGCAATCTTGAAAAAGTTGCCACGGACATGTTGAGATCAAATTTTTACTTAAGATACCACGGGCAGAGCTTCGAAATAATACTGTCAAAGTAAACAGCAGGTCCATCCCTGCCACAGGGAAGAGCATGGATGCATGTTTGACACGTGTCTGCTCAGTGTTGCTTACATAAGCTGGTAAACCAGCGGTGGACTTAGATTCTGCAATCACTCTATCGGGGTACCATATGCCTTGGGGGATCGTAAGGAACTTTGCTAGATATCTATGTTGCTTTCGATGACTGTGAGAGCGTTGTAGCATTTCGCTTTTAAGTTCTTCTATTCAATGCTCTTCTCCTACAGTGCGTCCGATTGACTTGCCAAAATGGAAATGAGCTTAGACCTGCGACATTAACCCTGATCTAACTAGGGGTTCATCAAGATCACTGTAGAAACTGTTTCCATTACATCGAATATTAACACACGAGGCGCCATACCAAAACTGCGCCTAGCATCCCCAAGCAGACAATTGTTTGAACGGGTAACTCGGTTGCACAGCATTGCAAGGGCCAATTAATCGCTGCGTAGCAATCTCACCCCGCAAAGATCGTGCACCGACAGCCAGAATTTCGAATTGCGGGGATATTGCAACGACCACAGTTCGAGTTCGGCGCTCGGCCAGAAGGCAATCTCACCTTTGCAACGAATGCTGCATTTTCGAGGCTCGGAAGTGTTCCTGCCAGCTGTTCAAGGTTTCCGCAGCTAGAGAATTGTGTGAGGGAAGCTCGTCTAACGCTACTATCAAACAAATGGTTGGTCCCGCATATCCCATTTAGAACTGGTAAGAGCCATCAAGTAGGGGGTTTGGCCCAAGTGACCCTTGCTCCCGTCACCACCTCATCTTTCTGCATTGCGGCACAGCTTGAGAGGGCTGCAGGCTGACATTCAGATGCAATTTTTTTTTTCGTGTTCAGTGCGGCTACCTTGGCATCTTGCATCGGCTGACAGGAATAAACGAGGGCGCCTGCCGGCAAAATGATGCGAGATTGCGATTCGACGAATTGTGGACGCTCCAATGTATTTGCCACGAGGCTCGAAACGTGGTGTCACCGCTTTCGCACGACACTGCAATGTTTGCAACCTTTCAAGATCTTTCTCGTGATTCTCATGAACACCATTGATAGTCTGGTTCAGTAAAGCTGCCCATGTCCGTAGAAACATATGGTTTCTACCTTCCTGGTGTTGAACTCACCAATTTGTGATTAGGATCACAAGCGAACAGCACCCACTCAACTATCACTCCGGCCAATTCGTATACGCATGCTAGTGGTACAGTATCGGCACCATCCTTCCTATACAAGGGTTCGACGCCACCACGTTCGCAAAGCTCGTGCTCTGCTTCCGTTTCCATTCCCTGCCTTCTCGATATTAAGCTTCATCTTGGATCAAAGAAAAATTTCTAAGTTGGTCAAGGCCAAGGCCGTTGGCCTTGGCGTTGTAAACGACGACGCATGCCGATCCAAGCGGTGACCGATTCGTGCCCGAAGAATATTTCAAAATGTCGGGGAGTTTTGGGGGGAACGAACTGGAGACTCAACCCACAGTGCTGGGGACGATCTCTTGGTCCTGGCGTACAGTTCCGTCGTTCGAGCTGACATCCCCAAGGTATCATTGGCAATCCCGCGTCGGGACGATATGGTTCAGTTCCGCGTGCCTTGATCTTCTACTTTCTCCAACAGCTTCCCCGCAGCTACCAGCTTCTCTTAGATTATCTCGCATCTGCCGATTCTCGGTGCCATCTCATTGTTGGCGTGCGGCCCACAGGTATGCCATTGCATGCATGCTTACCCCCTACACCCAGCAATAACGCACTCATCTATCCGCTCTCCAAAGTTGCACATGCTGTCGGCACTCAGCCGGTTGGGCGTTCCGACAACCTTGCCCCAAGTTATGGGCGCTTACTCATGGCCTGCATGGTATAAGGCCCAGCGCTTCTCCAACACAATGTTGTGTGTTAATCGAAGTGGCTTGGATACCTCGTTTTCTCCAAGATGGCTGGCGGCTCAACACTGCGGGGGCTATATGCCCTCCTGGTTGCGCTGAGCTTACTGAGTGCGCTTTGTGCGGCGGATGCAGTGAGTGATTTGCAGGCCAAGGGGAGGGCTGCTGTAGATGCGGAAGTTGCGAAGTCGACGACTTGTACAAAGGATAAGTTGCAGGTCAGGAAAGAATGGTATGCGGTCTTTTCAGAGAAAAGCTTCGAGGTCACTGACTTAATTTTGAAGGGGAGATATCACTGCCGCAGAGAAGAAGGCATACATTGCCGCAGTCTTGTGTGAGGCTGCCTCCAGAAGTAGAAGAATGTCCTTATAACTGAACGTGGATCAGGCATCACCAAGGCACCCTCTAAACTGCCCGCCGCATCGTACCCGGGAGCGAAGTCTCGGTACGATGACTTTGTCGCCATCCACATGAAGAACACGATGTCCATACACGGCACCGTACGTTTGGAACTCACTCACCGCCAATGTAGTATCTGACTCCATCCAGGGAAATTTCCTCTCGTGGCACCGATATTTTACGTTCGCATACGAGCAGGCTCTCCGAACAGAATGCGGATATAATGGCACTCAGCCTGTATGTTGGACACATAGCCCTCCTTCGAGCTCGCACTGACAAACGACTGCAGTACTGGGACTGGGGCAGATGGGCATCCAGCCCCGAAACGTCGCCCATCTTCGACGGCAGCGAGACCAGCATGAGCGGCCAGGGAGAGAAAGTAACCCACAATAGCAACGGCATGAAGCCCGCCGGCAACGGTGGCGGTTGCATTGCCAGCGGGCCTTTCAAAGACATGAAGGTCAACCTAGGGCATGTTTATTCACCTTGATCCTCCCTACTTCCAGTCGTATATGCTTACTATATACAGCCCCATGGCCGCCCTTGGCGATACATCGCCACCCAAAAACCCCCGTAGCGACGGCTACGGCTACAACCCGCGCTGCATCAAGCGGGACATCTCGGGCTATCTCACACAGCGCGACGCGACGACCGCGAAGATCGCAGCCTTGATCAGCGGCCAGAGCACCATCGGGAACTTCCAGAACCAGATGCAGTCCGGCACCGGCGTGCATCCCGCTGGCCACTTCACCATCTCTGGTGACCCAGGTTCAGGTAAGTCTTTCCTACCCGGGACGGAAGACCACATTATCCTCACCTGCTCTACTTCCTTCCCCTTGGCTCCTCTCTTGAATCATTTGACTAACTTGCCCCAGACTTCTACGTCTCCCCCGGCGACCCCGCCTTCTGGCTGCACCACGGCATGGTCGACCGCGTGTGGTACATCTGGCAGACACAGGACTTCTCCAAGCGACAGCAAGTCATTGCGGGCGGTACGAGCATGATGGGTGGCGGGAAAGCAGCAACCCTGAACGATGGCGTGGACCTCGAGGTGCTTAATGTCGATGGGAAGAAGTACGCCATTAAGGACCTTGTTAGCACGGTTGCAGGCCCGTTTTGCTACGTCTACGAGTAGTCGGGGGTGTGGTCATCTGGAGATGAGTATGGGTTGTATGTGTCGTAGATTCCGACGAGAGTGGTTTGGAGCGAGGGAGGCTTGGTGTGTATACATTACAATGCAATGGTTCGCGGTTGGAGTGTTGTAGCAGTGCTGCAAATGTTGCGTGCGTTCGCGAGACCCTGTTCCCTTTGTCGATGAACAGCACAGAAAGACCAGTCCTGCTGTTTTCCAAGTTCGGTGCCCTGTTCGAGCAAGAAAGACTTCACCGAGAACTTGTGAGGGCCAGATTTGCAATGTTACGTCGAACAACGCAACTGAAGCAGAAATTTTCGCCTCGTCTCCCATGGTCTGGTCTCTGGCCATTGAAACTCAGATTTCTAGGAGGGATTCATAGACTCTTGAATTGCCGCCAGGATGTAGCGCATGTAGGCTCCAGTGGTGGCAAAGCGTCCCGACATATAGGAGACCGCTTTGTAACACATGGATACCTGGCCACGACAAGCTCTACCAACTCGTTACATGAAGCCTAGACACGAGTGTCCTTCGAAACCTTCGTCCAAATGTTACGATGCTGGCGGAGGACATTCCATATCTGGCCATGCACATGCGACACGTACGAAATCACTAGACGTCGTAAACAACATGGATCGAATCGATTTTTGTCCATTATGTGGAAACTTGTGGCTTTGGACAATCATGCGGTGGTATTGAAGGGCTTTCTGGTATATCCAATGCAAGCAAACGTTTGTCTTTGGAAAAAATTGTCATGCGTTTTCGTATGACCGCATTCTAGTTACCGCGTCGATATCATCTTCGTGCAGTACGAGCAGCCCACGAGGTCTCATGTACCACCATTCGCAATGCGCATCAGCAGTACACTAGTTCAACATGACGAGCAGCATAACGACTTGGGACATCGGAAGTGCATGGCGGCGACATCAAAGCATCCATTAAAGCGTAGCGGAATATATAACCTAGACTTCAGCACATAAAGAACCAATCTCATCGCATCTCCCTAGTTCGCCTCATACTTCCCCTCCAACTCGCCCTCCGACCTCCCCAACCCCGCCTCGACCCGTTTCTTATGTCCCTTCTCCACCAGTCCCTCGTTCTTGACCACATGTCCCACCTTCTCTATTACCTTCCCTAGCGTAGAGTCGTTCGTCTTAGAGAAACTCCCCGTCTTGTTCCCATACCCCGCACCCCCCGTGCTGCCGCTGCCGTGCCGCGTGCCCCCGCTGTACGGTGACGTGTCCTGGTGGCTGCCGAAGCGGAAGTGCGAATTGTCCGTGTCGATGGGGGCGTCGGAGGCGGATTTGTTGCCTCGTGGTTCTATTAGCAAAGGTCACAAGGACGAGAGGGGTGCGATGGAGAAAACATATGGAAACGGGCACGATCAGGGTTAAGGAACGTAAAAGAATATGTAGGGTAGGAGTGAAATTAGGACGGGGCGGAAGGCTCAAAAGGAAAGGGTAAGTAGTACCGAAGCCAGCGCCGCCTGTGGTCCCGCTGCCATACGTCTCGTGCGGGTTGGAGTAAGGGTGGGAGTCGTCGCGGCCGAAGCGGGTTTCTGAGTGTTGGGTTTCCAGGTCGGAGGGGGAGAGGTCGGGCGCGTTGACATTGCCGTAGCCTGCCATGGTGCTTGAGCTGTGCGTGTGTGGGAATAGGTAGGTTTGATTAAGTACAGAATAATTAGGGACGTGGTGGAGGCTAATCTGGCTGGGATATGAATAACACGTAGAGGAATGTCAAAGTGGTACTAGAATCGAGCCGAAAATGTCCCATTATATGCATCTGGGGATTGGTATCTGGGGAAGAGCCACATGGCGTCACAGCTGGGGGTGTGCGTTGCGCGCGCTGATCCATTCACTCCAGACTGTGGTGCTAAGCAAAGGCCAAGCTTGGGAAGCGTATACATCTGTGGATCGGACAAGGGGTCGCAGGTCGGCATTGGTGAGCGAAGCTTGCCTGGCGGTGCTTATCGCATGGGATCTAGGCTTGGAAGATTGGGTGCAGACTGTGGATTGGAATCCCGAATTTCAATCAAACCGGATGGAGGCTAGGGCTTGGTAATGATAGAGTTAACTCTTCTGTGAATTCCTTTGTTTCATGCGACTGAAGGTCGCGTACTGGTACTGAAGTGTAGTCGATATGAGCAAAAGTTCGGCTCCCGAAAGGGCAGCGCGCCGACGATCGCTGATAAGGTAAGGGCCCCTCTGACGCAACCAGCCTGCGAACCCATGCATATCCGGGGTATCCCACGCGCCATGCTTCACGTGAGCATGTAAAGTCCTCCCGAACGCCAATAACAATTGCGCTATGCACGCAAGCAGAAGAAAGAATTCAGCCATTGACCTCAGCGGGGATATCGAGCTGCGATGACTCGTCAGCAACGACCAAAACGATGGCGATGCACGTACTGACCACAACCTTGTTCAATAGAACGTTTGCAAAACGAAGAAGAAAATCAAGCCCACTCAGCGGACATATTTGGACATGAACTTCTTGTGGAAGTCGGAGCGGAGCATGTCGTTGATGAACTCCTTCTTCTTATTCTTGTCCTCGGTGCCTCGTGCTTGATTCTTGAACACGACGTCGTCGTCCCAGCGGCGCTTCATGGTGAAGTCGCCCTTGTTAAGCAGCGGGTTGCCACGGGCCACGTCGATCTCGCGCTGCTCCTCCTCTTCTGCGGCGCGTGCCGCGTCCTCCTTGGCTTTCGCTTCCGCTCTTTCTTTCTTGATCTTCTCGAGCTCGCGCTGGAGTGCAGCCGTCTCATCTTCGTCGTCGTCATCGTCGTCGTCGCTGCTTTCGCTGCTCGCGTCGCTGTCGTCTGCATCCACATCGCGGTACTTTTCCAGCATCTCAATCCGCCGCCGCTTCTGGTCTGCCTCGTCTGTGTCGTCTTCCTCGCCTGCCTCGATGGCCTCTATCGGTCGCTTGGACGCGGAACTGGGGTCGGCCGCCGCATCGTCTTCGACGTAGGTGCCGTTCTTCTTCGCAAAATGGCGCGCCTCGGCCTCGAGAAGCTCGGCGCGGAGGTCGCGCTTGGTCGACTCGGCCTCGCCGCCCTGTCCCGGCTGTCTGTGCTTGAGGAAGGTGTGAGCGGGCAGCAGGCGCTGGTGGTAGGCGGGTCCGCGCGCTGCTTCTTTGCCGCGCGCGGGATCGAACGTCGGTCGGTGGGCGGTCGTCATGTTGTGATTGTGTAGTGTGTAGCTTCCGCAGCCGCGACGATCGGTTTTCGGGAGTCTCTCGCGTTGTTGTGTGTTACGTGCGTGAAGGCAGAGTGAAGGTTGCACGGTATCATGAAAAGGCCGCAAACGCCAAGACGGCGGTGGATGTATTCTCCGACCCCGCCCATCTTTTCTTGATGGCATAGCTTTCCTGCAGCACCGCAACGCTGCTGCTTTGATGAGAGGCAAACATGCCTCAAGAAGCACAGATATCCGTCAATGAGCGCGCGTTCATCCAAGATGCTCTCAAGGAACAGATCCGTCTCGACGGCCGCGCCTTCGACGCATTCCGCGCGCTAGAGCTAACATTTGGGGACGAGTATGGTGTTGCAGACGTACAGCTAGGAAAGACACGGTACGATTACTCGGGCGGCGTAGCCTGCTCCATGCTAATCGTAGCAGAGTAATTGCACGAATATCCGTGGATGTGGTGACTCCTGCGCCCGAGCGCAAGTTCGATGGCGTCTTCCAGATCATCACTGAATTCTCTCCCATGGCATCGCCCGCCTTCGAAGTCGGCCGGTCAGTCATTGCGCCTCGCAGATATGCTCAAACATCGCTGATCGAGCATCCAGGCCCACCAACGCAGAAGTAGTGCTCTCACGAATCCTCGAGAAGGCCATCCGCCGGTCCAATGCCCTCGACACTGAATCGCTATGCATCATCGCAGGCCTCAAGTGCTTCGCCCTTCGCGCAGACGTTCACGTCATCGACCATGACGGCGGCCTCATCGACGCATCCTGTATTGCAGTCATGGCTGCACTGCAGCATTTCCGGAGACCAGACGTTGTGGTCGAAGGCGAGAAAGCAACTGTGCTGAGCATACGCGAGCGCGACCCGATACCCCTCTCCATACTACACCAGCCGCTCTGCGTAACCTTCTCCTACTTCGAGGAAGGCGAGCTCTTTCTGGTAGATGCAAACCTCGCCGAAGAGCAAGTCCGCGACGGCGAAGTCATCATCACCATGAACCGACATGGTGAGGTGTGTCAGATTGCCAAGTATGGAGGCGCAACCGTGGAGCCTTATGCGCTGTTCAACCTCACAACTCTCGCCCTCCAGAAGGTCAAAGAGATGAGCAAATTCATCCAGACGCGGCTGGATGACGATGCTAAAAAGAGAAACGCCGGAGGACTATTAGCAGAGCTTAGTGCTGAGAACGACAGGCCGTTTGACAGGCCCGTAGAATGAAGAATTCCAAAAACACCGGTTGGGTTAAATACAGTGCACACTTCCAGAAGCACACACATTGCGCGGCTTGTCGCGTTGCGCACGAAGTCAGCGAGAGCAACTCGCAGGGCCCGCACCATTATCTGATACCCGTTTTGGCAAGGCCAGACAGAAGACGGAGGTCCGAATGCTTCTGGATAAGGTGTTCGACGCGAGCGAGGACATGCCGAGGGCCTTCGATAATCTCCAGCACCTCAGAATGGCAAAGCAGCTCCGCTCTGCTCCACCAGCCTTCGATAATAATGCTTTAGATGACAAAATCTTCAATCAAACCGCCGTCGCGGGGACCGTTTCGGACGAACACATGCAATTTGAAATTCGTGATGTGGTGGCCAGCCCTGGATGCTTACAAGGCATCGGGCGCCCAATGGGAATGCCTCGGCTGTGGACATTCGACGTCTGCTGTATTTGCGCACCACCACGCATCACGCAACACAAGCTCGAGCTACCCTGCAGCCTGACATGACCAGACCACGGGGGTTATATATCACATCAGAGCTGCGCTGCCAGCTGGCGCACTTGTGTACTTTCTGCTCACCCCATCTAGCTGCTAGTATTTGATTCGTGCTTTGTGATTGACCTACTGATCTGTTGCATTGCGTCATTGTCTCGCGATCTCAGGGTTCGTGAACATCTACCAAGCACGAGCTCCCTACAGCTCCGCACTTTTGACTCTGCTTCCTTCTGACAAACCTCACCAGCAGCATATCTCCAAAAATGTCCTCCAAACTCGTACCGTCCAATCCCGCCGAGGTGATGGTCATTCGGGACATCGTCCCGCGCACCATCACCACCCTCTCCGTTCCCTTTGCGCGCTTCGGTCGCATAAAGGTCGGCGGACGCGGCACCATCGTTCGCCTGCAGAACGGCTCGCTCGCTGTCTTCTCGCCCGTCGCGCTCACAGACGAAGTCAAGCAGAAGGTCGCCGAAATGGGCGAAGTCAAGTACATCACCGCGCTCGACATTGAAGTACGTCCTGCCCTCCGGATCCTCACAACGCAGCCACTGACCCCTACCCTCAGCACCACATCTTCCTCGGCCCCTGGCACGCCGCCTACCCGAATGCCCAAGTCCTCGGCCCGGAAGGCCTCCCCGAGAAGCGCAAATCCCAGAACAAAGAAGCCGTCCCCTTCGCGCACCTCTTCTCCAAAGACAAGCCCGTGACCTCGATTGACCCCGACTTCGACCGCGAATTCGAGTGGGAGTACGTCCCTGCGCACACCAACAAGGAAATTGTCTTCAACCACAAGCCCACGCGCACCCTCATCGAGGCCGACCTCATGTTCAACTACCCGTCCACCGAGCAGTACAGCAAGACGGGCCTCTCCGCGACGAGCGGCGTTTTGACCAAGATCTTTGGGATGCTGACGAATACGTCGGGGAAGGGGCAACAGAGGGCGATTTGGTATGGGATTAGCAGTCGGGACCGGGCGGGGTTCAGCAGGAGTGTGAGCAAGATCCATCAGTGGGATTTCGATCGGATTATTCCGTGCCATGGAGATGTGTTAGAGAGCGGAGGAAAAGGAATTTTCGCGAAGGTCATGGAGTGGCATTTGGAGTTGGCGAAGAAGAGGTCGTAAAGAACCGGGGTTGAGGTGCGACATGTGTGTATAGTATGCTCTGTATGTAATTTCTCTTCGTCTCTTAGTACTGAAACTTATACATGTTAATTGATGTACGGAGCCAAATACCAAAAATCTTCATCGACCACTTGTTCCCTCTCTACCTGTTTCTCCCTCCCCACACGCCCACTAAATCCTCGGCCTCTCTAACCTCATCTGTTCCCGCAACGCATTGGCTTTCCAGCCCGGGCTCGCTGCATCAACCAATGTCTCCCTCTTCTATAAGCTCCTTATTGACCCCTAGCTTTATTGCCCCATTGAACATGCGTGCGCAATGCGTCCAGCATTGTTAGCATCCATTCCATACTAATCTCCAACGTGTCCACGTCAACTCTGCCACCAATGAACGACGCGTGAATGCTGTTGAAGCCGAAACCTTTGAACACAGAATTGCATTTTCCATTGCAAGCAAACGCTGTCTGTGGCGGATGGAGGCCAAATTCTGCGCTTCTCACAGCTTTCTCTTCGGTGCAAGGATCAGGGCCTCGCGATTGTGCCCCTTGGACATCCCACTGCCGAAGCGTCGCGATGCGGTGCAGTTCTGTGCGTGTGGTTCACTCTCTGCATGGATACGTGCGATGGAAGCGCCCAGCGGCAGTTGTGAATGTGGTATTTGACGGTCGTCGTGCTGCTGCGGAATACGGCTCGTTCCAGCCCATCTTCTGTTGGGAACTCTTTGAACACTAAGTGGACCTCTATATATCGCATGAACTGAGGCTCAGCCTTACCTTGATAGAGTGACATTTGGCTTCGCGTTGGAAGATGATATTGGCGCTCCAGACTAAAGTGGCGTATCTCTGTTTTGACGAGCGTCAATAAGCCGGGCGAGCAGGAAGGAGAGCCACGGTACTCGCTGCAGCTGTCGGATGAGGCGAGAGAGATGGTGGATTGGCACGATGTAGGCTTTGGGAAGGACGAGGTTCCACTCTTTGGGACGAAGGTAGATGAAGAGGCTGGGGAAAGCAGTGTGGAGTGGATGCCGATTATTGCGGCGATAATGCAGTGGAGTGAATGCTTTGAGGGGGCTTTGGCGGGGATGGTGGTGAGGGCTTAGGGAGGGATGGGTATGGAGCGGAGTGGAGTGGTGATTTGGATTCTGTTGAGACGATGGCAGTACAGCCTGTCCACAATCGGAACGGGTGAGCATACATGTTAGAGTAGAGATGACTAGCAGTCGTGCTTCCTCGACGGCACGTGTTCTTTCATTTGGCACAATAAATCGATCACCCACATCTGATACCCTTCATCCTGCCAGCGCGTCTCTGTGCTACTTCGCATCCAGTCATTACGAACATAGTACATACCACTACTGTGATCGTGTACCATGCAATGGTGAAAAGAGCGAGGCCTACCAACTGCACGGGAAACAGAGACATGTCCATACCGGCGTCTGACCCCGCACTGAACCCATCGCTAGCCTATACATGCCTTATGCCCGAAATTAGAGATGAAACTGGCTACTGTGTGCAGCAGATAGCAAATCTGGGTGATTATGCGGCGGTGCTGAACCTTCACTGCACTTGTGTGATTATGTGGAAAGCCAAGCGAACTATATCTTGATAAGTTCAGCAGACTCGCTAGCGCAAGCTATTCTCTCATCTTAACCTACATCACTCAACTCGCCCCCGCGAATCTCCTCATCCTCTCCTCCGCCGCTCTCGCCCTCCTTTCCCTCTCCATCCGCGCCCTAGCCTCAGGTCCCAACCCCCTGACCTCCTCCTCCCTCCGCTCTCCCGCACTCTTCTCTGGGACCCCTACAATCCTCCCCTTGCCCAGCTTCGTCTCCCGCCTTTTCGCATCCTCCGCCTCGCTCTCCCTCCGCAGCCGCTCCGTCTCCGCTTTCCGCCGCTCAGCCTCGGCCTTGTCTTCGGCGGCTTTCTCGCTCTTTTCGCGCGCCTCGCGCTTCTCAAGGTCGGATTTGGACAGAGCGGAGGGCACGCCGGCCTCGTCCCAGGCGAAAGCGGATTCGCCGAGCTCGAAGCGCGCCAGACGGAAGGCGTCACGGGTTGCACGGTCGCCAGCGAGGGTAAAGGGGGTCCGGGCATCGTCGCTCATGAGCGTGGGGTCGGAGCCACCTTTTGTGAGTAATGCTAGGACTACCGGTGCGGAATTGAGAGATGCTGCAAGGTGAAGAGGTGTTGGCGTGTGGAAGTTTTCCGGAACGAATCTGAAGCTTGGAGGGATGTTGTTGGTTTTGAGGTAGTTGAGGAGGGCGGGCACTTTTGAGCGCTTTATGATGGAAGTGATTTGAGAGGTATGAAGAGTGGCTTCTTCCTCCTCTTTGGAGGGTTTGGGCGGTTTCTGAGGCTTCGGCGGCGCGGGCGCTGCTGGCTCCTTTTGGGGTGCATTGAGTGCTGCGAGTGCGGCTTCGTCGATGGTGCTTTGCTTGACACGAGTGAGCTCAACGAAAGCGCGGATGAGCTCCTTCTGTGTCGCTCGTCGCGTGGTGAATGGGAATCCCCTGTTGCGAGGATCGTTATTCTTCAACACCTGTCCTTCGTACTTGTCGAACAGCGTCTTCCGGCTGGTGGTGCCACTTGCCCGGATGAAGAGCAGATCAGCTGTATCGATCATCGTCTTCCAGCTCGTTAGCAGGTCGCGCACCTCCTTCGTGAGCGCGGCCTCGTTATACCGACGCAGCGATGAACCAGCCGAGTGCGCAGCGCCTCTCGCGGCATCACTTGTCGACTGTGAGCCACCCTGCTTCCGACGAGTTGTGTACCTGTGGAACGTCTTTGTAGCGATGACGGTCGCTGAGCGCTCGTCCACTCCCGCATGATTCTTTCCCTTCTTCGGCGCAAGTGAGATGATCATGGCAGCGAAATGGCCACCTCCGATCATGCACAGAAAGTAGTGCGGTCCGATATCACTCCCCGGCAAGGGTACGCCGCCTTCCGACTTGATTTTCGGTGGTATCGCCGGAGCAATCTGCTTCCTTCGCAACGACTCGACAAGGTGTGCCTCCTCTTCCTGTTCTGCCACGGTGAAAACCGCCCTGTAAACCCCCAGCGACATGCTGTCCGGCAGCAGCGGCGATGTGAACCAGAGCAAAGGCGGCTTCCCTGCCCCACGTTGCCTCCTATTGGATGACAATTCGTCAAACTCCGGGTCCGCAATCTTAGCCTGCTTCTTCAGCAGCGCGCTCAGCGTGGATTCCTTGGGCTTGCTTCCGTCCTCTTCCTCGTCCTCTGTCGACTCTGAAGACTCGCTGCCAGAGATGCTCTCGTCCAGCTCGCCGACAAGCTTCTCGAAGTCGCCCTCTCCAACTGGCTTCAGGCCCTTTATCTTCTGCTTGAGGTTGTAGCCGTGGAGGTCGGAGCGGACGTGGCTGCGCTGGTCGGCGAGCGTCGCGAAGCTGAGCCCGCACAGGTGGCAAGACGTTGCTTTCGCGGGGCTGCCATCTTCGTTCTCAGGGCGCTCGCCCGCGTCGCTCGCAGGCGTCGGTCTTTGCGGCGGTTCCTCGTGGGGAATCTGGTTTGGCTGGATCTTGAGCGTGAGGGTCGAGAGCAGCTCCTCTGGGAGATCGAACACTGCAGTGAATTAGCGGGCCGAGGACTCGCGCCGAATGTGGGCCCAGTTACCGTAAAGCGGGCGCTGCAGCAGATGCTCTCCCTTCTGCACCTGCGCCATCGTTCTGTTTACGCGAGGATCGGTGGTGAGCGGCGCAAACAATGAATCACGGCTTTCTAGGCTGCGGCGGCGATCTAGCGGGGTCCCCTGCACGTCACTTTCAACGGCCGCGGCTAGCGCCGTGCCAAGGCTGCAGCATGCACCACTCTGTGCTGACTCAGTCGCGGAATGCATTAGTGTACCCACGGTACGTTCCTGTGCAACGCGTCTATTTGCATCCTTCGCCATAGGCAGTGCCTGACACTCCCTCAAAACCCACCAATGTTTCCAAGTGACTTGTGAGTTCGTTCACAGAGTACCATGCCAAACGTCCTAGTACTGTCCTTCGAAGGTTTCTCCTTCTCTTCCCGCCAGCTCTACGAGCAACTCCTGCCCAAGCTGCTCTCCCGCGCTGCCATACATGAGTCTCTCACGATACAGGATGCTATGAACTGTATGCACCCAGCCCGATATATCCGTCTACCTCCTCCCAACTCCACAGTTTCTGATATGATCATAGACATTCTCTCCGGCTGGCCCAATGTGATCCTCGTGACTGATCCGGTGATTGCCGAAGAAAGTGAAGAGTCACAGAGACTTCTGGAGGCCGTGGCAGACTACACCAAGCACCACAGCTGCACAACCATTCTGATGGGGTTCTTTGTTGCAGCCATAGAAACGGAGACGCTCGACTACATCTTCAAGCACCACTTCAATCTCAAGTGGAAAGCATTGCCCGAGGAACCTAGCACCCACGAGGCGAGGATTCACGCTTCTGATCAGTCCCTGCTGCGGACAACGACGCTGGTCCCCAAGTTGGTGGCGAATGCGGCGTGGTTGACAGGGGTGGCGCCGCCACAGGCGACCTACTTTGGGCCGATTGAGAGAGGCATAGCGTATGCTGCTTTTACGAGAGTCGGCCTGGGAAAGCTGGGATATATAGGGGACACGGGATTTGGGGATGAACCGGAGCGGTTAGTGCTAGCGATGTGCCATCTGGACCGGCCGGAGGATCGCATAATGCATGATGAGGATTTTGAGAAGTAGGTGCATTGCAGTGTGCTATCGCTCTCGCGAACCCATTTCGCGCATACTGACCATCTGCACGTAGCTTGCGATTGTCAGACTAGGCATATACGACTGCATCCGGCCTGATTCACTCGGGGGGCTGTTAGCTTCCAGCGCCTCTCTCCTCTCGTCGCTTGCCGGCTCAACGGATTGCATCCAAAATCTTCTGCTGCGCCTCCATACCCGCCCATTGCGATTCTGTGCCTGCCCATTCATTTCTCAAGTACATCGACCTGAACTTTCCGATCCGCTCATCCTTTTGCTCGAAGTCCAATTCTTCCGGATCGTGGATCTCAAGCTTCTGGTCAACACTGACACTGTTGTCCTTTGCGATGATGTTGATAAGGCCGGGAATTGCCATCGTATGCTTCATTCGCTCTTTGACGTTGGCGCTGTCTGGGGCGCAGAAGATGAAGTAGAGACGATGGTTCGAGGCATGACGGTAGAAAGTGAAGCTTGGCTTGTCTGTAGGCAATCGAGATGCGACATCCGCTGGGGCGAGGTCGTTAGCGCGGAAATTGAGCTGCAAGATCTCTGTGGATACGTTGACGGACTATAGGCTGTTAGTAAGAAATTGGGTGGATGATTGCGAACAAACTTGCAAGTTGAACACAGCCTCCGCCTTCAACGAGACTTTTGAGTGCACTGAGAGCGGCGTCGTCGATATTGTTCTTCATCCGTCGGTCACACAGTCGACACTTGTTCTTCTTGTACCCGAGGTCGTGCACACCGCTTGTAGTCTCGTCATCCCTCTCACAACCATCTGCGCGCTCGTCATAATCGCGATTCCAAGAGTGCCCTTCGCCGCTCCGTTCATCCCAGGACCGTGCGTCTACAACTTCGCCCATCTCTTTGCAAATTATTGACGCCGAGAAGTGCTGCTCGCCTAGCGTTTCGAGGAGGAGCTGTCGGTTTTCCAGTAACGCAGTATTGTCATTAACGATGGCAACATATGGAACAAATGTGATTGCGACCAATGAACCTTCAACACGCAAGACAAGATACGAAGCTCGCTTGGGATTGAGTACCGAATCAAGTCGATTCAGCGCCTGTTGGAAGGTATGTTGGGTGTCCTCCGGGTACGGAATAGGTGACAGCGCTTGCAAACACATATTTGCGATTGTCAGTGGAAGCGCAAACAAAGACGAGTCGGAAACAAAGGCAGTGAAAGCCTCAGTAATCTCGGGGGAGATCTCTTTTTATTCTATTAGCAGCTCGATTTTCAGCTCAAACCTTTGTTCTTACCCATGTCGCAATATTGATGTAGGATTGTACGCTGGTAGTGAGCTAGTTTTTGAACAGAAGATCGAAGGCAGTTCGAACAGGCAACACGAAAAGCCCCTCAGGTAGTGATTGAGCAACGCAAATTGACTGTCAATGGCGGATCCGCGCGTTTAATTACGTGGGCTGCTTCGATTCGGGCGCAAGCATCGCGTTTTGAATGCGTTGCGCTTTCGGCTGCTCCTGCGCGGAATTCCGCATATATGCGGACTTGCATTGTTGCCACATCTTCATCAAAGGACATCATGTATTACCAGTGCGTAGTGAGGGGTCTAGCAAGTAATCTCAATTGACCACGATGACATGGCACGCAGTTCGTGAAATTGGGCAGTAAGCGGCTGCACTTCAGATGCAGAAGTACCTACGGTAGGAAGGCGCGGATCGGAGAAACCCGTTGCCGTGGTCACCTTCGCGATCATCGCTCTCATCACAATGACATCCCAGGGTACAAGTATTAAGTCAGTGCGAGTTAAGCTTTAACTAAGTGAGAAACATGTCTTTCTCGCTCAGTGGTTCCTGACCGAACTCGCGGTGACTTCATACCCACGCGCTTGCATGCAACGTGCAATTACTACGACCATTTCAACAGATAATAGATGCCATTCACAACGGTTTTGAAAAGCTTCGGTAAGACACCCAGCCTATGGGTTAGTGGCTCACTTTCCAGCGTTCCGTTAACACACTATCCAAACATGCACCAGCAATGCCACTGTCTACCATAGGCATCTAACATCTATTGCGATAAGTTCCAACGCGAACGTTGCAGACATGCGGTATCGTAAAGTTGTTTCTACTCTTTCATTTCCACCATGTCTCTCTTTACTCAACTGTCTTCAACAGCGGGTCGCTATCAGCCTTTACCTGGAGTTGCTGGGCGTCATCTCGACCCATCCGGTTCCTCTTACTTTATGTCCTCTCTCATCGCAGGAGAGTAAGTTGCGCTCTGCTATATAAAGGCGCGCCCGGCGTTCCTCAACCTCCCCTTCTTCTCTCCACCATACTTTCTCATACCCGCGCACTCGTAAGTTTTAGTCGCAGTAAAAAGTGTTTCGATCACAGAACTGTCCGCTAATTGATATGTCAACGTGACAAGACTCAACTCCGTTTCGCCAGCATGTCGGACACAGGCCCACCTGTCCCAGACATGAAGATCCTCACGGCAGATGAATTCCCGGCGCATATGAAATCACAGCGAACAGTAGCCAGGTACAACTCAAGCACAGAAGCGAAGCCCGAGCACCCGTTTTGGGCGCTACCAGAAGTGGGCATAGACTCTACACTGAACAGCATCTCTGAACAATTGGCCAAGATACTGGAAGGCATCCCAACGGGTGACCGAGAGCTTGAACACCTCAAAAAAACAATATACACCATTGCACAGATCAAGCGCAGTCCGGCCATAACCATTGGCCTCGTTGGCGAACAGGGTGCTGGAAAGTCCATGACCATCAATGCTGTCTTCGACACGGATGGCATTTCGTGGAGCGGAGCGGATGGGGTAGCTTGCACGAGCGCCGTGGTCAAATACTCATATTACACCCCCAGCTCGACATCTGAAACCCGCGAGCGATTTTGTGCCGATGTGAAGTTTCTCAGCGAAGAGAAAATTGAGGCTATGATCCGCGAACAAGTCAAGTATCTCAAACGGTATCATGACGATGCAGACGACTCAGATGATGAAGAGCCTCGAGGTCCCCAGTCATACGACCAGGACGAGGTAGATAAGCGCCTCTGCAAGACGGCAACAGACATCTTCAAAGTTCTTTTTGGGTCAGAGAAGGCCTTTCTTCGCCAATGGACATCTCAGCCGACCGATGAATTCGTATATGAATGCAAGATCAGGTGCAAGGAGGCCATGCGGAGCTGTCATGTTGCAGATGGGTCAGACACTTGCACAAGGTTTGCCAATTGTCCGCGTGACCTTATGTCCAGGATCCGACATTTCCTGGCCGATGTCAAAGGGGTTCAATGCCTTTGGCCATTGGTCGACCACGTCAATATTCGCTTCGATCACGAACTGCTCAAGTACGGTCTCGTGCTTATAGACGTCCCTGGTAGGCTACCGTGTATCTGCTATCTGTACGCGCTAATTATTGTCAGGCTCTGGGGACACCAACATGGCTAGGGCCCGCCACATTGAAGAGATCAAAGATATCGCGGATGTAGTGTTCGTCTTCGCAGACACGCTTCGCATTGGCAGCGACCATGCCGCTTTAGGCACGGTGCGGGCTTGCAGCCTCAATCGTGGTCGCAAGAACGTCAAATTTGTAGCCACTAAGATTGATGTATGTACTTCTGACGTTGTTATTTTGACACATAACTAACTGACTCCTATAGGCCCTCCTGAAAAATGATCTGGAGAATGCCAAGGGTGCAGAGTTCGATCATATCCGGCGTCATATACAGAAGGCCGGGGACGAGGCTAGAGCCGCAGAAGATGACGGTGAAGATGCCAAAGTGCTCTTGATCGGACAATATGCGACCTATCTGGAGAGACAGCTTCTGCTATACTTTGTCAATGGTCGTGCAAGAAACCTCTCAAACACTATCCGGGCTGAACTCAATGACCGCGGTGCCGACGAGAGCGTCAAAATCTTCCACATATCGGCATCAAATTATCTTGAGTGGCAGGCCAAGCCGATGATTCGTTTTCGCGATCAGCCTCCACTGCCTCCCTCGAGCACTGGCATTCCAGAAATTCGACGATATTTATACAGTCTTGTGGCACCGAAAAACCTCTCTGATGTAGCCCGGCACTTAAACAGCGTTGTTCCAAACTACTTCGGAAAAATTGAGCGAGTCATCAATGAGTCCGATCGCAATGCGGATTTTGGGAGCCTAGCCCGAGAATTTGACCAGGTTACGGATAGCTTGATCGATGATCTGCTGTCTCAAGCCAAGCAGATGTTCGAGAAGATATTGAAAGAGACTCTTGCTAAACTTCTTCCGGATACGGCCGGATTAAAGAAGCAGATTGACGAAAAGTTGCGCGGGCTATGCAAGCTCAATGGTCGGACCTTGAACAAAATCATGAAGTTCCGAGGTACTCTACCTCCGAGAGCGTCACAGGCCAAAGGGCTCGAGAAAGGATGCTCGTACAACCGCGACTTTTCTAACATCCTGGCGCCTGCGTTTCTCAAATGGGCTTATGCATATGCAGTTCGGATTCAGCCGATGAGACAGGCACTCATCGACCTTACCGCGTTGATTGCTCGGGCTGTCTTACACTTACTGGATGTATCGTCAGCCAATGTGATGGTCGTCGAAAAAGCAAAGAGGAAATGGATCCAATACCGCATCAGCTTGAAGGCTAAGATGGAAGCCTTCATGGATACCTTCGAGCAATCTCACAAGAAGGCCCTTGTTCGCGCAACAATGGAGGAAGATCGGCAGAACTGTTTAGTGGCTGCGATCACAGATGCTCATTTCGATGCAGTGTTTGCGGCCGAACCTGCTCTTAAACCAGGTTGCCATCCAGCAAAGCCGAAATATGTCGAATCGAAAGGAAAGTTCCAACAAAGGATGCTTCTGGAGTGCTTTTCAGACCCTAATAGCCATTTTGTCGACCATGTGTTCAAATTGTTCCACGATGAACGCCGCAGAGACACCAACATCCTCCTGGACGGTCTTTTCAGAAACATCTGTGATTCTTTGGAGGCGTACAGCTCTTCCCTGAAGGACGAATCAACTATCAGCTACCAGGTGGAGCGGGGCGGTCTTGACATCCGAGCGAACCTCGAGCAAGCTTTTCCGGACATCAAAAAGGAGGTAGCTCGCCTTCAGGGCCTACTCACAGAACAGACTAAGGCCGAAGAACAATCTGCTGCTTATCTGCCCGATCTTGAAGGCGCGCAAACTCTTGCGCAAATCTACGCCCGCTTAAGCAGGAAGAGGAAACAGGGTGCTCAAGACGGCACAAAGGCGAAAATCAAGAAGGAGAGAGTATGAGAATGGATTTTCCTGGTTTACACTATCCAGGTTGAGGCAGAGGCTGAGGGCAGAGGCTGAGAAACGTCCCAACTAAGTGAGAAAGAAAAAAATCTCTGTGGTTCCTGACTGAGCTTGCACCACGATCTGAATACCCTGCATTTACCCCCAGATCGCCGCTTGCATCGGTCGATCATGGCTTTGTGTTCATGGTTCACTGCGTTATGTACCCAATATCCAATGTACACGGTATCTGTAAACTCGCTATCATCCCAGCAGTTCGTCAATGTGTGTACCACTGATCTTTTTGACCCGATCATAGTGTGTTCACACAGTCTCAGGTGCTCTTTGTCTCCCATTAAATCTACTGCGCAGCTACCCGGAGATTCAGGCTCCATTTGCTACGATACTCTTTTGCTCCTGCCGTAAAGGGGCAGCACGGGCATCAAACATACGAAACAATCCGCGTGACCAAAGAGCGAGAGTCGAGCATGGTAATTGCACGTTAAAGAATATCCGCTTGAGAACTACTCCCTCAGACTACAATATTCGACATAGTGACCATTCCCAGACCCTTCTCCGCATCGAGATGAAGAACAGTCAACGGTTGAGGTAGAACGTACCTTACATTCTTTACTGGCGGATTCTCGACATGCGAGAAAGATTGGATCGCCCAGCGCATAGTCCGATGTTGTGGGGATCGGATGTCAACGTAGCCCCCAACGAACTAGCGCTGCACTTCTTATCTATCTAATTACTAGACTCACACGTGTGAATTTCAGTACCAAGTCAATCTTTACCCTTAACCCCTCCACCATCAAGAACACTTCACAGAGACTCCAGTTCACAGCTCTACATTCCCGACGAAGTGTCTCTAAAACCCTCGTGACGACTCAAAGTTGTGCTCTGGGAAGCCATGTGGGTTTCAGTGACCCGCTCACAAACTACATCCGTCTTCGGGTAACGAACAAGTTCTTTGCCTCCCCCGTGGAGCAGGACTTCGAGAGCGCTGCGCCGACCTCCTCAACAACACTTCCTTAGAAGTCTTCAGCCATCCCATCCACGCAGCCAGCCAACCGGACTCGCCCTTCTACCTCGCCTTTTTATCCGATGGATTCGCGCATCACACAGCACGCACATGTTTCAGGCTGGATAACCGCGCGCCCCTCTGGCCAGGTTCGCAGAGCTCCACAAGGCACCACGCGCAAAATGGACGTTACCTAGCAAGTATCGAGGCTGAGCTCGGCGCACGGAGAATCCCTGACTGGGCGGCTGTGAAGCAGCTCATCAATGAGGCGGATTATCTGCTGGATATGGGGTATACGGTCGAAGTCCCCGTCTTAATGGAATGGGATCGGTGGTGCAGGTTCGAGCATCGGAATGCCCCGCTGTATGGGCTGAGAGTAGGCATCGAGAAGGGAGACATTACTATCGGCTGGATGCCGATGTTGGCGGCTGTGCTTGGGGTGTCTGTGTGTGGGGCCATGGCAAGGGCTGCGGAGCATGGGTATGGGGAGACGGAGGACGCGAGGCTGCAATGCGTCACGATGTGCTTTCATGATTTTGTAGGATGCTATGTTAGCGCGTGTATGGCATTTGGTCCATTTGTGCGATGATTGTGCTGAAGGGGTAAAGTAATATGTAAAATGTCTATCCTCGTCATATCGACCGCGCTATGCTAAAGGGCTTTCATAAAGTACACGAAGAGAAACCACTTTCCCAATCAACCGCCCCAACAATACGCACAACACATTTATGCAATGAACTTCATCGCGCGCTTGTCCAAGTTCTCGATGCTGATCGGCGCCTCAGCGGTAGGCAGATCATCCGTGAAAGGGTCGTTCTGGCACTCGCTGCTCGCCTGGCTCCACGTCACTTGGTCGAGCTCGCCGCCCTGGGCGAACGAGAAGTCGCTACCGTCCTCGAGCCAGATCTTGACGTTGGCGGAGTAGCTGCCCTTGTACACGCCAGACATGGCGGTCGCGCGGCAGTACACCTTGCCGCCCGGAGGCACGGTCGTGCTGGTCTGGTAAGTGAGTTCAGCGGTGTCGGCGGTGGCTTCGCTCGACGAGTCGGTGAGAGTGGTCTCAAACTTAAGGGTTGTGGTGGATTTGCCGCCAATGCCGAGGAGCTCGCCGGACACTTCGACGGCCTCGGTGATGCCGAAGGTGAGGGCAGCGGTGGTGGTGTAGGTCTTGGTTACGGTGCGGGCCTGCTTCTTGGAGAAGGAGAAGTCGTCGGTCGCGTTGACTTGGTTGTTCTTGTGGTCGGCATAGTCGATGATCATGGTGTTGAGGCCTTGCATGCGCTCGTTGAGGCTGTCGACGTTGTCGGCCTGACGGTGTTAATGAGAGTGTTTAGAGCATGGGGAGGGGGTTGCTTACAAACGCGACGTCCTCGATGGTCACCTTGCTGACCTTGCTCTTGAGGAAGAGCACTCCCATACCATCGATACTGTCGCCACTGCGACCGAATGCACCAAGCATGATGCCGGACTGGACGTCCGTCTCGTATACGTTCTGGCCATCGGTGTCTTTGCCCACATTGAGCTCGCCGCCGGACTTCAGACGGAGGTAGACACGGCCCAAGTACTTGCCGTTACCGTTGCCCCATGTCTTGAGCTGCGAGATGCTGTCCTTGGAGGGGTCCCAGTCGATACGCTGGTGCTCGCCTATGTCGTCGAGCTTGCCCACCATACCAGAGTTGGAGCCGTCGCTATAGTAGAGCTGGACAGCGCGGACAGCCTTGTTGGAAGCCCAGACCTCCATGCCGGTGACGACGATACCAGCATCATACTTTGTGTTGCACCACTCACCACCTCCTTGGCCGCCAATGTATAATACGTTGGTCCAGGGGCCATTGGAGCAGTCAGCAGCATTGGCTAGGCCAGACATGAAGAGTGCGGCAGCTCCCAGGAGGAGCGATCTGGGATTGAAGAACATGATGCTTGCGAGGAGAAGCAGAAATGAATGACTAAAGTGAGCGACCTGGCGTCTGAATGAAAGAACTTCTACTAGCGATGTAGCGGAGGGAAGAGACTGAGGCCGGCAGTATTAATGAACAGAGAGAACTGGATGATGGAACCAATGTTCCTGTACCCACTCTTTAACTAACAGTGATCGGACATTGTGGGCCCAAATTCGACATTGGGTTCATGCTGGGAAACGAAACATGGCGGTGCATGCAGAGTGGTTGCGTGCGCATGGCAGGCCAATGTCCGGGTCGCGAGTCTTCTCGATTTAGCTCGACTCTCAAGGCTACACAACCCTGCAGTGTAGTATCTGGGGGCCGAACCACTATATGCCTCTGATCAATCAGCAGCAACCCGTCGCGTAACTATTGTGATTGACGTGGGAAGACTAGGGGTGCATCGACCCTGCTACCATAAGCTGCATCGCTCTCGGCGAGTTCGTCACGATTACTGCGTAAACACTGTCACTTCAGGTCGAAGCTGGAGCGGGCCTGATGTTGCTTGACCGCAAGCACGCGCGGAAAGCCAGTCTCCTTGGACCCATCTCCCACTCTTGCACCGAGAAGGGATATCTATCTGGGGGAAGTCGTCGACCACGGCTGTCGGCAGGGGGCCAACACCGGCCGCTCGTCTGGGATAGCCATTACGAGCGCTGGACATTTGCGAAAGGCAAGTAGACGACCGCGCACGTGGGGAGATGGGCGTCGCAGGTTTCACGATGTGTGAATGAGGGAGGTAGGGTGCCTGAAAAGGAACGATTGGCGAGACACAGCCGTGTACCTTAATTTCACATGGCTCGAAGTCCGACGGGCCTGCCGAGTGTAGAGAAGGGTCGACGCCACACCCCCAAGGCCGTCGTCGGGGGTGAAAGGCGGTGGCGCGTCTGGGGAGCGGCCAGTGCGGGAGCTTGTTGCGCGTCGAGGATGCACCGTGCATTGTTTCAGCACGGCAGGCGCGACCGACTCCAACACCCTCGAGCGGCACCGCCTACGCTACCCTGTATTTGGTCCCGGTGAGGGGTCCGCCGGCCGACCAACAACATGGACTTTGTGCGTAGCCATCCGAGTGCGTGCAGTGAACGCGTGCTGACGGGCGCATCCAGTGGAAGGGGCTCTTCGGCGGCAGCTCTGCCGCGAGGAAGGCCGCCCAGGCCAACGACCCGCAACAGCGTCTGGCACGCTTCCGGCAGCGGTACAACCAGGTCCTGGTGCGCATGCCTCTTCGGCCCTCTCCAAGCTGCCTTCTAACAGCAACAGCAAACATGGCACAAGTCAGAGTCGCTCGCCAGCGACCGCGAGGCCCTGGGCAATCTGCGCCGCGGGTTCCAGGGCCTCACCAAGATGATCGAGGACGAATCCCGCCTGCCCGCTCCCCACCTGTGCCTGAGCTTTGCCGCCGCCCAGCAGATATACACGGCCGTCTCCAAGATCGCGGCCACCTCGCACGACGAGGGCATGGTGCGCGATGCGGTCCAGCTGTACAACGCCCTTATCGATAGCGAGGAGGAGGACTTTCTGGAGAATGACGTATTCGCCGTATCGCTCATGAACTTCATCGGCCGGTCCATCACCTCCATAACACTGGGCGAGGACATCGAAGCCGATATTGTCGAGCTTCTGTTCGGCATCGCTGCCAAGATCAGACTGCAGCCCGAGATCCTGCCCGTGTGGTTCACCACCGCATCCACCGACTTAAATGGCCGCCTCGTCAACCAGAAGGTAGACTTTGCGGGTGTGACACAGAAGGAAGACTTTCCCCTGTGCTACCAGCTCATCGACAAGGTCCATCATGAGGGCCGTATCGGCGAGTTCGCGCGTATGGGCCTGCTCTACATCTTCGAGTCGGCGTCCAAGTCCCTGCCTCTGGAGCAATGGATCGTGAACAGTGACCTTCCCACTCTTATGGCGACCGGTCTGGGTGCATTGTATAGCCAGCTTAGCAGGTGCACATTCCCGTTCCTCTAATCTTATGAAGCCCGCCTAACGTAATCCAGACTCTTGTCCATTCTGCACCCACCTGAAGGCATGCCGCTTATCCTGCAGCTCTCCGATTATTCTGAGATGCGCACCAATCCAAATGCAATCAGCCTGTTCTCGGATGATTTCCAAGGACATCTTGTGACTTTCCTGTCCTACCTCACTTTCTGGCAAGATGTCCTTGAACACTGTCGGTCAACTGAGGTGCGGCACACTTTGATTGATCACTTCCAAGTCCTCTTTCTCCAACAACTACTGTCCGTATACTTCTGACTCCAGCCTCTTGCCGTACTGATGCACCTTCAGATACCCTTACATTGTTCAATCATCCGATGTTGATGGTGGTTCTTCTGTGGCCGTGCTCACATATCTACGCCGGATCCTAGACGCGCTGGATCATCCCGAGCTTGTTCAGATGATCCTACAGTATCTTCTTGCTCTGCCAGACTACTCTGCTGCTACGCCGCTAGACCCCCGATCACCGGCTGCAGTCAGGCGGAGGCAGTCCCTGATGCTACTGAACGGACCAAAGCAGGAAGAAGACAGCATGTCTCCATCCTTGTTCAACCTTGTCGATTTGATCTTGCAAAGCGCCGACTCCAGCAACCCGCAAACCGTCATTGCTGCCTTGAAGCTTACGACCGTCCTTCTTAGTAAGAACCATGGATATGCTCTCGGCTCCTTGGTCAAAGTCACAAACTTGCACCACAAGGAACCACATCGAACAGTGGGCGCACTCAACGCCGAGCTCGACACGTACTTGAATATCGCTATGGACCTTGGAGGCGAAGGTGGCGTCGATGAAGCCTACGAAAGTCACCTCAAAGACAAACTAAGTATACTCGAGTCGCACCCATGTTCTCTCAAAGCTCTTGCACTCCCGTCGGCATCGCTGCAGAGTCCTGGATACTTCGATGCAGAGAACGGCCCGCGAGAAGTTGGCCCGCATCATCTGATCCCTGAAGATCCGCTCTTCAAGTCTTTGGTCGACCTATTATTACGCTTCCTAACGAACGACGTGGAAACGAACCTTGCGCTTACAGAGGCCATCATCAGCCTTGGGTCGTGCAGTGAATTGAGGCTAGAGGGATGGCTGTCCGTGGACCCTTCAGACTACCGCTACCTGGATGATGGAGTCGATTACGAGGCCTTTTCAAATGATAGCCTTCGAGATATGTACAAAGCTAGTCGCAAGCCGGTATGGGACTCGACGGCAGCACCACAACTACTTGCATGCCTACAGCAACTGCAAGAACAGGTCAGCGCACTCCGAGCCGACATCCAAGACTGGGACGAGCACGTCGCCAGCCGCAAAGATGCCTTCCGGTTCCACGAGGAGGTGCACGATGCCATGCGCTCGTCGACGCCGTCAAAGCCTCCCCGCCCGCCTACAGAAGCCCCAGCGGGATCCTGGACACCCCAGATACCCAAGACACCCTCGAGAACGCAGACACCCCGGGGACGAAAAGAAGGTCTGGATCTTCGCGGGACACCGACGCCCTCTCCAGCGCCGTCTCGATTGGGCAATGTGCATACAGGCGGGAGTCCGTCGCGCGGCATGTCACCACTACCCGCACCTCAGGCGGGCAAACGGCAGATGACGCTCATGACGGACATCGATGCTAATCTTTCATCCATCAAGAAGTCGGACTTTTTGAAGCGGCGAATCCGCTTTAGGCGACCCGCTGGCTCGGATACGGTCGAGGTGATGCTGTCAAAGTACCTCCCGCCGCCCAAGGACGAGGGAGAGGATGCAGCCGTCGAGGCGGAGAAGGACGACATCAGGGAAGCCAGCTTGCTGCACATCATGACAAATGTGGTGGTCCTGCAGGAGTTTGTGCTGGAGCTGGCGGCGCTGCTACAAGTGCGGGCGAGCTTGTTCGAGGAGGTGCGGCATGTGTAGGCTAGCGGCGGGTGTATATGCAAGGGCAGATAGTGTTGGTTCGTAGCGTGTCTTGCAGCAGATTATACCACTTGTTCTTGTCATAATATTTTTGCCCGCTTACTTTACTGCTTCACCGTTTCGTGGCTAGTAAAGGACTCCAAATAAAATGCTGATGCTATGACCGGACAACACTCTATACGCGATACGTGTTAGTGAGTCGAGGGTTTCAACCCGCGTATTGGACCAGCCTCGCAATACCCAGAGCTACCACGACTCTCGTTGCGGTATTGTTGGGCGTGACCCCCTACGAACCACGCCCAAGGAAACGAGTTCCCTCAACACGGTGTGGCTTCTTGCATATTTTCCTTCGCACGCATGCACTCCTCGCAGCCTCTTTCCACCCCGCTACTGTGGCAACATAAGGCACCTCGAGTCCACCTATGCTACCACATACCACACGGTATACCCAGCTTCGCAAAGCTCATCGAGTCCATCGGCGCTCCTTAGTCCCACGCGGCACATCCAACTTGGCAAAGCACTTAAAGTTCGCCTACGCTACCGCACATCGCCTGGTATACCTAGCTTCGCAAAGCACTGCGAGTGCATCCAGACTACCGCGTACTATCTTATATAATCACTTTCACGGAGCTTTCCAAGCCCACCCACGTCCCTTATCCTCCTACATGTTCCGCCACTGGATAACACATCAAGTCCAACCACGATGGGGTCCAGCGGTAGTATCCAATGCCCCCAAGACCAATACGCCGCCCGCTGTCCCGACCAAAACCGCCAATCGGGTGACTGCTGCTTCTACCCCTGGGAGACAGCAGGGAAGACAAACCACATGCCGAATATATTTCCCTGGCCCGTGCCGCCGCGCGCAGTGCTGGCCGCACGAGGCATGCCGGAGCCCCGGCCGGAGGCGACGCCGCGGGGATGTACGGCGGAGGAGTGGGCTGCGTGTACGCTGTTTGTTGTTTGCATTGCGGGTGAGTAGGAGTACAGCAGGGTGCACAATTCGGACGCGCTAGGCAACGTCTGTTGTGAAGGTGTCCGAGTTTCTTCTTTGCACTCCTCCTGAGATGTGTGGAAAGAGAAATGCTGATTCTAGACAGCGTCGGCGGTGCACTTTTTGAAGCTGTTCAGGTACAAGAGGGAGATGCGAAGGTTTGCAAGGATTTTGGAGATGGAGGATAAAGAAATGGAGTTTGTGGTGAAGAAGTTGATGAAGAGTATGGTGTAGGGGCATGGCGGGTTTGTGGTGAGAAATGCGAATTCAGTTTGAGTTGAGCCGCGGTGGTATTAGGATGTATCCTTGCCCAAGAACAACCCTCCACTTTGTCCACGATTGTCAGAAGATAATGGGATCGAGTTGCGGGGATTCACGTTCACGGCCTTTCAATCTTCCTCTTAGTGCTAGAGGAGGATACATGGCGTTGAACTTGGCTATTATGAATACATGTACCGTCACTCACACACTCACCTTCATTCTGCGGCTGTCGTGCGACTAGACAGCGTCGTGCGGTTTCACTCCTCAAAGTGGGTCATCGCTGCCATGGCCAACATCGGGATGGCAACTAGGAAGCTTCCAGCACCAAATACTACTTCCCAGCTATTCCAGACAAGTCTACCCCCCAACATAACGAGTACGACAAGACCCAAACATGTGTAGATCGCTCTGCTTCCATTCCAACGGGTTCTCACGTACAGACCATTCATGCTGAGATCTCGATTCTGTGGCTGGAAAGTGTTTTCTGGCCATCCGACAGCGCTGGCAACATTAATACCACTTTGATTTCCATGCATATAAAGCTTTTTAGACAAAACCCACCTGTAATAGTAAATGAAACCATGGCCTTCGAAGCCGTGAAGTATTCGCTGGCCACGGGCAGCAGCTGGGTTGCGAAAGTAACATGAAAGAAACTTCACAGTATCAATCCACTTTATGATATCGTTGTATCTGTCCCACCTCTCGAATGGGCATACTGGGGAATAGCCAGCCGTTGGAGAGTTGAGTGGACACTTCTGATTGTCATGCGTGTAATGTCCTGAGCTTTCGCGCCTGCAGTGATCTGGAAAATCTTCCAAGTTGAGGTCCATGATCTTCTCAATCGTCGCGTGTGCTTCTTCTCGCATTGCTGAGTAGAGCTTGTGGTTATCGGCTAAATCCATAGGCTCCATGAAGACCGAAAATATCTTAGACGAACGGCAAATGATTCGAAACTACCTTTACCATCAACATGGAAAATGTAAGGAGATCCGCATAGAACGTACCGTAACAGGTTCGAGCTTGTCAAATTCTCGGAAAGTAAAACACTTGCTTATAAGATTGCGTTGCGCCGTATATCGATGTGCTAGTTTCTCGAAGATATTTTCTTCATTGTCACGGCTGTCAATCTGAACATCTACAGCGCGAGTCGGGGAGCTTTCAGGTTTTCTCGATCCCCACAACAGGAACACACATCTGGCGTCATTGTCTTTTTCTGCTTTCTCTTGAAAGTAATCGAAGGGGTGGGGTTGGAATGCCTCAGTCGTTTTTGGAATGTTATCATCCTCGGGCCACCGTCTTCTCTTGATGAACGTCTTGTTTCTATATCTGGCAGATTTGAATCCCGTCGTCTTCGAGGCAGAAGTGCACGGAGGCCTGGTCAAGGCGATCGATGGCTTTGTTGGATGTTCGTGTGAAACTGACATGAATGAAGATAGAAGGATAATCTTATGAAGCTGAATGTGTGTGGGGAAGTTCGTGGGCTTTTGACTCCTCCACACGGCGACCACCAAGAAGAATGGCTGCCTAAATGTACACAGTCCAGTATAATCATCCACATTCATGTTTACACAAATTGCGATATCTCACTTCTTCATTGGTTCAGACACTATGCTGACCGGTGACACCCTGGCAAGTGCGCTAACTTGGGATGGCCAAGCTCGACATTGACAGCCATACCCCTCTCACCTCCTCTATCAGGCGACACAATCAGATCGGACAAGGTTGAGATCAAGGAAAGCACTCGACACAGCTATTATGGTCGTCATATTCGGGTCGATCGGAGACATTATAGTGGTTTGTTTGCTCGTCAAAGACTGTGTCGACGTGCTCAACGACACCAGGGGTTCTGCCGCAGAGTATCAGGCTGTCGTTCGAGAACTGTGTATACTTGAAAAAGTTTTGCTGGAGGCTGGAATCCTTTCAAAAACACATGCCATTATATTGATCATCTTTTCAACCAGACAAACTCGATAAAGAGGCGTATCTGCAACATCTGCAATGCTTTCAGCGTTCAATGGCTTGCTGGTACCAGTGGCGCCGTGTAAAAGCATGACCAGGTCATTTCTCTTACAGCCTAAAATTTCGAGAGAATAGCCAGCCAGCATATTCTGGTTCTAGCTAATAATCAAAGAGCGCATCAGATCCTTGTCTGAGAGCACCAGTCGTTCCCAAGCTTTCTTGTGCCATTTTGGAGAATTAGTATCATGGACATAGAGCTAATCCCACCTCTTCTCGTCAAGATTGACCCTATTTGTTGCTGGGAATAAATTAAGAAAGTTGTGTCAGAAAACAAGTGATGAAAGTCAAATTGGGCTGACTGTCCATCGAATTGGCATATTGCCTCTTGGTAGTCGGTCTCGTGTGTCATCGCATTGGCGTGCATTGTGTGATAGACACGCTTTGGTGCTTGCGTGCTTGCGTGCAACAGATTTGGTAAATGATATCCATGTGAGGCTGCTCTCGTCCTCATCAGCTGTTAGCAACTTCGGACGTGCATTTTTTGGGCCGTATTACTTACCTGGACAGAACCCCTCTGATCCCTCAAATCCACGGCGACTCGCTGTTTCAGAGATTTAGCCTTTAGGCGTACCATTCCGCTTACGTTTCTTCCGAGCATCTCCAAATCGGTAGGTCATATTGTATTGCGAATTGGATGTGAAGATAAGCAGCAAGGTTTCCCTCAATCTTTCTTAATCTTCCAAGTGCTGAACCGCTTCGCGCTCCACCAAGAAGATGACCTCCACGTGCCTATCTCAACAGCTACCTGCTCGCTCCAATGCATAAGACTAGGGAAGTGATATATCACTTCCTATGAGCTAAAACGACAGTCTCAGTCGCGCCGCCTTGTGGAGGTTAAACATGTGGGGACTAGGACATAGTTGGTAGATAGTGATCGTGCGTCGTCACTCTTGTCTCCAGTGTGGGACGCATTGACCAAAAGTAAGCTCTTGACGACTGGTCATTCATAAGGCTAAAGCGGTTTCATGTCGGACTCTCGTATCCATGGATCCATGAATCGGCTTCAATCACGTGCCGGTATGGCAACATCGGTAGAATTGCAAGTATTCACCGAGAGGTTTCGTTGAGCAGTGGCGCCCTCAGCGGTCATCCATACCTGTTCGAGAGCCATGCATTCCACACAAGGAGGCATCGCCAGTCTTCGAGAGGTTTCAACCGTGACACATATAAAAAAGAGGGTATTCACAGACACGAAAATGGCTTGGAAGAAGAGCTGTGCTCATTGTGAGCGCACGTCATGTCGCCATGCTCCTTCCTCTCTGACCTGCACCTCCGGCTCCACATCCCCAACACCAAGAATCCCTTACGAGACCATCTCATAATCATAACTCTCATACCACTCCGTCCCCAACCCCATCTCCGCACACCCTTCTTCATCCACCTCCCTCCCCACCATGTCCACGCCACTCCACTGCAGCCGCATATACCCGCTCCCATCCCCCTTCCATCGTCCAGCCTCCTCCATCTTCTCTCTGCTCTCCCCATACCCCCTCGCCTCCAGCCATCCATCCTCAGCCTCCATCCGCCCTGTCCTCGCAAACCCACTCCACCAATCCACAACCAATCTCGCAAACTTTGTATCCTTCCCATCTCTATCCGGCCAGTTCTGCTGCAGGATGTTGCCGAACGTATACGGCACCTCTCCCGCGTGGCACTTGTAGTACTCCTCCTCGTCCGGATTTTCGACATCGCGCCCGCAGATAGGGCGTGCGGAGTTGCCGAAGCGCGGTGTTTGGTACGTCCTATTGAACTGGAATTCGTATACTGCGCTGAAGACGTTGTTTTTCGTGGCGGAGTAGGCAAAGGCATGGGTGAGGCAGGTGAAGTAAAGCCGAGTCGCTACGCGGTTTGTGGCGTTGAAGACGGCGGCCTCTTGTTCAGCCTGTGTAAGCGATGGCCAAGTGGGAAGGCGTTCAGGAGAAAATGAGGAGTTGGACAGGTGCATCATGTCGACGCCAGAAAAGGAGGTCAGGAGGGCGAGGTTGGACGTAAAATTGGTAGTAGGATTTGCGATCTGGTAGGAGAGCTCATCGCGGTTTGTGCCAATCACGACGGGGATGTTGTGAGGTTGGGCAAGAGGGCCGGAGAGTGGGAGCGCGCGCGTGAAGAGGAGGATGTCGTCGCGGACAGGGAAGTGGGCTTGTGTACGGCCGGGCTCGGTGGCCCATCTAATGGCGTCGTAGGAGCTGAGGCAGGCGACTTCGTCTGTTACGTTAGCGCAGCCGCTCTCCTGTAGGACTTTCGTCGTGACTTTTGCGTAATTTGTGGCCGGTGAGTCGAAACGCGTGGCGCCTGCTTCGATGGTGACTTCGCCGGACGAACTCTGCATAATCGCGCCGTGAATCAAGCCCTTTAGCTGAGGAACGGCGAGCAACGTGCGCGAATTCGTGGCACCCGCACTCTCGCCCCAGATCGTCACGCGATCTGGATCGCCGCCGAAGTTCTTGATGTTCTTCTGCACCCAGCGCAGCGCAGTGACCATATCAGAAATTCCATAGTTACCCTTGTGCACACCATCGTTGAAAGCGAGAAACCCCAGGTTGCCGACGCGGTAGTTGAACGTCACCACCACAACATCCCCCCGAGACGCGAGGTTGCCGCCCTCCTTCTCGTAATCAGTCCCGGTACCAGCGACACTGCCACCGCCGTAAAGCCACACCATGACTGGCTTCAACTTCTTCTTGGGAGTGTCCTTCGCGGGAAGAAACGGAGTCCAGACGTTCAGAAACAAACAGTCTTCGCTGAGTTCTGGCCATCGCGGATCAGGACCTTGCAAGCATCCCGGGCCGTACTTCGTAGCATCGACGTGGCCTTGCCCTTCGTACAAGCTCGAGAAAGTGAACCGCTCAGGCTGTTCCGAGAAGCGTATACCTCGGAACTGGAAGGTATAGAAATCGCGGAAACCTGTGATGGTTTGTTTGCCGGATTGCACAACGACCTGCAGTGAAGGAATGGGAGAGGACTGGTTGGCGCTCAGAATGGGACCTGAGTTTGTGCACAAGGCTGGCAAAGTGGACTCGCAAGGCTCTTGTGAGATGGCTCCATTGGTGGCTATTGTGCTGCAGATATTAGAGTAGTTTGATGGAGATGAGATCCAGTACTGCAAGGTCTCGTTCCCCTTGAGATATGCTTGGTATGAGAAGGCATTGCCAAGGCCGAGTGAATAGTCAGAGTCAGATGGAGACCATAGCTTTTCATTTGCAGAAGCGCAACGTCGTTCGGCGGCTGAGTAGGTAGACTTGGACAGGAGAAGCGCGCCTGTAGTCCTAGTGGTGAGATTCCCTGCATGCAGTGAGCATGGTGAAGCTCAGAAAGAGGTATTGGTAACACACCAGCAAGGTCGTTATCGCTCAGTATCGAAACAGACCCTAGCGTTGCAATACTAGGTGCTGCGGCGTTGATCGTGGGTAATCCGATCAAGCCAGCCACCAAGGGAACGGCCAGTTCGTAGTAGTGCATGTTATCCTCTCAACGTCAGCGATAACTTCCTTGTACCACAATCGAAGCTCTTACATATTTTCATCCGTGTATGCCTCCCTGAGCGTGCAAGGCGGGTGCCGGGAAGTTGGCCCGTGATTAGCCTATTCTGCAGCTGGCCTGCATGTGTAGGAGTTGGCGGAGCACACATACGAGGTCACGTGGTGCGCAAAAGCCTGTGTAATGCCGCCAACCCGGTAAGCTCTGCATTTTGAAGCTTGGCTACACCTCCATGGTGTTGTATGCCTCTGTGTAAGCACGAGTTCGATGTGCAGGTACTTCTTCGGTATTTGACTTCATTTTTCCATCATGTCTAGGTTTGCCTGCGAGGATCTATCGCAGAACAGTACAGTACATACAAGAATAGCAACATACCCGTCAACCTACAAGGCACCAAGCTCCTTCAACTTGCTGATCATGCCATCGACATCGTCGACCTTTACTCCGCCCTTCCGTGGTGGCGGCTCGGTGACCTTTACCGTCTTCAGCCTCGGTTGCTCATCTAGGCCGTAATCCTTCAGGGTCTTCTTCTCTAGCGGCTTCTTCTTGGCCTTCATGATGTTGGGTAGACTGGCATATCTCGGCTCGTTCAACCGCAAGTCGGTCGTGATGATCATGGGCAGATTAGCCTTTACTGTCTCCACACCGCCGTCCACCTCTTTTGTCACGGTAACCGTCTTGTCCGAGATGTCAACCTTGCTCGCCTGCGTCGCCTGCGGCCACCCCAACAACCCAGCCAGCATCTGCCCGGTCTGGCTTGCATCGTCATCGATGCTCTGCTTGCCCAGGATGACCAGGTCGCTCTTTTGCTCCTCGACAACCTTCTTGAGCAGTTTTGCGACGCCGAGCGGCTCCAGCTGCGGGTCCTTCTCCTCGACAACGACGTGGATGGACCGGTCTGCGCCCATGGCCATGGCGGTGCGCAGGATATCCTGCGACTTGGTGGGACCGGCAGAGAAGGCGACGATTTCCTGGATGGGGACCTTGCGCTCGCGGAGGCGGATTGCTTCTTCGATTGACAGCTCGTCGAACGGGTTCATGCTGTGCTTGACATTGGCGGTCTCGACGGCCGTCTGGGCCCGGTTGACGCGCGGCTTGACCTGCCGCATCGTGTCAGCGTGTATCATCCTCGCTAAGTTGCAATTGGCTACCCAATGCCCATGGCGTGGAGTAGCATCGTGACTGCCGTGCAGCTTGGCAGCCGGAGGGTGCTTGTTCTTACTGCATAGTCAATGACGCGCTTGATGGGCACGAGAACCCTCAGTCCAGACATTGCAAAGGCTTCCGGCTCCTGGACGTCGTTTTTGGGTGTTGTTATTCAAGGTGGCCAAGGGTGGGATGGCCGGCTGGAGCTTGTCCTCGTGTCTGAGCCGAGGGACGGCGGGCGCGTCCCGAAGTCTCCACCGACAGTTTCCGGCTGTGACATAATCATCCGCTAGCCGCTTGCGGCACTGGCGGGGCGCGACTCCATTTGCCAGCGAGCATGTGCACACACGCAGTTGCCATTATGATGTTGGGTTGTGCTGACAACATTCGGGCGCTTTCCAGGTCTCGCAGGATTGCTCCTCTGGCCGGTCGGCCCACCTCACCCTCGCAAGATGGCTGCTTCTCCCTCGTCAGGCTTGCTGAGACTGCCGGATGAACTTCTCCTTGACATCCTCACTCACATCGATGGTTTGGCGCACCCATGGCGGACCAGCTCTCTCTATGCCCTCAGTATGGCCAGTCGACGCCTCCATGGCATCACCAAGCCATATCTCTACTCGACTTTTTCCTTCTACACGGGGGTGCCGTACAAGTTTCTCCGCACTCTGTGTCTCAACTCAGCTCTGGCCTCGCAAGTGAAGGTGATCCGTTGGGACTACGATACCTCTGAATCAGAGCGGTTCCGATACGAGCCGGGCAAACTCGGTGTGAAGCAACAATGGCACATTGACGACGCCCATCACAAACTGCAACATATGGCTGCGCAAGGAAACTCCACCGCTTCAAACCTCATCAACCACCTGAGGCTGGGACCCCTGTATCTTGGCGACCAGAGAGCACTAGAAATCTTGTTGATGTTCACCCCAAATCTCGAGCATCTGGAAGTCGTGGAGACGTACAGGTGGGATGACCATGTCTTCTGGTTTCTACCCATTCTCTCCAGACACGACGACTTTTCACGACTCACATCTGCTACTATACAAGGTCCTATGCGCGCCCCAAACGTCTTGTTGCTCATGTTCCTTCCTACAATGCGACGCCTCGAGCTGAGTCAGGTGATTGAGATGCGACAAGAAATCGGGCGGACGCTGCAGTGGGATGAATCTTGGGGAAGCTTCATTCTCGGCCCAGGTTCCAAGGATCCGCCCAGCTCAAGCCTCGAGCACCTCCACATGCTGGATTCTTATGCTGACCTAGATGATGTCACGCAACTCGTGGGCCTCGTACGAAACTTGAAATCTTTCGTCTACGAGCATGCGAGAAATGAGCTAAGCATACATTACTTGGACGTCCCTTACCAGAACATCGCCCAAATACTGAAGTGTCAGCACATTACTTTGACCTCTCTACGAATCGCAAATACGCACATACTATCGCCATTATACATGCCATCAGCCGACCTAATACCACTAGGGGAGAAAGATCTATTTGAAACCATTCAGGATCTCCCCAACTTGACCTGTCTTGAAATATTTCTCTCGCTTGCTCCATCACATCGTCATCGAGCTTTTAGATGGGAGAACTTACCCCCAAGCTTAGAGACTCTTATGGTAGATCATCACAGCGCCTACCACTACGTCGAGGACCGTATGGACACTTCAGATCTAGAGCTTAGTCTCGCAGATCTGGCAATGCGCAAACGGAGGGGCGAGCTACCAAACCTGCGCATGTTGGTTTTTAGAAATTGGCACCCGTTCTACGGTACATTTCCGCAAGACATGTCCGTCAAAAAGGTGCTGGAAGATGTGGGTATAAAGTTCAATTCACTGCCTGCAAAAATCGGCTCATCTGTGGCCACGATGTACGACATTGGATGGGTTGAGTTGCAGACTGAGCCGGAATGGGTGATCATCGAGACATATAACTTGAACGAAGAGTGATGAGCTGGCCCTGTCCTTCTTCATCTCCTCTTTCGCCACTGGTACCGTGGTAGGTGATTCACTGGTAACCCACAGTTGCATTCTGCCAACTTATTCACGGCAAACCGTATCGCAGGATCGGAAGAAGCACCGAAAGAATCGTGTCGTTCCTCGGAGTGTAAGCTTGCGAAGATTACTCCACTCCACCTAGCAATTAAGGCCAGGCCAGATTGGTAAATACTGATTATAGCACAAGGCAACTAAGACCAACAGTTCAGAATCTGATTGAAGATACCCTCATTATTCCCGCGGCACGAAAGTGAACTGCCACTACCCCACAACCGAGCTAACTCTAATTGGAAGGTCGTTGTTATCTCCAGTACAGCAGTGGGTGGCGACTCAGCTTCAATCTGAATTGATAAGTGGCTACACTCGTCGTTATCATTCTAAACTTCTGGAGTCACCGATTCTCGCTTCTCTACATACAAATTCGTAAAGTAGCTTCAAGCCTTGGATATCAAACAGCACACCTCCAGTCAACATAGCCCAGAGAACAACTCCTATACGTGCCGCCTATCCAGGCCCAACAAGTCACGGATCTTGAATTTTGGAGATCTACTCGAGCACGTCTGCGGTACCAACGCTCTACCCACTTTCATCTCCCGCCTCCACCAATTCCCATTACCATGGTTTCCCCAGTTGCACCGCCACCTACCATCCGCAAAGCTCTCATCGGCTCCCCCTCAAACTTCTGGCTCCATCACAGCACCCATGGCTTCAATCTCACGCACCCCTCTACCCCCAACACCCCCATCTCAACCCCAACCCTCACCATCCAAACCACCACCACTCCAATCACATTAGACCCCTCCAAATCCGCCCTCGTAATCATCGACATGCAGAACTTCTTCCTCTCCCCGGCTCTTGGCCGCACCCTCGGCGGACCCGGCCACATCGCGTCCGACAATCTGATTAAGCACGCGATACCCGCCGCAAGGAAGGCCGGCATCCGCATTATCTGGCTAAACTGGGGACTTGACGAGGAAGATCTGCGGACTATGCCGCCGGCTGTGCGGCGCTGCTTCGGCTTCTATGCGATCCCTGAAGGGGATGAATTTGAGCGAGACTTTAGTCGCAGCAAGGGCAGTGTGGGTGTTGATCGATTCGGCGTGCCGCGGGCGGAGCACGGGCGGGAGGCCATGTACCACGGACTCGGCGCACCGTGCGGCACTGTAAAGCTTGATTCTGGGGAGCAGATCGATGCAGGCGACCTTCTTGTGCGGGACTCATGGAACGCGGATATCTACCCGCCGCTGAAAGAACTGTACGACCCGTCCTCCGACGCGTGGATTCACAAGAACCGCATGTCCGGCCTGTGGGGCTCTTCCACACCGCTTCAAACCTATCTCCAGGAAGAGGGGATTAAGACGTTGTTGTTCACAGGTGTGAACACGGATCAGTGCGTTGGGGGTACACTCACGGACGCGTTTAGCAATGGCTATGACTGTGTGATGCTGAGTGATGGGTGTGGGACTAGCAGCGGGGAGGAGGCGCAGAAGGCGTGGGAATTCAACGCCGAGAGAACGTTTGGATTTTGTATGAGGTGTGAAGACCTTGCAAATGGGGTGGGAAGGATGTAGGATGTGGTGAGAGGCGGGTTGTTGCAACGGGTGCTGCATGATGAGGTGTTTGTAGAGTATGGGGAACGGACGAGGATTATCGATAGATAGAGTTATGAATCTGTCAGTCAGGTCGATACTAATGGTGATTATTCAACGCGGGCGCTGGATCTCAAACATGGCGCTAGACTTGACCCTGCCTTGTCATGCGAACGCATAAGTTCTCTGCAGGGTGTTGCGATGAGCATCCCACTTCCAACTCAATGGCTGATGGCGTCAGTTTGATTTGAACCCAGGTTTCTCTTCACGGCTGTCCCAGGATCATTCTCTGTTATATTGTTTCCGCTCAGAATAAACCGAATCTTTAGTTCGGAAATGGACCATTCATCGCGTTCGCCAATAGCTATACCCGCTGGTAGACACGGTTGTTCAAGTGCAACGCCGACCTTCGTCACGCCTTCTACTTCGCCGCCCGTTCCGTCAATTATGATCCCTGCATCTGGAAGTCTGAAGCGAACCGCCGCGAAGAATCCCCTTGAAGTACACCATGGGCCAGATCCGACCCATACATTACCATCCAGCTCGAACGCACCTCACGGCAATGACCACACGTCATCGGCTGGTGCTCACGAAGGCGCTTACAGTAAGAGCGCTTCTCATGGCACAAAGATCGAACAAGCCGTCACAAAACCTGAGCATCATGCTCCAGCTAAGGACATGGGCCGCCGGAAGCGGGCAAAGAGGGCGAGTGTACTGGTTAGGTAGCAAAATTATGCAACGTCTGACTTGTTCCAGGGCTATCCCCAATCCCAGAGATACCAAAAGTACATCACGCAGGTAGTGCCATAGGTGTAGCAGTGTTTCGTCCAAGCCGTCCCCGCCCTCCGCCGCTACATGTTTCTGGACAAATCGTTTGTATGCAGAGCACGCCTGCGCGTCCCATCGCCCACAAACAGCCTGAATATAGCCAATCTGGGCGACGCTTGATTCTACCTCGGCCAAGATGTGGAAAGACCTGTCACACTTCCCTTGAACGACTCAGTCTCTGTGCAGCGCGCGGACTATTGGAATCGGATCGGCTTAGAAATTGACTACTCCAACCGAATTTCTTCCCATTGTGACTCGCGTCACAATGGGAAGAACCAAATGGTGCAGTATTCAATCTAGGATGTGAGGTTCCGTATCGACAGTAGGGGTCGCGGACACATAGACTGCTATCTGCTGAACTAGCTTCATATGGAGAAAGATACTGAAGTACGCGTGGACATCAGGACCAATGGGTCGCCTTCCTGTTTTCCGCAGCAGGTCATACGCTCTGGTAGTTCCTTATTTTACATTCAAGTTGATATTGTGTTACACAGCTGAGCTGGGCAGGATGTTCGGGGTATCTTAAGTAGTGTACAACTGCTATGGCATCGCTCTCTTCACACTCTTTAACGCAGCAAGCCGGTGCCGAGCCTGCGCGGCCAGGTCCGGCCATTCTTCCGGAACGCCGTTCGGTGGGTCTGCCGCGACGACTTCTAAGCAGTTCTGCACCTGGTCTTCTTGTCCATTACGCTCATACATCCGAGCCATTTCCATCACGGCCGGTTTGTGTCCGCCCGTTGCCGCGGCATTCAGCCACTCCATACCGAAGTCTGCAGCTCCGTTTCTCTTCCAGGAGGTGATGAAGTTGAGTGCTTTCCTGAACCCTGTGTTTCCCAAGAAAGTTGATGGTTGCGCTTGCACTTCGTGGTAGAATAGACCTAGTTCGTACATCGCTTCGGGGTGGCCTGAGGCAGCTGCTTTGCTCATGTAGTTGAGCCAATCGGGATTTTTGGAAGCTTGGAGAGTGGCGAGCTTATAGTAGGCCATGGGATCATCGGCCTTCAGAGCGCCAAACTTGATTGCTTTGGTAATTCTTTCGACCGAGGGTGCGGGAGACGCTTCCTCGAGTTTGACGAGCTCCGTCCACGGCGTCAACCAAGGCAGGGCCATCGGATGCGGGTAGCCACGCCAGATCTTAGTGTCGTAGCGCTCCAACGCCTTCTCGTAGAAGAATCTGGCTTGGGCTGTGTCTCCAGCCAATTCTAGAAACTTTCCGTGCAGCGTCATTGCGTTTGCGTCCCCTGTCGCGCCAGAATTTCCTTGTTTGCCTTCCGCCAGCTGCTCCAGCATCCTCCGAGCATCGCTAATTTGTTTGGGTGTGTAAAGGCGCGCCATCTCCGCGGCTTTGGGCATGTTGTGTACCTTTGCGCTGTAGTAGACGGCGTTGAGAATTTGCAGTGTAGCCTGAAGATCGCCGGCAGCGCTGCACGCAACAAGCAACGACGCAGCCAGAGGGGCATTCGAGCTCGGAGGGAGTTGCCGAGTGGTGTCATTGACATCTGGTATTCGGAACATGGGGATTGCGAGCATTGGTAAGTGTACTACTTTGAGTTTAAATTCTAGATCATGTTAGCTGGTGGAGATAGTAGCTTGAAAGTGATCCTTACGTTGTGCTAGTGTGCGTGCATTGGTCGCGGGATTCATACTGGCCCTATTTGATACAAAATGATTGATAATCTTGTTGGCATCTTCGAGTTTACATGGTATTAGCTTGTCGGCTTCGAGCATGCGAAAGTACAATCGTCTGTTGCGCTGGTCTATGTCGGCGCGCACTTCTCCAGGCGTTCCCTTCCTCGGATCTATGCGTTGCTTTATAGTGAAAGTCCGTGCCCCTAGAGGACTGCGATGGAGGCAGAAGATGCATGGTTCTTTGTTGATGATCCGACGAGCACCCCGAATGACGCTCGGCCGGATTGACATCTTGAACAGTTGGAGTAAATGCAACGAGGGGTTCACCACGCTGCAGCTTCGGAGGTCCGCAAACCACGCTAGGGAAAACATGGGTCCGAGCCGTGGGTCGCGCTTTCCCGCTTGGCGGCAGTACAAAAATTATTTTTTGTTCAAACGTCATGTTCGCACGCGTCTTCGACACCGCTAAACGAATCCTGAGTCGCTCGCCGTCGTACCAAGGAGAGTCCGAAGAACCCACCCAGGACATACCGAGAAGCGCAGACGACGCCGCCGACGCCGCAGCCATGGTCACAACGCGCCGAGGTACCGGGACCGCAGGTTCGGTGCAGAGCACGCCAGCAAGCTCTACGAGGAGCGCGAAGGGCAAACGACATTTGGAGCTCGAGGTGCAGGAGACATCGACCCCGACCAAAAGGAGAAGAAAGATCGCGACGAAGGAGGAGCCCGCTACGGATGAAAATAGCGACCAGGCTCAGGATAGCATTGAAGTATCTGCAGATGGCGCAAACAACGCGGACACGGACCCCAAGGTCAAGGCAATCCCGGTCAGGACGAGGAGCAAGAAGAGCGTGGATCTTACCGTAGCGAGCACACCTGTCGCACGTCGCGCCAGCCCTAAGATTGTCATTCCCGAACCAGCTTCGGAGCGGTCCGCGGACGAAGCAGACGTTTTCTACACACCGGCGCAGCACTCGTTCGCCAATACAGCAGACGAAGACGATAGGGAAGGCTCGCTCACTCCCAGGCCGACCTCAAAAGCTAACAAGGCGACACCGGCATCGGGCAAAGGATCTGGCAAGAGGGGAAGGCCGAGGAAGCATTCCAAGGCTAATTCGCCGGAAAAGAGCCCCATCGTATCCACCTTGGCTGAAGAGGTACCCTCTTCGACTTGGGAAAGCGAACAAGCTCCCATCTCCCCTGTGAAGCTGGATGACACCGCGAAAGCTACGGGAGAAACCGTAAGCTCAGAGGAAAAGCAAGAATCAGATGCCGACACTGCTCGCGATGGTGCTGAAGGTTCGGCTACCATAGAAAACAAGCCACCTAAGGACCAGGTTCAAGATCTCGCATCACTGGGTATCGCTTTCGAGGACGTGGCGCCAGACACAACGGCAGCTCAACCTCGGAAACACAAACGCTTCGGCAGCGATGAGCCTGCTGAGGCCAAGGTGCAGGTTGAGCCGACAGAAGAACCAGCGGTAGACGGACCTGAGGATGACGGAAGCGACTCTGACGAAGCTCCGGAAGAGGTCACTACATCGGCGGCCGCTTCCAAGGCCAAGGCTACAGCTGAAGAAACAAAGCGCGCACGACAAGCACAACAGGCGAAGGAAGAAAAACGCCGCCAGGAGCGCGCTGATCGCATAGCCCAGGAACAAGCCGAGAAGCGTGAACGCGAGGAGAAGAAGGCACGAAAGCTGGCTAAGAGTCAGGCCAAACTTGCTCGCCTACAGCAGCGCCAAGGATCGTCCCCGGCCAGGGCTTCCATGGATGTGGACATGCACAACCTTCCAGACCTACTTCCAGACTCAATTCTCGAAGCGGCGGGAGACCGTCGAGCCCCTACGCCGCCGCCCGTTCGAGGAGGCAAGACCGAAGAGGAGCTTAGGAAAGAGAAATTGAACAGGCACATCAAGTTCTTGGATCGCGGTGAGAAACCTATTAAGGATGTGAAGAAAGGGAAACTTAACGTATCGGTGCTGGCACAGCGGAATGCACTGCTCGCACCCAAGGTCAACCGTGATACGAAGAATATCCGGGAGCATTGGCTAAAAGGGAGGGAAGCTCAGAGGAAAGGTCGCGGAGGCAGGAAAGGGACGACTTTCAGGAAAATGGAGAGGAGAGCTGTATCTGGGGGTTTCTTGAGGGGTGGAGATGATGAATAAGCTATGCTTGAGCATTTCAGCGAGATACCAATAAGATGATTTACTCCTTAGTTGAATTGGCACCGCGCAGCAAATATGTTTGGAGTCATTGCCGTTTTGACTAGAACCGAGGCACGATAGCCGACCTCGACACCAAAGAACATAATCACCATCCAAATCACCAAACTTGTGCTGGTGATCCCGAGTAATATTCGTCGCGCACGCGCACGCGCCACATGCACGGATAGAGGCGGAGCAAACCCCGCATTCCGTGCGGCTCCATTCCAAGCGCAGCACAACGTCACTCTTTCACAAGCCAGCCCACCAACACCAGGACATTCACATGAATTCGCGCATCACAGCCAAAGCCACAATGGCAGCACGTGTCACCCATAATGCTCCCATATCCACGTTCGAGAATAGGCCATCAATGCATGTTCTGATGAATTAGGCTTTTCAACATGGTAATTCGGAAAACGACTCCACCAGTAGCCGATCGCCAGCCGAAGGGTGTACCTGCGCTCAGCGTTCCGTTCGCCCACCATGCTGATCTGGGGACGCGGGCGCGCCAAGGATCCGCGACGGGCACCCGGGACGCGTGCTCTGTGAAATGAAACCAGTGGTAGGGTAAGGCTGGGCTGGGCTCACGCGTGGCCGAGCCGAGGATACGGGGGGGGAGCTAGGACGTCCTCCCATCCGCGGCTAACTGGGGAAGCATGACTGCGATGGTCGGCTTGGACATCTGACGTTTTTTCTTTTCTTCTTGCCTGCTCCTCTGGTCCTGTGTACCTGTGTACCGTCTCGCTTTGCCAGTGGACTGTTCTTTGTCCTTGAAAGCGCACTTGTCCTACACATCATTGAAGCTCTTCGCTGAACTCCAAGTTTGAAGAGGGCTCGGAAGAACGAATTGCTCCTGTTCTCAAGTTCAGACTACCTCGACTTTGGCGGAAAGGCACACCTCCTTTGGATCACTTTCTAATCCCATCGAGCGCAAGCTCACTTCGCAACTATGTCTGCGAAGTCAGTAAATGGACCGGGCGGCAAGAAGCCTGCTTCTGCCGCTACAAATTTGATTGGTGAGCTCGGACTGACTTCTCTAGAGCTTTGAAAGCTTCACTGAACGTATGCTGACAGCGCGCGCATAGCTGGTGGAGGTGCAGGCATGATGGAAGCGCTCGTGTGTCATCCTTTGGGTACGTCCTCAAGTAAAGATTGGGCTAGGACTTGGGCTCAAACAGCTAACATTATTCACAAGACACCATCAAAGTTCGAATGCAATTGTCGCGGCGAGCGCGCGCTCCAGGAGTACGTCCTACCACGCATGCAACTCATCCCATTTCCGCTTGAACCGTACTCACGCGCCCGAATAGGCACCTAAACGCGGGTTCTTGAAGACTGGACAAGAAATTGTCAAGCGAGAAACGCCACTGGGCTTGTACAAGGGTCTTGGTGCTGTTTTGACTGGAATCGTTCCGAAGATGGCTATTCGCTTCACAAGTTACGAGTGGTACAAGCAGTTACTGGCAGATAAGGATGGTATGGTCAGTGGACGAGCAACATTCCTAGGTACGTGAAGCCCTGGCAAAGCTGCATATATTATACTGACACGGCGTAGCTGGGCTGTCTGCTGGTGTCACCGAAGCCGTTGCTGTCGTCACACCCATGGAAGTCATCAAGATCCGATTACAAGCGCAGCACCACTCGATGGCGGATCCCCTCGACGTGCCCAAATACCGTAATGCTGCGCATGCGCTTTATACCGTAGTAAAGGAGGAAGGATTTGGCGCTCTCTATCGCGGTGTTTCGTTGACGGCACTTCGACAAGGCTCGAACCAGGCTGTAAACTTCACCGCATACTCCGAGTTCAGAGCGGCGCTCCAGAAATACCATGGCACAACAGATCTGCCAGGTTATGAGACGATGCTCATCGGTCTTGTCTCTGGTGCCATGGGACCGTTGAGCAATGCGCCCATTGATACCATCAAGACGAGGCTGCAGAAGACGCCCGCTGAACCGGGACAGACAGCTTTGGGTCGTATCATGGCAATATCTCGGTGCGTTCAATAGCGGACATGCTTGAAAATAGCTAACAATGAGCAGGGACATGTGGAAGCAGGAAGGAAGCCGAAGTTTCTACAAGGGAATCACACCCCGTGTGATGCGTGTCGCACCCGGTCAAGCCGTCACGTTCACCGTCTACGAATATCTGAAGGGTGTTCTCGAGAGAGGCCGAGAAATGCTCCCAGGCGGTCAATACGAAGAATGAGCTGGTACATGGCTTTTGCATCGCAAAATTAGGGGGATTGTCGATACCACTTCGCGCTTTTCAGATCTTAGTCAGCATCGTTTGAGCTGGATGTGTATACCTCCGATGCATTGAGGTTGATTCTTCCCATGAAATACGCGCATGTTTGTTCAAGGTTTGGAGGATTTGCATCCATGCGGGTCCATTGAGCGCTTCCAATCAGTTGCTGTCCCTTGCCAAGGCGCCTCTTCGTACCTGCCCCACTGCCCCTCACGACGTCAGCGTAAACATGGCTGTGCACGTCAGCTCCCGCACAACACTGCATCCACTCCTGAAGTCGGATAATTGTTTTCGCAGGCCACTAATTGTCTTGAAGCCATTACCGCCATCATGCAATCAGGCATCTCCGGTACCTCTTGCTCTCCCCATGCACGACGCAGCTGACAGCCCCAGCATCTGCGGAGCTCCAAGAAGCGCTCCAAAGCCTCATAACCTCCACAACGCAGCGCGGCATCCTCGCCACCATATCGCAAGAAGCCATCGTCCCCGCAGCGCCCATACCGTCGACGCACGTCACCTTCCTCGAAGACCTCTCCAACCTAAAGGACTTCATCAAGCCCAATGAAGCCCTCTACATCCTCCTCCGCCGCAACGACGTTCTCTCCTCCCCAGACAAATCCCTCGTCGCCGTCACATATGTCCCCAACGCTGCTCCAGTCCGCCAGAAAATGCTGTTCGCCGCAACACGACTCACGCTCGTGCGGGAGCTCGGCGGCGAGCACTTTCCCGAGAGCATATTCTGCACCGAGGCCGACGAGCTGACCGCCGAGGGGTGGGAGAGGCACCTCAAGCACACCGAGAGTTCCAACCCGCTTACGGCGGAAGAGCAGAGTTTGCAGGATATCAAGGAGGCCGAGGCGCTCGAGAGCCGGGGCACGCAGGGCCAGAGTCTTGCGCAGGGCGGCCGCATAGCAATTCGCGCTGATGACGAGATCTCTGGTGCTCTGAGACAGCTCGCCGAGGGCGGCAGCGACAACCTCGTGCAGCTGCGCATGGATGTGCCGACTGAGACGCTAAAGTTCGTGTCATCATCGTCGGCGTCGGCGGATAGCCTCGCGTCTGCCATTGATAAGCAGGAACCCCGGTTTTCATTTTACAGACATAGCGATCCAGACTCGTCGGTTGTGTTCATCTCGACGTGTCCCAGCGGCGCGAAGATCAGGGAGAGGATGTTGTACGCGGCGAGCCGGAGTAATGTCATCAGCCTGGCACAGAACGAGGGCGGCTTGAAGGTGGCGAAGAGGTTAGAGGCTACGAATCCGGATGAGATCACGGCGCAAGTGATTGCGGATGAGTTCAAGGTGGAGGAGAAAGAGGAGAAGAAAGGCTTTGCGAAGCCGAAGAGGCCGGGGCGGAAGTAGAGGGTGGGAAAGGCGGGCTACTGGTTCAGCTACGAGCGCACCATATATGAGTGGCTCGTACTATGATATGAAAAGACATCACGCGGATGACCGTTCTAGTACACCTTCACACTTCTTACATACCACACCACGGGACCCTTGACTACAAGCCTATCTCCACCAAGCCACCCAATGTCTCGCATCCGCACACCTCGCATAGGATCGAAACCTTGAACGAGGACTTTAATTATGACTTGAAGAATCTGTGATCGAGATTGATAGGATTCCATGGTCGTGGCAAGTGTGTGAAGATATCGTGAGTCGCACAGAGAATCCGAAGAAGTGGTTGTGCTGAAAGTGGTTAGCGTAGCACCGTATACGAGACTCACAGCTGCCTTCATCTATCAGCCTTCTTCACCCCACTTCGGTGACATGTTGGAGTCTGCCGCTGTACAATACCGAACGCTTCCTCTGTACTCCTCAGCTCTAAGTGCATTGTGACGAGATCATTTACGGGCAATTCGCGCGAGGCGAGTCGCACTGGCATAGGCAGTGCCCATGAAGTAGTAGGCTGCTCCATCATTATCTTCTTTCTTCCACGCATGGCTTCCACTACGAATGGAAGAAAGGTATTAGTTTCTCGAGCTCTCTCCATCAAGACACAAGCACGACATCTGCTTCTCCGCAGACATGCTATCCAACCATGATGAGCACAAGCCGAGTTTCAACTGTTCATCTCACGAATCAAGAGGCACGACAGAGTTACATAGGGCCCAGGTTTCTTCATCATCCATTATGCTGATGTGCGCTCAAGATAGTCCGCAGAAGTTAGCATGTGATCGCTGTTGGGAACCCTTCCTCGACACAATCGATTACGAGAGAGTTTGCATGAGTTACCATGATATAGATCGAGACTAAGTTAAAGCATATTTCGAGATCCCGGTTGAATATCTTGGGAAGTTGGTCAGTCGGTGGTGTCCTTGGTGCGCGCTGATGAGAGTCAAGCTACCTACGTTGCAGTCTTCTGAAAATGTCCACAAAACTTTGAAAGTAGAATTTCATGATGGCAAAAAGCTGTGTGAGCCCAAACGCAGAGGTGGAGCACAGGAACTGGAGGTTACAGGATCTGATGGATGCCTGCAACTAGTCGCCTTCGCACCGGCAGATGATAGAGCTGCAATTGACATTCCGGCAAGACTTCACACAACGTCTCCCATGAAACCACAACTAAGCGAAATTTTGTCTCTTCCCGACAGTTCATCTCTTCCGTCATCATCTGTAGCCTCCAACAACTCCGCAGCAATCGCACGCTCTCTTTGAAGCCCGCTGCGCGCGCGTGTTGTAAGGTGGAAGACTAGATGAAGAAAAAAAAAAATTGCGAGAGCCGCCCATAGTCTGAGTATGGTATAATTCTGTCCTGTACATACATTTGACTTTTATTCAAGCTACCAATGTGATAGCCCACGGAGGTATCAACAATACGCCATCGCCACTTTAGCACTTTTCTATATCGCGTCCATGCAAGACCGTGCTTTCAAACGCCTGATAAATCCACTCAAGTCAATGAAACTGTCCACCTATCCGCATAAATCGTTCGGTCTCATGAGGGTCAGACTTCTAGAACATCCCGCTCCCGTTCAACGCAACACCATTGAGCGTAGCCGCGAGACCTTCCGCATTCGAATCCTGGTACTGCTGCGTAACCGCATCCAACAATCCCGCGCTCGCTGCCACAAAGCCCAAATACGGCCTGCTGGGATCGAGCACGCGCGAGAGGTACTCAGGGTGGAACTGGACGCCGACATACCAGGGATGGTCCTTGATCTCGACGACCTCCATGCGCTCGCCCTTGTCGTCCTTGCCGACAAAAGACAGTCCACTCTCCTCAAGCTGCGTGATGAAGCTCGGGTTGACTTCGTAGCGATGGCGGTGTCGCTCCAGGATCTCTGTTTTGCCATGGTAGAGTGCCCGGAGGCGGGACCATTCGCTGCCTGGTTGGAAGAGCGTGGGGCGCAGGCCGAGGCGCATGGTTGCGCCCATGGTCTCCTTGTTGACTTCGGGCATGAACATGATGAGGTTGTTGGCAGCGCCCGTGTTGAACTCTTCTGAGGTGGCGTCGGTGATGCCGCAGATGTGGCGTGCGTATTCTATCACAGCGATCTGCATGCCTAGGCAAATACCTAGGTACGGGACCTTGTTCTCGCGTGCGTACTTCGCGGCGAGAATCATGCCTTCTGTGCCACGGGTGCCGAAGCCGCCGGGAACGAGGACGCCCTTGGCTTCGCACATGGCATGCCATGCGGAATGAAACTTGGCCGGTTCCGAGGTCTGCGTTTTTGGTTCGAGGTGTTCTGAATCGATCCAGCGGATCTTGAGGAGGCGGTTGCAGCGCATGGCTGAGTGCTCAAGCGACTTGATGACCGAGAGGTAGGAGTCGTGCAACTCAGTATACTTGCCCACCAACGCAATTTCGACGGTATCGTGGAAGTTACGGGTTTGCGTTCCGGTCAAGGCTTGCCATTGCGCCCAGGTCTGCTTCCCCTGCTTGGTAAGGACTTCGGATATTGTGAGGGTATCGAGAGCCAGGATTTTCTTGAGGGACCTGATGAGACCTTGTTGCTCGAGAAGCATGGGGACCTGGTAGATAGAGGGCATGTCGCGAACCATGATGACCTGATCATTGTCGACTTGGCAGTGATGTGCGATTTTCTCCAAAGCGCCTTGGTCCAGAGGTATCTCGCAGCGGCAGGCAATCTACATCTAGTCAGCGTTCTCTTCCGAAGCATTAGAGAATAACATACAAGGTCTGGGACCAGGCCCGCACTACGGACCGCCTTGATAGCCTGCTGCGTAGGCTTCGTTTTCTGCTCTCCATTGATGACTGGCACATAGGAAACGTGAATCTGGAGGAAGTTGTTCCTGCCCGCACGTCGGCGCAGCTGAGTCATTGCCTCGACGAACGGCATGCTCTCTATGTCGCCAACCGTGCCGCCGAGCTCAATTATGCACACATCCGGCACCTCGTTCGTGTCGTCGACGGGTATCCGCGCAACGCGCTCGATCCAGTCCTGAATCGCATCCGTAATATGCGGGACTACCTGGACCGTCTTGCCCAGATACGTGCCCTTGCGCTCCTGCTCAATCACATGCTGATAGATCTTGCCAGTCGTGATGTTGTTGTCGCGCGTGAGGGTGATATTGAGGTAGCGCTCGTAGTTGCCGAGATCGAGATCGACTTCGCCGCCGTCGGACAGGACGAAGACCTCGCCGTGCCTGTACAGTGGTTAATTGGACAGCCAGGACAGTAGTCGTCTGTGAACGCACTCGCGAGGGTTCATAGTCCCGGCATCGACATTGAGGTACGGATCGACCTTGATAGACGACACCTTCAGGCCCTGCGTCTTCAGCAGCAAGCCCGTCGAAGAGGCTGCGGACGCGTCAGGTCAGCGAAAATCACGTCGCGTGTTCAGTCAGGACTACCTATAATGCCCTGCGCGTGTTAGTCGAGCATTAAAAAGCGAGCAACCTGCTGCTACTACGAGTACATACCTTCCCCACGCCGCTGATCACACCTCCGGAAACGAGCACGTATTTCATGATTGCTTGCGGCGGCTCAGTCGCGGTTGGGGAAGGGGAGAGAGAAAAGAGCCTCACCGCCGTCGAAGGAAAATTATAACTAGGCCGCGGCTTAGCGGGGCTGAAGGCGCTAGTCTAGTCGCTCCCGAAGACGCGCCAGCATCCTCCGCCCGCCAAATTCAACCTCACATGCACTCGCAACGTCATATTTAGATTCATTGTGTTACTTTGGGCTGGGCAGTCCACAGCAGGCACTCTCCCGCGCGTGTACACCAACTATTGGTATCGTGCTTGGATGCTATGGTAATGCATTACAGCTGAGCCTCCGCTCAGGACCTCTGTCGAGGTCCAACCCAGACACTGTCAATCCCCAAGTAATACTGTTCGTCTCGTCGTCAGAATGCTAATCGATAGCGGAGATATGCTTCACATGTCCAAAATATCATGATGCCGCCCATCGCTCTAGTCGAAATCAATGTCCTAAAAGTATCGAAGCCGAAGCCCGACGCTGCCTGAAGTCCACACGCGTGTCAAATCGAAACCGCAATTAATCCATACGCCGCCGTTTTCCGAGATCATCGTCATCGTCGTGATCCTGTTCCTGACCCTGCGTGAGACGTTTTCGCGCCAATGCTTTTTCGTTGCCCTTCTTCACCTGGATATTGCATCCTTGCAGCTTCAACGCGCGGGTAAGCGCGCTGCTGGGTCGCATGCCGGGAAAGTCTTTTGCCGTGTAAACGGTAAATACATCGCTGAGCACCTCGGTGAGAATGGGGGAAAATCCGCCCACATGGAGATTCATTGGGTCGATGCGCATTAACACGAACCGCAGTCGGTACCGGCCATGAGTTCGGCACGATAGATCCGGGAAGCAGAAGAAACAGCCTTCGTTGTCGTGCTCGTCTTTAGCTACCGAGGGCGATGCTACGAGCTGGCCCATCAGTCGTCGCGTTGTTCGGCGGTCGGGCTGGATAAGTGCCGTCTCTTCGCTCGTCCCTTCAGCATTCCATAAGGTGCAGTGCACCACATTTAACGAGTAGCGCAGCTCTTCCTCCTCCGGTTCATTTTTGGCATTCGTCACTTTCAGCTGGATGATTGGTGGAGGGTCAATTACACGGCGGTCTCTTTCGCCAAACCCGCACGCACGCGCCGCAATGGGCTGTTGTCGAACCACGAGCTCGTAGTTGAGATTCCTGTCTAGGTCAGCGGGACTCGACTTCCCAAAAAAGACTGCGGCATGCTTACAGCTGGTCATTGTACACAGGCTGCGGTATGGACCCAGGGAGAGGGGCAGCTCGAGGTTCTTGCCGAGGCGGAGGACCAGAAGTCGGGGCCTCTGGATACGCTAACTGTCCCAAGGAACTCGGTACGGATCCACGATGTGAGTGGGAGCCCACGGACCCTCGGAATGGAGTGGAGCTCGACGCATAACTTGGCGTGTAGCCAGGCGATTGCATCGGAGCATACGATCTCTGTTGCGGTGGTTCCACGGGCGACGTAAGGGCGTAAGGCTGCTCATGGTGCGGAGGAGCATGGTGTGTTCTTCTCGTGTCTTCAAACGGATGGCGTTGGTCGGTCAGGCTTCTCGGCCCTCTGCTATCATAGGCTGTGCGAGGAGATATTGACATGCCATACTGCTGCGGTGAATAGGTAGGGTCCGGTCTCGGTGGCGTGTATGAAGAGGGCTGCAAGAGCTTGTCGACTGGTGCGGGGTGCCTTGGGAGGGAAGCCGGATGATGGGGAAGATCATGCCGTGGAGGCCCAGGCTGTATGGAAGGAAGGTGGTTCACAGGCGAATGGAAAGGGAAATCGGGCCGCGATGGTGGCACAGCGGCCGGGATGTTGAGGGGCGGCAGGCGACGACTCTGGGGATAGTCAAGGAAAGACGGAGGGGAAAATGCTGGCGGTTTCTGCGTCTCCGTGGTCATTGTACTGTGTGCAGAGGAGCGGAATGGCGGGGGTGGATGAAGCGGTGGAATAGCAGATGAGCGGGACGACATGCGTTTTGTTCACGGGCCTTGAAATATGCGAGAAGCCGCATTTGGTTGCTTGGGAGGTTTGTGTCCAGGCAGGGGTGGTCGAGAGGGTACACAAAGTCAGGAATCGAGTGTGGCGTGGAGGGAGCTTTGGTTTTCTATCGGCAGTGAGTGATCGTCGACCCCAGAGGCGCTCAGACAACGGTCAACTAGGATGGCTTGGGAATGCGGGAGTGAAATCCCTGGAAACAGGGTGGATGAGTTGTCCTCAAACGGCGACATGGATGGATCCCTGCTGGCAGCTAAGTGGTGATTGGGCTCTGGGGCGGCAGCTTAGACGTCGCAGTGTCGACTTAGCAGCCGTTGGAAGTCGGCTAAACAAGACTGGGTACGTCCTGTCTTGCGTCCACACGCAGGATGGTCGCACCGTGGAGGGTTGCGCCTGCGCTCCAGAGGCGCCGGCAGCGGTGCGGGCGAGCGCAGCGCAACGCTGGAGCTCAGGCGCCTCGCACGGGGGCCGGCCGCGGTGCGCGGTGGTCGAGCGACGACGACACAGGCGGCTTTGCTGGCCATGGCCGCGCCGGCGACAAGCATTCTCGCCAGGCCTGCCTATCAGCGGGCGGCGGGTGAAAAGGAATCCTGCCTCTCCGCAATCCTGGTGCGTGGTCGCAACGGGCCACCGCCTTCGTCCTGATCGGGCGACGCAGGGCTTGCTGCTGCTGCTTCCGCGCAGCCCGTGGCAACCATGGGGGACGTGTGACTGGCCGTGGTGCGTGGTGCGTGATGCGCTGCATTGGACGCTCGGATGCCGTGGGCCAGTGGAGGGGATGCAGCCCGCAGTCACACACTAGAGGCAGCCCGCGAGCAGCGACCGGACGGCGGACAGAGACAGGGCGTCTGCAGGAACGCGCCGACGGCGACGGCCATGGGTCCTTGTTGCTGGCGGTAATGGCATGTCTGCGACGCGGTGTGGGCGCTGCGCAGCGCAGACCCAACTCCACCGCCCACCGTGCCGTCGCGAGCACCTAGGGAAGCCATGGAATGGCCCGCGGGCGCTCCAACGCACCTGCCCCAACACGCTGCAGCCACTAACGACCACCTCCCCTTTCGGCACCGCACCCTCTCGCCCTCTCGCCCTCACGCCCGCCGCTGGCCCTGGCAGACAGCTGCAAAAAGTTCCGAACGGCACCGCCAGATGGCAGCATGGCGTCCAAATCCACCAATTACGGCAACTACCAGCGTGCGTCCTACTCTATATCCTCTGTCTTCATCTGGAACTGGCCCTGTGCCCGCACACTTCAGCCTCCGTGTACATTGCACCCGTCCTAACCCGCCCACAGACTATCTCGGCCCCAACCACGCGCCCGGCTCGCCGCCAGCAATTCATGTCCGTGACCTGCGTCTCGGCGTCATCGCCGCCCTGGGCGTCGACTTCAAGGGCCGCCGCTGCTTGGACGTCGGTTGCAACGACGGGTCCGTATCGACCCAGATTGGTGAGGGAACCCCTGCCCAACCCGCCAACCGACTATTACCATACCCTGCTGATAGTATTCAAACAAGCCTTCGACTTCGAAGCGAGCGATGTCGTGGGCGTCGATATTGACCCAAACCTGGTGCGCAAAGCCGAGGACCTGTACTCCCTAAAGGCCTCACGTGTTCGCCCATCCGGGGATCCATCTGGGCCAACTATCGACTACTATCCCATGTCTGCCGTCCTTCGCCACGGCCGCATGCCAGCCTCTGTCTCGCCTGCCTCCCATTGGCCAAGTGTCAGGTTTGTTGCTGCAGACTGGGTCGTCTCGACAAACCCGGTCCTCGCAGGCCCTTACGATATCATCCTGGTCCTAAGTGTGATGAAATGGATTCATCTCGAGCACCTAGATGAGGGGCTGGTCAGGTTCTTCCACAAGTGCAGCACCTCTCTCGCATCAGGCGGCTACCTTATCCTGGAACCTCAAGATTGGGATTCATATCAGAAAGCTGTTCGACCAAACGCCGCCCCTCACTTCGCAAAGAACTTGGAACGCTTGAAATACCGCCCAGAAACCTCGTTTACCGAGTTATTGCGAGATGAAGGCCTCAATATGTGCGTGACATCTGATCAACTGCGTCGTCCCATCACCATCTACTGCAAAGCATGATAGTGCGGGGGGCGTGCAGCGGCAGCACTTCCGCAATCGTGAGCGCTCCAGGCATCGAGGCACGAGCCAACTAGTCCTATAGAGGCCACGCTGCTCATCTATAGGTCTCGGGGATTAATTAGGCTTCTCCCAGGTTTCTGCCAAAACAACCAGCCAATCCCCCTCCATGCACGGCACTTATGGTCGTGTTAAGTCTTATACAAAGCTGCTATTGCGAGTCGAATTCCGGCAACTGTCACATCAGGGGCAAAGCCGCTGTACCATGACTCAACCCTGCGATAAGTACAACATCACACATCACAAAATTCCTGTTTTTGCAATCATATGCCGCTGATCTTGAACCATGTTGCTTGGGTAGACTCGATCGCGCCCGAGATCTTCCATTGTCAAGCGCACCTTATCCGGCTAACATTGCCTCAGTTTTGCCGGTGTTCGAGGACTCACCATTCCTCTTCCCCCACCCAACGTGGAATACTGGAATACTGGAAGCTATCTATGTGATGTCCCGGTCTCACGAATCGCAATGATTCCTAGGGTCCATAGCATTCATTGTACGCGGTCTCTTCCGGCGACGTGGCGGTCAGAAACTACAATAACCATCTCTGTCGCGCAGGATCACCAAACTTTCATGCGAGCGAATCCCCCAAGACTATTCACGTTCATTTAGTCTGTCATATACATCATCAAATCCATGCCTCTCACACGAGGGGTAAGTAGCGCGCTTCGCGCTAGTACTGGAAAGTGGTGGCGACCTCAGCTCCAGGTGGTACAAATAGCGTCGTCGGCGATCCAATGTTCCCATGCATAGTTGTGCCTACAATACTCGGAAGGTGAGTGAACCATGTGCAAGATCCACGGCCTTTCCATCATACGTCGCAGAATGTCTCCATTCGGCGAAAGGGAATGTTAATCTTATAACTCTGGCCAGCGCTGCAGTGTGCGTCTTTTGCACTGCATGGCAGTGCATGCAAAGCATACTCATTGACAACAACCAATGTATGTGATATTTGCTGGATAGCTCGCCTACGTTTTTCAATCTACTTAGCGCCTCGGTTCGTTCGGCAACCTGCGTCAAACTCCGTTGTCCGCACCAACTCCTTCACTCAGCCTCAGTAGGTACATGTCCTTGCGTCATGCGCGCATTTCTGCAAGTTCGAAAACTCTGCTTTGTGCGACATCTTAGATTCCTTCCTCCCGGAATATGGATCTGTACCAGCGGGAGGATCTCCTGTTTCTGGAAGCAGACCAACAGCCTGTGTCATGCAACAATATATCTCTAAAGGTCGGCTAGGTAGGCGTTCCCGAAGAGGAAACACTGGCGGCTGAAGCCGAATGTTCCGTCTCATGGGCGTTTACGAGACGCACACGCGGAGGATGCAGCGATCGTTGCGACGATCGTTGCGGCGATCGTTGCAGCGAGCTTCTCGCTTCGGCGCATCTCACCAAGAAGCTCAATTTAAAGACCGTCTGCAAATATAACAAAGTTTCGATGTTTGTTGTGTCCAGAAGGATGCGCACAGGGTAGTAGAAGGTACGGCCGCGAGCTAGTGGATGCAACATCATAGCTTGGCTACCTTCCTCACGGAGAATTTCACCAATGCGCCGTATCCACAGTGGAGCTCCTATCTGAGCGACAACAACTGTTCGAGGTACAGTGCAAGATTCACCTCTGACTAGGTTGTTCGCATCGGTATTGGCGTCTACCAAAAATGACCCTGGCCAAGGCTATACCGAGGCTCTACGAACATATCGCACAAACAGGTACTTCTGATCCACCATATCAATTACGTGATCTTGCAATCGGTGGATACCAACGTGTGTAAGTGAGCACTCTCTGCACCTCGACGCTCCAATGAAATGGGAGCAAGCATTAGCCGTCATTGATAGAAGGCTTTCACATAAAACCATGATGTATGACCTAATATGTTCAAAGTGACAGTAGTCATTGGCATTCACATTACGCAGCCCCAGTACACTCGTGGCAGTGGAGCCGTGGTATAGCCTGTTTCAACTCGTCTGCAAAACACCTCGGAAGAAATGTTATTTCTAGCTGATTGTTGGAAATCATGTGAACAAATCAAGAGCGATGACATGCGCTTTCATGTGTTGGGAGTTGGGAGAGAAGGAAGGACTAGTGACTTGCCGAACCTCTCACCAACTCACAACCACCACTCTTCAAGCTCTATATCGATCGCACTACGTAAATCTGGGAGCAGCCATTTCTCCGAAGAATTCGTGACTATTGTTCACGTCTTTACTCATTAAACTCAGATGACCACTGCAGCCTGTTTCGTGTCGACATGGTGCACAGGTGGATTTCAGTCTACACGGCTCCCACAGGCTCCGCGAATCGTCCTGCAACGGCTACAAACAATCTAGCCTTACGGAGCTCCTAGGATCAACAACCTCCAATCTATAGCAAAACATACATGAGTCTTATGCATCGGTTGAAAACCTACGATAATCTGCTGGGACGTTGCGGTCTCGGTAAACATTACAGACACGCCCGTCCGGAAAACCTCGGTGCGTAAATGCTCAGCCACGAGACACACTTAAATTAGAACTTTTTGTAGGCTACAGGTGTCGCCAGTAGAGGTCGGACTATAATGGCAAAGACATGGTTTCGAGCACCGCAGCATCCGAGAAGCTGTTCACGGGTATCATACGTGCGTCCCGATCCGATCCTGCGCAAGTTCCGATGTCTCCTGGTAACAGCTCGATGCCGTACTCCGGAGGCGGGATCTCGAAGGTTGAACAACGACGGTCTTGTGTGAAGCAACTTGGTGCAACAGAGCGGCGTTGATTTCCGTGAATCTCTGCGGCTGATCGGGGCATTCACCATGCCCATCTTATCGATTCCTTGATATGAGACCTCGGAAAACAGTATGCCACGTGGAACCTGAGCTGTTTGACGAGGCGTGTAAGATACAAATGAAGATCCAGAGAAGCAACAGTCTGTACTAATCTGGCCAAGCACGGGCAGAAAGAGCCCAGTGTGAAGACTCAGGCCCAACGCTCAGGCATGCCGGCCCCGCGAACCAAGGCCTTGGTTCTCCGGGCGTTCTTTGGCATGGGAAATCTGGTAACTAAGGAAGGGACCGCTTGCTCGCTAGAAGATTTGGGCGAAGGGATGCCTGCAATGAGAGCTCATCGTTTGCAAAAATGCAATGGCTCGTTTCCCGAACTCGTTGAGTCTGTACCGCCGTGGTGCAGTTCTCGATACAGGATGGTTGTGCGGCAATCAACAAGCTACCTCAGCAACCTCACGGCGGTGCCCGTGGTCAAACAAGACCGAACGAGATCATCCGGCCGCATACGCTGTACAACCTTCTCAGATATTCTGACCTAAAGTCGCAATATGCTTTGTGTTTGCATCACATGGCTGAAGCAATACATGACGCAGATCTTCTGGGGGATACTGGGGCCAGGGTGTGAGGTGGGTCGAAAGGGATTTTGTGCGATATGGGATTGATTCGTGTTGACACAAAAAAAATCACTGGCAGCCTTTGTCGCACGAACAAGACCATCTGACCTAGAGTCTGGTCATTGAGCTCGATAAGCATCGCTTGAGGATATCGTTTCGAGTACCTTACACGTGAATACTGCAAGGGCATCTGCCAGCACACTGGATAGCTAAGCGCAGAACATGGCGTACAATTGTACTACCGCGTCAGGCAGCTCTCCCGAATCAAGGGACGAGTAAGGACGGGCCAGACGTTGCTTTCCGCGTTGGCGCTACTTGTTTCCAACTCCTAACGCTATCCGACGATGCATGGGTGTACAGAGCGCTCTTCTCCTTTGCTTTCCCTGGCTCGAGACCGCTGAAGAATGCGGACACCTGCAAGTTAATCTGAAGGGACGAAAAGCGGCTTGGGGCAAGACTTGACAAGCTGCTAGCGCGCTGTGGGCTCGCGAAGAAGCGAGGTGGTGTGCGATGTGGTTATTCCGCGTTCGGATGTCCGTCTCCTACGTAATCAGCTCGAGGTGATTTGCACACCTGCGGACCTGTCTCCAATACGATAGGTGGCCCACGGACATGGGTTTGCATCATGCCCTTGCTGGCGCTGCAAGACATTTCAGCTTCTCTGGCCTTACTTGCCACGTCGAGATCTTTGGCCACAACTGCTCTTCACGGACGCACAGCATGAGAACCCACCAACACCAATTCGACCGTCGACGTACCAAGCCGGAAGCACTCATGGGTGCATAGCGTCAGATACCTCGTTGAGGCGGGAGGAAGCTTCGCTGAGAGGGCTTGTCTGCCACGTCGCCCGCAGCGGCAGCCGGCAGCATACTTCTCTTCGCTGCACCTCCCTCGCGCTGGGCGCGCCGGCAGTACTCTACCTTGTTGACAAATGCGTTTTTGCCATCCCCAGGGCACTGGATGGTGATGATGGCCACGCAATTTCAGGGACGTGTTGCTTCCGTACCTTGACGGCGACGCATAACAGGCCCTGGAACCACTCCGATGCGCAGTGGCTGGAGGCATTCAGCTTGCTTGGGGCGGCCCCTCGGTCGGACAGCTCTGTTCTTCACCTGCCCGGGATTATATATAGGAGAGCATCAGTAACATGTCGTTTCCTGCTCAAGCGTCGGAGGACGCACCCGGCTACGCCCTGCCAGTCAGTCTCCCCTCCCTCTCTCAATCCGGCTGCTCGCCACGGTGCTCGGCGCGCTGGTGCCAGCAAGAACACTGCAAACGTGAAGTGGCATAAGCAAATTTAGGGCTATATGTCTGACGAACGCCTGGCTCGCTTCTCTCCTTTCGGGCGCCCACGATACGTGCAGCGCAGTGGAGATTTGCTGCTGACAGCGCGCGCAGGCTTACTGCTGCGCGATCCTTGCGCACGAGTCTAGCAACGAAGCGAAGAAGCGAATGATCTTCGACTCGGCGACGTGGTACAGAACTTCCACAACCACGAATCGGCATCTTTGGCGGGGACAGTCCACGTACTGCCGGACGCAGAGCTACACATATACCGCCCAAGAGCGACCTCGCGGTCGAGCAAAAGCAGGACTCTCCCGCAAGCCGCAGGCCCGGCGCATTCCTTCTCGCGCAGTACATCCACATTCGCTTTACACGCATTCCAGACGCAATGCCGCCAGACAGCTCGTCGTTTATGGCGCTAAATTGCCCGCACGATGCCGTACTACCTGAGTATATGGGCTTGTTCAGCCTTGCCGCGCCGCCCAATACCGACCTCTGGCGAAAGCCACCGTCCGGGGACATTTCCACCGCTCCCGTTCTCTATACTGCTCTGCGCAACCCCTTCATAGCTGCTGAGGTCACCGTCGCCGCCGACTGGGAACTGGAATGGGATCAAGGCGGGCTCGTCATCTTCGCAGGCGCGCCGCCCGGGCGCGTTGCAACGGCCGTGCCCAGACCCAGCGCCGATTCAACGTCTTCCTCAACCCCGTCATCCGCGCCCAGTAATAGCGCCCCTCTCACCACGCAGGCCCTCAGCCACCCAGCGACCCCGGTGCCGACCTCGCAGAATGCGGGGCAGCGCCCCGGCCCTGGAGCTGGAGCTGCGGCGGCGGCGGCAGCGGCAGCGGCAGCGGTCGCACAACCCCAAGCTCCGCCGCCGTACATGCCGCCAACACCCGCCTCCAAATGGGTCAAGGTCGGCCTCGAGTTCTGCAACGGCGCCTGCCACGCGACCTCCGTCGTCGCGACGTCTGACGGCGCCGACTGGGCTCGAGCTGACGTGGTACGGCGGCCCGAGCTGCGCGTCAAGATTGAACGCATAGGGTGCGCGCTGTGGGTGTGGTACGAAGACGAGGTCGCGGGCTGGAAGAAGCTGCGCGAGGTCACCTGGTTCTTCTGGGGCGTAGAGGATAAGGCGGTCCGGGTGGGTGTGTATGCATCTCGTCCTGCGAACTTTGGGACTAGTATGTATGAGAGGAGGCAGGGGTTTAGTGTGAGTCCGAGGAATTTGTGTGTTGATTTCGAGGGCTTGGAGATTTTCTGAATGGACGAGGTGAGGTAGCCAGAGGAGGGGGAAGGGGGCCAAGGGGCCAGGGGGGAGGGAGTGTGGTGGGTGGTCTTTGCATCGTGCATCGAAGTTCTTTTCGGTTTGTTTGTGATACCTGAATCACGGCTCTCTTCGTTTCTCTCCGCACATCTCGTTGTAATTCTGTCTTCATGCTGAGTTGTTTGCCAAACGAAGCGTCTTCTTTTTTCTGTTCTGCTGTATGTATTCGGTACCCCTTTGTTTGTTCTAGCACCTTTTAGTATTGTTTTTTCCCTCATATTCGTCTTATCTATACCTTCTTGCATTCTTGAAACCCGTCGCTTGTGTTTGAGGCGAGATGGTTGGGGTGATGGGGGTGGCGTGTGCTCCAGTACTCTGGCAATATATTGGTATTTGTGTAATATCAAGGACCTGAGATTGTGCCTTAGAGTTGATGGTGAGGTGTGCTGGGTGGATTGAGGGATGAGGAGCGCGATGCCTCAAGGTGTCTCGCTGGTGGGGTGAACTATGGCGGGGAGTGGTTGTAGTTAGGCGCCATGATGTTGTGCAGTTTGATGCTGAGGAAGGATGCTGAGGAATCATGGTACGATGCAGTGTCTCCTTTCATCAGTACGGCTTCGCATTATTACTTGGGATATCGTAGTGGGGTGTACGCATATACACGCACAAGCGCCAGACTACTTCTGCGGTGGTTCGGCTCTGCTAAGAGTAGGTCTGTATTGGAAAATTCGACTACCTGCCACGCAGCAAGCATATCGATAATGCTATGTTCAACCCAGTTAGAACGAAGTGGTTAGCTGGATCCGGCCGAAGTCTTCTATAATCAAAGACTCGTTTTATTCCCTATCTCCCGATTGTGTTTCCTGTGTCCATGCTGGGAGTCCACGACAAAGGCGAGGCCGAGGGCGTCGAAGTAATGGATGACACCGAGGATATCAAACTTCCCGATGAAGACGAAAATGGAGACGTAGAAGGCGTCGAAGCCACGGATTTACCCGAAGAAGACAATGAAGATATCAAGGCCCTTGAGGATGACGCTGTAGACAACGAGGTCCCCGACTCTCTACCACCAGAACCCGTTGTCGACGCAGGAGCAGGATTCACTCCACCTGTTCCCTCCGCTACAACTATCTGCGTATAATTTCGCAGAAAATCGACGTCGTCGCCCAAAGGTCTCGGGTTCCTGCCTGAATAAGCACCTGAACGGCAGCAGAAGAGGAGAAGTGGATGAGGTAATATCTCACCACACCATGCTTTCCACCACCACCACTTGGGCTTCCCCGTTCTTTGCTGTGACCGTGAACCTCGCCGTCATACCCGGCCTCCGCGCAACTGCCGCTCTGGTGTATGGCCATGCACGAGGCAGCTGCGTTAACACACCAGCCGCGCCGCTCTGTGTCTTGGTCCCGGTCGGGCTACTGGTATACGAAGCCATCCCATTCACACCCTGCTTTTCCCATGCCTCGACCATATGCTGGACAATGGGATCGAAACCCGCGGGCTCCATGCCCAGCGGATCCAGCACCATGTCCTTCTTGAACCCCAGTATCTGCTTGGACAGCGTGTACACTGAGCGTGCGGGTGATTTGCAGAACCCTCTCAACTCCTGCAAGAACGTGTCCCATAGCTCGGTCGCGCGGGAATTGGCTTCGGAGCATACACGGCAGTCCCAAATCACGCTAGACGAACTACCTAGTCAGCCACGATACGGCAGAGGGGACGGGCGGACACACGCGTCTGTAAAAATTTTGAGGTTCTCTAATTCGCAGTAGACAGTCGCAAATTCCTTGTCCTGCTCGTATATGGGCTTGTCGGCGTGGACACCCTTCCACAGCGTTGTCAAGCTGCTGAAGAGCGGGCTGCAGGCGGTGCCTGTGAAGCACACGCGCTGTCGTTCGATGGGGTCGGTGGGGGGTGTGAAGGGGGCGGTGGAGGGGGCAGTGGAAGTGGAGCTTCCACTTGTGGTGGCGCTTGTCGTACTGGATACTCTGCTCGAGCTTGGCTCTACATGGCTTGATCCGGGACCTTCGATGACGTTGTATGAGCTGCTTTGCGTGTAGAGAGAGAAGCAGGTTATGGGTAAGACCTGTCCGGAGCAGGCTGTAAGCGGGTCAGGGATGGAAGAAACGATGGCCCGATTCTGTTTCGTAAGGACTCGCTGTGTGCGACTCCCCACACTGACGAAGGTACTGATGTTGGTTTCGAGCACTAACTTCGTGTGAGGCGTGCCGGCGGTTGTGAATCCAGTTCCGAGAAGAAGCAGAGATTGTAGCCGCATGTCGCAAAGTAAGTCCCACAGCTTGCTTGTCCAAGAAGAAAGAGGAAATGGTAAGTCACAAAATCGTTTTGCTATAGTTGTGGCATGTGTGTGATGGCAGCAAACGCCGTACTGTCACATTCAGATCCACCGTGTGAAGAACCGCTAGATCTATTAGCTGCAGCAAACAGGGCAGGCCGAATATCCTTTTTCATGATAACCTCATATCTTGATGACAACTTTCCCCACATGATTACCAGACTCCAGGTACTCGAATGCCTCCTTTGCCTGATCAAATTTGAACGTACGATCAATCAACGAATTTAGGTCCACCTCTTTCTCCTCGAGGAACGCGTTGAGCTCCTGGAAATCTTTCTTTGAACCGACTCTCGTACCTCTATTTTATTGTCAGCTACATTTAATAGTAATGAACATCTCACACAACAAAGAAATACTTACTGTATCGTTGCCAGCTTCCTCGTGACCAACATGAGCGCACTGGGCTCCCATTCGGCCTTCTGGTTATCCAGCATACCTACCATGGATACCATACCGTGCCTACTTCTAAGACTTTCAAGATCGGCAATGAGAGATGCGACGCCCGTGTTGTTAATGACGACATCCACACCTTTGCCGTCGGTGAGATGTTTCACCTGTGAAATTTGGTCAGGATGCGTTTTGTAGTTGAAGGTCTTGACCAGGGGGCTGAGAGAGGCGAGCTGTAAGAGTTTGGCATCAGAGGAGGAAGTTATGATTGGGGTGATGTTGGCGGCGATGCAGAGGAAAAGTGCGAAGCTGGAGACGCCACCTGTGCCTGGGAAATGTCAGTCGTCTCCTCCTGTCACGAAGATACCATTTACCCTGAAGCAGCATAGTAGTATCTGGTTGAACATCCCTCGGTCGGCCCAGAGCCGTCCACGCAGTAACTCCCGCACAAGGTAGTGTAGATGCCTGTCCTGATCATCAGCCTAGGCTTCTCCACAAGCGCCAACTAGCACTCACCTCTTCCCAAGTCAAATACTTCGGAACCCTTACTAACACATCCTCCGAAAAGATGACATACTCCCCCAACACACCTGGCCCCGCCCCCTGCCCCATAACGCTCCCGCCCAGCGTCCTCACTTCCTCATCCCTTTGCTTCCCATCAAGGTCGTCCATATTGAAACACGGACTCACGCGGTCGCCGATCTGGAACCCCTGGACGGAAGACCCAATGGCAGCGACTTCACCAGCACAGTCGGAGCAGGGGAGGCCAGCGTTTTCGTGGTCGGTGGGGTAGCGCCCGTTGAGCATGGCGATGTCGCGATAGTTCAGGGCGACAGCTCTTACGCGGATGAGAACATCGCGAGGAGCGAGTTGCTGTAGAAGGGGGGCCGAAAAAAGTTCAATTGTACGTGGAAAGGGACCTGACGTTTTACGGTAGGCGCGGTAGGTGTGGGGGAGGGTTTGGGGTGACATTGTTGTAGAAGTTTGGGCAACGTGTTATACTTTAGCTTGATTGAGAGAAGCTAAATGTAGTTTCAGATGGAATACTTTAGCTTGAGGCCACACGCAGTGAGGTCCTATCTATCGTCGCGAGGTAATCTTTCAAGTACTCTTTTGAGAGCCGTTGCACCATACAATGTGGTCGTCTCTGGGTTACGTCCGGCTGCGTACATTTGTAAGATGGGGTTTGTAAGTTGCCTCGTGATTACTTCGAACTTTTAGTAGCCCCGCTTCTGACAACCCAGCGCACTTTCTCTGTAGTATGCGTTCACTGAATAGCTCGGATTTAACACGCTATGTCCGCCTTGCATCCCACACCGTCTGCCCTCCCAGCTCACACGCTGGCGCCATCTGTCAACCTTCCTGGGTACAGCCGTTTCGGACATGCATTTGCCATCCGGTCTAGTTCATCATCATGGCACCTGAGCGCTATCGTTTTAGGGGGTAACGTGCTCAGATCCTGGAGACTGCCCTTTGATCAGCTGCAAATGGCCCCCAATTTCCTCACTTCCCTGCATCACAACGTCACAGCGCGATACTAGCACTTCATCACATCGCAATTTTCGTGCTCCATAACAGACAGGACCATAGGGATCTGTCTCGTGAAAGATGAATCCGATATCTGTCTCATCCTGCATCGCCGGCCTGCTGATTCTCACTATTGGGATAACAAAGCTAGTATAAGAATACGTGTCGGGGGGTCGAAGATGCTCCAAAACCTGCCCAAAACCTGCTCACGAAGACGAATGCCCTAGAACACATATTGCGCGACTTGCGCAATAAGGTCTTGCTGGATCCTGATGTATTGGCAATGTTCAAGTCCGCAGCAATGGACTAGACGGCGCCCGGAAAGCTCCTCCAACAATGCGAAGCCGATTCATCATCCTTGCTTAAGTAAATGCAGCGACAAAACTTTCTAACCTACAAAGACTGACATGGCCATTCAAAGAGGGCGATATGCAAGACAAGCTTACTCGATTGCGCTGCGTTCAGTATCAATTAGCGACACTAGTGAGTCATGATACAATGATGACTTCCACATTGACGCCTCAAGAAGTGCAGAGCTGGAGAGAGGAGGCAATTTATATTGCGATCTTGAAATGGCTGTCACTGCTCGACTTTGCATCAATGCAGAATGAGATTCTCTTAAGACTACACCCTGTACCATCTGCATGATCAATAACTGCTCCAGAATTCCAAAAGTGGAGTAGAGAGAATAATCTTGAGCCTCCTAGTAGATACTCTGGATGCTGATTATGATCAGCGCCGTGGTAATTCCACACCTATCAAAGGCATCTCAGCCTGCCAGACGTGGTCTTGCCTAATTCTTCAGTTGTGACCTGGATCTCTAAATCCTCAATGTACGGGCTTCACGTTCGAGGGCTTACCGCGCTGGGGCGTGGGGCCGGACACTTACGAGCTCTATCAAGGAGTCGGATTGGCATTCCATGCTATGGCATAGGCGAATCTGATCGCCTTCCCCCGAGTGGGTTTGCTCGGGAGCTGACGGACGGACGACGGAGCCCAAAGGGGGAGCAGGAAGGGCCAGTCACCCGTACTACCGCGAACGTTTAGAATGTAGCACGAGTCATCTGCTCTCTGTGATAATTCTGCCCTTCTAGCTTCCTGTAATTGCTTTATTTACAAATTGTGCACATTTGGTTCAGTACAAATTTACAATGACAGCGCTGCTTGCCGGCACTTCAATCAAGAGTTGCCCGCGCTTTGCAAAGACTTTCTCGCCACGGGTGACGTTGCTGAGACGCACTGGCCTGCCCTCGTCCAACTCGGCGGCATAGCTAAAGCCATCGAATGTCACTCCGGTGATGGCGTCACTTCCATTCGCAGCGAGTCGTTGCAGGGAGGCTCTGTTGCAGCGAGAAGGCACCTGCACCGCATAAGTCTCAACCGGACGCGGAGAACTCGACTTGAATGGGTTGTCGTCCGAAGTGTTGTATGACTGCAGATTGATGATGGCAATCTTGGCAAGCTTTCCGCTCTTGTACGAGGCGAAAGCGGACTGGAAGTCGTGCGGCAGCCCCAAATCGACGATCTTTGGGCGATCCTTGGTCAGGTCGCCGAGGAAAGCTGCGGTTGCGACATTGCCGTAGTATGGTGCTTTCGTCCCTTTTGTTGTGTTCTTGGTCTGAATCGGTTGCCACGCCTGGTAACGATAGTTTGTGCCTTGGTGCATGTGCCATCGTCCAATGCCTTTCGAAACCAAAGTCAGAGCATAGTCAAATCCCCAAAGCGCAGCTCCAAAAGAGTTCGAGACACCGCCAATGCCCTGTCGAGCGAGGGAGTTGCTTTCGCCGAGTATGTAGGGAGCATTCTTGGGGAGTGTGCTCCTGTTGGGAATGTTGGATATGGAAGTAGATACTGCCAGAAGCTCATTCACAGCGCGTTTGTTGTTGGTGTGATTCATCAGCGTTCCTTGCAGAGTGATCCCTGGATTGCCTCGGGCGCCAATATACCTTTCCCATTATGTCAGCATGCGTGCAAGGTCGGATCTTCCTTTGCCACTTACTTGTGTTGAGAGATGATTCCCACGGCGTTGTCGTCATTCAAGCCTTCTTCGAACACCCGAGCAGCACTGAAGTTGCTCAAACTCGGAGAGCCTGCAAGCGAAGGAGCCAAAAACTTAAATTGCTCACTGGAAGCCAATTTCGGGCAAGCTTTTTTCACTTGTTGGCGAATCTTGCGAGTCCACTCCAGCCATTCCGCAACATAAGTCGCCTCGCTCCAATCAGAGCCCCGAGGCGGAGCTTGTGCGAGGGTTATATTCATCAAATCTGGTTCATTGCCTAATTCCCAGCCGTAGAATCGATCTTGGAGAGCATGACAAGCGAACGGGACCGATTCAAGAAGTGCCTGACGATGCTCCGTCGAGTTATCTGCCAGATTGAAGCCGTGGGAAAAGTGCACGCCTGGCCAGGTCCGGTAAGACTCGAAGAATGCCGGACCGATTGTCTGGTTTGCCGGATAATCTGGGTTGCTTTGGGAGAAGGACTGTATTACTGCCAATTTCTGTGAAGCATCGAAAATGGTCAGGTCTTGGGTGTTCCCGCCGACTCGAACAAGAGGTGGACTGCCGGCATATGCTGCGAGATTTTTGAGAAGTGTGTAAGAGTAGGTATTCGGTTTCGACAGATTCCCTGCAAAATCTGCGAACGACGAGAATTCGATGGAATAGGACAGGAAGTGATCCAGAGGACTCTTCGCGTCTTTCGTCGGAGAAGCGGGAACGAGGAGATTCTGTGAGGAAGAAAGGGGCGACGCAGACACGAATGCCGCCAAACCCAGGGCAGTGTGAGTGAATGTCTTCATTTTGCCTGATTTCATCACCTGCAATGAGCGGGATGCTCGACGGCGGGAGGTGACCCTCTATACATGAGCAAGTCCTAGATGAACGATTCCGGAAGAGTGATGGCTGCAAAAAGCATCGGAAATAGCCCATGGATACCCGACATCATGTTTCCGGCCACATGCCCGTTTGAGCAGATATTCAAATGCCGACTGCGTGCTGATTGGATGTGCCTGGCCATCGGCGTTCGAATAGGCGATTGAAGAGGATCGGACGAGGCCATTCACAATGTTTCTATGCGCGGCGCTGCTTGGAACCGAGCGCCAATTTCGGAAAGGTGGGGGAGAAGACGGATGGCGTGCGGAGACGTGTGGAGGAGAATCTGGGGCAAATGAGGGGGACAGCTGTAAGCATCCTAGCTTTTCAAGGAAGTTCGCGTCAGTCCTTGGAGCATCCTTGCTCTTCGCAATTTTTGCCGCGGCTTGCAGAAGTACGCGCAGTATAACAATCGGACAATAGGGTGGTACCTATCTTGAAAGAATTGCGATGGCCAATTGGTACGTAAACCTCGCGTCGTAACGCGAGAGTCCCGCCAACACTTGAAAGTTAGCAAACAGGGGCTAGCTTCATTCACAATCCGACACATGATCTGCTTATCTCGGAGGGATCACAAAGACTCGGCCTTCAATAAACCAAATCTTCGTATGCATAGACAGGCAGCCTACTCTCTATAATTCTTCTTTCGAGCCAAGAGCCACGTCACAAATCAAATCACGTCCTTCACAGGCCAAGTGCGCTCGAAAAGTAGGACAGAACAGTACTGTAAAGTCCATCTCGAAGGAATTCCAGCACCCCAATCTCAATCATGCCTCTTAGGGAAAACGCTACACAAACGCCAATACACCATGCCGCCCTGCAAGCCATCTCGGACTAAACCATGCGGCGACCTGAACACTTCATACAGTCGCGGCAACGCAGTAAATCAATCCATCACCAGTATCCACCAGACCAACACGTCAACGCCAATTCCAGGCACAAACGATGTACGGTGCTCTACCCGCTCGCCTTCGTCTGCTTCTTCGCCGTGCCAATGTGCGTGTTGTGCACCTTAGTCGCGAATTTAAGACTCGTAATCGTCTCCTGGAGATGCGCCTGCAGCGGGGACACCATGACGAACATGAGCGTCTTGCTGTTACCGCCGAGCGAGTATTGCAGGAGATACGTAAGCTGCGATCCACGTTAGCACACTGTTCTATGATTCTTTCGCCGAAAAAGCTTACCCTTGAGTTCCGGTACGGGATATGCGAGTTCTCTTTCGACGAGCCCAGCGCATTGATCACGTCGCCAAGACAGCTCAGACTCTTGTTAATGTTTTGCGTCTCCTTGAGGCGTGCGCCTTCGGCTTTGCTGTGGTCCAGGCGTTCGGAACCAGCGAGATCGACGAGGTTCAGCGTGCCTTCGCTGCGTTCGCCTGTGACGCTGTTCTCGCCTACAAGCTTCAAAATGAAGACTGAGTGCGAGCGTGAAGATCGCATGTTCGCCTTCGTTGCGGCTACCGTTCTGTTCTTATCGGCTCTCTGCAGGATTTCTTCCACCCGGTCCGGTCCATCCAGAGCCACGGCTACCGCGTTTTCCAGCGTAGTCTGCTTCTTTGTGGGGTCGTGACGCACTTCAATCTTCTTCTTGTCGAGATCTTCGGAGCGGCCAAGCAGATCGTTGTAGGTTTCGTTGTAGACTTCGACGAAGGACCCTTCCATCTTGTACTGCCAGCCCTTCTCTTGCAACCGCGTAGCTTCAGCATAGATTTGAGCAGTGGCGCGCGGGATCATGCCGTCGGCAGATGACATGGTGAATGTCTTTCCAGAACCTGTTTGTCCGTAACAGAAGATGCAAACATTGTAGCCGTCTAGTGCGCTTTGCACTAGCTGGCTAATCTCTTCGAAGACTTCTGCATTCTGTGATCCGGGGCTAAATACACGGTCGAATGCATAGGAGTAGGTCTGCGTGATGTTCGTGCCCATTGCGCTAATTTTTTCAGGGCCTTGCACTGCGACCTCTTTACTGTCGGTGTCCGCATCAGGGAAACCGATCTTCGCGGGATCAGTCTCGGAATCGTGGGCGGGGCGTACACGGCACATCACTCTGATGTTGCCTTTTAGCTCCTGGACTTGGTTGTGGAGCTTGCGACGCAGTGTCTCTTCTTGACGGAGTTTCTCTTGAGCTGCCTCGGCGACAGCGAATGCTTCTTCCATTCGACGGTGCAACTCGTTGAAAGCTGATGATTGCGCTTGGCTATCCGACTCCAGGAAGTCGATCTTCTCCTTCATCGCCTTATTGGACGCTTCGAGCCTGAGGTTGATGGTGGTCGCGTCTGTGAGCTGGCCTTGCAGCGCGTTCTTCAATAATCTCTCCCGGTCGAGCTCGGCTTTGATGTTGGTCAACTCGCCTTGCAGCAATTGGTTCTCGCGTTCTTTGGTATCAGCTTCCAGGCGCGCGTTTCTCAGCTCCGAGTCGAACTCTTTCTGCACGTCTTGCTGCTCTCGTTGCCTCTTGCCTCGCTCTTCTTCTAGCTCGGCCTTTAGCCTTCTCTCCAAGGCTTCCAATTCTTCCTTGTGCGATTTGAGAAGCTTCTCAATCTCGGCTTTGAGTTCTCTTTCAATCTTCTCGGCAAGATCCTTGTTTTCGTCTCGCGCACGCTCGAGATCTCTCTTCCTTCGATCGAATGCATCCTGCATGTCGTTTTGGTACTTTCTTCGGAGGTCATCAACTTCGTATGAGTGACTCCGCTTCACGTTCTCCAATTCCATGGAAATTGTCGAGTTGAGGCTTTTCAGATCAGCAATGTTAGTTTTGTATTCCTCGAGCAGCCTCTTGTATTCAGTGCAGCTGTCCTCCAATGCAGCATCTAGAAGAAGTTGGTCAGCGAAGGTGCCGTAATTGGCCCGGCTTCTGACGTCGAGCTGGACCCAGAAAACTGCGTCTTGCACTTACTTTTGGTCTTATAAAGGTCAATACTCTCCTGTACTTTGGACTGCTTATCCATATCCGCCTCCATTTGTTCCTTCCATGCTGCAAACTGAGCCTCGAGCGATGCGACGCGGGTATCGTCGAAAACTGGAACACGTTCATTAGTATTCTTGTTGAGGAACGGTGTAACTGGGGTGCGCGGCCTTCTTGGGGACTTGATCATTGGTACAGGCGGGGGTGGCATTGCCCGACTAGGCGTATGCCGAGGGATATAAGACGGATAAGGAATGTCCAGATTCTTGCCAGCGATTATACCACGCCTCATACGACTTTTACGACCTTGACCGCTCGAAGCTCCCAGTATGAGGGCTCCAAAGCCATGCAAGATGTCATCGCAGTCGGTATCGGCAGGTTCATACGGTGGCGCACTTTGTGGACACATAGACGAAGGAGACGAGATAGACCGCTGCACCGGCGGTCGTGGTCGCTCTCGAGGTACATTGAGGGAATACATGCGGGTTTCGGGTCCTCGCGAGGAGTTCCTCTGTACATGGAGCCTACCTACGCTCTCTTTGGAGTTTGTAGAATATGAAAAAGGGTGCCCACCTTGGGGTTCAGGTTCCGGATCGTGCTGCGCCATTGAAGTCGCAGGACGCTGGTATTGGGATCGGCTACGGTTGTGACTGCCGTAAGAAGATTTTGGTCTCGCGGGCTGCGCACTGACGGGTCTTGAGTTGTGGCCAACGCTGCTGCTTGAAATCGTGGTTTTGTGCTTCGGTGCTCGGGTTGAAGTAGACCTTGAAAGTGAGTTGGAGAATCCGCGGCTGCCGTTGCTGACGGCGTTCTTGACTGCATTGTTGATCGGACGCGAAGATTGGGGCGCTGCAATCCTGGAACCAAATGGCTCGACTGCGCGTTCAGCGAGTGTCTTCCGTTGCTTCGATTCCGGTTCCGGAACTGTAATCGTTAGATTTGCACGACCACAAAGATGTAGGGAGGAGCGTACGGCCGCTGGGTTTGTGTTTTATGCTTCCGTAGGACGGAGGGCCCATCGCGCCGCGGCTGTTTTGCATGGCGTCGGTCAATTCGCTGAGGCCGGTCGGGCGTGGGATACTGGTGGGTGACGTAGGATCTTCCTTGAACAGCGACGGAAGCTTTGAAGGTGGTTTCAGGCCCGAAGGCTTCGCGAAAGTCTGCAGAGCAGGTGTGAGCGACGGCAGGTGCATAGCAACGGCGCACCTACCTGATTTTCGTTCACACTGTCCATTGCGGGTATATCCAAACTGGATTGCAAACGATAATAAATATCAACAAAGCATGCTACGTCGACGTGACGGTCGAGGAGACGGCAGCGATGGTTGTCGTGTTCGCGGATCGCATGTTTAGACTTCGAACCGACGTAAACAGACGACCCCTGCAAACGTTGGCCAGTGCAGCCCACTAGCGCAACGACGAGCTGTGGAACTGCGAAGTCAATATCCAGAGGTAAAGGCAACGACACCAACGTCTTGCGCTTTTGCTAGCGTCTGTGTGCATCTTGGATTAGTCTTCAGTGTGTCCAGGGGATCTCCACGCCCACTGCTGTTCGCAATGCTCGCATGCCGCGCGGCTTCAAGTGAGCACCATCTCGAATATCGAGGTACGTGTTCACGTAGAGAATCTATACGTTGAAATGACGAAGAGCTGCTTGCACGTCTACCATCGATATCAGCCTCAGTAGAGGTAGACTGTTGCTGATCGATATCTTGCCATACTTGTGTCCCTCTTGTAAAATACTTCTTTGGTCCTGCGTCTCCTACGCCACACGTATTACACATTGCTCACTTTGATAAGTCCTGCGCAATCTGTGCATGATAAAGCAGGAGAATCTTGGCAGAAACAATCCAGAGGCGTAATCAGAAGAAAGAGGAAGAATAGGGCTGTGAGGGCATGCGGCTCCGGAACGAATCGGGGTACATTTGATTTCAAAAACCTCATGGGTCACGCCAGACTATCAAGCTGTAACTCGAGACATACACATACGCACGTAGACAAGGGGTTGCTTCACTTGCAAGAAGTTGGTAGCCCGGCGTCTTACCAGGTTCATCCAGGACGACACCCGAGCTTTGTCGTAGTTCCATCTGCAGAACCCAGCCTGGCATTCCACCATTGCCATTCCGACACTGAGCTCGTGACCTTCGATGCATGGAAGCGTAGGGATCGGCACTTTTCCATATGACTTGGACGTGCGACGGACCGCTCCTCACTCGCCACAGGCGGTGAAACCGACGAATCAATGCGGTTGACAGCTTTCACATGCTGGCGACAGCGTGCCAGCAACTTGGCTCCATGGACCTACTATAGTACGCCAAAAGTCATTGCGAGGAGCGGAATGCGGTCGCGGCAGCGCTGGCCCGAGCCACAGACGGGACAATCGCTGCGGGTGCCAGGATCCGGCGGTTGAGGAGGTGGGCGGGCAGAGTGCGCTTACGGCTGGCGAAGCTTCTCATAGGCTGGGGTGAAATGGCTCGAGTGCTAACCGCCGTGCTACGAGAACAGGCCCATCGTGCGCAGCACCAAACGGCCACAAACAGAGGCGTGGTCTCGAGGGCTTGCCATTGCGGCAGCGGCTCCTTGTGCACCGGGATGCAGGGCGCAAAGCTTACGACATCTCTCTCGGGGGCTCTCGGCTGCAGAGACAAACATCAGAAGCAGGCGAAGGTGCTGGCGCTTGACGAGCATCGCGGCGGAGCGTCCAATTGGAGGTTGAAGGCAAATGCAGCGCCATGTCCAGAGGCCTGGCCGCCGGCTGGGGGTGCCAGGATGAGGTGTGCTCGAAGCGAGTCTAAGAGTGCCATCAAGAGTGCGGCAAGGCCCCTGCTGCTGCCACAGCGGGAGTGGCTCCCAGTTGAGCCTTCAGCTGCCACCACGACCATCGATTCGCCTCACAGTCTATCGAATTCTACTTCTCCCGAGTCGCTGTGCACTGCGCTTTCCCCGGGATCACACATTGCCACTGTGTTTGGCTGACAGCAGCTGTCTGGTGTGGGGGACCGCTGATGACCAGCTTAAAGTGAACACTCATTTCCGCTTAGCGAGCTAGCCCAGCCTCGTCGAAGACGGCAGCGATCCTGAGCTCCTTACACCTACACCCGCGTCCTGCACTCTCTCCGCGCTCGCCGCGACCGTCGCTTCGTCTCGCGCAACGCCCGGTTCTATTTGACGTCGACGTTGCCATCGCCCGCGAGTCTGACCTGCGCTTGCGACCGAGGCACCTTCCCCACAACACAATCACCACGCGACTACCTGCCGGCACGCAAGGAGCGACCGCATCCACGACACACTCCCGCATCGGCCGCCCATCCAAAGCTCTCGTAGCTCAACCATGAGCCACGAGCCGTCCACCCAGGCTGCTGCAGACGCCTCTGGGCAGCCGGCCGTCGCGAAGCTCACTGCGACCGATGTCACTCCCGACCACGCCAACGGCACCGGTATGTAGGATGCGCAGGCCCAGCCGCCCCAGCACACGCTCCCCACGCAGCGCCCACTGACTTGCTATCCAGCATTCAATACAGCAGCGCCGCAATCGTCCTCACAGGGCCCGTCCGATCTGCAAAGAACGACGTCCAAGACCCTCGACGGGACAGAAGCATCTGCATCGCCCGACAACGCGCCCAAGAAGAAACGCTCATTTCTCAATATCCCTCGCTCCAACTCCCAATCCAACGAGGAGCAGACCCCAACCGGCACTGGACTCAGTGGCGCAACCGTGGCGGACTCGGAGAGCATCGGTCGAGGCTCGAAGCGGAGCTTTTTGGGCAAGCGCCGGGCGGGGAGCACAGCGAGCAGTAAGCGGTCGCAGCATGCCGCAACGTCGGAGAAGGCCGAGCCACCTCCACCAGTCCCGGCTGTAATGGACGGCCGCGAAGGTTCGACACGGAGCAAGGCGAAGAAATCCGGAGGGCTATTGTCGTGTTTGCCATGCTTTGCACCCAAGGATGCCACTCCGGCTGGAGAAACCACGGAAAACGTCAAGAAAGTGGAAAAGGTCCAGCCCGCACGCAACTCGCAGCCTGTCCACAAGGCCGACCCAACGGCAGAGTCAAGTACTGCAGACTCCAAGGAGCCGCTGGATGAAAAGAGTGCTGGTGAGACGATGGCTGCTGATCGTGAGGGGATATACGGTGATGGTACGGCCGACACGCCATCCCAACACGGTCCTCCCAAGATTGTGACAAGAAGCTCGTCTAAGAAGCAAGCAGATACGCCACTTCCTCCGCTACCAAACCAGCCCGGTACTTTGCAGACTGGACCGCAGATCAGTGTCCAAGGCCCTACTCCTGGGACGACACCTGTGCACCCGAGACCTTCCCATGAGCAACAGCAGATAATACATGATCGGACCGATGCGCAGGAGGAGAAGGACCAGGACATTGAGATGAACGATGTGCCTCTCGCGTCAACCGATGTACGGCACGAAGGTGATGACGCTTCTACGGATGCCCAGAACGAGATTCCGCCCAAGGTTGACCTTCCTCCGCCCCCACCGCTCGAGCAACGGCAGATTGCCGTTCGTGATCAGACCTCGGACACCAGCATGTCTGAACCTCAACAAAAATACCTTTTGGGTCCCATAAGACCAGAGTTCAAGGGAAAAAAATGCCTCGTGCTAGACTTGGACGAAACCTTGGTTCACAGCAGCTTCAAGGTAATCTTCACAGTCTCGCGTTTCAAGACTTGTCTGACCTTGTATAGATTCTAGCGCAGGCCGACTTCACCATACCTGTAGAGATTGAGGGACAGTATCACAACGTATACGTGATCAAGCGACCTGGCGTTGACCAATTCATGAAGAGGGTCGGCGAGTTGTACGAGGTTGTGGTCTTCACTGCTTCCGTATCGAAGGTATGTCTTCAGGTCGTGCCGTCGAACGTTCCTGACATTATCGCAGTACGGTGACCCTTTGCTTGACATCCTCGACATTCACGGTGTTGTTCACCACCGCCTGTTCCGTGAGAGCTGTTACAACCACCAAGGCAACTATGTCAAGGTAAGCTTTCCGCCTCCTTCGATGATGTGAAGTGACTCTAACTATACGCAGGACCTCTCCCAGATCGGTCGCGACCTCAAGGACACTATCATCATCGATAACTCGCCCACGTCTTATATTTTCCACCCGCAACACGCGGTCCCGATCAGCAGCTGGTTTTCTGATGCTCACGACAACGAACTTCTGGATCTGATACCCGTGCTGGAGGACCTTGCCGGTGCCCAGGTTAGCGACGTTAGCTTGGTGCTTGATGTTGCGTTGTAGGGCGTTATGTTGCCTTTTCGATACCCCCTGTTGATCTTCGACCGCGTTATACTTACCCCAATAACCGGAACTTGGCCAAGGCTAGACTCCGGACTCTACCCTTCGCTTCGGATGAGAACCCTATCCAGGGCGCTTCTTCCGTACTGTAACTTTTGTAATAAGTTGTAATCTGCATAATGGAGCGGACCTGCATGCAGCATCTTTGGAGGCCGTAGAAGGAAGAATTGCATCTCCTCTACGACGGGTCTCTGAACCATGCTGTGAGCACGTCCCATCTTCAACACGATCATCTTCGCCACACAATACCCTTCCGCACTCGCCCAAGCAGATGGATTTTGTTCATACAAAAGTACCTACCCACACACATAGTCGCATTTGTAAAGAGGAGGTCGCAAAAGAGATGGAGCTGGTGGGGTTGAGGGCGTTTTGGGAGGGACTGCTTAATTTTGGTATCATCGCTTCACGTATACCCGCTCGAGGGTTGCAAGTAACTATCACATCTCCTATGTACACGTTCCTTTTGTTTTTTCAGAGTGCTGCTTGTTGCTTTATTGGCATGGCTGGCGGGAGCATTTCATCCTGGGGGGCTGTGTAGTCGATAAAAGCGCGACATCACGCCCTTTACTTCGTTCTTGTTATTGTGTTTGTAATTGGAGAGATGGAGAGCAGGTAACGCGTGGGGATGTATACGAGTAGTTGAGGGCTTGTAGTGAGAGTTTGCTTGCGGGGATTCCTGCCAGCGTACGTAGATAGTGAATACACATTCCAAGTCTCAAACTTTCAAGCCCATGTGACTGCGCGTCGGTAGATCCTAATCTCATCAACCGGTCCTGAAGGACTTGCTTGTGGTCGACGCGTCTCACAGTAGATCCTGAAACTGAGACAGCGGGATGGCGGGGATTGGCGCAGCGGGCTGTCATCCACGTTATGAAGTCTTGGCGTACGCCAGCAACCGAATTTCACATGCACGTAGCAAGCTCAGGGCGAGACATGACTCGCTGGTTCTGTCCTCATCGACGAATGCTCATGCGACGCAAGTAAATTCGGGCGACCTGCATACGGAACCACGCCACCTGCTACTTTCACCTCGACACAGCCTTTTCAGACCCGACTGCCCCGCGCTGAAGCTCATGGCCCGGTAGCGACAGAGCTTGGAGACGTATTGCGGGAACGAAAGACACCCAGCAGCAGCCATGGAGAAATACTCGCAATTCAGGGATAAGGGTACGTTGCTGCAGCTCGACTGCACATACAGAGGGAGCCAGGCTGACCACACACCAGGCACCGCAATCGCGCCCTTCCTCCCCATTCCTTCGCCCCCCGCAAGCCTCTTCTGGACACCCATTCACGCCATCCTCTTCGCCGTCCGCCTCTTCCCCGTCCTCTCGATCTCCCTCTTCTACTTTCTCCTCCTTGAGATCCTGCCGATCCCTACCACGCTCAAGAAATGCGTCCTCTGGCTGCTCCTCGCAGTCCCTGGCGTATGGTGGGTCGACCTGCAAGTCGACGGCGTCAAGCGCGGCCGCCTCTCTGATAAACAAGCTGCGGGCGCGCTCCCATCCGCCGGGGATGTCGTCGCAAGCAGCTTCACGAGCCCGCTCGACCCGCTGTACCTCGCCGGCATCTTCCACCCTGTGTTCGTGCGGACATGGCCCGCCGAGAAGGGCGTGCAGGTCATCACCCTCTGGGGCGCTATCTGCATGGCCTTTTCGCGCCCGCAGATCGCGCCGCCTCCGGGCACGAAGCTCGTGCAGCTGAGCGAGCTGAGTAAGAGATATCCCGACAGCATCATCTGCGTGTTCCCAGAGAGCACAACGACCAACGGCCGCGGCATCCTCCCGCTATCTCCTGCGCTCCTCACGCTCGATCCTACGTCCAAGATATACCCTGTCAACCTGCGCTACACCCCCGGCGACATCACCACGCCTGTCCCCGGCGCCGCGGCAAACTGGGTCTGGAAGTTGCTCTCAAAGCCGACGCATCAGATGCGCGTGCGGATTGCGCGGCCGCTGTATAATTCTACGTCCATCGATACGCCGAGGAGTGAGAAGGCGAACGCGAGCGCTGTGGACAAGAATATGGGGTACGAAACGAATATCTGGGACAGTCCGGGTTTGAGGAACGGGCTACATGCCGGGTGGGAAGGGAAGGCGAAGGGAGAGGAGGACGGGCAGAAGATGTTGGATCGGGTTGGCGAGGATCTTGCGAGGCTGGGGAGAGTGAAGCGCGTGGGGCTGGGGTTGAAGGAGAAGGTGGAGTTCGTGAAGGTTTGGAAAAGTAGGCGGAGATAGAGAGTCGGAGCCGTCGAGAGATTGTAGAGTGATGGGTTTGCGGGGTGGTGTTGGGGCTGTTGTGATGCATTTACAGGTGCATTGGCGATGGAAAGTATGGTTTGCACTATGACTTTTTCCTGGCAGCAATTTGGGAAGTTACATGTAGCGATACTTAACAGCGGGACGATATATTACGCAAAAGCTCCATCTCATCTGACGTCTCCGCCACCATGTCTGCAAGGGTTTCAGCATATCACGTGCCTATCTACTTCGGCCAGGGCTCCTCAGCAGTATAAATACAGCCCCAAATCCATCTTTCTCGCAGCACGCTTCTTCTGCCTATTGAGCACTATAATGCGTCGAGGAAATCTATGGAGTCCTTTTAAAGCTTTTGACTTCCATCCCATGGGGATCGGTGCGTCCTTACGTGACCTAAACACATCCGCGCATTGCCCATGTGCGTTTGTGGCGTAACATCGGAAAACAAATGTGGGTGTTCCTCTCCGACAGCATAAATATCACCCCAGATCCCTCGGTCCTCCCTTCACGTGATAGATAGAAGAAGCATGAGAGCGTCTGTGGCGTGGTTGAGCAGTGGAGACCGAAAGAATTGAGGGGGGGGGAGTGTTGGAGCTTCTAGTAATCTAAAGACTTCCTCCAGTATGTCGTTATAGGGGCACACTCCTGCCATACATGCATACTGAGCACTAAAGAAAACTCTACCAAGCTTCAGGGCTTCTCTAGAACTTTGGGTGAACTAAATGATGAGAGCCCGGCGCGTTCTGGTCCTGTACGGCCAACAGGCCACTAAATGCTAGTCGCGGGCCCGTCTTTGGCAGAGTCCAAACTCAGACAAAGAGGAGCTGATTGTTCAGCGTGGACCGTCCGACGGAAGTCACCTTACGTTGGCAGTACTGCACATAACAGGTAGTACGACGGTTGATCGTTAGTCGATGAAGCAAATTGTGTAGAAGTAACGAACAAGGGAGAAATCACAGGAGATTTTTTTTTTTTTTTTTTTTTCAGGGAGTGATTCGTTTGACCTGCATCATACCAATAACCAATGTCGTACTACACTTCTACAGTTGATCCTGCCACTTGAACGCGGGCTTGAAACCAAGTTCCTTCTTTGCTTTGTCAATCGAGAGCAGAGTATCGTTGGGACCAGAAGTAGGATTGTACTTGACGCCAGGGAAGGCCTTCTTGACAAGCTCATCGTTCGATTGCCTCATGCAAGTGTCTTCCGCAGCGATCAAGTACTGGTGGTGACCCTTAGTCTTGCTGTCCAGCGACTTAGACACCGCCTGACCACCATCCCTTGCATCGATGTAGCCCCAGCAATTCCAGTAGCGCTTCGTCGGGTCGTCCTGCCATGCCTCGAAAGTCTTGTACTCTTCTGGCAGCATAACGTTGCTGAACCGCAGCGAGATGATCTTGACTTCAGGGTCCCATCTTGCATACTGCTCGGCCATTGTCTCGCCAACCAGCTTTGACAATGAGTATGCTGATTCTGGCCTTCTCTCGTGCTCTTCCGTGATGGGCAGCGACTCAGGCTGATGAGGGTCGAAAGGAATGCCGATGAGTGTCTCAGATGAGGCGAGGACGACGTTCTTGATTTTGAGCTTGCGGCAGGCTTCTAGGACGTTGTATGTGCTCATGGTGTTGGTACGGAATTGACGCGAGCTGTTCGTCTGGCCGGGAGAAGGGATAGCTGCTAGGTGGACTACGGCATCAATGCCACTGTATGCCATATCCTGAACAGCATTAATTGGGATCGTGAGAGGTCATATGGGAAAACAAAACATACGGTGGTAAGGAAAGTCTCCAGCACCGCTCCCATGTCCTCGAGGTCAATCTCCACTAGGCGGTATGCGCCACCAAGACCAGACTTGCCATCCTCGCTGATACCAGGAGGACGACGAGTGTCGACTGAAATGACCTCCCAGCCCTCATCGGCAAGGTATCTGACTGTTGAGCGACCAAGCTTGCCGCTTCCACCGGTGACGATGACTCTGCGCTTGTTCTCACCTCTCTTTGCCTCGCCTAGGGCGAGCTTGTCTGTGAAAGAAGCTTGGGGACTCATAATGGATTGTAGGAAGTGTAAGCTTGGTGAACCAAAAAATTGCACAAGATGCGAGACTCGCGCAGAATATCTCTGGGCTTTCCTACCAGCGCTTACGTCATTGACTTCATATGTTCAGCCGCATCTTTAACCAGGTGTTCGGTACGTAGACTCGGTATAGTACACAGCGGGCCAATCATGGCAGATGAGGGGCATTTTTCTGCGGGGAAAGTCTTCTCCGCGGGGTGACCACATCTATGACCCGCATTCCCATAAAACTTGTCTTTACCCGGGTTCGCTTGGCTGAAGCTTCTTTGACAGGTCGTCCAGGTCGTAGGATACTCGAAAATAGATATGCTGCATATGTGCCATGCCAAACCCCCCCAGGATCGTGTTTCATTGTGCGGATTCCTTTTCGCTGCGCGAATGGCGTGGGGAAAATTCGAACATGAAGGCGATAGAAGCCAATGCGCATGTCTCTCTGTTAAATCCTGGGAAAGAGTCAAAGCCACTAAACAGTCATATTTCCCGAAAAGAACTACATTTGATATATCCGGTTTTGTTTCGCGAACGAACAAGGATCAGGCCGGATAACTTAATGGTATAGGTAGGTGAAAGGGCGTGAGAGCTTGAGAGCACGGAGCTGATAACCAAATCTGGATGGGATCCGTTGCATTGCTCCCATAGTGTCTTCCCAATGATGCGTAGTCATCCATCATAATCCAAGCAAGGTGGTCGCGCTTGTGTTACTGCACCTATGAGATCGCGGAAGCTTGCGATGAGACCTGGAGCACAGTCACTGCTTAGCAGGAACAGGGGGAAAGCCTGGCGCTCGCTCCATCCCAAGGTGTGTATGGTGTATGCCCGCGTGATTGTTTTCAGGGCTCCTTGGACCATACGAAGACAGTAACCATGGCCATGGCCAAAGGACAATCGGGCGTCCTACACCAACTGAGCGCCGTCAGATATGATAAGTCGGTGTGGAAAGAAGTTGTTTGCTGCGATGTCCAACGCATTGCTACCAGGTCTCAACGGTGAACGCTGCACTTCTAGTCTGGCCGTCAGACCACGTTCATGTCGCTGAGTGGACTCCATATCTCTGGTCTGCTTTCTTATGGCACTAGTTGTAGATCGGAGAGGTCACCATGCATAAACCAGCCCCTGACCCTAAGTGCGCGCTGGAATGTGGCACTACATGTTATCCCCGACCACCTGACGTATTTGCCAGAGGCTGAATGCTGACTCCAAAAGTCCATGCTTCTCGATCAATTGCTTGCCTGTGTGGAGGAAGGCTGGGCCAAGAGAGCAAATGAACATATCTATGTGCTTGCTGGATCTGGTGTGACCTCAAATCTATCGACAGAAGATTAATGTGTGCACCTGAGGCTGGTTCCAAAATTCAACACTAGAGAGATAATGTGAGGTAGAGGGATGGACATGGTATTTCCAGATAGCATAAATACCACTCTAACCCCATAGAATTTTCACCACTCGATGAAAGGGGACTGTGTCACAGCATAGAGGATGGTGTATGTATTCGATATCGGTGGGATTGCGAAAAAAAAAAAAAAAAAAAAAAAAAAAAAAGAGGGCCTGGATTATCCTCATGTGGTTTAATATTCGATCACTAGAGGCCTATGTCATCCGATCTGAAGGAACTGGCCAAATCATCGCCTGTCAACGAATAATGTGCTCGATTATTGGCGAGCTTTACTATATGCCTGTATTTTCAGTCATGGGAAGCTCGAAACGCATTCGCGAAATTTCTCAAGTAATTCTGGTGTCGCTTCTGTCTGAGGTCATTCAAAAAATTGTTGATCGGATGGTATGTACTCCGGCGCGGACGACCTCCAAAATAGCACTGCATACCTGAAAATGTGTGCCAGTGGTTAGACTTCCAGCACTTATTTTGAGACTGCATCCGACGTTGAAAGTTCCCTGCAACTCCCATTTCCTCATAAACGATGTTGGGTTGGCTTAGATGCCTCCATATCTGGAGTGTTTTGCGTCCAAAAATGGGCGCCTCCAAGCCAGCAAAATCTTGGCACCGAAGAGTCTTAGATCTGCTACCAATCTATGTTCATTATATAATCGTTGTAAGGTGTAAGAAGCTTTCCCCTTCTTAGTTTTATTTCACCTAAAATCTTTTCTACCTGCACCTTCTAAAACCATGCCTACTACCCCTTTCTACTATTTATACTTATTAGCATAATGGCAAGTGTACCTATCTAGTATTTCAATCCTATTATTCGCATTGCCTTTCGACGACTTTAGGAATAGTGTCCTTAGAATACTCTAAAGCTTAATCTCTATGCCTCCGCTAGAAGGTTTTGTTACACCGCTAACACTTCGCTTAGATAAATGGATGGTATTACAAATTGCACTCAGCTAAATAACGGCTTAGATATTAATGCTCATGCGACCCACTTTGCTACCATAGCCAAGACACTAAGCTCAGTTACTACACTGAATGGCCACGAATCTACGCGCCATGCCATACAATGAGACTAGCCCAATTAGCAAAATACCTGACCAAGACTAATAGTGCCCTTTCTTTACTGTGCCTTATATTTGCATTAATATCTGGCTTTTGGTGTTCCAGCTTCAACCGCCAGCCCTAATCCTGGGTTCGACCATTACCTTCGGATCAATTGGAACCTCGATTTAAGGGAGCTCCACTGAATTTCGATATTTAGGGTGCGGTATAGGAGACGGCAGCTTTAGTGTGAGACACCTTAGCTGGATAGGCAGATATTGCAGGCTTTGATGACTTAGTATGACCAAAGCTGCGCCATCGAAAGTGGGAAGCACCATGTTAAGTTGAGTATATAATTGGCCTCAGTCTTGCCAACTGGATTTTCGCTGCTCTGGGTCCCTCGCCTTCTACATGGATAAGTAGTGTTCATGGTATCTACCCGCTACTCTGGCACCGCTGATAAACGGAATCCAGCCATCCCTTTGGTTCCTCCTTTCAGAAGGTGTCGTATGCTAGCTCATCTTGAAGATCGTCTACCTGCCGCGTCATTAATTACGTAGGTTGGTAATAGAAGCGCCTTGCACGTCTTAATAGTGTCTGAGCGGGAGGGGCCAGGCCTGTGTAATCTTAGCTGGGCCGTCACCCATTGCACGGAACTGCAAGCCTTAGGAAGATGATTGGCTTGGATTGCCGCTCCTGCAAAGTCAGTTTTAGAGAGAGTTAGATAAGGTAGACTTGGCCAGGCTACGACCCGCCGTATAGATAGGCAGGACGATACCGGCACGTACTCACCTAGTGTGCAATTGACACTAATTGGTGGAGTCTGGGTCCACTTGACCGAATGCATAACGGTAGGTTGCATTCTGGTATTATAGAGTAAGTGGAGGGAACGGCTAGAGCATCATATTAATTAATTAGGAGCCCGTTGGGCGCTAACCTGCCTCCATCATTTGATCCACCCCCGCCAGGAGCATGAAGTTGGAGGCCTGGATGAAGAAATGAGCCTAGGTTTGGGTCTCGGAGGTGCCGACGAGTGGAGAGTCATTGCTGGGAGCCCCCTGATCAACGTGCAGGCACTGGATTAGATAGAATTGTCATCTATAGGCTTGTATGATTGTCGGGCGGCCTCTTATGAAAAGGAGATGAATTTGCTTCCTACAGCATCTCTTCTAGGAAGCTGTTAATAGTCTGTTCCTTCCATCTTATATTTCCTAGCTAGAATTTCTATTATTAAAAGTATGAGCAGCGGTAGTAGTAGTGAAAGTAGTAGTGGAAGTAGTACTGTAACGGGGGTCGCTTGGCTTTGGGCTAAGCTGGCCTCGAAGGGGTTCTGGTGAGAAATGAGGGCTTTCGGAAGCGGTATAGTCGCGTTAGGATTAATGCGTTAATTAACTATGGTAAGGTTGTGTTGCCCAAACGTCATAAGTAATCTTTTCTGTAAGGAAACTGGATGTAGTAACTGTATCGTGGATTGACGATGATGGATTACCGTGGTAATCCATCATCTTTATATACTGCTATCTAACCTGGCTCTATTGGCTCTATGGCTCTGTCTTCCACAGATCCACAGATCCACAGATCCACAGATCTAATCACGTGACCCTCTCACATGTCCATATTGTGTTCCGCATCGGAACCGTAAGCGTAATTTATGTCATCATCGTCCCATTGGTCATCGCCGCTGACGCTGTCATTGTCGTAATTCTGGTGCGGCGCGGTCGCCGTAACACTTATAGTGCAATACCTTCATCTATTATTAGGATTTACTATGACGTACGCCTCCACCGTGTTTTTAATAATTGGCTTAGTAATATTGTCTAGAGATACCTATACAATCGCTCTTCCCGAAATAGACATCTTCCTTCGCCATATATATTCGTATTCCATGAATTAATGTAACGTACCTAGTAAGCGAGTAGTGTAGGCAAGCGAGCGGCGTACCCCACCAACTTTTCACTACTTTATAGGAATCTATCTTAATAACAAGATAAAATAATAGAATATACGCATTATGCTAGATTAAGCTGTATCTCTAGTATCCTTCTTGTATGTTCGCGAGTTATGGCTAGTCTCCCTACAGTCTTCAAAATCACGGGAAAAAGCTACATATTGACATGCAGCGGAGAGATGCCTGGTTGATGCCTGGTCGCTGCAATCGTTCCAATATCCTGCACCTGACCGCTATGTTCGGAGTAGGTTTCTTCGAAAAAGACGAGATAAGGAAGTACCAGTTCCACTTCGAAGCACTTCCAACATGCAGTCCAAAGAACTAAACGCCATCACTTACGAGATTAGCTCTGGAGCTCCGAGTAAATCACAAAGTATAGTCTTCGAAAAGACCAGCTTGCCAGGGATCATGTTGCCTCTGGCAAAGGGTGTCTTCCACTAACCCGCTGAGCCTGCTCAAATCAAACAGTCTTGCTTCAGAGAAGCTCACGGTATATAACCACCCTCAGAGTCCTGAAGTCCCTTCCTACAGTGCGATCTTCGCTCTATTACTAAAATCGCGAGCTCTCCGAGCTATGAGCACTTAAGCGCTCCACTCGAAAACTTCATGTCCTGCCTTGTGTTGTCCGAACGCGTTGTCCGAGCGGGTGCTCGAAAATGCTCCGTCCCTTCGCGTCATGGGACTCTTCCTAGTGGATCTTGCGGGGTTTCCAAAATATATGGCCTGGCAGAGCGGTATTTCAAAAGCAAGAGACATGTCTACCTGAAAGCTTTGCACTTCGCGCATCGCTGCGGAGCAGAACAAACCTTGGAACCACTTGTTCTTGTACTCATACCTCATGCTGATATCAAGGTTGTCCATCGAGTCAGGTCCATTTCCTATTCATCAGATTTGTTTTGACTATCCTATTTCCCTAACCTTCGCCATTGGCCCTCTTCGATCACGTGCCCTCGTGTGCACGGACACACGCGTCGCGTACCCCTGTCAGCCACACCATCCCATGCCACTGCAGCCTGCAGCCTGCAGTCCACAGGGGTAGTCCGGCGTGTTGCCAATCCAATATCTCTCCACCGCAACGTCCCCAAAATGACTTTGCACTTCCATTGCACCTGCATGCTGCGCTCTGCGCCTTTGCGCGCACAATGGCCTCAGCAGTCGACATCATCACATACGTCGGCATCCCGCTCGCTGTCCTCGGCGTTCTCCCCACAATCTACACAGCATGGAAGTCCTTTCTAACCTTGCGCCAAATTACGCGCACATTGCACGCCAACGGCGTCACAGCCATCACGCGCTCCGCACTCCTCTCTGGCATCGTGGAGGTCGAAATCCCCCGGAAAAGCATCACCCCCCTTGACCGCAGCGATCCACGTTACTTCAACCTACGCGCGACGCCTTCCCGGCTGCGCGGCGGGACGTGGACGCTGTTCGAGTGGAAGGAGATGGCGATCGGAGTCAAGAGCTATAGACTGCAGTACCACGACGAGCTGGCACAGCCACAGGCTGAGATCGAGTTCGAGGCGCTGATTGCGTTTTTGCTCGATCGCGGGGCGGTACCGAGTCAGGCGGGGTGGTCCGACCTGCGGGGCGCGGGGCTGTGGACGGTGGCAGGGACGAAGTTGCTGGTTAGTCCTGGGGAAGGGGAGGAGGTGCTGAGTGTGGCGTTTAGCGATGACAGTGACGGAATTCTTAGTTTGAGTTTGAATTGGAAAGGGGAGTGGGATGGGAGGGGAAGGGAGAGTTTGCCGCCGTATTGGGTCAGAGTCAGGGCGCCAGATGGCGAGGAAGATTTGCTGGGTAGAGTGCACGAGATCGAGGAGGTGAGAGCAGAGGGAACGGTGGAGGAAAAGAAGGGCGCGTTTCTGGACGATGCGAGTGCCACGAGCGAAGATGTGAAGTCGCGGTCTGCGATACGCGTCAGGATATCCACCACAGGCATACAGGAAGCGTACGGCGACGACGGTTCCAGTCAGAAGCTCCAACTACACCACCTCCGCCCGCCTCCACCGTCCTCCTCAACAGCGTCAACAGCAGGCTTCTGGTTCTGCTGCGCAGCCACCGCCTTCCAAGCACCCCAAGGCGGTCTCTGGTCCTTCTCCATCCCGCATGACATTCTACAGCTAGCCCGCCACTCCACGGTGCCCTGCGGTGTGATGGTCCTCCTCGACACAATGACCGACGAGGAGGTACCCGCGTGGCGCACGCCATACAACGACCAAGCGGAGCGCCTCGAGCGGCAAGTCAAAGCGCAGCAGCAGAGCCGCGCAATGCTGGAAGAAGGGCGGCTTCCCCCAGCGCAGCGCGACGCCGCACGCCGCGACCGCATACAGCGCGAGGCCATGGACTTCCACAACGACTTCCGGCGCCGCATGCTCGTGCAGGAGGAACGGCGCGAGGCGGAGATGCTCGAAGCGATCCAAAGCCAGAAATTGCACGTGGGCATCGTTGCGCAAGCAAACCTCAAGGCCCTCAAGAAGAAGCTCCGCCTTTCTTCTGTACCTACGCTCACTATGGTGGTAGAGCACATCCTGTACGGCATGCTGCAGGACCGGGCATTCGCGCAGAGACTAAGCGTGATGCTCGACTTGTGGAAGAATTGGGCGCAATCAGGGGGTATGACGAAGAGCCACTATCTCGCGGTGAAGGAAGACCAAGTCATGTTCTCTCTAGCTAGTTGTGTGCTAGCCATCATCCGGGACATGGTCAGTGAGCCGTCGGGCAGCGTAGTCGGGGATCTGCAGGAGTGTCTGCGGATGTGGAAGAAGGTTCGGCTAGGATGAGAAGTTCGAATAAGTAAGCAGACAGACTGAGAGAGAGAGGGAGAGGAGAGAGCGACGAAGGATTAATGCAGAGACGATGTACTATATGATTACGCTAATATTATACTCATAATGCGAGATACCCCCGGCCTCGCCCTCGTTTTGCGCACACAGAAATACACGTAGAACACCCCAGCCGAGATGAACCCCAGTACACACCCACACGGCGCCAACCCCACAATGCACAGCATCACGTACAGCGCGCGATCCTCCCCCTGCCCTTCCCTTCCCCCGGCGATACCCGGCCAGAACCGCATCTGCCACCGAAATGCGAGCGCCGCTAACACCGCGACGGGCGCGAGGGTGCAGAGCACGATCTTGCGTATCTTGATCATATTGGTCTTCTCCGCCTGTTCAGGCGTCGGTCTAGGCGCGGGGTGAGCGGAGATGATGGCGCGGTAGAGCGTGTGCGCGAGGCAGAAGGGACAGTGCGGTTTGTGCGCTGAGTGGCCCCCGGGGAGGGTGTCGTGGAGTGGGTGCTCCTCGCCGCATGTTGGGCAGGAAAACGTTGGTGGAGACATTGCGTCAGCTGTGGTGTAAGCCTTTCCGCGGCCGTGGAAGCAATCATTAAGTTCGAGGCTGGGAAGGGGTAGGCAGGGGGTGTGGATAAGGGGAGTTGAAGGGCTTGTGTGAATGGGTGTGGATATCAAAAAGGGCGTGAACGCGTTGCGCATTTCATGTTTTCTGGACAAAGGGGAACCGTGAAGTGCACTGAGCCTGGGCTCTATGTATTGCCTAAACGCTAGAAACAGTGATGTGCATGCCTTGCGGCCTTGATGCCTTTCGCCATCGTATCAAAACGCAAAGAAACAAACTCCAACCAATGCAAGTCATGCGTACCCATACAATGCCTTCGCCAGACAAATTGCGGCCCCAGTAGTACGATCAAAGAAAGAGTCAAACAAGTGCTGTAGAGCCGTACAAACGCTCGGGTATTGCCAACCAATCACTAAGATCAAACTTCATGCGTCCTTCTCCCTTTCAGCATCTTGTAGCTTTGCCGGCTTTCCCGGTTTCCCCCAGACGAGATCTCGCCAAACCCGCCAACAGAACCAACACTCCTAGGTTTGTTCTTCGCGCGGGCTCCTGGTGCCTGTCTCCCTCTCTCGCTTGACTGCACCCTTCAGCGCGCTCAGTCTTTCTTCTGTGGTCCTGATTGCCTCGTCGATCTGGCGCTCCTTCATCCCTTTGGCAACTAGACGACTCTGAGTCTCTTGACCCTGCAACACGCCTCCCGAAGCCACCGTGCCATGGACGTGATCAAGTGCAACGCGCTCCTCGAGCCACTTCCAAAGCTCCGCTTCTTCCGAGCGCCATATTTGCTCGTAAGCCACCTGCCGTTGCGCCGTCGAGAGGTGAGCGTGCGGTCCGATTTGTGTAGTAGATGAGCGGAAAAACCATGCGTAAATGAGAAGAGCGCCGAGGATAAGGATGATGTTTTGTGTTGTGAAGAGAGTATCGATGATACTGACGAGAGGCCCGGGAAGAAGGCTACGTAGAGGATCCAATGGGCCCCAGCTGGGTTCCTTTGGCTGCGCAGCCGCTGATGTGGCTGCCGGTGTAGGTGCAGCGGCTTCGTCAACGATCTGGGTTTTCGAGCGTTTCTTGCCTTTTCCGCCTTTCCCAGGCGCTCTCGGAGCTGCGTTTCTAACAACTGCTGTACGTAGTGCGGCGCTGAGGGCGGTCGCGTAGGTCATCTGACCATCGTTCGCACCCTTTTCAATCGGACCTGGACACAAGTCAGTCTGTCGGTACTTGAGCCGCCGGATCAATGGATCTCACCCTTGAGCCAACTCTTCCCACTCCATTCAACAGCAAATGTCATAATGATCCGTGTGCTGTTGTTGGGCCCCCACATAAGGCAGTACCTCGTTTTCACTAAGAAGACATTGCCGCTTGGTACGTCCGGTGTCTGCGTGCTGCAGAGCACAGTTACGGCCTTATCCAGGTTGAACTGCTCCACAGTCGAATTAATGTTGCATCTTGTCTTGCTCGGCCCAATACCACCGCCGAGGGGCTTGGTATATGAAAAAGACATGGATTTGTGGGTGTCGTCCAACCCCTTTCCGTCGTCTTCAAGTTGCAAATCTGTCGATTTTTGATCTTCAATCAACCATTTTTTCATAAATGCTCCGGAAGCGGGACCAAACATAAGGCTGTAGACTTTGCCGAGAGGTGCTGGAATAGTTGTATCGATGAGGAGCTTGTCATAGTGCTGGTCGTTATCGCCGCAATCAGTCGGCGCGTGGTTTGCAGCACCCGGGAAGTCTTGCGCAGCCGGGGCAGCATTTGCTACAACTTCAGCACTGTCGATCAGCTTCGCAGATCCTCCGCTGACAGCTTGCGCCACGGCGGCGCTGGCTTTGCGAGTCTCTCCCTGTACAGATGCTGTCTCGCTACCGGCAACGCTGCCTTCGCCTGCTTCGGTGAAGCTGCCAATGCCGTCTTCCTCTTCATCCTCATCGTACACCTCGTCTTCGGAACCGTCGTCAGATCCTTCGTCACTAGCAATGGACTCGGCCTTCTCCGTCTTGTCGCCGGTTCCCGCTGATCCATCGAGAGCGACGCCGTTTAAGGACGACTTCAAGTTGGGGTGTGAGATTTTCCAGATTCCTATTATCAGATCGTACGTAGCATCTCTGGTAAGGAAAGACGCAAAGACGTTGCGCGCGTGGAGGGTCTGAATGACGATAGCATTCGGAAACATCATTGCAGTCGTCTTCTTCTCCACCGAGACGACTTCATCAAAGCTGATGACAAGGTTGGTGACCCAGCCAAGAATGTTGCTCGAGAAGCACAAATGGCCCTCGGAGACGTATAATCGCCCTTGTAATAGAATCTCTTTCTGAAGGGCGGCACTGTAGTCCTCGATCAAATAATCGTCCTCAGGCACACTCTTAAAAAGCGCGTGGAAGTCTTTATTCCGTTTTGATGACGCAACAGCGAATCCGGTTCCATTGAGGCGCTGTCCGCTCAGTGATGCTTGCGGTGCCAAGGTGTGTGTGCTGGCGCCAATCGCAGCGGCTATCGTATTACCAGTGGTGGCAGAGCTGCCTCTGTGCCGCCTTTTTCGCCCACCGCTTATGCGGCTCCGAATACTACCTTGTCGCTGTATAGATGCGCCTGCTGGAGAATCGGAAACATCTGCTTGTCGCGGTGGAGACATTGCGCCGGCAGATGTGGTGGTCGGTGCAGAGTTGGTTGTGAGTGAGCGGGGACGGTCGCCATTGACGGTCGTCGATGGTTCCCCAGCATATGCAGCCGACACCGCTTGCGCCGCTGCCATATCTGATGCCCTCGCTGAAACCTCGTCAGACTTGAGTGGTAGATGCGTCGCGGAAGACATGGGACTTGGATCCGAGCTATCCGAGATCCCAAGGTGGGCTAGACTCAAGTTCCCAGATCCAAGTGTCTCTACTGCGAGCTTGCGCTTTTCACTTCCAGTGTTCACCGTTGGCTGCGCGTTTTCGGGGCCAATAACCTCTTCTCCGCCCGTCTCTTCAAGTTTGGTTTCGTCCGATTTTTGCTGGGTTGCAGACTTGTTCTTATTCTGAGCAGCACTGTTGGCAATTGTGGTGCTCAGGGTGTTGGCTGCGTTTTGTGCAGCTGAGAATACAGAAGAAAAGAATCCGCTGGGAGACTGTGGTGGAACAGAAAAACCACCGCCAGGGGTCTTCGCTTCCTCTATTGTAGGCGTCAGAGGCGCTGTGATGGAATTGGACAGTTTACTAGGGGGGTTTGTGGCTGAGCGCGCTCGTCTGTGCGATATCATATTACCCGAGGGTGAGACAACCACATTCGGGCTTGACTGCGCAGAGCCGTGCTTACCCCCGTTCTTTATGCTGGAGGCCGATGCAGGGGAAGCAGGTCGGGCATCTGTCGGCGTCGGAGGTGTAACCAGGGTGGTGGGGGCGTCTACCAGATTTGGTGGGGTCGCAGGGATCTGTGTGAAGATGCGTTGGGGGGCGGATTTTGGTAACGACGAGGTAGACTGCGTGTCCCTGCTGTAGTGGATTTGTGGTGGTGATGCCTGGAGATCGCTATCATCGACGAGTCTGGCGTCCCGCTTCTTTCCTCCAAACAGCGCCCCGAGGCCTCCACTGGTGCTCGGCCGAGCGCCTTCAGTTGTATCGGTCGGCGGCTTTGGAGAAGTTGACCGTCGCGCAGGCACAAATGCGTCCTTGAGCTTGCTGACGGGCGAAGTGCCCCGCTTGGCTGATCCGATGTCGATGGTCTGCGCCTGTCGTGGAGTTGGCGGCTCTTCCGAGGAGAGGGGAGCGTCGATTAGAGTCGCTTCGGACTGCGCCACAGAATCGAGCGTCTCAGAGTTGATCAAGGGCGAAGAGAGGGTGAGGTAGCCGGCGTGCGACTGGTGTGGTGATATGCCAGGGCGTACCGGGGAGCTAGCATGTGTTAGCGATGACGCGCAAGCTGAGTGCGTAGGTCGCGGAACAAAGAGTAGCGAGTGCGGATGTGCGGTCAATCCGAAATATGAATGGTAGGGAATATAAACGATTGTCTGGGTAGGGAATGCTTGCGGTGACGATGTGGGGAAGCGGAACAAGGCCAGAAGGTTGTTGGTGAAATGTGTCAAAGCTCTTGCCGAACTGCCTGCTTGGCTTCGTCCGAGACGCACCTGCCACAAGTTCCGCGACGTCGAACAGGGCAAACATGACATTCTCAATCGGGATGGAAACACTTACGATTCTGCGTCCGAGTCCTCTGTTAGCAGGCTGCTCGCGACACTCTTGTGGAGCCCCAATGAGTCGTCGCTGTGGGAGCGCAGGCCTTCACCAGGCGCCCTGACGATGGGCACGTCCGGTAAGGGCGGCACGTCTTGGTCCAGTTCTCCCGGCGAGATGTCTTCCTGCATGGACTTGCGCCGTCCTTTGCGGCCTTTGAACATCCTCGATAGCTTGCGGCGGTGCGAAGACGTCTCGCTACTGGCGTCTTCGGAGCCGCGACTCTTCCTCCTGTCCAATGCGCCGTCGCCAGACACGTGCAGGTCGCTGCCCGCATCGCCCTGGCCGTCGCTGCTTGTGACGGATGTCGCAGAGGAGCTGACGTTGCCCTTGGAGAGCGCCCGGTGTGCCGGCGCAGCGAGCGAATTGTCTCTGCTGGTTCCGCCCATTGATGACGTCGTGCTGCGCGCTCGTTCGACGACTGCCATTGCGTGGTATTGCTGTTGGCCCAGAGCGCATAGGCTGCGTTCGAATAGTGTGCGGCGTGGCGGCTACCATGTAAGCATGGCGGTGTGCAGACGAGACAGGTCGCAGCTTCGTGGATTGTGGTCCGCGGCGGACGCGAGCGCGCTGGTACGGTGGTGTCCGGTGTTTGCGGGCGTTTGCGCAAGACAAAGCTGTGGTCGTGTCGATGGGTGGATACAGGCCGGTCGCAATCTGTCCAGCGGTAGCAAGTAGAGTGCACACGTGGTGGGCGGTCCCTGGATCTGGGGGAAGGCGGCGGTGGGCGGTGCTGTTGCGGGGAAGCCAATACCGCGATCGATGACGACGGTGGATCAAACTGCACCGGAATGTCGAGAAGCGTGGGTGAAAAGGTGTATTCCGTGTCCAACGTGCAGCCACCGGGGCGAACGACAGTCGGTCGCCTCGGGCTCGTTCAGGCACCTCAGCGCCAGTGTTCGAGGATGCGGCTGTGCCGTGCCACAGCTGCAAGTGCCGTCGCAGCAGCGTGATCTTCGCCATGGGGCATGGGCATGGGTTGCTCGGACCTCGCGAACCACTGCGTCCAGCCAGGCCAGCTGCCACCCACCCCAACGCCCGACACTCCACCGCGCAACGCCTGCGACATGAGCAAAACCAGCCTCGCCGAGCATGGAGTCCGCGCCCCTCATCAGAGCACAGGAGCACGTCCGCAACGCCTCCGCCGCGACGTATGCCGGCGATCTCGCCAGGGCGGGGCAGGAACACGAGCTCGCTGCTGCTGCCTTTCACGACGGCTTGAGCTCCACCACCAACGCTGAGGTGCGTGCGATTCTACACCGCACACTGCCTGGCCCAGACTGACCTGCTCAAACAGTCTCTGCGCCTCATCGCCCTCCTCGAGAACAACCACCGCGCACACGCCAGGCGCATCAAAGAACCCCCGCGCAAGGCGGAGCGGAAGAAGCTCGACACCGCCAACGAGCCTTCAGACGCTGCCACGACCTCACCGCCCTCGAAGACTGCCGCAGCTCGGCCCGCCTCGCCGCCCACCTCGGCCACGTCCCCGACCCGCGCGCTCTCCCGTCGCCGCCTGCCCCAGTCGTCCATCGCAAGCAACCTCGCCGAAGCACGCGGCATAGGCCCCCGCCGAGCCACGCCGAGCAGTGCGTCTGTCTCCGTTACGAATGCATTGGCAGGCCGAAATGAGCCTGCGTCCACGCCAGTGCGGGACATGCTCTCGCGGAAGGCAGAAGCCAGCAAGAGGAACGACCCCATGTCGTCCGACAAGCACCAGGAGGAAGCTCCAACGGCAGGCCAAACCACTTCGTCCGCGACCGAGGAAGGCTTCAGGCGTTTCTATTCCGCCTTTGGCAGCGTCATGTCAGCCATCACCCCACCGCTGGCTTTCACCGCTCTCCCACTTACTCTCTCGCCCGCCGCCCCCGAACCAGAACCTCCAGCCAAAGAAGCAAAGCCTCCCAAATCTCTCTCAAAGAGCAGAAACCACTCGCCCGAAGCCGTCCGCACCGTAAAATCCTCCGAGCCCGACCTCGCCGCCCTGATAAGCAAGCCCGCTCTCCGCGCTCTCCGCGAAGACGGCAGCGCACCCCTCGGCCCAAACGAATCCTTCTACCTCGTCCCCACCTCCGGCGGCACCGTCTCCTACGCCAGCATCCTCCAGAACCCGAACGCTCCCCACCACCCGCACCACGCCGCGCAAAACCCGCACCTCGCACCTATCGACGAAGCCGACAACGAGTCCAGCGGCCTCCGCGGCTCCTCGCACGAGGAATTTGTCGACGCCCGCGAGACGGTCGGTCCGCCATCCCCAACTGCATCTCGCCGGCCTCGCTCGCGAGGTCAAACTACACAAGGTGTAGGTCCCGCCGTGACGGCTCTGCGCAGTATACCAGCCGGCCGCGGCTCGGGCCTGAAGACCTTCGAGGAGATCAGCCTCGAGAACGAGACGCTCAAGGCCACCGTCGACAAGCAAGCCAAGCGCCTCTCCATGTGGGAAACGACGTCACAATCCTCTTATAACGCACTGGCGCAATCCTTCCGCGCGCGCAAAATGCCCTCGGACCCTTCGGCGCTCGCGCAAGCTCTCGCCATCGGCGCCAACGCTGTGCCGCCCGCGCTTCCCTCGCCGACCGCTCAGTCTGACCCGCAGCTTGCGAAGCGCCTCGCGGAGCTCGAGGCCCTGGTCGCAGAGCGGAATGCCGCGCTTGACGAAAAGGCCAGGGAGAACGAGAGGCTGGAGCGCGAGAATCGGAAGAATGCAGAGGTGTTGGGGCGGTATCGGGATCAGTGGGAGAAGCTGAAGGCGGGGGCGAGGAAGCGGGATTTGGAGAAGCGGGCGGCCAGGTCCAAGGCCGCGGAGGGGGACAAGGGGGAGAAAGCGGAGAAGGAGAGGGAGAGGGAGGAGGACGATGAGGGGTTGGAGGAGGAGCCCGGGTTTGGGAAGGCGTAGGCGAGGTGCGGTGGACGGCGTACAGGTTGTGCTTATGATACCCTTGCCTTGAATACTCTGTTCGTTCAATCTACCACTGACCCATCATCCTCTTACATGCTCGCCCGTCGACCACGAAAAGTCCCTTTACGCTTCACTATTGGGCCGGAAACGTCACGACGATGCTTCGACCGGTTTGGTCTCACTGGGGTCGACATTATGCGTGCCGCGGGTGCTGAATCGGTGCTTGGGCAGGCTGGATCAGCACTAGCTTGGGAGAGGTCAAAGAGTTGCACCAGTTGGGCCAAGCATGAATTGACCTTGCCGGAGGGCACATCCGCAGCGGCTTGACTTTGCATCCAGCGTCGACGTCATAGGCGTTGTAGTAGCGGAAGATGAAGATGGCTTTCTGTAGACTGCACTGGCTGGGCATCGGGTATGGTTGCAGTCCGGGGAGTGCGTTTTCAGAGGGCTGGCATAGCGGTAGTTGAATGCGGAGGGATGGGTGTCTGAATTCGCATGGGTGCAATTTGCACTCGTTGGACCTGGAACAGTCGAGTCTACGGGATTCGAACGTGTAGAAGACACAGCAGGGAGTTGAATAATCACCAAATTGAGAAAGCTCCAGCTTGGTTTTTCGATATCATTGTTGTTGGATTTCCGGACGCACAACTAGTATATACATGGCAAACAAGACTGAGGAAAGCAAACCAAGACCCTTGAGCACAGACAAACTCCCCAAATGACCAAAACCAATCGCTAACGAATCACACAAGACAACAGCCAGCCAGTTTACGCAGCAGCTGCGATGGGCTGCGGCGCCGGCGTGCCTTTGGTGTCCATGACAACCTCCTGCAGCTTTCCAACCGTGTGGCCGCCCTCAGAGTCATCCGGGTGCGCCGGGTGTACGCCGACACGCTCCTTGCTGAGCAAGTCCACCAGCAGCGGGCTAGGCTTGTTGTCCTTGCTTGTGAACATGGCCTGCTGCTCCTTGTACTTCTTGACGCTCTCGATGTACTTGTCGAAGAGGTAGCCCGAGTCGAGCGGGCCGCCCTTAGCCTCGGGATGGAACTGCGCGCTGAAGATGGGGCGAGTGTTGTGGATGAGGCCCTCGTTAGACTGGTCGTTCAGGTTGGTGAAGTACTCCCTCCAGCCGGCGGGAAGCGTCGTGGGGTCGATGGCATAGCCGTGGTTCTGGGAGGTAATGTGGCACCTTCCGGTGGTCAGGTCCAGGGCGGGGATGTTGTGCGCGCGGTTGCCGTACTTGAGCTTGATGGTCTTGGCGCCGGCCGCGAGGGCGAGGAGCTGGTGACCCATGCAGATGCCCATGATGGGCAGCTGGGAGCTCTCGAAGAGCTTGCGTAGGTTGTACACAGTGGAAGTGCAGTGGGTTGGGTCGCCGGGTCCGTTGGAGATGAAGACACCGTCGAAGTGGTGGGCGACCTTGTGGATCGGGTAATCGAAGGGGAACGCAGTAACGCTGGCTCCGCGAGAGACGAGGCTGCGTAGGATGTTCTCCTTCACACCGCAGTCGATCAACGCGACGTGCATGTCGCCGAGCGAGGAGCTCACGTGGAACGGAGCCTTGGTGCTAACACGGCGGACAAGGTTGATGGCCTCAGGGTCAACGAAGGCCTCATCCTCATCGGCATCGTACTCTTCTCCAATGGTGATGCGGGCCAACGAAGAACCCTGCTCACGAAGGTATGTGACGACCTCACGGGTGTCTACGCCGGAGATGGCCGGGATCCCCTCGCGAGCGCACCATTGAGCCAGACTCTCAACAGCAGTCCAATGGCTGTGCTTGATAGCATAGTCCTGAACGACGATTCCGGACGCCTGGATGTGGGGAGACTCGAAGTGGCGGAGCAAACCGTGCTCATCGCGGGCCAAAGAGGGCACACCGTAGTTGCCAATCAAGGGCTGAGTGAAGACGAGGATCTGGCCACGGTAGGAGGGGTCGGTCATCGACTCGGGGTATCCGACGAGCGAGGTGGTGAAGACAGCCTCACCAGACATGTTGACCTTGGCACCGAACGACTTTCCGGAAAAGATTGGTCCATTCTAAATGACGGTCAGTGGGGCGTGTATGGTGTCCGAAGTCAAGGATACACACCTTGATGGTGAAGGTAGCCCTCTCAGTAGAAATGGGCGTGGCGATTCGCTGAGGGGTGGCCATCTGTCGGGGCGTGTTGCTCTGCACAGTGGCCATCAATCGGGCTTGTGCTCGATTCTTTGTCACTTGTCCCAGGACACCAGCGGACCTGACCGCGGTGGGCTTGAAGAATTGCGACATCATCTTGAGAAGAGGTTGTAGTAGGTGGTGGAAGTAGTAGCGGGTTCGTGGGAACGGCTCTTAGTTAATGGAAGCTTTCCACAGGTGGTCTATCAAAGTCGTTAGGCAGTGCCCACAAGGCCTTCTGACGGGACAGCATACCAGAGATGTAGTCCTGTAGTAATTCAATTAGCCAAGGTCTTCAAATAGGAAAGGAAAAGATGCATGATGAGGTGGTTGGTCACGGGCGGCGGCCGTCGGCGCACGCGCAGAATTGACGGTGTGCGATGATCCGCGATAAGGAGCGGCGACCAAGAGTCATTGCGAACGTACCTGGGAAGTGAAGATTGAAACAGCACGCATAAGCGCGGCGGAGATTCGGTTGGTTATATCAGGGCAAGGCGGGTACGAAGAACCCTGTGGAGGAAGTCTGAGCTGGAGCTTGCGATGGAGGAAGAGAATGTGAGTGTGCAGACCCCGCTGGCGGTGTAGTGAAGATAAAACCAGCGCGCTACGCCGCGGAGTGGTCCTAGCTCTTATGACGAGTTTTGACTTGCCTCCCCGCTCATTGGCCAGATTGCGCGGGCCGGTGCTGCAAGATGCCACGCGCCCTCCGATGTCGTCGACCTCGCCGCATCGGTGCAAACTTTAGTCGAGGCGCTTTGTTGGTCTTTTCGTTGTGGGGAATCCTAGCGCACATTGTTCGGCGTGCAGATGCCACTCGTCACGTCCAGCAGCTCGCTCTCTGAGGTTCCATGCTCTAGCACCTACAGTCTGGTCGTCAATGTATTGCATCCCGTAGAGGCTGACGCGTTGACGCGTTTGCGAGTGCATACCGCGAGCGTCATTGTGAGCACGGCATACCCACTCACAATCGCAACGAGTGACATACACCTTGTGTCACGGGACCAGTGGTCGCCAACACATAATTGTTGATGATACGTGGTAACATTGGTGATATCTCTACACGTACACAAATGCGATGCGTCTGAAGGTAGCTAAATGCTGGTATGCCAGATGCTGCAGATGTTGACCACAGCGCAGCACCCGACCACCACCGTTGCCGCTTAGGTGATTTACACTGTTCATTGGTCTACCATACCTAGGGAGCGTAATCCTTCCGCCCTGCCGTTATTCCCTTACTAGTACCATAGCCAGCCACGCCACGCGCCCTAGGGGTGTGTAGAGACTGCATGATCAATTGCATTCTCCTCCGTCTCATCCACCCACTTCAACAACCCCTCCCAGTCCACACAAACATGTTTCGTCCCGAAGCCCGTTACCCCGCCCAGAGTCTTATTCGTTACCTCCAGCGTGAGATCAGCATTGCACATCAGACTCTGCCGAAGCAGCTCAATGCAATGGTTCATATGCCATTTGTCGAACGCAGGGTCCCCAGGTCCAGCTCCGTCTCGTTTGTGGTGGTTGGGATCGACTGTGGCCCAGTAGATGTGGCGGATGGCGTTCTAGTGTCAAAACTCAGCTTGTAGTTTCGCAGGTGAGTCTGGGGGGAGAGACGCACCAGACAGTGCAGCTGGTGGAATACCGAAAGGGTACCGCGTTCGGGTGCGATGTCCGGGTGCGGGAAGAAAGTGCTGGAAGGGAACATTGAGTCCCAAGTATGATCATCGACATTGTTCGGCTGGACCATGAAAGAGGTGTCTGGCTGTAAGGCCTTTTGGACGGTGGGTACTACGTCGTCCCGAATTAACATGAATCAACGACTGCATGAAACCAAGGGGAGTACTTACAATCAGGTCGCCAGTACTTTTCCCGCCGCGCAAAGGAAGTACCGGCGAAGAAGGAAACGACCGCGACAATAGTCACGATACATGTTGTTGTGATGATATAGATCCACGGCAGGGAAGAAGCGGTACGCGGCGGGTGTTGGGACTGGTCCTCTGCCGTTAGATCTATTGGCGCGTAACGATGGTCCTGCTCGTTGCGAGATTTCTCGAACCACATGCTGGTCCCGTCACCTTGCCATGGAACACCTTCTCATTGAAAAGTATTCTCGAAGTTTCAAGGTAATGCAGGCGGACCAGGAGAGTAAAGATTCACTTTCACAGAATCGCTAGTACGCTAGTGCTTTGCTTCCGTTCCGAGACACAGCCGCTAGTCGCTAGAGGGGACACATGAAGTGTAGGCACGAGGGTGTGTGCATATTCCGCATGACGCAGGGAGGCCCGTAGTCTCTCGTACGAAATGTCTAGTGGGTGCGCCCCAGCGTCACTTGCAGGCACGCCATCATCGTAGCCATATTGACATTTGCGATCAGTCTCTCACAGCATGTAGACGCGGTACCTTGGGACCCTGTAGCACAGATCCTACCTTTTGCCTGTAATAGAACTGATCAGAGGTTTGCACCTGAGATAATATTACTAGAGAAGTAGGCGCTACAAGGATTATCACCTACATGCTGTGAACACGTTCAAAGGGTGGGAACTACCTACAGTACTCATGCAATGTCCTGAAAGTGAGATAGAACTTCCGCGGGAGTACCAGCTCAATGCACCGAAACAATACACTGCTACCAAGCCAAGCTTCCCTTCCATGGCTGGCAGCAGGTCCCGGCCCGGAACTCCGACTCGTAACTTCGCATCGAGTCTCTCGCGCGCGTTGTAAATGTAACGACCGCAGAAAGCAGGACTCGTCTGTGGACTAGATATACATTGTTATACATCACGCATACAGGATACACTTTGGGCCTATTCGAGTCCTTTTTGTCCTCCCAGAGACCGAACTGAAGTTACAAGCGGATGCTGTGTGGAGCGTGAGAACCCTCTGAAATAATAAAACCTATGTACTCGAAGCTGTAAGTCATTTACATGCAGTCATAGGTCAAGACCACATATATTAGAAGCTCTCCTCTTCCGCTCCCCCCAATCCTTGCTCGTAACCTCCACTCAGCTCTCCGTAGCACACCATCCGCCCCATAATCCCCAACAAACCCACCACTCCCACATCGGCGACCATGGCTGAATCCGAATCGGGAAATCCCACAGTCCCCGGCGCAGGACGTGCCCACGAGCAACCCTGCCATGTGCTCCATCCCACCCTACCCTTACACATCGCCACGCAGACGCTCGACCAAATCCTCCAGGAGCACGCCCGCCGCGCCGAGGGACGCCCTTCAGAAGCCCCCGGCTTCACACTAGTTGACTGCTCGAGCTTGATCCCCGGTGCATCTCAGCCAGTGCTGTATACGATGTGGATCACACGGGCCAGTACTCCGTCGCTTTTCAGCCTGACGTGCGTGTGCGAGCATTTGAGGAATCAGCTTGTCGAGAACGGGAAAGTGGTTATGTCGATCTTTAATGATACGGGTGGGTATGGGGAAGCGGGGGAGGCGTTAGCGGCGGGGACTTACATGGTTGTTTTGAAGAGGGTTGATGTGGAGAGGTTGAGGTGTGTACCTGTTAGTTTGTCGAGCTTGGAGAAGAAGGTTGTGAAGGAGTATATGGTGCACTGTCAGTCTTCCAGTAGTAGCGATTAAGAGGTTTAGAGTGACTACAACATCACGGTCCTCCGGAGAACTCAAAATCAATCTGACTTGTCTTGCAATTGGCTTGTCAAAGGAAGCGATGCATGGTAGGAAACTCCATGAGAGTGGTCGACGTTGACCTCTCGACATTGTTCATCGGATAAATCTCTTAGTCTATGTGACTGGTACCTCAATCCTTTCGGTAACCTCATTTCAGTAATTAAAGTAGCCGCAAGTGTTAAGTCAGATGCAGAATGGCCAGAGACCGCGTTATGCCCAAGACTCGCTTAATCAGGCGCTGGAGTACAGTGCGATCCTTCCCGTACGGGAGTCTTACAGCAACGCCACTGATACTAAGAAATGTTAAAGTGAATATTAGCCGGCGGAGGAATCCTCCTATCGGTATGCACATGTGCCGCATCATTGGTCATTGTTTCGACTAGTCAAGTGGAAAGTCAAAGCGCTGGGATGGTCAGCTACGTGAAAGTTCCCAGATGGCTTTCACTCTCCTAGTGTACCTATGAAGAATGTCTGCAAAGCTACATGACTTCTTTGAAAAATTCAGGCGCGGTGCATACGCTCCTTTGAACACCAATGTTGGTCCTGACGAAGCGGGCGGGTTTGCATACCGGGCCAATAGTGCAATGGAAGAGATGCACAATGTAGCCAGAGGCAGCTTGAGAACGTTCCTTAAGCCAGCCCTCCAGATCTTTGTGGTTATTGCACTCATGGTCGGATCCTACATCTTCGGCAGCTATTCTTCGGGTCAACAAAGCACTTCTACTGGCTTTGTTCCGACAAGTACGTCGATGCAATGAAAAACAGAGATTGCTTCTACTGACACACAAAGTTCCACTCAAAGTCGATCCAGGCGTCTTCAGTGACGACCATAGCTGGATCGGGCCCGGCAAAGAGTCAGACATCCTCTGGGCCAAAGAATACCAGGTCATGTCTGACAATAAGTTCATCAAGATCGACAAGCCTGAGAACTATGGTATACCACCAGGACAACAAGATTCGCATGGTGTCAACTTCTACTCCATCAGCGTATATCACCAACTCCACTGTCTGGTAAGTTCTTCTTCCTGTCATCGATAGTATGTTTGTAGTTGACCTGTGCAGTCTCTGTTCAGAGCACTTGTCTACGACGAGTCCCTGTCGCACAATGACGGCGATCATAGAAGAGCATTGAGCCAGAACAGAACATGGGCAGATTGGTATCATCTGGGTCACTGTTTCAATTATCTGAGACAGGCAATACGGTGTACGGTGGATACTACTTTGGAGTTTCCGCCCGGTAATCACACCGCAAAGGAACACATGGCCACGAGAACAGGCAATAGACAGTGCAGAGATATCAGTGTTTTGGATGAGTTTGTTGAGCAGAATAGATGGATTGGACCCTGACACACGTTCAAATCCGGGCATGCCAAACAATAGTCTATAGGATCTACGGCCAATGCGTGACAATACACATTAAGGGAGTTAAAATCGGAATGTGATCAAAATCGCGGATATCGTTAGTCTTGGTACGCATAATCCTGCATGCGTAAGACTTGTAAGAACAACACAGTCGGCACACTAAGCCTGCAGGCCGAAGATCCTATCCCAATTCTGGATATGCACCTCGAACTCGGTTCAAAATACGAGTACCGACCCCTGTTTGTGTATATGAAAACACGTGCGAGAAACGGCTCTTCCAGTTCCCTGCTGCTCAGATTGACACGGGCCTCATCCTGCAGACGGATTGATAGCCGCACAGAGAGACCAAAGATCGTTCCTACATTATATTTATGAGATCAACCGCTACAAAACACTTTGAACATGACAAGTGATGACTTTCAGAGTCTTAAGATCACATAGTCTGATATGCCATGTTTTACATCAGAGCAGTAGTATGTTCGCCCGAAAGTATAGAGAATCTGTGAGGGATATTAGCCGCTGCTAATAAGTCTCATACATATGCATGTGTCGGATAGTAGCTCCCAAATTGAAATCCTCTGTCGTAGGAGGCGTTTGCCAAGTTTGCCCGATGCTATGCAAATGTGCCCTACAGGTGGTATACTGAGCTCTACGCTAGGTAGTTCGGCCCTCCGGAACAATCAATCCTCTTGCACACCCCAGGTATTTAGGTCTCTTCAAGTAGGTAGGCGACCGGTAGCTTTGAGAGCCAGTCTCCTAGCCTGCATCCACTTCAGTCATCGCTCGTCCAAAAGCCAAGATGCCTTTGCTCTCCAAGCCCGTCAACGCGCTCGTTGTTCTTCTGTCGGCCCTCGGCGTCGTCAATGCTGCTCCTGTCCCTACTCCGAACGAGGCAGTACCGGTTCCCAACCCCAAGGATATCCCAGAAGGCGTCCACTACTGGCCAATCGACGATGCCGAGGCAGACCGCCTGTCCAAGCTGTTGAACATTGACTTCCGCTCCCTCAACATCCTGGGCACCTTTGTCAAGGCTCCGAAGGCAACATGCGAGGGCTGTGGTAAGCGAAGTGGTCTTGAGGACTTCGTTGACAACGTAAGTCAGCCCGTCATGAGATCGATATGGGTATCTAAGGCGGCATGTAGGCACTCAAGGCCAACATTCACACTCGAGAATGGATGGTCGACGTGCTCAAGAAAGGTGGCCACAACGCCAGTCCAGCGCACGATCTCCAGTGCGCCAACTGCGAGACCAAGTTTGAGCGTAGGGATCTAGAGGACGTAGCGAAGCGTGATGATCCAGGCTTCCAGTGGGCATCAAACTTCAACTGGATCTTCGGTAGAGATCCCGAAGCAGTTGCCGAAGCAGCCGCTGAAGCGGCAAAGCGTGATGATCC